TTTTTTTTTTTTTTTTTTGATAAGATTGAACAATTGATGTCTACAGGTCAGCAGATTCAAAAGACAATCCTGGATGTCGTGGATGTTGATGATCCAGATACTATAGACTGGTCCTATGGCTACTTGAAAAGATTACAATCAGCTACATCCACATTATACAATGCATCTTTGAATAAAGTTATGTTAAGGCCGAATGAAGAAGCTGCACGGTGTCACATCTGTGCTTACATGGCTTGCCAGAAATTACAAGAGAAAAATATTCCTGATTTACAATTTTATATGGATAATATTCCATTAGAACCAAAGAAAATCAATCATCTGCTTGATGTGTTTAAGCAACAATTATATCAGTTATCCCCCATTAAGGGAATACAATGGTCTCCAAGTCCCAAGAAGAAAAGTCAAAGAAATTCACCCTTGAAAAATAATGATAGATTTATTGCGACTGATCCAAAGGTGTTACGTGAACAATTGTTTGGAACTCCATCCAAACGGAAGGGTGGAGTTAAAGAAAGTTCATTACCACCAACGGTACCAATGTTTGCTGATGATCTTGCAGATGAACCTCCTTCTGATAGCCCACTAACACCAAGAAGGAAGTTAGCCTTTGAAGAAGACGATAGTGATGACGAACGAACTAACGAACTATCCAAAAGGAGAAAGATAAATAACAAAGAGACAGGTGGTTCAAAGGATAACGTAAAAGGTGAATCTATCTTTGGTGGTAAAAATATTCCTCATGATGAAAAAATAGTTGATGATAGCGACAGTGACGATAACTATAATCCTGCCAATGAAAACTCACAGGATGCTGCAAATGATTCTGACCTTGATACTGATAAGGACAACTTAGAGGACGTAATATCAGATAATAAAACGTCACCGAAGATACCATTACCAACGAAAATTCCACGTTCTGGTGGAACAAAATTGAATAAAACACACTATTCTTTCGATAAGGCAAATTTATTGACGAAACGCTTTGGTAAACCAACATTGGATGAAGTTATCCAATTATGCAACCAATTTGAATTACCTAAAGCGATTGCATTACACGTGTTAGATTCATTCCTAATAAATGCCAATTATTTAATGTGTCCTTGGCAATTTCTATGCGGGCTAGTCATGAATTGTGTGTATGTAATATTTCATGAAAGAAGAAGTAAGGATCCCAGAGTAGATCATTTAATTATGGAGAAAATGTTGTATTCGATGCATTGTTCAGGAGTCGAAGAAGTAGTTGAATGTATCAAGATTGTGAGGGAAGTAGTGACTGGTGAAAAATGGTTTAGAGATATGCAGATTAATAATAACTACTTCGATGGACAAGATTATGAAGAAGTTATTATTGGGAAATTGGGTTCAATGTTGCAAAAAAAAAATTATTTAGTTACAGATGATCAGTTCGCTATTTGGAGACGAAGAATTGAACAAGACTTATCCATGAGATCAACGAGATGATAAAGTTTGATGAATATGTTTAAGTTATTGATTAATAATAAATAAATACATAAAAGTGTAATTATATTTATATTTTTCTTATGAAAGTTTCGATTAGAATTGTTATTATTTACAAAAGAAAAAAATAATCATGAGCAAACACACATATATATACGTACAGAGAAAAGTATTCAGATATAGGAGGAGAAATAGAAGTTAACCAAATAAGAAGAGATGGTTCACATATGACCTTGTGCACGATACTGAGCCAAAGCTTCTTCAACTTTAGCTCTAACGACAGGGTCAGCTCTAATTCTCTTTTGAACTTTAGCAGCTTCAGCAAATGTTGTAGCTTGTAATTTTTCTTCAATGGTTCTAGCTAGATCAGCTGCTTCTTCGAACAAAGTGATGGCGTTGTCAACATCTTCTTCTTGTAATTTCAATTGAGCTAAACCAACCTTAGCTTGTTCGGATCTTGGGTCAAGTTTACAAGCTTCTTCGAATAACACTGAGGCTTCTTTAAAGTTTTCAATACTTGGTTGTCTAGAGATTACGGTAGCTTTACCTACCAAAGGCGCAATACCAACACGAATTGTTGATTGTTGTTTTTCTAATTTTCTGGCGATTTCATATTGTTTAGTAGCTTCTTCAAAATCTCCTTTATCAGCTAAAATTTCAGCAAAGAAAGTTGGAACTTCTGGAGCAATTGGAAATTTCTGTCTTGCAATATCAAAATGTTCTTTACAACCTTCAAAATTAGATTCGCGATACTCTAGACATGCTAATTGAATGTAAGGGAAAATATTATTTTCATCAGATTCTTTAGATTTAACAAAATCAGCTCTAGCCAAATCATATTTCTGAGTAATGAAATATAATTGACCTCTATGATAATAAGTAGCGGAACAATTTGGATCCAATTCAAGAGCTTTATCGAAGTAAGTGAAATAATCCTGAGTATCACCTTTATCAGCCATGGTTAAAGCCATATAGATATAAGAATTGACCCGAGGATGTAGATTAATGGCTTTTTTAATATTTTCTTGAGCACCAACCAAATCGTTCTTTAAGAATTTAAAGATACCGACATATTCCAAAGCAATTGCCAATTTATTCTTAACAATCTCATTAGTCTTATCAGTTTCATATAGTTCGACGAATCCCTTTGCAGCAATATCAAAATCTTTTTCAGCCTTTAAATAACCTTCATTAGTTGCTGAATATAATTCAGTTAAACCATTTTTCAATAATTTATCATTTTCATTATTTTCATCGTAATTATCAAAAGTAGTTTCTGGTTTAAAGATACCAAAGAATGAAGCCATAGCAGTATTCGAAGGCAATTGCTGAGCAATGACAGGAACAGCAGCTTCATCATCATCTGAGATACTCAATTTTTCTTTCAATACTCTCATTGCTTGTTTGTTCAAGTTACGTTCTAACATTGGTTCAATAGAAGCACCGCTATAGTCGTTATTTAAAGATAACACAGATAAATCAAACATTGCATCAGAGTAACGTTCTAAGGCTTCATAGGCAGAGGCTCTTCTTAGCAAAGCCTTTGAATAATCAGATCTTAATTCCAATGCCTTTGTAGTGAATTCAATGACTTTCTCTTGATCATTTAAGGTAACGTAACATGCAGATATGTTAGAATAATATACTGGGTCTTGTTTCAATTTCAAAGCGTGATTATAATATTTCAAAGCTTCTTGCATATTTTGAGCCTTGAAAAATTCATTACCTTTATCCTTCAATAGTGTAGCAATAGTGTCCTTCTTTTCGGAAGATAAAGCCATGATCTGTTCAAGATCCGGTTCACCATTAGTCAATATAGGATAATCGTGACTCTTAGCCTTTTTCTTATTCTTTTTCTTATTTTTCTTATTAGATTTACTCTTTGAAGAAGTAGAGCCAGCAGTCAAATCTGAATCGGGAGAACCTCCTCTTGCAGCGACTTCATCTTGCAACTGTTTGTAGTAATAGTACGCACCGACCGCAGCAGACCCTGCAGCAATTGTAGCGATTGCAGCCACAATAGCAGTTCTGTTCCTCTTAACAAAACCGTCCATTATTTTCTTTACCTTAAAATTAAATCCAGGTATATGGTGTCTCTATGTGTATGCAAGTAGAACCAAAAATCAAACCAAACCAAAATAGAACTAGTCTAAGAAGAATAACTTATATTATCAATTTGGGAAACTAGTTACAGGATATATACAGATAGATAGATATACAGATATGGATATGGATATGGATGTGTTATTGTATTAAATTACTTTGAAAGTGTTGAAAGTGTCGAGGATTTCTTCACATTTTTGTGCTGCGAGCGAGAAACTGAAAAGAACAACGACCGACACCTCGTCGTTCCGAGTGACAAAGGGGTTTCTCTTGTATTTGAAAGAGAGTCAAATCACATCAACACACAGGAAGCATCATCAGCACGATTGTCACCGTTACTGGAGGCTCCTTTACCGTCCCTGTCCCATTCCCATTGGGACTTATCCCTCCTACGCGACTGTAACCATTGTTTCTTGCACTCCCTATAAGCATCGAAGTATTCCTTACATAATTGACGATCGTAATTATTTAACTCCAGACACTTCATCGACATCTTACTGGACTCCTCACATGGGTCGAAGAACTGCGAGTCGCCCTTCGCTTGAAACCGAAACCTGTTCCACGTAGACTCGGGATCATCTGGGTAGTATTTGTAACTCCCTGTGTCCTGCGAATCCGGAGTATAATTCACTTGAGTCTTTTCCGTTTCCGCTAACAACTTCCCGTCCTTCTTCTCACTAGCTTTATCATCTGGCAATACACCACTCATCGTTAAGTCAGCTGTATATCCCTATAAACACATATCCACACACAACCATCACCATCACTTTCACCATCACCATCACCATCTCTCTTTCCCTCTCTTATAGAACCTCAAATTCCACTATTGGCATAACTCGCTCAGTGTCTCCGCCGGAAAGGACAAAACGGTTTGGAGTTTTCCCTCTCTCACACAATTTCTGTTTATTTTTTGGCTCTGATTTTCTGGGTGGGGGCAGAACTCAAAAGAGACCCCAAACCACACATCACCAAGGTACATCGATATCCATCTGAAACCGCTAGATACACACGACCAAAGGAAGTTAGGAGCCCTTCATAGAAGAATACTGGTTTATATTTTTGATAAGGTATAACTAGATCATCACTGACACACACACGTACGTTCAAGAAGCATCTGTGGTTGTCTTTCCCTCCGTTTCTGCCTCCTTTTTGTAATTTTTAGTTTGTTTGTTTATTACTAGATCAACTAAACTAGATATTAGAAATATTAGAAATAATAATATTAATATATATACGTAGATATATCGAGAGAACAGTGATATGTACCATTTTAATCAGACTAATCAGTCATCGACCTCGGGATCTCAACGTGCTGGTAATGCATTCTCCGCTTTTGGAATATCCCATACTTCAAATTCAGCTGCTGCAACAGCCACTACTACCACAAGTACTCATGATAGTGGCGATGAAACTCCTCATGATCAAGGACCATTACCTATTGCGCTGTCATTAACAGGTAATAACAGCAACAGTACAAGCTCTAATAATGTTGCTGGCGCTTTGCATAATAGTATAGCCGCAATGACTGCTGCCGCTACTGCTACAACTACTAATACAACCGCAGCTACTAATCATTTGTTAAATGTAAATAATGCTCCACATGGAACTGCTGCTACAGCGGCGGCTGTAGCAGCAGTTGCGGCTAATTCATATGCAACTACATCAGCTGCCGCCACAGCTGCCGCCACGGCTGCCGATTTAGCAATGGGTAATAGTAATGGTGATTCGAATACTAACTCTAAGAACGTTCGCCATTATGTTTATTCAGCAGATCAACCAAATGCAGATTCTTTGTTACATTTGGATCTACCAGAAAATACAATCTTACCACCAAAACTTGACTCAAAGGAATTAAAGAAATTAAAGGACAAGAATGGATTATTTAGTCTAAGATTGACACCTTTCATTGATAACGTCTCCACAACAAATCAAGGTCTTTATTTTGATCCCATTGTAAGAACTGCAGGTCCAGGATCACAATTAGTCATTGGAAGATATACAGAAAGAGTTCGTGAAGCAATCTCAAAATTACCTGAAAATTATCATCCAGTAGTATTCAAATCAAAAGTTATATCAAGGACTCACGGTTGTTTTAAAGTCGATTCCCAAGGGAATTGGTTCATTAAGGATGTCAAATCCTCCTCAGGTACTTTTTTAAATCATCAACGTCTTTCGCCTGCTTCTACTTTATCAAAGGATATTCCATTACATGATAGTGATGTATTACAACTTGGTATGGATTTTAGAGGTGGGACAGAAGAAATATATAGATGTGTGAAAATGAGAATCGAACTTAATAAATCATGGAAGAGGAAAGCAAATGCATTCAATAAAGAAGCTTTAAACAAGATTAAAGAATTGCAAAAATTAACCAATGGTGGAATAGATGAAGAAGATTGCTCCATTTGTTTAAGTAAAATTAAACCATGTCAAGCAATTTTCATCTCACCCTGTTCCCATAGTTGGCATTTCCATTGTGTAAGAAGATTAGTTATGTCTTCTTATCCACAATTTGTTTGTCCAAACTGCAGAGCCGCTTGTGATTTAGAGGCTACAATAGAATCTAGTGACTCAGAAGATGCACTTTCAGATGCAGAAGAAGAACAAATACAAGATAACATTAACAGCAATAGCATACAAGAGAGTAGTAATGATGGTAATAATAATAATAACAATTCAATACGTACTGGCCAATTAGATCCATCTTTTCGTTTGGCAAGCACCAGTATTCATCATGATAGTAATAATCATAATAATATGGTTCAGGATAGTCAGTTAGATCCAAATGTACTCAACGGTCTAGGAGTCCAATTAGACGATCCGAAGAATGATATCGATATGGAGAGCTGAAACCAATTTTTCTTCCATCGTTGTACCGCATTCTTCCCTTGCTACTAACAAATTTTTAGTACTCATAGGATCATTAATATATACACATTCTCATCATTGAAAAGTCATACACAACTTCCCTCCATTTATTTAGATTATTATCATTGTCATCCTTCACAGTTAAAATATATACTTATTTAAAATTTATTTTTGCTTTTCTTAATATTTTCATTCATAACATTCTTTTTAAAATTTATAATATCTTTTACTATATCATATTTCATTAAATGAACTAACAAAACCACAGTTTCAATTATTTTATTTGAAATGAGTTATGTTCAATACATACATACATGTATATTACTATTTCATCATTTACAATAACTCGTAGGTACTAAACCCTTTTCGCCATTAACTTCACCATATGTCCAACCACTTCCATCATCACCTTTAATAACTGTGACAACATCACCAGCAGACAAAGTTAGTTCATCGGAGTCCTGTGCCTCATACGCAAACGTAGCCGTCAATGTTCTAGTTGGAACAGCTGCACGCCTTGGAGGTGGCACGCTAGGAGGAGATGTGGCTTTTCTATTTTCAGCACTAATGTGCACATAAGATGTTGGCACGAGACCTGCTTCCCCAGTAGATAAATTTTTTACCTTTGTCCATCCTGAACCTGAATCTACAGCTACCAATTCTATTTGATCTCCTAACGACAAAGATATTTCGTCACTGTCTTGTTCCTCATATGCATAGAGGACTTTATTACCATTATTACTTCCACCACCACTGGAACTTGTTTTCTGGTTCGTTGTAGTGTGGGTATGAGTAGTCTCGCTGCTGAATACAGACTCATTATCTGGTTTATCATTATTACCATTATTATTGTTATTCTGAACACTAGATCTCTTATTGTGAGAACCACCAAATAATGATATACCATTTGAATGGCCCCCACCTGAAGAACGAGAACTACCACCACTATTAACTTCACTTAAAATATTGAGACCTTTAAATTTCGAGAATAAACCACCACTAGATTTCCTCTTTGATTTATTCAGATCAATGTTGTCCGTTGATAAATCATATTCCGCTGGTACATTATTTTGAATACTTTCAACAGTAACTTCTGCTTGCAATTTTGTTGTCTCGTGCAATACAAAACTGGAAATAACTGAAAGATAACTCTTCAAATTTTCATAAAATTTTTGACCATTTTTCCCATGATTACCATTAGCCTCCATGTCATCTTTCAAAGCTTGTTTAGTTTTATTAAAACCTGATAATTTACTTAATTCAGTTTTAGTTAAATCGTCGAGTCTATTATAATCATTTTCGGCCTGTTTCAATTTGATTCGTAAATCTTGAACTTCACTCTCAGATGGAACTGCGAAAGTTTCATCTTCATGCCATATTGGAGATGGCACATATTGAAAATCATTAGGCTCTTTCCAATTTTTCAAGTTATGTTTGATAAACATGGCTGTACTTAAAGATGGTTTATTATGGGATATAACATCATTAGATTTTGTAAGACGTCCCTTTATATTTTCACCAAATTCAAGTTCACTATCGTTAGCTGCTTTCCAAATATCATTTAATAAAAGAATTTTCGATTCATTCAAATCTTGTAACAAATCAACGACTTCTGGAACATCTTGGAAAAAATATTTATCCTTAATTCTGTTGGCTTGATTAATCTTAATCAAATAATCATTCTTCGCAACATTCATATCAACTTGTCTATCTTCCAACTTTCTCTTATTTCTTTCATTATTGCTCTTAGTTAGTTTATTTCTTGTTACTTCTACATTTTCACAGGAATCGTCATAAGCTCTCTTAGCTTTATCTAAATCATTCTTGGCACCATTTTTTTTATCTTCAAGATCATTATTGAAACCATTAATCTTTGTTAGTGTGAAATCTAATTTTACATTCAACCCATTGGCTTGAGCAGCAACAGTCTTTTCAAAATCATTACCCAGTTTCGCATGATCCTTGGAAATAGACTCTGTCTGAGATAGGATGTCATTCCATGTAACAACACTTGCAATCTCAACAGAACCAGGAGTCACTGTGGGAGTTTCACCGACCGAAAGTAAAACAGTGGATGAACTTGTTTTATTAAGGTACTCAGTAGTCAATGCATTTAATTTTTCACTATACTCTTTCTCTATCTTAGCTCTTTGTAAATAAAATTGTTCGATTTCCTTTAACCATTTAATGTTGGCTGAGACCCACTTATACGTTCCTTTGTACGAGTCCTTCAACTCGTTACCAATTGACAATTGCGCACTCATTACGTAGGCCTGTTACTAAAATATTCCTAAATAATTGTTAGATATGGTAGATAGTAGCGATTCAACAATATATTTTAAGGGAAGTTGTTTTTATTTTTGATAGGGAACAACTGAAAGTTTATTTAACTCTTTCATCCGAGTTCCTGCCTTTATGAAATTTTCTTTGTTTTAACAATTAAAGAAATTAAAAGAAAATGAAAACAATCGAAGGATATTTTTACAAAGGAAAAATGGATTTGAATAGCCAAGGAATAGAGCACAGAAGAGAGTAAATTATTCTGAATTATATCCATCAGAATCGATAATTTGCAAATATAAACTCTTTACGATAAAAATTATAAAACTAACCCCCCCAAAAATGAACGGATATACAGTTGGTGAGAATGGAACTAATTCTGGGATGACAGAACAACATCAGTTCCAATTGTTCGAAGAATCTCTCAGGAAGGTTAATAAACTTGTATTCCAAATGTTGATAAATGAAATTATACCACTCTCTATGAGTGTTGAGAGAAAATTGGAGAAATCTAATGACGAAGAGGTTAGCAGTAATATGTCCAAGTTGGATGTCAATGAAGATAGCAATACTACAAATCTTCTAAAAGATATTGTTCCATCCAATCAACTAATACATGACCTTTTAGATACTAAAGATGAGGATAAATACAACAAAGTGATAGATCGAGTAAGGAATATCGGATTCCAAGTCGGGAACAAACTCTCTGAGTTATTAATATTTACAAATAATCCGAATTTACAATTTAAAGATATGGATATTTTGTTAATAATGAAATTTGTGTGTCGTGATGTATGGAAACAATTGTATGGGAAACAAATTGATAATTTAAAGACCAATCATAGAGGTACCTTTTATCTATTTGACTACGATTACCCACCTATTCGAGAATTTTGTATCGAAGAAAATGCATTAAAGAAAGAATTAAAATTGGTGGAACCTTTCCTCGAATTTCCGGTAGGTATAATAAAAGGTGTTTTGGCGTCGTTAGGGTACCCTCCTGAACAAGTGATCTGTCTCGCCACTTTTGTAGATAGACCTAATAATGATATACCAGATACAAGTTTTGCTAAAGGGATAAGTTTCCATATTCAAATTACTACTCAAAATAATCAATAGAGGGGTTTGAATTGAACACTTATACGTAACTCACAAATCGACAATAATCAATTCAAAATAAAGTACAATTATAATTTTGAATAATATCATATTCATGAATATTGTAAACGTTACAAAGTAAGATATATAAATATCATACATATATATATATATATATATATAAATAATTAATTATTATGGTTGGGAATTCAGTTATATTATTTCAATCTGGTCCTTCATCCAGTTGAAACTTAGGATCTTGATTCGACAATAATGATGCTGTATTAATGGAATTTGGAATATTATCAGAGGTTGTACCACTTTGTGGTTTGACTGGATACGTCATTTGGTAGTTATTAATGACATTTGGATTAGGAACCGTAGAGGATACATTTTGAGAGTTGTTCATACCATTCCCAGTTAATTGTAAAATATTACCTACAAGGGCATCTTGTGGGACAAATGGTTGAGTCTGTTGTGGTTTTGGCGTTGTGTTCTGGTTAAGTTGTGGTTGTTTGATACCTTGTGATAACGACGATTCTACCATTTGATTTGGGTTGATAATGCTTGGTGGACCAGTAGTTGTCACAGGAGGAATATGTTGAATTGTGTGTGGCGCTGTGGTATAATTTCCATTTTCCACCATTTGTTGTGTGTCAATATTTCCAGACATTACTCTAGGATTTGTATGTTCTGATGTGATAGACATTGGACTAGTCAATAAATCATTATTCGGAACGATTTTAGTCGAACCTTTACCACGACCTTTTATACCTTTATTAGAATTTTTATAAATGGATGCAAAATAATTCAATAAATCTTTCTCACTTTCTGGAACTGAATTAATATCTGTTTCCATAGTGGCTAATTTATTAGTTAATTCTAGTAAAGTTTGAAGATGAAATCTATTTTGATGTGCTTTCATGTTTCCTAATTGAGTGAATCCCTTATTACAATTATCCAATCTACAAATAAATGGTTTAATATTTTGATGTGTGAGTAAATGAGCAGCCAAATTACCCTTACGTGAAAATTTCTTGAAACAAACATCACAAGAGTACGGTTTTTCACCAGTATGTAATTTTTGATGAGTACGTAAATTCCCACCTTGAGTGAAATGCCTCCCACAGAATTTACATTTGAATGGTTTACGTCCTACATGAGAACGGATATGTACTTCCAAATGTGTTGGTTGTGAGAAATATTTGTGACAATATTGACATTGATATCTTTTATCCTTTGGATATATTGTGTTAGCGATTGGTTTTATTGAAACCATGTTACTTCCTGATACTAACGATGAAACATCTCCATTTGAATCCATAATTAAGGGTCTTGAACTTTGAAGATCGATCTTTGGCTTTTCTATACCGCCTACCAATTCATCCTTTGGAGGCATTATTCCTGAGTTTTCTTCTAGAATCAATTCTCCATTTGGTTTAGTCTTTACTTTATCGGTGATTCCCTTTTGACGTGCTTGAATCATCAACATCAATTGATCAACCTTTGTTGAGCCGACTAATTTTAAATTATCATCTTCATTTTCATGATCACTTGAAGTTTCAATGTCTTGTTTGTCAATCTTTCCCTTCTTCTTATTTTTTTTAAATTTTTTCTTCTTATTTTTCGTATTCAGAGTACTTCTCCTTTTATGTAAGGGATCCATATGGGTATCAATTTGGATATCATTATCATCTACAACATAATTATTGGTATTACTGTTTAAGCTTGGTGTATTAATGTGTTCTTCCTCCATAGGGTCTAACAATTGAATACTTCTCTTTCTTAAGGGGTCTATGGATATTTGAGGCCCGACTTGAGACAACCTTCCTGAAGTTCCTGAAGTTCCTGAGGTTCCTGAATCCAGAGAGTCTCTCATTGAAGATTTCCTTGATCTAAACTGGAAATTGAAATCGTCGTTAAACTTCAAGTTTCTCGGGTTATAGAACGCACCAGGTTGTGCAGCAGCCAACTGTTGCTGCTGCTGTTGGAGTGGCTGTTGTTGTTGCATAAATGTTTCGAACTCAGTACTTGAATTTGAAAGTCTATTTCCATTCGTACCACTACTATTCTGTTGTTGAGACACCTGTGGAATAAGCATAGGGGGTTTCATTGAATCCTTTCTAAAGATATCCAATTCATTTGTAGTAGGATCGTTTGGTAAGAAAAACGTTGACATTGAAGAATTTCTTTTGCTGTACGAAGGCTGTCTTAATACTTGTTGATTTGGATTCATCGCATTATTAGTACCACTCGTACTACCACCAGCACCACTTGTCATAATATTCCCATTTACAATAGAATATCCTCTACCAAAAGGATTCAGCAGCATTGGATTTCCATCCTGTGATAGACTATATCTTTGTTGATTTGATGGTACATCCCAAAACGGCACGATCCCACTAGTACTACCTCCACTATTGCTATTATTATTATTTGTATACATCCAGTCATTTTGCTGCTGTTGCTGCTGCTGTTGCTGCTGCTGTTGCTGCTGCTGCTGTAATTGCAACTGTTGTTGTTGTGTTAACTGCATTTGATTCGGACGTTGAATTCCTTGTTGATATGTCGGTGTTCCACCACTAGCACCTGTATTACTGATATACCTTTGATACTGGTTATTACTATTACTATTACTATTATTCATCTCTTTCTTTTTTCTTTTTCACAAGGGACTCAGTACTTTAAAAAAACAAACTTGTATCTAGAAAATAAATGACTCTAAATTATAATATACCTGGTTTTTCTGTTCACTGATCTTTCATGCCCAGACGTTTCCCTTTTTTTCCCTTATTCTTCAGTTGGCCCCTTTCCCTATATCGCTGCCCTCTGTATATCAACAAATAATTAGTTGGGTCTGTTGGATGTTATTATTATATATTTATATTATTACGGTATCTATATAAAAAAGAACCCTATGCAGTGTAAATGAAATGTGAGCGTGCGGGTCAGGGAAGAGAGGGTTGATCAATCGATCGCTGTCCTTTTTGGTTGTTACTCCGTCACTTTTTCTCCCTTTTACCAGAAAAACCACACCGAACCAAAGCGAACCGCACCGAGCCGCTGGATTTCTTTGCGTAATTAGCGGAGTAATTCGCAGCGGCGGGTGGCGGCAGGGCACTTCTCATGCCGCGTTCGCTCTCCGTTTATTTTCTTTGGCGGTGGGCGGTGGGCGGTGGGTCGGCCGGTAACCCGAGCAACGCTGATGTCTTCTTGTCTTTTGAGGGGACGGCACCAGGCGGCGCGGGGCACGTGAATTAGGGTTTGAGATTAGGGCAGGAGCCACGTGAGCTAGGGCATACTTACCAGTCTGCCGCATCCCATCCGTCGTCGTCGTCGTCGTCGTCGTCGCTGGCATTGGTGGCAGGCAGCTTGGTCTTGTCCGTATCACTGGCAATGTCATTAAAATCGTCCCAGCCATTATCACCATCATCATCCCAACCGTCGTTGACATCGTTGGTTGTAGCAGGACGAACAGTGACAGGCGTCGTTTGCTTCGCTTGCTTCGCTGATCTCATCGACACCACGGGCATTGCAAGTCTCTCACTAGGTGGCGCCATTATATTTGTGGCCGTGGTTGCCGGCGACATCTCTCTCAATGTAGGCCTATGAATGTCTGTGGTGGTTGGCACGGAGACGTGCAATCCACGCAAGAAACCAATACACATGTCATCCATCTCTTTCATTTCAATCTCTTGTGTTCTACCGAACTTCTTCAGCGTCGGCTCGATTTGATCAGTCTCACTCTTAACATTACCGAATTTCTCAATCGCTGCAGTCTCTAATGTCTTCAAATATTTATCAAATAATGTCCTTGCTGCAGTTCTGATCCCTGAGTCGCTGTCTAATAACCCCGGTGCTATCACACTCATAATCTTATTAGCGATCACGTCACTGCCAAACAATGGCAAACATTGCTCAAGTCCATACAATGCAGCTAATCTTGTCTCGGATTCCGGATCCTTAAGAGACTTGGTGAAGATCGTCGCTAAGACACTATCACGATTACTCAATGCCTTTAATTGAGGGGCAATTCGCGATACAACAAGTAATGTCTCTGTACGTACTTTAACACTCGGATCCACTTGAGTCTTTGCAATGCTACGTAATAGTTCATTGTTTAATTGACGCTCTGTTAATAATTCAACAATATATGGTATATTACGTAACGTTAATAACCTTAAGGATTCCTCAGAATCAATCAACCCTTGTAAGAAATATGGGAATACTTTGTCGCTGAATTGGAAACTATCATTGGTAACATCTTTTAAAAATCCATGACAATGCATTAATAATAAACATCTGATTTCTCTATCGGCTAATCTCCACATCCCCCATAATAAAGTATCGATCTCAACAGTACGACATTTGGTAGCAATAATATATTCTAATAATAAAGCTAAAGATATGACAATATTTCCTTGATATATTGCTTGTTGAGTGGACATCCATGTTATCGTAGAACATAACTCGGGAACGATTAATCTATCAAGAAGTCCAGGTGTGAAACTTTGTAACCATTTACGACTATCTTTCATCCCAGTAATATGATCACGGATAGTTATGTTAAATTGAATCAATGTCTCCATTTTCTCTTTATCATTAGCAATATGTAATTCTTTTAAATGACCATAACTTTCTACAATTTGTTTTGCTTCCTTCCATACTTTAGTATTCTGTAAAGTTTTCAAAAAATTTGAAACATTAAGTTGTCCATTAATTCTTTGTTTATTAATGATACTTTTAAGTTCTATAGGGATACTTCCTACTTTTGGTAACAAAGTCTCTAAGGTCTCACCAAGACACATCATATCCCATTTCTCTAGTGTTCCCTTTATACGATTACCAGTAAATCGTTGAACCTCAGCAATATATTGATCTGGTTGTTGACGTGCATCTTCTGCTAACATACAACATTCTAAACCAAATATGACCCATTCACCTGATTCATTATAAAATATACTACGATCAGATAGATTCCCAATAAAAAACTTACTTTCCAGTAATCCAACAGCTTGACACAGATCCCAAATACCCATGTACATAGCCTCAGAACTCAATGATAATTCTCCATCAACAGGCTTGACATACTCTGTTACAATTAGAAGAGAATCTAACACTACAGTTTGCTCATCGATTGTCGTACCGTTACTACCATCCATAACATCTAGTACGTTACATAAACCAGGGAAACGGATCCTCTTAGCACATCTTAGATCATTGAGTATAAAACGACGATCTGCTCCTTCTTTGGGTCTAAACACAGTGACATGTTTATCTAATGTCTCAGGTTTCTTTGAACGAGCTTCAAAGAGTTGCCATTGGGCTGTTTCATGATAAGGTGTACTTTCAATACTGTAAGGCAACTGGAAGTTACTTAGTCCTCTGAACAAACTACTAAAATTCATATTGACAGACTGATAATATATGCCTTTTGTCTATATATATATTTTATGTTGATCTGTCCTTAACCAAATTAAGTTGTCTGTCTATGTTGATGTTTTGTTTATATAGCCATTTTATAACGTGTCGCGATTGAAAAATTTTTCAGGTTTTCTTTTCGTAAACAATACTTACTTGTTTATATTGATGTAAATATCTACTATATATATATATTAAACATATGATAATAATTCCTTAAAAGTACGATTCAATGGTAGACCAACAATATTGAAATAATCACCCTCAATTCGATCGATTAGAATACCCGAGTAACCTTGAACCTTAAATCCACCTGCAACTTGTAACCCGTCCTCGCTATAAACATAATCTTGGATGACCTGTTCTGGCACAGTTGAATCAAAGTACACTTCAGATGTTTCATGGAATTGATGTATTTGATGTTTCATTGATTTATTACCATCATCAATCGCATTCGGATCCCATTTGATTATCGTCACAGCAGTGACGACTCTCAATGGCTTTTGGGACCCATAACAAAACCTTTTTAAATTGGCCAATTGTCTTTCCTTATTTCCTGGTTTCTCATATATGATATTATCCCAATCAAGAACAACAGTATCCGCACAGACCACTAATCTCTTTTCTTTCACATCTTGCAATTCACTCAACATGCATTGGGCTTTACCATATGAAGTATCCACCACATATTGTATTGGATTATCAGCATACTGCGACTTATCCAAATTTTCTTCAAATGTAGGCGGTATGACAAGAAGGTCTTTGAATCCCATATTATCGTGCATGATCTCATATCGTCTAGGTGAAGTACTGGCCAACACCACTTTATATTCTGAACATATCTTATCCACACACTGCATGCTCTAATTTCTTGCAATTCGTTTATACTACTCAAATACCTACACTTTACTTTGTGAATCACCTTTCTCCCTTATGAAACATCCCTTTCCTTCCCTCTTCCAAATATATATATTTTTCTTTCTTATTTCACAGCATCGAAAATTGCCCGAATTAAAATTAAAACTATAATTTATCTATCGTCAAGCTAGTTTTATTATTTGGTTTACATAGGCTCGACGCCTCGCAGGGTCAATCTATCTGTAATTCTATATATTTTCTCTGCATGTTTCTGATCCTGGTGATTGTTCTTTCTATCATTAGTGGATGTAGTCTCATCAGCTGCTCGTGCAGTGACTGTGTCAGCATCAGTTGTTCCATCACGCCTATTGATAGAAGCAGAATCTGGAAATGCTAATTCTGTACCTAACAGTTTTAACCACGTACCTTCATACAATTTGTCACCTATTCTAATCAAAGGATGATCTCTATCGAGTCCTGAATATTGGAAAATCGCATCCTTGTCAATATTCATCATTTCTTTATAATTACCACTATCCAAATCGACACTTACGTAGACAGTTTCGGTCTCTTGCTCTTCCTTTTGGTTAGATTCGTTCAAACTTACCACCGCCCCCTGTTGTATATCCTCTGATGTAGCATTCTTAAAACTCCAAATTTTTTCTTCACCGTCTCTTAAAAATTCTGTATTATTGTTCATAGTCATAATCCATTTTACAGTTTCAGCAATATTTTCTTGTCTTTCTTCTTTATCCTCATCCTCATCCTCATATTCCTCGTCATCTAATTTACTCCATTGATACTTATCCAGGGAACATACACTAGCTTGCAATATATTACCATCTTCATCCAATGGGCTATCACAATTCTTCAGCTTCAGTATATTCATCCCAATGGATATTTTCACAGGGGCATGAGTCATTAACAACACAGTCTCTACATCTGGATGTTCTTTATTGAGTTTTTCCAACATATTTATGATAAACTTTGCACTTCTAGAATACAACTCTCCTTTTGTTTCACCATCCCTGAGAGATTCCACACTGGATCCATTACCCCAGTCATTCTTCAGTATACCTGGAAATAGACTGTTTAAAGTATTAAAATCAGCTGGATTAATTACTTTCTCATTATCTTTATCAAACCAGTTTCCTAACCCTTTATCTAAAAATACAGGAATATCCAACAAGTTAGCAATATATTTTGAAGTTTCCACGCAGGAATAGAACGGAGACGCTATTATTATATCTGGTTGTGTATCAACCGATAATATATAATGAGCCAATTCCCTAGATTGGTTAACACCATGCTCAGATAATGGGAGATCATTCAGTATCCCCGTCCTACTTAATGGTTGTTCATCTTCCGGTAGCCATGCAGAAGAATGGGCATGTCTCGAAATGTATATGTTCTTAACCACCATTGTATAGTCGATGAACAAATTGCTACTTTTACTTATTTATTGATAAATTTTTTAATTGTAACAGGATCAAGTTCTGTCCCCCTCACAATGAGCCTTTTATCTAAGACACGTAAATTATAAAATATCTGGTTCTTGTTTATTTATTGACTTATTTGTTTCCATTACACGTTCTGTGAATATCGCATTTGAAAAATAATCTGAAAAATAAACAATTAACATATAAAACCAAAGATGGTCACTTTAAAGACCAAGAATCACAACTTCAACAAAGTTTTAACAATAGAAGAAGAACTCTAAACAAAATAACAGTTATTATATTGCTAACATGGCTGGGCCTCCGAGTAAGAGAATAAAGACGATATCTGTGAGCAGACCCGTAATTTACGGTAATACAGCCAAGAAGATGGGTGACACGAGGCCGCCAAATGCACCGGCAGAGCATACACATATATGGACAATTTTCTTAAGAGGTCCTCAAAATGAAGATATCTCATATTATATTAAACAGGTAGTATTTAAGCTACACGACACATATCCAAATTCTACTAGGATTATTAATGCTCCACCTTTTGAATTAACAGAGACTGGTTGGGGTGAATTTGACATAAATATTAAAATCCATTTTATTGAGGACGCCAATGAAAAAGTATTAAGCTTTTACCATAGACTACGACTACACCCTTATGATATGACACAACCCAATCAGGAAGAGATAAAATCAATATTTTATGACGAACTAGTGTTTAACGAACCAAACGAACAGTTTTTCCAAATATTAATGACAAAACCTGGGAACCTACTGCCTTCAAATAAGACAGACCAATGTCCATTCTCGAAACAACTAGAAATTGAAGAGATAGATAGAATCAATGATGGTATTAAAGAGGTTGATCAACAGATAGAGGAATTGAAGGGAAAGGTAGCTGGAAAAGTGAAAGAAAAGTCATAAGAAAATCAAGCTTAGAACTTCCATCAATTCAATCATATCATTCATATGCATTTATGCGATACGTGTGTATATACTTATTATATAAAAGAACAATACGCAAATATATATTTACTTTTTTTAAAATTATTTTGGAGTTAGTGGTTCCCATGCAGACATGGATTTGTTAACATGGGGAGTTACAGTTGCAGATGAAATTCTCTCAGTAGCTGATGTGCCACTACTTGATGATTCTGGCGATTGTGGAGATGGAGATGGCTTTGTCGTATTATCAGTTGGCAGTACCTCCTTACTAACCACAGGTGCGGGAGAAGAGGCACTACTGTTCCTTGGTGTCAGCACACTACTAGAGAAACCAGGAGGCGGAGATATTTCCTTACGAGGTTCCCTAGGTGTAGAGGAAACAGGTCCGGTATCAGACGTTTCTTTTTTTTCAATTGGTTCAATTGGAGCGACTGGCCTATCTGGTAATGCCGGCTTCACATATGCTGGAGGTGGAGGTGGACGTAATACAGGTTTTAAACTTGTCATACTGGCTACCCTTGATGAATTATTAGAATTAGAAGGAATCACGGTGTTCGAAGTTGCACGTTTAGGCTGCAAGGGTTCAGATATTTGGGAATTAGATCTTGACAACGAACTTGTTGGAGAGGAAACACCAGATGCCGAAGCAGAGGACGTTTGATTTAGTTCATTTCTCATCGCCATATCAAGTAAGCTAATATCACTTGGCACCGTTGGTGGTTTCGTTCTTCCTATAAATTCATCGCCTTCTAAACCAAGGTTGACCAATTGTGCACTCAATGAACTTGCTTCATTCGGATGCAAAGTTTTATAATCGTTATACAGTTTTTTAGTCAATTCAATCTTTTTTGGTTCATCAATGGTCAATACTCCCGCACGATATGCGGCAAACACAGGCCTATGATCACTTAATAATAATGGGGCGTCAGAATAGGCTAACGGCTGAAGATTGGAACCACTATAAATAATTCTATCCGTCCAAGATGGCGTTCTTGCCTTCTCTGATGAATCATAATTATTAGTACCATTATCATATTTATAAGTAGGACGGAATTTCAGTGACGGTTCACGGAAGCCTTTAAATACAGTACCTGCCTTCATTTCAAGGGTCAATTGGTCGTGATTTAATAATCTATCAATATATCCATCATCCTTTAGGGTCAATTCTTTTCTGACTTCTTCATTAGTTAGGTTAATTCTGTAGTTAGTATCCCCTAACCAAAATATACTATCGTGCTGAGGAATTGTTCTTGACCTAGAAAATATGATTCCGTTTTGAATACTTTCATAATCATTTTTACGATCTTCTACATTCATGACACCAGCTGATAGATGGTTATTAATGAAACAGAAAGATGTAGAGTCATATTCAAATCTAATAGCCACTGCACCTTTGTTACCAGCCATACCACCAAAACCAGTCTTCTTAGTGGCACCTTCAACACGTTTGATATTAGATGCTTTATCTGATTTAACGAAAAACAAAATTATCAAAGAAGACATTTGTTCTACTCTCAGTAGGAGGTATTTATCACTATATTGATTCAAACAATCACTAACCATAGTCTCCCAAAATGAACCCTTCGAATAATCCGCATTTAAAATGGAACCTGCAGTTAATTCAATGACTTCCTGCAAACCCAAAATAACCACGTCTGGTTTAAATTTATCACCAATAGGGAATAACCATTTGGATAAATCAACCTTTCGAGTAGCACCATTGACGTTATAAGTACCTAATAAGATATTGATGTTCGAACGGCTAGTATATGTAACGAGCTGATTTTCTAACTCAGAGGTGACATATTCATTAATAGGATCATGCAATTGGACTGCTTGTTGATTAGGTAATCTACCCAATAACATATCGATGTTTTGTTGTTTTCCTTTATCCATGAAATTATTAATGTACATTCTACTAACTGACTTTGTGGCATCTGACAAGGCACCTGCAAATGACATCTTACCTTTTCTGGAAAAAGATGATTTTAATGCATTCGTACCTGTATAAATTTGTGAGACCATATCACCATGATCAGCCCATAGAGCGTTATGTTTTAAAGTGAAATCACTCTCATCAACATAATCACCTTTATTAATAAATCGGAAATCTTCCAAAAATGTCTTAAATGCGGTATATGATATAATTTGTTGGACTAAGTTTGTTCTGTCTAAACAATCAAGACAGTTTGTTCTAAAGATACCATGTTGTTCAGACATTACTTTCTTAGCTTTGCAGTCATATGCGAAATAACCGGAAATTAATAAAGAATCCAGAACTAATGGAATAACTTTGCTAACTGCAGAAAACCCTTCTTGAGCGGTTTCTTTATGGAAGTCAAATGCAGTGTATAAAATGTCAGAATTCAACTTCAACTTCTTGGATTGTTTAATTTGATTATAGTAACGACGAGACAATTCAATCTCTGAGCTCTTAGTGGACAATAGATTGACAACATGAACAGGACCATATCTCTTGATCAATTTCTCAAAATGTTCATCAAAAATAGGTTGGGTTGCCTCCATAGACCTTGTAATTTGGACCTTTGGGTTAATTAAGGATGTATCTTGTTCCCAAAACACAGGTATACTACCTCTTATCTCGGTGAAAGCATAACAGTAATTATTGCAATACATGATATATTCAGTTTCCACAAAATTGGCGACATTTGCTTCATCATCCACACCACGAGCATTAAATCTAGTACCTGCTCTTTTCCAACTTTGTTTGGAGATAATTGTCATCGCCACCTTAACACTCTTAACGTGAGTGACAAATGTCTCTGCAAACCCACGAATAACTGTGGTCAAGAAACCTTCGTCATCTAATATTTGTTTGGCTTCATTATCTAATCTATCCTTATATGTGATTATTTCACCCATCATGAATGAGTTCCACATATATTCTTGTTCGAAATTATCAGTACTTAAAGAATGGGCACCAACACCTCTATTTTGTAGAGTTGATGTCAAATCAAAATCAGAACTATAGAAAAAGGAACCATTTGATAACAGTTTTCGTATGTCTGCACATGGGTGTCTTGGTAAAGTAACCTGAATATCGTTTGCATCTCTATCAGGGAGGATAGGATATCCATTCGAGTCTATATCAAAGAAATCCCATGTTTGGTCATTTAAACAAAAGAAATCCACTGAAGAAATCTTCTTTACAGTTTCACCAGGGATAGGTGCTGCTACTTTTGCAGAACTAGATATAGTAGCTATGAAGATCAATTTATCGACTTCGATCAAACCAATGAAACCACTTATTTCGCTGGAAGTCAGACGAGTGAATCCTTGATTTGTTAATGATTCTTTTCTTACTAGTTCAATGGCACAAGATGGTTTGGTAACATTCTTATCTATCTTTATAGCTTTAATGATCAATGCATATTCTTTGGATATGATAGCAATCCTTCTCTCTGGCTGTTCTGCCAAGTAGATATTCATGGCCAGTTAAAGGTGTTTTATTTTCTTATTTCTCTGTAACTCTTTCAATCAATTATATCTGGTGTATCATTTTTATCATAATAGATATATATGTCTATCATTGACGTACTTAATAGGATTCAATATAAGTGTAACCCTATTACTTGTTCCAGAATTGCTAACCCAAATGGAATCTCTCTGGTTGCCTCGTCGCCTTGTTCATTCTTTGTCTCACTTCCTCGCTTCTATCTATTTTCTTTTGTTGTTGCTGTTCAGTTTAGGGCCATTGAATATCAAGAAAGAAAAACAAATATATATGGATTCCTATGATAAAATGTTTCTCTACAACTTCAATGATGTATTCTTAAAGAAATTTGCGTTAAATGTAATAAATATATAAAATGTGTATGTAAATGAACGTTAATTATAATCACTGTAATAATAATAATCGTAACAAAACTAAGCAGAAGCCTTAGCCTTTTTAGCCACGTTTGGAACTGGGATTTCACCACTTTCAATGACATTGTTTAAGGTGGCTAGAATAGCTTGGACAGAAGAATCACCAACATCATCAGCTAGACCAACACCCCACTTGAAAGCAGCACCATTGTCCTCGTCACGTAGGTAACGTAATTGGACGAAAGAAGCAGCCTTAGTAGAGGTACCAGAACCAATAGCATGTTCAGAGTAATGTTCAACAGATAGTTTGAAACCAACTAAGTTGGATAGAGCATCGACAATGGAGGACACTGGACCGTTACCAACACCGTTAATTGGGACGACAACATCGTTGATTTCAACTTGACCTGTTAGAACTCTGCGTTCGTTATCCTTTCTTTCAACGTTATAATTTAGCAAAGTAATGTATCTGTGAGATTCATTGTTATAGTTGTAAGTTTCCTTGAATAAGTTTGTAATCTCTTCTGCTCTTAGTTCTCTACCTAATTCATCTGCACTGTTTTGAACTGCAGAGGAGAAGTCGATTTGCATGTTTCTTGGGACATCTAGACCTAGAGATCTTAGAATGATCCAAGCAGCGCCACCCTTACCAGATTGGGAGTTAACTCTAATGACAGCCTCATAATCTCTACCGATATCCTTTGGATCCAGTGGTAGATATGGAATTTTCCATTGATGGTCGCCATTCTTTCTCTTCTTTTCTTGTAAAGCGAAACCTTTCTTAATAGCGTCCTGGTGAGAACCAGAGAATGCACATACGACCAAGTCACCACCGTATGGAGCTCTTGGAGACACTGGGATCTTGTTACAACGTTCAGAGACCTCGACAATAGATGTAATATCGGAGAAATCCAAGTTTGGAGTGACACCTTGGGTATACATGTTTAAGGCCACTGTGACCAAGTCAACATTACCTGTACGTTCACCATTACCAAAGACACAACCTTCAACACGATCAGCACCAGCGAGGATACCTAATTCTGTAGCGGCAACGGCGCAACCTCTATCGTTGTGACAATGCGTTGAGATACAAACTTTTTCACGTTCGGAGATATGAGTAGCAAAATATTCGATTTGATCAGCGTAGATGTTAGGGGTAGCTTGCTCGACAGTAGCAGGTAAGTTAAAGATAATTGGGTTATCAACAGTAGGTTCCCATGCAGCCTTAACAGCTTCACAGATTTTTACTGCAAATTCTGTTGGAGTGTCACTAAAACATTCTGGAGAGAATTCGTATGACCAATGTGTAGCTTGTTGTGATGGATCATCTTTAGTCAATTTCCTTACTAATTTAGTTGCTTCGACTGCCTTGGAGATGGCTTCTTCTTGGGACATACTAAACACTATTTCACGGAACATATCACTAGTGGCAAGATATGTATGTATAGTGGCCCTTTTAGCACCATGTAAAGATTCTACTGTTCTCTTAATTAGATGTTCACGAGATTGTACTAAAGCTTGAATTGTGACATCTTCAGGAGCATTTTCCACGGCATATCGTGTGAAATCGAAATCTGTTTGAGAAGCAGAAGGAAATGCGACTTCTATTTCTTTAAAACCGATCTCTACCAATTTATGGAAATATTCTTTCTTCTGTTCCACAGTCATTGGATCAGGTAGAGATTGATTACCATCTCTTAAATCGGTAGATAACCAACGTGGAGCCTTTGTAATGGTGTTATTAGGCCATTTTCTTTCGGTCATCTTTGGAGCAGGAAATGCTCTGTATTTTACAGATGGATCCTTTAACATATTTTTATAACCTAGTTTGAAAGGAGGGATAGTCTTTGAGATTCTGCCTGTTTGTTCGGCTAGTGCAACGATAGTTCTTTTCACCATAGCGTAAGTGTGAATGGATGTATGTATGTATATATGTATATATGTATATAGCAACTGAATATGGAAAGTATTTAAAAAGAATTGGAGAAACAAATTATCCTAAAATGAAATCAACGTAATATTGCAAGAATCATCTTCCCTCTCTCCCTTATATATAGCTATTGAGAGCTGTGAAAAAAAAAAAAGGAAGGAAGACTGCATGTACGCACTATTACTATTTAAGAGTTCGGCGAAGATCTAGTTAGAGTGAAAAATTGTGTGAAAAAAAAAGTATGAATCATAGATGTAGAATTTTATTGCAATGACCAATACAATAAGTATGGAGTGAAAGAGAGTGACACTTCTCCAACTTTCTAGTATTTTTTTTCGTAGTTCTCAATAGCTATAAATTAGAGGGATAGAATAGAATAGAATATAATGACAAGGATCCGCTAAAGGACTTAGCATACACATATTAATACTACTATTCATATACCAAAGATGACCAGTCCAAGGACGATTATACTTGAAGTTCAACGTATATATTAATTATTATCAGTAGGTGATACTAGTAGAATAGTATATAGGAGAGACGTCTATCTGGCTAGTAATTTGGAGAAAGAGAGACTTTAGCGGTCGTATTTGCCGTTACCGCTGTGTGTCTTGTCTGCTTAATAAACGCGAATTTCATGAATTTCATGAATTTTCTATGGGAACGGGTCGACGGGCCGGTTGTTAGTAAGACAGAATTCTTGTCGGTGACTCTTTTTTTGCTTTACCGCTCTCTAGTTTGGTCAGCGGTAAAGGCGGCGTGCTAACTGAAGCAAGTTGACAACAACGGTTTGGGTTGGATCTTTATTATGGAGTAATGGATGTGTCAGGGACAGAGCAGTTCTCAATTGGCGATGACCTTGGGGGAATATGTGACATAAATTATACAATATGCAAGGATGTGCTCGTATACTCACACATGTATATAGTGGATTGTATTTTAATAACCGGTTGTATATTCGCAAATGGTTAATGCAAAATGATTATGTTTTTATAATAAAAATATCATATATAGATCTATTTATATATATATATATATTGAAATATAATTATTAAAATGTGCAATGTAAGTCTATCAAAACATCTTGGATGGATGCAGGTGGGAGGTTGTAAACAAAAAAAAATGAGGAGCTATTTATGTAGGAGCTCTTTTTCAATGCAAATTATGGTTAGAAAAGTGTCTTGTTAAGGATTTTATTAATAAATATCCCGTGTTTCTTGTTAATGCTAGTAGTGTTCTATATATATACGCGTATTTGCGGATGGGGTATGGTCATGCAAATAGTAAAACGATGGAACCGTTTTCTCTATTAAGTGCTGTGTGTATATCTTTTTTTTATTACCTATAAATGGTTTTAGGAATGCTGAAATGAATTATTATTTTGTTTCGTTTTAAGAAGTGCTGGCGGGGATAGTTGGTCTATCAAAGGTTAACGATGCTGCTGCACTTCTAGAATGAACATTGTTGCTATGTGTATGCTTATGACTGTGGGTATTGTTACTTCTTGTCTTCTTTAGACTTTTTGGAGATGTACTACTACCATTCTTCTTCATCTTATTACTAGTAGTACTGGTACTAGTAGTGGTAACAGTAGTTTTCTTATTGCTACCATCACTACTATTAGTAGTATATGGATGTCTCTTTTGTAATCTATGGAAAAATAGTTTGCCTTTCGTAATCAGGCTTGCTCTTCCATCATTATTATTTTTATTTGTTCTCACTTGTTGTTGCTGCCTGGATTCTTCTGGTGTTGGTAATTTGACATTTAAAGTCATTCTTGAATGTGTATTTACATTTGAAACAGTATGTATATTTTCCGTGGTAGTTAATGAAGACATGGAATTAGTAAGTGTCATATGAGCAATATCTTTATTCAATTTTTCCATATCTAAACCATATTTCGATATAGATTTATCCTCATATTCTTGAGATGTAGCAGAATCATCTTGCCCGACAAGGTTTCTTTCATTTTCATCTTCTTCAATTTCTTCCGATACAACACTGTAATGATCATTGGTCTGTATGTGATTCAAATAACGGGAATATGCATCGAATAACATCCCCATCACTATCTCAATGGCGTTAATTATCTCTGCTTGAGTGGGTCTTACTCCCTCTGAATGACATGCATCGAAATTATCTCTAACGTATTGTGGGAAATTGCATTGTGCTGGAGAATCCACCACAATAAATTTATTATATACTTCGTCATTCCAATATGTGTTGTCCGTAGAGATATTACGTGACAAAGTATTTTCTGAAACTAAAAATCTGCGTGTCTTATTGAAAAATTCTAAATTTTCATCACAATGGCATTTTTTCAAATATTTATAGAATTCATGTAAGGAATAAGGATCGCATGTACTAGTCGACCCACTACTGCTTCGACGACTGCTTATTGTGTCTGTTGTATAATCTGTAGACTCGTTGAGTTCCGACAGGAGCTCATAAAGATTTGGTACTGTTGGCATATGGGTGAATGCTATAGCAGCAGTTGTGAAACTATCGTAATATGTGTATGAGGGAATAATCTTGAAAATTAAAACTTAAAAATAAAATTAATGTGGCTGACAATGCTAATAATATTGTTTTATCAAAAGTAATCAATAGGAATATAATATTATATTATCATAAGATTCAATATGGGTATTTTTTATCTTTTATCAAAATTGTATTATTATTTCCAATAAAGATGAAAAATTCAAATGGGTTGTTTTAATATATAGTAATAATATGAATAATGTAGATGATTGATACCAGTGGAAAAAAATATCAAATAAAAAAAGAAAGGAAAATGAATGGTTAAATAATACAACAGAATTAAAATAAAACTTGTAATGTTTATAAAAGACTGAAAAATTAAAAACTCAAAAATTCGAAAGAAAATATATCAATCAACTTTAAATTGGATGATGAATGAACCTGATGATCTAGAATAAATATTTTTGACGTTATTGTTATAATTATTTATTCGGCGAAACTATTTTGCCTTGTATACGTGTGTATAAATGTGCCTCTTTATGTTTCTTAATCTAACTATCACAGAGAAATAAATATAGACTCAACCCAAATAAAAAATATTATTCAAAAGAGATGGATGATGATGCAATTAAGTTGTAGTCTGCAGTATTCGTTTGCAATTCAAAATGAGAAATCAATATATATTGATATTATTGTAATTTAATTTGATCTCTATTATTCAAAATCGAAAATCCACAAAGTCGAAAAAGAAATATAGTGTGTAATAGAGATATATCTAAGAGAGAGAAAAAATTGTTAGGTACCTGAAATAAATTATTGATATACTGGTTGTCCACGTTTACTTCTCTCGCACCCTCTCATTTATCCAAGTAAATGAATAATTTAATGTTAAATGTTGATACTTTAAATCACTTGTTTTAAACTCAAGTCTTATTAATGTTGCTAGTCAACAGTGAGAAGAACAAAGAAAACAGAAAGAAAGAAAAATTAATTTCTTGGTCTAGTTATCTCAGCTACAGATGGTCGATCCTTTATCGATTGGTAACAGTTGAGTAGCCGCAAACAATATGAATAATATTTCTCAGTTCTGTAGTAGGTTTCACAGGTCTTACCTTTCTTTCTTGTGACTTTTTGTGAATTTCAACTCAATTTGAGTGAGGGAAAAAGTGAAAAAAAAGAAAAGAAAAAAGAAACGAGAAGATGGAAAAAACGCATTCCTTTTTGTGATCCTTTGCTCAGTGCTGCGTTCAGTTCTGAGGAAGTATGATTTAAAAAAGGGTTTTCATTATCTTTTTTCTTTTTTTTGCTGTTCGCTTTCTTTTTGGTCCTGTTTCTATTATACCAAGCGTCTCCGCTTTGTGCGGTGTTTTCTGCTTTCCGGTCACGTTTCGGTTTCCTTGTCGTTTCTTTTTCTTTTGGAGATGTTGGTGAAGTGGTCTGTGCGAGCAGTTCTTGGAAGAGGTAGAGGAAGCCTATATTTCTTCTGTTTCTTCCCCTTTTAACCTAACATCTCAAAAATAGCAGTTCACTATCCTCAGAAGCACTCGCAACACTTCTTAGATACGATAGTCTAATTGCACTTTCCGGAGGAAATACCGCACAAGTGATGCTACAAATACTGCGTTGAGTTGCAACTGAGGACTAGTTGGACCCTAAGAGTTTCAGGGGGAGAACCCCAATACAACAAAACTACTTAAATAAATATAGAGCGGCGCAGTTTTATTCCTTTGTATGAGTAGATAAGTGAACTTCATTTTTGGACCTGCTATCTATAAGGAGTGTCTCCTTGAAATTGAACTGTTATTTGAGTTTGAGTTTTTAAACTATTACCGTAGTCACGGAAAATGGATTCAATAATTACGTATGGTCAAAGTATAGTGACCTTTCTAATTACAGATACATTTTGTTGTTAGTTAGGATAAAAAAGAATTATCCCTCAGTACGTGTATACGAGAAGCAACATATGTTGCTGTTGTTTTCTCTTTCGCAGCGTCCAAAGTTGTTAATAACTTACAACAACGAAATGGGAATGAATTTCCATTGAAATTCTAAGAAGAAAAAACGACTTGCGCGTCTCAGTATATTTCGCGCAGCTTTTTCTTTTTTTCAGCTGCAGGGTTGCATATTTTGTACAACTTACCGTAGAAAAATCAAAGCTTTTTTTGAACAAAGCAACATTTTTTTGTGTTGTATTCTCTCGCGAAGTGTGGCTTGCCGTCTTTTCCAGTAAAACATCTTGAATAGAAAGCAGTAGTACAAACTTATAGAAGATTAAATTGTCTAAGAGATCAATCATTTATAACGAGCTGCCTTTACATTGACACAATTATACCACAATATAAAACAATAAAATTGCACGTGTAAATAAACACGTGCATTGATAGTAATTAGGTTTGAAATCATATTGTATTGGGAGGAATTTACATTGAAAATGATGATCATCACAAGCTTTGACAGATTTAAAAAGATCAGCTAATGGATGTTTTTCGGATAAATTAAAATTTACTTAGTTAAATGTCTCATTATGAAATATCACTACTATCAACGTATTGCAGTGAATATATGAACAAAAAAATACTGATTTAAAACAAATAAGGTTTAAAAGCTATTCTTATTCATAGATGGCTTATTCAGCCTCTTAAGGTTATATTTACAAAGTAAAACCAACTCTTATTGTTTATCATATGAAAAATGTAAGATAAAGTAACCAACAATTGCATTTACTCTAAAATGACGTAACGACTTTAAAACAATACACTAATATTTCTAGCTAAAGTAAAGAGTTAGGGATTACTCAAAATTGTGGAGTTAAGGTTATACGTTGTAAGGTGAGATGTTGAGGTGTTTTATTTATAACTATAAGGGTGAACAAGTTGAAACATCAACATTTGCTTCCATCTGTTGTCAGATCTCTTCTTAGTCTCTGATAACAAAAAGGATCACGATGACATCACGGTTTCAGCCATGGAAGTTTAAAAAAAGGAGAAGAAGATCAAACTTTTTAAAAACTGGGTTTACTATTATCTGCCCTCCAGCCACATGGGGCCATTCGCTCTCCTTTTTTTGGGGAGGGGTTGATATGTCAATATGGAAAAACAAAAATAGAAAAAAGTTTTTCCGAAATATATACACTTTCTCGCAATCACAATATTCTTTTTGTAAAAATGACTGTTAGGGTATCACCTCTTGTTACTATTAAATTAAGTCATCATAACAATATGATTATATTTATTTTAATTGACCTAATCAAATTGTATTTCGTTTAGGAGCTGATAATATATTTAGAGTTGTTTCGAACTTTTTGAATAAGTCAATTCAAAGAATCAGAATAGGTTTAGTTCAATATATGTGTTTTTATTGATAATGAAATTTGTCTCTAGATCAAATCATAATAGAGTTATTTCATATGATTCGGGGTAGTTCTTAACAATGTTAACAACTAGTTCAAGTTAGATTTCAATGTTCCTTCATTATTGTCATATTATATTATATTTCTATATATTATTTATTGTCTTTAAATTGTAGTTAAGAAAATTATTCAATTTAACTTAAGATTATCAAAATGATAGTTAAAAATACTACACATACAATAACTAAAGTGATCATTCCACATTTGTTACGTTTTCTCTGGTTTTCATCAGCTTTTTTCAATTGTTCATTGGCTCTTTGAGTATTTTCACCAAATTGATTAATATTCTCTCCTATCGTGTCTACTTGTTCACCTTGTTCTTGAATTAGTGTACCTAATTGACGGAATATGGCATTCACTTCACTAACTGCACCATGTATCCTGGAAACTTGAGTATCTCTATCTTGATGTATTATAGTATGAAAATCCAAGTCTTCTTGATTAATTGCAACATTATTTTGCTGCTGCTGCTGCAACTGTTGTTGATTTTGATCATATAATTGAGTACCATGTTGTGATTCATCCAATAATGGAGTTTGTTCATTTATCTTGATGGATACATAATTTGTAGAATCATCTTCACCAGCCAATTTATCTACTAAAGGTAATTTTTTCATTGATTTAAATTTGGTTTCCAGATTATTCAATTGTGCATTGATATCCTGGTAATCACTGTCAAGTTTACTACCAGGGGCAAGGCGTAAGCTAACAATTTGATCTTTAATGGCATGACACAACGGAATTTGTTCATCTTTTATATGTGTGAATAAATTTGTTGAACAATTTGTGGTTTCTAATTGGCGACATTGTCTAGAAAGTAATTTGACTTGTGTGGCAAATTCACCTATCAGATTACTGGGACTTCCAGTATCACTCACTGTCAGTGATGGTAATTTCTGATTTTCCAAATCTAAGAAGGACATTGTTTCGATTATTGCAACTAACGGATAGGGAGAATAAATAAGTGAAATGGTCTTATCAACTGAAAATAATGATCACTGATGATAAAAATGCCAATAATGGTTACCTACATAAGCATGAGACTGACCCTTGTTACAGTATTCATATATGTTTACGCTAGTGCGTAGTGTATCGAGAATTTAATTTGTTCACAAAGGTTGCATTCTCTTTTCGTTTTTTTTCTTCCCTATTCTGGCAAGTTAAAAGTGGTCACATTTCCCTTTTTATAATAATAATACTCATCTTCCTTTGTTTTGATTTTTTTTCTTCTCCCTCGTCATTCCACGCTTTAAAAAACATAAAATAAATTGACAGCCCATCATCGCAAGAACGACAGCAGAACTTTGGCTATTCTCTAATAGCGCAGAAAAAGGATCCTCTCATATGGTTAATGTAATCCTATTAACATTAATATTACTTGAGATTTTAGTAATAGTATCCTGTATTGTGACCATTTGAATTATTATTGTATTGGTTTGGCCCATATGGATCCGTTTGGAAGTATGAATCCTCAGGGTATGGTCTAGATTGACCAATATTAACATTGCTATTATTATTTAATGTACCTGGAGTATGGTCCAAATGCGTTGCAGAAGTAGTATAGTTACTGTTTAAATAAGTTGTAGACCCTGCATTGTTAACAAATGAATCTCTTACGGGATCCTCAGATTCCAAATCATAGACCACGTTCTTATTTTGTCTCTTGAGACTCTTGCGTCTTTGACCCTCGAGATCGAAATCTTGTTCCATTTCAAACACCTCACTATCTTTATTACTCTTCCCATTAGTAGCTCCTTCGTCATAATACGCATCTTTTCCATTGTCATTGTTAGCATAATATGCAGACTCAGGGTATCTTATAGGTTGATAGACGATGTCTGGTGCTGGTTGATATCCGTTGTTATTTGGCATCCCTGGAGGAGCATACCCATTATTATTCATCATCATGTTTGGATTATTATTGTTTCTATTATCATTCCAATGACAACACCAACAACAGAATTCGGCAATACCGGTGACACCTTGTCTGAAACATGTGAGGAGACCACCAATCAACCATAATCCGACAATCACTGCAAGGACGATCCCGACAATAGCGATGATCTTACAGGCTTTATCATTCATACATGAGTTCCAATTTTTAAAACTTTTGCCTGTATTCTTTAAGTCATCGGTGAAATCTCTTGGATATATTGCGTTTGAGATTTTACAAAACGACATTTTATGGATGGTTTAAGGTAAGTAATGGTAGTTTTATAGCGTTAAGAAAGAGTGATAGTTGTTATTTATTTATGTTCCATAATGTAAGCTGATATGTGAGTAGGTACTATTTCTCTTTATCCTTTTATAAGTATATAAATACATCGTTAACGTTATCAGATCAAAGACAAGTAGAAAAAAAAGAAAGAAGGAAAATACAGACAAGAGAATCGCGTAGCAGTAAAAAAACTTAAAACAGAAGAGAAATAATTGGATATTACAATAGAAATGTGACAAAATTTAATAAATACATAATTTGATTATACATATATATCTAAGGTTGTAGTATATTTGAGTCTGAGTGAAACAAGTTTAACAAATGACACAACATCCGCCGCTGCTTGAACTTTTGTCAGCTGCATTAGTTTGGGTGGCAGCAGTAGTGGCAGCAGGGCCCGATTGATTTTCTCTAGCTGCCTTACCAGTATTATGATGAGTCTTCGACTTTGACGAAGTATGTTTTTTAGTGGAGTGAGCAGTCTGTTGTTCTTCAGAAATATCCCCTTGTCTGTTATTATTATTAGGAGTAGCAGTAGTGTTATTGTTATTATTTCCATTCGGTATTATCTCTGTATTATTGTTCTTATTAGTGAAACGAGACGGCGATGATACGCACGACGAAGATATTGATGATCTTCTAGGTATAGTATTATTGATTTCCGTTTGTGGTACTGCACCATTTTCGACATATTCACCTTGTGATTGTCTGTTATAATCATTTTCTTGTGATTGTATATTTGAACCGTCTACTTGTGTGTAACCATTCTCAACACCGTGATACCCTCTATTATTGTCGTTGTTGTCGTTGATGTCATTATTATTAATAGTAGGAGTAGTGGCAGTATTATTCTTTTGTGTATTTCCAACCGTTGAGTTTGTAATTGTATTAGTATTAGTGAAAGAGTTTTCAAGATTCTTATTGAATGCCCCGCCATTGTCTCTGACTAAACGTACCAGAGTGTAGAAGGCGTCTTCGACATGAATAGCTTGTTTTGCAGAGGTTTCTAAAAACGGCGCATTCATTTGTTTTGCTAAATATACACCATCTTCATAAGAGACTTGTCTCTCATCTTCCAAATCAGATTTATTTCCCACGACGACAACAGGAATGTAGTCTGCGTCCTTCACACGCTGGATCTGTTGGTAGTACGTCATCAATTCTTCAAAGGACGTTCTGGAAGTCACGGAATACACCAATAGGAACCCTTCACCTGTCCGCATGTACTGTTCTCTCATGGCCGAATATTCTTCTTGACCCGCAGTGTCTAAGATGTCCAAGATAGTCACTTTTTCATCGATGACGACTTGCTTTCTGTAGGAATCCTCAATGGTGGGATCGTATTCATCTACGAAGTGTGAATGGATCAATTGAATTGTTAAAGCAGATTTACCTACACCACCTCCACCTACTACTACTAATTTGTACTCCCTGATATTGCTCTTATTCATCGACATATTTCTTTTTGTCTTCTGTTCAGGCCTCTTTCTTTGTTTCTATATGTATATATATATGTTATTGTAATATATATGTATAGTGTTCGAATTGCAATTACTGATACTGAACAAATAATAACATAGTATTACTTTGTGAATATATATATAGAAGATAGTTCTAGTAATGAAGAAAGAAAGAAAAAACCACAACCAAAACGAAATATAACCGCATCACAGTGCATTGCAGCCTCAACAATCTAAGGGGGGAGAGGGGGCAGCATATCAGAAGGGGGGGATGAGAAGACGCATTTTTCCAGTAAACAAATAAACAATAACAAATGTTGTTGCTATTGCTATTGTTGTTACTGGCGTGCCGTACAATATTACATTCAAGAAGCGATTGCAATGCGCGTGGCCTGCCCACCCCCGTTCGCTTCCCTTCCCGTCGGCGTTCCCCGTCCTCCCCAGCACACGCACCCCCCTCCCTCTGCATAAAGAGACGAAAAGTGAAATATTTTAGGGAGAATGAAAATTTTTTAAGGAGGCAAAAAGACAAAAACTTTTCACGCAGAGTGTCACTCTGAACGTGGTCGTGTCAGACGAAGCGTTGTTCCCCATTCGGATTCCCTAATGTTGTTTTTGGATAAATGACGCTGTCCGCTGCTCCGTGCCGAGTGATGGCGGTAGCGGGCAGGCAGTGGAAAAGAGGTCATCCATCTGGAGCAAGTGATACTGAGAGAGTCACACATTATATGAAATCAATGGCAATTAGTTGGAGAGAGCGAGATGATTATGTATTGCATTGTGTGTCGAGATATAGATTTCTTCAGCGCGTATATTTGTTATTCACAATTTATGAGTGTGAGAGAGTGAGTGGTTTTCGCTTACTTTCTCTCTCCCGCTCTGTGCATGTTTATGTACGGCCGTTTGGACGTGTCTGTATCTATCTCTCCATATTGAAGGAACGGTTTTCTTTGTTTGCTTATTTTCTCCAATTATCACTGATGATGATGACACCAAGCTATGCAAAAAGAGGTTCATGTTTACAATCGAATCCGTTCTTGACACTTTAACACACACGTATATATATATATATAGATGATGATTTAAATCTTGTGAAATGTAATCTTTCTCTATTTTCAATTCTGAAGAGTGAAAATTAAGTAATAATAATAGTAATAATAATATCAAACAACACGTAATATCATGTCTGATACATCATTAACAGAAACGACATTACTAGAAGAGGAAAAAAATATTGCTCGTACGTCTCCACCAAACGCTTTAAAAGAAAATGTCAAATCATTAATTGCAGGTGGTGTAGGTGGTGTGTGTGCCGTGTTAACCGGCCATCCATTCGATCTGATCAAGGTCCGTTGTCAAAATGGACAAGCAAAAGGTACAATGGACGCAGTTTCCATCATCGTGCGTGAAGCTAAAGCCGCTACCAGTGGCTCGTTGGCTTCCAATTATCTAAAGGGGTTCTATAAAGGTGTGATCCCGCCTTTGTTAGGTGTGACCCCGATATTCGCCGTTTCATTTTGGGGTTACGATTTAGGTAAAAAACTCGTTTCCACTAGTAACGATAGCAGTTCCGGTATACCGGGTAGTGCGTCTCTATCGATAACACAGATGGCTACCGCAGGGTTCATCAGTGCGATTCCGACAACCTTGGTTACTGCACCAACAGAGCGTGTCAAAGTCGTCTTGCAAACTTCAAAGGGTGGCTCGTTTGTCTCGGCGGCTAAGTCCATCGTGCGTGACGGTGGGATAGCGTCGCTGTTCAAGGGCTCCTTGGCTACATTGGCCAGGGACGGGCCCGGTAGTGCCCTGTATTTTGCATCTTATGAAGTCACAAAGAATTACTTGAATAAAGAAACTGGCGTGACGGACGGTGAAGTGAATATTGGGAACGTCTGCTTGGCAGGTGGTATTGCAGGGATGTCCATGTGGTTGGTGGTGTTCCCAATAGACACAATCAAGACTACATTGCAAGCTGCTAGCGGTCCCGGAAAAGCACAGTCGATGGTGGGTGTCACAAGAGAGATATATTTGAAACGTGGGGGTATTAAAGGGTTTTTCCCCGGCTTAGGGCCTGCTTTGTTAAGATCGTTCCCAGCTAATGCTGCCACTTTCTTAGGTGTTGAGATGACACATTCATTATTTAAGAAATATAACGTTTTGAATTAAAATATACAATATATATATAATTTAATGAGCATGTTCTTGCCATCCTTCAGGTCTTGGTAATTTGTTTACTGCGTAAAACTTGGAACCACACGAGTATGAGTTCCATGTGAAATCCTTAGATGGATTACAATCACATCTGTTGTCTAATCTGACTTCATCATCGATTGGACATTGATGGAATGGAACATGATAATACCCTAAATCACCGAAATGATGGATTTGATCACGTTCCAAAAACAAAGAAGCAGCAATGGAATGAACAGGGGCATCACCCCATCTTTCGTAGAAAAACCCACCTGCTTTATCCAAGTATTCAAAGTATGCACTGTATGCATCGCCTCTCCATAAATCTAAAGATGCAATTTCGAAATTAGACCAGAAATGACATAAATTGTATGATTGACCATTATCATCACTGACAAAATCCATCATATTATTTTCTGGAAGATATTCAGGATGCAATGCAATGAATTCACGAGTGGTTTGCCATAGAGTTGGAATTGTAGCTTCATATTCTTTAATGGAAATGGTGAAAGCATATTTCTTATTATTATCAGCCATGAATTTAAATACATCATAATTGATATCACAATGTAATTTGATATCTGGTTCAACTCTCCAGTACCAATCGTAATCAGCCAATAATGGATGTCTGTAGAAGAAACCAGATTCAAAACGACACATATGTCTATAAGAGATGGAATCACCATAAATAATCTTCTTTTCATGCATTTCTTTTCTCACTTCAGCAGCTTTATCCTGATCAATCCATGATGGGAAGGACCAATGTTCCTTTGGTACTAAACCATATTTGGTGGTACCACTAATCATGGCAGTAGTGACATTTTTAAATTCTTCAGTGAATTCTTCATCATTTAAGAAAACCCAATCGTATTGAAATTTAGAATTGAAACGATCTTCAACAGATTTGATAGATTCAAGTAATGAATACAAATCTTTGTTACGTGCTAAAGTAACAAAAGTAGCTTTTTCCTTTGGACCAGAATATGGTTCATATGAAACTTTTCTATATTTATAACCATCTTTACCAGATAAGATATATTGTTCATGATGTCCTACAGGTCTAACATCAGAAGAACCAGAACCGGTCAAACCTGTTAGAATCCAGTATAGAGCACCTAAAGTGATACAAAGTATCCCAATACGTTTAAGAAGAACATCTCTATTCTTTGGAATAGAAATCTTAGCCATCTTCTTTTCTATTTGATATTTCAATTAAACAGCCAAAAAAAGAGAAAAATATAGATCCTAAATGTTCTTGTTTGAATAGCGATATATCTTGTTATCAATAGACAAATAATATAAATTAATAACTGTAATACAGTAAAACTTATTAAATAGAATATGAAATAAGTAAAAAAAGATCTTCTCTTTATTTATTATATAATATTATTAACGACAGAAAAATTAAATAAGTAGTCAAAAGAAGCCACGAGTTGATTATATTAATACTAATTAATTCATTTATTTTTTTCCCGTTTCTTACTCTCTCTCGGTATAAAACAATTACGCGCATCATAAACTTGAGAATGGGGCCCTACCAGAACCAGAAAGACAGAGGCAAAGATCTCAAGTTTATTGGCAACGCTCCAAAGAAAAAACCTTTTTTTTTCCTGTGTCCCACTCGCTGTGCATATTTGTGTATCTTGAGAGAGAGCGAAAGCCAATGGTTACCACTAATTAGGCATTGGGTGAAGCGAACGTTGAAAATGCCAACCCTATAGTCAAGGCGCCCTTTCAAGTTTCAAAATTCTGCCTCCAATCCAAAACCCTTATTTAGTAATATTAAGGCTACACGACCTTGATAAGTATGGTCGCTATTTCTAAGTGGAATATGAGCTCTTTGGCTTTGACAAAAAGATTGAATCACACAAGTAGGGAGAGTATTATATTAGTTGTACCATAATTGTATTAAAGAAATGTTACACAGTATAGCCTATCATCAATTACATAGTCGTAGGCCCTTGGAAGATTATTTACACAATGTCACCAAGTGGTTACTTAACACGAAGAGAATGTTAGACCTTCTTAAGAACATTAAACTCTGCCAGCGATAATATAACATATACTGTCTATTGACTTTGTTGTGAATACTCCTTTTGCTAAATCTGGTCTTTCGAGAGTCAATATGATCTCTAATAATTCTAATAATCCGTTTGAAAGAAATTAGATAGGAGCCCTACTTTTGGTCCTTCAAATTGCCCCAAACTACCCATTCTCGCCCCACCCATGCCTACTACTAATTGGTGTAACAGAGTTTACTTTCGTCGTTCAGTTCTCAATTTCATTGTACATGTTATGGTACTTGCATTTGCAACCACAAGAATCTGAAAGTTTCTTACATGCTTGAAGACTCACGGATACCGCACAGGGCATCGGAGAAATTTTCTGCGGGTTGTTTTGTAATGTTCTTTAAATTTGTCGCGACGCGTAAAATAAATAAATATTTGGTTTTCTTGGAGAAGTCACTGTGTACGGAGATGAGGGGAATTTAGGGTTAGCATCAATTTTTTGAATCGTGAAATTAGGACTTGTTATCGTGCACAGTGATTCTCAACCGGTCTTCATTTTTTTCAGTTTTTTTGCCTCCACATATTGTAGATTTTGACATCGAAGGGCCAAAATAAATAACTGGAAACATCGAAACAAATAGACAGATGAGATAAGTTTAGGTATACAGTAAGTAGTGCATACCTTTTATTTGAAATACATATCCTGTCTGTATAGTTTTATATTTTGTCAACATCGCCCGCCAACTATACATAAGGGAAAGGTCGCTGTACCATCTATTTTGTTGATTATTATTAGTGTTAGTATTACTACGACGGCAACGACTACTATATTTTTTGTACTTTATTGATATAATGTCTAGCATCACAGCATCCTCTCCTTCGACTATGAGACAAGAAGAGTCCAAACATCCAAGAGGTATAAATATGCATCGTAATCATTCCAGCGCTGGTAATGATTCCAGTTATTTGCCGAAAAAGAGGTCCGTTTCATCAACTTTCATTCGTTTGTTTAAGAGAGAACCTAAACCGACAACTGAAAAGCCTGTAAATGAAGAATATCTAAAATATAAAGAGAAACGTTCGCGTGGAGATATTAGTCCTGATATACCATCGTCATCGTTCTTAGATCAGGATAGCATTCAAAGTAATACATTACCATTTAAGAAGAAGAATAACAGTGATATGACAAGGGATAATAAAAACTCTATCATATTGTATGAATCGGAAGATAATTCAAGACCTCCTGTGTTACCATTATTGCCTATACAAAGATTGCGTTTATTAAGACAAAAACAAGCAATGAGATTTCAATTGGAAAAGAAACAATTAGAATCAATGAAAAATATTAAATCGAGATTAATCTCAAATGGGAAAGCTCAGGATCAATACGTAGATGATGAAGCTACCAATACTTCTAATAACAATAATAATATCGATGATACCGTGATCTATCATAAATCGTTTACTCCTTCCCCCGTAAAGAATATTCCAACAAAACAAAATAATATTTCAAAGATTATATCATCTAAGGAATTACCACCAATTTCATTGAAAACTATTCAAAATAAAAAGAATTATAAGAAAAGGCAAAGGAAACATGTAGGTTCTTTATGGTCAGCAGCATTTGAATATGATATCTCAGAAAATGCCGAGCCTATAGAAGACATCACTAAACCAGTAACAATTGATGATGATAACAACAAAAAGAATGTCGACAAGTTAATCACTGAAATTCCGTCAAGCTCGTTGTTTAATTCAAACAATAAACTGGGAGATAGTACAAAGATTCCATTATCCTCCACACAAAGAGATCTACTACAAAATGGTGTCCAATTACCAAAGAATAAAGCTACTACAAATATGATTTCATCACCATCATCATCACTGTCATTATCATTGAATGGAGGTATTTCTTTGAAGAAAATGCCAATACAAGTTGCATCTAATGAAACTGCAAAGAACGACATTGAAAAGAAAAATTCTACTGTGTTATTACCTACTGTAGGTTTTGATTTTATCAAAAATAATGACACTCCTTCTAAGAAATCACCTGTAGGAAAATCAATAGGTATTAAAATTGATAATAAACCTGAAGATTCAACTAAAAAACCACTCTTTTCATTTAATGCTCAATCTAATGCATCCACAAACAAGATTAATTCTAAGGATAATAATTTACCCAAATTGTCTTTCAATTTGCCAAAGACTACTACATTTTCTCAGCCCTCAATTAGTAAACCTTTATCATTTGGCTTAAATAAGCCTATTATTGCAACTTCTAGCGGTAACGATGAAGATGAAGAACCAAGAAGGAAAAGACGTACACAAAATGATATATCAATCGATCTTACCAAAGGTACTGACAATCCTGTATTTTCATTTGGAAACTCCATTACAAAAGATACTACTACTAAAGAGACAACACCAACTGACAAAATTTTCCCTCCCCAATCTACTTTTTCATTCAGTGCATCAAAGGTAGAAGAAGAGGATACGAAGAAGGTGGAGATTAACATCGATAAAACACCAAGTTTCTCTTTTGGTGCTAAACCAGTCACAGACGCAAAGGATAAACCAAGTTTTTCCTTCGGAGTCAAAAGTACAACGGAAACTAGTAATAAACCATCACTTTCATTTGGTACATCAGTTCCAAAACATGTTGAAGCAGTCTCATCAATTGGAAAAACTGCACCTACATTTTCTTTCGGTAATGTATCGAAAGTTGACGATACTAATAAAACGACAGATAAACCAACTTTACCAAGTTTCACATTTGGTTCAAACAAAAGGAGAAGCTCAGAAATAGCTAATATATCATCTGTTCCAAGTACTACCGAAACGATTGCATCAGTAAAAAAAATAAGTACAGCCCCTTCATTTAATTTAGGTGCCAAGCCAGCTGTAACGGAAACGACACCTGATAACAACGTTATCAAACCATCATTTACATTCGGTGCACCTTCTGGGGGATCGGCAGCTGGGACGTCGAATGAGGATACTGTTCAAAAGCCCTCATTCAGTTTTATGAAACCAGCTTCTAACTTAAAAAGTGCTGATGCTTCTGTAAAACCAACGGCACTAAGTTTCAATTTTGGCGCTCAAAATGGAAATGTTGCGATTTCTGAACCGAAAACAACACCGTTGTTTGGTGCTAGTAACACTGCATCAACTGAACCTGGTGCTGCTAAGAGTAACCCTTCATTCACATTTGGTAAGAAGCCTGAAGAAATTAAAGGTACAACACCTTCTGTACCCTCCACTAGTGGTTTTTCATTCCAGAGAGCACCACCTACACTTCAAACAACAGCTACAAATCCATTGATGGGAAACAGCAATGTGAATACTGGTAGTGCGTCAACCTTATTCGCACCTCCTAGCAATTTCAACTTTAACCAAAATGCAGGTAACTCTCTGTTGGATAGTAAGACGATACAGCCTAATAATGGTACCCCTGCTTTCAACATTGGTATGAACAGCAACAATAACCAAAGTAATGCAGGAGGTTCAGTGTTCCAAACTAATAACATGGGAAATAACTCCTCATTCAATTTTGGTGCCCAAAATCAAATGTCTAATAACACATTTCAGCCTCCATCTCAACCTTCCTTTAATCCTTCAACTACTGCTAATTTTAACTTCGGTTCTGCTGGAGGTAATCCAGCTGCGATTTTTAATTCGTCTGGATCATCTATACAACCTCAGCAGATATTTGGTGGATCTTCAAATGGTAATGTTATGGATAATGGCAACAAGAGCGCTGATGGTGGTGCCCCTCTTTCTGCGCATTCAATAAGAAGACCATTGGCAAGAATGAGAGCACCAAGAAGGTAACCAAGTGGAGCATCTGCAAATTTAGCACACATTTTATGTATTTTAATGGTGAGTCATCTTATATATGAACTTATAGTTTCATTTTGCAGTCTGTAATTATTAAATTGATTAACGCTTTATAGTACCGAATATAATCACTATTTTCAATATTTGTCTACTTCGGCCAATGAATATATATGTACATAAAACAAAATATATCAAGATGATTTATAAAAGTATCCATTCAATTATTGAAAATAGAAGATTCACAGGGTCTGGTATTGAGTGTGAGTTACGAATATTGTGATGTCAATGTCAATTGAAACATAACAATGAATAAATACAAGATTGAGAATATTGGCGGAGTTCATATACCATCATTTTTACTAGGATTACTGGGATCAATCCTCCTATACTTCTTAAGTCCAGGTATAATGCTGGTTCTCGGGGGTCTAGTAAGTTTTATAAGATTCATTGTGATATGTGGTGGTATTGTAGGGGTGGTATATTTTGCATATATAAATAGAGGTAAGATTGGAGAACATCCAAAACTAGGAAGAAATGGTGATGGCGGTGAACAAGGTACAAAAGCACACGATGCAAACATTAAAGGGAACTCGAAGGTTGGTGGAGAATTTAAATACTTCAATATTCCAATCACTAAACTTGATCAAGCCCAGAAGCCTGACTTGCCTCCAAGAAGTAGGTTTGTAGATGTCAGCAACTTGAACAATCGTGAATTGAATCAGTTGGAGATACAACCTCAACGTAAAATAGTGGAAGAGATTATAGATGTGACTCCACAGCCATTGGAAGCTAGTATGAATTTAGATGTTATGGGTAGCAGAACACAAGTTATGAATAGAAATGCAAGATATGATAACTTTGTAAATATGGCTGGAGTTAAGCATAAATAAAAAAATCATATGCATTTAGACGTTGATTGACAATTTTGCAACTAACATATACGCCAGTTTATAAATTATATAGCATCAAGATATATATAGATGAAGGTTCTTTCAGAAGTTTGATTACGTATTTGGAATTTGTATTAAATTTATTTAATTATATTATAATAAAATGGTTATGTATGATTGAAAAAAAAATACTATCCATGCTATTTTGGATAAATATTTTAATTTTTAAAGTATTTAATGGGTTTCAGATGGGATTTCGAAAACAATTTGCTTACCAGTAAGCTTGGAGTAGACAGCTTGGAAAGATTCTAGTTTGTAATCGATTTGTTGAATGTCCTTGGAGTCCAATAGAATCTTTTGGATCTTGTTACCACCAACTAGGTATCTAACTCTCTTACCAACAATTTCAGTTGGGTAAACCATGTCATCTAGGATCTTTTCATGGACAGCAGTCAAAGTTCTGGATCTTGGTCTCTTTTGAGCGTTCTTGACACCTCTGGCTGGCTTTGGAAGAATTCTTCTTTCAGCTAGGAAGATAACGTGTCTGTCAGCAAACTTCTTTTCTAGTTCTCTGGTCAACTTGGTTTGAACCTTGTGGAAACCAGCTAGAGAAGGAACTGGGACGAAGATAACTAGAGCTTTCTTACCACCGGTGACTTCGATCTGCAGAATAAAATGAAATTGAAGCAATAAGTATTCATATAATGCAATAATAGACAATATAACAATACTTATTTTTTTCAATATTTACGTTAGTAAACTTGCTTACAACTTGGTAAGAGAGATGATGACGACGAAGCATATTTCATATGTTTCTTTGGCACACGTAACAATTCGTTCACAAATATAACTTAATAACAAAACATGTTGAGCAGAATTTAAACTACCTCCAACAACGGTCATTAGTACATTAGTACAATAGTACATCGATTACGAGTAATCAATATTCTACGTTAAGTTTTCTTTTCTCCTTCAACCTTCCATTAATGACGTATTCATAGATGCACATATAGTATCTCATTCATACATTATTACTGGAAGGAGAGAAGAAGAAAAATGTGAAGTGAAGTGCCAAAGTACTAAATGCAGTTTCTCAAGAATACACTAGCATCAAAATAGAAAATTAGCATATTTTGAATACACGCGTATCGTCGATCCACAAACAAATAATAATATAATCATATCATAATATTATGATATGATTCATCCTTGGTTTCAACATCTGATTTAATTTTGCATTATTTCTTTTTAGAGAAGACAAAATTTTAAAAATAATTATTAACATACTTCTCTGATGGACTTAAATTGTAGGGGTCTTAGGTCAGCCTTCAATTCGGCGGAGCTGCTTTCCAATTCGATGAAAGCTTGAGCAACTTGTAGTTCCAATTCAGTTGGGGCTTGGGATAGGATCTTAGCTTGGGCAGACATTACTGTGAAATTATTGTAGTTATTATATTCTTGGTCAATTGATTAGAATGTAGTAACAAGAATTATATTATGACGAATAACCTCTTTTTTTAATCATTATTTCTTCTCCTATACCTTCCAGATATCAAATAGTTAAACAAACTTCCTGTCGATGGAGATGAATATTGTATTGGAAATTGGTATCAGAATGGTATAATCTTACACGGTTTGGATTAACAACGATCGCAATTACCATCTATACAGGAAGCACACTCGGTTACTGATTCCATGAAATTGTTCAGTGAAATTGTCTCGAAAGAGAAAGAGATAGGGCGTGAAATGTTCGGCCAACGAAATTTTTCTATATACTTTTTTTTCTTAAAAAAATCATATTGAATTTTATAAAACCCATACCTACGTGGGTGTACGGATGGAACAGTCCAAGACAGTTTTAAATATACATAATTCATTAGAGGTATTGCTATTGAAGAGTCAATATATAAACCTACTACGTTGTAATATGTATCATTAGTCACAATAATAACCAGAGATTATATCACCGTATAATGGGAGTTAAAGTATGTTATGCTGTTTGTTACATTTCGTTTATAATTATACAGAGTTACCTCTTAACAAATGCGACATGTAAAACCTCACAGTAACCCAATACAACTCGAGTAATAACTACATTATAACACATCCACCACCTTCGAGTTAAAAAATAGTAAAGAAGAAACGTTCTAGAGATGGTGTTGTTTTCAGATAATTTTCAATTGCAGATCTTCAATTTTTAAGTACCGTTATATTTTCTGGAGCAACGAAAGCGGTGCTATCTTCTTAATGTAAACGAAATTAAATATACTATATATTTGCGCAGAGAACTGGGACGAGGCATCTGAAAACAATAATTTATCCAGCTATGCAAGAAAGCAAAGAACTGTAGAACTCATAATATGTTGTGGGAAGATTGTCTTATTTCAACTATATATATATATATATGTGTTGGTCATTGAACTCCGTTAAAGATATTAAGGGAGAACGTAGTATTTGAATATGTTTCCATTAATTGGTTGCACCTCATCTTTCAAATAATCAGAAGAGACGAAATATTACAAAATAGATTCCTAAGAAGGGACTGGCTCATATAAATGGTTAAATATATATATATATATATATATATATCTTTGTAAATAGGACTAGCTTACATCATTTGGTAGTATTCGCAGCAAGAATCTAGTTGATTAAAAAAGATCATCTCTGATTTGTCAAGTATTCAAAGTGAAGTAAAGTATCTCCAGGAATTCAGTGAAATTAATTTTTTGTAAAATTTCAGTTTTTTTTAGAACGAAATCAGAAAAATTTTAAGCTTTAACGAAAACGGGCATCTCATCGATAATAAGAGAAGCTCATCACCTAGGTATATATATCGCTATCATTTTAAATTGCTATCCGTAATTTGCCGGTAACAACTACCAATTGATTGTCGCTTAAAGTAACAACAATAAACATAATAATTAAAACAATGGCTGTTCCATCTATCTCTTCTTTGGCTCCATTAGCTGACAAATTAGAATCCGCAAAAAGAGCTGCTGCTTACAGAGCTATCGATGAAAACATTGATTTCCAAAATGACAAAGTCATTGGTATTGGTAGTGGTAGTACTGTTGTGTACGCTGCTGAAAGATTGGGCCAATACTTGAAGGATGCTGAATACAGCGCCTTGGTATCTCAATTTATCTGTATCCCAACTGGTTTCCAATCCAGAAGATTGATTCTTGATAACGGTTTGAAATTAGGGTCAATTGAAGAAAATTCTGCGATAGATGTTGATTTCGATGGTGCTGATGAAATCGATGACCAATTAAACCTAATTAAAGGTGGTGGTGCATGTCTATTCCTAGAAAAGTTAGTCTCAACAAGTTCAAAGAAATTCATTGTTGTTGCTGATTACAGAAAGAAGGCTCCAAAGTATCTAAGTACAAACTGGAAAAGTGGTATACCGATTGAGATTGTTCCATCTGCATACGTTCGTGTCTCTGACGATTTGAAGAAACTAGGTGCCAAAAAAGTTATTGTTAGACAAGGTGGTTCAGCTAAAGCTGGTCCAGTTGTCACTGATAACAATAACTTTTTGATTGATGCTGACTTTGGTATGCTAGAAAATCCAAGTGAGTTGCACCACAAGATAAAGGCTTTAGTTGGTGTTGTTGAAACTGGTTTATTCATCGACAATGCTTCTAGAGCATATATCGGTAATGCTGACGGCACTGTTGAAGTCTTCGACAAATAATTTGATATTTGTAATTTCACCTGTAGAATATATATGTAATCATTTTATTACTTCATTACTTATTTTAGTATTTCTATCTCTATGTTTTGTGGTAATTGAGCGGATATTATAATTTGTTTACATGGAGGTGGGTATTATGACACCTTTAAACTAAATCTAAACTTAAAATTTTGTAACTAAACTTGAAAAAAACAAAAATACAACAAAGATAACTAAATGTATCCTATCTTCATTATAATAAAAATTCAAAATTACATTTTATTTCTTACTACACAATATTGAGCATAAATTAAGCTATTAGGATAAATACAGTTTATTATAATAATTATCATTACTATTTCTTGGAGGTATTATTTGATATCCAAGACAAACCTTCCAACAAACCTTGACCGGATAACGCATTACTACCAATAACACACCACAATTGATTCTTTAAGTTGTCACTTAATTGTAGAAAATCTGAAACTTCCTGCGGTTTCATTGCATTTTTTAAATCTTGCTTATTAGCCCAAACTAAGAGTACTACATTTTCCATCTCTTTCTCACTAATAATACTATACAGTTCCTCTTTAGCCTCATTTAATCTTTCTGTATCACTAGAGTCAATGACAAAAATTAAAGCAGTAGTTGCTGGGAAATAATGCCTCCATAGAGGTCTTAGCCTCTCTTGACCTCCCACATCCCACATATTGAATTTGACATTCTTATAAGATACAGTCTCTACGTTGAAACCAACTGTAGGTGTAGAGGTTTTTATTTTATTCAGTTTTAATTTGTATAATATAGTAGTCTTACCTGCATTATCTAGACCTAACATAAGAATCTTCATTTCACGGGAGCCAAAAAGCTTACCCAGCGTCTTAGATATAGAATTACCCATACTTTCTCTAGTTTGATTTGATTAGTACCTAAAACACGTACACTGAGAGATCAATAATACCAGTGTTTAAACACATATAAATAACTTGGTTATGTGCTGATAATTCCAGTCCTTTTAAATATATATATAAAAAACCCTTTTTACAACCTTGTATTCTACTTATCCTATTAATTCATATTGAAATTTTTGTTCAGCCGACAACATAAAAAACAAATTTATTAATACTCGGAAAAACATACGTAATAGAAGGTGAAGGAACAGGAACAAATGAGAACATTTGCAATTCTGAACTCTACAAGGTACTGAGGTAATACAAGAGAAACTATGGCCTCAAGTGATGGGAACATTTATTATGAATTTTACAGCAGACGGCTTAGTTCCTCTGAACAGAATCTGAATTAGTTGTAGCTACGGCTTTCCATATCGGAGATATGTTAGAGAGAGAGAGAGAGAGAGAGAAAGTCGATAATCACTCCTGATTCAACTACGAGTTTCCCATAATTTCACGACCATCTAAATTATGCACCTGTTCATATTAGCTATTCCATAGGTCTCTCACGTATATAGATCGCTATGGAACATTTACAACTTCTTGTTAGTACATAACTGTACCTTGGTGAACTTCTTAACCTGTACTCATTTTCTCGAAATTAGGTGATGCGCTTACGGAAAATAAGCTCATAAAACCTTAAGTGAAAAATTCACTTTTATCATTAAAATAATTATATCACTATTTACATTAAAATAAATAACAACACTGAAGGAATAATCCATCGCAAGTATTATATATTAGGATATCTACTTACGCATTGGCAACCCGTTTCATCCATTTACTCCTATATCTATATATCTAGAACTATATGCATTCAGGGTCTTTAATTGCCACTTTCTAAATATAGTTTGAACAAACATTACAACTAACGATTCCCCAAAGACTCACAAATCATTATTAAAAGACCGATCATGGACTTCTCCATACCTCCGTATTTACCTGCTGAAGTACAGGAAAGATTAAATGAAATGATTAATGATTATAAAGAGGAAAATTTGACCAAGAAAGGTTATGAAATCAAAAGAAAAAGATTATTGGAAAAAAATTCCCATATTGGTACCCCAAGTATTAAAGAAAAGAAGTCTGTCAGTAATATACGAAAAAATACAATAAGGATTCCCGGTAGAAATCAAAGTTTATCATCAACTATGAATATTTCCAAATATGCAGGAACAATTCCTGATAATGTATCTATGGCATCGTCAAGTCGATCTCATCGAGATACTGGATCAGACCCTGCAAGTTCAATCTATAAAGTTACAACGGTGAATTCAACCCCCAATGGAGTCAGTCCACTAAAGCGTCATGGTAGAAATTATTCTACCCAACTTTCATTAGCATCCTTTGATCCGTTGGCCGAAAATTCTGTATATAACCCGATGATACCATTATTACAAAGAGATGACATAATTAAAACAGATTTAACGACCAAATACAAAGATTACAATATAAGATCTTTATCACTTCCACAAATTTTGCGAGGAAGGTTCGAAGTATTAGGTAATGAAAATGCATTAATAACGGTGGATGCAAAAGGAAAAGAGAATTTTATAAGTTGGGATAAATTGTATCTTCGAGCTGAAAAAGTTGCCCATGAAATGACTAAAAAAAAATTGTACAAGAATGAAAAAGTAATACTGTGGTACAATAAAGATGAAATTATCGAATTTTCAGTGGCACTACTAGGTTGTTTCATTGCTGGGATGGTAGCAATTCCTGCATCCTTTGAAGCATACACACTGGGAGAGATAATGGAAATTATAAAATTAACAAGCTCAAAATTTATACTAATATCAAATGAATGTCACAAACAGGTCAACAATCTCTATTCAACAAATAATAACACCAAGATCAAATTACTTAAGAACGATTTTTTTGACACCGTAACATTTTTAAAAACTGATGATCTTGGAACGTATTCAAAGGCAAAAAAAGGTGCACCAACATTTGATACCCCATATATCGCGTATATTGAATTTACAAGGACACCCCTCGGCAGACTATCTGGGGTTATGATTAAACACGAAACTCTTCTAAGTCAATTTAAAGTTCTATCAGAAATACTCGATTCAAGAGCGATGCCAGATTGGAAAAAAGTTGACATTATTAAGCCTTATAATGTGAAACATAGATTAACTTCAGTCAACAAACGAAATCTTTCAAGATTCACTGTTATGAATACACTTGATCCGACTAGATCTACGGGTCTAATATTTGGAGTTTTGTTTAACATTTTCACTGGTAACCTATTAATCTCTGTTAATGACCAATTAATCAATAAACCTGGTGGGTATGAAAATCTAATCAATAAATACAGAGCTGATATCTTACTAAATGACCAGTTACAACTGAAACAAGTCGTAATTAACTATCTAGAGAATCCAGAAATCATCATGGCTGAAAGGAAGAAAACTAGAATAGATTTCAGTTGTATAAAATGTTGCTTAACATCATGTACCACAATTGATACAGATGTAACCGAAATGGTCGTCCATAAATGGTTGAAGAATCTGGGCTGTATTGATGCACCTTTAGTCTATTCGCCGATACTGAGTCTACTGGATTTTGGTGGTATTATTATATCCACAAAGGATCAACTTGGTGGCTTGGAAAATTTTCCTATCCATGAACCCAAACTAAGGCTACACGATGAACTATTTATTAACAGAGAAAAATTAAAAGAAAATATTATTGAGGCTAGCATCCCTGCGATGATTAATTCTTCAAGTTCGTTCAAAGATTACCTAAAAGTTGAAACATTTGGGTTCCCTATACCAAATACCTTGCTATGTGTTGTTAATCCTGATAATGCAACATTAGTTCCTGATCTTACTGTGGGTGAAATTTGGGTATCTTCAATTGACCTGGCAAATGAATTTTTCCAACTTGACAAGATTAACGCATTTGTTTTTAATGCAAGATTGAATTTTGTTAAAATGCAAAGTTACGTTTCAAAGAACAATAGTACAAGTGAATCACTGTTAAGAAATGCACCTGAGGAGAAGTTAGAAACAATCATGAATTTATGTCCGCCAGAGACTCAATTTATGAGAACTAAATTAATGGGGTTTGTTTTCAATGGGAAAGTCTTCATATTGTCTCTTATTGAAGATATGTTCTTACAGAACAAACTTGTAAGACTATCAAATTGGGCACATACATCCGACACATCTAAATCTAGGAAGGATTCAAATCAACACTTAAACAGGATGTCAAGTATTTCACCAAGTATTGCTGATTCTGGAAATAGAAGTGTGATTTCAAGTCCAAATCATCCGAAACGAAGTTCAGATAAACGTGTCGTGCAAACATATTATTTACAACAAATATCTGAAACTCTTGTTCGTACTGTCAATACAGTTTATGAAGTTGCTGCATTTGAACTAAATCACCATAAGGAAGAGCATTTTCTAGTGATGGTAATCGAAAGTTCTTTAGCAAAAAAGAAAATTGCAAGCTCAGAACTGGATCCATCAAATGTTGTAACAGTATACAAACCAGATAAGGTTTTGGAAAAGAAAATGAATGATCTAATTGATCAACTCTATAGAATATTATGGATTTTCCACAAGATTAAACCAATGTGTATGTTGGTAGTTCCCAAAGGTACTTTACCGCGGAGATACTGTTCATTAGAAATTGCAAACAGTACTGTGGAGAAGAAATTTATTAGTGGTGAACTTGAGGCAAAGTTTATTAAATTTCAAATGGACAATATCATACTAGATTATATTCCTCATTCATCCTACTACAACGAGAGTATATTTTCTGAACATTTGTCAAAGTTAAGACAACTTTGCGTTGAAGAAGCGAATACAACTAATAAGGTTATTACCTTACAAGATTCTGGTATTGATTACAGGGATATTTCGTATGATTCTCGAGAACGAAAGAGAAAACTGACGGACTTTGCGTCTATTATGGATGTTTTAGAATGGAGGATTCCTACTTTAAAGAACAAAGCAGCATTCAGTGAACTCGGTGAATCATTCCATTCATCCTCAAAGATGTCAGATATGATGAGTCTTAGAAGTATATCATGGTCTAACTTTGAGGTTATTGTTGCATCTTTTCTAAAGAAAATTGTGTCTTCTAAAACTCCACTAAAATCTGAAGATCGAATCGTCATTCTTGCGGATAATAATATCGATTATGTTGCAATAGTTATGGCATGTTTCTACTGTAATTTTGTAGTTATACCCTTACCCCCATTAAGTGAGGAAAATTTGGAAAAAGATTTGGTCTACCTAACTGAAATAATTAAGACCTATAAGGTAAAAAGAATATTTATTGACATGAAAGTTCACACCCTGCTGGATACCAGTCCAAATAATAAGATATTCAAGAAATATAAACATATGATGCCAAAAATAACGTTGATTTCAAAAATTAAAAGAAAACAGGGTCTCTCAATCAAAATATTTAAGAAAATCCTATCTGACACATACCATTATAAACCAGGTAAAAAAACATTAACTGTTCCACGACTTGTTTGGATAAGCAGAGAATTTAGTTCCACTAAAGATATTCACGTTACCATGAACCACTCGACTTTAATGAACGCGTGTAAAGTGTTAAAAGAGACGTTACAGTTGTCTGCGGATTCATCAATATTTTCTCTTTGTTCTCATACTAAAGGTTTAGGATTTATTTTAAGTTCTTTAATTGGTATTTACGTTGGTTCAATGACCACATTGTTTAGCCATGATATGGTTATGGCCAATCCCAAATACTTCTTAATGGAAGTTCAAAATAAGAATGTTCGTGACCTATTCTTAACATTAGATAGTTTTACAACACTTATGGATAAAGCTTCGAAACTCGTTAACAATGTATCCAGATCTAACACTAATGCTACAAGACATCATAACAAGACTAGTAAAAAGACTAGTCAAACTCAGATATCTACAATAAGAGGAGATATGTTCAGAAATGTGAAAAATATTATGATCCCTTTCATCGGACGTCCAGAATTTAATAAGATAGAAAGTATATTACTGAGTTCACAATCTATATTTGTCAAGAGAACCCAGATCAACTACATATACCAACACCACTTCAACCCGATTATTTCATTACATTCGTACCTAGATGTTCCTCCGGTAGATTTCTTTGCAGATCCAACTTCCTTACGTGAAGGAATGGTAAAAGAAGCTGCACCGGGATTTCAAGGTTTGCGATTACAAGATTCTGGAGTTGTACCAGTATGTACTAACGTATCTATTGTAAACCCAGAAACATTGCTCCCTTGCTATGAGGGAGAAATTGGAGAAATTTGGTGTTGTTCAGAGGCTAACGTATTTAACTATACCATATCCAGAGATGGGAAACTAGTTCGAGATGAACTAATATCTCAACAATTCAAGAGTAGAATGACTAAAGGAGCCGATAATGGTTTGACATATTTAAGAACAGGTGACCTAGGTTTTATCAGAACTGTGGAAATTACAAACTCAAACGGCGATTTGGTAAGACTGAATTTATTATATGTTTTAGGTAGGATTAATGAGACTATTGAATTATTAGGGTTGACACACTTCGTTAGTGATTTGGAAAGGACAGTTTATGCAGCCCATAATAATATCAAAAATTGTATTATATCGAAGGCTGGTGGGTTGTTAGTGTGCCTTATAAGATGTAGACCGAAGTGTTCTGAACTCTATGCAAATATCGCAGCACTTGTTGTGTCGGAGCTATTGAATAGGAATGGTGTCATTGTTGATCTCTGTACGTTTGTGAAACCCAATGGACCAGGGTCATATGTAGTTGATGGTGAATGGAAGAAAAACCGTTCATTAATTATGAATCATTGGTTCAGTCAGAAATTACTTGTAGAGACGCAATTCGGTGTCAATTATGGTGAAAATATATCTATGTACCTATTATCTGATTTCAACAAGGATACCGTTAACTAGATTTACGTATTTATATAACAATAATACAAAGACAATCAATTATTATGAGTTTTAAACTTCAATAGTTACTATGTTATAACGAAGTATGTATTTTATTTATTATGAATTATTAAAAATGTTTGTTCTTTAAACTATTTTTTTAGTCTATTCAAAGACTTTGTCCGTTTTGAATTAAAATCGATATGCATGCATCACAAATAAATGATGACTTGTGGATGGGAAAATATTAAACATTCCAGTGAGACAAATATAAGCCACTATTAAATCCACAAGTTGGTGACAATTAAAAGGAGAGAAAAAAACAGAGAAATGCGAAATTAATAAAGAAAAAACACAATGATGAAAATTGGAATATATGGACTTAATATTGTAACTGATTTTAAATGTCAAGTTTGCTATTTTTATTTTATTTTTTGTTCATTAGTTCAGCTTACTTCTTCAAGTAGACCTTCAAGTAATAAGTGACAACGAATGGAAGACTGATTACCAACAATGGATATTGTAACATAAGGAAGAAAGCAGTACATTCCATTTGAATTGGATCCTCACAATCAAGAGGGGTATAACTTGCTGTGAAATAAATCAAAGTAGTCATTGTTGGTAGGGCCCAATTGATAGTCATAACAAACAGTAACATTTCATCCTTTTCTCTGTCTAACCAACCTGCTTTAACTAGACGATCGGCCCATAAGACACCAAAAATAGGCATAATACATTGCTTTAGGAACACCAATAAGACGGCAGATTTCCAGAAACCTGGATATAATTTCTGAATCTTTAATCTACCTAGAGTCGCACCTAACAAGATTAAACCGAAAGGAACAGAGGCGGCACCGACGTAACTTGTGAAATCCATGAAAAAACTTAAAGCTGGTTGCTCATCTGGAGCTTGTTTAATATGTGGGGTGTTATTAGATGTAACAAACAAAGCCTTAACCCATGGAATGAAAGCGATTGTTAGAGCAACAATGACAGCCATGGAACAAGGTCTCAAACAATTCTTTAAGAAGAAGACGATGAATGGAGTCAATGGGAACTTTTGGATGCACTTTGGTAACGAACTACCAGATTCTTCAATATCTTTCTTACTAACGGTAGCATCAGATGTTAAAATCTTTGTCAAATTTGAGGATTTAATTCTTTGTAGACTTGATGTGTGAGAAGCTTGATCGTTAGAAGGATCTTCATTTTGTAAAGCAACGACGGAGGCTCTTCTTTGACCGTATTGATCAACATTAGAATATTCTCTAACGATATCATTCATATCTTCAGCTGGAAAATCACGTTTATCCAAAGAACGAACCGGAGTCAAAGCCAGTTCAGAGTTCAAACTGTATTGACTGTAAGTTTGACGTCTGCCTAAAGAACCATTATCTTCTTCGGTGAAAGCGACCGGTTGACTCATAGTACGTCTAGCAGCAGGGATACCTAATTCACGGTTATAATCGCCAGCTGATCCATGAGAGTCAACAGATGTGGCAATAGATGATTGAACAGATTGTAAATCGTTATTGTTACCTGAGGCCATTGGCATATCACCAAGATCTTCAGTAGTTGAATTTTCCAAATTTTGATTAAATGAAGATGAGGAATTACCTGCACCCAATTTAGTTACCATATTTTTTTCTTGATCGTGATTAAGTTCAGATGGTGTCTCAGAACTACTGTTGAAACCATTTTTTTCGCCATTTACTACAGAGTGAGATTTCCCACTCAAAGAAGAAGAACTTGAAGACATATCATTATTATTACTGGCTTGAAATTCACCTTCTTCAGGGATGGAAGCCAATGGAGAGGCTATCGATGATCTTTCGCTATCTCTAACACCACTCTCTTCATCTTTATAATTGAAATCATTTTCAATAAGACGGAACCCACCTAGATTAAAGACACAGAATAAGAACATTGCCAGGAAGATAATAACATTAGCAACACCTTTATTACCTTCTTCTGTAGTAAACATACCACTTTGATCCAAAGTTTGTAAATAAGCGATCGGTAAATCACTAATATTTGGGAACATACCACCTGCTAAGATACCACCACCCCAAGCTTTTGGAACTGGTAAAGTTTTCTTGATGATATAAGCACATCCTAAACCTGTAGCAAAAATTAGAATTGAAGTTAAACAAATAATACCGACGAATTTAATATCTTGATCTTCAATATTACCAACAATCTTGTTAAATGACAGAGAAGGTAGTAACACAGTAAGGACGATATCCGAAATACTTCTAGTGGCATCTGCTGTTAAGATACCCATTTTACATAGACCGAAACCAACACCAATAATCAAGTAGATCTTGATGATAGGTTTAACAGCGATCCAAATGACCTGACCCAAAGTTTCATGCATGATTCAGGGATTTGTTATTTGTTATTTGTTAATTTATTGTTTTTATATTTTATATCTCTTCCTTTTCTTTAATGTTGTATTAGTTAATGCACAAGGGATGATATAATTTCAGTATTTTTTTTTTTTTAAAAAAATATATATATATAAAATTTCAATATGCTCGATTTTTAATGAAATTAGAAAATTATAATAATTATAATAAGTAAAATAATTTTTTTGAATCGTTTATATTTTCAATGATGTAATATTAATATATATATATTGTTACTGTTTTATATTAAAATTAAATAAAATTAATAAAATAAGGAGATGAGGGAAATACAATAGAAAATATGAAACTTCGTGAAAAATTAAAATTAAATGAAAAATAATAGTTTATATATATACAAGAAATTATATAATAAGGAACCTGTAATAAAGTATATTATGTTTGAACAATCTTAATATAAACGCGTCTTAAGGATCGCGCTAATCCGGGGCTATAACATCAACGATTGTATCTGTAAGTATCTTAATTTTGACAATCAAAAGTCTTATTCGATTGTTTATTGGATCAGACCTCAATTCACCATTCATTGTAAGAATACCAAGAAAAGGTTTACATTATTCTTTAGAAGCGATACGATACATACCTTATTATGTAGATGATAAAATTGTACCCATATTCGAGTAATGGTAATATTACGTCTTATAACGTAGACGAGGAAAGTTATTATTACTAGACAGTCATCGAGAGGGAATTAAAAATTTAGTTAACCGAACAACGAAACAAGTTAATATTAAAGATGAAGATGCGACAACGGTCTTCTTAGAAGTCTATCTATCAATATCAATATCAATTAATTGGAACATCTGTTAATCTCTTTCTATTCCTAATTCAGTTAGTTATCTTCTAACTATATTACGAATCAAAAGGGTTGTATAAATAAAAATAGTTAGAGAACGTATTTTATCTCTGTAATAGCCGTAGCAATGCTAATGTAATATGCGTATGTCATCATTAGTATCGTCATCACCAGTCCTTGTAGTCTCTTTTACGATTGCATTTCCCATTCAACGACAGATGGTTCGAAATGAAGGATGTGGCGTGGGGGTTTTCAAAGAGAGAGAGAAGGCGGTGTCGATGCGATGATATTTTGGGAAGAGTGGGATATTTGCAATCCTTTTAATTTTTTTTTGCTTGGACTAAATGAGAAAGCGTGGGGGAAACAGGCACAATAATATCAAAAATCATTTTTTTAAGCGTGACTGAAACGTGGGGGGAGAACATAATTAAAAGAGATAATATTGAACGAGAAGTAAGTATGAGAGGCGTAAAGTGGGATTTTCTAATTTGTTAAGAAACCCACAAAATTTCTTTTCCAGCTGAAAAAAATAAAATAGATAAGGCAAACCCTAGGTTTTGGCGGAATTCATCTCATGTATACAGGGGAGAACAAGGGTCTACCATCCTGTTAAATCATTAAAAAGAAAAAGTGATCCCTGCTCCTTTTTTGTTTCTATTTGGCTGTGTCTCTTATTGCAGCAAAGGTAGTGTTCCGGGCTTCCGGACAACAGGAACACCCTAATGGCGTGCTACATAACAAAAGAACGTAGGATCGCCATTCGATTCTCATAGGTCAATTAACAATAGACAATTTTTTGACGTGGGATAAACAATAGTTACCAAGAGAAAAGAAGAGACCAAAACTGACATCTGAATTTCTTGTTTGTTTTGACAGTAAATCATAGATTTTTTTGTCGACAACCAGGGAGTAAAAACAGAAAAGCAAAAACAGGGAGTTGTAAGACCGCTCATCTTGAGCAGTATCAAATGGCTACCGGGGTAGCGGCTAGATACGCTACCCCAGAGAAATTACTTTTATTACAGATAATGATGTACACGCCACTATCGGGGTTAACCCTGTTTGCATTTTACGTATGAACTTTCTTTTAAATATGCAAAAAAACGATTTAGTCATCTCTCGTCTCTGCAGGTAGAAAATGTACTGCTATTTCAGAGAGTTGATTTACTTATTTCCGTCTTTACGGAGAAGCTGAAATATATGCAGGGCGTATTATGCGATCAATAAAAAAATAAAACTGTTTGCATTAGACGTACAATTTGTACATCTTGTGTAATTCATTATTACTTCATTCAATTAGGTGTCTTGTAGATTGTTTAATTAATATTATTTTTAACGTAAATCAATCGTTTTATTTACCCCTGGATTTATTACATAATTGTAGTACCGTCACTTTTTTATTTATATTTTTATTTTTGTTTTGAGAAGATCGTGTTCGCATTTGCCAATCATACTACCTTTTCGTTTATTTCTGTCAATATCGGTAATAAAACATTTACAAATAATGTCCTTGTTTCATTATAATTGCTCTATTTGAATTATCGTTTGTTATGATAGTGCACCTTTGTTGCAATGACGACAAGAATGGAAGGAGGAGGAGGAGGAGGAGGGGGTTGTGCAACGCCCTCCTTTCACCCCTCTTTTTCCAGGTGTAGTTCAAATATTGTTATATCCGTTTCTTCCATCTTTTCAAATGGCGCTCTCATCCTATTTTGGTTACAGCCGGATCCGACCCTTCTGCCACTTAAGATAGGAATATAACCGCCATGAAATGTTTTAAAGGTCATGTGACTAAATGCTTCGTGTAAAACGATATGGCACGTGATTTTGAAAGTTTTTTTTTGTTATTTTGGGAAATTCAATACTTTTCCTATTATGGTAGAATTGTAAACAGAAAACAAAGCGAAAACAAAAGCAAAAAACTAATAATTTATTACTGAACAATTGACATGATTTTTGTTAACAATGCTGGAGTTCATTGATTTGATGGACGTTCTAGGAAACGTAATTACATTGTAATGAACAAGATCATAATAATTATTATTATTATTATTAGTTGAGCCCTCTCTTTTTTTTTTTAAGTTTCTTGATAAAATATATAGTTTATATTGATCTTTGATCTATATTGAATTACCAGTAGAATTGTACAACAGATAGGACTTCAAGGATCATTAATTACAACTTGTACATAATATATTCCTATTTTTAATATATTTTATATTTGGATATCTAACTCATTATAATTGACTAATCTATCTAAGTATATAACATCTCAACATGCGCAGAAGTATATTTCTAGATAATACAATTGAATTTTTAAAGGGAAGAGTATACCTTGGAGCATACGATTTCACTCCAGATGACACAGACGAAATAGTATTTTTCACTGTCGAGGATTCAATCTTCTATAATAGTTTTCATTTAGATTTCGGTCCCTTAAATATTGGTCATTTATACAGATTTGCTGTTATTTTCCACGAAATATTAAACAATCCTGAAAATTCAAATAAAGCTGTGGTCTTTTATTCATCTGCATCTTCAAGACAAAGAGCAAATGCTGCATGTATGTTATGTTGTTACATGGTATTAGTACAAGGTTGGACCCCTCATCAAGTACTTCAACCTTTGGCTCAAGTGGATCCACCATTTATGCCGTTTAGAGATGCTGGATATTCGAATGCTGATTTTGAAATTAGTATACAAGATGTAGCCTACGGTGTATGGCGTGCAAAGGAGAAAGGTCTCATAGACTTGCATTCGTTTAACTTAGAGACTTATGAAAAATATGAACATGTTGAAAATGGTGATTTTAATGTATTGACACCGGATTTTATTGCATTTGCATCTCCACAAGAAGATATGAGACTTAATGGAAGCTTTAAATCTCGATCACATTTAAATCAACCGTTTCGTAGTGTGTTAAAATTCTTCTCTGAAAATGATGTTCAATTAGTTGTTAGATTAAATTCTCATCTTTATAATAAACAACATTTTGAAAATTCTGGCATTCAACATATTGATATGATCTTTGAAGATGGTACTTGTCCAGATTTATCAATCGTACAAAACTTTATCGGGGCAGCTGATACCATTATTAGACGCGGTGGGAAGATTGCTGTTCATTGTAAAGCAGGTCTAGGGAGAACAGGGTGCCTTATCGGCGCTCATCTGATACATACTTATGGCTTCACAGCGAATGAATGTATTGGATTCTTAAGATTTATTAGACCCGGGATGGTGGTGGGACCACAACAGCATTGGCTATATTTACATCAAAACGAATTCAGAGAATGGAAATATACTATGCGTGTTGCATTAGAATCAAGCGAATTAATTGGAGATTTATACCCATTAATTACTAATGATGATTATAAGATTCAAAAGAAAAGATTAAGAGATGCAACTACTACCGCAGCATCAGCATCTCTGACCAGAGAAAATGGAAGAAAAGGCTCAAATAACCTGGAATCTAATCTCCGAGACTTAAATATGACTCCACAGAAACCTTCGATGTCATCCACTACAAGAAACTCAGCAATATATAGTAACCAAAAGAACAATATGGCCACTTCCACCGGTAATAACAATATCGCTTCGCAGATGGACTACGCACGTAAAGCTGTACCTCAAAATTCTCCTGGACAGCCAAGAAAAGGACAAAATGGTACTAACACTATCGAAGATATCAAAACTAATAAAACACGGTCAAATAATGAAAATGAAATTGATATGAATGAGAACGATGAAATTATAGATACAATCGATGGTGATACAAACATGCTCACAGATAATAATTCTGACGAAGAAGATATTAATAGCAAACCTGTCTCAATTACAAATATTTCAAGAAGAGCACAAAAAATACAACAAAGTAACCAAGATGACGCTGCTGAGGAGGAGGATGATGCAATGTTAAAACAATTGTTGCCAAAAAACAGGCGCACGACTTCCGGAAGAAGAACACCAAGCTCTGCAGGAGGCATAAGGAAGATTAGCGGTACCACTAAGAAATAAAACATTGCCCTAAAATAGACTCATTTTATATATATACGTAATTACCCAAAGAAATAAACAAATAAATAGAAAACGAAGTTATAATATTTTCTATACGAACAACGTTTATCACTAATGTTCGTAAAATTATCTTGATATTATTACAATTATTCTCTTTGATGCATACTGACTATTACACATTATTTTATTTATTTTATAAATGTAACACTCTATAAATATTATTCATATATGATATCTTTTTCTTCTTCTTAAGATGTAACTGAACTAATGCTATACATTGATAAAAACACAGACAAATATTTTTGTTCTAATGAGAAACTAGTAAGAACGACCAAACATAGTGTAGTTGATAGCCTTACGGTCACATCTGACACACTTTTGACCTTCCTTTAATTCTGGTTGTTCGAATGGAATACATAGAGACTTAGCACCCATAGATGGAGACTTGTCATCTGTTTCAAATTCTTCACCATCATCTTGTTTTGCTGAAGAGTCCTTGATATCTTCTTCACAATCCATAACACCACACCATGGTGACAAAAGAATGTTCTTCTTGTTTAAGTTTGGAACAAAGTCCTTCCATTCGTCAACAATTACCCTGTGGGTATCAAATAGTTCCTTAGCTTTACTGAATAAGTCATTATGCATTTCATCTAGAATTTCTGGAATACGAGTTTCAAGTTCGTCCAATTTAACAGTGTACTTACGAGAATCGTTTCTACGGACAACAACAACTTGCTTGTTTTCTAGATCCTTTGGACCCATTTCAATACGGATTGGAATACCCTTTAGCTCATATTGGGAGAACTTCCAACCTGGTGTGTAGTTATCGTTGTAATCACCGAATGCTCTAATACCAGACTTCTTCAAACGAGATTCAATGTCCTTAGCGGATTCATGGATCAATGAACGTTGTTCATCGGTAGTCTTCTTAGTGATACCGACTGGGATAACAACGGCTTGAAATTGAGAGACACGTGGTGGGATCACTAGACCCTTATTGTCAGAGTGGATCATAACCATAACACCAATAGTACGGGTAGATAGACCCCAAGAGTTTTGGTAAGCAAAAATCTTTGGATGTTCAGCCCCAAGTGGGTTTTCGACTGACAAGTTAAACATCTTGGAGAAGTTTTGACCCAAATGATGGGAAGTACCACCTTGAATACCACGACCAGTTTGTGGAATGTAACCTTCGACGGTAGTTGTGAAGTCACCACCAGCAAATTTTTCCTTTTCGGTTTTCTTACCCTTGATGACTGGGACAGCTAATAATTCTTCATAAACACCAGCATAATAATCCAAGATTTGCAGAACTTCTTCTTGAGCTTCAGCAGATTCTAAGAAAGCAGTGTGACCTTCTTGCCACAAGAATTCTCTAGTTCTTAGGAAAGGTTGTGGGTGCTTGAATTCCCATCTAACGACAGAATTCCATTGGTTCAACTTCAATGGAAGATCTCTGTAAGATTGGACCCATTTGGCGTAGTATGGATACATTACGGTTTCAGAAGTTGGTCTGATAGCAATTGGTTCGTCCAATTCAGAGGAACCAGCTCTTGTGACCCAAGCGACTTCTGGAGCAAAACCTTCGACATGATCTTTTTCCTTCTCTAGGACACGAGAAGAGACAAACATTGGGAAATAAGCATTCTGGACACCAAGCGCCTTAATCTTTTCGTCAAAGTATTTTTGAATTTGTTCCCAGATGGCATACGATGGTGGTCTTAGAATATAACAACCAGAGACATCGTAGTAATCCAACATTTCACCCTTGGTTAGGACCTGTTGGTACCAGCCTGGGAAGTCCTTTGCCTTATCGACGGTAATACCGATCAACTTGGCATCGTCCAAGGCTGCATTTGATGGTTGTGCAGTCTTCTTGGCGTCCTTGGTCTTCTTTGGTGGAGGGTCCTTAGCAACTTCTTTGGAGAAATCAACGACCTTCTTGGAGTAAGTAGATAAAAACTTGAATAACTCCGCCTTGGTGATAAATAGATCATCATTTAATTGTAAAACAGCGGAGTCATCAGTAGATTCCAATTCTTGGTCAATCAACAATGTAAATTCAGAAGTAGCATTTGGTAAGTAAGCTAAAGTGAAACCTCTAGCAGATTCACAACTGAAGAAGGATTTCATTAGATCATCACGAGCTAATCTAGGGTCTTTGGCGACGGCCTCTTGGGCAATCAAACCGGAAGATGTAGTGGTAGTATGTAATGCAACAACAACAATGGGAACTGGTGTAGCAGTCTTGGCAGTCTTTGGTTTGAAAACCAAAGACTTGGTGGCGATAGCGCCAGCTGGCTTATCAGCCAGACACAGCTTAGAGAAGTCTTCAACAACAGACATATCTGGATGTGTATGTTTCTAGGTTATTATTTAATGGAACTTTTGATTCTGCTATTTCTATTAGAATTTCCGGGAAAACAATATGAAATCTCACTAAAAATTTTGTTAATTTTAACAAAATCCAAGGTCAATAAAGTTACAACCGACTCAGTTGGAAATTCCAATCATCACAAACCCTACTTGCTCAAACTGCATGATCTTGAGCATCTGCGGTCAGTACTTTCTTCCGATGAGATAGTCAAAATTCGCTCTGTTGTGAGCTCGAAATTTTTACTTTGTCAGTGCGTTTATCATTGTGCACGGGTGAAAAATTTTCTGGTAGTTCAGTGTCTCGCTTATCTCATTGCGATGAGTCAAGTAAACCAGCAAGAAAACGAACCAGAGGGAGCCTGTTCCTCTCTGATTTGTTATTGTTACTGATTGCTTGCTGCCCTCGAAAGTTCGTGGGGTTTATTGTTGCTGTAGCTGTTGTCGTTTGATGTGTCACCGTTGTGTGTCCTGTAACGCTATCCTGATATATTAAATATAATTGGGTTGTTGATCAGCACAGTTTATTGGGCTTGAATGCATTAACGTATCTATTCTTGGACGTAACTTATATAGGAACCCCGATACTACCAAGAAAGTACACTCATCATGTCTCTATACATTAACGATGCTACTGGTGTAGACGAATTGACTCGCACCGGTTCCAAAGAACAAACCTACAAGACCCCAGCTTATGCTTTATTTGCTGCCCAACAACAAGATGCTACTGCCCCTGAACCAAAACTATATGTATTCAAGACTGAAGAAAACGATTATTTAGAGATCTCTGCTTCTGCTTTAAAGAAGGCTCGTAAAGGTTGTGACGGTTTGAAGAAGAAGGCCATTAAGCAAAAGGAACAAGCAGCTAAACAAGAAGAACAAGCTGCTGCCGCCGCTGCTAAGCAAATGGCAAACTTGCACATTACTATCGAAGAAGACAAATCTTTACCAGCTGCTTTAAAATGTAAGATTAACCAAGCTTACGACCATGTTGGTGAAAGAGTTAAAGTTTCCGGCTGGATTCACAGATTACGTTCTAATAAGAAGGTTGTATTTGTCGTCCTAAGAGATGGTTCCGGTTACATTCAATGTGTCTTGACCGGTAACTTGGCTTTGGCCCAACAAACTCTAGATTTGACCTTAGAATCTACTGTTACCCTATACGGTTCCATCAAGAAGGTCCCTGAAGGTAAGAGTGCCCCAGGTGGTGTTGAATTAGATGTCGACTACTACGAAGTTGTTGGTCTAGCCCCATCCGGTGATGAATCCTTCTCCAACAAGATCACTGAAGATGCTGACCCATCCATTCTATTGGACCAACGTCATTTGGCCCTAAGAGGTGAAACACTATCCGGTGTTATGAAGGTCCGTGCTGCTCTATTGGGCGCTGTCAGACGTGTCTACAGAGAAGAAAACTTGACCGAAGTTACTCCACCATGTATGGTCCAAACTCAAGTCGAAGGTGGTTCTACTCTATTTAAACTAGATTACTACGGTGAAGAAGCGTTCTTAACTCAAAGTTCTCAATTATACTTGGAAACTTGTCTACCTTCTCTAGGTGATGTCTACTGTATGCAAGAATCTTTCAGAGCTGAAAAGTCCCACACTAGAAGACATTTGTCTGAATACACTCACATTGAAGCCGAATTAGCTTTCCTAACATTTGACGACTTGCTGCAACATATCGAAACTTTGATTGTCAAATCCATCCAATACGTCCTAGAAGACCCAGTTGCTGGCCCAATCATCAAGGAATTGAACCCAGACTTTGTTGCTCCAAAGGCTCCATTCATGAGACTAGAATACAAGGATGCCATTGAATGGTTAAAGGAACACCAAATCTTGAACGAAGAAGGTAAGGAATTCCAATTTGGTGACGATATTGCCGAAGCTGCTGAAAGAAAGATGACTGACACCATTGGTGTTCCAATCCTCCTAACCAAGTTCCCAGTAGAAATCAAGTCCTTCTACATGCCTCGTTGTAAGGATGACCCAAGAGTCACCGAATCTGTTGATGTTCTAATGCCAACTGTTGGTGAAATCACTGGTGGTTCTATGAGAATCGCCAACCTAGATGAATTGATGGCCGGTTTCAAGCGTGAAGGTATCGATCCAAAGCCATACTACTGGTTCATTGATCAAAGAAAATACGGTACCTGTCCACACGGTGGTTACGGTATTGGTACTGAGCGTATTTTAGCTTGGTTATGTAACAGATACACCGTCAGAGATTGTTCTCTATACCCACGTTTCAGCGGTAGATGTAAGCCATAAGCAAGGTAGTAACATATCACAATACAATTTATTTACACATATATAGATTATATACTTGAAATGATGCCTTCTAACCCAAATATTGCAGGTTATGGAAACCCCTGATTACGGTTTTAATATTTGAAATGATATTTGGTTTTATGATTCACTGTAACAAAATTTAAGAGAAACTGCGTGACTCTGACAAATCTCGCCGTTGAAAAATACTGAAAAATTTGGATGCATCGCTTAACTTCGATAATCCTGAAAACTTATTATATAAGTTGATAAGTAAAGATTTTGTAAAAGAACTAATAAAAAGGTCAACATGGAATTTTGAAAATTTAACATCCAGTCTTAACTTTAGCGACCATAAGTAATAAAATAACAATTACAATAAAAGAAATGTCAAACGATCAAGGCACACAAAAGTTATGGGGTGGTAGATTTACTGGGGAAACTGACCCACTAATGCATCTTTACAATGCCTCCTTACCATATGATTACAAAATGTACAAAGCCGATTTAGAAGGTACCAAAGTTTACACTGCTGGTTTGCAAAAGCTGGATTTATTGACCCCAGATGAATTGTCCAAGATCCATCATGGTCTTGATGAAATTAAGAAGGAATGGGACAGTGACTCCTTTGTCCGTCACCCAAACGACGAAGATATCCACACTGCAAATGAAAGACGTCTTGGTGAAATCATCGGTCGTGATATTGCCGGTAAAGTTCATACTGGTAGATCCCGTAACGATCAATGTGTCACTGACTTGAGAATATTCTGCCGTGACACCCTAAATGAGAAATTATTACCAGCTTTGATAGACCTAATTAAAGTTTTAATCAAAAGGTCCAGAGACGAAATTGATATTTTGATGCCAGGTTACACTCACTTACAAAGAGCCCAACCAATTAGGTGGTCTCACTGGCTAAGTTCTTACGCTACTTATTTCACCGAGGACTACAAGAGATTATTGCAAATCCAAGATAGATTGAACGTTTCCCCATTAGGTGCTGGTGCCTTAGCCGGCCACCCATACGGTATCGATAGAGAATTCTTAGCTGAAGGGTTGGGCTTCAATGGTGTTATTGGTAACTCCTTAGTTGCCGTTTCCGACAGAGACTTTGTTGTCGAACTTATGTTCTGGGGTACCCTTTTCATGAACCACATCTCTCGTTTTGCTGAGGATTTGGTCATTTACTCTACCGCCGAATTTGGTTTCATAAAACTAAGTGATGCTTACTCTACTGGTTCTTCATTGATGCCTCAAAAGAAGAATGCCGATTCTCTCGAGCTTTTGAGAGGTAAGTCAGGTAGAGTCTTTGGTGACATGGCAGGTTTCCTAATGAGTTTAAAGGGTATTCCTTCCACATATGACAAGGATATGCAAGAAGACAAAGAATCTCTATTTGATGCTTTAACCACTGTCGAACATTCTATTCTAATTGCTACTGGTGTTGTTTCCACTTTATCAGTTCAAAAAGAAAAGATGGAAGCTGCGTTGACAATGGATATGCTTGCTACTGATTTAGCTGATTACTTGGTAAGGAGAGGTGTTCCATTTAGAGAAACTCATCACATTTCTGGTGAATGTGTAGCTCAGGCTGAAAGATTGAAATTGTCTGGTATTGACAAATTATCTCTAGAACAATACAAGAAAATTGATTCTAGATTTGAAGCCGACTTGTTTGAAACTTTCAACTTCGAACAAAGTGTCGAAAGAAGAGATGCCACCGGTGGTACTGCCAAGTCTGCTATTTTCAAACAATTAGATAACCTTGAATCACAAATTTAATAGATTAGTATACCTTCTTTTTGTACTACAAACTAATTACCTTATGTAACGTATATATTAAACAGAAAAACAAACAAATACAAAGCCTAAAATAGAAGAACTGACGGTTTTAACGGTATGGGATAAAAAATCTAATGAAACATAATCCATTTTTCTTTTATGAATTTCCTTGTAAATTCAAAAGACGATGTGACAGAGATCTGAAATTTTATCAATAATTGCGCAAAAGGTAAAGATGATAAGTAACTAAATTTACCAAGGTAATAAGTTTGATATTTGCCCCCACATGTACACACATGTTCGACAAATCTTTGTAATAAGTGACCATTATGCCTCATTATCATCTTGTAGATAGGTGCATGCAAACCAGAAGATATATCATTTCCTGTTAAACGCATATGTTTATAATTAGATAATTGTCCTCTCACTTGGAATAATCCAAGATTTACCATAGAAACGCTTAATGATTTATAATTTTGTAAAGCATTAAAAATAGATGTGATAAATCCAGATATAAACAATTCAGTTGCATGATGAGCGGTCCCCAAATTATAAGTTAATTTAGGGTTGAACAATATTATTTGGGTATTCGAATTAGGTAAATGAGGTATCAATTTAATTAACGTACTGTAATAGGTTAGAATATTTGTTTTCAATTCGTGCTGCATATTTTCCACAGACAATTCACCAGTGGGTTGATAAGATAGATTTGGCATAAAGAGTATGGATGCTAATTTCCTAGGTGGGTCACTTACTTGGGTGATGAATTCTGTAAAAAAAGTCAGATCACCAGGTGATGCAGGATTAATTGGATGGATAAAGTCTGTTTCTTCCTCGAACTGTTTGAAATTAGAAGAGTTTTCAGAACAAACAAATATAATGAATCTTCTTCTATAAAGGTCCATAACTTGTGATCTAATTATTGGATCACTCATATCGCCCAATACTAACACGCACAGATTCTCATTTTGAGGGATGTGATCTGGTAAAGTCAGCAATTTGTTCCATTTCCATATAATTAATAATGCAGTCGCGGAGATACTCAATCCATACATCCAATTTTCTTTTATTGGTTCTACTGAATTTATACCAGGGAACATTCCAGAAAAGATCCCCTTAGTTGTTGTAACCGTCTCTGGTTGAAACACATCCACTTCTGATGAGTCCAAGATTTTATCCTTAATAGTTCCTATTGAATTTATTACTGAATGTGTTGTGTTATCAGCTATATCAATACTCTTTCTCGCTAATTTGAAGCTTGCATTGAACAATTTCTCCACAAAATCCTGATCTGAAGACATCACTAGTGTTAGATGTAGGGCGGCCAAAAAAACGAATCTTTAAGAAGATAATAATTAATATATATCTGATTGTACGAAGTTAAAAATTATTGCAGCTGCAGTTAGCTGCTACTAGTTTCTTAGTTCTTGCTTTATATTGAACGTGTCTGTTTGTTGTTGTCATCTCGTTGAGTTCACATAACACAACTAAAATTCCATCTCTTCCCCCGGGCCCTTTACGAATGACGAAAGCGCAGATAAATTTCGGACGGAGTAACTGAATGAAGAACTGTCAAGGCAATTTAACGCTACTCCTGAATTTAAGATTATATAAATGAAACAAAGGAACAATCGCAACGAATTGATCTTCACAAATCATATACATAGACATTGTTCCATTACCAAGATTTGTTAGCCAATATTTACCAAAAGAAAATATTAATTTATTCTTTTTATTAGTATTATTATTATTATTATTATGCCGTTTCCATTCGGTCTGAACAACCCCCTACCTAGGGATCTCGATAACGAAGCAAAGTATGCACATACTGTCTCTATTTTTATTCTAGTGATAGAATCTTAATGTATCCTCATTTTAAATTATTTTACTAACATACCCCCAAACCGACAATCTAATGGTTAGTATTATAGAAAAGCGGCAAACGTCTTAAAGAGCTTTGTAAAACCAAACCAGGTATTAGGTGAGGATCAAATCATTCCTCCTAAAGTACTTCAAAATGCTAAGGGGTTAGCAATTATAACTGTCCTTAAAGCAGGATTCTTATTTTCTGGAAGAGCTGGATCTGGTGTCATAGTGGCAAGACAAGGCGGGGGCTATTGGTCAGCTCCCTCTGCAATTGCGCTTGCAGGTGCAGGTGCAGGTGGGATGGTTGGTGTTGAACTGACGGATTTTGTTTTCATATTAAACACTGAAGAAGCAGTTCAATCTTTTTCGCAGTTTGGAACAATCACACTAGGTGGTAATATGTCTGTATCGGCTGGTCCTTTAGGAAGAAATGCAGAGTATGATGCATCTGCATCTACAGGTGGAATATCCACTGTATACTCTTATTCAAAGAGTAAAGGTCTTTTTGCAGGTATCTCTGTGGAAGGATCTGCTATTATTGAGAGACGTGAAACGAATAGAAAAATGTATGGTGACAACTGCACCACTAAATTAATTTTAACTGGTAGGGTAGATCCACCGTTCGAATATGACGCACTATATAGCATATTGGATTCAAGAGCATTCAACCCAGAAGCTAAAATGAACGAGGGGAACGACTTTTATGATGATATACCTGACGATTTTGATTGCGCAGAAGTTAAAAATAATAAAAGTAGATCAAATTTGAAAGATCATTTTGTTGTTGATAAGAGCATTGAAGATGGAATAACTTCAGATTTGAAATTTAATGATAATCAAGATGAAAACTCAACCATTCTAAACAATTCAACTACGAAAAAGATTAAAGTTCTTGCATTATATGATTTTGATGGAGTGGAGAAGACAGATCTACCTTTTAAGAAAGGTAATGTCATAGAGGTTATAAAAAGGACAAAAAACCAAGAGGATTGGTGGTATGGAACAGTTAATGGAAAAGTAGGAAATTTTCCAGCAAACTATTGTTCCATTCAGGAATAAATGGTCAATATATACTTTAAAAATAACAACATTATAATGTGACATTTGTTTACCGCAGTATAATATATTTACTTTATATTAATTTTAGAAGTTTAGCAAAACGATACTATATTTAAAAGCTTTTTAAGTAATACATAGATATTTTTTTTGCAAACTGAAGAGAATGATGCATTGGGTAAAAACAATTTCATGTTGACTACATAGTATACTCAGGATCATTTAGAAAGCCCAGGCTTTTTAGGGCTTCTGTTATTTGTTTGTGTAATATATCTTCGTATTGGATGTTTGTCTTTAGTACTGACATGAACTCTTGTAGTGCATGAATATTGTTACACCAAAACACCTGTATAATATAACCTGAAATACTGTTTAAATTTTTGGGGTCATCTACGTTTAAAAGTTGAAGAAACTTCATCGATTTTTTGACTTGCCTGATTAGGTGTTCTTTGACATATATATATTGTGATTTATCTTTAACAGGTTGGGCTTTACGTTCAATCTCAATCCCCGGTGGAACAGAAAATTCTTGAATAGAAACTGTCCTATTTAATGGATTAAAGTTTGTTTTTAAAACTTCTGTGTCTTCCTTAATTTTAGTTCTCTCAAAACTGGCTTCTCTAGAAGTGAAATCTATTTTCAATTTTATATCTGCTATTTCTGCCAAAGAGAGAGGTGTTCTTGCATGAATAATACATCCTCCAACAAGTCTACCGTTTAAGAAGTTAATTATTTTCTTTTGAATATCATCCGTTTTAATTGAAAGTATACCTGAAAAGGTCCCTTGGCTCTGATTATAAACAGTAACTCTAAATTTATTGAAATGAAGCCTTTCTTGAGAACAAAGTCTTGATAAAAATTCCTTTGTGCAAATTGTTCCCATCCCTGACAGAATCACATAGTATTCTGTTTTCAATTTATCAACATTATATCTACGTGGTCTTGCCTTAGTGACACTTATCTGACTTCCTTTAAAACATGAGTTGTTAAGTAATTTAATGGCTTGTTGTGTGTCGCTCAGTTTTTTAAAAGTTAAAAATGCCCATTTACTTGAAAATTTTTCATGACCATCTGAAGTATATACTGATTTGATAGGTCCAACTTTACAGAAGTGTTCCAATAATTCTTCTGATGTCGTTTCCTTTGGGAGATTCTTAATAAAAATGGCATTTGGGTGAACCAAAGGTTTTTCTTCCACATCCTTAACTTGTAAACCATCGTCAGATCCTACAGCGCTAAGTTCGTCTTGCAGGATAATATTTTGGTCGAGATTTAGTTTAGTTTTGTCAAAATCTGGGAAATTTCTTAGTTCCTTATCAAAATGTAAGCCACAAACAATTATCGAACCAAAGTATTCTTTATTATTGTAATCTTCAATAACTTTTGTAGCTGCTTTATCATCAGAGAAATATACAAAACCGATATTCTTCCTGTTATCTAACTTACAAGATAGAATCCGTCCATAGATTTTAAACGTATCGTAGAATTTCCTCGTGGTTAATTCTTCATTGCCAAGTGGAAGATTAGAGAAAAAGACATTAGTTCCAATATTTTTTCTATACAAACTGTTTCTTAATGAAGGCATAATTTTAATTTCATTTCCAAACAAAACGTTATAATTATAATCTTCAGTACATAAATCGACATCTTGTTGGTTTTTAAAATTCAAATACCCATACCCTAATGACTGGTTTGTAGTCGCATCATAGCATATTTTTACAGATGCTAATGACTTAAACTTTCCAAACTCTTTTTTTAAATCATCTTCTGTTACAGAAGGTCCGAGACCACCAATATATAAAGCGATTAACTTAGGTTTTGGCGTAGTTGTGATTTTTAAAGACACTTTTTCCTTGTTTGTTACTTTTTTAGCAAACATGGGCTTTGACTTATTTCTGTGTTCTAGAAGTTGTTTAGTTTTCCATCCTTTCGGAGAATCTGTCATATATGTTGCCATTCCTTCATTTTCTTTGTTTTCAGTAACAATTCCACCTTTTGAAATTTCAAGAGTTTGCTTTCTGTTATTAACTGTGTCAAATTGCTCGAGAGAAATATCGTTTAAAACAACTGACGGTTTTGGTGAATAATGTTTCATTATTTTAATTTCTTAGTAGTGTTTGTTCTTTTGTTTTATATTTTATGGTAGTTCCTTATTAAATCAGTTTGATTTAGTAAAAGTAAAGTTAAAGATTTATACAAGAAAATAAACCACAAAGAACATTAAAAGAAAAGAACTTTTAGTATTTTAAAAGAAAAATATATTGTAATCTTGTTCAATAATTAAATTATATTTGTGGCACATCTATCATTTTGCGTTCTTCTTTTTGCCTTTTCGGTAATTTTCTGTGGAATTTGGAACAACGGTGAAGTGAAAGAAAAGCCGTAGGGCAAAAGAAACTGAGGTTAACAAAAGTAGTTACCCTTTGTTTCCAATATCTTCCATTCAAAGATGTCAGTAAATTGCTAAAACCAATTAATATCAAATAAAGATTTGTTTCAAATCTAACTTATGCTGTAATATATATATATGCTATATCTGTTTATTTTAGTATGTACCAGATTCCTTTCTTGAAAACAAGTCTAGGAAATTAGAAAACGATGACGTCTTTTTATTGAAGCTACCGTTCCTTGATCTATTTATTTTGAATGATTCCACCTGTTGCATATATGGTGAGTCCGGATCTTCTGTACAATTTCTATCAACTGTTGGAAAAGCCGCTTGATCTGATTGAACTGGAGTCATATTAAAGGAAAAGACTTTATTTGCAGTGCTTTTTGGAGTAGAGTTATCCATACCCGGTATCCTTAAGTTTACATCATTAGCTATCATTGCGTGCAATGATGTATTTGAACTGTTATTACTTCTACTTAATACACTAGATGATCTCAAGCGATTACTTGGTACAGCTAAGGAGGAAGAAGACCGTTGACGAGCATTCTGTGGCCTTTCAAGAGATAGTCTCTGAAGTTGTGGTTGTGAGCCAGCTGGATATGTTGGTGGAAGATCATCCCCTGTGATATCTGAATTAAGTGCCTTTGTATAAGAAGGAACTCTACTTAACGAATTCAATTGCCAATCGGAATTTACCGAAGGTGAAGTTGGATAAGTAGAATCGTTATGAAAAGTTGTCTGTCCTGCAACAAAGTCTACGGGAGTAGGTGCTCGACTAATTTGCAACCCGATGCCAGCTAGATTTACACTACTTAGCGTTGGAACTGCAATTGGGCTCTCCAAAGCGAAATTATCATTGACCGGACTTCCTCTAGTGCTACTTCTATTGGAATTAGATCTACTCCCGTTCAATTGAGGTGACATTTGTTCAAACTGGGCCATATGAACAACATTATTTGGCAAGGATCCTACTCTTGGTAAAGGGGTTGTCGTTGGTCGAACCGGACTATTACTTCTTGGTGTGACAGTGCCAGACCCATTTTCGTTGACTGCGTACAATCTATCGTATACATGATTACCATAATTGGGCGGAGTCATCAGATTTGATACAAGGAATGGCGCAACAACATTATTCTGTAGTGTTCCTGCCTGCAGTTCCACCTCTGAATAAGTTTTGGCAAATAATAAGTTTCCTTGTTCGTTATCACTCGCACTACTATTTGAAGAAAGACTGGCTACAGATTCTCTAGTTGAACCAATACCCGTATCCTCATGTTTAGGATTTGTTGGGACTGGTCTACCAAAGTTTTTAATAGTTCTTTCTATTGCTTCATGTGATTTACATGACACAGCCACGAACGGTGATATAAACAATTGAATTGGCAATGATGCACGTAATTCTGAAATATGACCATCTGGATTAATCAAAGATACTACAAATTTTAACTTATGACGTAATTTGATATTACTTAGAATTGAAGCATCTTGTGAACATTTTGAAAGATCCGAAGGTACATTTAATATAGTTTCGAAATTCCATTTATCTTGGAAAGTTTCATCTTCTATTGGTTCGTCCGAAGAAACGAGTTCATTATTTGTTTGTTGTTGTTGTTGTTGTTTCAATTTACGTAACTTAACGTGACCTATTGGATCCTTTATCTTCAATTTTGTGATTACTTTGTCCTCATTAAAATTACCACGATGACCTGCTGAACATTGAACTGTTTCAATCAAATAAATTTTGACAGGTCCTAATTTCAAACCTTTCAACACTGGAACAAAACTCATATATATTGGAGTCGAAGAACCAATGGCAATAGCCTTTGCCGGTATAGATATTGAATATTCTACTTTTTTTGGCCATGAATTATCTATTGCTGTACTTTCTGATAATTCCAATGCATCTGGGGATAAAGTCCTTATGACTCTTAAATGTTTTGTACATACTAAATCTGCCAATTTTGGTCTTTCCACAGTAGCTTGTAATTTATAAACAACAGCTGCATTTTTTAAACCTTCCAAACTTTCTGTCATTGAACCTGGTAAAATTGCGCTGAAAGGGAATTCATAATTTCCTTGCATTAACGTACGATAAGAATTATTATTATTTGTTGAATGTCCACCTAATGAAAGAATCGAACTATTTGATTTACTTCTTAATCTTTTCTTTTGCATACCCACAATATTTGTTGAAGATTTACTATTAATTGAATTTCTCGTACCATAATTATCATAAAGGTTATCAAAATATGATTCCACATTAAAGTTATCCCAATTATGTGTGAAAAACAATTTTTCAAATTTAATAAATCGTTGTAAAGGAGAATCTGGAGTATTTGCAGTGGCAGGCAAATTAAGTAAAAGTTTCCCGGTTAAGTATAATCTTAAATTTTTAATTTGAATTGGTTGTAATACTGATAACACCACTGTTCCTGATAATAAGACAGATGACGAGTTTTCGGGACTACCTTTCACCACCAAGACATTATCAGTATTATCAGTATTTTTTATTCTAATATCGAATAAGATAGGAGTCTTTGAGGATGATTTTGATCCACTAGATAACATAATTTATAGAAATGGGGACTTGAAATGAAGAAAGATGAAAAATGCAAAATATAATAAAAATAAAAATAGAATATGATATGTATGACAGATAAATGTATATTTTAATCAATAGATGTGGATTGAAGTGAAAAAAGAAGCCTAACAATAATGATGATGAGAATGAGATGTCTTATAGCACATATAGAGTTATGTACAGATAATGCAAAATACAATCAAACAGGATGGTATAATATAGTATTTGTGATGCACTTTTGATCTATATTATGTTTAACAGTTGTGAATAGAAACAATGTTAAACTATATATATATATATATATATATCATATGATTTAAAACTACTAATAGGAGTAACTATTAATATTGAACAATCAAAAAAAAAAGGAAGGAATATATTACTTATCAGAGTAATTACTGTAGATAGATAACAATATAGATTAATAGATAGTGTACCTATGTCTTGTCTTTCTCTCGATGAGGGGAGTCGATTCACTTAGCACATCACTAAAATCGATAATATAAATAGAGCAAAGGAAGAAGGAGAACAACTGAAAGAGATGCCCTATTTTGACAAATCCAAATGCGGTAATAGCTGAGGTGCTTTCCGTTCAGCAAGAGAGAATGAGAGATAGAGCATGGGCTAATTAATGAGCTCGCACACGGACTGTCACACACAGAGAGACACAAGGGAGGGAAGCGCCTGGTGCTATACAGTATTTCACTGTTATTATTTCGCAGAGGGGACTGCAAGTTGCTTGTTAACGACCCGCTTTGAGGCCGGAAAAACCCCGTGCGCTAATTAAATCGATATATGAATTTGTCTTGCGAGTGAATTGGGTGGGGTGTGCGGATGGGGATAAGAGATATTGGGAGATAGAATAACTTGATTTCTTGCACTCTTGAGTTCTTTTCTTTTCAAGACATACAGAGACAACTATTCGGCGGAACGAAAGTTGATAATTAGTTCATAGATATCGAGTATAATTCTGGGGTAATATGAGATGAGATAGTGATGATCTATGAGATCAATAGTTTTTAGTGCCTATGAGATTGTGCTTCAGAGAGGAGAGATATGGATGTCGATGTGGATTTGCGTTCGTTTAACGTATTTTGTAATATTATTATTATTTCCATATAATGAAACTTTCCCCACCATCATTCTTTCTTATTATGTCATTTTCAGTAATATGTTCTCCTAACGAACTTTGCACGGAGATAGCAGAGCCTCCTTCATATCCTTAACGTCTAATATTCATATCTTCATATATTGTCTTGATGGATATTTCTTCTGAACCAAACAGTTTTTCCGGAATTCATGTCATGTAGTTCTTTCCTTTTTTCATTTGGCTTTTTCGATTGCCGAGAGATATAAAGGCAATAATAATTCAAGTTACATTATAGCAGACTGCGATAAGTAGACCACCGGCTTAATTGTGGCGAAATTATCTCAACTTTATCTAATATAACTTGAATTGTGTATTAATTATTTTTAGTCGTTTCTTATTGTTATTATGTATGAGTGCACCTGGTATCGGCTGTTACAATAGAATCCGTACTTACTTGAAATTTCACTCTCTTCTCCAGTAATTATTTTTTTAGAGAATACACATATATATTTATGATAATGGATTTAATTGTGCTCTATAATATTTTTATTTTTGATTGTGGGGTAATTGTAATAATTAATTATTACTTGATTGCTATCACTGTTGCCAGAACTTTTTTTTCTTTTTTCAAGTAGAAAAAAGAGCACCTCTCTATTCTTTCTTCTTTTCAACAAGTGGATATTGCGATAATAAAAGACAATCTCCTCCACGTTCTGGATCTAAAACATAATTATAAAGGTATCCCTCCGTAGTGACAACTCGTATAATCATCATAGTTATATGTGTAGGTTCTTGATCTGATTCAGAATTGATCTTATAACTACTTTGGAAAGCACGATTACCATGAATACCTATATTCCCAACCACTGTACCTTCATTCTTTGTTATAGTGGATTTCGTGTCATCAACAGAGAATAATTCAGGATAATCTGCAATGCTGATCTCCATAGTACCACCAATAAATGCTGAACTTCGAACATGTTTATCTATGTCATCATTGATAGGTATCTTAAGACTCGCAAAATGACGCGAAGGTTCAAGGATCGACGTCACTTTATAAGGAAATATTTGTCCCAATGTCTTTGCTGCACGCCTAGTCAAATTTTGAGATGAATTTCTTATCATACGAGCAACAGTCCTTCTCGAGGCATCGACGTATGGTTTCCTTGTTGTAGAATCATCAATATAACTTCCACCACCAGTACCATTGGGACTTTCATCATTATCATCCATGATGGTGGTATCTCCACTGACTCGATCGTTCTCAATTTCTAACGCATTACTACTACCAATTATATTCCCAAGTTTGAAAATATGGACTGTCTTACTTGATGAACATGCCAACAAAAATTGATTATCTTGGCCGAAATTCATCGAAAATATTTTAGTACTATATGTACCTCTTCTAAATTGATAAAGTTTAAAACCAGTAGTGACATTGAATATACGAATAATTGTACCCTTCTCTGAGGCTGTCGCTAAAAATAATCCATCGGGACTTAACGCCAAGGCAGCTATCCCATTTTGATGGGCTTCTATCACCATCGTCGGTTGTAACAAATCCAGATCAAATAATATCACATCACCATTATTTATTGGTCGATCTGAATTATCGACATTATTATTACTGTTATGATTCTCGATATTGACTTCAGGAGTTCGTCGACTACATGATTCATTGCTTTCATTATTCGGATTTTGTTTATACCCAATATTATCATCATCTTCATCTTCATCTTCGTACTCATCATTATCAATAGCAGTCTCAACATTATTACGAACCGCATCTTCAGTTAAGGGGTCACTCAGTTTACTATGTAACATATTAATATTATTGTTAGTCACATTTGGTCGTATCTCTGAATGTATAGCTGTAGCTGTAGATGGGTAAGCTAGAATATTATTATCAAGGTTTGGAGAGAGACTAATAAGGTTAGTTTGATTTGGTTCACGATCAATGACATGTAATAGAGTCATATTATTTATATCATAAATGTATATTTGTAGACTCAATAAGACTACAACTCTGGATTTGTTCATCTTGACAGAAAGAATAGAGGTCGGAAATGTTATCTCACAGATTATCGAATGCTTCTTGATGTTAACTAACCTTAACTTTCTAGGAGATAAATGAGGTGCATCTCCATTTCCTACTAATGCAACTAATGATGTAGAAAAAAGCATCTCTACAATACTGTATCCGCCCATATCTGGTTCACTCTCAGAATAAAATTTCCCAAATGGATCACAATTGAAGATATCATAGCCCTTAGAGGTTCCCAAAGAAATGCATGTCCCTGTTTGATTAAAATCTATACAGTTCACAACTTCATTAAAGGATTCTTTTGTATCCATTACTAACTAAATAATTGTACGTCGGTTAGTGAAAAGTGTGTTATAAGTCTTTTTAATAGTGTGTTTAATGTCTTTGTAGTGCCCAAAATCTTTTATAAATGACTGTTGATGATAACTATTTAGATCATTTTATCAATCGCAAATAGTAGACAAAAATCTTGAATTTCTTAATTATACGCGCGCAAGCAGATAAGTTATCAAGCGTTAAACAGGAAGAGATTTATAACTACAACAGAAAGACAGCCGTTTTAAAATACGTACTTAAATCCAAATTCACACGTTACTATATTAGATTCGAATAGTTGGTCCAATAATATTAGTGAAGCTATTGCATGGTTCAGGATTGTTTCAAAGAAAAACCTTTCATGACTCTTCTACGATTTTGGCAATTGAATCTCCGTTTCAATGTCTAACAAATAGTCTGGAGTTACTTACTACATTTAATACATACTCCTTATCGATGTTGGATATATCAAACTCAATAATATATAAGATATACCTCTGAGGCGCTTTGAAACACCCAACTATCGCATTGATATCCGTATCAAATAAGATAACAGATAATTAACCTTTTATCACATCACTTAAGACTATAAATACATTGAATTTATCTATAGTAACAAGCGAAATAGTTTTAAAGTAAAATCAAACAGTTGAGAACATATATTAATCAAATTAATTATCAAAATGAATATCTGACCTCAATTGGTCAAGTAGATAAATGTAAGTACGTTATTGTGGTAATTCTGTAATCTGCATTGATAAATTTCAAAATATTGTCAGTGACTCAAACATGCAAAATTTGTATTCCAATATACTTCTTTCCTATTCTATTTGCATGGTTATTACCCAGTTCATTATGAATTATGTACTCTCTGGAACGTCTGCTTCATCTTCTCGATGTGTGTTGTCAATGGAACGCGGAAGATACGGAATCTTCGAGGCTTCCGTCTCCATGGGCAATTATTATGTAATCACTTCAATATATTTTTAAATGACTGCAGATAAAAATGTAATCCATTTACCAAAAATTTAAAATTTTGGGGATAACACAATTCCATTATTACGTGATATTTTATGGACACGTACAAACTACATATATTTAATATATTTTCAGGAAACTAAGGTACTTAATTGAGGCAGTTAACTAATTGTTTATTTATTTCATAATGCGAATCAATTAAGTTCTTAAATTCGATTATTTCTAAATTTTCCAGACTCTTGGTTATTATCAGTCTACGAGAGTATCAGTATTTTCAACAACGATGGAATTTGAACACGATTATGAGATTGTTTCTTTTGCGGACACAAATATGTTTAAACCAATTACTATTGGGAACATAACATTGAAACATCGAGTGGTTATGCCCCCCATGGCCAGAATGAGGGCTTCATTCAACGAGTACGTGCCTAATAAGAATTGGGCTGCTATTTACTACGAACAGAGATCAAAAAGAGAAGGAAGTATGATTATTACAGAAGCAGCAACCATTGCTGCAGAGGCTGGGGGTTATGACCATGCACCGGGAATTTGGTCCGAGGCCCAGATTTCTGAATGGAAGAATATTATTCAAAAAATCCACAATAACAAATCTTACGTTTGGATGCAATTAATTAGTCTTGGGAGACAAGCAGGTATTAGTTCGTTATCACGAGACGGGCTCCCTTACGTTTCGGCATCTGATAAATTATATATGTCCGAAAGAGCCAAAAATGATGCTTTGAAGTATAAAAATACGCAACATGGTTTAACTATTGATGAAATTAAAAAATATACTGGCTATTTTGTGACAGCTGCTGAGAATGCAATAAATGCTGGTGCTGATGGTGTAGAAATACATGCAGCTCATGGTTATTTGTTAGGACAATTCCAGGATCCTATTTCTAATGAGAGAACCGATAAATATGGTGGCTCTATTGAAAACAGATCCAGGTTTACTTTAGAGGTTGTTGATGCAGTAACAAAGGCAGTCGGAGCTAAAAGAGTTGGTATTAGATTTTCCCCTTATAACACATATGGGACTATGTCTGGTTCTAAGGATCCAACTTTACTATCAACGTTTTGCTATATAATTGGTGAACTTGAAAAGAGAAGTAGAGAGGGGAATGGATTAGCATATATTCACATGACTGAGCCATTAAAAGATGACAACCCTGTAAAGAAGGACGAAAGTCAATATTTTTCAGACGATGGAGAAGGAAGCAATGACTTTGTGTATTCTATCTGGAAGGGCCCTATAATCAGAACAGGGGAATTGGTAACAAACCCCAGATTATCTATGAAATTATTGGAAGATGATCGTACCTTGACAGGGTACGGAAGATATTTCTTATCGACTCCTGATCTTGTTGATAGATTAGAGAAAGGTATACCGCTAAATAAGTTCAGACATGATTTATTTTATGCTGTGACTGCTGAAGGTTATATAGATTATCCAACGTACGAGGAAGCGATAGCCTTAAATTGGAAATAAGAAAAACAGAGTGACAAGAAAATAAATAATATATAAAGACAGTGAATTATGATCTCACATTCTAAGTTAGATTCTATTCGTTCTATTGATTTTGTATAAATAATAAAAACACTACTTACAAATATAAGAAAAAATAACTGTAGAGAATCTGAGATAGAGTGTTTGCCTCTATTATTCTCTTCAAGCTTTACTTTATTTAATTCGGACATTTATAATACGATAATCGATCGGTCCCTTTTTAATATATAATATATATAAGTTACATATTAAAGAACATTTTATATTTTATTTATAATATGTTAAGAGCTTCCTTTTTATATCATTTTCTTTAAAAGTTTTTCTTTCCTCAATCACACCTTTCATTTTTGTTCTGTCTGATCCTTATCAATACTTGATCCTTATCTGTCAGAAATTAAGAGTAATATGCACAACACTTAATTTCAATAGGTAAAGAACTACCTTTAAGCACAGTTATTATGAAGCGTGTTAAAATATGAAACAAAATATGTGGTAACATGAAACAAAGTTAATCGCATTATGAAACAAAACTTAATTTGAACCTCAATTGAGATTAGAATAAAAAATATATAAAGACAAAGAATTCTGAACTTGCATTCGATGTTAGATTCTATTTGTTCTATAAATTATATATAATATAAAGAGACTGATCAATTATCGTATTAAAAAATGTCCGAATTAAATAAAGTAAAGCTTGAAGAGAATAATAGAGGCAAACACTCTATCTCAGATTCTCTACATTAATTCATCATAATCAATATTTAAAGAGAAATTACCCGGATAATACTATGTTAATTTATTTCTCATCAGTTTTATTGATTTACAAAATTGTCCCAGTGGCCGAGTGGTTAAGGCGATGCCCTGCTATTTCATTGAAACAGCAATTAGGCATTGGGTTTTACCTGCGCAGGTTCGAATCCTGTCTGTGACGATTTATATTTTTTTTAATTCTTTGAAAAAGGTCCCACGAGACTTTCTTTGTAGATATTTTGGATCTTCCTGTTACTGAAGAAAAGGCAATCCGAATAGAAAAAGTAGCAGTAATGGTTAAAATAGGAGCCATCACACCATGGTCTGCTATCCTTTATTTTAACTTCGACAATAAAATTAATATAAAAGTGGTTCAAGGTATAACCATAGATCAAAAAGGAGAAATTAAATCAATTTTATTCAATTGTATTATAAATAGACAGTTTCTGTTGGAATAAGATTTTATAACTAGGATCAAAGTTTACATAATTGACAGTTTTCACATTTTTTTCTTTCATATCCGACCTTTAAGTCTTACGAAACAAATCATCCTCATTTGATCTGAAAGGAACAATGATTATTTTAAAGATAATTGAACAATACTATGAATCCACAGATAGTGATTTGCAATATATGGCTTTGAGAAATGAGTTTACAATAACCGATATAGACAATGATGTATCTCTATTAATGAATAAACTCGTTTTGCCAATCCTTCTACGGGAAACAAATATGGATATTATTAATCTAGTGTGTTACGAATTCCTTCCCCGATTTGTCGAGTGTATCAGAAATAACTACAGTGTTAATAGGGATATCTTTAAGTTTACAGAAAACAAAGTTTTAACTCCAATTGTTACTAATATCAGGGTTGAGAATCGATCCCTAATTTTTCTTCAATGTTTAAAAGTTCTATGTAAAAAAATATATGATTTGATTGACATAACTCAAAAAGAAAAAAATCGTAATGAAAAATTCAATGTACCCTCAATAATATTCAATACCGATTCCACCTTCGTCTTCAGAACTTTAACAAACATCAAAGAAACAAAACTAATTGAAACAGAAAAATATTTATGTTATGAAACATTGAATTATTTATTACCATTATATTTTGATGGTCATACCCATTGCTTACCGAAAGATATACTTATTATGTTACTGAAGGAATATTCTCAAGAAGAATTAATTAACCCGAACACTCAAAATTTACTAGATAATCTCTGTCGTCTTACGAGTCCTATCGAATTGAGTTATGCAGCGGAATATATCGATGATTACGTATTGTTGGAGATGTCAAAGTGTTGGTATAAATTCAATATTTTAGTTGATGAATATTTTGATACAAGATTACTCCCTAAGTTGGAGGTTACCAAAATTGGAAACAAGCCAGATTTTATTAATACATTAAGAATTATTACTAATTTTGAACCGTACTATTCAACAAGGATATTACATATAGCATTACCATATTTGGCTCAGGATAATGTTATACGGTTAATGAAATGTTGTATAAAGTTAGTTAATATTTTAGATATCGCTATCAATGAAAGAAAGCTTGAAAACGATATCTTATCCAAATCGAGTAATCACATAAGTGACGAATACAATGAGGATAACATTTTGGTATCTAATAATGATAATATAGTTTCTTCTAGTAAACCAAAGAGTAAAATCAATAATAATGAAACTAGAGATGACAAATATTTGGAAGAATTATCATTAGCTACAGAAACATATGACTTTGGGAACGACGATGAGGAAGAAGATGTCTTTATGGAAGACGATGATGTGAATGACACAAACAAAAATGTATTAAACGACGTCCATGATAGTGAATCGGCAGATAGTGACAAGCGTATCACAAATGAAGAATTTAGTAATATTGAACAACATGAGAATGAGGACGGAATACAACAAGTTGAATTGATTAAATCTATGATATTATCTATATTAAAAAATTGTGATATATCGTTACAAACAGAAAGATATTTTATGGAGATGGAAGATATCTCATTCTATACAAGTTATAGAAATATGGGATTAACAGCAGATAAGACCGCGATAGTAACGTTATTTAAATTCCATTCAAATGTGAAACAAATTGATTTACAAAAGATTCTTACTGATAATGATTATTATCAATATTTCACAAAGGATGATATCTTTTCTACACTAGATTATAAATCAGCTAGTTCCGTAGACAATTTAACTGATTTACAATTCTGTGTTGATATTATGGAAAAATTAATCCGTGATGACAATTTTGAACTTAATATAAGAGATCAATCAATTCTGTCATTAATTGTCTTACCACATATCAAAAAAAACAAACAATTTGTACGAGTATTAAAAGTTGGGAATATGAAACAAAAAGTAGATAATGGTCTAGCTACCCGTACTTCTATTTATTCAATTCTATCTCAAATGGAAAAATTACCTTATAATGTGGCATGTAAAATATTAGAAGAAGTTGTTGTTCATGGCTTAAAGGATAAAAATAATACCATTCAATATTTATCAGAAAAGATTATTGAAAAGATCTTAAATGAATATTACAATACTATACAAGGGTTAGCACAAGGCTGGTACCAAGTGGCAATCATGAACAAATTACTGGATATAATATATGGTTCATCCGCAGTATCCACCACTGAGACGTCAGTTCTGTCAAATCTCATCGATACATATCCCTCGGTCCCGCCGAGACATGACGACTAAAAGAAATACATGGGCCAAAATATATTACGATATAACCTAAATGTACGTAAACATTATATAGCAATCATTTGAAGTAGACTGACCCAACACTACATGCATATAAAAATAAATTACTCGAAGTATCATTTGCAATGTATCTAATTGAAGTATGGGGGTAAATAAGCAGGAATGAGGTCTGTCCACCGCCCCGTCAGGCAGACAGGGAAAACTCCGTGAACCCAAAACGAATAGCGAAAAATTTCTGGGGGCAGAAAAAAGTGAGGGGAGGGGAGTAAATCCACTTTCTTGCGCAAGGATTACCTCATTAAAATGTGTAAACTAAGGGAAGGGATATATGCAAAGGGATGATAAACCTATTAACAATACTTATTTTATTATTATAAATCGTTATTTCGAGACTAGATATATATAAATTATTGACACTGTTTCATTTTCGATTAGAAAAGTACTTTAATACACTGTAATTATCGCAATAACAATATCAGCACAGTTATCTTAAGGATGCCTTCCAATAATTCTCAAGAAGGGTTCACTAATATAGAAAATCCACCAAAACCAAAGGATAATTATGATGAGACAGTTCAAAATGCCATCCAGAACAACAGTTATGTAGGTGCTCCAACCAATAATTACAGGAGAGCTTCAACTAGTCCCGATATAGCATCCTTGGAAGAACCTACTAAGCTGTCGAGAAACCCTTCGATGAACATGCAAGATGCAATCCACATTAGAAGGTTATCTACAGAAATTAATTCTGAAAATTTGATGGATGATGTATTAGACAATAGTGATAAAATTAAGAAAACAAAAGAGTCAGAGAAGAAACCTATAGAATTTAATGATAAATATGCCGATGACACTACATCGCCAAATGATGCGAAGCAACAAACAGGAGATAATCCATTTAGAAGGAGAGAAAGTTCTGCATTTAAATATGAGGATTATAAAAAGGAAATGTATGACAAGGTGGGATTTGATTAATGATGGTGAAGACAGACATTGTGATAATTCGTTTCAATACTAGGGACTACATAACTATTCATTGGATAACCTACCAATTAAATGTATAGAACATGCTTTCAACGTGTCTTTTCCTTCTCAAGATATATATTTTTTCATCCTTCCCATTTGATTATTATGCTTTATAGTTCTCAGTTTTCTTTCGTAAGATATTCATGGTGACTATTTTACGTATAATAAAAGAAAATTGCATAGAATTCTAATGGTATATTAGGTATATAAACGAATGGTATTTTGTTATTTAAATGTATATCATTATATAAAGAGAATGAAAATGTTTTAATATTTGTTCAATTATGTCGATGATATATATTTATGTATTAACATACATAAATATTCGATATTCTTAAATATTTGTTTCTGTATTTTTTTTTTTTGCTGTCCGATAATGTACTGTTGAAAAATTATAATAGGAACCTGTGATATAATGAAACATTAAATATTAAAGAAAATCTGCAATAAAGGTCGATGGAATCGTTAAATCCAAATAATTAAGGTCGTAGACGTTTTCCTATTTGAAATATTTAAAAACGATAAGAGAATTATTTAACTCTCATCTATTACATTCGAAGTAAGAAGAGCAAACTTCCAATAGGTTATACAAATTTGGGTTAAGTCGATTATGTGGAAAAGAAGTGTTCTTATTAACAACAAAAGATCATATACGAAATTGTTGATATCTCAGAACAAATTACCACCTTTATTATTGCCGTTTAATGTTTACTGGAGTAACCCACTAATAATACCACAACATTCTAGATCATATTCTAAGAGTTATAGAAGAAATAAAGGTATTACGAAGAATCAAAAAAATGACAAGCCTAAGAAACTGACATTTACAATACCAGATTATATATCAGTTGATAAACTATCTAATTTATTAAATTGTAGAGTACAAACAGTAGTAAAAGATTTGAAAAATTTAGGTTTCAAAAATATTACAACTGATTATATTATTAATAAGGAATATATCGAATTAATCCTCCAGGAATATAATTTTGAATTACCTTCATCCACATCATCTATAACATCAGCTAACATTTATAATAAGTTGAAAGATCCATTGAATCCTAAATTACTCGAAAGTAGGCCTCCAATAGTAACTATAATGGGCCATGTAGATCATGGGAAAACAACTATTATTGACTACTTACAGAAATCTTCAGTTGTTTCCCAAGAACATGGTGGTATTACCCAGCATATAGGTGCATTCCAAGTGATTACGCCAGTTTCTAAGAAAAAGATCACATTTTTAGATACACCAGGTCATGCTGCATTTTTGAAGATGAGAGAAAGAGGTGCTAACATTACAGATATAATTGTACTAGTGGTTTCTATTGAAGATTCTATTATGCCTCAAACAAAGGAAGCTATAAAACACATTAAGGCCTCTGGTAATCAACTTATAGTGGCCATCACTAAAATAGATAAGATTGGAAATGTGAAAGAAAGAGAAAAGAAAATAGAGAGAATAACAAACGACTTAATTGCAAATGAAATTATGGTTGAGAAAATAGGTGGCGATGTTCAAGTAATCCCAGTTAGTGCAAAAGGTGGCGAAAATATGGATCTTTTAGAGGAATCTATCATCTTATTAAGTGATATGATGGACATTAAAACAGAAAATTCCAAGAATACAATGTCAGAAGGTTTTGTCATTGAGAGTGAGATGAAAAGTGCAATGGGAAATGTTGCAACAATATTGATTAGGAAAGGTACCTTGGATAATCAGTCTATATTATTATGTGGGAATACCTTTTGCAAAGTAAGAAGTATCATGGAAGGTGCAGAGAAAAAAATTACGAAGGCATTACCATCGCAAGCTGTGGTAGTATCTGGATGGAAAGAATTACCACATGTAGGTGACGAGTTCATACAGGTTAAGAGCGAGGCAATTGCGAAGAAATATATTTCGAAAAGAGAAGCCTTGATAGAAGTTGAAAAGAATGCCTCTAGAGTCGAAAAATTGAATGAGGAAAGATACGCAGAATCTATTAGGCGAAAGGAATCCAAGAGTAAAGACGACATTGATGATATCGAAGATGACGATGCTACCGATAATGCTATAACTGGACCAAAGATGGTAAATTTCATTATTAAAGCAGATGTGTCTGGTTCAGCTGAAGCTATTAAGGAGAGCATACAAGATCTTGGTAATGATGAGGTTCAATGTTGTGTCATTTCATCATCGGTTGGAATTCCAGCAGAATCCGATCTTAAAATGGCCGAAATATCTAATAGTGAAATATTATGTTTCAATTTGGAAAATCTTCCAAATGATATTATTAACAATAAACATGGCGTTGTTGTAAAAAAATTTAATGTCATTTATAAATTAATTGAAATTGTGGTGGAGACCTTAGAAAATAACATGAAGAAAATTTTTGAAAAAAATATCGTGGCAACCGTCGATATTAAAGATATATTTGAATTTACAATGAAGAAGAAATTGGTTAAGATTGCTGGTTGTAAGGTCAGCAATGGTCAAATAACTAGGAATTCTAAAGTTCAAGTAATACGTGGCGAAAATAAAGATGTAGTATATGATGGTACATTATCCTCAATAAAACATGGAAAAGATGATATTTCAACTGCATCTAAGGGTCGTGAATGTGGGATAACCTTCAACGATAATTTTGAAGAATTTAAAGCTGGTGACAAGATTCAAGTTTACGAAGAAGTTGAAGTTCCTAGACATTTATAATATATATATCAATCTGTAAATAGTAGTAAAATTATATATTAATGAAATAAAAGCATATAGAATGTTAAACAAGTTTGTACTTCATAATTTCTCGTCTATGATCTTTTCTCCCATTGTACTCTTACACATTCTTCGACATAACCCACGCCATTATCATCAAATTTTGGGATGCAATTTTCCACATCTGTGAATACCAATATTGTACCCCATTCCATCCCATCATTCACAGAGACTCCGCCTTCCTCTAGATCCATGATCATCTTTGGCATCACTTGCATTTCGAATACTCTTTTACTATCTTTATTAAACTCTGGACGAGGTATTACTGAATCCAATACAGGCTTTGTTGCTGCGTAATATAATGGTTTCCCACCCATTTCATAACGTAATACTTGTAATGGATTATAAGCTACTATTTCTTGGAATTTCTGAAATACATCATCATCAAGGAATTGGGATAGTTTCTCTGTACGTGGATCCATCTTAATTGGGTCTTTTTCCAAGTCATCAGTGTCGATGACATTATCCTCTGATAATTCAAGTGCTTCTTTATCTATCTTTAAATTTTTTGGTAATTTCAAATGATCCGGTTTATGTTGGAAAGTTTCTTGTTCGACATATAACAAAAAACCTTTATATTCTTTTTGTAAGTCGTGTGACTTATCAATTTTTTCATCATGTAATTTTCTTAGAGCTTTCTTTGATAAAGTTTGTTTTGAGTCTTCTGTTTTCTTTTCAGTTGGTATACTTGCAGCATTATTACTATTAATTGTGAATGGATTCTCATTCGTTGAAGTAGTATTGGCTCCAAATGGGTTACTATTGTCATTACCACTAATATCGAATGGGTTAATATCGAATTTTTTACCCATGGACTCATCTGAAACAATTGTATCCATATTAGATTTTTCCTTGGTGTTATGTAATACACCTCTAATACATTTCACACCGCCTAATTTTCTTGGACATTTATCACATATAAATACATATAATACTCTATCGTCATCTCCTGAGATATATTTCATAGTAGGTTTTCCAATGATGCCATTTGCTTGTAATGGCTCCATTTGTTCATTATCGATAGGTGCAAACGCTTGCAATAATAGACGCATATGTTCACTCGCTTTACAAGAATTGCATTGCAACATATCCTGGTGGGGGACCGAGTCTGGATGTAACCAAATTGGTGACCCACCGATAAATGTGTCAGAGATGGTTAATTCATCATTTTCTTTGATTGGGGCATCGACATAAGCTAGATACACATCACTCTTTTTTTTAGTGTATGAGTCTTCGATAATAGACATTATTTCAAGTTCAATAATCAATTATTCTGAGTTGTTAGTTCGGATTCTGTAAATTGTATATATATATATATTATGTCTATTGCATTTTAAAAAATTTCATTTATTGATATTTTCATTCGATTTTTTTCACGTTATAAATTTATTCAGTCAAGCGATGAGCTTACGAGAGAAATGTTCATACCGTAGCAAACGATGGCCCGCCGTTCGAATCTTGTATAGAGCAACACAATTCAGAGAGGGCCGCATCTACTATTTTCATTTCTCCATATTATTTCGATATAAATATATATATCCTAACTGAGTAAAATAAAACCAAATAGATTATGAAGAAATTGAGTATTGTAGCAAACTACTGTGCAAACCGTTGAGCCTCACCTGCATTTATTACCTTCCAGGCTCTGTCATGCCATCCAAACTGTGTGTGCGAAGGTAGAAGCAACAATTTCTAATCTTCTGCTTTCTGTCTTATTTTCGCGTTTCATCTCTTATCCCGGACTACACAGAAACTGATCAAGAGCCAGAGCAACAGAGCGAAGGTAAAAATAGATGAAATAAACTGCAATGGCTTGCTCTGCACGCACCACATGGCAAGACGCGTTCTGGCAGTCTACAAACGTGTCTCACGCTGAGGGACAGAGAGAGAAATGGCTGGGTAGAAACTAAAATTTTCAGTTTGATTGTTTTTGTAAACAATGAATGAAGTAAGCAGAAGTGAAAAATATTTGATAAGAGGCTGAGCCGATTCCACAGGTTGGAAGTAAAGCAAATGGTGAAGACGATGAGGAAACTGTTCTAATAATATTTACTGCACTGGGTGAAGAAAAAGAAGAGAGGTGTCTGAAAGTTTGTTATTGTCCTTGATCTGTTCACGGAGACAAATTGAAGTGGTCTGTCAATCTGTCTTTCCCATCATGGTCGATAGTGGAAGAGTAAGTATTGTGCCATTATCTTGTCTACTCAGAGTATCAATTTGATACACTCACTACTACTACCTCTTTTTTGGTTTAGCATTGCTTGATTTGTTTTGATTTGTTTTGATTGTCTCTCTTTCTTTTTTCCTGTAAGAGAGATAACGGATAATTCCCATTGACTACTTTACTCTTTCTTCTTATAATTATATATATATATGTGTGTGTGTGTGTGTGTGTACATTTTTTTTTACAGTTTAAACTATTTTCATCTTCACAACTTAAGTTGTGACAGACATCAGCTAAATCAAGTAAAATTATTTTACCAACTAAGTTAATTATACGAACAAACTATAATCAATTAAAATTAATCTTTAAATTTTTTAAAACAATGCCTGCAAGGTCAGGTATATATTTCTCAATAATTGGTGCATTCCAATTTATATCCATGGCATTTTTAATTATATGTTGCGTGACAGCTCCTGTGTTTAAACAAATTGGTCTATCTAAATATGAAAGTATCACATACGGTGTCTTCGGTTACTGTTCAGGTTCTGACGGTTGTTCAAAGGCGAAAGGTAGTTATGATCCTTATTCTTTGACAGATGATACAACCGCATGGAAATTAAAATCTGAATCTCGTAAAGCTTTAGGATCCATTTTGATCGTGATGCCAATAGCTGCTGGTTTAAATTTTTTCGCATTTGTCGCTGCATCTGTCTCTGCTATAATGTCATTTTTAAACTCTTCTTCATATAATGAAATATCTGCCGTATCTTTCATTATTAATATAATCTTTCAATTGGTCGCTTTCTTATCTGCTGCATTGATGTGCGTGGTGACATTCCTACTATTTTATCCACATGTGACTTGGTGTACATGGTTATTAATTCCTGCAGGTGTCTTGCCATTATTATCGTTACCTCTATTATTCTTTGCTTACCTATCGAAGGGGCCTGTCGAGGAATTTATCGATCAAGATGAGATGGGTTTGGCAGGTAATCAAAGATTACTGAACGTGGAAGATCTATACGACACCAATAACAATAATATTGATCCAATGTCTCATACTGTATTGCCGGATATTGAACCTGCTAATCCGGCAGAGAAGAAAGATGACAGTTTCACTTTTACTACACGTTCCGATTCAGATGGAACCGATTCTTCATTGGATAAGGAGAAATTTAGAGCATATGATAATAGTGTTGACAACTTACAACATGATGGTGCTAATGATGATGACGATGATGATAGAAGGGATTCACAGCAAAGATTTTCTGTTATTGAAAGTGATACAGATGAACATAAGATGCATAAATACATTCCCTCTGATTCACTAGGTTCTTCTGTATATTCTGAAAAGGATCATTACTCAGAAGTACAACCAAAAAATAAAATTATGCAAGATTTTATGAATAATGCACCAAGCAACAACAATAATAATATTATTCCTGAACAATACTCTCAAGAAGATAAAGGATCGATAGTGACGTCGGTCTCTAGAAATGGTATCAATAATATGAATAACACTGTACCATACCCTGGATCAAACGTTTCTAATCAAGGACAAAGACAGTTCCAACAAATGCCAATGCATATGAACTATCCACCTCAACAGAGACAAAACTTTATGCCTCAACAGAGACAAAATTATATGCCTCAACAACAAGCTCCAACAGCATCAGAGATGATTATGCAAAATAATCCTAATTTCTTACCAAATGGGTCTAATAGAATGAATCAAAGAATGCAAAGACCTTATCAACAACAAGGTAATTTCCAAGGAAGAGGCTTCCCACAACAAAATGGTGCTACACATTTTGCTCCAGCTTATAAGAGACGTATCAATAACAGGGCGAATGTTTATCAAAACTTGAATGGTAATGGTAATTCATTTGGTGCTGGAGGTGCATACAATTTCCGTTAAGAGACAGAGTTGGGAAGGTAAATAGGGGAATAGTGTCTTTGTTTTTTCACTCCTATTTTATTATTACTATCATCATCTGTTGAAGGACACTATCATTGCATTTTAATTACACTCAGTTTTGCCTTATATATACACTTAATGGGAAGGCTACTGAGTATTGTATACTTTAGTTTTAGTACAGTTTAATTCAGTTATATATACATATTCAATTTATCAATTTTTATTATTAATCATTGAATTAGTTAATCTTTTGAGATGATAAATAACCAAGTAATATTGGAATATACATCGTATGACATTTATTGATAATTATAAAATACGTATTTTCATTTCATCTTCAAGTAATGCAGCACCATTATTGGATATTTTATGTTCTGGTTCATCTTTTGGTTTCTCAACTTTATGAGATCCATTGTCTTGATCATCTAAAGCCCCGGTATTTGAGTTTGTATTTGGGTTTGGTTCATATTTAACTGACTTTGTACTATTACTGGGTTTTAACATGACAAAGAAAAATAATGCTATCACACATAATGTAAGTAGAAGAATAATTTTACATTTTTGGGTACGTTTTTGATAACGAGTTGCCCCTTCTAATTCTCTATTTGCTTGTTTTAATTCCACTACAGTATTTTCTAAATTGTAATCAATTCTATCTACAATTGTCCCTTGATCAATAATCAAATTCTGCATCTCTCGGAAAATTGTACCTACTTCATATATACCTTTTGTTAATTCAGTTATCTCCTGATCCCTTTGTTCCAAGAATTTTTGGTTCGAATTTTTGGCTTTTTGTTGCTGATTTTGTAGAGTCTTCATTGAGTATTCGTCGATTTCATTGCTTAATCCATTTTTACCCTTTTCTTCTTCCTCTTGAAGTAATAATTGCGATGAATCGGAAGCATTTTTAGGAATTATAGGTTTCAAATCATCCTTATTTAAAAATTTCAAATAATTATTCTGAAGAACTCTAAATTTATTACTCTCCCATTGAATCTTTTGAGCATAATCCTTTGTCATATTATCGAGAATCATTAATTCTCCTTTATTCAATTGTCTTCCCTCTAAAAATTGTTCTTCATGTATTACTTCTAATTTCTTCATCACATTATAACTTCTTTGGAATAATTGTAAAATATCAAGGCTAATTTTCTCAATTTCTTGTTCATCTGGAGTTTTATCTTCAAATCCTGGTAATGAATTCTTTCTATAAAGTTTCATAAGATGCTCCAAGAATGTCTCTATTTCGTGAAGGTATTCGTCTATATCTCTCGCTATATCTACAAATAAGGGCGGTAATGTGTTAAGTCCTTGTGTCCTTAATGTACCGTCCTTTCCTTGGGAAACATTATTGTCTTCATTCATCATTGGGTAACTTTCCATTTCTATCTCATCCTCTAGAAAAGTATCATTATTCTTCGGATATGGTTCAGTTGACATCAACGAATCCCCAAAACTGGGAAACGTACGACGATATGATATAAATAAGTTCGTCCTATCTCTGAACATCTTCGAATATATGAGAATTCCTCTAGCAATTACTTGGAATCTGATGCAATCTAAAGAAATATATAACTTATAATTGCTCCCTATTCTTCATTCGTAGTTTCTTCAAGTAGTACCCAGTTATTCATCTGTGACTTTTAGCCTGATAATTTTAATTTTAAAGGACAAACGAAATTAAGTGGTACTTCCCGCAACGTGACAGCCTGCAGTTTTTTTTCTTCTCTATGTGCAGTATACACACCCAGTCACGAAAAACCAACCCAAAAAAACAGAATTTGGGTATTAAAATCACCTCCAACAATTCTTATTAGCAACTACCTTGTATGAATTAATAATCCTTTTACAATGCACAAAATAAAATATTAGAGAAATCGTTATAACGCTAACAATTTTCTGCCGGAAGTAACCTCAACATCATCACCAAAAACAATGTCTACCGATATGAAAGAGGTCATCGATTTAGAATCAAAAGAAAAGGAACAACAAATATCAAATGACTCTAGGACTTCTCTAAATAAAGCTGACAGGGTAATGGTTCCTGAGGAAGAAGGAAGTAAAGTTCATAAAGGAGAAAAAGAACATCCAGAATTTAATGGTTCTACTAAACAAGGTCGATCCCAGAAACCAAAAGGTCAAATGACATTTGCTGATTTCAAAAAAATTGCTATTATTAAAGCTAAATCTGGCACAATTGATCCAAATGGAACTAAAATTAGAATTAAAATATCTGATAATATACCAAAAGTAATCACATCGAGAGCACCCACTAATTCAGTTACGCCATCAAAATCGCCTACTAAATCACCTACACCACCTAAATCTCAAGGAACAAAATCAAAATCAAAATCGACCACTAATACTTTGGACCCAGCAGGTATACCTAAAAAACGTGGGACTTATTCTGATTTAGAATCTAATCGGTACAAAATATTGAAAACCGAACACCATAAGAAAGTTCCAAGTTTAAAGACATTGCAGAGTTTATACTGGGCCCCAAACCTCCCATTAATGAATGATGATTTTAGATTTATTGATAATAAAATGAACGAAATGTGGACCCTACAGTTCTGTAATAAACCAGAACGAAACGCAAAGGATATTTTAAAAATTATGGCATTTATCAACAAATTTAGTCAATACTTTGATGAGAATTTGAAAAATATAACATATCCAGATTTCTCTATTGGTCTATCATTAGGAACTACTGATGAAACTACTGGACAGCATAATCAGGCAGAACTAGAACACATCCAAAGTCTAATGAATTTTATATTTTTCAATTTGTTAAAGCTATTATTTAGTATAAATGGTAAGAAAAATCCTTACAATGTTCCAACTCTACAGAAATTTATGAATATTAAACAGCCCTTTGGGAAAATGGTTGGGAAACTTCATACCAATATTAAAGAATGGGGCTCGCCAAAAGAATGGAGGTATGATTTATCCAAGGAAGAAGATGTTACAGATGACAATGACAATGATTTAGTAGATCCATCCTTGAACGAGATATTATTTGAAACAAAGGATATGTTACCTTTACATCCGCCATATCAGGATGAATATCATCCCCTATTCATGAAAAGTAGATCTATTGTGGATGCTGAAGGTATTTATGCAGTTGATACATTCAGAGATAGAGTTGTAGCGTTAAATTATTTGGTAGACCTTAATATATCATATTCTGCACTTATACACGAAGAAGTAAACAATATGTCACACTGTCGCAAAGACCAGCACTTTACACATTTGGTACCCAACTTCTTAAAAGAAGGTTTTTCGCAAACAATTGAAGATTTCACAGATTTATGTGAATCTATTGTAATTTATATTAATGCCAAACGTGCAAGTAAGTACGATAGATACAAAGCTAACCTACCCATATTAGATAAGGTTAGAGCTGCACTTGTCAGCATATTAAAGACAAATAGCGAAGAAAGAAAGGCAAAAATTTTATCAATGTATGATAAATGGGTAATTCTATTGAGTAACACAGTGCCTGAGAATCCATTGTCTGATCCCTACCTAGACGACTCCGCCAAATTACGTTTACAGGAATTTTTTGTAGTGAGGGTGAATGAAATAGGTGATTTTTATATCCCTAGAATGAATACATATGATAATCCTCATAAATATACCAATTTCTATGTTGATTTATTATCTCTATTGGATTTGTTTAAAATGTATGCAAACAATGAAATTGATGATCGTGTTATTAACGAAGAATTTGAAAAGTCTGGCAAGCCTTCATTCTCATTATTATATCGTAATAGTGCCAAGATGACAAATGATTGGTTTCTTAATAATGGTGTGAAAGATGAGAACTATTGGTACGAGATTTGCCATGATTCTCAATCCCTTCAGATTTTTAAAACTAAGATCGAAGGCATGTTATCTGGTACAGAATCAAATGAAATTTCTACTTTACTGAAAGATAATAAATACCAAGACACAAAGAGAACATTATCTATTTTATATGATTATTTGAATAAAATTTATCCAATTATTGAAAAGTTTGAAAATTTGAAGCCAGCCTACAAAGATCAATATTCGATCGACAATCCTGGAAATGGTGTTTCTACTAGACGATCGACAAGAGGACATCAGAATAGAGTGAATTATGCACTCCAATCTGATGATGAATTTGAAAACGAAATTCACGGTGAGTCAGATGCCGATTTTGTAAATGGCTCTGAATCGGTGTATGATGAAGATGGACAACAAATTATATCATCTACTAACCAAGTTGACGTAGGAGCAGATATATCAGATGGTCCAATTCAAAAAATGTCGCGTGAACAGAGACTACAGTCCAGAAGAGACAGAAATTAAATTTAATATATAATGTGTATAAATTTATTGAAACACATAAAAAGTTAAAGTGATAGATTTAATTTTAACTAATTTATTTTAAAATGGTTAAGAACAGAGTTTTATTGTATATATATACTTTCTTCATTTTTCTCCTCTAAGTCACCCATAACTCAAATTTTTGTTAAAAATCTTACAAAACAATAAAAAATAGAAAATTACAATATAATATATTAAAAATAAAATATGATGTTAAAAAGTTCTAAAACTAATATTTTATTAATTCACCAATGATCATGATTCTTCACTTATTGTACTTTCAGTCTTTGAAGAATGTTCTGATTGAGTTGTCGATTTAGAACCTTGACTCGAATGTGTAATGCCATTGATCAATCTCTTTCGATCACTGGCTACAGCCTTCACAATTGATGCGAACGACTCTTCTGCCAATGCACTCTTCAATTTGCATTGTTCTGCAGTCAACTTGTTAATTTCCCTCTTCGAATCCACCTTCAACCCATGTAGTGAGTCTGTTACATTTGTCAATGGATCATCCTTCAATTCCCTCTCTTGTAAATCCTCATCCAAATCATTTTCAGCAATATATAAATTTCTCAATCTTCTTAATTTGTTTTCTAGTTTAACATTATCAAGAACCTTACGCAATTTTCCACGTAAATCGAATCCCTTTTTGACATTTGGCAAAATATTGGTATTTCCTCTGCTGACATTCATATCCATTATCCATGGGTCACCTAATAATTGTGTGGCAGTAGGTCTTTTTAAGGGATCCAGTGTTAAAGCACGTAATATAAATTTTTTAGCATCATCAGTAATATTATCCCAATAAGGAGAATGGAATTTTACAGGAGATGGACCTGCAGTACATTCTTCTAAGAAACCATCCACACTCTCTGCAATGAAAGGGGAATAGCCACAAAGTAAGGTATATGTAATAACCCCTAAAGACCAAATATCACATGGTTTCCCATGTCCATTACTAGTCAGTACTTCAGGAGCAACATACCCAAGCGAACCTGCCGCTTTATTAATAGAATCATTTTTACCTCTCAATTTCTTAGCTATACCAAAATCTGCAATAACAATTGGTGAACTTTCTGATTTATCAACGTACAAAATATTTTCTGGTTTTAAATCTCTATGAACCACATTTTGTGCATGCATATATTCTATAGCAGCTAGCATTTGAATAACAATCTTAACTGCATCCAATTCTGTGAATTTCCCACGTTTTAAGATTCTATCGAACAATTCCCCACCAGTAGCCAATTGGGTTACTATATAAAATTTATCTCTGGATTCAAACCAGTCCTTGAACTCAACAATATTAGGATGATGTAGATGTTGTAATAATGATAATTCATCATATAGCATTTGTAATTGAACATCATTCCCCTTTAATGCTTTCTTTAGAAGAATTTTCACTGCAACTTTTTCACCTGTAGAGATGTTTCTAGCTTCTCGTACTAATCCAAAAGTCCCAGCACCCAATGTCTTCCCAAAATCATAATTACCTCTATTGATAAATGAATCAGGTTGTCCGGAAATTTTATTAAATAATTTTGTCACTAGTCTACCGTCAGGTAGCTTAGGATCAATAACATCTGCTTTGGTGGCCATTATTTTAGTATTTTAGGTATACTTAGTTGATGGATTCTTGAGATGTCAAGTAGTGGAAAGCTAAACTCTTGATATACTTCAACAATCCAAAAAGTGCCACATATATATACTTGCAGTTGTTGTTTAAGATTATCTTCTCCTTGAGTTAGGTTAGGCATCTCTGTTTGTTAGGCTCAAAGAGAAGAATAGTCTTTTGTTAGCTGAGTCGCCTCGGCAACGCCTCCCTCTTCTTCCCTAAATACGCAAACCCTAAAAGCGGTCTTCGCCAACGAAAATTACCTCAAAAATCGTCGATGAGAGACATTCACCATCGTCCCCCACACGATGCTGTTACTTAATTTGTGTGTAAAACGATAGTTTTTTTGAACTGAACTGGCAGCATTTCATGCCCCCCCCACGCCACTGTGTAGTCAGTTGAGATTGCCATTAATGGCTATAAGAAAAATTATCTCCGAGCGGCGTTCGGATACAACTACAGCCGATGACACTTAAGGACGCCTCTTATGGCACAGCAATGTCATTTTAATAGTTCTTGCAGTATTCGTTACATTGTATATGTATATGTGTATGTATTTGTTGTAGTTGCTAATTTGATTTACAGATAATAAGAGAGGGAGGAAACAAAAAAAGAGAAGCCTATTATGCGAGAGCTTGATTGAATGAAAACCTAGTTTCTTTTTTCAATAGATTAGGCACCTACAAACTTTGGATGAGGTCCGTCTTCATCATCGTCATCGTCGTCATCATCGTCATTGTCATCATCTCTACCATTTACACTCAAATTGAAATAGTCGTCAGCAGTGTTGGCTTCTTGTAAAGTACCCAAGTCACCTGGAGTCATAAACACAGCACTGACACTGTTTGCTCTAGAGTCTCTTGGAGAACCTGGAACACTCAATGGTCTAGCAATCTTCACCTTCTTTCCGCCTGAAAGAGCGTCCATATTGTCGTCGTTCAATTCTTCACCGACTAATTCCTTGAACAAGTCAGGATAACCTCTTCTTAGAGCCAACTGTCTAGCCTTAACGTACTCTAGACCCATTCTTCTCCAATCCAATAGATCAGATAGACGTTCAGTTCTATTTCTTTGGTTGATTCTTTGTCTTCTTGTCTTCTTTGTGAATTCTTCCATGTAATCGACCAATTGTTCTACAGATTCATCAGGATTCTTAAATCTACGATCCACAATATAAATACCGTAATCCTTAGCTTGGTTGGCCTCGATCAAATCTTCCATATAGGCACCAAACCCAGACAAATTAGTGGTAATAGATGGAACACCCATCACGGTACATTCGGCAGGAGTGTAACCCCATGGTTCATAATAAGATGGGAAGACACCTAAATGAGTACCACGAACAAATTCATCATAATCCAAACCCATGATTGGATTATTTGCGTTTAAAAACTCCGGATGGAAGATGACCTTGACACGATCACTTGAAGCATTGAACAATTGAACGTGTCTAATCTTATTTAGGATTGGATCATTGGCGTCATCTACCATATTATGTGTAACGATTGGTGGCAGTTCATTTGCAGGACGTCTTAAACCTAACACTCTTTTCTTTAATAGGACTTGATCTGAAGGTTTCAATAACTCATTCAGATCTGTTGGTAATTCTGTAGTGGTACCATTATGAGGGAATCTCATAGCATGATCAAATATTCTATTACCGATATTTTTAGTAACTTCATTAACGGAATTTTCAAGAGCTTTTACAACGGCTTGTCCCTTTAATGCCTCCACAGTATAGGAATTAGTCTTTGCTGGCATAATAATAAAAGCCACCACGGTTTTCTTTGAACCTGACATTTTTAATCTATAATTCAAACGAGCCAATGATTCAATAAACATATCGGCACCTTTATTTTTATATTCATAACGACCTGCAATAAAGAAATACAAAGTATTATCCAGATCGAAATCGAAACAACCATGGAAATGACCTCTAACGAAATCATTAATTTTTTCTTTTTTCAAAGCATGTAAGTTTTGAAATTCATGAACAGCTTGAAATTTAACAACGTTTAACCCATTTGGTAAGATTCCATCTGGTTTTCTTTTCAAAAGATGTTCAGCCTCAATAGCTGTGATATGAGAAACTGTAGTGAAGACGTCCGCAGTATGAGCCGCGGCACGTTCAATACAATATCTATGATAAATACCACGTTTCCCAGCTTCTTGATCAACATCAAAGTTAGCTAAATTATTATAAAAATCGACATCCCCAGCTGCACATAAATAACGACCTAAAAGTGTAGCATGAGTTGTAAAGATGGTTACAACGTCAATTCTTCTCTTTCTACATATAGGCAGAGCGACACCAGCTAACCATTCATGGAAATGAGCAATAATAGCATGCTGTGTATCCAAATGGGCTAATTCACCAAGGAACCAAGCAACGGTATAACCTAATAGGATAGCGTCATTAGTTTCTGAGTCATTTTCAGGGGAAGGAATTCCAACAAGAGACCATAAATCTGATTTCCATTCATTTAAAAAATGTCTAACCGAATCGAAGTCAAATAAAATTACACGTGGAGAACCTTCAATTAACCATCTACCGTAAACGAAATATACACCACGTTCTTTCATACTGTGTAAAGCGTGCTGAATTGGTAATAATTCATTTGGAAATTGGGAATCATCTTCCCAATCGACTTCTTCAATTTCACTTTGATAAGTAGCTTTATTCAAAGGACCTAAAAGATGATATCTATCTTTATATTGAGCAACTGTAACAGGAGCTTTAGATTTTAAAACGGAATAAATACCACCAACTCTGTTACAAACTTCTGTAGCTGTTTCAAACAGCAAATGATTCTGTAAATCACGTGTCATTATTGTATCTATCTTATCTTATTTCTTTTTTTATTAACTAGTTTATAAATATTTCACAATAAAGTAGTATTAGTATTGCTTATTTACTATTGGCTTCTAATTTATGGTTGATAATCTATCGATTGAATACCCAAAACAAATAAAATGTCTGATACCAGTGTAGAAGAAACAACTCAATTGATACAATGAAAAAAAGACTAAAAAGTAGAATATTAAAAAAGAAGTTCTTTTTAATATTTATATAATCCAAACGTCAAGGGGGTAGAGGTAGAATATGATATTAATGAAGTACCCAAACCAATTCCGGGGGAGGAAAGGAAGGAGACATGGACTAAAAAGGAAGTTAAAGAAACAAAAAGAAGAAACAGAATTAAGATCATCAGTCCCTCTCAGTTCAGTTCAGTTCAGTTCAGTTCAGTTCATATAATCGATAAACCACCAGTCAAACTATCAACGGCACTTGCATTAGCATTAACAACATTTGTTCAGTTAGCAGCCAATCCAGTCCACCTTCTCTCCTTGTGGTTGCTGTCCCCCTCCTTCGGAGTGCATTCAATGCTAATTTTAAATTCCGCTGTTGCAGTCCAAACAAAACAGAAATTCGGAATGGCTCTGCCCGCTCCTCCCACTGGAATTACGCTATTCTGGGTTTCCCCCTTGTTTTATTGTTTGGTCCTGCGTGTTTTCAGTTCAATTTACTGGAAATTTACTCGCTGGTATTTTTTGAGCTTGCTTTGGCAGTGGAACAGAGTGGGGCACACGCACACGCACACGCACCGTGCGCGGGCGGGGGAGGGAGAAAAGCATCGCTGCCTGTTTTTTGTCTTTGTTTGCCCAGCGGAATTCCTGTCGATTTGATGATTCTTATCAGTGTGGGGCTGTGATTTAGGGTTAGTGATTTAGGGTTTGCATGCTAGGGTTTGCATGTTAGGGTACACTTGATGATTACCTCTTCCATAGATTATTATTAAATAGCCATATATTTAGTTTTGAGAGATTGTCTGTGAACTTACTATTTACAGTAGTTATACTATTTATATCTTTGTTTTAGTCTAGATGTTCGTCATTGTGCATTACGCATAGAGAGAAACGTGTTCCATAACAATGCTACGCTGTTGACACATAACAATCTATAGTGAACAGGTACCAATGAAAAATTTATAAATTGCACTACGGGCCAAACTACCCAATTTGCACATAATGTAGGCCACCATTGTAATCTAAGTTTTTCGCGGACTGCTTGTAATGTTCCACCACTCATTACAGACATAGACCCATAATATAATATAAGACCAAAAGGTGCAAATATAAGTTGATCTATACCTACTCGTAATACCAATGTAGCAATCTTTGACCGTTTCAGTATATAATAATTCGACGGTATGTTTATACCATTTAATACCTTATACCATCTATCACCAATTACTGAAAATATCACGGTACCATATGTTGTAGCACGAAGTGTACGAGTCAAATCAAATTGTTCGATCGAGCTCTGTTCACTTTTTTCTGGAAATAATTCCTGGGCAATTATATCTCCAACACCAAATAACGCACCTGTAGTTAATGCATTAGTACGATATGGATATTTGATCAACCATTTATTATATTTTTGAAATATTTTAAATTGATTCATTCTTATAATAGTACGTCCAGTTTCGTTCTTCGTCTTATCTCAATTGTTATCATATGTAGTCGTAATTTAATAAAACCTTTTCTTCTTCTTCTTCTTCTTCTTCAATATACTTATATATATATATATGAAGTTCTGTGTGATGCACCCCTAATTTATCTGTATTCATGCATATCGTAGACTCCGATATTTATTTTTCGTTTCCATTGTTTAAACACCGAATCGCATGACGCAGCTTACAGATCCCTAGAATGACACATTCTCCTGAAATACATGATGTTTTTTTTAAATAGCTAAAGATAACGTAGTTATATAGGCCATGCATACAAATACATATTTTATTGATCAGTCCCCTGTATTTCTAACGTTTTATTCCTGTTCCATGGATATCCTAAATCATCCCAAGAAAATGACAACACTAAAGGTAAGAAAATAAATGCATGTAAAGATGCAACCAATATTAAAATCATCCACATTCCAAAGTAGAAAACACGGAAGATTCGAGACTGTGCAAATGCAAGAACACACACCCCTAAGAATTTCGTCATTGCAATCCCACTAAACACAGATCCACCAACTGTACCCATCACTTTTTCCATAGTGGTCCATGAGTCAACAGTGTTGGATTGTTGGATACTATATGCACGTACAATATGAATACAAAATTCAACTGCCAGACCGACACATATCACTAGATTCACAAGTGTCACGGCATTTAAATCAATTCCTACAATGACCATTCCTAATAGGATACTAGACATGATCATTACTACTATGGAAGTTAGAGTAACACCCAATGCAATCGATTCTAATAGAATTGAAGACATGACTAGGATTAATAACAACGCACCACACAACAATTTTATGGTCATCTCTACTATGGTAGCATATTGAACAAAGAAAATATAAAATGGAGAATATGCAAATACATCCAAATCTAATTCTCCTTCTCTTAATTCTTGTGTAATTCTTACGGCATCATTGTAAGCGTCGATAAAATCACTCTGTGATCTAAGAGGTTTATGTGCAGATCTGAATACAGATGACTTCACAGTGATATCGTCATAAACAACCGATCTAGAGTATGGAGCTTCACCAGCAAGAGCACACTCATCACTAGGTGTAGATAACCATATCTTCATATATTCAATAAATGAATCTCCCTCCGGGAATCCTGTCATATCGTATTTATATTCCTGACCTGCAAGACATGTTTCACAACGACGAGGTGACCATGTTGGAGGACACATTTCTTCAAGTGAATTCTTTTTCACTCGACAGCAACTCTCTAATTTTGGAGACATGAACATCATATAATCATCAAACCAATTTGCTACAGGTTCTACAATAGTCGATCTCTTACGCTCTTGTTCCAAAAAGTTAGCCAACGATAACTCTTTACATTTAGTAAACCTACCACAAACTTTGACTTGTTCAGAACGTTTCGTTAGATCAAGACCTCTAACCACAAAATACACAGGAGGACCTGCTTGGAAATATGTATAGATATCATTAAAATAATCAATCAAATAAGAATCTTGCGGTACTGCCAATTTTTGGTCAAGTCCTAATCGTAGTGACGGTAAAAAAATAGTGGACAATATGAAAACAATCATAAATCCAATTAATAAAGATCTACGATATGTGTCAATAAACTCTAAGTAATGAGTTAGGAAATATGATTTCGTCGGTTCTGGGGTAATAGGTTCAATCTCATCCGTATTGTTAGCTCTCGAAGGTATAGGTTGTAACGCTCTGAATTTGTTTTCATATATCGACAATACAGCAATATAAACAATCAAAAAGATAATCAGATTTAAATCAGCCAAGGCAGAATAAAGAGCAAAATTTCTGACTGCAGGCATAGGTACAAAGGCTGCCAAAAGGAAACAACCTGATTGACAAACAAATGACATAAAAATTGAGGGCGAAATGTTACTCACAGCCTCTAAAATTCTCTCTTCAGTCTCTTCTAGGGGTTTCAAAAAAGTAATTCTATCATATTCTTCAGTAATTAAAAATATATTATCGACACCAATAGCTAGTATTAAAAATGGAATTACCTCTGCAATGATCAATGTTGATTTAACTCCAAAAACTGATAATATACCAGCGGCACAAATAATAGAAGACACAACAATACAAATACCTGTAATACCTAACATTATTCTATGATGATTCCCAATTGGTGCGCTCTTTCTCCTTAGACCAAAACATGTGTAACTGAACATAACCAGGTAAGATATAATAACAATGATGACATCATTGTTCCCATTTAACTCTTTCTCCAAAGAAATCTCAGTGCTAAAGCTAATTCTTAACCCTTCAGGTGCATTGGTTCGTAAATAAACTAAATACTTCTCTAATGCATATTCCCATTGTGTGGCTTTAGAAGTATGATCATCAACGAGTAATGTAACAACAAAAGCACTTGAGTTGAATACATTTTCAGGGTTGCTGAATAATAGGTTGGTTCGTAAGGGTTGCTGGAATGTCGGCAGACAATTTACCGGAGAATCTGTACACATCTTCAGTGCCCTCTTCCAAGATGCCTCTTCCGGAAGTCTCCCTTGAAAGTATTGGGTAAAGGATTCAATGACACATGGGGAATCACTAGTTGCTCTAAAACATAGATCTTGATAAGTAGTAGTATTATCAGTAGATAAAAATGTTTCTGTAATGTTCTTTTCAATCTGGAACCACCATTTCAACGTATCATACGAAAGTACTGGACCTGTTTCATTTACAACAAATATTTGTTCTGTTCTATAAAATGGTCCAAAATTTTCATCAAAATATACTTTCTCCTGATATTGAGGTGAACTTTCACTTACCCATAATTTTATTGGATTTGTCTCCAATTTTCCAAACATTATTAGCAGTACACCACACATTATGACAACCGAAACTGCAGTCCATATTATAGTTAGTGGATGTATGATTGCTATTTTAGCAATGTTTTGTGCACAAGAAGCAATTTTATCATTTATACTATGTTTTTGAATTATTTCAGACTGTGGATTTTGATTACCGTCAATTTCCTGGGAAGTCGTTCCAGGTTCGTCTCCATTATCAACAATATCAATATTTGATTGTGCTGAATTTAGACCATATTTAGCACCAGTATAAGCACCACTTAATAATAATGATAAAACAAATAATGTTAAGAAGAAAGTTCCTATTCCGATATTATAGCAAGAAACTCCTCCTATTTCGCAAACACTAGATTTCAAAGGCTCCAAAATTGGGCACGTTTCCTCACAATCTGGACAGGCACATTTATATTCGGGATCGTTACATGCGTACACTGTATCATTAAAAGTAATAAAGTCATCAGCATTTTTGTATTTATAATTAATTTGAAATGGAGAACCTCCTAGCATTGGTTTTGCATCGCCAAGAAATTTCAAAAATTGGGAATAATTCTTAGCGCCACCACCCAATAAATCCATTGCATAACCATTCGTAGCGGAAAATTTAACATTCTTACAAGAGTCATAAAATGAAGAAGCCCACGAATCATCTATAAAAACACTCAGTTCATTCACCACTACCTTATTGGTTTGGGATATTGCTGTATCTGTGACATTAACAAATGAGCCCTGCTCAGGTGAACATGTAAACTTACAGAATAAGTTGTTGAAATTTTGAACACATGCAGGACATGACTGTATCAAAGGTGAAGCCTTCTCCAAATTATCACGAAGACTCACTACCTGGTCCTTGGTGCAACAAACATTATCTATGTTCTTCCATTCATCACCACATAGATCGACCAATATCTGCCGTATATCATCAGATATGGCCGGTGCACTAAATTCTAAATCTGTAACTGGACATGGTAATTCACCACCAAACATACTCTTCTTACCACAATTACCGTACATCGCACATTGCTGGGCCTGCACATATAGTACCGAAAGTTGCAGTAGCAACATTATAGATATGAACATTTTTCCGACGTATAATGCTCAATATGTTGTGTTTGTAATTAAATATTTATAGTACTTAAATTTAGCAATAGTAGAGTGAACCTGGTAATAGAGTATAGAAATTTAGGTTGCTAAAACTCCAAATCCTTATGCAACTGCTACCTATATATCACGTCAAGTTTAATTTTCTAATGACTCGTTAAACGAGCCAGATAGTAAATTTTATTACGCACTGCGCATTCATTGTGTATTATATATTTGTTCTGCCAAGAACCACGGGTACACACAAGCTCAATTGATTGATGGGATGGAGGAATGCAAAGTGTATTAATTATGTAAACTATAAATATATTAATAAATTATGTGTTATTGAATAGTTTACCAAGACAATAACAGCATATTCAGACAATGCTACTTGGTAGAATCATTTAGGCAGACGTGAAATACCATTCGATGTTCTTACTATGGCATCGCTCTTAATGCCTTTTTATCATGTCCAGCCTTACGATTATGATTGCCCCTAGATGCCTTGTTTTTCTCATTTCTAGCATTCTTTCGCTTCTGATTAACATCATTTTTAGGAGTACTTTCCTTACTATTCTCATTGTTATTCACATTCACATTAACTTTAGGTTTCCTTACATACCTTTCGTTCCTTCTTTTGTTGTCTATATCATTCTCACCGTCACGGTTTTTGACATATGATCTTTTCCCTGATTTGACGTTTCCTCTGAACATATATTTCTCCTCTAATATTCTAGCTCTTTGTGGTGATTTTTGTAACATTCTAGCCCATCCTTCTATTTGTTCATCAGACCAAGTTGTCTCTTGTTTAATACTCTTCCTCATCTTGCTACCTCTCTTGGTTCTTTCAAATAGTGTTGCATCTTCTTTCAACAATTGCCATAGGTAACCTTCAATCTGGTCGTACTTGGATACCCGCTCTTTTTCAGTAGCCTCAGCGCTATCATTGTTCTCGTCGATATCTTCTCCAAAAGAAATTTTACCCGATACTTTAGAACGGTCTGTTTCAGCTTCGTCATATGTATCATCTCTCTCATCTTCATCATCATCATACAATAGTTGCAAAGCTCTCGTCAAAGTTTTATTTTTAATTTCGTCAGGAACATGTTTCTTTGTCAGTTCTGATAACTCCATCTCAGAATCTCTCAAACTATTTTCATGTAACTCTAATTCTTCTAATGCTGGTAGAGATTCCTTATCTACCACTGATTTTACATGATTGGAGGCAGGTTTCTCGCTAGGAATTGAGTCCACAATTGTTGGGTCTTCAAACATTAAATTTGTAATTAATTCGACATTATTATCATATCGTCTTAATAATTCACTTAATTGATAGGTGGAATAACCTGGGAAGAAATCAGCTAATGCAGATATGTCCTTTTGAGATACTTCCACTTCATTTGATTCATTATGAAATATGTCACTTGTACTCGACTCGTTAACCACTTCCTCATTAGGTTTAGAAAAATTCAAATATACCATTTCTTGTTTGATATCCGGTCTTAAAATATTGAACCTTTCACTAATCAGAATCGAACCAAGAAGTGGATATATAGATAATGTATCCAATGAGCTAACTCCAAGAGACTTAGTGACATCCACTACTGTTTTCCTTCGAACTTGAAGTAAACATGTAATCATCAGTTGTTCTGCTATTTTTGAAAACTTGTTATTTCCTTTATCCCACCAACTCTCTAAATATTCTATCCAATTAATAGTTAAAAATTTGTCTGCAAAATCTTTATCCTCTATTAAAAATTGAAATGATTTAAGGTCAATCCTGGTAAATTTATTTTGTTCCACCATTGATTTGATGTGCTGTTGTATTTGACTTATTCTGTTTACCTGAACTCTAGGAATATTTGTTATTTTAGGCTTGGCAGAACCATCGATTAAAGATCTAACACTAACGGGATTCTTCTCGACATAAAGAATCACAAAATTCCATAACGTTTCTCCAAATATCTGCAAGTAAAACAAGCCACAGGTTTTCAATGCTGTAAGTACCCATGCTCTCAGTACAGTTAGATTTTCTTGAACATCATGGTTTATACCCAAACTTAATAGTTTACCTTCTTCATTACCCATTTCATTTATATAGCTTCTCATAAACATGCATAAATGATCAAGCGTAGAATCATCCAATTTTGAAAGATTCTCCTCAGTATTCAAAAATTGAAAGTATTGGATGTAGGTATCTAATAAATGTAACCATACCACTGGATCTTTTTCTATCAATTGTGCTCTCAACTTGAAAGGTGGGAAAGTTACAATTGGGAGTGTCAGTTGTTCAATTTTTCCTTCAACCTCTAGAACTTTGGGTGCCATTATACAATAATTGAATATGTATTTATCGTGATATATATTATATAATCGATATTTTGTGAACTTTTTCCCTATTCTAAACAACTGTCTTTTAATGTCGAAGTTCTTTATAGTTAGTAGTATTTTCTTACCACATAATTTTCACCAGTCAAGAAATCTGAGCGTATACATTTTTTAGGCCGTTTCTATGGGGTTTATACTAGTTCAATTGAAAGATTCAATGACAAAATTAGAAATTGTAAGGAGATAATATAGACTAAACTAAATATATATATATATTCAACAATGTTCTACTGGCGATGATAATATAATTATAAGTAGATCGTTATCTTAAAAATATGCGATTATTCCTAAATTAAACTCTTACCTAATCTCGCAAATACTACAAAGCGATCGTAACAACAAAATTTACATCTTTCGCACTCCTCTATATACAATGCAGTTTAATATAGTAGTGATATCGAGTACTTGGATTGTATTTGCCTGTTGAAACTTTTGGATTACGATAGGAATGTTTATTGAAGGTTTGCCCCAATTTTTTTATATGACCAGGTAGCCCTCACCAATCTTTTAAATTACACATCAGAATTTACAGTAAAGTGATGCATAATATGTTTCAAATATACACACACACTAATATTTGCCTTGTTGCTAACTTTGAAGTGTTTAAGGTCGTACTGTTATTAAAAATAATATAATAACCTCTATTCGTCTTTTCTATAGGAACTGTAAGTTTTTGCCCTCTCTTTTGCCAATTTCTTCCCAAGCTCTCCTTGAGTCAAAGAATCATTCTGTTTCTTTTGTCTTTTCTCAGCAGCAAGTCGAGCTGCCTCTGCAGGTGATATATTCTGACTTTCTGTGCCATGTTCATCTGATAATTTAACACCTGGCTTACCAATGGTCTTAGCCTTTGACTCAGTAGCTATTTTTTTGCTCTTTCCTGCATTTTTTGTTTTATTGGCCCTTTGAGAAAGTTGAGGCTTCTTACTTGTCGTATTAGTAGTTGTCGATACGGTCTCAGTCTTACTACCACATAACCCCATTATTATCCAATTTTTTAATCTATTTTTTGTAAAAGTATAAAGCAAAATTGTGTTATCAGTATCCAGTTTATAGAATATCTGATGACGATACAACAATTGATTCCAATCAATCGATTCCAATTAGAAACCCATTTTGTACGGGGCTAGAGAGGGCAGATGCAATTATATTGAACTTCTTTTCATCAAGCTCCTAATTTCTATATAGTATTACCAAAGCGAAAAAAAAAGACTTAACATCTACCTACACATACATAATATGCTCTCAAGTCATCAAATCTAAAACAAAAAACGGAAGAATGAATTTTAACAGTGCTATTATATAATATTATTGATATATATTTACATGAGTTATGAATAATAATTTATTTGTATTCTTACCCCTTCTATGTTCAGATTTAATTTCCAGTCAGAGAGTCATTGATCTCTAAACTATGTAAGTTTTCAAGGAATGGAATATCATCTGTATTAATTGTATTAATATTGTTTTCTTCTTGGAATTTTTGAGCCATTGGTAGTTGAGCACTTACACCAACAGTTATTCTATTTATTTGACGTGCGTCACGACAATATACCTTGTAAAGTTTTAGAAGTTTGTAATACAACTCAACTCTAATTTCAGCTTCAGGAACTCCGGTATGTTTTTGAGCCCATCCCAAAGTGGCATCTCTTAGAGCTGCCCAATCCGCATTTGCAATATAGGTTTGACCCATTTGATCCCCCTTTGTTATCAACTCGTTCCACTTGTTAATAATATCATTTGGGGTAATATCATCAATTGAACCTAAGTTTTTCAAAGTAATTCTTTTAGTAATTATTGTTTGTGGTACACTGTGTAATTCAAAATTTTTCAGTAATGAATTAATGATATCTAGGTTCTTCCAAGTTGCAGACTGAGTAAGGATAATGTTTAAGAAAGGTTCATCAAGAGTACCATTAATCTCTATATATGAATTGACAGAGTTTTGCAATTGTTTAAAACCTTCTATAGGATCATCTTGATATTTTTGGAAAAAAATTTCGAAATAAACATTATTCAAAGATGATAATATCCCTATGATCTTACGATTCTTGTAAGCCGCATTGGTTTTATAAAATTTCAATGCTGTTAACCAAGTCTTATTAACTCTTTCAAAATCTTGTAGTTCAGTCCATGTATTACCCAATAGACTATTCACTTGGGAAACGTTTAAATTTACTCTGTATGGCATATCAGAATTAATGGCTCTTTCAAAGAAAGAATATGCAATATCAATATCTTTACATTGACCAATAAATGCCAAATGAGCTTCTGCTAAATAATTGAAATGATCGGTTCTACAATGGTCACAAAATTTAGAATAAGTTTCCAATGCCAATAAATTTTCTTTAGCCAATAAACATGTTATGATAAATCCTGAACTTAGGTTTGGATGTTGATAATCGATTCTTTGTTTACTTGATTCATAAAGTTGTTTACATTGTTCAAATGTAAATGTTTGTGTGTCCATTAGAAGAGGCAACATCACACCGACAACTTTTGGATGAATGAAGAAATCAACCAATTCAGGTTTCTTCATTGCTTGTTTCCAAACATTTACAGCTTCATCGATTTTATTCAATTCTTTGAATGAGGTCAATAGATGCATAGCACCATATTCATTACATTTTACTTTACCATCCAAAATATTATTAGAAATTTCTCTTAAATACAGAGTAATATTTTTAGAGATTTCCATATTAAATGATTTTGAATCAAAATCAGGTTTTTTATTTAGTCTCATCAGTTGACCTCTATTAATTCTAAGACCATTATGCAAAAGATTAATTAATGTACACACCCTGTATGCATTCAAATCCGGACATTCTATTAATTCATTATATAGGGACATCGCTCTAGCTAACGAATCCCAAAACATTAAAGATTCACTACCAGTACCATTAGATTTATTTTGTCTTGGCAGGTCTCTAGAAAATGATAATGATTGCAATACACAATCATCAAATGCACATATTTGGTTATACCATGGAGAAGATGTTTGAACCTCATCTGAATGGGTGATAGAGTTACGTCTATTTTTATTGTTACCATTATTTTTCCTATTATATAGCTGTGTGTTGTTATAGTTCTTCTTATTATTATTGTTTTTAGTTTGTAAAGAATTTAATTTATCTAGATCATCATTTTTAGAAATAGTGGTAGGTTTAATACCATCTGTTGAAGTAGTAGAATTGAACCTTTTATAAGTGAAAGAAGACTGCAACTTCTCAGTAGTGTCATTATTATCAGCAACAAACCCCTTTGATGCAGAACTCAATAACTTCAATGATTTTTTCCCATTGTACCCTAATTGCGATGAGTTTCTACTAATTCTTAAAAACATTTTGATATATTTAGCTTGTAACTGGGTGTCTTCTCTAATCTGGAAATGCTTCTTATATATTAGACAAACACGTATTAGTTCTTTACTATCTTCTTATATTCAATATGCTACAGCTGATAACCAACTGCAAACTTTCATGTCTCTAGTATGTATATATAAGAAAAGAGTATTCGAGAAACTGCTGTTATGGTGTGGATGTGAGCCTTTATTTTCTTCCTGTCGCTCTGATTGAACGGGTTCTGTCTCTCGGTTTGAGTAACACAGCGAAATTTCCAACCAGTTAAAATTCAGCAAAAACTTACCCGGTGATTACGGCTGAATATTAACTGGTTGGATAGTAGTAGTAGTAGTACGCACATTCTAACAACATTGTCAGTTATCAGGCTATTAGTTCTTGAAATTTAATCCCGCTACCTCGACGATATCTTCAGCAATATATCGGTACTTCTAATGGTATCGGGATATTTACTTACGTATTTTGAAACATGAGTATGTCGTACAACATGATATTGGCAGCCCCATTGTATATCACTACTGACGAGCAGGGAGGGGAATCTGTGCTTTCAGTTTCTGATTTCATTTCTTTGGTTTGTTTACATTTTACTGAGATGAAAATAGAAAATATACATTGATCTATAATTATAAGTTAACCAGAAGGAGTAATACGTTCAGTAAATAGGCAAAGATTCCACGCTTAGGTTAGTTCAGTTGACCTTGTCAGGAACACAATATATTATCCACCATGTCTTCAATTGCTAAGAATAACAAAGATATCTTCACTCTATTTGATAAGAAAGGTCAAGGTTCCATTACAAAGCCTCAATTCGGTGATTACTTGAGAGCCATTGGTTACAACCCTACAAATGCACAGGTCGAAGAGATACTCAGTGGAGCCTCCCAGGACGCCTTATCTCTGGAAGATATCTCTTCATTGATCGAGTCTAACCAGCAGTTGTTAGATGCTACTACTACTGCTAAAGTTGACGATTTCATTAAAGCATTCCAAGTGTTTGATAAAGAAAACACTGGGAAGGTCACTGTCGGTGATATTAGATACATGTTGACTGGGTTAGGTGAAAAACTATCTGATGAAGAAGTCGACGAGTTATTGAAAGGTGTAGAGATTGATTCTGATGGTGGAATCGATTACAAGAAATTTATGGAGGATATATTAAGACAATAAGTTATAAAAAAATAAATAATAAATAGTACATAGTTCGGAATGTATATTATCATACCCACACAGACACATCTAAATAGATTAAACTTTATATTAAAATAAGGAACTATTTCAACTATTTCTCTCTCTATTTTTATTTCTATGCTTAACGAATTTTTCATTGGGATAATTAACGCTTATATAAAGAAAAGTAATGTATAATGAAAAATAAAATCATTTCAGCAAGTTACAATGTTACTAAACAGCTCATCACAAGCCACATTACACGTATATATTCAACCACTATGACTGCCTGGAACCCCAAGGAACATGTACATCAGGAGATTAAGGATCTCATTGATAGGAAATCACCTAATTATACCTTAGCATTATTCGATATCATTCACAAGTTGAAATTACAAAGACGTACAGGATGGATCAACAACGGGATCGAGAATCCTGAATCTATATCCGATCATATGTATAGAATGAGTATAATGTCTTGGATTCTAAGAAGTAATGAAATTAGTCCTGCACGTTGTATGAAAATTTCTCTGGCTCACGATATGGCAGAGTCCATAGTAGGTGATATAACTCCATTCGATGTAAAGATTGATAAGAACGAAAAACATTTAAGAGAATTATCGACAATAGAGTATCTGTGCAATGAACTTATTAAACCATATAATCCAATTGCAGCCCAGGATATATTGGCAGCATGGCATGAGTATGAAGATCAAACCACTATTGAGGCTAAATATGTAAAGGATCTAGATAAATTTGAAATGTTGGTACAATGTTTCGAATACGAAAAAATATACAAGGGAAAGAAAGATTTATCTCAATTTTACGGTTGTCTTAATGAGATTACCACCGATGAAGTTTCTCAATGGGCTAAAGATTTAATGCAAGAGAGAAAACAATATTTTGAGAGTTTAAAAATTTGAATCTTTCTGAACAAAAATATATCAATGTATAGGTATATATATATTAACGTAATTTTATTTGCAATATTCAATTCACTGTACTTCTTACAAGGCTTCTTTCTATTCATATGATGGACAATATAGTTTTTGAAATATCTTTATCATCTATTATGGCAGAAAGTAGTGAAAAAAAGAAAATAACAAAATAACACAGATAGTCTTCATTGTAAAAAAATGAAGAGATGAAAGAAGCATAGTAAACACACATAAAAAGATACGGTAATTGATCAATCAAGTAAGCTAATAGTATATTATACTTAGTTCGTTCAATATATAATTGCCTCAACACCTCTTTTCCTTTAATATGAGACCCTTTGACAGTGGACACGAAGATTTGATACACGACGTTGCTTACGATTTTTACGGAAGATTCGTTGCAACATGTTCATCAGATCAACACATTAAGGTCTTCAAATTAGATAAAGAAACTACTAAGTGGGAAATAAGTGACTCATGGAAAGCTCACAATAGTAGTATTGTATCGATTGATTGGGCTAGTCCGGAATATGGACGTATCATTGCATCTGCCTCATACGACAAGACAGTAAAAATATGGGAAGAAAATCCTGATCAGAATGAAAATTCGGGTCGTCGTTGGAATAAATTATGTACCTTAAATGATTCTAATGGTTCTCTTTACGATGTCAAGTTTGCTCCTTCCCATTTAGGTTTGAGATTGGCATGTATCGGTAACGATGGTATTTTAAGAATATACGACGCTTTGGAACCTTCTGATTTAAGATCGTGGACTTTAACTATCGAAATTAAAACTTTACAGACCCCACCAGCTAACAATTTACAATCAGATTTCTGTTTATCGTGGTGTCCTTCGAGATTCTCTACAGAAAAATTGGCTGTATGTGTTCTAGATCAAGCTCTTATATATCAAAGGGGGAAGGATAATAAATTCCAAATCATAGGAAAATTATTAGGACATAAGGGTCTAGTAAGAAGTATAAGTTGGGCTCCATCTATTGGTAGATGGTATCAATTGATTGCCACTGGTTGCAAAGATGGGAAAGTTCGTATTTACAAATTGACCGAAAGATTAGGAAACGGAGAATCTATATCTGAGTCAAGTGATAATCTATTAGTTGATGGTACACCAGATAAAGAAAATTTAGAACCAACTTTAGAAATTGAATTATTAAGTGAACATGATGATCACAAATCTGAGGTATGGTCTGTCTCTTGGAATTTAACAGGCACAATTTTAAGTAGTGCAGGGGAAGATGGTAAAGTCCGTTTATGGAAATCGACATATTCTAATGAGTTTAAATGTATGTCGGTTATTAATGCACAACAGTGAAATGGTAGTTTATATATTTTATCTAAATGTAACATATTTTCAAATAATTTGGCATTGTAAATTACTTTTATAGTATATTTTTCTGTAGATTTATATACCAAGAACGTCGTCTAAACGTTAATTCATCGTTTTATTATTGATTAAGCTTTAAAAGGCCTAGTTAATTTTTCTAGAGTTTATGTAATGTACATGATCAAGCCTCGATTTTCGGCTTCTTTGGATCACTCTCTTCCTTCGTATATTCATCCTTTTTGGTTGCATCAACTCTATTATCCATTGATCTCTTCTTTTCGTTGTCATCATTTTCAACTATCTCCTCTTTAATATCCTCAATACTAACGCGTGTGGTTTCTATACCATTCGATTTGTTCGTTTTAGAGATTGTTTCACTCTTTTTCTTATTGATAGACTTCATTTCATCTTTAACGGGTTGATTAGCTTCCTTTTCCAAACATTGTAAGAGGGTATATATTCTTCTACTAATCTCCAGCGGTGTTCTACTTGAAAAGAAGAAATTAAATTCAAACATCGGACAATCACGAATTTCATCTCTAATGACTTCATATATATCATTTCTTTGCAGACCATATTTCGATAATGTTATTAATAAGAATCTATCTTCCTCCTCTGAAAAAACTCTTTTATTGTTAGTAGAAGGGGGATATTTTAATTTAAAATCAAAGAATGGATTAGTGCATTCAGTCAGTTTACGTTGTAATAATTTTTCTTGGTATTTAAGATGTCTCAGTTTTGCTTCATCTTCTTCGATATTCTTAATTAATTTCTCGTATCCCTCAATGCTTTTATAATTAATCCAAAATGCTTTGGCATATGCTTGTACTTCTTCGAATGTTTTATTACCTTCCATTTCCATAGCAATAGCCTGTATGGAATTCCTTCCGTACTTACCCGATAAGGATATAAATTTTCTGAAATCGATCTTATTCCAGTTACTGAATCCTTCTTTCTCCCATTCTGCCTTTTGCATTTCTTCTTCTTCTGTTAGAGGCTCTGCAGCAGCTATAATTTTCTTCAATTCTTTCAGTTTTAATTTTTGTTCATCAATTGACAAGTCTTCATTATCTAGCACCTTAATATCATCAATAGTTGGAACATATTTAGTCCTTTTTGCAATGTACATTCTTTCTCTTTCGTATAGATCTTTCAATTCCGGACGTTGCATTTGATGAGTACTAAACACATGTGGTTTAGGCATTCTTGGTTGTAACGGAGTTACAACTTTCTTTGTATAAAGTATATCCTTATAGTAATTATCAACAGAATAGTTTTCTTTACGTTCACGCTTTCTAGATGTGTTGGTAATAAGCCATAGTGGATCAATAACTTGTTTCTCGACATTTTGCTTCTTGAAATTTTGACCATCCCATTCATACGCTGATTCTTGGTTGACTTTTTGTAAATCATCTAACCCAAGAGAATCGTACTTCTTATTCAATGATTGTGTTTTGTTTTCAGATAATGATAAAATAGCATCTAAATCGACCTCTGGATCAGGGTCTACATTTGATTTATTATCAGATATATTTGATTCTGCATTTGGTTCGGGTGTACCACTTACGTTCGGGGTATTACTATTACTAGTAAACACATCAGCAGCACCATGTTGGATCATAGATAATAATGCATCCTTAGAGTCATTCTTACCTTCTTTCTTCTTATTAGAGGCTGTTCTATTTTGTTGGATAACTAATTTATCTAATCTCAACTTTTGAGTTGCTCTTTCGATAATCTTCTCCTCTACGGAGTTATTAGTAACAAATCTAAATACCCTTACTTGTTTCTTTTGACCAATACGATGAGCTCTGTCCATGGCTTGTAAATCGGCTTGTGGATTCCAGTCTGAATCAAATAGGACAACTGTGTCTGCGGATGTTAAATTGATACCTAAACCACCGGCACGAGTCGTTAGTAAGAAAAGGAATTTATCAGAGTCTGGCGCATTATAATCATCAATAGCCTTAATTCTATCTTCATGATCAGTGGAACCATCGATTCTACAATATTTATATTCTCTGAAGAAACAATAATCCTCCAGAATATCTAACAAACGGGACATTTGACTGAAGATCAACACTCTAGATCCTTGTGCCTTTAATTTTTTCAATAGTCTATCTAAGACTTTCAATTTTGCAGAATTGTAAATCAGGTGCTCATCTGTAGTATATGGAGGACCAGGTTCCGCCCCATCGAATAAATAAGGATGATTACAACACTTTCTCAATTGCATAACGATATTTAATAATCTTGTCTTGGATTCAGTAGCATTTGTACCATTTACTGCATCTATATCTTTCTCTAGAATTTGTCTATACCATTTCTTTTGCATAGAAGACATACCGACGTAAACATTCAATTCTTGTTTTGGTAATAATGACGTTTCGACATCATTCTTAATACGACGTAATAAGAAAGGTTTCAATACTGTATGCAATTGTCTCACAATTGTGTCTTGATTATCATCAGATGTTGATTCAGAAGAAAACCAACTATCAAAATCCTGTGAACTAGAAAAGATATCAGGTAATAAGAAATTTAGCAATGCCCACAATTCGTGTAGATTGTTTTGTAGAGGTGTACCTGTGATTAGCAGTCTATTTCTTGATCTGAATTCTCTTAGGACTTGTGATAACATAGATTCTTCATTTTTAATTCTATGAGCCTCGTCGATGATAAGATATTCCCAATCAAATTTTCTGAATGTAGCTTTCTCTCTTATAATAATTTCGTATGATGCAATTACTACATCAAAATCACATTCCATAATCTTGTCTTTAATCAAATGTGCTCTTTCCTCTTTGTCACCTTGAAGGACAATAGCATTAACTTCTGGAGTCCATTTATTAATTTCTCTCAACCAATTATTTAAAGTAGACTTAGGAGCAATGACTAGAAATGGACCACTAACGTTTTTAATATAACGCAAGTAACCTAGGAAGGATATAGTTTGTAAAGTCTTACCAAGACCCATCTCATCTGCCAAGATACCTGAAAGACCATTATTATGTAAAGAAATCAGCCAATTTAGACCCTGGATTTGATATGGTCTTAGTTGGCCATCAACATAACCTGGAGATTCTCTAAATTCAAATTCGATATTGTCCTCATCGTTTTCTTCGTGTTCTTCTTCCATTAATAATTCTGCATCTTCTTCTCTTTCTGTCTTTCTCTTTCTTGTAGTACTCACAACATTACTCTTTTTATCCAAATCATCCAAAATTGACTTAAAAGTAGGATCTTCATTGGCTTTATTTTCGATAAAGTGTCTGAACAGAGGACTAATAGATAACAGTTCTTTCAATCTCTTTTCAGTATTGTTTATATCTTTCTGTTTCGATTCCAATTTTTGATCCTCATTTAGATTATTCACTAAATATTTCAATTTCCGTTCTTCTACAGACAATGTGGAAACGTTTTCACTGTAAGGTTTCAACCTTTCAGTATATTCAGCGATTGGTTCTGCCATTTGTACCATTATTGCTTGTAAATCGTATCAGTTCTCGTCAAGCAGTTCAACAAATAATAGCTGATAGGTAAACACACAATATTTCGCAAAAGGATATCAACAAACAAATCGAATATATGAATATTCAATGATAAATGATAATGTGATTACTGCTTCTGTGTTTGTGTGTAATAATTATTGGGTATATGTCCGTTAAAAAAGTATGTCTTCTGAATTATTTTAAAATTTTAAGTAGTTTGTTATTTCACTTTCTTTGGTTTTGGCGTTTCTTCCACTGGGATCGAACCGCTAAGTGATGTTTCATGATGTGCGTAAATGTATTGCAACTTTTTTTTTGCATTCTAGAGAGAAACCATTCACAAAAAATAGGAAACATTCTAACAATGGATTGATAAGAGCATTACAAAGATAGACATTGAACTACTTATATAGGAATAAAACTAGATTATCTTACTTAAAATTCTTGTAGTGAGACATTCAGCTCATAAATAATCAACACTAAGAACATTGACCTTCACAACGCTACAGATCAATTACTACATATATGAAATAGGGTACTTTAATTCGCTTGAATCCTAGTAATGAAGAGGTATCGATTGTAGTATCTATTTATTATATCAGTAATAAATATCAATATATATATATATATATTGCTGATAATACTGTCTAAGAAACAAACAAAATTTTTCAGTCGCATTCCATCTCAATTGGGCGCGGTTGTCCCGTTACAAAAGGGATTACGCGTTGAGAAATATATGGCAGCCTACCAAAGATAAATTCAATAATATTGCATCATGAACGGTTAATGGATTGAGTGATGATGGATAAGAATTACGTTGAGATAATTTATGTTGAAGAGCGTTATTAGATTAGACACTAATAACAACAAAATCAATACACATATATACATATTTACTTAATATGGATGAGACAAAGATTGAAACTCCATTTTTGAGATACTTACTTTCCACCAAAGCAGCTGTAAACCTATCCAAGGTAAGGGAAAGATCGCTAAATATCGACGATATTACAAACACAGAAAAGGTAACAACATACCAGACAAAATATGGACAATTGGAATTTGATATAGAGAGAGCACAATATGATTCTCTGAATCTCTTACGTCAGGAATATAAAGAAAAAGAAATGAAACTACGGACGAGACGTTACAGTATAGATTTTGATAAAGAACAAACGGGCTTAGAAACGATAAATTCTGCCAGAAATGAGTCGGTAAAAAGTACCGGTACTGATGGAAATGATGACAGTGTACAGGAATTAAGAGAAAGACTTTTAGGTAATAGACAGAATAGAGTGGATTTAGATGAAAACGGGATTGCGAAGTCTGTGGATAAACAAATTGAGGATCAAGATAATATGCAAAATGAACTAGTTGATAATATGAGTAAACTTGTTCGTAACTTAAAGGAAGGGGCAGTTGCGTTCCAAAATGCTCTTGATGAGGATGAAAAGGTTCTGGGAGCGGCGGAGATTGGGATTCAAGTGGCATCGAGAGGTCTCTTAGATGTCACAGGTAAGTTGACTAAATATGACAAGAAGAAGCTTGGTTACATGTTCTACATAACTACATTCCTATTCATGTTCATTGGTCTAATCCTGACCTTCGTAATCATCAAACTGTTCCCAGCATTATAGTAACAGAGTAGGTCAATATTATTATATAAGATGAGTTCCGTTATATTATATTGATAATTTTTTTGTCCGGGTGAAAATTTTTGGTAAAGCGAAAAATATCAGATCAAATCTTCAACTAAGAATTTCGAGGAAAATGAAGGCATCGTGGTGCTATTTGTTTATATAAACGATGAATACATATGGGTTTGATCTGTGATGTATGCATATATAGGTATATACCAGATTTAATAACGTTTGCTTTGTTCTAAACAAAATATAAAGATATATATATATAGCAAAGCGTGTTAAAAATATACTATTTCACAATGAGTAAAAGAACACATACAGGTGCAGAGGGCACAACTAAGAAGGTCTCCAAGACCCATGCCGCTCATATTATCAACGAACAAAAAGATTATTCTGCTAGATATATTAGTGCAGAACCTCTCGACATTTTTTGCTGGGGTACCGGTTCTATGTGTGAACTAGGTTTAGGTCCATTATCCAAAAACAAGGAAGTTAAGAGACCAAGATTGAATCCCTTCTTATCTAGAGATGACGTTAAGATTGTCTCTTTTGCTGTAGGTGGTATGCATACCATTGCATTGGACGCAAACAACACGATCTGGTCATGGGGTTGTAATGATGTTGGTGCTCTAGGCAGAGATACCAGTGGTGCCAAGGAAAAATTGAAAGATATGGATGGCGAAGATTCCAGTGATGATGACGATGGTGATTTGAATGAATTGGAGTCTACACCAAACAAGATTGATATGAGTGTTTTCCCTGAAGGTGCCAAAGTGGTCCAGTTGGCAGCTTTAGATAATTTGAGTTGTGCCTTGTTAGATAATGGTGACGTATTTGCATGGGGTACATTCCGTTGTAACGAAGGTATCTTAGGTTTCTACCAAGACCAAATTAAAGTACAAGCCACACCATGGAAAGTACCAAGTTTCTCAAAGTTTAACATTGTTCAATTAGCTAGTGGTAAAGATCATATTCTTTTCCTTGATGAGGAAGGTGTTGTATTCGCATGGGGTAATGGTCAACAAAACCAATTGGGTCGTAAAATCATGGACCGATTCCGTTTGAAAACTTTAGATCCAAGACCATTTGGTTTAAGACACGTCAAGTACATTGCAAGTGGTGAAAATCATTGTTTTGCACTAACCGACAAGGGCAAATTAGTCAGTTGGGGGTTAAACCAATTCGGTCAATGTGGTACTTCTACCACTGTTGAAGATGGTTCTCTTGTCACCAAGCCAACTACAGTTATCTTACCACCAGGTGTTGGTCAAGGTTCTCAAAAGATTAGATCCATTAGTGCTGGTGAACATCACAGTTTGCTTCTTTTAGAAGACGGATCTTTATTCAGTTGTGGTCGTTTAGATATGTGTGAAGTTGGTATTGCACGTGACAACTTACCTGAGTCCACTTATAAGGATGAGCATGATAAAGCAAGATCTGTTCCAATTTTTACCAAGTTAGAGAACGTTCCGCTATTTAAGGGTATTTCTGCTGGGTCTCATCATAGTGTTGCTATTTCACAAAATGGTATTGCTTATAGTTGGGGATTTGGTGAAACTTATGCAGTCGGATTAGGTCCAAATGATGAGGATATTGAAATACCAACAAGAATTAAGAATACTGCCACCAAGGACCATAGAATTGTCTTTGTCGGTTGTGGTGGTCAATTCAGTGTTAGTGGTGGGGTACCATTAAGTTCCGTGGAAAATGAAAAACGTTCCAAAGAGATGGGTGATGAGGAGTAAAAAGAGTACTTAGAGAAATACTATATAGATATGTATACATAAGTCCTCGGAGATTAGGATTGTAATTCTAAAGGAAAACGATGAATATTAATCATAGTAATGCTAAAATCTCATAAGATAACACAACATACTGTAAGTATGTGTAAAAACATTGTGTAGGTAAATATTATATGAAATAAAAACAAACAAACAAACAAAAAGGGAGTACGATTATGTACGTGCTATATAGTATATCCTTTCTAGGACATGGACTACAAATTTGGTAATAATAAGTATGACGGTGTGAGGAGTAAATTGTAATATAGAGAGAATAGCGACAGCATTGAATTATAGTGTTCGAGAGAAAACAAAAAGACAACGATGACAGTTTCGATGCCCAATTCTTTAACTATGTACAGAATAAATAAAAGAGCTATATTAAAATTAATGAAACTTGTCGGCTATAACAAGAAGTAAGATATAAAACTGTAGATCATTCAATCTATTGTAACAAAGACAAACAAAAAAGGTTAATATTAAAACTTTAATATTACATCAATGGTATCGATCCATTAAACTTTTTTTCTTAACGCTTTCTACATGTTTTTCTTCAATTTCCCGTGATCACTTCGGATAATATAATCAACGACAGCGTAAATAAAAAAACAAAAAAAGCGCATATCCCACAGCATAAGAATATTCGAACAAATACAAATTACTTAATAAGACAAAAATAAATAAAAAGGATCGTCAAATAGGCACCAATAACAGAAACGTGAAAAGAATGTGCCGGTATAACGGCAATAATAATTTATACTAAGAAATACCGCAGGGAAATGTATACCATATTATAACATAAATAGTTCACTTTTGCTCAGTAATATTTTTTAGTCTCACAAAAAATGTAGTACGCAGATGACTCGTCTCTATTAAAATAAATATTTCCTCGATGTAACAACATTAAGAAGAGGATAACATGGAAAGAAGGATGGTCAAATATGAAACTATCAGGCAAATATATTTATGTATTTATTTTTCATCTTCCTGTTTTTCCTATGTGAATAAGTCCCAATAAAGTATACGAAACAAAAAATAATAACATCATACTGGTTATAATTCCAACTATACATATCTTATTTCAGTAAAACCATCATTTAATTCTTTTTTTAATTTTTTGAGTGGTTAATTTGAACTATATACGTTGTAATTATAGTATGGTTTTGTCTGTAAACACCCTTTAAAAACCCTTTTGCCTTATTTTTATTCACGAACTAAATGTCTCTTTATGCTGTAAATACTTTACATCAGCTACTTCCCCCTTCGTCTCCCCTAAAAGTAGGGTATGTCATCAATTCTTGTACAAAATGAAACACCCCTTTCTATGACAATTTCTTAGTTATCGAAAGAGCAGATAACGCAAGTCAAAGAAAAAAATATTATACTTAACCCTTCGAACGATCTACGAGAACGGACAGTACCTAAAGATTATCAAATCAATACGTACGACGAAAAACGAAAGAGAAAAATTTTAGTAACTTGGCCAGACAGAAGCAGTCATATATCGCTGCTTACGTTCCCGAGAAAAAAACAAAAAAAATGACCAAACAACACCCGTTGTTCCGGTAACACAAATCGAGAACCGATTAGCATTAGTCAGTCAAAAAAAATGACTTGAACGTTAGAGAAAGTATGTGTATTACTAGTAAATATTACGCAGAGAGCGTGTTTTTGCAGAGTAGTTACGATTGTTAATATGTCAGCCTTACTGCCACGGAACTTTTTTTTCTATTTTCGAACACTTTCTCAGAAACAGATGCAACAAGAGGCAAACGATGCTCCCACGTGGGATGGTGACGCCCGCGGATTCTATTAGTAGAGAAAAAAAGCCAAGTAGGGCAGCAGACATGACCTACGCGATGGTATTTATTGATATTAAGAGAGAAGAGACAGAGAAAGATATGTGGTTCATCCGTAAACGGTTTCTCTATACCCTTTTTGGTGCATAGGGATCAACCTAAATATAACTGTCATAAAATTTTATATAATAAAATATATATTATGATTTGTCTTTAGGGAGGTTTCCTACCGTGTGGTACAGTACTTACTGTGCAGCTAATCATTAGATAAATTCTATCTTCTCAAAGCTTCTCGAAACGTATTTTATTAAAACTATTCATTATTTGGTTACAGTACCACCTACATTAAAAATAAAATTTCATTATTTTCCCTCTGCATGATAAACTGGTACCTATTTCATATATACTAATCTTCATTAAAAAAATGCACATGTTGATATTCCTACAACAGCTAACGAATAGAAGAATATACTACATAACTGAATAATGCAAGTTCAACGACATTTATTATGCAATATAACATAAACATTCTATATTATACAATAATTTAACTGACTTATGTAAATGGAAATTTGTAATAAATTTTAAAACTAACAAACGATTAAGGTATTATTTTCTCCCTACCTGCTTATAGTATAATCTGTATGTATTGGGTAACCCTCAAACAATTAACTAATACATATCTATTGTCATTAAATAAAGAAAGCCAAGCCTTCCTAAACCCGAAAATGCCACTCATCCAGATAGCACAGCTTCAAAAAAAAAATACTGATGACCTCAATCAAATAAACTAATTTCTTTTTAGCGGGATTCCTTCTCACAACGCCACGTCGTTACTTTTTAAAACAAACACAATTGAGTAAGCTGTCAAAATAGCAAGCTGCAATGCATGCAACGTTTTCTTGTTCTGCAGGTTCTCTTTCCAGAAAACAAAAAATGGAAAATTCACAACTAACAAATAAACTATAATATGATATCACCTGGAATGTATATTACAGATAAACTGCTCCACTACGGTAATTTCTCTCACATTCTACTCTCCCTCTTCCTCCAAAAAAAAGAGAGAACAGGAACCGGTCTTCTAGTAAATATATAGCATGACTAGTCACACACACATGGTATGTTTACTCCGCACCAGGTATTAAAAAAATACAAACATAAGGAATGCTGTTTGGGGGGGAGGGGGAAGGTTTCCTTTTGGTTCCATGGGGTTTTTAATTTGTTTATGCTTAATGCGGGTCATTCATTGGAAATAGAGAGAAATATAGAGCGGGCGAGCCGTGGAACCTTTTTCAAAAAATTACAAATATTTTTTAGCCAAGAAGAAAAATGCAGTCAATAATAAAATAGAATTCCAAGAGTAAGAGTCAAATTTACAACATTACAGTAACAAACATAGGTAGTGATAAAATGAAATCGTTGTTAATTTCATCATCAATAATAGATTATATTTTCCGATAATACGTACATTTCTCTGCTGTCAGACAAAACAATAACCCAAAAAAGTGCATACTACGTGGGTGCATGTGTTTGTCTTTTTTGCCCTCGATACTTTGACAGACTTGCCATGGGGAATTTCGGTCTCGCTTACGCTTCTTCTGTGTCATTCTGTAGCGTAATCAAACAATAAATATAAATGAGTGTCGATCGTTTTACCTAATTTCTAGAAAACATTAGTAGCGTACACAACATATATTTCCAGTGCGGCCATTTTCTTTTGAGGGGCGGCGAGTGACAAAAAAGCATCCGCGGGGAGAATCAATTTAATAATCTCCTTGGTGAGCGAGTGAGCAATCCCTCACTCTCCCCCCCCTTCTGCCCGACTCTGTGCAGGCTACTCTTTGTGTTTAACCAATCCCTCAATGACCGACAACTATAAATTTGAAAACTTTAATATGACGGTATTGTTATACTTTCTTCCAATATTACTGTTATTTGCTTGTCTAATCCTTCATTTCCCATCGGGGGAACAAACAAATCATCGCAGCTTAGACTTATTATCCGTGTCAGAAACGTTTCATCAACCCTTTTTATTCTTTTGTTTGCTTCTGTGCTTTCTGTGACCGGAATAGTGTCATCAGGCTCTTTTCATTTATTGTTACTAAGAATAATCGCAAAATATTCAGATAATTTCAGCTAATTTCGTAAATTCCGGATAATCCATTTTTTATTCTACTTCTGTAACTTTGTACATTCGTCGTTAATACTACTTTGCACTTCTTCTACAGCCATTTCAACTATCAAGTACCTGTGTTCAAAGATGTTATGATGTGCAACCAAATTGGACTAGAGAAAAATATTGATGGATAGATGAATGAAAATGGAATGGGATGGGTAGATCGCTTTAAAATATTTCGAAAAAAAAGGGAGGGAGAGAGAAAGACAGTTTTTTAAACTAATACAGACATTGCATATTAACCTTATAGAATAGAACTCATACATCATCATCATCATTTTCAAACATGAGGAGTGAAGGAGTTTTAATGCTATCTCTCGCTCTTCTACTTTCTTTCTGTAGTCAATAAAATATTCTTAGTTGATGAGAAAATAAGGAAGGCATCTCTTTCTTTCCTTTTTTGGAGCACATTTATCTTACTTGTTCGCCCCTCCTCTTTCTTACTTTGGAGATATACACTTAAAGGAATAGTTAATTTGAGGAGTTTCTTCTTTCTGGGTCAATAAATTTAATTTAATTTTAATTTTAATTCTAATGACAGGCAAATGATAATTAATTTTAATACATATATATTTGGAAACTTAAACTTATATAAACCTTGAGGTATATCATCTGTTTATCATTTTTCTTTCTCGAAACTACTCTTTTCATTACTATAATTTTTTTTTTTAGTTTATTTCAAACTTTAAATAAACCAAGATAATAATTTAAATTATTACAAATACATATAAATACAAACATACACAAACACAAATACGAACACGAACATAATACATTATGAGTTTTCAAACAAAACAAACTAAAATTTCATTACCACCAATTAAGAATTTATTTGATGCATTAGATATAAATGAATTAAATAAAACTCCTCCGATGAAAAATATTCATATTAATGATATACAACCATCATTAAATGGAATACATACAATAAAGGCACCACAATTATCACCTTTGTTTAGTAATACAAATAATAATAGTAATATTGGATACACTATTAATAATAATGGAAATTCGTCTGCTTCGAATTCTCCATTGAATTATTCTGAATATTCAAACTATTATAATTATATTAGACAACCAATAATGCCAACGCAATCTACTTCAGTGCATTCTCATATTCCTTATCAAAACCATTACCAATCTCAAAGGTATACTGCTAATATAGTCGGTTCTTCTAATCATAACGAAATCCCAAGAAGTGATGCTCCTTCTTCTTTACATATGAATGTGGCTGCAGGTCCAGCCGGTGTTCCTATGATAATGTCTCCTCATATGCATCATCCTGCAAATATTGGAGCACAACTCGTTTTAACTGGACATTCATCTACTTTACATAAAGAAAAGAAGAGTCACAGAATGACAGGGAAAAGATCGAATCTACCAAAAGAAACTGTAAAGATATTGAATAACTGGTTGGTTAATCATTTAAATAATCCTTATCCAACACCTGCTGAAAAAAATGTACTTTTGAGTCAGACCGGTTTGACTAAGATTCAATTATCTAATTGGTTTATTAACGTTAGAAGAAGAAAAGTCTTTACTGATCATTTCGATAAGAAATTTGTTCAAAATAAAATGTCTTCGTCTAATGAAAGTTCACCATCTGCACAATCTGTTTAAAATTACCTACCAAAAGAAAAAGAAAATAGGTTTCCATCACTTTTTTTTGATTGTGTAGCAGGTATTCCCCCATTGAAGATAATCGCAAGGGTAAGCTAACATATACAAGTGAATATGTTGTGCCATACAGGTTCGGGAATAATCGAAAACGGTGTCTTTATTGTAACGATACATTTAATAGAATATTTTAGTGAGATGATGATATACATCAATAAATTTTGTTCTATTTTATGATAGGTTCTAACTCTTTATATATATTTCCTTAGGATACATCATTATTATTAATGTAATGTATTCTTTATATGTATATTTTAAAAAATTATATATTCTATTTTTTGAAAACGATATCATTATTATCTCTTTTATGTGTTGTACTAGTTCTTTTTTTGCATGTTTCGTATTATTATATATTACAATTTAATAGCTATAAATATATGTTTTTTATATAGATAGACTTAGAAAATTTTGGTGGTTTTAGTTGTTTTTTTAACTCTATTGTGGTACGTAGTTATCTTCGTCTTCGTCTCCTTGAGCTCCTGATAATTCAGGTATATTCTCTTCTCCATTAGCCAGTTCATTAGTATTGTCATTACCAGAGTATCTAGATTTACCAGAACCCATTGAATCTTCATTACTTGGATAATTTTCGAATTGACTACGGAAACGAGTTTGATTCCTACGTCCTCCTCTATGAGATATATGTTTTGGTTGACCGAATCTTGGTGCTATACGTTCTGCTAATGGGATAGCAAACCCTCCTCTTGCAGCATCATATTCAAACTTTAATTCGTCACCCACTTGACCACCATTTTTACCACGACCAAATTGTCTTCCATCCTCAAATCCAGGATCTAAATCAATAGAAATATTCTTATCATCTAATTTTGTATCTGATAAATATTTAACTGCATTCAAAGCTTCCTTAGGTTCGTTATAAATAATGAAACAGAACCCACATGGTGTAAATTTGAATCTATCCAAACCCATAATGATTCTTTTAACCATCCCACATTTACTAAATAATTCATATATTTGTTCTTCACTTGTATAGAAGGATAGATTACCAACATATATGGTGGCAGAAACCAAAGAGTGGCGTAGATCTTGTAAACCATTAGGGTTCCTTCTTGCCTTACGTAGCAAATAGGAGGAAGGTTTATCAAGTCTCTTTATGGAATGATCCCATTTTAATTCGTCGAATTCTGCTAATGTGCTACTCATTATTATTGTTTGTCTTATTATATTTCGGAAGTGGTTTAACAAGCAGAATCGAATAACAATTATTCTTATTCAAATCGGAAAATATCTTTTAAACAATATAATCAAAATAGTAACCTTTTAAAGTTTTGAATTTCCTTGTTCTGTCTCTTCCACTTGTTAACCCTTTAACTACCTTTGAACGTTATCCTTTGTGTTACGTTAGGTAAGTTAATCGATTCCCTCTCAGCAAAACAAAATTCGAATTTTAATTTTTTTTTTTCGATTTTTTTGAATTGCGCTGTGTGAGTGAGAAGTAAAGACCTTAATTGAAACCCTATCTACGGTTTACTACGTTTATCGTCAATGATTAAATTAATGAAAGATGGTGAAATTAAATGCATAATCAACTGTTTACATATTTAACCCTTGAAACAAAAGTAACAAGAAATAGATAGATAGATAGATATTCAGCCCTTTTTCACTCACTTGCTATATCTTAGAGAGCTATCTGCACTATCTTTATTAACTACACATATTCTCTATCATTTTCTGCATATAATTTTATTAAACTCAATTATCTGCAATGTCTGATCAAGAAGAAGAAGAAATCACCCGTTGTGTCTGTGGTGAACAAGAGCCTGCTGACGAATCAGGGCTATATATCCAATGTGAGCAATGTTCAGTATGGCAGCATGGGTTTTGTGTCGGTATTGTAGAAGAAGTTCCTGATAAATACTGGTGTGAACAATGTAAACCAGAGTTGCATGATTTATATACAGATGAAGAAGGTCGTAAACGGTCGCATTATCTGCCAGTTCAAGAAACATTAGAACCACAGGAATCAGAGCATGAGATAATTGAGCCAGAAGAAGTTGCAATACCTGAAGAGACGCAGCCAGAAAAGAGAAATGAGGATGTTAAAGAGGAAGAACAAGAATCAAACGAACAGGAACAAACGGCTGAATCCATCGCTTACGAAAATGAAGAAGATATCGATGATGAAGATACTGATCTCCATGCTTTGAGTAAAAGAGCTAGTCGTTCTTCTAGAGAAGAACAACAATATCAACGAATGTTGGAGCAAGCTATTAAAGAGAGCCAGATGGATACACCAGGTGATGAAGAATTAGCAAATGGAGATACCCCAAAACTGGAACTTAAAACTGATGAGCACGGTGCCTCGGAAAGCAAAGAACAAATTTCAATCAAGTCTCTTGAAGATAATACTGCTACTACTGAACCTGAATCGCAAACCGATGTCCCAGAGGATGAAGTTAATCAATCATCAAAGGTTATAACAGAGGACGAAAATACTGCACCAACAAAGGAAAGACAAAAAATAATAAGAAAACCAAATAGAATCACAAAGAAACCAAGAAGAACTAACAGTAGGAGAAACCTTACTGATAAACGTAATAATTCCAATTCTAAATCTAAGGATAAGTTGGTGGATGTGACTGCCAATAACTCAGTAAAACCAAGATTACCTTCGCAGAGAACCACTATGAACGAAATGAGAAGGAGAACATCAGCTATCTTGGAATTCATATCAAGAACACAATGGGATTTGGAGAATGTACAACTGGAGAGAGATGACCTAATACGATTTGTAGAAAATGATCAGTTTATTGAAAAGATTGATAACATATTTTCACAAAATAAAGAAGCATTGACGGTGATGAATGACTTAACTCAAAAATTATTAAATTGGGAAAAGCATTACTCTAAAGAAAGATAACACTAGTACATAAGGTATATTTAATGAACCTTTATATTGTTTTTATCTTCTAGATATACATATTAATATTAATACACTGAGATAAAAATAATTAATTATTTAAATTTCAATAATGTTGATAATTGTACTTCTCTTCCAACTACTGTTCGTAAGATATATATATCTATAAATAAGGTATTTTGTATCATATTTTGGGAAATTTGTTATTTGAGTCAGGGACTCTATAATTAGTTGCTCTCCCTTCTTCATAAAGAGAATCGATAACGGTATTCAATGACCCATTTTCCTTTAACACTAGATACCGTTTATAAAGGATTAACGCAGTGTATGCATCTTCAATTGAATCATGATTACCTTCTTGAATATTTTGACCAAGTAATACAAAGGCGAGATATCTTAACGATAAAAATCTCTTCCCTTGTAGGAAGTATATAGCAGTATCTCTTATTTGTTCTTTTGGAACATTAATGTTGATGTGTTTAAAGTCGTTGCTCAAACCATGACCAACGAATACACACCCGAGTTGCATTAATAACCAGACTTTTCTATATATCACCTCTAATGTGACTAAAGTTTTGTCACTTCTAGATGGATCCAAATCACCAGGCTCAATACCGCTAAATTTAGTTAGGTAATCTTCAATGTGATTGGTATTAACAACGTAATCATCAATAAATGGTTTCCCAAAACCTTCACCATCTTCACCTCTCACAATAGAGAGTCTTGCGAGAGCAGTTTTCTTTGATTTTATCACAGTCTTTATTCCTTTACAATCAATTTCGTTTAATTCGTTATTTAACGTAACGAACTCCGCATCAATCGCAATTAGAGTTCCAGCTTTTGGTGCTTCTTCTAGGGTTAGTAATGTATATTCTTTCTTTTTTGTTTCCCTAATTCCGGCTGCAAAATGGTCCCTGAACAAAATACTTCTATCGATCTGATACGTATCTACAGAAAAGAACGGCTTTCTTATCTCCTCTGAGTCACAATATAAAACAATCTCCAGACATTTCCATGGTTGTGATGTATTTAATGCTTCTTCCTCATCTATCTCCACCACTAAATAGTTATTGAAAAGGTACCATTTAAATGTATTAGTGTTACCGTCATATATTTTAGAGTATGTGACTAGTCTCGTCGATCCACTTGGATCAGTAATTCTTGCGACATAACCACATAGATCGTATTTAAATATTGGTGAGAATTGTTTTAGTTCTGCAGACGTATTTCTCAAGAGAGCATCTTGTGGGGTCATTGCGGCAAAGAATGATTTTGACAGCCAATTTCTTGTCTTCTTTGTTGTTTGCCATTCGGAGTCTGTTAGCAAAAGTTCAAAAGATAATATAGGAGGTAAATTAGTAGCAATTTTTTCTATCTCAGCTATATCTTTCTTACTACATTTGTCACACACATTTTCTACATGGTGTATCCGTTTCATTGATGATTCTATGTAAGTTAAAATAGTGTCGTTAGGAGATTTTCTACCATTTGTTTTGATGCCATTCTTTGAGGGTGACATTAACGTTAAACTAGGTAGAATCTCGTTGCGACGTTCATCATGCCTACACTTTCTTCTTAATTGGACATTTAAGTCTATTCCAAAACATTGTTGTAAAGTTGTATTATGGCGATTATTTTGAAATTCTTCATTCCGTAATCTACTTAGTAGAAATTTATTAAACTTCTGACCTAGACTCCTTGATAATGTTCCATGGCATTGGACACTACTGTTTTCATCACACATTAGACTCTTTGGGGAACTTTCGATTATACCAGCTTCTTCTGCTTCAGGAAGAGCATTCAGTGCAACTTGGAAATTAGTTGACCTGCATACCCTATTCTTTGAACGACCCATCATATCATAAAGGTAACCAAGCTGTAACAATAACGATATTTCAAAATTTTCATCCTTTAGACAACCTACTATAAAGTTGTAAATTTCTGGAACGAACCTGTAGAGTTGTAGAATGGCATTTGTATATAAGTTATCAATGTCTGTATCTAACCCAGAATGCTCAGTTTTATTAAAGGCATTAAAATCAAAGTTATCTGAACCAAATTTACCAGATGTGAATGGTAATTTTGAATATGCATTGGGGATTTGAGTTTCGTCTGTAGTTTTATACACTAATATTGTATCCTTGTTTATTGGCAACGTTAATAATCTTCTTTCATCCTTTAAACTAATGTATTTTGGTATTTCATTCCTGGCACCAAATTTTTCTCTGTTGTATTTATGAAAGGGAAATTCCTTCGAAGACAGATTTAATCCTTGTAAAACTAGATGAGCTTTATTAGCTATTTGTTTTCCTGATGATAAAGGCAGATATTTTTGCTCACTATGTTTAGGAATTGTACCATCGCTATCGAATACTACTGGTGACCAACCGGATAAGAGCCTTTCGTGGTAATATGGAAGGCCAATGCTACTTAATGGGAAATCCTCATTATCAACGGATATAGGTGTTGGATATATCCTATCATCCGCAAAATCTGGATACTCTAGCAACTCTTGAGTGTTTGTGAATATGGTTGGGGTATTCATTGTTCTACTCCATAGACTAGCATGATTATCTACTTCCAACACGCTCATATAGTTACCATTGGGAGATATTTTCAAACTTCGTATCTCTTGACCTGGATGAACATATTGGGTCCGTAAAGCAGGGTTCGAAAGATCTATGAAGTCAAAGGAGCCAGAGTAAGACCCGACAATCATGACAGTCGGTAATACGGGATGTAATTCGGCAAAATCTGCCCCACCAGAACCCATTGTAGTACCTTTCGAAAATGATATTGGTGTTAATTGTCTCATTATTCTCAAATCATACACATTAACAAACGGATCGGCAAATGAACTTGTAAATCTTCTTGAAGTGCCCGTTGTAATTAAAGTATGTCCACGAATATCTATGGAAGATATGGTCTCTGAATGTCCATTGAATGATTTAATTATTTGATTAGAATTCTGATCAAGTAAATCTATCTTACCAGATTGTTGTCCAATGGTAATCATTTTACTATTAGATTTCATAAATTTCACTTTGTTGGGATAATGAATTAAATTTGATACGATGGCTTTATTTAAATCAATTCCGGTAATCCCTGAACTGGCAACATCACCAGCACAATATATTTGTGTCTCATTCTCTGGTGAGATTGTGCACATGGTTCTCAAACCACTAAAAGTGGATACGTCTGCACAAGTAAGATTAAATAACGTTACACCTCTTCTATTACTCATATGCACAGAATCGCTACTCAGTGATAATACACCTTCCCTTGTCGTTAAGATGTCATTCACTTTAACGTCCCCAATATGAGCTTTATAACGACTATACATTTGAAAATTTGGATTGTAAGCTGTCATACAACCATATGTATCACCAGCCCAAATCAGATTGGCTCTATCATCAAACACTAGGTTTGTAACTTCTTTTTCTTTGTTATCATAACGAAAGTAGGGTTTCTTTAAATGTACTGAAAGATCAGCTGTATTATTAAATACATGTTGCCAATTATTCATAATTGACTACTATTAACAGTATTGTTGTAAAGGTTGTATGTTATATTTGAATACGGAACGATAATAAGTGTTGCACTTGGTTACACGAAATAATAATAAAACGAGAGAGGGGTACTAAGAATAAAGTTTTTCCTGGTACTTCAATATAACCAGTTTAGTATAATATCTGGTTTGTTTATTTCCAAAATGACGGTATTCTAGTGGTCGATTAGATATCGATCCTTCTCTCCTCTTTGACGAATATGTCACCTTTATCATTAGTTCTTTAATGAGTGAGTATTTTGTTTCAAGTAGTCAATTTTCGGGGCGCTAGAAGTTTGAAATTCACAGGAAAATCAGTGTTTTCGTGTATATAGACAAAGTATTGATTGTACTACGATCAAAATGAGATTTAGAACGATATTAGTCTATTACTGACAAGTTAATAGTTTGGTTGTGGAGTAACTCTTGTATGTGTCGGATGATGGTAATAAATGTAAGTGCGATATTAGTTAATGGATAAATGATTGAAAGAGAATGTACGTTTGTAAACTGGTTTGGAAACAATAAAATTTTATATTTTGGGGAATAAATTATAATTTAGAAGAATAAACATATTTTCATTTGTAATCTGAATACAACTAATATAATTTCCCAAGTTCTTCAATATAGAATTTAAAAAGTACAAAAATGGACAACATCTACATACTCTGTTTTTATTTATATATGCAATATTATTATTTGTTGTCTCTGTTTATGCACTTATTGCATTTCGCATACAAAGTAAGATATACGCGATAAATATATTTCTTTGTTTACATCATTTTTAACAGGTTCTCTAACTCAAAGTGAGGCATGTTTTAAAACGAATAAGAGAGTAAAAAACTCCCAATCTATTTATAAACAATAGGAACCAAAACAATTACATGACAATGAACGATCAGGATGATTCTCAGATGGATCTAACGCTGGAGAATGATGTATCGAAAGGAATGAGAAGCATACTGAAAATGAGCTTTAGTCAACCTACTTTACCTGCCAGTACGAGTACAAGGACCCATGATCAAACAGAACCAATACTACAATCTTTCTCACAACCAGAACTGCTATCTCATTCCAACAACACAACATCAAAATTGAGTGTTACTAGACCTCAGTCAGGAAAAATAAACCGTAGGGTTTCCTTTGCGCCCGATGTGACTTTACATAGGTTTGAATCTGTTCCGCAACGAGCTTTAAATAAGAATGATCCTCTTACAAATGATACATCAATAATGGATTTCACACAACCGACTCCTATTTATGAATTTAACAAAGATACGAAGTCCTCAAATGACATGGATGAATCGTTAGATATGACGGAGATACAAATTAAAAACAATACGAATAACGAAGATGAAGAGTCAGTGGAACTTACAGAGAGACAGGAGCAACTAACACCGATCATGATTGCAGTGGATTCTGCTAAAAGTTACATCCCTCAGATGGATCTTCGTAAGGGAAATATTTTACCAAACAACGAATCTGAAGATGACAACGCCAACGATGAGGAACCCATGGAATTGACAGAGGTGGTCAATTTTAATGATAATGTTGATTTAAGTCAAATAGATAAATCAACAACCAATGAAGAAAGTATAACAGGTTATAAGAGTATTCAAGGATCTAAGCTAATGGATTTTACACAAATTTCATCTGAATCTCTCAACAAAATTACAGATTCGCAATCTATGGATTTTACTCAGATATACAATCCACAGAATAGTAAGAAAACAGACAACGTTGAATCACAACCAATGGAACTAACACAAGTTATTCATAGCAGTTCCAAACAAAATGAAACAAAAACTAGTAAAAAATACCCATTATCAACTCTTCCAAAGTTGCTCGCCACTTCGGGAGATGATTCAAAGTCCTCAAAGGACATTGCCCCTCAACCTAATCATACTGGAACATCGTTAAATTCTACTCTGTCTAGTGATACTGACTCCAACAGAAATATTGTAAAGGAAAAGGACACTGCTCAATCTAACTTAGAATCGAAAATTCCTCCTCCAAGTAGTATACCAAGGATAATTAGGAAAAGAAAAAATTTAGAAGATCCAATTACACCTGTAGTTAATATTCAAGAAGAACTGACCAACAAAAAACCAAACACGGCGAACACTGAATCAAATATCGAAGAAATGGAAAAAATGTCACCCATAAAGATAACTCAACTTAATGAATCTGATAAAGAAAATCTGAATCAAAAGTCTGATTATTCTCTAAAAACGTTTATTAAAGATACTGATGTAGGATTTTTGACAGATATAAATATTCTTAAACAGGATGTAAAAGCTATCCCATTCCCCATAATTACACAAACAGAAGATTCAGTTTTTAAAGCTCAAAGCTTATGCAATGCTTTATACAATGATATACCAATGGTCCAGATGAACACATTTATTATAAAAGAGTTACTCTCAATTGGTTCTCAATCATCAATATCTTTCGAAAATCTTGATCAACAAATTAAAAATTCTTCTAATCCTCCTTTACTATTGCAGGATTATTTTAATTCTGATGATAGGACCAAAGAAACAATGAAAGAACAACTTCAATTGATCAAATACTTTGCAAAATTGAACGCTAAAAAGTCGTTCAGTGAATGGTATCTATCACAGTTGAAAAATTTGAAAAACGTGCTTCTCGAAAATGAAACACTGTTAGAACAAGAATATCAAAAGATTAGAAGTACACTTGAAGATATCAAATTGATTCATTCAAATGTAGGTAATATTAAGAATTTATTAAAGGCAGAATTACAAGCTATCAAAACTTCTTCGACAAAAGAACAAGGTGATGATTTTAATTTATCTCAAAAAATCCATTTAACTTGGCTGAAGCAAGAACTTCAACGAAATAAGTTATCAATTGAACAGTATCCAAAATTGTGTGACCAGGAAGAAAAATTAGCTAGCGCAATAGTAGTAAATCAAACCAAACTAAGAAATTTGAAAGATGACATTATGTCAAAGGTGGACCATGGTATAGATAATATAGAGATCATCCCACAACTCAATGGGTCACAAAATATGTTACATATATTAGAGAGTTTAACAGGTATAGATGTTTTGGAGTTCAAGAATTCTATATTATCATTGAAATTACAGGATATATCCAATTCAATAATACATGTGAACTTAGATTTGGAAGATGAAAACATCATCACTGTTGATTCGGAACTTAAGTCCAATAAATTACTCCCATTCATTATTGATCTTTTATCAACTGAAGGTAAAGCTACCAATAACGTCAAAACTCTTGATAACATCTGTCACCTAATAAACAACATAAGAAACATGACAAAAGTGTTTAAAGAATTCGAATTCCTTGACACATTATTCCTTACCAAAATTACCAATGACAGTGCGATTCAATTTTTTGATTACAATACTTCATTAAATGAAGAAATTATATTCGAAATAGATATAAGCGCGTTTGTGCAAGTCGTGATGACCAATAATAACAAAGTGACACTGACGGCACAAACAGTCAATGGAGAGACACTGGAAACATCGGATATTATGTCACGTCTTACTTCCAAAACTCAGAAAATATTGCCTTGGTTTAATGAAGACCGCATAAAAATCATTTTAAAATAACTGATGCATATATACTGTCATACGTAATCACATATTTCGTAAATGTCAAATGGATTCCTCTCAGAAACAGTTCATATCTAACTTCTCTCTCTATACACATTAACTTTTCGTTCATTTTATTTCAGCGTCGTGCGTCGGGATGTTTTTTCTTCTTCCGCCTAAATCAACAAAAGTTTCAAATCTGAAAATCAGAAGCTTCGAAAATATATTTGTGATTTTTACCAACAACAAACTGAGATGAGTAGAGGGTTATCCCAATTTGTGATTGACATTAAGTATTATCAAATATCCAACAACAACCACAGCCAATACTTAATTGCGACGTAATCTTATGTTTGGGAAAACTTTAGGTGGTCAATCGACCTTGGGAATTCAAAGTGCTTCTACACCAACATCAACACCAGCACCAGCTATGAATAACCAATTACCTCAAAAGACTAACAGTCTATTTGGTAATACAACTACAAATTTTGGGACCTCAACGCCAAGTCCGTCTGGAATATTTGGTAACACGGCCAACCAAAATAAACCACCAACTGGAGGACTATTTGGAAACACGACACAACCTAATAAGCAACCTTCTAATAATCTATTTGGTAACACAAATACTTCAAATGCCCCTCAGACAAGTACTACAGGTGGCTTATTTGGATCTAAAGCTCAACCTCCAGCTACAACAAGTAACACAGGATTGTTTGGTAATTCCAATAATACAGGTGGATTAGGTTCCGTTGGAGGTCTGTTTGGAAATGCAAATAAACCTGTTGGTGGAGGTAGTCTATTTGGTAATAATACCACGGCACCTCAAAATGGGTTACAGACTGGATCGGTCTTTGGAAACTCAAACACAACTGTCAAACCTGCTGGGACCAGTTTATTTGGAAATTCTTCAACAACGAATGTGTTACCTACAACAGCTGGCCAATTCGGAAATACAGCTACCAATTCAATGGGCGGTGGTTTGTTTGAAAACAAACCCGCTACTTCTAATTTGGCAGGTAGTCAAAGTATGTTCGGCAACAAACCACAAGTTGGTGGTGGTTTATTCGGTAATCCTGCCCAAGGAAATAACAACTTATCATCTGGTCCATCTAATACTATTAAATTTGATATGTCAAACATGCCCAAATCTATCACACCTTCGGTACAGAAACAAGAGGCTACAAATATACCATCTCACAGCAACCGTACATCCTTTTCTCTGCCATCGAAAAGTCATTCTGAACACCAGATGTTACCATCGAACATATTTGGCAAATTAAATACGAGATTAAAATATATTAAGGAAAAATCAACTAAAGGCATATTTTCTTCATCTTCAAAGGGTTGGTCACATTTACCATACAATGATCACAGACCAATTGTCTACCATACAGTAGCACTAGACAAGAAAAAATGTCAACCTATGCATTTATTATCGATTAATTCTCTGGAAGACCAAGATGTCAGAAACTTACGTGTTCTGAAAATCGATCCAAATAGAAGCGCTGCTAAGAAACTGAAATTACTACCGAATATCGCTGTACCTACCCAACAGGTAGTTCAGTCTGTTGATAATTTAAAACATCCAATTTCTTTATATCCTGAAGAGAACAATCCGATCGTTGTTAAAGAGCAAACGGAAGTCGTTGCTTCTGAAACATCCTCTCTTAGAGACAGCAAACCAACTGAAGAAAATATAGACACGTCTGAGAAAGATATCAATGACACGCCTAGTGATTATTGGTGTTCACCTTCCCCAGATGAGTTAAAAAAATTATCATCAGAACAATTGGCTTCTGTTTCCAATTTTATTATAGGTAGAAAAGGATATGGAACAATTTCATTCAATTATGATGTTGACCTGACTTCAGTTGCCAGAGACGTGGAGGCCCAGTTGTTTGGTAATATTGTTATTTTTAACTCCTCAAAAACTGTCGAGGTTTATCCTGATCATAGTACCAAACCAGGTGTAGGATATGGCCTTAACATTCCAGCTACCATTTCCATCGAGGGTGTATATCCAATCGATAAGAAAACTAAAAAGCCACATGTAAATCCCCAAAAATCATCCGAAATCCAACTAATAATTAGAAGGTTAAAAAACATGAAAGAGATGGAATTTATTTCATACAACCCATTTGGAGGTATCTGGACTTTTAGAGTTAACCATTTTAGTATTTGGGGGCTTGTCGATTCAGAAGATGTGGAAATGGATTCAGAAGATCTCAAAGAAGAAGAAAGGTTGGAAAATAATATACAATACGATAAAATTATACAAACTAGAACTCTTGCACAGTCCAATACATCTAATGCAAGACAAACATTTGGGAACGATACTCAAGCTGATCTATTGGTATTGCAGGATAGGAGTTTTGACGATCAAGAATATAAAAACACTAATGATAGTGAACTTGTTGAAGAAAAAGCTTTTGAACCTGATGTAGATGAAAAGGATATTGAATTAATGGAAGGCGAGCCATCTCTCGAAATTACCGGTGATTGGATGGAACAGTTGCGAATTGCCAGTTCATCTAACAATTCTGTATTTGTCAAACGCTTTTCCCAGTCCAAGATAGAAGAGAACGCAATGACACTACTATTTTCAGATTTTAATCAAAATTTTGAAACAATGAAGAAAATAGTCAAAGAAAGAAGAATGAGCACTAATTACACATTTGCCAAATTTGATTCCCGATCAAAATTATTAATTAAAAATATTAATCAAATTTCTGGAACTCAACTTTCCCCCATGAGATCGTCTCTCAATAACGATGATTTAATCATGAAATCCTCCTTACTTGACCTCCATTTAAAATCTGTCGCCATTGAACAAAGAAAAACAAACAAGTATCCAATAGTAAAAAGCCATACCTTAAATTTTACTGGAATTTTACCACTAATCCATCTTTTGTCCCCAGAATATGAAGTATGGAGACTATGTTCCATTTTACATGACAGACTTATCTTTCCTCAGGAAGTTAAAAATGAAACTGTGAAAGCAACTTTATGGAAGGAATCTAGATACAGATCATTGTGTGACTGGGTCTTAGATCAAATTAAAGATGAGTTAAACTTAAAAATCAAGAATACAAGTGATCCTTTAGATAAGATTTTCTATTTACTTTTCTTAAACGACAATATTACTGCCGCTAAGGTGGCTATGAGTTCAAACAACGCTTATCTTTCAGTTGTTCTGTCATTCTTAGGGTCCAATGATCCGCGTGTCGCAGAATTTGCGTCACATCAATTGGAAGCATGGGAAGTATCGGGCCATCAAGTTGAGCCAAAAGTTAGAAGAATTTATGAAATTCTAGGAGAGACATTCTTTAACTCTAGGACGGCTATTCTGAAATTACTGGAAGACTTCTCATGGCTGGCAGTTTTTGGACTCGGTCTTTTTTATGGAAGAATCGATGAAAATTCGTTAGAGGATCTTGTATTTTCATTGATAACAAAGATCCCTAATTTGGAAGAAGACCTTCGTTATGTTACTTTACAACTCTATAGCTGCAACAGTGACGTCGAACAATTGTTTAAAACATTGAGATATCAAAACCAACAATTGGGAACTCAATTTTCATGGTACTATATTCAAATTTTGAAATTTAATAATGCAAAAAACTTTTCCAACGAGTATTGTGATATTTTAACCTTGGATTTAATAGAAGACTTAAGGATAGAAGGATTTACTGAGCAAGCTTTATTCGTATCTTGTTTTATAAAAAATGACAGAGTTGCAGTACAGCAGATATCCGATCTAGTCTCTAGGAATATATCAGAATTTCTTCAAAACAAAATGCTGCTTGAAAGGTTACAAATTCCAGAAAGTGTTATATATTCTGCTGCAGCGGTGTTTGATAAGTACAATGGAAACTATTTATCGGAAATTCAAAACCTTTTAAGAGCCGGTTCCTTTAAAGATGCTGAAAAGGAAATGATGTTAACTGTAGGTCCTAAATTAGTACTAAAGTACAATGTTAAATGTAATACTGATGCGATTGAAACACTGGGTACATTCCTTGGAAAATTTCCAAAGGATAAGATGGATAACTGGAGAAATACATTACAAGTTTACGAAGAATTTGTAGATATCATATTAAAAGACAACCAAGATAATGTTAAAGTTAAGAGCATAGAGGACAGTTTGAAATTACTGATGAAATTTCACAACCATAAACTGGTACCTGCATGTTGTAACATAATAAAAAAGAAATTAAAAGCTATGCAATTTTAGATAGATTTACGAAAATATTTTTAATAATTGGTAATTAATTTTAAGTCACTTTTACTAATAATATTGTATATAATTGGTATGTACGAAGCATAATAGCAGTAGCTATATATATATATATATGAAGGTCTTGATCTAACACACAATATTGTAGATTGAAGTATCAATTTTCTTCAGTCATATTTTAAATGTTAAGAATAAACATGACAAATAATCCGTTCATATTTTGCAGTAGCTGAACTCTACCAAAGAACTAAATCTTTATCGATTAATCATAATGTTCAATATCAACTTGATTCCTGTGGAGATGCACTAAAACCATCCTCACTTCTCCATTCCAAGGACAATGGTATTAAATATCTCCAACAGCATCTCTCAGACTCTCCACTACATTCAGGACAGCGACAGAAGCAGGTGATTCAGGATATGCATCTAAGAAACTTTCTCCCTGGTCGGAACATTTACCTATTCTTGGATCTAATGGAACAGAACCAAGGAATCTAATATCTAGTTCCTCACATAAGGCTTTACCACCACCTGTAGTTGCTTTGAAAATCTGTGATTCACCTTTACAACCTGGACAAACAAATCCACTCATATTTTCAACAAGGCCAAGGATATTAATTCCTGCCTTCTTACAAAAATCTATTTCTTTTCTAACATCCAGTAATGCAACTTCCTGTGGAGTTGTGACAATCAAAGCACCATCAATACCAGACTCTCCCATAAATTTATTAATTGAAATATGTTCATCTGAAGTTCCTGGAGGTGTATCCACAATTAAATAATCCAGTTCATCCCAATCAACATCCTTTAAAAACTTTTTAATAAGTTGGTTCTTTTTGGACCCTCTCCATATCACGGCTGAGTCATCATCAGGTAGCATAAATTGGATTGACATAGCAGCTAAATTATCAGCTACGTAAACAGGTGTCCATCCAGAATTAGATTCATGGACTAATTCATCAGAGCATCCTAACATTCTTGGGAGAGATGGACCACATATATCTAAATCCATTGCACCTACCTGAAGATCCTCATCGGCAGATAAAGCCCAACTTAACATTGTAGAAAATGTTGATTTACCAACACCACCTTTACCAGATAGAACCAAGATTTTGTGTTTAATACCAGCCAAATTTTCAGTAATCAATGGAATATCCAGATCAGGTCCCTTTGGTAAACTCTCACATATTTCCTTATTAGCACAGCCATCACATGCATCTGCTTTACCAGCCATCTCGGACTCTGGACCAGGACAATGTTCAGGTTCTGGCTCATTCAATTCATATTCAGGAGGTAAGACCCTGTCATCGCTGTTGGTCACTGGTGGAAGAACTTCTGCGGCCATTTTATTTATGTATATTTAGTTTGCTGGACTTAATGTTAGGATATACTCTTTTAACTCTAAATAAGATAGAAATAGAGATGTATATTCAGTTAAATCAAAAATATGAAAATATAGGATCTCAATAAAGTTCTTCTTAAATGCGATGCCTAATTAGTAATCACTTTTTACTAAGAACTATTTCGGACATCAATACTAATATTGTGAAATATTTGGACAATGCGCCAAAACCGAAAATTTCACGTGAAGTCAAATTGTCAGAGAGTCTTCCATAAGAATTACAGTATAATCGTTGATCATGGTTCATCGATAGAACCTTGGCGTATAATTTCTTTTGGTTTTTATACAATTCGAAGAGGGAACTATAACAGACTTTACACGTTGGAAACTTTTTTTGCCAAAGTGGGAGTGGTTTGGTTTAACTTGGATTATAGAGGTAGATATTGAAAAGTGGTACCACATCAATGACTGGATTAAGGGAGTTTGTTAATAATAAGAGGTCACCATGAATAAGACGTCAGAACAGGAATATATATGTTGTATTCCATTTAATAATTTAATCATTGAAAAGGTTTCTGACGCGCCAATAGAAGAAAATGATATATGCATTTGCAAAGCTTTACTAAAAGAACCCGTTAAAGATGTTACAACTGAACAAGGAATTCAAGATATAACTATTAATCAAATATTAATGAGTGAAGGTTCAACGATATTTGAAAGCAAATCCCTAACATTTAATCATTTACAAACATTTGAACATTTCAATATTCCAGGTATAAAAAAAATCAATATTTGGTATCATCTAATTAAATTACTTACAGGCAGTGATGTATTGGCTCAGTATCTGGACGTTAAATTAGACTCAGCTTACTGGAAATTCGAAATACAAGGTCTGAACCAATGTAATTTAGTATTTCAAATGGCATCAGAAACTATAGTTAAAAAAATGGCAGAGATATCATTCACATCGGTTGAAAATGCTGAATTGGATTTATTTGATTTAACGAATCGTTTATTTCAAAGATTTAGGAACTTAAACGAGACACATCACAAAATAAAAGAAGAATTTGCTGTATCAAGTATTGAGCTGTCAACTTTAACATCTGAACGCAAAATTCTAGATAAAATTCTGGATGAACGAGATAAAAAAACTAAAACAGTGGTAGTTGAATTATTGAATGAGAAAAAGAAAAAGATATTTCATCTTGAACAGCTTATTGAAAGTAAAGGTTTTGGGAATCTTTTACCTGAAAGTAAACCAGATTCAGAAGTTATAAATACTCATATACTGGATGCTGTGAATGAACTAAATTCTCCTGGTAAGAGGAGGAAAATTAGAGCTAAAGGAAGTAGTGATAAGGGCATCAAAAGGAAGCTAAAATATGAAGATATTCTTCAAAGAGATAGTCTGAAAAAGGAAAAGATTGAGGGTCACGAATTTTCCCCAGAATTTAATTTCTATGGGATTTCAAAACTACCTACAGAAGATCCAAATATTTTTCTTCAGGAAACTATAGAACCCCTAGTAAAAGTTGAACCAGGAGAAGAATCCCTAAATACATCTGATGAATCAGATGACGTTAAAGTAGATCGAAAATATTTAACAAAGTCAATTACCACATCAGACTTTGAATCCGAAACCGACGCCGACAACACCGTCGAAACTAAAGGGAAAATCAATACTAATAAAGGAAGAAATTCACATGAAAATATTGGAATTAAAGATATACATAATAAGGGAAACTACTCCACTTCTGATAGTGATGTGGAAACTGAAACGAGCGATTTTTAAAACGAAAGATATTTAGCTTATAAATTGACTCTGGGGAATGCATTCTTTAGAAAATCATTCTAAATATTAACAGTTTAACAATGATGAATTTAATAATTAGTTTGTGATTAATGTGAGAATAATATTTATTGAATATAAAAATAAACAAAAACGGTGTTTGATATATAGAAGGATAATCAAATATTATAAAAATGAACGTATAGATGGTGAGCGAATAACTTTAAAACTGAGGAAGACTCTCTTGGTAAGAGTTAGACTTTTGGAACTAGTATAATGGTTGACCCCAGTCCAATTCAAGCCAATGCCATTTGGCGTCTGCATCTGCATCCGCATCTCTCTTGTATAAAGGTTGACCCCAGTCTAATTCAAGCCAATGCCACTTAGCATCAGCATCAGCAACAGCATCTCTCTTATACAAAGGTTGACCCCAGTCCAGTTCCAACCAATGCCAGTTGGCATCTGCATCTGCAATAGCGTCTCTCTTGTATAATGGTTGACCCCAATCTAATTCTAACCAGTGCCACTTAGCGTCTCTCTTAGCTAATTCGGTATCCTTCGTTTCTGCAAGCGCATTGTTAACGATGGTGGTGTTCACAAACATAAGACCATTCGAAGTTTCATTATGAAATGGAAGCAATGCAACATCTTTATCGCCTTCCAAGTCTAGGTAACCAAGAACAGCCTCAGCTGGGATATCAGTTATGGAAGACTCGGAGGATTCAGTCAAGTTAACCGGGGCAGCTAAGGCAATTGCTGTTGTTGCTATTAATGATAGGGCATTAGCAAATTTCATTTTAGTTTGAGTGATGTGAGTATTCCTTATCGATTTTGTTTATGGATGATGATTATATATAGCATATTATGTAACATATTTATGAAGTCAATCTAGATATATATTAAAATGTGTTATCTTTTTATATTAATCGTGTTTCTATTTCTTAATGGGATACAGTTTTATCATTTTGTTTGGGGCCTTCGATCTAATGGAATTTTAATAGCATATCATAATGTTTTTAGTAAAACTAATCATCATGTTTCAAATTGCATCAAGATAAATTGTAAAAACCTCAACGGTATATAATATAATTAGGTCCGACATTTTATTGTAATTAATAGTTGCATATATTTGATTATATTAAATGTTTCTTTTTTTTTTATAAAAAAACAAGATAAAATAGTCATTGAGGGCCCAAATAGGAAAGTCTGACATGAGAGAGTTAATAAAATATGAACTTTTGAAACTTTTGAAACTTTTAATACATATATTGAGGTATTGCCATACTTATAAGTACGACAAAATCATTAATATACTTCTTCTGTTTTATCAGATTTGAAAAATGTTTACCCTTTAAGGAATATTTCAACTAAATGTAATGAGGTGAGTTATCTGACTTTGTATGAGTTTGTGACAAAGTAATAAAGTAATATTAACTAAAATAATAGTCGCTCAAAGATTATGTTTTTAGGAAACCGATCGCAGAATACAAACTTTCCACGATAGAATTAGTTATTCTAAAGTGTTTTTGGGCCCCAAATTCAGCATATTTGGACATACTATAAAAATATTTTGATCTATTATAAGAGTATTATCGAAAACTTAAATTTCAAGAATGGTATTAAAATATGTTTAAGTCATTGTATATCTTATATTACCTGGTTTAAATGAATTATTTAAAAATGTATCAATAATATGCTTTTCTCTTCATTTTTTTTAATTATGTAAATTTTAACAAGGGAGATTTTAGATTTGGGTAAATACATAATAACAACAGCTATCTTTTTAGCATTCAATAAATAGTAGTCGCATTCAAATAATATTAGAATAAAGATTCGATGATATGAATTTAAATAATCTTGTCCAACTCTCTTTAAAAAGTTGCACCTTCCTTTGGTTGAGGTAATTTCTTATTTGTTGGCGTTGCCATTTCTTTTCTTAAATCCAATAGTACAGTTTGCATAGAATATGATCTCTTCCATTCCTTCAATGTATGAAAATCTCCAATTATAACATCTCCAGTGGTTTGATCCACGCAAGGTAAATTCACCTTTGAAATAAACTTGACCTTTGGTGGTTGATCTGGATATTCTGGACCACATTCAATAGCCAGTGAATATATTCTGTTTTCATGGTTGCTATGAGGTGGACCTAATATTGTACCATTCCAATTTGTCATTGTGTTGTCATCTGCATCGGCTAACCCATAGCTACATGATTCGGGGCCTAGACCTTTCTCACCATTTTCTAATTCTTCTAACAATCTAAAACTTCTTGGACTGTAAAATATCAATTGTATTTAGTTCTGTATTGGGTAATGTTCCTATAGCGATTCCTTCGAGAATAAAGGATTAATAAGCATATAGCAGAAAAGAACCCCAACCAAGGTAGTCATACATCTGTGTTAGTAATCAGTAAAAAATAAAATAAAATATAAAATAGCAATCTCCCATTAAATAATTTTTCAATAATACGTGGAAAAAATATGGATTATCATCAAATCAATTACTATTTAGATCTCTCGATGATGATTTTTGCAAAGGCACCATATAAACTCCTTTATCGATTATTCTAAGTTATACATACATTTTTGACATTATTTCTATAATATATGTTATTTATAGTAGAGTGATATTCACTGCGATGGTTATTTATTTTATCCTGCGTAGATTAGTGACGTAGGTACATATGTCCAACCCTTTGTTGTTGCGTCCTATCTATTATTGCCTTTAAAGCCCTTTCCACTCCCTTGTTACACCAAAAAAAAAGTCTTTTAGATCGGGCAGTTCATGGTGCCCTTATTGCTTTGGTTGGTATACTGTCAAGCAGAATCTCTCATCGTATTAAGTGATAGTATAGTCAAAACATATATCGATACTTTTTGAATTAACAGTTAGGTAACCAAGAAGGCATGGTATATATTCAAGTTAAGTTAAATATAAGTCTTGCCATGAACTTGTTAATCATAGAACTTAAAGTAGCGACTGGATATGATTGAAGTATCAGTGGCACCAGCAACTGTCGAGAGGATTACATTATTTGTTTGTACGTAAAGTCTATATGAGTGGCTCTCCGGGCGCGTTTTCCCATTAACATTCTATACGGTTATAATTTTAAGACAATAGTCATCTCTTGAATAGTCGATCAAGACGTACATGTAGTTGTACTTAGTCATCCAGATTTTCCTTTATTCTTATTTCATTTCATTTGTGCAATTGGGTGACTTGGTTTTAATTCTGATAGATTACACTGTGGTGCTATAATGGATGATGAAAGTGAAATAAGTGGTGGATCGTCGCCATTTCTGGACTCTCCCGATACTATTCAAGTACAAGGCAAACAGAGTTCGTCTCTACTTGAGAAAAAAGACGATATAGTTCCAACAGTGGCTAGAGAAAAGGTCAGAGAGTTATTGAATTTGGAGTATAAATTAAGTACGTTGCAGAATACTTACGAATTGGAAAAATTACAAGCACAACGACAATTCAATGATTTAGAGAAGAAACATCGAGATACCCTTGAGCAACTAGAGGGTGCGATGGATAATTCAAGGTTCTTACATGATGAGAATGAACATGTGGTAAATGAGTTGGATAGATTGAAGTCTGAATTACAAAATACCGATAATAACAAGGATTCTCAAATGCATGATCTAGAACTAAAATTGCATGAGAGGGATAAAACAATAGATGATTTGAAATTCAAACATGAATCAGACATTTCAAAGTTTAATTATGAATTAGAAAGTTTACGGGATGAGAAAGGGAATGTTGATGAACTGGTACAGAAATATAATGCAGAGATCATTAGACAAGCTGCTGATATCAAAAAACTTTCAAAGGAGCTTAATAGTAAAGAAGATGAAATATTGGAATTGAAGAATTCAAATATCTTGAATTCTCATCCAAATTATAATACAGAAGAATTTAGAGATTTATCTACAATGAATAAACTTTTCAAAGAACAAGCGCAATATTGTAAGGAATTAGAAGAAATTAACTTGAAACAAGCTAATGAATTGAAAAAATATAGAAATTCAGAAGATTCCTCCAGTTTTTGGAAAAATGAAAGTGAGAAATTAGAATTGAAAGTTCAACAATTTGAATATCTTGAAAAAAAATACGAGGATGGGCAAGTTGAATTATTAGAATTAAAGTCTAAACTTACGCAATATAATATGTTTACCGAGGAATTGAAAGGTAGAGATATGTTTAACATTCAACCTGAGGAGGTAATTAATGAATTAGATTTATTAAAAAAAGAAAACTTAGTAGTGATCGATGAAAATTCTAAATTAAACATAAATATGAGCAATGTGAAGATATTAAATGAAGAACTGGCCCTTGAGAGGACACAACTGTTGAATCTAAATAAAGATTATGAAAATAGCATTATTAATTTGAAAAGATTAAATTATGAATTGGAGCAACAAAAATTTTTATCATTTGAAGAATGCAAATTATTACGCCAACAATTACAAGATCTTGATAATTTTACAAATAATAGTATGAAGGGTATAGAGACTGAAAAAGATAACGTGGATGAGAAGATAGCCCCTCCTAAAATCGATAATGATAGCAACAATTTAATTGAAAATTATAAGAATAGAACCGATGAATTGACGGGTGAATTAAAAAAGTTAAACCAACAGATGTTAGCTTCCCAAGAAGCAGAGGCTCAGAATTTTAAAAAGAGGAAGTTAAAAGATACAAATGGTATGACATATTATTCTCAAAGAATAAATGAATTGCAATTAGAGAATGGAAAGTTGACTAGAGACTTACAAAAATATCATAATCTAAATAGTTTACTAGAAACAAAGCTTATGAAGTTAATAAACTTGAAGGAAAAGAAGATTAGGATTTTAGAACTTCGTGAGAATCCTCTAATGAAGGATCAATTCGTTAAAAGAAAACAATTGGAACTACTACTACAAGAGAATAAAGATTTGCTTGCCCAACTCCAATCTGACATTAACGTAAAGACCATTCCTGTTTCTGTTTATGAATCTCTAAATTTTGATATCAAACAACAGGAACAAGAAATTTTTAAAGCGAATAAGAAATTTACTAGATTAAAGGAAGTTTACAATAAAAAATCCTTAGAATTCATTGAAGTAGTAAATTCGATTCTCGGTTTTAAATTAGAATTTAGGCCTGATAATAAAGTAAAAATATATTCATGTTATATGCCCAAAAAATACTTGGTGGTGGATTTAAAACGTAACACACTTGAATCAAATTTGGCTGTAGATAATTGGGATGAACTTTTGGAAATATGGATAGAAAAAAGGGGACAAATACCATGTTTTTTAGCAACAATCACGTTGCAACTATGGAACGCGTCGCACACTATTAGTTCTAATACATAATTATTTATATATTTGCATCCAAACATACTCATTTCAGTAATTTATGTATACCACTAAAAAACTTAATCGACTTTGACATCTTTGACATATTTTGTGACTTATTACTCTGTAAAATGATCTTATTTCAAAAATTTCGTGTATATTTCCTTTGTTTATATTTCTTCGGATCATGAATTTCTGAAGTCTTGATTGAGCATTCGATATATAAATAGGTTCAGATATATTTATATAAAAAAGAACCAGTATACAAAAAATTGGTTTCCTAACGTTCTGAAAATAATAGAGCTCATTGCAATCAATTTTCTATGGTATGAACAGGACCTATTGATTATGAATAATGATAAACAATCGAAAGGATTAAACGTGTCTAGTGATGTTGTCGTAGGGAGCATAATTCTTACTAGTTTATTATTTGGCACAAAAAATGGATATTCCCGATTTCTAAAACAATATCGAGACGCAAGAGATATTCCTTCGAGAGCATTCAAGCGCAGATGGTTATATGGAAAAGTAACAGCAGTTGGTGACGGTGATAATTTCCGTTTTTACCATACTCCAGGAGGAATACTCGGAGGTTGGGGGACTTTCAGACGTATTCCTCAATTAGATAAGAATACAATCGGGTTCACTTCGAAGTCAACCTATAATTCTCGGAATCCTACATCAAGCTCTTTTCTAAATCGTTTATTCATTTATAGGAAAAAAAAGGTGAAAGATATTTCCAAGTATTATATGAGCTTAGAGGTACCTTATAAAGGTAAAAGAAACGTTCCAACAATTTCAGTACGACTATCTGGAATTGACGCTCCAGAGAGAGCACATTTTGGAGGAGAAACACAGCCTTTTGGAGATGAAGCATTGAATTGGTTAAGGTACGTTATATTAGGAAAGAGGATATGGATTAAACCGCTCTCTATCGATCAATATAATAGATGTGTTGCAAGGGCAGTATATTGGAATTGGTATAGTGGATGGACAGATGTTAGTCTCCAAATGTTGAAAGAAGGGTTAGCGACGGTATATGAGGCTAAGACAGGTGCGCAATTTGATGGACGAGAGAGTGTTTACAGATTAAATGAGTTTATCTCGAAATCCAAGTCAAGAGGTCTGTGGGCTCAGAAGAAAGTCGAAACCCCAGGTCAATATAAGAAACGGCAAAAGTCATGAGTCCTACAACCTTAATTTTATAGAAGGTGGAGAATCGACTTGCACTCAGTAGTTCATAGTTGTAAATATATTCATATGTACATACAATACATCCCAATTTAAAGACAATAAACCAATTGTTTGCTAACAATAACGTGAATTTTTCATAAGGCGTCTTTTTTTTCTTCACTTTCGTTGCGTCTTCTAATAGTCAATAAATAGTGTCAAACTTAAGTTAAAGGGACATAACTTTGGAAGTCTACCTTATTAGTCGTCTGTTACTCAAGTTGTGTTTTATCTATTGTATATTGGCTCCCAAGTATCAGCATTATATTGCAAGTTTTTAAATCAGAAAGAAAACTTTAATACATATTAATAGGCTATCCAATGATGGGGTTTTGGTCGTCTAAAGGTGGTATCAGTTCCAAGTATTCATTCTCCTCATCTCCTACTTTTGTGACAGGGTCATGGGATGTATATACAGGACGTTTGAAAAATGCTCCTAGTTCTTCCAATTCTGCTAAAGTTTCGGTATTCATATTCGATAAGAAGAACTTTGAGAATTATCTTCTAAGGTTCAATATTATTAAATCAAAATCATCTTCTCATGATAAGAAATTTATTCAAGAGGGTTACGATATATTGAGAAATCAAGTAAATAATTTAGCAAAACTAAAGCATCCGAATATTTTGACCCTTGTGGAACCTCTAGAAGAACATAGTAAAAATTTTATGTTTGTTACAGAGTATGTTACTGGCACCTTAGAAACTGTCTTTTCTAATGATGACACCGAAGAACAGGATTTTTTGAAGGGCCATATAAAAGAAGACATTGTTATTCAACGAGGTATACTACAAATAGTGAACGGGTTAGATTTCATCCATAATCGAGCTAGTTCTGTTCATTTAAATATTAGACCAAATGCAATTTTTATTAATGATAATTCAGATTGGAAACTTTCTGGTCTAGGACACTTATTTAAGCTACCACAAGGTACAAGTACAGCAGATTATTATTTTCCCCAATATGATCCAAGAACTCCGAAATTCATGACATTAAATTTAGATTACACCGCTCCAGAACTAATATTTGAAAACACAGTTTCTTTTAAGAATGATTACTTCTCCCTGGGGTTATTGATGAATTTTTTATACAATGGTAAAAACGTACTTCTAAAAACAGAAAATTCCACTAGTCAATACAAAGATGAATATAAGAAACTTGAAAAAAAGATCAGTTCAATGTCATGGGATAATATATTTAATAAACTACCTCCAAAATTAAAACCTTGTATACCAAAGTTAATGACCAGAGATATTTATTCTCGTTACGATAATATTTCAGAATTTGCAGATAGTGAATTTTTCCATGATCCATTAATAAAAGTTTTAAATTTTCTTGATGGGCTCCCTACAAAATCAAATGAAGAAAAATTTGTCTTCTTAGATGGTCTGGTTGAATTGCTACCGCAATTTCCAAGTACTATCTTACAAAAGAAATTTTTACCTGTTTTATTAGAATTAATTAATCTGTTGTGCAGTGAAAACCCTGTGGATAGTAGATGTGTGGCCAAGGACCTTGAAATTATCATTAAGATAGGGTCTACGTTGTCCCAATTATCATTTAGTGAAAAGATCTTACCTGTAATATCCGATAAGATCAATTTCCAAATTTTATTGGAAAATGCGACTGACAGCTTAGTGGATAACCTTCAAGTACTTAAGGAGAAGATTCGGACTACCGATTTTTTAGATGCAATTTTGAACCCTTTGTTAACATATACTTTGCAGGACAATATCAAAGAAAATTGTATTACTGTCCAAGAAAATGTTTTGAATCAAATTAAGTTAATCCTTGAGAGTTATGATTTTGCCAATGTGAAAAACTTTTTATTACCTCTTTTATCTAAACTTTTTGTGAAGACTACAAGCCTTACCGTTAAGGTATCATGTGTTGACTGTTTTGAGACAATGGTAACTACGAAAACGATTGATAAATTTACTTGCAATGATAGTATTTTACCATTATTTAAGACCATGAAGACAAGAGATGCTAGGATCCTAATGAAATCTCTAAAATTATTTGAAATGATTCCACAATTGATTACTGACGAAGACACATTAGTAGACCAATTATTACCTCTCTTATGGACCTATTCTATGGCCTCTACTCTGGGAAAAGCTGATTATATGCAGTTTATAAAGATCATCAATAAATTATCCAGTGATATTCAAAAGGAGCATATGGAAAAACTGTCAGATATGCCATCAATCCGTGAAATGGATAGTTCCAAAGGTTTCACAAAGATTATTCAAGAAAATGAGTCGAAAAAACATGAGGATCCGGATTTGATAGCTAGTAGAAGTGTGACTGCGCCAGTTATGAATCCTAAAAAGAAGATTAATATTACGACAAATAAACACCCACCAAGTTCGGTTCCAATGTCTTCCATGACGAATCCTCCTACTAACGTTAAAAGCCCTCCTGTTAGTAACTTAGGTTATCCTTCGGTGATGGCGTCTACACCTCAAGGACCAACCAAATCGGTACGTACATCTCTGAAAATATCATATCATGATACTACAAACGACGAGGACGATGATTTTGATAATTTCGTTTCCTCAACACAACTATCCCACAAACCATTGCAACCAAATGCATCCAGTGGTTCTCTGCCTCCTGGTTTCTCCGATATGCTGTTGACTCCTAATAGAAAGGATACACCGACCTCGACTGCATACGGCTCAACAAGAACGTCAGATTCTCTGATATGAGATGCTCTAACTTAGATAATTGTTTAGTTTTTTGCCTGATTTCAAAAGGAGGCTCATTATCTTTTTTACTCCTCCGAGAAGGGAAATGAATCAGAATAGGTCATCGATATTCCCCCAAGGAATGGTGAATTCAATATCATATGCACAACAAAATTTAAATCTTTTATGATCCTTGAATTTTGCCAAGACTTTTTGCTCACTTTTATATGGGGCAATTGAATTTTCCGTTAAGAAACATTCGCACAACTGGGCAACCCTCCAGACAGGACATTTTCTTTCTTTTTTCTTTTTCATCGCATGGATTGACAGTCCTTCCTCTTATGTTATGTAACATCCAATACATATTTAGATATAAAAGATAGCATATATTATTTATTTACACGTTAGATTCAAGGTTTGGATGGGTTTCATTATTGATAATACCTCGAAGTTAATTATAGCATTCGTTATTCGCTATTTTTAAATTGATATTTGCTACCAATTGGTGTAGAAAATGCTTTCTAATAACAGAAGTGCTACAGTGGTGATACTACTTACTCTCATCACGTTTATTACAATACTCAGCTCTGCATATATTAGCTATAAGGATGTGTTTGTGTTAGGTAAACTTTATGACTATAGTCCCTCGGCAAACCAGGATGAAACTACCAACCAAAAGGTTACCTGGGAGACATACACAGAATTATTGAGACCTATAGATATTACAAATAGTACTACATTATTCAATGCTGTATATGCTGCATTAAGACAAGCAAGTTCAGATATACATCCAATTGGTCTTTCATATTTCCCTGCAATGATACCGAAGGGAACTTTAATGTATCATGCGGGTGGAAAAGATATTCCAACTGGTCTTGAATGGTTAGCCATGGATCATGAATTTAGTTATAATTTTGCTATGCATGGTCAACGGTATGGTAGAAATGCAAGTAACTTCAATCATCATGGTCCACCGGGAATTGGAAAGAAGAAGGACGATGCTTCGTCTGAACCGCCCGAACCTCCTAAGGAGTTCAAATGGGATAGAAAACATTTCTTAACCTTTAGAGCCACCAGAGATCTAAATAAAATGATTTACTTGGATGGCGCATCTGCAGCCAAATCGGAGACAGGTGAGATGGATACCCAAAAGTTATTATCTGATGTAATTGCATACAAGATGGAAAATGGAGATGGAAAAAACGATAATGATGATGATCAGGACAATTCTGATTCAGGGAAGAAATTTGTGATGGCGGAAAGATTGTATGCTGAAAGAATATGTAAGTGGGGTATGCCATTTGGTCTTGATGGATTTATTAGAGTAGAAGTAGGGTTTGAAGTAGTTTTGTGTGATTTCTTGAATGGTAGTACTGAATTAGTATCTAATATTACAATACCGAATCTAAATGATGTATTAGGATTACCTGCTCCCGCTAATGTTAGTAAGGCCACTGGTTGGCCTCTTGATGGTGAGGGAAAACTGATTGAGAATGAACTTACCGAAAAACAAAGTGAAATTATGGATCAAGAAGATTATTGGCAGTCTGTTCTAGATGAATATTCCTCAATGAGAGGGTTTGATCAAATTAGAGCAGGTATCGTTCATGATTCTGGAGATAATAGAATTCAATTAGATTATAGATATTTAATCACTGGGATAAATCGTACCCTTGGGGATATTAATCCTAATAATCGTAGATTATTGAATGATCATTTCAGTTTTGAACAACAACTACTATTAGTCAATGACCTAGAGACTTCTTTACACAATGACGGATTCTACCCTGAGTTGTCAACAAACTGGCAACAAGTTATAGATGAAATTGTAGATAAATTTGCTCCTATGATAAAGATGATGGATAATATTCTAAACCCTGATCAATCAGAGATGACCATTAGCCAAATGGCACTCAAGACTACAAGATATACTTTAAATTTTGTGAATAGATTTACAGGTAATGACAACGCTGTCATGATATCAACCAGAAACTCTGGAGAATTTGGATTTGGAAGACAATTTGCTGTGTATCAGTATACAAGACCACTAGCAGATTTAGTGACAGATTCAGATTATTTGATCTGGTCATCTGCAGTCAATGTGGTAACTGAAGTGGTCGATACAATATACAATATACATGATATGTTGATGCCAATTGTCACTGCAGATCTTGGTACAAAAACTAGTGATTATGGTGAGGATAAAATCGATGCACAAAATGCAATCAAGAAATCTGGCGAACTAATATCTTCTTTGATCTCAAAATTGAACTGGATTGCATTGGATTATAAATGCGACCGTAAATGTGAATGGAATGAAATATGCTATACTCCATCATGGGGTCCCTCTCCTATGAGTTGGGCTCAACCGGACGATAACTCAGCATCGTTCGGCATGCACTATGATGAAACTATCGGGCGTAAAGTAATAAACAAGGAATTGAAGTGCATAAATGCAGAATTCATAATGGATTACAACAACAATAGATTATAATACATTCATACATTATATAAATAACTAAGAAAAAGAATACAAACTCACGTAGCAACATTGACTCTTGCTTTCTGTCTCTCTTTATTATTTACAGACTGTAACTACACAACAACAGCCGAGCTTACCACGGACCGCGAGATTAGTCCACGCACAGGCTACTCTGAGACAGTTTCACTCAATTAAGGCGAACTTTCAGTTTATCTTTTCTAACAAGGTTATTTGCATTATAAATGAACAAATAAATAAGGGTTAGCAGTTCTCGAGCAAAGAGGGGGCTTCCTAAATAACAAGAGGAAGGCGATATATCCACAGGTAATAATAAGTGTGTTGTTTATTAATATAAAATAGTTACAAGATGAATGTCAATTTCGAGACCAAGGAGATCAGTGTCAATGGAAGTAGCCACTACATCCTATTGCAAACCAACGATGAAGAACCCAGTGCACTAGTGGCTTTGACTAATGTACTATTGTTATCTCCAAGTTTATCTAGTTTTGCACGAAATCTAATCAATCTCGTCGGTAGCAAACGTTCTGTTGCGATGTATGAACTTGTTGAGACTCTGGCTAACATCGGTATTCAAAACCCCAATGGTATTAACACCAATATAAACCAATTGTTACAAATCCTACCTCAGTTACAGAATGGACTGATGGTTAACCCTGAATTTAACGGATCCTTCGAAGACAGCGTTGAGATTTCAATATTTAGATTGTACAGTACCGGTATAGTCCATGGTTGGATCTTCGATAGTGCAAGAGATCCAGTAGCTTCTGAACATGTCTCGAAATATTCGTATCAGGAGGCACAAAGAATTATAGTCCAATCCTACGACTTGATGAAACTAGAACAACAGCAACGATTGGATGCGGAACAACGTGAAATTGTTGAAGATGCCACATATTTGAAATCATTTTTGGCTAGGTCTGCATCTCAGTTCACAGAGTATGGTCTTGAACATCTAAAGGAATTGTTAGTGGAAAGATCGTTTGCCGTCCTATACAGAAATGAGCATTTCTATACATTATACAAGAACAACGGTGAATTATATACTTTGGTGAGTGATTATGCTCATAAATTAAACAGTGATGTGGTGTGGAAGTCGTTGAAGTCAGTAAACGGTAGTCAGGATACATATCAAACAGGTTCATTTATTCCAGCCACAGCAAGTAACGTTACTAGTGCACAGAATTTAACTGCAGAAGTTTCAAACCCATTCGGTGATGATGATCATCCAAATGATGGCACCGCCTACGATGGTGGTATGTCACATTTACCTCAATCTAGTGCTCCACCAGCGGGGCAAATGGAAGATGATGAAGAGCTAGCAAGAATGTTACAAGAGGAAGAAGATAGAGTTGCTGCGGATCGTATGCAAGGAATTGCTTTGATGCAGGCAAGCCATCAACAACAACAAAAGAAGACAGAACAAAAGAAGTCTAAACGTAAGAGCTTCTTCTTAGGTGGGAAGAAGAATAAAAACAGTAATGAGAACGTCGAAAATAGTACTTTGGAAGGAGGGAATATCAATAATGCTATTCGTGAGAATAAGAAACACAAGAAAAAGAAGAGTTGTATCATTATGTAGAAAGAACAATTGTACACTATATTGTCATCACTCTCAACTTCATCTCTTCCCAGCCGCAGCTACAGCCCTATTGCAAATCTAATGTAACACAATATAAACATACATTTTAATATATATATATATCAGACTATTAGCCGACCCAGACACACTGGAATACACATAATTGTCGTCATTATTGTTGTAAACATGACTCAACCCTTCGTCGTGGTGCTGGTCCTGTAACGCTTTCACCTCTGGTTGGCCCAACAGGACCAGTTCACACAAACAGGCGCAGTTGCTCAACCGAAAAGCAGAAAAATCCCAAAACAAATTTCGTTACGCGGGATGAAATTTGTGATCTAAACTGTCTAATATTAACGACTTGGTTTGACCCCTTCTGACAATGAGGATGGCAGATGAGGGGAGTGCAGTAAGTTATCAATTTGTCAATTGCTATATTAAAAACTCTATTTGTGGATTCAAGTATAACAAATTTGGGGTCATAGAATTAGTTATAAATTGAGTTAAGAAAAGTTCTGTATAACAGATTTTTCCTAACAGCAACCATCTAAGAAAAGAGAAAAGGAAGATATATCGTTATATACACACATCAAAATAGAATATCGAAATGTCTCAGCCAGTTCAACGTGCCGCTATGCGTTCGTTCATTCAAAAATACATTAACAAAGAGACCATGAAATACGTATTTACAACTCATTTTTGGGGACCTGTTTCCAACTTCGGGATTCCAATTGCCGCCATATATGATCTAAAGAAGGATCCGACTTTGATATCGGGTCCAATGACATTTGCATTGATTGCTTACTCTGGTGTCTTTATGAGGTATGCGTTGGCTGTGTCACCAAAGAACTACTTGTTGTTTGGATGTCATTTGACCAATGAAATTGCTCAAATGGGACAAGGTTATAGATATCTCAATTACACATACTTTACATCGGATGAAGAAAAAGCTAAGATAGCATCTAAATATGAACAACAACCCTGAGTGGTAGTTGCTACCGCTACTGCTACTGCTACGTGTCAGGCTCTGGAACCTTCCACTTAATTTATATATATATATATATATGTATCTGTAAAACAATAAATCTGTGTCATTTTCGAAGTTAAGGGCCAATAATTACATTTGGCAACTACGTAAAAAAAAATACCTTAGTATTATTTAAACAAGCTAAATAAAGAAGAGTGTCATCATATATTTACAAAGAGAATAGCGACAATATAACGAGTCAAGTCTACGATATAAAATATCTATTTATAAGTACGAAGAAATGATAAACAGTGATGGAAGTTATGAGAGTGGTGACATCCCCGTCAATGAGTCAAGAAGGTCTCATACTCCCAGTATAAGCTCTCAAACATATGTGATTCCTATAATTAACGATGATACAGACTATTCATCCTCTATGAGACAATCTGATGAGGATTCATCTAGCAGTAATACTTCTCAGAGTGATGATGATGCAGTACGATCTATATCACCGTTGGATTCTCGATCGTTTGGTGCTGTTGATAGTGCAATGTCTTCAGAGTTCAATGAGGCTAGCACTGATGAATTCTTACATGAAAACTTACCCCTGGCTAATAAATTAACTACTATAGATAATGGGAATGATACACCGCCAGCAATGATTGATATCTCTAAATACATATTTGATTCTCTGTCTCATGCAATTGAAGAAACAGACTTTTCAGAAACGTTGGCATTACAGACAAGAATTTCAGGTACAATAAATTTTAAGAGTTTGGAATTGAAGGATTTAATAGATAAAACACAGGAAAAACTATTACATTTACGACAAAGGTATGAATCTGGTGTTGTAGTGTCTAATAAATTGAAAGAAAATTTAGATTATTCAAGAAAGAAAATTGATGAAATAAATAGTATGTTAGGTACAGAATACCCAATAGAATTTAATCAAGCAAGAGATAAAGTTTTAGAGAGACATTTTGAGGAGGATTCATAATCTGCTTATGATGTTATACTACTAATGATCCCACCCATGGGTATAAATTTAAGAATTAGATCTCAAAGTATAGACTTAAAGTATATCATCTTTCGTTTTTAGTGTATTTTATTTTTTATAGATTATATGTTACATAAAATGGGTGTGGTAAGGAAGTTAATAATATCTAATACATATCAAAATAATTCTTGTATTTTCTAATCGAAGGTAATCTTCTTTGGTTTCTTAGACATGTCGACATCTTTAAAGAAAGCACCGTATGCACCATGTTCTTTCTTCTTAGTGTGAGTACCGAATTTGATTAAATCTTCTGGAACGGCTTGGTTGGCACCGTTTAATACATTGACCAGACCACCAGCCAAATGTTTCTCTTGATCTGTAAACAAAGTATGAGAAGTACCGGTTTGACCGGCTCTACCAGTTCTACCGATTCTGTGCACATAATCTTCAACAGTCAATGGGAAAGTTAAATTGATAACAGTCTTGACATTTGGAATATCAAGACCTCTAGCAGCAACATCAGTAGCTAGTAACAAATTGGATTTCCCACTCTTGAATTCATTTAGAGCTTGGGTTCTTTGTTGTTGTGTTAAATCACCATGAATAGCGGATACTTGGTAACCGTTATATTGCAAGTTTCTTTCAACACGAGCAGCTTCCTTCTTGTAAAGACAGAAAATCAACACTTTATCATTCTTCTTTGGACCGGAATGATATTTCTTCAATAATTCTAACAGTTTTCTTTCCTTGGAACGTGGGTCAACAACTTCAACAATTTGAGTGATTCTCTTGTTAGCTGTCAGTTCGTCTCTGTTACCAATAGAGACTTTAACAGGTTGGTTCATGAAAGTGGAGGCTAACTCACGAACTTCCTTTGGCCAGGTAGCTGTGAACATAAGAGTTTGTCTCTTCTTGGAGTTAGTTTCACCGATGATTCTTTTAATATCTTCTTCGAAACCCTTTTCCAGCATTCTATCACCTTCATCGAGGACAAGGTAGTTGACATTAGATAGATCGACAGAACCTTCTTGTAACAAGTCCAATAGTCTACCTGGAGTGGCTACTACTATGTCGGACTTCTTCAATTGCCTTCTTTGATCATCCTTTGGAACACCACCATAGACACAACAACATTCTAAACCAACTTTATCAGTTAAAATGATTAAATTATCATAAATTTGAGAAGCCAATTCTCTAGTTGGGGAGATAGCAAGAACCTTGATACCGTTATATTGCTTCTTGTTATCACCATTTTGAACTAATGCATTGACAGCTGGAACACCGAAAGCAAAAGTCTTACCAGAACCAGTCTCGGCAACACCAATAACATCTCTACCGGATAATAGATATGGCCATGAAGCGGCTTGAATTGGAGTTGGTTTAGGGAACTTAGCAATTTCACTTTGAATTTCTTTGTTTAAGGAAACATGAGAAAATGATAGTAATGGACGTAAGTTCATCTTAGCTGGATCTTCAATAGCAACTTCATTCTCTTTTAAAAATTCATCAATTTCGGATTGAGCAACGTTGGTCAATTCCTCATTTTGAACGTAACCAGAAGTATTAGAAACTGGCTTCGATTCAGTAACTGGTTCGGCAGTAGTTTCAGTTTCTTCAGATTCCTTTTCTTTCTTATGTTTTTTTTCCTTCTTTTCCTTCTTTTCTTTCTTGTGGTGCTTCTTTTCCTTCTTGTGGTGCTTTGTCTTATGTTCGGTCACCTCGGAACCTTCAACCTTTCTCTTTCTGTCTTTGATCTCGTCTTTACTCATACTGTGATACTGTATTTGTCTTTATTCACTTAGGCATTATGTAATAAAGATTAACCATCCACAATAACCCTTCCAGCAATTTAATTATATATATAAGGTAACTAAATATCTTGTATGTATGCAGAATTAGAATAAGTTACATAATAATAAGCGCGATGAGCATCTAGCAAACGAAAAATTTTCAGCTTCCATAGAAAAATTTTTAAACACGCTGCGCAGTTTTCTTACAACTGGAACGAGACGTATATACTTATAAATTCGTAACGATCGATTCAAAAGACTGCAATGTATACAGACAGAATATTTCATATATAGAACATTTGAAGGTAAAAAATTAATGATTGATAAATGTAATATTGTACAGAATATGAAATGCTACATAGGCAAAACTTTAATATATAGACCTCCTTATGTGAAACTTCTCAAAAAAATAAAGAGAGTTAAAAAATTCAAACTTGTTAAAAACTAGAAACTATACATATATAAAAAATTGGTAATTGATAATATTATTCAATTTTTAATACGCTTAGTTCATGGACTTAACCAATTTGTTGATGAATTCTTCACGGTTACCGAAAGAACCACCTTGGATGAAGTGCTTGAACTTTCTTGGAACACCCCAACCACCGGATGGGTTGGATAGCTTGAATGGCCATAGGAAGTTGTTAGCTTGCTTGAAGTGTGGACCAACAGTGACGATTTCGTGAATCAAATCATCGATAGATAGAATACCGTACTTACCTAGGTTAGCTTCAATGATAGCGTTGTCGGATAGAGGAACTCTTTGCTTGTTGATCTTACCGTAACCTCTCTTGTATAGAAGTTGTCTAACAGTAGAGTAGGATGGGTAACCGTAAGCGACGTATGGTTCAATCAACTTTAGCAATTCAACGGTAGCCTTGGTGACCTTGACGAAAGTACCAGAGTTGATTTGGTTCAATCTTAGAAGTTGTAGAACCTTTCTTGGCTTTGGAGCAATCTTGTTGATACCCTTAATTCTGACGACGAAGACCAACTTGTGTTGAGCTTCAACGTAGAAGGAACCAGCAGCCTTAGCATCACGCTTAGCTTGGATGACAGATCTTTCAGCAGTTTCGTACTCCTTTTGGTAAGCAGCGTTTCTTTGCAGAATGATAGCTCTCTTTTCCTTGTTAGCCTAATTATAAAAAGGAATTTCTCTTTTTTAAAGATGAAAAAAGTAGAAATAAATATTGTTAGTAATTTATTTTTGAATCGGTAGAACTACTTCTTGTTAAGATTTATTGCAATGGTAGCAAAGAATATATCCAAATTTGACTCAAAACAATATGCCTTTTCATGATGTTACTATTGTAAAAATAATCCGAAATAATTAATATCAGTCGAAAGATGGTGTAATTTACGACAGCATTGCCACAAGGACTAGTCGATAGTGTATATGGGATACAAATGTTCTTCATCACTTACAAAAAATATCGGGTTCAAACAAAAGTGTAACATATTGAAAAAACAATAAATTGTGATAATGGAAAGGATATAACTTAGTACCTATCTGTGAACTCACAGATAATTAACAAAATACAATCTCAGCATTGAAAGTAAGTTCGAGAATAGATAATAATATTTTAAAAACATACGGCCTTACGGGTAACTCTTTCGGCAGCGACTTGTTCAGCAGTCTTTTGGTTAGCCTTAGTCTTCTTGACTTGGGATTCTGGTTTTAGGATCTTTCTGTTGAAATAAGAAGTAAAAAATACATAAATTGTTAGAAAAAAAGTTCAATAAGAGCATTGAGATACAAAGTTACATCGAACTGAAAACACCACATTTCATTCGACGCGAGGGAGTAATGACAGAGACAACCAGGAAGATTAACAGTTTATGAACAAAAATTTAATGGTGGTAAAAAGTTGAGATGAGAGTATTCATAAAACTGGAAATCCAACATGAGAAATCTATGACCAAATTAAATTGGTAATCCCCTACTAATTATTTTACATCTCTTTTTTAAGAGATGTAAGAAATAATAAACAATTGAAATATCCAAACGTGAATTCAAATATTCAATGTAACTTAATCAAAAATAATATTCTTATAACATACTGAGCAGCCATTGTAATAGTTGTTTGCTTGGTTGAGTGATTGAGCTTAGTACAAAAGAGAAGATAATTATTACAAAATAATAACGAAATATTCTGAAACTTAAAATATCGATTAAGCGATGCTTATATATCTGCTTGTTCTAAAGAAAAGTTTTGCAAAATTCCTTTGCTATACTATTGCGACAAACAATTTGCAACATTATTCGAAAGATGAAAAAAAAAGTAGCAGTGCTTGGGTATCTCACAAAGCGATAATAAATTTCTTAGGGCTTGCGAGGATTTTTTATTTTTTGTTTTTTTATTACGAGCTTTTTTTGTTATTTTCAAGAAAATTATTTTTTTATAAGATTTTCTCAGTAAAATAGTGTATGGAGTTCACAGATGTTTAAAAATATGTATGGGTTTTATAAATATAGGCAGTCCTAATATATTTTGCCTCTTTTTACGAAAATATGACAGAATCGTTGTATTGTATTTGTTCCAATAATCAAGTTTACATCATTATTATTCAGACGACATATACTAGTTTTTACATTAGAAACAGGACACATAGGTTACATTGAAGAAAATGATACAACTTTAAATTAATAAGAACATAAGAATAAACATTTATAAAATAAATCAGCCCCGAAAGATGGTGTAATTTAAGTAAACAGCATCGCAAACAAAAGTTTGCTAGTCACTTCTTAGTATGTCAGATTGACATATATCATCACTAAATTATAATGTTTGTTTTTGCAAAGTAAAAAATATTACGATAAAAATAATCCGAAAACTGAAATGCTTAGCTACGTGACCTCACATGACCCTCGACATTTTCGTTGTTCGTTCTATAGTTATCTGGTGTACACAAGTACTTCATTTTATATTTTAACTTTGTTTGGATATTTATTAAATATTAAAAGAAAACGTAGCACTGGAGTAGTAAAATGAGAAAGTAAATAAAAATATTTCTTTGACAATTATGTTTTCCTTGACGGTTTATATAGTAATTGTAAAGTGACTGAAAAAATATTGAAAAAGCGAAAAAAATTGAAAATGAAATTGAAAATTTACTGAACGGCCGGACAGGTGCCGTAACCTTACTAGGTCATTTTTCAAATAGTGTCAGCGTCGTAAATATCAATTAGGTCATTACGGTTGATAATCATTTGCAATATGGTGAAAGGGAAGAAGATATATTCACTGATAATTATGACTTGGTTTTTAAACTTCACTACCGGTTGTATATTTTCTTTAGCAGATATGTAGTAATAGTATCCTTAAGTCTTAAAACGTTCTTTTTGGTGGTCTTGTCCATTATATGACAGTTAAAAAAACGTTGGTGATTTCTGCTCTTGAGAAATATAAATAAGCAAAATTAAGAATGCTCTTTTTGTGTGTGTGAATAGTATCATGTAGTGAAAGATTTGTCTTTTTAATGAGAATTAATGGTAATTAATTTTGATGATACAATTTATAAAAATATTTATATTTTATTAGAAATGAAGCGAATTCAATTTTCTAACTTTTCTTACTAAGCTGTACATAAAAAATATAAACAATAAAACGATTGTTAGAAATAAGAAACTAAATTTCAGAAAAAAGGAATTCTAATGTCAGCTAGATTATGTAAGATGGTACAGTTTGAAACTTCTTATTATTCGGTTGATTTTTTGTATAACCTGTTTATAAATAAATATACCACAGCCACTTCATATCAAAATATTATTAAAAAAGATTCATATTAAGAAAACTTCAATCAACAATAAAAATATTTACAATAAATTATATTAGTTCCAAACAATAATAATTCAATCGTTCATATTTAAAAATAAGAATTCAAAAGCATTCAATTAAGTACCAGCTAAAACCAAATAAATAAACAATATAATTTGTAGATTTCAATATATTGAACTGCAATATGAAATAGGGATATATAATTACTACTGGATAATCAATACCAGTAATGCCCTCCTAAAAAGGGTACCGGGTTTATGACCTCGAAAATATTTTATTATATGCCTCGATATCTTCCTTTGTCATTTCCCTATATGAAGCTCCTCCATTATCATTATCTTCCGAAATTTTCTCTCCTACTAACCAATCGATACTACTAATTAAAGGATTACGGCGAAACCAACTCTCTCCGCCATCCACATTATCCAGACCAATAAGAAGAGAATCGTCGGTTGTTATAAACCTAAAGTATAGGGACGACACAAACCCTAATACTGATATTATTACTAAAAATGTAGTGAATTGTCTCGATATAAACACAGGGATATTATTCCAATAAAATGAGTTGTTCTGTTTAGTCTTTGTCCCATCATATCCAGATATTGCAGGGTTGGTTTGTATTTGATCCTTTAATTTGTTGATAACTTTAGATTGTTCATTAATTTGTCTTCTAAATTCTTCAATGAAAAACTCATTTCTAAGGTCGAAATTTTTATTTTCTACGTTCTCTTCACTCGATATCGAATTCTCAGAGTTTACATTCATCTCCTCAGAAAGTCGTCTCTGTTTACCTATTGTCTTTTTATAATATTTGAATTCATCAACTAAATGATCATATTTTTTCTTGTATAATTCTACATTTTCTTGTAAAGCATCCAATTTTTCATCTTTCGATTTAATTATGACTTCCTTTTCCCTCAATTGTTGTTTCAAGGCATATAATTCATTTTTATCCTTATTTTCTTCACCTGTCCCAACTTTTCTTATGGGTATTGATGGTTTGACAATATTAATACTACGATCAGAAACAAGGTCAGAACATGTCATTCCGATCAATTTCTTTAAAGTATCATCCACTATGACTTTATATAACTTTGTATAAGACTGCTCTTTTGCAAACTTCTCAAGCAACAACCTTTTATCTTTCTCAATAGTTTCAATACTCCCATTAGATGCATCTAATGTTTTAGTGACAAGATCTGGAAGATCTTTCCCATAAATAAAACCTTTCTTGGTACTATCCAACTCTAACCATATACTTTGGAATAACTCGTCCTTAGAAGACATAATAATGTGCGTATTTTATTTTTCAATTGTTCAATTTTATGATACTATTCAAACCGATCGAAGAGTAATGGTATTCCTCTTATATCCAATTAGGTATGTTTGTTCCCTATGCATAAATTATGTCTTTCTATCTATCTGTATATATATATATATATATATATATAATTATATGATGATAAAAATTGTTCGCGTTTTAAAGGCGCGTTCGTTTACGGTAACCTTACATAAATCTTTTCATATGTCGTGATAATTAATGCACATAACAGAGCAAGAAGATAATGAATAATATCTTCTAGAGTTGGGCCTCTCAAGTATAACAACCGGTATGATGAATCCATGAGGTAACTCTTTATTATTTCAAAATAGTAGCTGTTTCTCATTGCAACTTTATAGGGAAACAGTCCTATTTTGAAACTTGAAAGATACCCAAATGGACTCAGTCTTTCTATTAACTTTATGAACATTATCGAGACTGAAACAAGAAGTATACTAATAGTAAGCCCACAATCTTTTATATTTTTGTATGACTTGTAATATCGTAATACATTATATATGCTGTTAATGACAAACCTCTCAGTTCCATCCTATACACAACACACTAACACTGAATACTAGACACTTACCAACCTACCATATCGAAACACAATATTCCTATAAACCAATCAAATGATCATCTCCATTTCTCATTCCTAAACGGATCACAAACCGCCCATCACCACTGCCCACCATCGGGAAAGGTATCCCTAGGGCTTATAATTAGGGCACGCATTTCTGTCTCTCTGTCGTGAAATTCAAAATTTCAACGAGAGGAAAAAGACCCGAAATAAATAATAACAAATATCGTTGTTCTTACGGAAAAACATAGCGAGGGTTCTTGCTAATGGGATACATACATCATCTACAATGAGCAACTTGTTATGTAATTCATAAGGGTATCATATACAAAAGACAGGTCACTCAAATGGGTTAATGGCACTAATAATAGCATCCTTACCATTACAGAATATATATAAATAAAAGGTTTTTACTATCATCACTTTCAATACATTTTTACTTTCCGAAGACTTCATACGATGAAGGAAACTATAAAGGAAATTAAACCTGATAATAATCATGGACAAACAACGGATATGCCTATGTTAAATGACGAAGAGATAGAGAAAATCCTTCAACCCACTGAGTTATTCCCTGATGAAATAATTACTCCAAGTAACAATGACTCTAATACTCCGTCGAATATTGAAACTATAGACGGAACAATTAATAACAATAACAATACTAGTACGAATATAGAGAATGAATCCCTTTATAATAAATCCATTACGCTACGGAATGAACCAATGACAGACTTAGTAAGACATAATAATAGAATGCTTGGAATATATAATAATAATAATAATCAACAACAACAACAACAATCCGAACAACAACCTCCACGACAAGAATTACATTCTATGAATATAATTAACGGTAGATTATCCAATGATTTACCACCGACACATTCTACTGCTAATCAAAGTAGGATGGAACAAGCTATTCATCAAACAACACGAGCCCCATCCATGACGGAGACAATGTATGGAAGCATGACCACTCAACAACAACATCAACAATCGTCAAAACCATCACAACCACAACCACATAAGACAAGACCTGCATTTGTGAATAAATTATGGAGTATGTTGAACGATGAGACGAATGAACATTTGATACAATGGTCCTATGATGGACAATCTTTTATTGTGACACGAAGAGAAGAATTTGTACATGAAGTACTTCCGAGATATTTTAAACATTCAAATTTCGCTAGTTTTGTTAGACAATTGAATATGTATGGTTGGCATAAAGTTCAAGATGTCAAAGCTGGATCTATTCAAAACAGTTCAGATGATAGGTGGCAATTTGAAAATCCAAATTTCATTAGAGGCAGAGAAGATTTGTTAATTAATATCATGAGACAAAAAGGTAACAGTGCAAATCAACATCATAACAACAACAACAATAATGGCAATGGCAATTTCAATTTCAATGAAGGAAATGAATTCAATAGGTTAATGACAGGTATGGAGAACAATCATAACAACAACAACAACAACAATAACAAACCGATACTACATCTAATGAATGAACCAAGTACGTATAGTGGGATGGATGTTAAAAAGGATGTCTCTACAGTGTTGAATGAATTAGAGACCATTAAATATAACCAAATTGCAATATCTAAGGATTTGTTACGGATAAATAAAGATAATGAATTACTTTGGAAAGAAAATATGGTAGCTCGTGATCGTCATAGAACACAACAGCAAACTTTAGAAAAAATATTTAGATTTTTAACTTCAATGGTACCTCATATGGATCAAAAGATGTTAATGGATGGGATAATGAATTTTACAGATACGAACGGGGGTAGCAACAACAACAATCCGAACAACAATGACAACAACAACAGCAACAACAGTAACAATGATAATAATAGTAATAATAATGTGAACCCAATAGATAAAAATACGACGTTCGACAATAACGGTACTAATAATAGCAATCGTTTCTCTAATGGTTATACAGACTTCAATGATGGGGGCAATTCAAGATTCCATGAAGATGTATTTGATGAAGTAATTGATAATACTAAGAAGAATGCCAAAGATGGTAACAATACCAACAATAACATTACGAATATCGATTTAAATGATCACAATAGTTACTATATGGGGAATACCAACAGACGTAACCCAGCGTTTGATTCTCCATCTACACAAATCTACAATGAGTTTAATACGGCGAACAACAACAATAATAATACTAGTAATGAAGGTATACAAGACAATAATACCTATTCAAACTTTCAAACATATAATTCTTATAATCCATATGATTATATTGCACGTCCTAGTCAAAAGGCTCGATTATTATTGAAAAACAGATCAAATTCTAGTTCATCTACTAATGTACCTACAATTTCACCTGATAATTTAAATAGAGATAGTAAAATATCAGAACTTCCATTAGATGATGATGACGAAGAAGAAGAAGAAGACGATACTGAACCAGCCACAAACCCCCCCACCATGTCAGCAAAAGACGACAATGACGAGGACAACAACATTAAAAGTGATGATCCTGATATGGCATCAACCAAATTTTTAGGGAATATCCAATCTAATATAGATGAGCAAGATCTTCGTATTCAACATTTAGAAGATATGGTTAAAGGGTTATCTCCAATTAAAGATAAACAAGATAATGGTAGTGGCTTCAGTTTACAGGATTATTTTACTAGTGATGTATTACCAGAAACACATACTACTGCTACTACTGCCAGTATATCTCATCCAACACAAGAATCACAAGGTGAGGGTTTAACACCATTATTTTATGATGATAATACGTTATTACATGTTGGAGAGGCATCATTACCGACAGACACGGCACCAACGAACTCTGTTGATAATATAAGATCATCAAACCGTAAACGTAAATCAATAGACAATAATAATGATAATAAATCTAATGATGCCAAAATTGAAGAATTATCGCCTGAACCAAACCTCAAACGTTCTAAATTCGTATAATTTCACGTGATCTTCGAGAAGATTTTCGCAATAATTTGTTTTCTAAAAAAATGAAAAGCATAATAAAAATAATCCAAATGCGATGAGTAATCTAAATATATATATATATATTAAAAATAATAAAAGTTATATAAGATATAGATATAAAACACAATATGTTATGAAATATGTCTAACTATTTTATTTTTATTTGTTTTTAATTTAATAAAAACAAGCGAATCATCGAACATTAACAAATGACACATAATATTATAGTTTTGCCAATTGAACAATTAGAAAATTTTTCAGAGGATGCTATTGCAGATTTAACATATGTAGTGAATGAAGGGTATAGAAAACAAATTGTGAAATATGGTATTGTTGTGAATCCACGTATTCATGACAATGATTCCTTTTTCACTGATTTATCATTAAAACCAAAGACATGTCTAGTATATATTATGATTAAAGATGTTCAAGATGTTGGTGGTCCATTGAGAATCATTGACACCGAAGAGAATGCTGATTTTATATTATATGAAATCAATGAAACGTACATTAAAGATTATAGATTTCATATGGAAAATGTTATGGCTACAATTGCCTATAGGCCATTTCCCTATGAAGTAAATGCGCAAGCATATGAAGTGACAGCATTTTGTTCATTCACTAAACGTGGTGGTATATATATCTTTCAAGGTACAAAACCTGATTTCATCAAGAGGTTCCCCAATTGCAACGAGTTCATTGTTCGTGTCATAGTCGAACATGATTTAGTACCATATTATGAAACTAAACTAAATTTCACAGAGTTTCGTCGTACTCATGTCTCTTGTGATAAATTAGAAGAATCAGGATTTTTCAGCTCTTTTAAGACTAATCAAGATTTCCATATTGCTGACATGAGACAGCAACTCTTATTGGCTCCTCCTCGTAGCCAGTGATCGCACCTTCTTCCACTGCCACTGCCCACAAACTCTTCATACATAAATCATTTCATATATAATAATCGTAATAGTAATAAACGTATAACGACGATTACCGGCGCGCACCGTTTAAGAACTGCACCCCGAAAGCTGTAACACAGTTTGTTGTGCCATGTAAAAAACAGTGCACTGCACGCACGGCTCATACAAATTCGGGTGTCTCGTCTGTCTCGATGGCGGAATTTGGTGATAAATTTTTCAATGGGCTCGTTCTGTGTGTGTCTGGGTAGTTTGAGGGTGCACAATTAGTGTAGCTGCTATAGAGGGAGGGAGAATTGAAGTAATTAGAACATTGGATTAGTTGAGATGCATTTTTCACTAGAGGGCACTAAATTAATATGACTTACTACAACTCAGACACGCTAGTTAGTAAACTACTTGCTACTTGCTATTTGCTATTTGCTATTTGCTATTTGCAAAGTACCCTTAAGAAATGCTTGCTTTTTTTTTTACTCATTGATTATTTAGATATTAGAAAGACATATATCATTATAATCATCTGTATTTTGACAACATCATTGAGAAAAACACACAGACTGTAAATTAATCGCATTAATTAAATTAATGCGACTATAGATACCGTTTAAAGAGTTTGATTTTGTTTCTGAACACATTTTTGAAATATATCGTGTTTTAAAAGAAATTCATATAATATTAATTTATTACAGCATCAAATTGAACTGAATTACTGTTCATTTTCATACGGTTTACTATAGCAACCAACCAACCAACCAACCAGATTTTTTTTTTGTTTAACGAAATAATAACCATATAAGAGAATACCTTCATTTCTATTTATTAGTTTACTTTCTTTGTTGGAATGATCCATAATTTTACAATAGTTATAAATATAATTCATTTCGTTAATAATACAATAATCATATACATATATACTAATGGTGACACCTCCATTCGTACCCAATATTGATTGGAATAATCAATATGATAATATTATTGATAATAAACCTATAGATACAATGACTCATATTCCATCACAACTGTCGAAAGATTCATATTCACATTCACATCCATACCCACAACCGCATACACATTCGCATCCCTATGATACCTCACATAGCCATTCGCATGCATTTCTCGAATATAATTACAATGTGCTGACCCCCACGGGGAATGATAATATAATGGTGCAAGGCCATGCTGTGAGCATTGAAGGGACGTTGGGAACAGTGACAAACCCGGAGAATATTCATTTAGCTTTGTTAAATAATAAAAATGAAGACAATAAATTGATTCATTTGGATCCGGTACCGAACTTCTTGGATAAAGCAGATATTAAACCGTGGTTACAAAAAATTTTTTATCCTCAAGGTATCGAACTCGTTATTGAACGATCGGATAATACAAAAGTCGTGTTTAAATGTAAAGCTTCAAAGAGAGGGAAAAATGCTAAAGAACCTATGTTTTCTAATGATCATCATGAAAAATTATCAAAACACGATCATAATAATAGCAATACTTCGGAAGATGATTCACCTCAGGAGGATTCAACAGGACAGAAAAAGGAGAAGAAAAAGAAAAAGAAAAGATCTGTATCACGATTTAATGTTTGTCCATTTAGAATAAGAGCCACATATTCTTTAAAAAGGAAAAAATGGGGGATAGTCGTATTAAATAATTCACATTCTCATGATTTGGAATTTAATCCAAATTCAGAAGAATATAAAAAATTTAAAGATAAATTGAAATCTGATAATGATGTTGAAGCAATTAAGAAATTCGATGAATTGGAATATAGAATTAGAGTTCATTTACCAATTCAAAATACAATGATTCCATGTGATTGTGGTATGACTAGTGAAATTCAAAGTTTTAATATTGTGTTACCAAATACATCATCTTCAACAACAACAACAACCAAAAATAATTTGATTCATAAACCACAATTAAAAAAGAAAATAACTGATTCTCTATTACAACAAACAGCTAAAAAGAAATTCATTGCAGTTCATTATAATAACGAAAATAAATCAAATTCAAATTCAAATTCAAATATAAAACAAGAAAATCAATTACCAACGGTTTCTAATATACCAGATTTCATAGATGATCCATTTGATCAAGCTAAAAATTATGATTCTACGGATAATTTCCTTTATACAAATAATTCGAGTCTGCTTCCAATGACATTAACAGAATCTGAAGATATTATGGATCTGAATGAAATAGATTTTACAAATATTTTCACAAAATCCTTCAATGGTAATATGAATATTCAATCAACAACTACACCAACGACAATAGAGAATGATACATCTCATGGTATAGCGTCAAACGAAACAAATCATAATGGATTAACTAGGACTGAGTTGGATTTAATTGATAATTTGACACCGGTTTCATCATTATCTATGTTCCACAATGATTATATTAATCATACAGAATCTATATTAAATGAACCACAAAGTCGTTTAGGTTCTAATCATACACCGGCAATGAATTATTCAAGTCCACATCATATTGCAAGAAATGTTGGAATGCAACCAATAAATGGCTCAAATGATTCACAGATGCAACATTTACCAAATATTCTCCAACCAAACCATACAGGTATTCCACATAAAGGTAGCCCGTTATATTTGAACAAAGAACTGGACATCTTGCACACAACAAACTCACCTTCTCCCAGTGTAATGTCAAGAGATGTTTTTGATATGGAAAACTATCAAATAAAGAATGAACCACCAGAACATCTTCCCTCTGATATAAATATTCAAGCCCATCTGAACGTAAGTGACGACCCACTAGTTAAGATTCATGAATCTGACGATCAGATAAATAACTGGTTATCATCTTTGTATCAACCACATTGATAAAACTAATCATAAAGGTTCATTACTTTCTTTTAAAAGAAAGCAGAAAAAAGGAACCTAGTTACAAAGAACCGGATAGAAAATAATTTATCATCACACTCTGCATACATACATTTTGGAATTGTAACTTTCTCCACATATTTCGCTAGGATATTAGTTGAAAATAATAAAATCAAATTCTTCTTTTAGTTATACATACATGTACATAACTCATCACTATCAACCCAAAGCAAGTGATACACACATACACAATATTCTTTTGTGCTACATATTCATTAATGACAACATTTGTTTACTCTAATTTTTTCAAAAAAAACAACATTATTCTTTTATCTATTAGTAAATTTAATATTACATAGTATAATACATATATATATATATATGTGTGTGTATGGATGCTTCATTACAGTAAGTTTCATCCTTATAAGCCTATTTGATGAAAATACCTCCTTATTCGAATTGTGTTCTTGTGTTTTTTTGATCTGATGTGAATATATGTGAACAATTTAGACATACAAAGAAAAGGACCATGGATGTGTCACCTCTTCTCTGTTGTGATTGAAAGAACACGTTCTCATGAGCATGACATTTGGGACATTCCCTATCAGATCTCGGTAGTGTTGGATCAGACCCAATATCCTGCACAACACCTGCCGTCTCACCAATATTTGTAATAAGTTCATGTCTATAAACAAGCGGACTACCAGCTTCTTCCACATATGAACATGTTCTACATTCAAACAGTAACCTCCTACTCTCTTTATCCTCTCTTGGATACAACATATTGTTGCAATCACGGCAAAATCTAAAGGTAGTCATCTTCTCTCTCAACAAATACTATCCTATGCAACACTGTATTATCGACCACAAACCACAGATAGTAACTCACTTAATCACACTCACACGTTCCACTTTCCCTTATATACATCTAGTCCTCATTCAACACCTCAATAATAATGTCTTTATCCTTATAAATGAAATTTCTACAAATATTTTGTTCATTTTTAAGAAATTTGGAATTTTTCATCAACAACAGGCTCGTGCAACACGATGTTGAGGGTATTCGGGTCTTCTTTCTTTTTCAAAGTAATTGGCGAAATGAAGCTTCGTAACAAATTTACTTCTCATATTTGTTTTCGACTCCCCTGCTTCAAAGTTTGAAGATATATTATGATGGTACTGGATCAATAAAGGGACTCAACACAGTTATTTGAAAAGGTTATAACAATTTACAGAGTATTATATATCTAAGATACTCCATCACGATCACATTATATCATCACAATAACAACAACTATGCTTTCTGTTGCCAGACGTTCTACCCCAAGGATTGCACGTCCCTTGATGCAAATTTACCGTTTCAACTCTACAGTTGCTAGCGAAGCTACAACCACAGCTGCTGCCACATCGACCCCGGTTGCCACTCCAGTAGATCCTAAAATTGCTACAATTGTAGACTCTATCTCCAAGCTTACTATCCTCGAGACTTCGCAACTTATAACTGAATTGAAAACTAAACTTAATATTCCAGATATCGCACCAATGGCACCAATGGGTGCATTCGGTGGTGCAGGTGTTGCCGGTGGTGATGCAGGTGCTAGCGTTGCCGAAGAAGCTCCAAAGGAGGAGGAAAAATCTACATTTGCTGTAAAACTTGAGAGTTTTGATGCTAAGAGTAAAGCTAAGATCATAAAGGAGATCAAATCTGTCCTTGGTCTTTCTCTTGTGGAAGCCAAGAAGTTCGTCGAAGCCGCTCCCAAGATTGTTAAGGATAATGTCTCCAAGGCAGATGCTGACGCAATGAAGGAAACCCTAGAGAAACTGGGTGCTAAGGTCAGTATGGAATGATTATAGAATAACTTTCACTTTTCTTTCTTTCTTATTCCATAACATCTGATAATAGCATATTTGAATTAAAATTTAACAAGATAACAAAAGAACAAATAATAATAATAATAATTCACGCTATAGTATATATATTAATTAGTAGACCACATTCTGTAAATAATCTTTTTTCAATCAACTGATATATTTATTCTTTACATGACTGATGCTTAAATATCGTTATATTTATGCTGTTATACTTTAAACCTTGGTTATGTATTTATATAATATTTATATTTTGAAGGATAGAAAGTAGATAAATGGAGGGAAAAAGAGAAAATATAGCACAACTTTTTATTTTGTTATAACCATATGTTATGCGAACCTGATGGTTTAGATTGTGATTGGTTATTATTACTGTTATTAATATTATTACTACTAGTGCGGATGTTGTCATTACCTGAATGATTTCCCATAACGGTAGCAGTAACCGTCACAGGGTTTGCCTGAAGAGGTTGCTGATATTGTTGTTGTGGGTAGTATGACTTGCCCTTTGTAAATTGATGATTGTTTGCCTGTGGCATAGGTGTGGTAAATGCTAATTGTTCTTGTTGTTGTGTTTGCAAAAGTGGTTGCTCTACAGTGTCTTGTTCTGGCGCCTTTTGTTTATTCTTCAAATGCTCCATTCCGTTATCTATAGCTTTCAATAAATCTGGAGGCATGTTAACCATTGCTAAACTATTCTCCACAGATTGTTTTTTAATGTCTTCTACTGTTGGATTATGTATATCGTCACTAACATAATAATGGAAATGAGCTGCAAATTTTTTCATTGCCAAAGTTTTAATTTTATTGAATTGTTCTGTTTTGAAACTCTTTGAATTCGGACCAGAGCCATCTTTATCGATACCAGAAACGTCTACGCCAGCTCCAGAGTCCTTCAACAAATCTTTTTGTTTTTCAAACATCGCCTTGGTGTAACGTAACATAGTCCAATCAAACAAATGATCATTATGATAATCTAACTTAATACTTAGATCCTTGAATAATCTTGCCAAATATAAATAATCTGGTTTTTCATCAAATACCAAGTTTCTGCAATAACTCATATATTGAGCGAATTCAATTGGTAGACCTTGACATAATGTATCGATACTAATGCATAGTTTCTTTTCCAAAATCCTATCATATTTCTGTTTCTTTGTAGTAGCCTTCAAACCTTGCCATGGAAGAGAACTCTTACAAAAGTAGATCAACATGTAACCTAGAGATTCCAAATCGTCTCTTCTGCTTTGTTCTATCCCTAAATGGGTGTTCAAACTTGCATAACGAGCTGTACCTGTCAATGATTTGTTTTCTCTGTATGGAATATGACGATGTGTGTTGAAATCTCTGTATTTTTTAGATAACCCAAAATCAATAGCATGTACAGTGCTACCACGTCTTCCAGTTCCCATTAAAAAATTATCAGGCTTAATATCACGATGGATGAAAGATCTACCATGCATATATTGGATTCGGCATATCATTTGTAGTGCTAACATGATCACTGTCTTATAAGAAAATTGTCTATGACAGTAATTGAAAAGGTCCTCTAATGATGGTCCAAGTAAATCGATCACTAAAGCATTGTACTCACCTTCACGGCCAAACCATCTAATGAATGGAATCCCAACACCACCACTAAGATATTTGTAAACACGGGATTCGTAATCTAATTGTGGATGTCTTGAACGGATAGACTCTAGTTTGACAGCAACCTCTTCACCACTGATAAGGTTGGTACCGTGATAAATATCACCAAAGGATCCACTTCCGATCTTTCTACCTATTCTGAATTTCCTTCCTACTCTTAAATCCATGACTGGTGTTGTTTCACTATCTTAATTATAAATGCAGTATGCAAATGTAATTTAAATCTGTCGCACGTATAGTTATTCTCGTTTATGAAATGATTATCATAAAATCAAGAACTTCTATAAAGACAAAACCGAAACAAATATGCAGAATGAATGAGCGTACTATCTTTTTATGGTTCACTAGAGGACAATTCAGTATGCTATCTTTAAATCAAAATAAACTAAACAAAAAAAAGGTGATTCGATGGTTAACAATAATTGATCAAAGACAGCTGATGGCTGATGAAAATGACCATCACCTCTGTCTGGCAGGTAATGCTTCCCTCTCTCAGTCGCAGATCACAAAAACTTGGCGGAGGTCTGTCGCTGCGCAAAGAAATGGCCGCAGCGTCGACGTTTCTTTTTTTCTTTCTATCTGAAAATTTTTCCTTTTTCCGTCTCTTTTCTTCTTTTCAGCTCAATTTATTTATATATATTTTATATATGTAGACAGAGTGATTTCTATAAATACATCATTCGCACAGTTTTCTGTCTATATATTATTTGGGACCATTGCTATGGTGGGTGCTTGACTTAACGTTGATTGAGTCCCTGTAATTGAGAAGGAAGGGCTCCAAGAAAATATTTGGCTGATTTCGGGCTCTCTAACGTCAGCTGAAAAATAAAGATCTTGTTTACGAGATAAATTTTAAAAATTATGACAATATTTGAATTTTACACTTTCAACACAATATAGATTACCGATATCGAATATATATAGTATCCATATGCATTGTATGCTATTAACAACTATTTATTTCCCAGATCCTGATTGTATTAGATGTGGATTTTATCTTCTGGTAATTAAATGTCTTAGAGTCGTCTGTAAATATATAAGAAAAGCCCAATAATCAGTTAGTATATTATACAACTTACTCTAGGGGTTATGATAGTCAAGTACAAACTAAAGACGAAAGGATTACTCTTTAACTGCTTTCATAGTTGTAGTAGTCTGTATTATTATTTAAATATTTGCAAAAAATCTGAGATAGAGTTTTTCCGTCCATTAGCCTCTTCAAGTTTCGTATATTTTCATTCGGAAAAATTTTAATATGATAATCGATCAGTCTCTTTATATTATATATAATTTATAGAACGAATAGAATCTAACTTCGAATGTAAGTTCAGAATTCTTTGTCTTTATATATGTTTTATTCTAATCTCAATTGAGGTTCGAATTATGTTTTGTTTCATAATGCGATTAACTTTGTTTCATGTTGCCACATATTTTGTTTCATTTTTTAACACACTTCATAATAACTGTGCTTAAAGATAGTTCTTTACCAATTGAAATTAAGTGTTGTGCATATTACTCTTAATTTCTGACACTTTTATATCATTTTCTTTAAAGGTTTTTATATCCTCAATCACACCTTTCATCTCTGTTCAGTTTGATTTTTATTAATGGTTGACTTTTATATTGTAGATTCTTATCTATTGTTGACTCTTATCTATAACTGTGCTTAAAGGTATTTCTTTTGTTAAACAGAGGTGCTGTTGTTAAACTGCTCATCTTTTGTGCATAGTAACGTTGGACTATATAGCTCCAATAAACCCAATGTAGGGGTAACGAATACTAAATTATGCAGTATATATCATGTGTTATTATATATACGACAGTGCAGCACACTCTAAATTCTACTTATATTAGCTACCTTCACCTTCAGATAGGTTAAAGCTAATGTTAGCCTTTTTAGTGCTGCCGCTATATATTTAACATATTCAACATCTTTACCTATTGAAATTATGTGTGGTGTATACTACTATTAATTTCTAACAGTTTGTTTAAGAAACATGTTAAATGCAGCAAGAAATCTGATATATACTTCGTAGCAACGTCAATTATTAAACTACTTGAGTTAGTTAAATGTTGAGTTTTTTTTTCAATAATTTATGGTTTCGTGGTCTAGTTGGTTATGGCATCTGCTTAACACGCAGAACGTCCCCAGTTCGATCCTGGGCGAAATCAATTATTTTTTTGAATTCTTTCTTAATAAAACTCCAAGATGTCTCATATATGATTTGTACCCTCTTAATTACAGTTTTATATTTTACTATTTCTCTGTCTACATAATAAAAAATTGAAGAGTCAAGTGATCTACAAATATGATTTTTTGAGAATTTTAAAATTAAAATTATTAATAAACATTCAAGACATTTCTTTGCTCTAAAATAACCACCGCCATCTCATATTCTTCTTTATATCCCTAACAAAATTATTTCCATTTATTAGAAATGTATTAAAAGCTTGTAATTTACTCGTCTCAACATATTTTAGATACCTCATTTAACATTGAAATGATAATCGATATTTGTCGTCTTACTTCTTTTTGTATTTCGTTTTCTTTGACTTTTTTCCACGCTCAGCGCTGACTAAGATATCTCATCGAGCAAATAACGTTCACAAGAAAAGGCATTATATATAGTGGTGGTAATTAATGCTTCAATAGTGACGTCCAACCTCACAATTGATCTTCGTTAAACTCAGAAATTATAGTGGCAGCATAACAGTATAACTATGGTTACTACATATTTTGGTGAAAATGATTTAAATAGAGTCTCTTTTCTTAGAACAGAAGAAGAGTTTATCAGACGAACACTAGCATGCGAACATTCTGTGTATGTGCCATTTATAAAAGGAAACGCTCTTTGTCGTAATGATGGTAATCCTGGCTCGCATTCGTTACTGATGGTATCGTACAGTAGTGCTACACCAACATTTCAAAAGATTATCGATAATTACAGTACTGTTCTGAATAAACCAGAATCGAGATTATCGAAGACTCATATCTCTCTCTCATTCCTAGGCTTGAAGCAAGATGATAAGGTTTCTAATGACCATGTTCTTACATATGGACGTAACGATATTACTTACAGGGGTATTCCATATTATGCAATTGATTTCGATGAGCCTCCAAGTGATCTAGAGACCCTATTTCGCAATGAAGGCACTAAGCTGGAATTTATAGATAGTTGTCTAATGACAAAATTCCATGCTTCATTATTTTCTCATGCGAAAATGTATATTGATTGGTTAAGAAATACTCGATTCTGTACTGGTTGTGGTCATTTTACATATCCTGTTGAAGCAGGTACAAAAGTGAAATGTGGTAATAGCGATATGTTGATCAAATGTCATGTAAGAGATGCACGTGTCAACAACTTTTGTTTCCCACGTACTGATCCAATTGCAATTGTTGCAATTGTTGATGAATCATACGAAAAGATTTGCCTTGTTCGTTCAAAACGTAAGATTGATGACAAACACCCTTTTTACTCCCATGTTGCTGGATTCATGGAACCTGGTGAAACTGTCGAAAATGCTTGTGTCAGAGAAATATGGGAAGAAACTGGTATCGATTGTGAATCTACTGATGTCGAAATTATTGCATCTCAACCATGGCCATACCCTGTAAATTTAATGATGGGATGTGTCGCGAAAGTAAAGTTCAATGGTTCCAACGAAAAAGTAAATCTAAACCATGATCCTGAATTACTGGACGCTCAATGGTTTGAAATATCCGATCTTGCCATTGCTCTGAAAGCTCATAAAGGTGGATTTTTTGTCCCTTTTGTCAAGAATTATTATTTGCCAGGTAGCCAAGCTGTCGCTCATAACATGTTTGAATATGTAGCTCAACAATATTACAAGCAACACAATTAACGCCTTGCGAATTATAAAAATATATAAAAATTAACAATATATATTTTAATTATTATGAAATGTGCCATATATCATCTCTTTTATGAATACTGGCGATGGGCTTAAAAAAGGTAATAAAATCGCCCTTTTAGTTAACCAAAATAAAATTTCGGTAGGTAAAAAAAATAAACAATCAGAATGGTTCTCAAATGCGAAATATCATCTTACAATTAGATTTAAACCAAAACACGACTAAGGAACATAGACAAATTGTAGATTCGAAAGGAAAGACTTACTAGAACCAAAGCGACACTAAAAGTATCTGTAAAGCAAATAATATTCGCAAAATTTGGAACCTTATTTGTTATTGTACATTTTCTAGCATCTTAGGCTATATTACCCGATAATAAGCATTGTATCGGCACGACATATACTAACCGAACTGTTCGAAGAAAATACTGTCAATCACAGTATTACTATTAATAACAAATAACTTTTTTTTTAATAGAGTGGAGTGATTATAACTTATAATTTTTATCGACTGAACATAATAGTTACGCATCTGTTGCAATAGAATGTCAAGAGTCACTGGCTTAAAGAGTGATATAGCAGTCCTCAGTAACTCAGATAATGACAACAAGAACTGGAAGAGTCTTCTAAAGACAGCAAAAACCAATAAAATTCAATATCCAAGTATCAATAATGATCTATTAAAACAACACTTCAATCCTAATACAAATATTATACCAATGGAGAATGCTTTTGCAGGTTATAGAATTTGTAAGAATTGTGGGAAACCTATTTTGTTAAACTCAATAATGGATCACATACAGAACCATTGTCCTGGATCTACTGACGGTGGGACATCTAGTAGTAGCGCAAGTACACTAGTCGATAGGGATAGTGCATCGAAGACACTACCCGGCACCGATAAAGAGAACCATTCTACATCTACGAATGGGTTCTCCGTGGGTAGTAGTAATAGTATTGGGAGCTCTCAAAATTCTACAAAAAACAGTATAATACAATCAAATTATAATTATAATGACACAAATAAGGTAGGATCTGCAAAGAATAGCAATAGAAGGGGTGACGATGACAACGACGACGATGATGATGATGACGAAGACGACGAAGACGACGAAGACGATGACGACGAAGACGATGACGAAGACGATGATGATGATGATGACGATGACGACGACGATGACGAAGAAGATGATGATGACGACGACGATATAAATTCTTCGATGAGAAGTTCATCTTCAGGTAAAAAGAGACCTCCACCTACACCAGGTGAGTCACAATCTTATACAAAGAAAGCCAAGAATCACAATAAGAAGAGGAAACAAAGAAATATCAAACAAAGGAATCCAACTGACAAACATCTAATAGACTTTGATAAACAATGTGGTGTTGGTTTACCAGAAGGTGGATATTGTGCTAGATCGCTCACCTGTAAATCGCACTCCATGGGCGCTAAAAGATCAGTGGAGGGTAGAACAAAGACATTTGATGAATTACTGGCAAATTACCATAGAGAGCATCAAACGAAGATTGGTGCAGCAGCAGAAAAACGTGCCAAACAACAAGAGCTACAAAAGATACAGAAAGCACAACTAAAAGAACAAAAAGAACAGAAGAAATTGCTTCAACAGAAACAGAGACAAATACAGAAACAAACACGTAATAAAGAAAAAAGTACAAATGCTACTAGGACAAAATCTTCTTCTAATGGGAAGTCAAATGCATCAAAATCTATAAATAATTCCATTCCTACCCTAACTCCAGAGGAGGAGACAACACAAGTCTTAAATGGTGTTTCAAGGTCATTTCCATTGCCATTAGAGACTTCAGTATTATCTTCAACTAGGGTCAGGACCAAGTATATCCGAATGAGGGAAATGTTTGCTTCCGCATTTTCGGTAAAACCTGGATTTACCTCCCCTGGTTATGGCGCCATCCATTCTCGTGTCGGTTGTTTAGACATTGATAGAACTACTGATTATAAATTTCGTATCCGTATCCCTCAACCTGTTAACCCAGTATCAGGAACTTCTAATCTCACCCCACAACAAATACAAAAATTACAACAACATCGTATGCTACAGGCACAAATGTTGGCAAAACAACAACAGGCTCAAGGACAAAATCCTAACCAACAATTTCCAGTTTCAACAAATTCAAATAAACTACCGAACCCTGCCCCAAACCCTGTTACAAATAAATTACCTACAGATAATATTTCACAAGAGAAAGGACTGACACCTCAGGAGATTCAACTCCAGCAACAAAAATTGCGTCAACAACAACTTCAACAACAGAAATTTGAGGCTGCAGCTTTCCACCTTGCAAACGCTTCAAAATTGATGCAAAACACAAGTAATGGTGGATCGCCCGCTTCGATAAATAATGGTAGCCCAGAACATGACGACGGCTTGTCCAATAAACAGAATTCTCAGGCTGAGAGCCCCAATAGTGGTAGAGTTAATATTGGACTTGGTAATCAAGTAAATAATAATGGGGGTAGAGTTAATTGAATGGGTCTATGATTGTATACTTTATTGCATATATGTAATATAAAATTGAAGTATTTTTAATATATTTAATTTTTTATGTAATTGTAACCATTAAGGATTTATTATAAATAATCATTTATTTAAATAGTTGGTTAATAAATCAGAAGTCAAAATGAAAATGAATGACCAATATAATGTGCCAATAAAATCTTTGAAATAAAGGAAAGATATAGCTGCTAGAAATAAAAATGGCAGAGAAGCCTCAGGATATACCTTCACAATTATGAGATGAAACATTAAACGCAATAGTGAAAATAGGATATTTTCCCAGAATAACTTTGTCTTTTTTGTCCAAATTATTTTATCAATATTTTCGTCGAAAGTCCATGTCATAACATCACGAGTGAACTTAGATTTCACTCTCTTCTCACCATTACTGGCAAAATCAATATCAGGAAGAGTTCTCATTTCATCAATTACATTAGCCCATGATCCCGGGATTGGGGCTCTTAACCAACCAGTAGTCTCTTGCTCATTTTTATTTGGAATATAGGAAATAATAGTTTCCAACGGACCACCCGTATTTGTAGCCAATACAGGTTTACCATACTTCATAGCTTCCAGAGGAACAATACCAAAATGTTCGTTTGTTGGAGTATACATTAACATTTCTGTCTTACTTAGTAATAACTCTTTTAATGACGTAGATATGGAGGTCAGAAAAATGACTTTCTTATCCTTTGCATCAATGTTAAATGAATCAAAGTCTTTCCTATAAGTAGCATATGCTATAGTTGAATATGGTAACTTCAATTCCTTGGCTTCTTTCTCTAAAGTTTGCAAGTTTGCTACATTTTCACTTATTCTTGGATCATACCCACCACAAATCACCAACTTGAGTTTATCATCCGATGCAGCACTAGATAATGCAAAGGCCCTTAAAGCTAGTTTAACATTTTTCTTCCCTTCATATCTATTTATACTCAAATAATATTTATCTCCATCATTGAACATTTGATCAAACAAATTTTTATCAACATCTTCAATTTTTATGGGCTCTAGGTCCACACATGGATAAATAACATCTGGCTCATTTCTTAACAAGCTAAACGCTTTATGATACATAGACCTTGTGAATTTGGAATTAACGACAATCTTATCAGCACAGCTCAAAGCAAACTGTTCGGTCAAATCGAATGGGATTCTGTACAATGTTTTTAACAAAGAAGTTCTATAACTTAAAAATTTATCAGGGAAATGGCAATAGAAAAGTAATTTTGCATTGGAGAATAGATGTAAAAATGGAAGACATGTCGAGAGTTGATCAACAATGTATAAATCGTAATTGTTTAATTGGCCTGTAGTGTATAATTTCCAAGTTAAAAATAACTGCCTTAGAGTCGCAAAAACTATAAAAAACTTTTTATTGAAATTAGTTGGAAGGTTATCTCCAAACACTTCAACCTCTAGTGTACCATTCTTAATTTCTTCGAAACAATGATCTTTGTCACAGTGGGAGGTGAACATTTTCACCTCATAACCTTTTTCTTGTAAGCCCAGTGCTGCATCTACAACCAATCTCTCTGCACCACCAATACCTAGATCTGGATGGATAAATGCTACCTTAATAGGCGTATTAACTTTCTGATCAGTCATTAGTACCTACTATTATGGGTGTTAGGGTATTAAATCAAACTAATTGATATGTAACTGAACCATGCAGCTATTATACTTAAGGAATGATTGTTTAAGTGTTGGTGAAATTCCTGTGTAATCATTTATTATTACGGTTATTTTTCACTTAACATAACAGACGCGGACCACCAGTAGCCAACATTTATTTATTTATTGCTAAATAGCAAACATAAAGAAAGTTGAAAATTGTTGACATTAAATTACTGTGAAGTAAAGTGCAAGAAGACGGAAGTTAAATTATTAAAATGCTTCATATATTTACAGTATGGGTAGGTATAGACCTAGAAAATGATATAGTTATATAAGTATAAGTATAAGTACGATTATGTCAATGCCAAATTATTTTTAACGATCTTCGGTAGCGCCTTGGCCCATGATTTGGTCTTTTTATCCGTAATCATGAATAATCTTCCACCTTGTCTCATTCTTGCCGTTCTACCAGCACGATGAACTAAATCTATAGAGGTTTTTGGAACATCATATAGAATAACATTTCTTAAACCCTGAAAATTCAGACCTCTAGCCATTAAATCAGTAGTGACAAGGATTATGGATTTATTATTCTTGTGAACTTTGTTGTCCTTAGTTTGGCTGATGGTAATATTTGAACCTGGTATAGTAATGGATTTAGTAGCATCTTCCTTATGATCTTGTTTAGTAGTATTCTCTTCCTTATTTACATCAGACATCAACCTGGGAGGAGAGGTAAACAACTTAATGGTTTCAAGACGTTCTTCAACTTTATTATTACCAGTCAGACCCATAACATTTAGACCGTATTTAGTACACATATTCTCAACAATTTTTGTAACATCATCCTTTTCATTAACAAACACTACACACCTCTTTTGATAACCTTCTTCTGAATTATCTTTATTTACAGCATAAAGGATTTGTGCCAACGCCTTCATCTTTGAGCCCTTAAATGGATTTAAACTAGAATCAATGATCTTAAACTCAAGTTTTCTTGGTAATTTATGAAGCCTTGCAGTTGTGATAGATACATATGATGGAAATAATCTTGTAATTGTTTTATTAAATTCATTTGGTATAGTTGCTGAACAAAATATTAAATGATTTAAATTCTTCATTCTCCGTATTACTGAATGAGTATCATTAACCCACGATGGATCCATAAGTGTATCAGCCTCATCAATTACTAAATTTTTAACATTATACAAAAGACGTTCAGGGTTACTTATCATTTTAATATTGAACAATGTGAGCAATTTGGATGGGGTTGTTACAAGTATATCAATACGATTCTTGATTGCTTCAATAAGATCAGGGTATTTGGTATAAATGTCCCATTTATATGTATGTAACCCTAGTGTGTCTTCAGTCTTTTGTATTGTGTTATATACCTGATCGACTAATTCATGGGTAGGTACCAATATAATGGATCTAATAGAAGTTTTATTGTGAATTTCATCCCATAATTCGGGTGTCTCCAACTGTTCTCTCATCATATAGTCAACAATTGGTAATAAATATGCAACAGTTTTCCCTGAGCCAGTGTCTGCAGCAATGGCATGTGTTTGCAATTTCGGGTCCATCAATGATTTGGACATCCGTTTAACTGTTAGAATTTGAATTGGCGATGGTAATATACCCTCTTGCTTAACATCAGAGACTGTAGTATCTTTCGCAACAATAACTCTTATTGCCTCTCTAACTTGAGGCAATAATTTTAATTCATCAAAACTTGATATTTTATTCACTAATGCAGTAGCTAAATCGAGTTTCTTATCGACAGTTTTATTAACCTTAAGACCTCCAAATTCACCATAATGAAATGGTTTTATTGTTGAATTTGTTCTCTGATCAGAATGTTTCTTTAGTTTTTGTTTTGTTTTGTCATAACTTGGTTTTTTATTTTTCATACTACTTGACAAATTCAGTTGATTTCTAGACACTGCACCTCTTGCTCCTGTCTTTGGACCTGTGGCATACGTCCTTGTAGTAATACCTACCTGAACAAATATAGATCGAACAAGTACATTAGTAGTAAGTGATATGCCACATTGCATATACTTAGTTAGCATCTTGTAAATATTATATGGTATTTTTTTACCAAGATTTCTTAAAAGCAAATAATAATGATGCCCTATTTCTTAAATTATTTGAAGGTTAAAATAACTTTCAGAATAACAGAGGAGGTACTGATGCAAAATCGATGTGCTTAATCATTCTACTTCATTTTATAAAGTTAAACACACTTTATTGAAGCCCTTTATCCCATTGATACTTTACAATTGCAGTTAAAGATGTCAATAAAACAAAAGAAGCAAGACCTCTTCTTCTTCTTTTTCTTGATCACTGATTCCACAGCTCGTATCGAACGATCACAGAGCTAATGAATGATAACCCTGCAGTCCAACTGACTACAATTAACAGGAAACACTATCAACTCCACGATCTTACATGAGAGACCAAGGTCGTTATTATGCCCTCTCAATCCAATCAAAAGGTTTGAGTGTAAACCTGAATGAATATGTATATTTTTACTTAGGTTAAGAACTGGGCTTTATCTCCGCTCTTAATACCGTCCCACGACCTTGAATCGGAATATAATTGGGTGCTTTCCTTCCCCTGCGATATTTTTTAGAGAATGATGAAGTAAACAACAGACTTATCTATCTTTTCTTTTCTTGACAAATTATTCAAATCTGACAGGTGCAAAGGGTCACAGATTACGTGGATTCATTTTGCTACTTCCTCTCTGTCCTTGACATTGGTGGGGTGCGTTCTGTTGTTACCAATGGTGAGCAGATTCACATTTAGGAATCGAAGTATGTTGTTAGTTTCCTGAGAGAGAAGTGTGGGGGTTTAGGAAGGGGAGAGAACACAAGTTGTCTACCTTTATTTATAAGACAGTGATCAATAATGGAAAGATTGAATTTAGTTCATTGATTGCAGGGCAGACGAGAGAACTACTACGATCGATCCAATAATCAAAAGATTATTATATATAAATATATATTATATACATGCAATAGGAATTGCAACTGTTCTATAGATATACCACTTCAAACATAAAAGGAAATCAGATTTTTTTACAATAAACAAGAACAAGTACAAAAAACAAGAATTATGTCATATACTGTCGATACTGATGTCTGCCTGTTTGATTTAGATGGTACTATCGTAAGCACTACAGTTGCAGCAGAATCTGCATGGAAAAAATTATGCTCAAAATATAATGTTAATCCAATAGAATTCTTTAAAGTGTCGCATGGGTCAAGAACAGAGGAGATGTTAAAGATATATTTCCCGGAAGTTGATAACACCGATAATAAAGGTGTCTTTGAATTAGAGAAGGATATCGCTGACAATTACTTGGATACTATTAGATTAATCCCTGGTGCGAAAGAATTACTGTTGGCATTGGATAGTAATCCTCAAGACCAGACTGCCAATTATAATCTAAAAGGTGAGAGGAAATGGGCTATTGTTACTTCGGGTACTAGATACATTGCATTTTCATGGTTCAAGACAATCTTAAAAGATGTTGGTAAACCCACAGTTTTCATCACCGGTGAAGATGTTCATGTCGGAAAACCGAACCCGTTAGGTTATAACATGGCTAAAGAGAAACTATCGTGTATATTAAACGTAAACAAGGACAAATGTCGTTCCGTAGTCTTTGAAGATGCACCGGTAGGGATTCAAGCAGGGAATAGTATGGGTGCTACCACAATCGGTATTGCATCCTCATACTCCCCTGAGAAGCTAATCGAAGCAGGTGCGGACTATGTGGTCGAGGATTTAACCCATGTCACTGTTATCAGCAACCCTGAAACTGGTGCCATTACTTTGAAAATTTCAGATCCAATTGCCCACAAAGGATGAACCAAAGAACATCCCTCTCTAATATATATATACATATATATAATGACAAACAAAATTCAATAATCCAAACAATCGATCGATCGATCGAACTGTTGTTCAATCGAAGAACAACAAAGTGCAATGAACAAGTCGGATCCTTGTGGTCCGTGTGTGCCCCACATTTTCCAGTCAGCAATAAAAAGAAATAAACGCTGGCGGAAAGAAAGACGGAGGGACGGATCTAAAAGAGACACAGAAAATTAAGCACGGAGATAAGAAAACACGGAACTGAACTGAACGGGTCATTCCTTTGTGGATTTCCTTTGGTAAGCAACATGACGACGACCTGAACAAACTTCTGTCTTCTAATCATTACATCAATCAAAGCACGTTTTGGTGACCTTTACCAGTTTGTGCTTTCTGTGTCGGTCACAGACAATTGAATATGTGTTAGGGATAAACTGTTTTGACTTTAACTGGAAGTTTTTACTTCTATATATATATATATATATATACATACACATATAAGATGCTTGATCTACATATTGTTATATTTTCTTCTGCTGTTTATAATACTAACTAACTAATTATATATTTGCTAATAGAACCCTATCCCTTATACAAGACAACCTCTCTATTTCAACTACTACTTTTCATCTATTATAACAAATTAAAAAATATATATTTGATATTTTAAGCATAAACTTTAGTTATTAATAATATTATATTCAGCTATGACAGTCTCTACCCCTACATCTCATCATACAATTGACACAGACGTGTGTTTATTCGACTTAGATGGTACAATCGTCGATACAACTATTGCTGCAGAATCTACATGGAGAAAGTTATGCAAACAATATAATGTCGACCCAGAAGAATTATTTAAGGTATCTCATGGTTCAAAATCAGCAGAGATGCTAGAAAGATTTTTCCCCGAATATGATAACACCGATAACAAAGGTGCAATGCTCCTTGAAAAAGATATGGCCGACAACTATCTTGATACAGTGAAACTTGTACCTGGTGCTAAAGAATTGTTATTAGCCTTGGATAAAAATCCAAATGATACTACTGTCAATTATAAGGATCAAGAAAAGAGAAAATGGGCTATCGTTACTTCTGGTTCCCCATATCTGGCATTCTCTTGGTTTGCAAACATCTTAAAGGAGGTAGGGAAACCTGCTGTATTTGTTACTGGTAACGATGTCAGCGAGGGGAAACCACATCCAATGGGGTATATGAAGGCCCGTGAAGCATTGTCTAAGACATGGAATTACGATATCCCATGCCGTTCAGTGGTATTCGAAGATGCTCCAGTCGGAATCAAAGCAGGTAACAGTATGGGTGCCATAACAATAGGTATCGCGTCCTCATATCCACCTGAAAAGTTAGCTGAAGTTGGTGCTAATTTTGTTGTCAAAGATTTATCACAAGTTTCCGTAGTAGAAAATAGCGCTGACGGTTGTATCAAGTTGGAGATAAGAAACCCATTATTCACTAATTAATAGTTTACTTAAATATCTTATGTAATCACGTATACATTAACTCTGATGACCTTTTCGTTGAGGTCTATTATGATAATTAAAAAAATGGCCACCATTCGACTCTCGTCCATTTTGAAAAGATTATTTCTCTCTTCTTTTAGCGGATTTCGCTCTCAAAACCGAATGAGAAGCAGAGAAAAAAACAGTGAAAGGGAACTAAACAAAATATCAATAATGAACCAATCGTTCTTCCTGCACAGGTAAACTAATCCTTCCTTAACTTGAGGATAGAAATTCGGGACAATATAATATATAATATATACATTATTTACTGAGGGAGACCCAATACCAAATTAGTTTTTCTTCTGTTGATAAATCTTAGCGGACTAACCCATTATATTATTTCAGATGTTAAGAATTCAATCAAGAAACATATGCCAAACAGTTGTGAAAAATGCTGGTGTAGCCGGGAAAGGGAAATCCCAAGGGTTTTCAAAGGCTGCATCAACTAGTAAAAGACCAGCTCCAAAGAGAATAACACCTACTACTTTGTATAAAAACTGGGTGAACACCATTCATAGCTCAAAACTGAATCGTAATGCAACACAAGTTTCAGGAATCCCAACATTTAATCCAATTAATATGGATTCATGTATAAACTCTGTAACACACTTCAGTGATAAACAAACAAAGGCATTACGTTATTTAGGCTCCTTTAAGAAAGGTCAATATAATGAATTATTCACCAAACCAATATCTTTAATTAGAAAGAATTCAACTGAACAATTATGGAAAAAACTATCAACCACTGGGTCTCAAAGAGTGATTATAACCGGTGAATCTGGGATTGGTAAGACTTCTTTATTAGCTCAAATGCATTCATGTGCTGTAGAGTCTGATTATATCGTTGTAAATATATCCTACCCAGAACTATTTCTAAATGGTAGAAACGATTTTTTCTTTGACAAAAATTTAAAAACATATGTACAACCGATGTATCTAAAGTCTCTAATACGAAAGATAATTAAGGCTAATGACGAAAATGTACTAAATTCCATCAAATTATCTAAAGATTATAATTTTGTGAAAACAACTCTTAAGGGAACAGATAACATTAACCTTTCCAAAGGTAAGAACTCTTTATTCGACTTGCTGAATGTATCTATTAACTCAAACATTCGTGGTGAACAATTTGAAGGTTTAATAAATGAACTATTTTTTCAGGATAAAGTTCCTATTTGTTTTACTGTCGATAATTTTTCAAGAATGTTGACTGGTGCGTTTTCTGATTATAAGGATGTTAATAATAAGAATATTTACTTAATGGAATTACAAATGGGAAAAACCATTATGGATATAGTTTCAAACGAACGAAAATTGAACAATAAAAAGAGTTGTGTTATTTTAGCAATATCAGGTATCGATAAAACGAATAGAACATTACCAGTCGCCCTGGGTAAAATTCCTGCGGATCCATATATGAAGAGAAACATATATGAACCAAATTTTGTAGATATTTTACAAAAAGGGAAAGTTGAAGAGTTTGAAGTTCCTAAACTTTCAAGAGAGGAAGCTAAAAAGTTAATTCAATATTATATAGATGCTAAGATTGTGTTGAATAGAGATGTTGAAACTAAAACATTGGAACAAATGACAGATGAGAAGTACTTTATGAGCGGTAGTGGTAATCCTAGAGAACTTCTGAAGAGTATTGTTCTTACTCATAAATAGAGTGGAAAAATTAACACCAAATAAAAATATTCAAAACACAAATATTAGTCATTATCGTATATTGGTATAAATACATAGTGATGTATATAATTTAAAAAATCATGTAAATATTTGATTCAATATCAACATCTGCAGAACACATAACAAAATTTACTATTTACTAGTAATACAATATGGAGTTTTAATAATTTTCCAAGATTTGTGAATTTTAATGTATATACTGAGAAAAACATATACATCAGAGAAGATGTGTCTAATCAAACCAATCGTCCTCGTCATCAACATATTTTGGTTGTTGTGGAGCCGTATTTGTTGGTGCAGATTGAGGATTCGTAGAAGAGGATGGTGCTCCATATGATCCAGAATGTGTTCTACCATTGGCCTTACGATCATCCCAAGCATTCTTAATATCTGGAACAATTTCGTTCAAATCGTCGATAGAGACAGAGTCATTTATACTTTCTAGAACTTTCTGTACAACAGACGTGTGATTACCATTCAATTTATCATCTCTAAATCTCAACATCATCCACTCACCAGTTTCTTGATCCTTTGAACATTCCACAATTCTCCCATTTATTGGTTGTCCCATACTCTTTAATTCCTCCCATTTAGTATCATCGATTTGTAATTCGGCAAACTTTTTATAAGTCTTCTCTAGTAATTGTAATTCTTTACCGTCAAATGGTTTATCAAAAACTCTTAATTTAGTGTTAACATCTGGCCCTCCTAACCATACATATAGGTGGAAAGTAGGTTTATCATCATAATTATAATACCATCTGTTAGCATCTCTTTTGGGTAAGGATGTATCTTCTACCATCGGAATATCCAGAATTAATTTGAAATCTACTGTATTTTCTTGCTTTGGCTTCCATTTTAGAAGTAAGGAGTCCTTACCACCTATTGAATACGCAGTTCTCACGGGTGTAAAGATCAAACCATCCGACATATGAGGGAGATGCTCCAAACTGTCTGCCACCCTAGTTAATTGGTAGCTAAAATCCATATGTTTCATTGATAACTTAAATGGGAAAGTTGAACAACGATCTGCATAGAATGCTCTTAAGTCGTAGTAAGGTTTAAAAAAATCTTTACCTAAATGTGCCAATCTAGAACTGGTTGGTGATGATGTCAAGCATCTACCATTAATAGCAAGACAATCAAACATCAGATATCTCATTTCTTGTAATTTTGTAACAGGGTTCGTTTGAATAACTAATTCACCATCCAATAAGGTTCCATCTTGTAGAGTCTCGAGTAATTCTTCCTTCTTCTTGCTCGGTAGTTTAGGGAATCTAAAGCCAGACACCATATAATAATTGTTCTCTCTATCTATCATAAAACAACCCTGTTCTCCTGTCATATTGTTGACAATGATCAACATCAAAACACGTAATCCATCAGTTTTTTCACATACATAGTAATCCTGAGCAAGCAATTTATCTTGAATATCCGAATGTTGAAAAGAAACAGGCTGCGAACCAGGAAATGTCTTTACTGGTTTAGGCGAATTCAAGAGTTTACAAACGACTCCTTTCAGGTCCTGTGTAACGTTACCAGGTTGAACAATACCTGGTATTTCTGGTGCAATTCTATTTTCCATTTTTATTGCTTGACGTTATGCAAGTTATATATCTCGCAGTGTTTGATGAGTGAATCTCCGTATAGTGATGAGTGAAAAAGCTAAGATTTGTGATTTATCAAACGTTAAACAATCGAATAATTTTGTACTCTTCAATGTATGTTTTATGCTCCTGTCACTAAAGTTGGTCTATTATTTGGGAGAGCTCTATTTGTTGTTTTTCTATTTCTAGATGACCCAAGTTCGTTATTTTTCCATCTCTCGATATTTCATTTTTTTTCTGGTAATCCGGCGTCACAGTTTGAACTGTCGTGGACCTACTTATATTTAACCCAAACAATTGAAAGAAGAATTACGTATTATCGATTGACTCAATGAGCAAAATGCTCTTGAGAAATATCAGATTCTGTAAAATGTGTTTTTTATTCAATAGTATTGTCGAGATATACCCTCTTGATTTAATTCTTTTGACTGATCTCTGAAATTGAGTTACTAAATATTTTTAAATATGCTAAAATATGTAACTATATTGAATGACTCCCTAGCAAGACAAACATTTACATGTTGGTGTTTTGACTGCTTCGTTTGCAATAATATGGACATGCATTACTTTAATATTTACAGTACACTCATGTGGTTAAAGTTCTAATTAAATTAAATAGTATCTATTTACAGAAAAACGATGCAATCAATACAAGACAACTATCTATCAGGTCATTTCATTGAATCTAATTCTTTTAAAATATTTTCCATTTTCTCAGATATCGTGGGTACTAATTCCTTCATACTGTAATTTTTCTTGCTAGAAGTAGACTTTCTCAATTCTGATCCAAAACGTTTTATTGCGATATTATTCTTCCATCGTATGACATCCTCCATAGCTTTGAAATGTCTGTAATTTATAAGATCAGTAAGTAACTCCGATTGTTTGGACAATTTGTTGTCTCTAGAGATTGTATTTCTCCTTTTTTCAGAGCGGGCTAAGATACGTCCACCTGGTCTCTGTAGGTTCTTCTTTTGTTCTTTCTCTTCTAAGAGTTCATCCCTTTCATCTTCTAGAGATTTGATTTGAGTTAATATGGTTCGCGTTTTTGAAGAATCTTCTAGATTCATAATCTCATCTGCAATTTCATCTAATCTTACTTCTACGATATCGAGTCTATCTTCATCAACTTCTTCTTTGGTTTTTTCCTTGTTTTCGAAAGTTGTTTTGTTCTGTCCTTCTTTACCTACCAGAAGTTCAGTGGTCGTTAGTGCGTTCTTATTTAATTCCTCAAGTAAGTCATTTTCTTCATTGCTGAACTCAGGTGGATTTAAAATTTTGTTTCGTACAAGCATAGTGTTCTCGATATCCAAGGTGGTGTTTCTAAATTGTCTTAAAAGGTCGTGCTCCCTTCTACCCCAAATATTGAGTCTGTTAAGTATCGAAGCTAAATCATCAACATTGTTAACAGAGTACCACATTTCATCATCTAATAGAAGATACTCAGGTGTTTCGTCTAATATCATCTTTTGAATATTTGATAATTCAAATGAAGAATTTAATTTCCCTTTGTTAGATAGAAGTTCAACTTCAACACCATTATTTTCAGGACTAATATGCCACATAGAACCATCCTCACGCCTATAAACTTGGAAGACTTCCTTTGTCGCAGAAGTTTTACCAGCCTTTTCACTTATCCATTTCCAATTACTTATTTCTTCGTCTGATATCTTTAAAAGATATTTTACCATTTGTCTTGATGGTCCTTGGATGAATAATCTACCCGTGGAATAATTGAGTTCAGTATTGTTTTCATTTAATTCTTCCTCCGTATATGTATTTACTGGTACACCTGAAAGACCAAACCAAAAGAAACGATTACCATAACGGTCTACACCAAGCGGCTTTAATCTTTGTAGTTCAGTTTCTAAAATTTGTTTTTCTAAAAATGTCTTATCGTTTTGAAGGCTATCGATTTTAGCCTGGAGATCCCTATATTGTTGAACATCTGTATCAGAGTTAATTTTACATAGCTCAGAGATCAAACTTTTAATTTCTCTAGCTATTTTAAATTTTTCAGATCTAATTTGGTTAGATAGCTCTAGGGAGTCATCAACAGCTTGTTTGATATCCTGAGAATAATGTGTGACCATATCTACTAATACCCATAACGCTTCAATTTTTTCGGAAAAGGAGAGTTCGCGACAGAAGTTTCTCCATAACTGCTTTGGTAAGTGTGAGGCAGATATATGTGCCGGAATTAATTTTTCGGTGACGAGCTTGATAAACTTCGTGTATTTTGGCACTGCTGAACTATCTTGGAAAATACCTAGTAAAATAATCAACCAAAAATGGTTGCTGAATTGTCTTTTTGTCAGTCTTTCACTCCAATGTACGTTACGGAAATTCAAACATTTTTCTACACGTTCCTCTTCTTCAGACATTTCATCATCAGAACTCTCCTGTTCATGTTCATCTTTATTAATTTTTTGTTCACCTTCTTTTGGACTATCTTTTGTATCGTCTTCATTTTCTGTTTTCATATTATTCTGAACTCCATGAATCGTTGCCTTCTCTTCTTCATCGACTATTATCTCTGGAAATTCATGGGGCAAGTCATACCAATCTTCAGAGACAATTGTAATCCATTCCCCCTTTTCATTAATAAATAATGACAGTAACGACACAAAGGACTCCACGAGAATAGCCGAACCGTTATTATTCACGTCATCAATAACATCATCCGATGCTGGGTCATTTTTTAATATATCGTATTTTAAAGGTTCATTTGAATTCAATGTTTTTGCTTCAATCATTTTACGAATTTTGGAGTTTCTATTCCAATCACTTATTGGATCAGATTCCATATCACTATTGTTTCCATCCTCCGACTGATCAGATTCAGAACCGTTCTCGCCATCACCATTTTCGATAGACTCAATTTTTGAATCCATTTCTTTTTGAACAGAAACTTCTACGACTTCTCCGATTAGTTCATATCCATTTGTACACTTAATAGAAGTGATAAATTGATCAAAATTAAATCTTGATAACAGTAATGTATCGCTAAAACTAATCAAAAATTGGTATATTTGTAAGACTCTTTCGAAATGAGGAAGATTATGGAGAGGATTTGTAGTGATATCTGATAAATGTACACTTTCCAGGTTGTTGTTGTAATACTGTAAATTAGCCATAAATGGTTCCTCGTCTTGTTTGAAAGGTATTTCTAGATCATCTATAATTGTATTTAGCACAACAGGTGGTTCGATAGATGGTTCGGTCTTCACAGCAACATTTTCAACATCCGGAATATCATTATTACTAGGTTTCTTCTTCTTGTTAGATTTTCCATTCGTTTCATCCTCAATATCATTTTCATTAGATTCAGAGTCTTTCTTTCTTTTATTTTTTCCTTTAGTTTTCTTACTATCTCCATTAGTTTCGTCAACAGGAGCTTCTAAAACAGAAATTTCTTCGATTGCAGGTTCGTCATCCTTATATTGAACCAACTCGGGTGGCCAATTCATTGTTAGTCCATACATACTCAAATATTCTGGTTTCACAGACCAAGGAGCACCAGTTTTCGAAGACGCTTTATGAAGTGTAATCTTGAAGAAACATTTAATAAGGTGTTTAGTAAAAGATGATCTATCTCTGTATATCTGAGACTGATCTACGATGATAGATTTTCCAGTAGGTTCCCGAGTTGGTTGCGAACGTTGTCCATTTTCATACAAATGGTTATCATCCTCGATTAGCATATATTTACAATGACCTGGAACCAATACAGAGCCAGTTCGTGGATCTACTGTTGCGTTAAATTGCGCCTTCTCTTTTACAATGTAAGGACTTTGATATTGTGGTTGGCCAGTAGCATCTAATCCACTTGTTGTAGGATTATGTGATGACGATGATGACGATGATATAGTAGAGACAGTAGCAGCTCCAGCTCCAACCGCTGGGTTTAAATCTTTGGGCCTACGCAAATATACTACTTCCCCTGGGAAGTAATCATTCTTAAACTTTCCGTACACCTGTTCCACTAGAGAATCTAATCTTTTAATTACGTTGAAATGCAAAAATCTTGCTACTGGTTCTCTAAGTTTCAATGGGAATTTTTCTTCGACATATTTAAATTGTGCTTCTTCACTATCTAAAGCTTGGAAAAAGGTTAGACACGAAGTACCAGTAATTTCACATGTGAAATGGTGTCTCATATAAAAATCCAATCTTCTTAAATATTCTTCATAAGAATAAAACCATTCTCCAGTTTCATCAATATGCCACACATAAACATTGAGGTCAGCCGGTAGAGGTAGCGGATCTGGAAGAATTATTGGTTTTCTCTTGTATAAAACCATGTTAATTTGTATATGCTAATATTGTACAATGTTTTCCTTTATTTATCGCTGCAATGGTTTTGAAATATATCAATAATTTTTAATTGTCGTTGTTGCAATGTAAAACCTAGGTATGACGTTAAAAAAACGTGATCTAAGGGTGACAGGGCGGCTATATTAGGTATAATATATAATTTATTAGCCCTTGTAATGATTAGTTCTTTGGTAATATTTATAATTATACTTGTTTTCTTGTTACTTTGAAATAGATAAAAAAACTGTTTTTCCACTTAATTTTATAAATTTGAAAATTATTGGGTTATTATTTTTTTTTTATTTAGTTTTGCTTGGAGGAAGAGTTGTTTATTTTTTAGACAAAGAACGCCAAAACAAGTGAAGAAAAGTAACGAAGAGAGGAAATTTATAGATTGAGTCTAAAGAAGCGCGTTGCCGCAATAATGTCCATGAATTAATCAATTAAAAATACTTCAGCAATGGAAAACAATATTACATACAAAGAACAATATTAGCATTTGAAATGTCATGAATAATTTATTTTTGAATTAGTTTATAAATAGTCTATAAAGAAAAATGCATAAAAAAAAAAGGTCATTGAGATGGTCATTAAGATGGTGATGTAGTATCCAGGAAGAAAGATGATATGAATTAAAACAATTATTGATTACAGGCATTTTCCAATAGTGTTACTGTAAATACTGCGTGTAACAAGTCTCTATTACGGCACATCAATTCGTTGTTTCTCACTGCAATCATTAATGAAACTTCTAGCTTTGTAAGTAATCTTTTTGTAATGCCACATACTTTACTGAAGTATTCATGAGAATATTGTTTATCTTGTAACAATTTACAACTGATTCTAACTAATGCAATAATGAGTCTATGGACGTGATGCAATTCCAATTTATTCTTTAAATGTATTTCTTCTGTGTCTTCAATTGATCTGTCGATGAACAGTATCTGTAATAAATGTGAGCTTTGTAAAAAAATAACAGGTTCAAATTCACATTTTTTTTGAATTCTTGTGATTAGATCATGATATGAGAGAGATGGAATACTTTTCATTTTGAAACTTGACAAATCGGAACGATCATGATCACGTTTACGCTTATCTAGTGATTGATTGTTAATATTCTGTGACAATTGTAATAGTTTCTCTATAGTTATTGTAAAATATCTAATAGCTTCATTTATTGTTACTTTATTAATTTGAATTAAATTAGATGGATCGAACTCATAAGCTTCAAACTTTGAAATAGAGTTTTGTAAATTTTCGTCCTTAGGAACCTGTTTCAGTTCTGCATATTTTCGTATATTTCTATTCAGTTCTACTTGAGCAGAATCCATTTCATTATTTTTAATGTCATGACTTTCTAAATTAAAATTGAAGTCAATATTATCTTGAATATCATAATTCAAAGTATCTTCTGTGGGAACAGTTTCAGCATCACTTAATTCAAAATTAGAAACGGATCCGATATGTGACCTTAAATAGATATCATTTTTCTTCACAGTAGAATTATTGTTATATAATCCATTCTGGTCCAAATGAGTTCTAAAATCATTGATTTTACCAATTTTATCTTGTACAAAATCATTCATCGATGTTGCAGATCGTATCAAATCCTCGACGTTTCTAGTTCGTTTTACATCACTTACAGGTAATATCATAGGTCTATGTAATTGATGATGATGATGTCCGTCATTTAATTCATTTAATAACAAAGCTGGATCTTCACCAAATCTCACATTTTTAGCCGATGCCATATTTAGATTCAAATTCAAATTTGTCATTGATGTTGCGAGAGAATCCCCCGTCGATGATCCAAACTCAGTATTCGGAGTCTCTGGAAATGATGAATCCCACTCATCTGATAAATCTGCAACGCTTGCTTTCAATGGTAAATGCATCGATATTTTATCCAATCGTAGATCCGAAAGGCCAGCGTCTTCTATACCAGCAAATGGAACGCCTAGCACTTCATTATCGAGAGTATAACTGTAATTACTGTTAGATGTACTCATTATTCACCTCAATTGTATTTCAAAGTCAATGTTTTCTAAATTTTATATGTCTTACAATCTAAAATATTGTGTTGTTTTTATTTCTACGGTATCTTAGTTGATGTATTAAATATAGCGATAGCAACCAGCAGCGATAGCATCAAATATTTTCATTGGAATGAATTTTTACGCACGGCGAAAGGAAATATCTTAGAAGATGAGCGACCAGTCAAAAAATGTATATATATATATATATTTGAATATATGTAAGCGTTCCTTATTATTGTTAGTGAACATCAACTACCCCACATTGTTTATAGAAATCACATTATACTTTCTGATAATATGAGGAGGTAGATCAATAGGCTGTGCAAAGCGGTATTATAACTATAGTAAATAAATTTACGTATATACTGACGTACTATTACTGCAGTGTAATTATTATCTCCGTGCTGCTCGTTTCAAATGATCTCATCTCGGTACTTACTCTTCCGGAGATCGGCAACACAGCTCGTAATATGGTTTTTCGGGTTGCGTTTTTTTCTTTGCCGTCGGTTGTTAAATGAGCAAGGAAAATATTGTTAGGTTACCATGTTAGGTCATCTCAAGGTGCATGGGGAAAAACATCGTCTCCCTCCAGTTTGCCAAAAGATGTCAACATTACGGTAATCATCGACAATGTTTGGGAAGGGTAGGATCATCTCCTTGCTTTGATTTGGTAAATAACCTGATTTCTATGATAATCCTAGCTGAGCGGACGTACTATTATTGCGGTCGAAAGGACTCCGTGGTACAGAATATATATAATTTTCATTTAGCTGAAAAAGTTTTAAATTTTTTAAATAATAACATTAAACAGTTTATTGCCAAATTTGATTTTATAAAGGTTTAAGTCATAACGATACCAGATAATAAAGGTTGTTGTTGTTTTTTAAGGGAAATCCAGAGTTTATTAAAAAAAGAAAAATACTGACTATCTCACCCCACTTTTTTTTTTTCCATAAATATGCTTATAGGGTCGGGATCATTATATAATATTTGGAGGTTAACTCCGAGTCGATCTTCATACTTATTACGTTCTTTAGCCATCACTTCTGTGCGATTCAATTCAAACTCTCAAAGTAGATGGTTACAAAGAAGTAAGAATGATGTTTATACTCGAGAAGCTAAATTGAAGAATTGGAGATCTCGTGCTGCATTTAAATTAATAGAAATTGATGATAAATTTAAGTTATTTAATAAAGATATTAAACAAAACGTATTGGATTTAGGGTTTGCACCTGGATCTTGGTCTCAAGTGGCTCGTAAACGTACTAATCCGACATCAATTATTATGGGTGTAGATATCTTACCTTGTAAACCTATCGAAGGTGTCCATGCATTACAAGCAAATATCTTGTCAAAGACAACTCATAATATTATTAGGTTATTTTTTAATGAAAAATTCAATTTAAATGAAGAAGATAATCTGAATCAGAAACTTGGTTACCTTGATAAACCTTATATGACTGGAGAATCAAATGAGATAGAAAAAATATACCCTGTTAATATAATTATTAGCGACATGTATGTACCTTACCCAAAAGATTTTGAAAATTCAAATATTACGTCCAATCTTACTAATATGCCATATTATAGGCTGATGAACACTTCAGGTGTTGCTATTAGAGATCATTTGCGATCAGTAGATTTATGTGACGCAGCTTTAGTCACTGCAATTGATCTCTTAAGACCAAATGGAAGTTTCGTTTGTAAACTATACACGGGACGGGAAGAAGACCTCTTTAAGAAGAGATTGCATAAAGTTTTTAAAAAAGTTCATAAATTTAAACCTGATTCATCTAGATCGATGTCAAAAGAAGTTTATTACGTTGGATTGGAGAAGAAAACTCAAATTGATAAAGTTGGTGTGTTCACTGCTTAAGACTCTATATCGATGATTTAACACTTGCATATATATTCATAAATTTCTACATGTTTCTTGAATTTTGGTGCTATTTTATCTTTTAATTAGTTCTTTATTTATATATTTTTGTATGGTCTATATCTTTTATGTATGAGATATATATACATATTTGTATTCCAGTACACACTTAGAATTGTGTGGTTGGATACATTTACATAACATGGTTAGTTTATGCATATCAGGTGATTAGTGTACATCAAAAAAGGGGGGGAAGTACTATTTGAATCCAAGCGTATACAAAATTCATGTACTTCCAGATCGTTTAAACTAACCTATTTGTCTTTAGCATCATCTGTCTCTTCTATTTCTTTAACATTCTCGCTTTTTTCAGAATCATCGTCGTCAACAGTTACTGTTTCAGTTTTTTCTTCTTTTACTTCTTCTTCCTTTTCTGGGATTTCTTGTTCAACAACTGGTTCAACAACTGGTTTACTATCTAAATCAATTAAAGTTTGTTCTTCGACTTTAGAATCGGATGCAGTTTGTGTCTCGGTTGGCTTGATGATTCTCTCGGCAATTGCACTTTTACCATCAAGGTTTAATTGATTTTTCCACAAATCGACAACCTCGTTGATTTCTTTTTCATTTAAACCATATGTAGAACTTAAAATAGCAGCCTCAGAAAATCTATTAACCTTAACTAGTAGGTTTTTAGCGTCTTCAATAGAGCCAGCAGCCCAGTAACTGTTAAATGCCAAATTGAATTTACCCAGAGCCTCAGAATCTTTACCAACTTGGATTAATGCATCCTTATTGTTGAATGAAGAATACAATAAAAATAATGATTCGAGATCATGAGCATTAGTATATGCTTCAATGGCTAATTTAAAATTAAATAGCTGTAGAGACATATCACCTAGCGCTATCCATTTATTTTCCGTATCATCATCGTTCAATAAGTCACGAGCCATTTGAAGTTTCTTAGTTTTCAAAGCTAACTCAAATTTTTGTTCATTATCTGGAGATATCTTTAATGCTTCTTCAAAGTATTCTTGACCTTCCAAAAATCTGGATAATTTTAGCAACGAACGTTTACTGTTGATATTAGGCAGAACGTTTTCAATGGCATCCTCAAGTTCACCTCTTAATGTCAAAGTTTGGAATTCCAGAACCTCAAGTGCAATATCTTCAGCATAAACATGTACTTGTCTATCAGCAACATATACTTTGTTATCACGTGCTATGTATCCTAATAGGAATATATCCTTGGTGTAATGTGCTAAATTATATGTCTTACCACCAACAAAGTAGTTCAATCTGTTACTTAATGTCGTAAAGATGAAAACGTCTCCAACCCATTTACCAGATGTAATATTCTCATTTACTTCATAAACGGTTTCCATTACGTCATCTATATCGTTACTACTTGCCCATTTATCACTCTCATGGGATTCCATGACTTCCAAATATTTCTCTCTGTCGTAGATCAAAGCATGTGCTTTAGCTTCGTCTACAGCAGGGTCTGGGTTACCGTTAGTAACCATTAACAATTCTCCACCTTCTGACCAGTAAATACTTCCCGGGTTTATATCTAATCTTCTTACCAATGTACCAGTTTCCCATGAGAAGAAATATGTCATCTTATACATGCTAACACCAAGTAAAGTACCAGGGTATAATTTTTCGGCACGCCCTTCTTTTTGCTCAGCTTCCCAGTTACTTACTAACTTGAAGTTTTTGTAAAGTTTGATCTTCCCTTCTGGGTCGATAATAGCATAACTGTTGGAATCTGGGCCCCATACAAAGTCTTTACACTTACCAAAATCCTTATTTCTCCAGGCAAGGGCGGTGTAAATAACATATTCACCATCACCAACGACAGCAACAAATCTACCGTTTGGAGAATGGGCCAAGCTTTGAGGGTAGATGTCAACGGAACCTAATTCTTTGGATTGTAGAGGTAATGGTTCACCTTCTTCGGCTTCTTCGTTTCCTCTAATTGCTGCAGTAAATATATCATTGGCACTACCAGTTCTACCACCAGACCATACAAGTTTACCAGCTGGGTCAAGAGATAAAGCAGGTTCGTCATTACCTAGAGATAAAACTGTGAAACCACCATCGAAACCAGATGCAATGTAGTTCTTTTTACCTGCTGGGTGGACTGCAATACACCAACTTCTTTCTAAACCTAAGTTTAAGGTCTTTTCAACCTTGTAGGTAGCAGAATTCCAGACCTTGACAGTACCATCTTCGGAACCAGAAATAATAACAGGTAATGTTGGATGGAAAACGGCGTATGAGACATTGGACATATGGCCTTCCAGAGTTGCAACACACGACTTTGTTTGGTAATCCCAGACTTTAATGGTCAAGTCATCTGAGGATGTAATCAAATATGGTTTATCTGGGGAAGGATAATAATCAACGTAGTTTACACCTTTTTCTTGTTTAGTCTCTAATGTATAGTTTGGAGTAGATTGACCAAGAGACCAGACCTTGACAGTACGATCAAGACATGCGGAGGCAAAAGTGTTTGGATCTTTTGGATTGAAAGTTACACACATAACAAAATGTTCATGGCCTTCAAAAGTTTGTTCAAGTGCCCAGTTCTTCTCCCAATTCCATAATTTGATAGTTAAATCATCACTACCAGATAAAATGTATGGTTTAGTTGGGTGTACCGCAATAGAACGGATATAATCTGGATGAGCTTCAAAATCTGCCACTTTTTCACCTGTATTATAATTGAATACTTTGATTCTGAAATCATCACAACCAACCACAATCCAATTCTTTCTGGCAATAAACTTACCAGCTCTAACTGGAGTTTCGGTAACTTGGATTGATCTCACTTCTTGTTTAGTTTCATAATTCCATATTTCTACTTGGCCTGTGTATAACGTAGTTAGAACCCAAGGTTCCTTAGGGTGAAAATCAATCCCCTTGACTCTATTAGTACGATTGGTAAATGTTTTCTAAAGAAAAAAATAATATATAAAATTCAATGAGAATATATTTCTGTTAGTATAAATGTAAAATTATAATAAAGGATCAGTCAATAGGCCTTATTTAAAATAAGGATTGAGTGGAACGAATGCAAAAAAAAGTAGAATTGAATCTTTAAACATACTGTAATATCCAACTTCATTCTTAGGAAATTTACTTGCAATTGATTGAAGGATCAGAAATACAAATTAAATCCACCTATCTGTGTTCTTGTAGGTTCTTGATATGTCTATCTTTGTATAGATCGATACGTTGTCAACACGTACATATCCACCAAAATGTATCTAGTATGTATTTTGCTGTTTTATTTTCGATCAAGTCGCTTAGTTGTTCAATCGCCTATATTCTCGAGTTTCCGTCACTTCGTGCTTTCTGCACTATTCTCACTCAGTAATTCTTTTTTTAACAAACCGAGAGGGTAATATCATATTAAGAAAAAAAAAACCTTAACCGATTGTGAGGGTAACAATATCTGGCTTTTCTTGCGTTCCAATAAAGAAAAGCTTGTGTCAGAAATTAGAGTAACTTCAGTCTTACAATTAAGCCATTACAAAGAGTTTATTTTTAGACTCTGAGTTCAATTTGTGAATTTATCACTATAGTTAATTTTATGTTTAGAAGGTTGGAAATTGGTATGCCAGACTCTATTTTAAAGAAGATGCTATTGAGTTTAATGATTTTAGTGTTGTTAACTACCGTAGGAAGTTCGTATCTCTTAATTCCTGAAATCTTTGAAGTTCTTGAGTCAGATGATCAGATGTGTGAAACAGACAAATACTTAAAAGGCCACAGACTGAATAATTTTGTATTTACTAAATTTACAGGAGTACGAGTTTTCAAAGTATTTACAGTGACTTCACAACCGTTTAATATTGAGAAATCTGTACAACTCGTTTATTGTGAAGATGGCAAGAAGGTGTATCAGAAGAGAATAATTCAGGAAGATAAAAAGAGTAACGATATATATTGGAAAGAATCGTTTCCGATTCAATCTGGAGATAAAATGTCCTTCTTTAAATTATCCAGAAGGGATGGTTATATCAATCATGATAAGACATATGTCCTTCCAGGATCAGTTATTGGTGGATTGTTTCAATGCTACGATTCAAATTGTACCACTACAAGTTCTAGACCGTTATTGCCAGTTTATTCCTATACGCATAAAAAGATGTGGACGGAGACAATCAGAGGGCACTCCTTAACTAATTGGACAATCCATAAGTATATTCCTTTAGTGTCAACCTCAAACGATAATATAAATTCTAAACAACAATTGAAGTATTTGCTATCGGATAAGAAAAGACATAGGGCCCCAAAGAAATATGTTCAAGATTTGTTTGAGAAAGGATAATATCGACAGGGTAATAGTTTAGTTGGATGCGTCGGTAAATGGTGTAATTCAATTGATGTAGATGAAAAGTGCTAATTTCAAAAGGAATCAAATTTTCAAATATATAGATATATTTATTTTATTTTCATTTTTTATGAGGGTGAGCTAATTATACATGGCACGCAATATATAAATATGTATTGTTATAAAGATTATGATTTAAAAATGTTCATAAATGCAAAAGAAAGGTGTGATAAAGGGTAAAAGACTTTGATCGTTGGCTATTTTCAACAATCAAGAAAGAACTGAAAAATGAAAGTATAAGAAAATAGAAAAGGGAAAACTCATTTTTAAGCTAAACAGCTTTTTCGCCGTTGGCATCCCTGAAAGGATCGCTTAGATCAGATGATGTATTCATAGCAATACTAGAATTGGTATTTAAATTTGTGTTGAGTTGGATATTTGATTCTGATCCTGTACTAGATTCTAGGTTCATCTGCGAAGTTAAACGAGTAACTGACGGCGTCACTTCACGAGAATTCAAATTCGACATTGTGTTCAGATTGGATAGCGTATTAGTATTTGGATCAGCCATTGCTGATCTATCTGCGAATGGATTTGATGGTACACTTATTCTACTGGCATTTTTCCCTAGCTTGAATGACGAGAGCCTCTTAATGAAATTTGCTGAGCTCGAAAATGATTTGTTTCTATAGACATTATTATTTTCTTCATCGTTATTGTGGAATAAATCACTCTCCCAATTGGCATTGTGTTCCTTGGCGACGTTACCTAACTCCAACAATTCCTTTGCAGCTGAAGAATTCTTAGCCATATCGTCGTGTGTCAATTGCGTAGCGTTTCTTTGGAAGGACGTTCTATCGTCATTAGCTGGTTTGAATCTTAAGTCAGGATTCTTTGAACAGACAATCATCAGAGTGAATGCAAGGATCATCAGCAACAATATAAATGAGAACGCAGCATTCATGATAAAGAATACCCACCCCATGATCGCAGAGACGGTATAGTTTTGATGGAACAGATCTGAGAAGAACATGAAAAGGAAAGAGTTCACTAAAGTCACGGTACAAATGAAGATATTCATAATGTTTGTAGGTTTATCTAAATATGGTTTGTAATAAATGATGGCAATGAAATATCCTAGATCGAGAATGAAAATTGCCAATGCTTGTGTTTTACCTGAAGCCTGAGCAAAACCAATGAATAATGATTTGACAAAGATATATGTCAATAACACAGCATTCCACCAATAATGAGAAGCATTGAACATGGTATAGAAAAATCCGTATTTGTGTAAGATTCTTTCATCACCATATAGGATAGCAGCAGGATTGTTATATTGTTTGATTGAAAGTTGAGCAAAAGAATGAGTTCTAAACATTGCCCAACCCATTAACCCGACAGATAATACAATAAACAAACAAGCGATTGTGATCACAGCACCAGAGTCTCTTTCTGTGAATTCCCAGAAACTTAAGATAGTCAGTTGAGTGAAACCAATGTATATATATCTTAACAAAGCACCTTTCAAGATGATTCTCCAACTTGTTCTAAATTGTTGGAATCTATTTGGGTTGATCCAACCAGCACGTATACCTAATTCGAATGAATATTTACAAACCATAATAAACCCTGCAAGGACATACCCACAGAGAACAAAGAAAGTGAACCCGGTACAAACAATGGCAGTATTCTCGATATTCATTCTATAACCTAGTCTTCTAATACCTCTAAAGATCAAAGTATTTTGATTCCCGTATAGGACATTCTCTGCACGTTTCCATAAAGGACTTGTAAAATCAACAGCTCTTTGAGTCAAGACGGACATTGTTGTTGCGGTCAAATATAAGGTTGGAGTACCACCTGTAGATTGAACGTACCATCTAAAGATTTTTTGCATAAATGTGACTCTAATCAAACCCATGGACCAAGCCAAATTTTCTGCCCATGCAGCTGCAATAGGTGGGACTCTATGAACATGTTGCATGGCAACAACTGCAACAGATTGGAAATAAAGAAATAAGGACATCGTGTTTGCGGAGATATGGGATGCTGCAGTAGAGTTCCCAAACGTAGATAATACGGCAGATAATAATAAACCGATACCGGCAACGACAGCTGTAGTCCATTTCACACCTGTTTGAGAGACAGTCTTCCCATTTGAGAAAAATACTTGGATACAAGCTAAATATTCGGTAGTATTAGCCGAATATACTTTCACGATAGCGTATGCATCAATATCTGGAACGTTATATGCGATCCCAGGGATTTCATCTGTTAAATCTTTAGAGATGTATTCGATAGAATCGATTTCGATATTCCCTGGATGAACAGGACAAAATTGTTTCCAATTTTCTGAACAAACATTGAAATTTTTGGTAATAATCTTGAATCCATAAGCATAAACGTCGATATAAGCCAAAATGTAAGAATCAATTTGAGTTGTTAAATCTAAGGTGTAATGTAATGATCGGTCATCTGGTTTAAATATAACGTCGAAACTATTTGACGATATTTGGGATCCTTCCATACATGTTACTAAGGAAGTCGCCACCAGGTTTCTTTTTGCCACTACGTACTGTGATAATAGTAATAACTGTACTATATATTTCACTAACGTCTGCATCCTTGTAATAAAAAAAAATATGATGGATATAAGTATATAGCAAAAAGGATAGTAGTGATAATAGTCTGTTTGTCTTCTTGTGTGTCTTTCAATAAAAATATAAATAAATGTTTTCAGAGTGATTGTAAAAACTTGTTCTAATATGTACTAAAGTTGAAAGTATCTATGTTGTTATGATTATCCAGCTCTTCTCAGATGTTATGTTTGTTTTTTTTCTTTTTTTCTAGTTTGTTGTTTGTTTGTTTTTCATATAGTGAAAAAAAAATAGTGATGTATTGAAAAAAATAAAAATAGAAACAGCCTTCTCTTGAGTTTTAGTAGTACTATTTGAAGTATATTTGGTTATTTACTTTTGAAGTATAATAAACAAACACAGTGACTAAGAGTAACGATACCGTTTGTATATTGCAAGATAATTAATAAATACAAGAATATATAAGTATACTTCTATATATATGCTTATGTTAATAGAAATTATATTTCAAGAAAGTAAATTACCCCTGGTTATTAAATGTAATATTGCATCAAACAATGTGTACGTGTAGCTTAACTTAGCCCACCGCCTATGCATACACGATAGTAGTAGTAGTAGTCCAAAAACTGAAGTCTCTGATCGTCCGCTATTATTACACTATATATCTTGTCTCTGTCTATTAAAAGAATGAACTTAAGCTGATAATGTTTATATCAATACAATTCATGCCAACCAACAGAATTACATTCTCAGCATCCCTCTCCCTGGTTGTGTATTCTGTGTATGCATCCTTACAATGAGCAAACAGCTCAGTATTTGCTTTGTTTTATTACTGCGCCGATGACTATTTAAACACTGCCAAATCCGTTAGCGAAAGCGTAAAAAAATGATTTCTCCTCGCGCCTCCTCTCCGGGAAGTCACGCTGTACGGTCCACATTATATAGTCTGTCGTGCCCCGTCAGATGATTGAAAGAGACAGAGAGAGGTCCCGTGTCGTACAGCGTGATGTAGACTAGGGTTGTTCAATCTATTCTATTCCTCGTAGTTTTCCTAAAAGTTGGACCCTGGTGTATATACAAGGTTGGGTTTCGTTCAATTTACTTAGGGGTGATGTATAGTATACAACGGTTCATCAAGAACAAGATGATGGACTTATACGTCATAGATCATCACACAGGAGGTTTCGACTCAAAGAGTATTTAAATATATGTGCATTTGATATGGATGGAAAGGATTACATCAATTACTTATAGAAATGAAAATGGAGATTGATGTACGTGTATGCAATATTATATAACATCAATCGAAAAAGTTTATAGCTGTAGGTATGAGTATCTGTATAGATATGATAATCTAAAATAATAACAGATCGAGTTGAGATATTGTTCCTTGTATATTCGTAAATATATATGTGTGTATATGTGTCTTCCCTTTATAACACCGCCAAGCACCATTAAATTGGTGAAAAATAAATAATATACGTATATACATATTCGTGCTTCTAGTTGTTCCGCGAAATTTGGTGGCGATGAGGTTGTTGCCGTATATTGCCAATTCTAACATAGAAATATTATGTGTTTTTTCCCTGTACCTTCACACATCGTCTTCTTTTTATTCATTGGTTGTAATACAGATCCTACGAGAACTCGAGACTGTCATTGTGGTTCGCTTTACATTGCTTTGTTACATACATATATATCTTTCTACCTTATAAAAATTGTAGAAAACTCTCATTTTGGCCACCAATACTACAAGTGTTTGTTGTTGTTATCTTTTGAACAGAAACTTAAAATGGATGAGAAACAAGCAGATAATGTTACCACTGATGTATTAAAACAACAAATGAATAACAACAGCAGTAACAACAATAATAGCAACATTGATAACAATGTGGTGGTACCGATACCTGTACCGATGAATGGAATGCAACCGTTGGATCTATTAGGATTAGATAAACAGAAACAACAGGAATCAAATATGATTGAAAATGGTCAACATGCAAGATCCCCACTTGCTGCTATGAATTATAATGCAAACCCAACAATTCGTAGCCAGAGTAATACTAACACGAATGCAAATGCAAATGCAAATGTGAATGTTGGGAATGATATTTCAAGTGTAAATAGTTTACCAAATTTGAATATACGGCAATTTACTAGGAACGCCAATGTGACACCATCCTTGTCAATATCTTCAACAAACACAGAATCTACTTCGAATCGATTGAGATTGTTTCAAAGAATGGAAGAATTATCTGCTAGGCTGATCGCTATGGAGGAACAATTTCAGAATTTGACAGGCAAAATGGAACAACAGACATCAATGATATCGAATTTAAAAATATCAATGACTCAAATTCTTCAATCCACTATCAACGACCAATTTAAAGTGTTACAAAAACAAAATGAAACAATGTTTAATAATCACTTCCATAGATTGATCACTTTACAACAATCAATACAACCTCAACAAGAAGATGAAACGAAATTTGCTCTTGATTTACTTAATTCCATATCTAACATCAGTGCAAATTATTTAGCACATCGTCAACAAGGATTCGTAGGTAATGGTGTTTCGATTCATACTCAAGATGGTCAACCTTCACCTCTTAATAAATCCAATACAAATTCAAACTCTAGAATAAATTTACATTCTTCAAATAGTAAGTCAAATCTCAAAGATAATAACACTTCCAGTAGTAACAACACTTCGCCATTGTATCAATTACCTTCCTTCACAAATAGAAACAAGACATTTACATTGAACCCCAACGGAATCAAGAAGAGGAAGAGACATCATCACAGCAACACCAATAATAATAATAGTAATAATAATAATAATAATAATAATAATAATAGCAATAACAATAACAGTAATAATAACAGTAATAATAATAATAATCCCCATCAAAATGAAAATCTACATCCAAATAAATTAAATAAAACTACACCAAATTTCCAAAGCAGTGCACCACCTGCGGACTTATTAAATATGCCAATCATCTTACCCACCGACCCATTCACTGGGCTTGCTCCATTAGTTCAAAATCCAGTTACTAACCCAATTGTTCCTGTACCGGCTCATATAATAAATGGTAATACTAGAGCTAACCATCCAAACGGTATTCCAACTTTACCTCAAACATTACAGGTTCCTATAACTTTATCTCGTAATAATACCAATGGAACTGTAAAGAACGGAAATGATAGAACTACTGCGAATGGTAATAATAACAATTCGCTGCAACAAGATCAAACAAACGTTTCAACATCAATTGCTTTACCAATATCAATGCAATTACCTCTTCCATCACATGGACAACCTCAAATCGCTAATACAAATGCAACTTCAATACATAAGGAATCTAAAAATAAGAATAATCAGGAAGATGACGACGATGACGATGGGTATCAGGAAGATGATGAGAGTGATAATGTAAATGCTAATGGGAACAAAATCGGTTCTACTGATTTCTCAAAGGATGCCACTTCGAAAGGTAATAGTGCTAGGGGTATCCCTAATGACGATGAGGATGAGGATGATGATGAGAATGAGGAATATGATGAAGAAGATGATGAAGATGATGATATGGATGACGAAAACTTCGAAGAGGATGAAGTTGATGAAGATATAAATGGTGCAAGGGGCAAAAATAAGAAAACAAATCCCGTCAAGAAGACTGTTGCAGCCAAGAAGAAACGTATAATTAAAAAGATAATAGATGGTCCCAAGGAGTCTCCAAGAAAGGATGATTCGAAGAAAACAGAGCCTGCAAATGATACAGATATTAATAGCGAAATTAACTATACTCTTATCAAAGCTCCTAATAATGTTAGAACTATATGGGAAGAATATGTTTATGGCATAGATGGTAATCCATCTATTCGTGGTCTAGAAGAAAAATATGGTAATAAATGGAGACTCACGAAGAATCGTAAGACTTTCTCCCGTAGAAAAAGATTATATAAATTCATTCTGAATGGTATAGATAAAGGTAAGACGGCAGATGAAATGATGAAAACGTTAGAGGAGAAACGTCTATATAAGGATGAAAATGGTGAGATCAAAAGAAGGACCATCGGATGGCTTCAACAGAGTCTCACTGGTATCTGATCGATACATACCCGAAGTATAATCTCTTTTATAGATTACATAAACAGTAAATACCAAATACTACCAATAAAAGGGTGATATTTAATTGCTAATACCCAAGGATAATATTATTAATCTTATTAATAAAAATAAAAAAGTAATGGTAACAAGATCAGTTAATTATCTCTTTTCTTTTTTGGTTGTTGCAACAACGTACTGCTCCTATCCTTTGTTTGAAAGACGATGAGAGTTTGAGATTCCAAACGAAATTTGTCAATTTTGTTGTTGTTTTTGCTATGGCGACCACGTACAATAATGACGGAAGACGCGCGAATGTCTTTCAATTTATTTTTTTTACTTTCTCCGGTTAACTGTCTGGACAAACGAGTAAACAGTTTAATTACGAAAGTTTCGATGGCCAATGGTGGAAGTAAATTAATATATTTGGAATCGAGAAATAAGAATTTTTTAATTCATACATCTCCTACTTCCCTTCCATTTCAAGTTGAATCATTTATTAGAACGATATTAAAGGGATATTATTGCAATTATCGAGAGATCAAACAAATTTGCTAAATTTTTTAAAGCTCATTATTTAATAATTTCCCAATTAAGTGTAGACACATAATACATTTATCCACAGATTGACTGGTTTGGTAGGGATGTACACCTAGGGGAAATTAACAGAAAATACTACAAAATTTACATATAAAATAAACTATACAGTTTGATATCTGTTTTTACGTTTGAGAAAGGTATTAATTGGCTTCATAAACAAATATCTAATGATAAACGCAGCAATGCAGCGAGTATGTTTTGTTGGGTTACAATTCAATTTCAACACAAATTTATTAAAAGTCGCGGTTAGGACCTCGCCTATAAGAAATGGATCATTTAAAACAATTCTATCTAATTTCCAAGTGAATAGAAGAGGTTTTCATAGTTCTCTATCGTTTAGTAGGCCAGAGTTAGAATTAAAAACTAAAAATATAAAAACTTCACCATCTGAAACATCTCAAGATGATTCCTTCCTGAAATCCTTAGCACAAGGGTTGTATTCCCATACTCATAGTCATCAAACCGTTAATATACTGCCACATAGCCATGAACACTCTCATGGCCATTCTCATAGTCATTCTCACGCCAATCCAATGTTAGTTCTGGATGCAGAAGAGATAAGAAAAAATGCAGGTGTGAGGGTCACATGGATAGGTTTAGGGATTAATGTTGCCATAGCGATTGGTAAATTTATTGGTGGTATAGTTTTCCACTCGCAAGCATTATTTGCTGATTCAATTCATGCACTAAGTGATATGATATCAGATTTTTTAACATTATTTTCGGTTCGTTTAGCTGCCAATAAACCTACAATAGATTATCCATTCGGTTATGGCAAGATTGAAACAGTAGGTTCACTGGCTGTATCTACAATTTTATTGACTGCAGGTATTTCTATTGGTTGGTCTTCTTTATGTACAATTGTAGGGCCCATAATACCACATACAATTCTGGAGACATTAGCAATATTTGGGTCAGAGTCACAAAGCATGGTACATTCGACAGCATCAGATACAACAACGCAAGAAGTCACCAATATTAATGCTGCGTGGATCGCAGCATTATCTATTGTTGCTAAAGAATGGATATTTAGAGCTACAAAGAAAGTAGCTATTGAGACCAAATCCAATGTTCTCATGGCTAATGCATGGCATCATAGGGTGGATTCGTTAACTTCCTTGGTCGCTTTGGTAACCATTTCCTCTGGTTATTTGTTTAATATTCAATCATTAGACACCATTGGTGGTCTCATTGTTTCTGGTTTAGTAGTGAAAGCCGGTGCAGAAGGTATGAATACATCAATTAGAGAGTTAATTGATCAATCCTTGGAAAAGGACGATGAAATATATGAGGAAATAGAACATAGTTTGAATAATTCGTTGCATAAACTTACCCATACTATAAATTCATCACCATTAAAATTAGAAGAATTAATAGTTTTGGCATCAGGACCAAATTTGATGGCACATGCAAAAATTTTAGTTCCTTCTGAACATTCTCATATTTTCACCATCAGCGAATTATCAAGAGTATCAAGTCACATACGATCAGCATTAGAAAAGAATGTTGATAATTTCAAAGAAATTAAGATAGAATATGTTGAAGAAAATAACAATCGTAAACCTCAGTTTACGCAATATAAAGTAAATCCAACCTTGCCGGAGCACAGCGCAACACATTCCCATAGTCATTCTACGTCTACTCATCATTCGCACACTCATTAGAAAGAAAAATGAAAGTATATTCTTCAAATGTTGATTGATACTAGTAATAGTGGCACAATCATTTATATTTTATTTACATAGAAATTGTAGGATTCTAAAACAATATACAAGAATCAAGCGTATGTTTAACATATTGATTTATATTTTTAAATGTTTTTTAAAATGAATTATGTATCAGGTGTATATTTGTAAATGTACGTATATAAATAAGCAAATATCGGTGCATTAGAATCTAGGGTCCCCAAGTTTCACAGATAAAGTTGAATATCTATTTACCACAGATCCAGTCATTCAAACCTGCTCTGTTTCTGGCAATTTCAAAAGCGTAAAATTGGATTCTAACAACAAAAATAGTACCTTCTTGACCGTATTCGTCATTAGAACTAGTTCTTAACAGAGTACCAAAATTGTAATCTTCGATATTTTCTTCGAATTCTCCACAGAACTTTCTCCATTTAACCTTTTGTTCCTTTGACTTTAGTTCTTCTTCTTTGAAGTTTTTCACTCTTTCAACGTCCTTATATTCTGGGAAATGTTCGATAAATGTGTCATATATATCATTGTCAAATTTAGTTAGACGTAATTTAGAACCTTTGATTTTGGTTAATATATTCCAATAGGTTTCAGCTTGTTCAACTGCGACGACAGCAAATTGTCTTTCAATATCTTCTAAATTATCAGCTTTTTCGGCGTCAAAAGTTGTTGCTGACATGTTATGTGCTTGTATATTTTATCCTGCTCGTTCAATAGTACTGTTTGATAGCTATTCTCCAACGGTGGTACAGTATCGTTTAATATTGCACAAGAACAGAATAGCAGACCAACCAATTCAAAAATACACCCCTTTAAATTAAATAATTTAAATTGCCTTATATATATATACCTTGGCCCCGTGATGCAATCCAACCTACATCATTAATGCTAGAATGTACTAGAAAGTTCACTATTGTTACCTCATCGGGAACGCCTTTCTATTCTCTCGTCAGTCAAGCGAAATTTTTCACTTTTTTTTATTCAGTGAATTTCTTTTTGCGACTCTACTCGTGTAAAACGATTCTAACTTATTGATCATGTGTTCTAAATCGTAGGACCCTATATTTTGTTTAATCAAGCCCTAACTAACGAGTAACATTTTAACTCTTTCAATTTTGACAGCCTTAAATAATAAGCTGTTTCAAGATCCAGGAGAACTATTAAATATAAAGCTTCTAACTACTAGATACGTAGTACATTAGGCGTTTAAAGGGTGTCTAAAAGATTATTTGGTAATTTCATTTCGAGAATAAACTAGAGTATTCAAGATCCATATATTCCATACTATGAATAAAATCAATGCAGCATGTATTATCATCGGAGATGAGGTTCTGAATGGTAAAATCAACGACACAAATTCCAGATATTTTGCCCAATTCTGTTTTAGACTTGGTATTAAATTACGAGAAATCATCACCATTGGAGATGATGAAGAGCAAATTATGACAACATTAAGGAACTTAAAGGAGAAATATCAATTTATTATTACCACTGGTGGGATTGGTAGTACACACGATGATATCACTTATAAATGTGTAGCCAAATCGTTTAACTTACCTTGTATGATAAATGAACAATGTAAATTGAGGATGCAAGAAAAATCAAATCCTGAAGGAAGATTAAGTCCGCAAGCATTAAGTGATTATTATAAAATGGCTACTTTACCTTCTGGTCCAACAGTGAAGAATTATTATTTATATGACGATTTGTGGGTTCCAGTCTGTAGTCTCAATCAACAGGTCTTTATTTTTCCCGGTATCCCACAATTATTCGAAAGATTATTGAGTGGTTTAACACCTATAGTTAAATCCTTATATCATTTAGGGGAAAAGGATATAGAATATGTCAGATATTTTATTAAAACTAGTATGACCGAATCGCAAATTTCACATAATTTAAAATTGTTGCAGGAGGATGCGTTGGACGTATCATCTGAGATTAAGATTGGATCATATCCTCATTACGGTAAAGGTTTTAATACAATTAGTATATTAGGTGAAAAGAAGGACGATAAATATCTACTTGAGTTAATGAAACGTGCTGAGGTGGAATTTGAAGGTCAACAACTCTCCACCGAGGAAGAAGATGAAGTATCAAATACAAGGTAAAATAATTGAGCTGAATCCACATATTTCTCAATATATAAGCATTTAATTTATGTGCTCTTTCAAAGTACGTATATATATTTATTTTATTTTACAAAACCTTACACTATTATATAGTAAACCACGTTGGTGTATAACCAATTAATTTTTAATATGTATTATATTTCTATCAAAATTGTTTAATCCTCATCTTCGTCATCAGTATCAACTGGTTTTGGAGTACCCTTTGGAGAAGACAGCCATTCGATGTAACGTAGACGACGACGTTCTGCTTGTAACTTCTTTTCGTTTCTAGTCATTTTCTTCTTTCTTTGTCTAACCTTGATATTGGCAGGAGAATCGTCATCATCAACGGATGGAGTAATCATTTGGTCGGACTTGACACCAACAGCATTAGAATTACCACCATCTTCAAATCTACTTTGATCAATTTGGTTAATACCCTTTTGAACCATAGTACCATTCTCAACAATCCATTGTTCTGGACATAAAGCACCAACGAACTCGTTGTTATGTGAAATCATGACAACACCACCAGTCCAATCACGAATAGCAACAGCTAAGGCACCTAAAGAATCTCTATCTAGATAGTTAGTAGGTTCATCCAGAACCAACAAATGCGGATTGTTCCACATGGCACCGGCGATAACAACCTTAACTAATTGACCACCCGATAAGGAACCTAATGGAGTGTGGTTAGCAATTTCAGAATCTAGACCAACATCTTCGAAATGTTTAGTGATAACAGATGGGATCAATTGACGATAACCTAAACCTTCTCTAGAAGCTTCATGATCATCAAACTTTTGAACCAACTTCTCGAAACCATGGCTGATCAAAAGATCTCTTGGAACCCAAGAATTATATTTTGGTTTCCACCATTTCCATTTAACTTCATATTGGAAGGACTTCTTTAATTTTTGTCTACCAACAATAGCTTCAATGGTTCTAGCACCTCTACCATCATCAACATCGATCTCCTTGGTCATCATTTCTTTTTCTTCTTCGGAAATCTTTCTAGATTCCTTTAGCAAAACTTCACGATCATCACCGAATTGATAACGCCATTGTAAGTATTGGTTAGCAGTTTTTTCCTTATGTTCGTTAACGTGTTGCAAAGCGTGTTGAGCAATGTAACCGATACGTAAGTTTGGATGTTTTTCAACCTTACCTTCTTGAGGAACTAATTCACCTGTCAAAAGCTTAATTAAAGTAGATTTACCAGCACCATTTGGACCTAGAACAGCAACACGAGAGGACAAAGATAGAGCACATGAGACATTAGCCAAGGATGGTTTGTTACCACCAGCGTATGTGAAGGTGACATCTGTCAATTTTGCAACAGCCTTTGTTCTGGATTTGATACCAGTCAAGATACCAGGTGGTGGGAAGTGCATTTGAGCATTCGAGTCAGTCAAGGTATAGTAAGCCTTAGCTTCGGGCTTTTGTTCAACAAATGCAGCCAAGTTACCCTTATAATAAGCCAATTTTTTGTTTTCGTAATGAATAATGTCGGTACATACGGTATCTAAAAATCCTGAGTCATGAGAAACAATTAAAGATGTGATGTCAGTGTGTTCCAATAAATATTCTTCAAGCCATTTAACGTTAGACACATCCAAATGATTGGTAGGTTCATCTAATAGTAAGATATCAGCCTTTTGCAGCATAGCTCTGGCCAATTCTAATTTCATCTTCCAACCACCAGATAAAGAACCCACAGTTTGAGCTCTCCTTTCATCGTCAAAACCAACAGATTCTAAAGCGGCAGCAATTTCATCACGAGAAGTGCTTTGCAACTCATCATCTAAAGCAATGAAAGAAACCAAATCTAGGTCACCTTCTTCACCTTGAAGTTTATGTTCAACAAAACAAGTACGTAGAGTATCCTTATCTGGGAAACCATCTAATTGACCATTTGCAATAGCTCTCATCAATGTGGATTTACCAGCACCATTTCTACCACAAAGACCGTATCTGTGACCCTTCAATAGACGTAGGTTGGTCTTGTTTAATAACATACGTGAACCGTAAGCTAAAGAGAAATCAGTGTTGACAATTTCAATACCCTCATTTTCATCGTATTTGACCTTTTCTTGGTGGAAAATACCTCTGATAGCAGCAATGAAATCGTTAGAAACAACATCCTTATTATTATCACCAAGGATAGAGTTAAAGTACTCTTCCAGTCTTTTCCAATCATTAACATTAGCAACACCTGTGATGAAATTGGTTAAGTATTCAGTGATAACGATTTCGTTATTGTTTTTGATATCATCTAGGAATGGTTTCAATAGGAAGTCCCCTTCAGCAGATACTTTTGCCAAATTGTCCAATAGGAACTTCTTAGCATCTTCCTTTGTTAGTCTAATAGGACCACTGCTAGATTGACCAGAAGTTTCGCCTTCGTCACCCTTTAAAACTACTAAAGCTTTTTCAGCTAATTCTCTAACTTCTGGTAAAGAAGCAGTATTGACAACTTTTTCGATACCAGGTAATAATAATGGGACGAAGCTTTCAATTTCAATTCTGTTGTTAACCAATCTAGTCAAATTTTCGATGACAATAACAGTTTGTCTTAATTGTTCTTGGGATGAAGATGACAGATTTAGGGATCTGTTTAAAATTGGAACTAATAACGACAAAGAAGGTTCAGTAACTTCGGCAACGAAAGTGACACTAGATAAGGCTTTGACAGATTCTGGAACCTTTTGAGGATTCTGTAAGGTGTCAACAATTAATTTAAAACGTGGTGAAAGATCCAAGTTGTCAAGGATGGAGACGAAGTCCAATAATGTTTGGTGACCTTGTTTAGCAAGTTCTGGTTTGAAATCAGTGGAGACATCAGTAAGAATTGGTACAGTTTGTCTGAATGTTAATTCTAATAAATCGTTTGGAGAGTCTTCTCTGATTCTATCGACGATAGCTAAAGCAGCGATTTTAGATTGCCATTTGGCACCGGAAGATAGGTATTCTAGGATGACTGGAAGAACATTTGTAGACAAAGATTCGATTGGGAAGGTGTTCAATAATGCATCGATAGCATGTTGAGCAGCACGCTTCACAGTGTTATCCTTTTCAGCAGTACCATCTAGAGCCAAGTTGAAAAATGGTAACAAGTAAGCCTCTTGAGGAGATTTGTTAACACAGTTTTGAGCTAGATTAGAAATAAGTAAGTATGCCGATTCTTTAATTAAAGCTGGATTCTTTGCTTTAATCAATTTGTTGATGACATCATGGATACCCCAATCTTCGACGTTCTTCATAGATGAGAACTCACCGTTGAATTCTTCGACAATGGATTTAATTAATGTTTTACATTCAGTAATGTTGGAAGCTTCAGTCATCTTTAACAAATAGTTGGTAACTGGGGTCACGTTCAAATTCAAATTAGAGATTGAAGTGTTCAATGATGTCAAAGATGCACTAGAGGCAGATGGGGTTGGTGTACTACTAGTATTTGGAGTGGTAGTAGCTGGGACATAACTATTTTGTTTATAGTTTTGATAGTTACTGCCTTGGTTATAATTTTGATAGTTGCTACCTTGGTTATAGTTTTGGTAGTTGCTACCTTGGTTCAAATTACGTTGTTGTTGATAATTGTTGTTATTCTTCTTGAAATAACCACCGAATGGTGATTTAACCATACTTGGATCAGCTGGTTGCTTATCGATGAAATCGTCCAGAGCTTGAAATTTCTTTGGAGGCATTATTTTCTATTCAAGTTTTGTATTCTTCGTTACTTATGTAGACATATAGATATAAATGATATTAAGAACTGAATAAGTGGGTAAGATTAATTAATAATATTGTTTATTTATAATAGATATTATGTAACTGTAAGTATTACTTACTACAAGATTATATGGCGGAAGTGAAAAATTTTCCCGATGGGCAGCTGCAGGTTCAAATGAAAATTTTACTATTATTAAATGGGTGTTTGACCGCCAATTTACGCTCTTTGAGATAAAACTTTTTTTCATTACCCGCATGTCAAGCGGCTCCACACAGAAATTTTGGTAGCAACCAGGCGAGGTATATTTTCTGATTATGATAGGTAGCACTTTTAAATTAACTATTTTAGACCTCGTGGTTAGTATAAGTTATATTACATTTCATTCGGTGGAAACAATAGTAATTAATTGGGTTTCAATTGTCGATACTATGTAAGATAAAAACTCAAATTTACCACTTTTAGAGTTCAATTTAGGCTATTACACTAACCGTCTTAAAGTGTCGTTTCATATGTATGTATATATATATATCGTCTTGTAATGAAAAGATTCTTTTTTGATTAACGAAATTAAGGGTGACATATGTAGAGGTTTATTAGCAAAGAACCTAAAACATATTGAGATTTGTCATTGAAATGTTTGGTATACCCTGATTTTCATGATGAACTAAAAAAATGGGACACTAAACTTATTTTTAAGATTAGGTGGAAAATAATAAAATTAATTACTTTAATGTAGGTTAACAAATAATTAAGATTTCTTGATGGATTTAGACCCCAATACCCAACTTTCCAATTCTTAAACTTTAAATTTTATTAAACTTACTGCTTTCTTATTTTACTAATAGATATATAGGTGTCTACTGTTTACTTATTCCCCCCTTGATGAACTTTAACAATAGTTATATCATAAGTGGAGAAGTAGAAATGGTAGATGGAAGTTTTTAAACGTTCATAATAGAAAAAAAATGATAGAATATATTCTTAGCCGATCTTTTCATTGTTCACACATTCTCTTTTGAAGTACGTGTAATTTTATTAGATTTGGGGAAATAATACAATTAGAAAGAATGTATGTACCAATTAGGAACTACAGAAATATAGTTGATGATCAGTGAATTATACAAGATATGTTTATCTTTATATATTTTCTAAATGTTCCTTTATTCCTTGTATAAGATGTAAAAGCTGTATATGGTAAACAATAATTATATGATGATAATAAATATCCAAAGATATGTACTTCAAAGTTTTCTTTTATTTAGAATTATCAGTTACTCTAAAATTAATTAATTAGTATTACATGAACACAAAGTGGAACTTTAATCTCTAAGTAGGTCTTATTTTTTACAACCATTTTGAAGTAGTAGTGAGGTCATTCTAATATTCAATGACGAAAATAAACATTGTATATATTTCTTACTTTATTTATAGCATTATATACATTAATGATAGATATTTATATATAATTTGGAGTATATCTGGGTCCGGTATTAATAACTATAGACTATTAGTTCTTTATTCAGAGTGTAGAAATATAGTTCAAGAAAGAAATGAAAATACGGTGGAGTTGTCAAGAGGGGATCCAGAACAACGTTTAAAAAAGAATTTGAATCAATCCATTTGTGAACCAAAAGAGGAAATTGAGGTAATGATGTATTCTTAATGCCAAATTAGCGCTTCTGCTTTTTTTCAGTTTTTTTTTACCGAACCTAAAATAAGGTAGTTAAGTGTAATATGTAGGTTTGATGTCATTTGTAATAGTAACACAAGCAGGTAAACAAATAATATTTAGTTCCCAGTATTCTTGTCGCACAAAGGAAGTAAATGTCTATTGAATTCACATTTTTAAATTTTTCTTTCTATTTCTCCAATATGCATTCTTAAAAACTAGAACCGATAATTCAATAAATAAAATTAATGGGAAATATAAAACACTGGAGAAACCCTTCTACGGCAAAGCTTGCATCAAGCCACCGTAAAACAGCCAGAGCAAAAGAATAAAATGAAAGACTTTTTAAATATTATTTGTTTGTTTGTTTGTTTTTGGCCACAACAAAATTGAAATGACCCACATAAAATTAAGGAGAACAGGTACATATCCCTAAAAACAGATAACGTCTCTGTCGTCGAATTCTCCTCTTTTTCAAAGAAGATACTGAGAAAAGGCACAGTAAAACAATCTTAGGAACTTGAAAAATACACTACAAAAAAGCAAAAAAATATATGTTGAGTACTTCGTTCATTGTCATGATTATTTTTTTTAGGGGAAAGGGGTAGGAAAGTGGCACAAGAAAAATGAGCCATATCCACAGTTACTTGGTTTTTTATCAAAGAGAAAAAAGGACGTACATATATGTACAGGAGATAAGAAATTCAACGTTTTTCTATTGGTCGAAAATTATCAAAATATTTGCAGCCAACAATAATTCCAGAGAAATATCTATTTCTTTTTTTTTTTTAGACCAAATATTTTACTCTCCAACTTTATTTCTGAATCTGGATATTCTTGAATGGAGAAGATCCTACGCCAAGTGCCATAACTGTCCGTTCTTCGCTGCAAAAGTAATAAAATTGAGAACAATGAAGTTCTCCAACTTCTCAGAACTAGTCGTAGTTCAGAAAATCTAATTCTTAATTTTTCGATTCGATTAGTTTCTGTTTTTCTGTAAAAATAGATACGATATGATACACGGGTTTGTCTGTGACTCGCTCCTCCAAATTTGTTGCTTTTTTCTTCTTCTACCTTAATTTCTCAGCTCGACGCAAAGTTCAGTATAGTATCATTCGTTTTTTACTATTTTCTTAGAATTTTGTACTGCAGCACTATTGTGTTGAACGTAAAGCAACATTAGAAATGACTTAAAAACCACATATGATTTTGCTGTTTTCTTTCCTCTACACTCCCCTCTCTCAAAAAACAACAAACAATTTATTATCTGTATTAGAATTATTAGTAAGTACGTGCACATTTATTGTTGTTATTGTTATTTTATTGACGACATACTACAGAATCTGGCCTCATTCTTACACTCCTACACAATTTTCTCTGTTATTCTCTTTTGTATCAATAGATATAATGAAAACTTTATCATATTAGGAAAAAATGGTCGTAGAATTATTAAGATTTGCCATTTTCTCCTCTGATATTTAGTTCCCAAAATTTTATCATTTTGTATTTTTATTACTTTTATAAAGTTCTAATTCCATCTATATATCTCTCCCTCCCTTCATCAAGAACAGATTTTAAATTTTTAAATTTGTCAATTAAGTGAAAGCACAAACAATAATTAACTTAACAGTCCACAATTTTATTTTTTTCTATTTTACTTCATATATTTCTGAATGGAGAAAGGTTTAATCGATTAATAAATCCTTTCAATTTTCTACTTAATATCTTTGTTAATAACGTTCTTCATTAAGTTAACAAGTAATGATTAAAAAGATATGTGTGTTAGTTATTACCAGATGATATTTTTTTCTTTTTATTCCTCTCCTCTTTTGACTGTTGCTCTTTGCAGTAAATGAAAATAAAAATAATTTGTTTTATTTTATATGTATTTCAATCTTAATTCAGTAAAAATGGGAAAGAAGGAGTTCAGTCATTAACATAATTGCATCAATATTCAAAAAATATTCCTCTAGGTATGACATGCAGCTTGGTAATACTTGATGCCCTTTATCATTCTTCCTATATCTTTATAGATATGTTTCCTTGAATAGGTTAATGTATCAATATAGGTAAGCTATTTGTGTAAATTTAATTGTTCTATATAAAAGCAAAGAAACTTTATTCTAATTTATTTTTATTTTATTTTTAGTCTTATTCCTGGCTCGTTTATTTTATTTTGATTATCGTCTATTGCAAGCTCTTACAGAACGTTATATACATAACTAATAGACATTATAGTTGTGTATTATTCCTTTAATTTTTCACCATTTCTTTCTTTCTTTACCTCCTTATCTGTTAAAAAACTAATAAAAAATTTACTGTCATTATATTACTACAATCTTCAAAAAGTTTCCAAAATTAATAATAAAATTTAAAAAAACACATAGAAATGGCTTACTCTTCACCTCAATTCTCGAACTCTCCAGAGATTATTGGTCTGGCGCCTCCTGCTCCACGACAAAGACAAGATAAAGTCAGTAAATATGCTAAATATGATGATATATTAGGCTCATCAAAACATTTAACGATGAAAAAGAAAAAAAATAGAGTAGAAACATTTGAAAGGTCGACTATTCATTCAATGGAAGAATTGCTTCATATTTTGACTGCTAAGAAAAATATAAATAATCTATCATTTCACATTAGGGCTACTATCCCTTTCTCTTCTTTCAATTTACCATTTCATCCAACTCCCGAAGCAGTCGACGCATTATATGACAAGATTAGAGAAGATATTTATGATGGTTGTGGCATTGCTTTAGTGTTAAACCATACAGATAGAGCAAAAGATAACGTTACTAGAAGTAAAAGATACATTTGTCGTCAAGATAGTAGAGGTGATGTCAGCAAGAGTGGTAAAGGCTCCAATTTGAAACAATTTCATTGCGGTTCAAGATTTATCTTTAAATACAAGGATAGATACGCATTTGTCGAATTAGATTTAATTCATAGAATTAATCATAATGTTAATATTCCTGTTCCAACTTTAACCAAGGCTGGATTTTCTAAGAAAGATAATATTGTTGACACAACTACTGTTCATAATATGAAAATCGATAATACTTCGGTACCAGCAGTTGCTACAACAGCACCATTATACACAATCAATACAATTCCAAATAATGTTACAACTATGAGTGCAAACTCTGTAATGACTGGAGTGGGACAATCTATTGGTTGTCAACCAGCTATAACTTATCAATACCCTACTAGTATAATGCCACCAATTTATTATCAACAAAGTGCTAATACTGCCGTTCCTAATATCCAAAATTATAACCCTCAAACCGCTTTTTCGAATAATGATCCTTATTTCCAATCAAAGTATTCCAGTAATAATAATAATAATAATAATAATAATAACTCCCTTCCAAGTATTCATGCCGATTTTCAACATCAACACCAACAACTGCAGCTTCATCAGCAACAAGATGTACCTATATTAAGTCAAATCCCTCAGTATAGGAAAATACGAACCCCACCTCAACCTGCTTCTGCTGCAGTTATGCCTTTTCAATTACTACAAACACCGATTTTACCTTCATTGACTAATTTTAATAATGGAACCGTTCAATATACTCCTCAGACTGCTGTTCCTATGGAATTGGCTCCAAATGTGGCTCCAACTACAAATCAGCCAAGATTATTACCAAGTTTCGATGAAGGGTTTAATAGACCAGCAGTTCTTCGTGGATCTATGTCTATGGAAGTTGGTGATTCATTAGACAGTCAACAGTCCACCAAGGTTGATAGTGATCAAGACAATATTGATAGGTTGAGAAATGCAGTAGATGCATTTCAAACACTTAAGGGAGAAGATGGACAGTTCAGGAATGCAGAAGTTTCTTATTATCAGCATTTTGTCAACGAAATACGGGAAAGCTTGTTAAATATAGGCGACGGTGATCCCAATAAAATTAAAAGTGTTCTCTCCAATAGTCCTTTTTGGAAATCCATCGAGGATATTGAAAATATTGTAAGAAAATATTCTGGCACATCAGTTAAAACGTTCAATCAGGAACCAATCAGCCCTATTGTACCAAGTTCTGATAGTGAGAAAGAGCCAAATGCAAGCTCGCAGAACCCGCCTTTCTACAGACAACCAAAAATGGATTACTTTGACAAAAGATTACAATAAAATAAAAAGTGAAATAACTAAGCCAACAAAATTTCTATTCCCTAAACCCCTTCTACATTCAATCTATTACGAACTGGGAATAGCTACTAATATTCTTTTTGAAGTATTTACTTCAATCCTGCTAAGAAGGTTCGTTAACCTTCATGCCAGCAATATCATTCTATGATTTAATGATATATATATTTTTGAACATTTTACCTTTAATATTGATTTATGAAAATCATCTAATCTAACCTAAATAAGACGCTAACTAATATATATATATATATATATATGAACTTTTTCAATAAATACCAAGACATTTACTAACAAATATATTAAACTTATTTTTCTTATTAAAAAGTCGGTAAACTAAATAAATAAGTGGAATTTTTAATCATGAGAGGCTTTACATCTGTAAATGACGAGAATATTCAAGTGTTATATCCAAAGTATTTATATAACAATCTGTAAACCTCATTGAGCTCCTTCAATCCATGTATCCAGTATAAACCTGGTCAGTGAGCTAGCGAACACCCTCATTCCAGTTTTTGCTGCTGCTGCCATTGGAAATTTCCTCTGAGGAAACGCGACGCGTAAAACAATAGACTCAATTACCTCTCCCATTCACAGTTAATTGATGAAAGCGAAGAAATATAAACAAACAAAAAAGAAGAAAAGGGAAAGATATGCTAGTAGAAGGAGACGCGTCACGAAAACTAAGTAGCTTAATCATCTTACGACCTGCAAAAAACGAACTCAATTAGTGTCTCTCCCTCTAAAGGATGTCGAACTTCAACAGATTCTTCTCTGTCTGTCTAGTTTCATTTGAGCCTATTGTTGGGTTGAAAGATCGTTGTTTTGACCAGTCTTGTAAACGCGTATATAGTTTTGATTGAGTTGAATGTCCTAAACAAAATTGCTTGATTTTTTTTTTTCAGTGAAGTTATTCTATTATATTTTATTATATTACAGGATTGAGAATTCTTACAATTGTAAAATAAGATTTACTATTTTGGTGTTATTAATACATCCCTCTGATTCGATTTATTTATTTTTCTTTTCCAATTATTTTACTTCTCAAGAACAACAACATACCTAATACAAATATATAAATATATTTTCCTGGTGCTGCAATACATACCATCACATTACTCATAACCTGCTTTGTTATTCTAAATCACTTTAAAAAACATCATATTACTAAAAGAATTTGACATCGATATAAATTAACACAAGGCTATTCTAAGATATCCATATCAACACAATAATACAAATCAATACAAATTAAGAAGATGGCGGAAGTCTCACGTATGACCTTAAAGATCCTCTACTCATTAGAAGATGGATCAAGTGGGAGTTATCTAGCACGTTCCAAGAAACCTCACGAAGTAAGAGTCGCTAACATTTCAAATCCATCAGCTCCAACAGATACTGAATTAAAACTACGTATAGGTGCAGTGAATCTTTCATTTGTTCTAGAAGAAATACAATTGAATTCCCCAGAAGTTATGGAAATATACACAAATAAACAATCAACAAACACGGATATTGTGTTAGATTATAATCTTTATTACCACGATATTTGTGAAGCTAACGAACCATTAGTAAGTCTAGGCCTATTATCCAAGATACGATCTAAGCTACAGAAACAGAACCAAGATAAACTGTCTACAATCAGTGAAGATACAACTAATGAAGAAGAGGAAGATCTTGATGAATATGATGACGAATTCATGGTGATTGGTAGAGTTTGCTCCAATTTTTCTGCTATGTTAAGAAGAACATATAGTAATGCTTCCAAGAAGAGAAAGCAAAGTAATAATAAAGAAACATTGGAATCTGAATCTGTAGCTACTCCAGAGACCCTTGAAGTGAAATTAAAACTTAAAAGAGTTGTTATAAATAGGCCTAAAGAGACATCTGAAATACCGAAGGTCTCGACTCCATCTGTAAAACCTCATCGATATGCCCCTCCAACAATAACAAATGTAACAAAATCTGTGAGAGTGAATAAAAGACAAACAAATCCGAAACCTGCGCCAAAGGCTATCAGAACTCAGTCATTGCCCATTTGGGATACTCGTATGAATCCAGCTGGTTCTGGTTTCATGAAGACATCGATTGCGCATAAGATATATATGGCAGACAGGCAAACGGAGACTCTAGGTAGACACCAGCAACAGCAGCAACAGCAACAGCAACAGCAACAGCGACAGCAACAAAGACAAGAAAAACATTCCAATGCATTGACCTATGAGATAAATTCTTCACAATCAGATAATTCTGAACATAAAATTAAAGTTGATGACGCCATCAGTAAAAGATTTGATTTCATGAATAAGAAAAAGGATAATTCTACAAATAGTATAACAACAATGAAACCTACTAGTATTAGTACTACAAAGAAATCAAACAAAAAAGTCACAAAGGCCAGCAGAACCAAATCAGGGAAAATTCTTCCTACAATGGCTACTATGCAAATATCACAAGCAGTACCTTCACCCTTAACTACAATAACTAGTGGTCTAAATGAAACCATAACAGGTAAGACTCCATGTGACGATGATAATGAGATCATCAACAACAATAATAGTAACAATAAAGAAAATATTCCTCCACCAATGGACAATGAAAATATGAGTAGGGACATGTATACGAATCTATTAAATTTCAATGAAAATACTATTGATTGGTTGAATGAATTCAATGATGCTACAAAGGGATTGGATTTAGTCGGAATGATGGAACCTCCAAGTAATACTACACCAATGGCAATGGCAAATCTAACAAATTCTAAAAATACACCAAGGGATATTCCAACTGTTGAAGATATGGATAGAACATCTCCAATTGATACATTATCGATGCCATTAATGGAATTAGAACAAGCGGGGAAACTTCAGAATGTTGGGGTAAATGCTAGCCGAAATAATGAAAAATCTAACGAAAACGGTACTATGACAGATATGAGAAAGAAGAGTACTAGTGGTAGTAATAGTAATACGGTTACAATGAAACATAAGGTTACTTCATGCCATGATCAATTACGTCGGTTACCATTACTATCTGGTCAACAGAAGGAATTTGTTGATATCGCAAATGTCATACCTGCAGATGCAACTGTACCAAATAGTGATGCAACTGTATTAGTAAGTTATTCCAAGAGTGAGGATGAAGCAAACGAGGAGGAAGAGGAGGAGGAAGATAATTCTAATAAACGTCATGGCATTATGCCTTCATCGCCTGGGATGATGTTTGGATACAAACATACGTTACATGGGAATCAGGATGATGAAAATGATAATTATGATGGTGATGATATCTTTTCGTCATTTGTTAATGGCAGTAATGATGGAGTAAGTCATGACACACCTGCTACAAATAACTGTAGTAGTGATCCTAAATAAGTTTAAAAACTATATATACATTTTATCAGCTATATAAAATTAAAAATAATAATAATAATTCTTATTCTTTCTAAGGCAACATTTTTTTTTCAAAAACAAATTGATACAACTATGCAATTTTAGGGGAGTAGTAGGACGATGATAAAGTAGGTGTAAATTATTTAGTATAATAATATGATTTATGTTTTTTTATAAATTGTAAATGAATAATAGTATAAATGAACTCTATAATAAGTAATATAAAGAAATAATATAGGAGTTTAAATGAAGATAAGGGTCGTTAAAATATATAGAAAGAGAAAATGAATGAGAAAATGAAATGAAGTTTAACATGTTTGTGAATGTATATGAGCCATGATGAAATGAAATGAAAACAAAGATTAAAAGTATTGTTTGAAAATAAATAAAACAGAAATGACATTAATTACCAGGGGTGAAACTCTTTGAAGCGTAAGGATTAAATTTTGGTCCATTATTAATACTACCGTTGTTACTATTTTTCTTTTCATCTATATGAAGTTGCTGTTGTTGTCCATTAAATATCATATATTCATTATATCTATCCATTAAGAATTTATCTAATTCATCTCTTGTTTTCAGTTCACTTTGTGATAATAAAGCTCTAGGGCAAAACAATACATCATCTTCAAATAATTTATTTCTATTCTTAATATTTAATAAATCATAATGTTTACCAAATGTATTATTACCAATATTTGAGCCTGGTGATGATGATAGACTACTAATATTATTTGTTGTTCTTAATGCACTTAAAACACTAGAATTTGAACTCGAACTAGAATTACTTCTTGTTGCATTTACATTAAATTTTCTTGTTGCAGATGATGACGATATTCTATCATTATTACTATACATCATAACTTGTTGTTGTTGCTGCATTAATAGAGGTGATAGATGTTGTTGTTGATAATCAAAATCTTGTAAAGTTGTTGCATTATTACCATTTATATTGTTCATTTGAAGAAGGTAATTTTGTTGTTGTTGTATAGGTGGTATATTAGAATTTAATAGAGGCATTTTTTTATTATTATTATTATTATTATAATACTAATAGATGATATCTTTGGAGTCTTGATAATAATATTTACTTTATAGCTATGTGTATAAGTAAAAGAAAAAACAAGTTTTATAATAAAGGAACTGTTTGTATAATCTTATTCTGTAATAGTAATATTTACAGTCTAATTTTCCTTTGACTAATAATATATATATTTTTTCCTCTTTTTCTATGTCCAGCTTATTGTAAAAAGATATATATAATATGCCGCTTGTTCCGTTGACAACATGAAAGAGAGATAAAGAAAAGAATTTTTCGGAGATATTTATTATGTGGAGTATAGAAGACAAGATTAGAAATTTGAATATATATGAATATGAATACTTCACAGTATATAAGAATTACTTTTTAACTATGAATTCAACAATATCTATACATTGCTTTAACGTTCAACAACTCTGGTTTCTATTTCCCTGCTCATACTACTGAAAGAAGTACAAAATAGTTACACCAGTAACTATTATATATATATATATATATATATATATATATATATACTTATTGGATACGATGTAGTTTCTTGTTGGAGAATATATAGTGTGGTTGAGGGAAATAAATACAAATTCTTGTTATTCTTTCTCCTATTACTTTCACATTCTTCTAATGAAGTCGCCGCACAGAATTAGAAGGGATCGTATAGTATGGGAATTAGTATACCCCTCTTCCTTCCGTCTTTTCTTCGGTGTTTCTACATACTCCGAGAAAGATTTTATTTCTGCTTATTCGGTGGGGTGTGTGGGTTTCAGTATTTACATATATTTTGTGTCGTGAACAGTGATGTACACACGTGACAAAACGGGCCGCAGCAGCAACAATGTATGCTGTTGTACGAACGGGCGGAGTTTTTCTAACCGTCCCCTCTCTCGTTCTTCTTGTCGTCCTCATCGTTGATTAATGTGAAAATCGATAGAAATAATTGAGATCTCGGAGAAAGGTGGAAGGAAGACCAGCCCACATACATTTAGTGCTGGTCTTTCATTTTATCTATACCGAATTGTCACATATACGTATGTTGTTCATTTATTTTAGTTCTGGTTTTAGTTTTAGTTTTAATTTTAGTTATAATAGTATGATGTATGTATAGAGCAATTGTGATGTAATAATATAGTTAGGGAAGGATGTACTTCTATTGAGAAGATTATTAATCATTAATTGTGCGTGTATGGTTAAATTATTATTATATTACATAGTGACGACATGTTATTTAGGTTATATAAATATATAATGAATGGTAGTAAGAAAAAAGTTAGGCTATTGGAATCTTAACGATTATTACTTTTACAATATGATGTAATTAACACTTAGACGATCTTTAACAGTCTTATTACCAGTCTGGAACTCTTCATTACTATCTGGTTCAGTTTTAATCTGTGAAGTGGTAGTAATAGTAGTAGTATTCTTATCATTAGTGGTAACAGGAGGACCGATTGATTCTTTATCATTATTATTGCCGTTGTTACTGCCACTGTTATCGACTGAACTTTTCTTTGATTGTAACTTATCATGAGTATTGACATCTTGCGAATCAGGGTTTGTACTATTATTATTGCTCATAGCAGACGGTGATCCTTTACTACTAGTTAGTTTACGTTTACGACCAACTCTCTTGGAATTTTTTGACCCTGTATTCATGGAATTTTGATTCTCATTTTGATTTTGAGTTAAAGGAATCACAGGTTCAATCATTGTGGTCCTAGTAGGAGAATAATGACTTGGTAACAATGTACCTGTATGACTTGTATCATAATATTGATGAACAGAAGGTATACCAATATTAGTCATAGGTTGTTGCATCATTTGCTGTGGTTGCATTTGTTGTGGTACCGACCGTTGAGATTCCAAATGCATTTGTTGAGTAACAGGAAATGCCATAATATTAGTTGTATTCCATGGTTTACTCATAGGACTTAATGGTACATTCTCAATAGAATTATGCTGTGGTTGGTGATGCATCGACGGTATCATTATATTTTGTTCTTGTTGTTGTTGAGTTGTAATTATTGCTGGATGATTTCTAGGATTTTGAATATTAATATTATAAGCTTGTGCAGATGAGGTTAATGGTTGTGATGATGTAGAATATATAGGTTCTTGTCCACGAATATGATTAAATGTTGATGGTGATGTGGATGATGTATAATGCAAAGGTTGTTGTTGTGATTGTGTGTTGGATCTAGCTTGTTGAAGATAAGAAATATAACCAGCTTGGTTATATGTATTATTATTAGTAGTAGTGGCATTTGTTGTTGTTGTGTTACTACTATACATATATTGTGGATGTCCAATCATTCGTATATCAGGACGATGTCGTTGTTGTTGTTGTTGTTGTTGTTGAATTGGTGGTTCATCTATCGTATAGTTACCATTATTTGGTAAACCAATTATTCTCTTTTCAAAATGTATATTATTGTTGCTATTGTTATTAGGTTGTTGTTGTATTGATGATGGAGGGATTTGTATTTCATTAAAATATGATGGTGGATAATTTAATTTTGCATGAACAGAATCTCTATGCTGTTTTAAATTATCAACTCTACTAAAATATTTTAAACAAATATAGCATTGAAAAGGTTTTTCACCTGTATGTTTTCTAATATGTCTAGCTAAATGTTCTGCTCTTGTGAAAGCCATATTGCAATCTTTATAACCTTCACATTTAAACATTTTTTTATTACTAGCATTATTTGTTAACGATGGATGATCCGTCGATAAGGTAGGACTTCTTTTAAAACTCCCCATAATTTAATTTTAAATAATATAATAATAGATATTTGTAATGAAAGTTCAGTAGGAGGGGGGAACAGGGTCAGAAAGAATGATATTATAATGTGGAATGGTAAATTTATTTTAAGAATATGAATAGAAAATGGGAGTTTTGGTATTGGGATATAGGTGGGAAATAATTAACTGGAATATATATATATATCTTTTTTTGTGTTTGTGCGTGTGTGTTTGTTCAATAATTGGATCAAGATCAGTTAATGAAATGGTTAATTAAAAACTTTATGTGTATAGATATCTGTATATATAATATAATCAATAAGTGGGTTTTTTGCAAATATTATTGTTAAAGTGACGGAATTGTGGTTCTTTTAAATTAAAAGAGAATTTTTGATATCAAGATACTTGTAATTCTAGAAATTTATGATTATATAAATACTTTGAAATTGATCACCGGATTCAATGGATTTAAAAAAAAAGAATATACGAATAAAAAAGAATACAAAGTAGAGCCTCATTTAAAGAAAACAGTAAATACTAATTAAACACTAATTAAATTATATTATATTCTGTGTTAATGAGAGGAAAAAAAGAAAAAGAAAAAGAAATAAGAGTGCTCAAATAAATGAAAATATCAAATGAGAAAACAGGGCAGGGACCATCGGGAACAGGGCCATCGGAAGTAGCCAAGCGATAAAACATCACGGAAATTAATTCTGTCTTTCAATAATTATATTCCGTTATTATTACATATTCATTACCAGTTATTTTGAATTTGAAGGAAATTTTTAAAAGGAATAATAGATGTACGGCGAAAGAGTTCAATAAACTTTAAATGTAAAATGTTTATTACAGATATATTGTTCATTTGAGTTTTACAAAGAAATGGCCATACCGAAGATATATTAATTTTACTACTGTGAAGAAAATAAACTCCATATATTCTATTGTGTAGATTAAGGACTTTCAATTGGATCGATATATGTTAATGGATTTCTTGTGCGTTACTAATATATATTGGCAGGGACACAGAAGAAAAAGAAGATAAGAAAGATAATAGAAATGATAATGGTAGTGATGGAGCACGGTAGATTGGGAGACATTATACCCCTCTTTTGACCGTTAACTACAGAAAGTATCTGACAAATGCCCTGTAAATAACGGAGATGGGTGACTCTGCATCAGTATTGTGTTGTTTATTTTTTCTCAGAAACAACAACTTGTACGAGGAAATAGCTAAAAAGATTATCTACGATCGTTGACAAGGACAATGAAATAAACTTGAAAAAAGAAAGTTGGGCAGAGAAAATTGGGCATAAAGAGTGTTCAATCAACAAAGCTTAATTGTGTACATACCTTTAACAAAGAGTTTTTTAAGCTTCTTTAAAACAATTTATACTGTAAATATTCCTCAATGGTGACGATGAAAACAAAAGAAAATAACTTGATCGGTTGAAGAATTGAATGAGATAATTCCTTCTCCTCCACCTGGTCTGTTCCTAATTAACAAACCAGGGAACATTCATCATTCTCTAAAGAAAAATAATAAAGAAATAAAGAAAATATCTTTGAAATTTAACCCAGTTTATTACCTTCTTCTATCTTAAGATATTTTTAAGTATATATATTGATATAAAATCGGCATTAAAAACATTTATACTAATACCGACTTGTGCTACGATTATTTACTATTATCCTTATCTTTTGACAGACAACAAAGTAACAATGACTTTTTTTTTAATAGTATGCTGCACATCATTGGAAAATTGATGAAGAATATTGTAAACTCTGTAGTTTTATGACCATCATAACAGAGATAGAGTTCTGGTTATTCCACTGAATCACATGTAGTCAATGCACGGAAACAGAACGACAAACCATAAAAAAAGGAGAATGGATGTAAATATAAAAACGACGACCGCAGCATAAATAAATTTCCAAGACAAAAAGCTTAAATTGAGAACTAAAACTATTATTTTTTTATAATAATTTGTCAATATTACTGTTGTGTGTCAGTTCGACGTAGGGGTCTGTGAAGTAAGCAATACATCGGTTCTACGAACAATTAAAAACCATATACATATATATATATGCGCGCATAATTTTGTAATCGTGTGTTTTTGTTAGTTCACTATCAGTATCTATGAAATATTATGAGACACCTGTTGTACATACTTTTAAGAATGGATACAGAGAAATATCGCTAGCAATTGTCTAACAATTCATTAAAAGATAAAAAACTATCAAAGAGAATGCTTTGTGTGGGATAACTGTGTATATCTTAGATGTTCAAGAATGTACGAAGAATTGGGTTACTGTTCCTCTTTCCTGAGAAGGGGGTGCAGCTAGTTATCTCACGACTAATCACAACCAAAGAGGGGCCACACAAAACGTACTATGGAAATTTTGTGGTGCCGGCGCGTGTGGGTATGTGTGTATGTGTTTTTTTTTAATTTCCGCGGAAATTTACTCTATTAATATAATAGTCTCTAATAAATTTCCTCCCCTTATTCCAAAATTTTACACTCGTCATCATTCTTCTTCTATTGTTCTTATTTTGAACATTCCGATTTAAATTTTAAAAAATTTTGGACCTTTCAATATTGAATTGTTCCTGCAGCGATACATTGGAATATTACTCAACGTTTTTTTTTAACGTACAATCTAAGTGAGGGGAATGTTTAAGTATTGAAAATAAGAAGAAACTGTACCGTAAATTATTATGATAAAATAATAGTTACTTATAAGACCAGAATTATTGAATTGCGAACATATGTTAAATCCAAACATTTGGAACTTAGTGGAAAGGGATTACATAATTATTTTTACTTTCTGCTCTTTTTTTCTTAATTATGAGGGTTAAATTCTTGTAATAAAGAGAATCTCTCAATGAAACTATTTATTGTTTTGATTTACAGTACTTTGAATGTATACTGGGAGTATATCTCCATGTTTTTTATTCGTAATTATAAAAACATTTTGCCGTAACTCAATTTATTTCTTTGTTTTCTGTGTGTAGTTGGTAAACGTTTGAAATATTGATAGAGTTACAATTAATTGTAGTATTTCGGTCAAAAGTTCATATATATGCCACCGCTGGCTATAAGCTTTTCTTTTTGTTGTCACTACGCCCTTTTTTATTTTGTTAGTTATTTATTTTGATAATCTTGTGTTTCTTTGAAGGACCTAGCAGTTTGAATATCAAAGTTTTCAACTCATAAATTGTGCATATTACTCAGGTCACACCATGTACAGGAACATGTACATACTCCATTCTAACATTTGTTTCAATTGTTAAAATAGTATGTTTGCCATACCTATAAGTAATATCTTAATCTCTATATTATGAATATATATGGAATCTTTGCAAGAGAACGTGGCTCCTAGTGAGAAAAAAGATTGACCAACGAACGAATATTACAAAGAAACTAATGTAGAGATAAAACGGTTGGCTATACTCATACAGAGCTACAATGCGGTAAAGGTGATGTCACCGTGATATTCAGGTAGATCGCCGCTACAGATTTGCCTTTGGAGTGTACTTAAAACAATGCACAAACGAAAAACAAAATTGCGCGTTGTTAGTCTTTACAATAACTTATTCGTAGTTAATATTTCGAGAGATCTCACGTGAGTTTCTTCGTAAAAAAAACTTAATAAAGAGTATTACAAATTCAAAAGTTTATAGTAAGTTGTACAGTAGTTTTAGAACATATTCTTCGAAGCCATTTAAAAGAGTATACAAAGAAGAAAATGCGATAGAACGGAGAAGTACCTTTATCTCATATTACCTCTCAGTAACGATCAGGAGAAAAAGGATCCGTTCATAAAATGTTTGCGATATAGTATTATTATCAGTATTATTAACTGTAGTACGAAAAAGATCTTATTAAGGTACTGACTTGCATTTCTAACTTCCGTGGTATATTAAAATTATTTGTAAAGAAAAAATATTTTATGGTCACAACCACGGATCTGAGTACCTAGACTTTTCCGCTTAATATTACTAATCGCAACAGCACCTATGTTTTCTTTTCTCTTCCGTGGAGACATCGGATAAATGGGAGAGAGAGGAGAAGTTTAAAGAAGAGATGCTTTGATAATCTTTGCAGATCATTTTAATAAAAAGATTTTTGGTTTCCCCCACTATCTTTCTTTCTCGTTGCCTGGTTTAGGAAATCCGTCCTGGAAACTCATTATTTGGCCCTGTGAATTATTATTCGAACCTATCGTTTACTTAGCTTAAGTTATCGTACTTACAAACTCGACTAATTCGAACTACGGGAAAGTCAATAATTCATATATTAGTAAATACCATATAATGATTGTATACATAAAATATTACAATGTTGCTACTCTACCAGGAAGATCCATTTTTTAATACAATTGAATGTGTATGTGTTTATTCAAAAAAAGAGATCTTCAACACATTTTTCTTGGGTTAGTAAAGAGGGGATCATTTGCAATCGATTATGCTCCAATTATATTCTCAATTAATTGAGATGTTCTGGAAATAATAGCATGATAATAACAACCTCTGAAACTTCCAGCCTTCCCTACTTTCGATCAATTTTTGATAAACATATTAATTGTTTGAGGAATTAACGACTTTGTATTCGATTGAACCTGGATCTTTAGTTGAAACAGAAGATAAGAGGGGTAAATCTGATTTTCGAAAGTAGGGTTTTACACTTTTATCTAATTATATTCGATTCTTCGTAGAGGTTATGATTTACAATAATTGTGTTTCTTTTTTTTCCTTTCTTGAGGAGGGATATAACCGGTAAGCTTATATTTTGAGTAGATCTTATTGGGCATTGAACATTAAAAACCTTTTAACTAAGAGATTCTTATATACTACGATGTGGTCGATAAAAGGGTTTCGATCTTTTTACTCGGCATCCATTAATTGTGAGATTAGAAGAGATATGATCCACAATGGGTATCGTTCGTTTAAAAAAGGGTTAGCGTTTCCTTCATATCTTACAACTTCCTTAGCCAAACTTCAGTGTGACATACTGAAAAGTTATTTTCTAAGTTGAATATTTATAAAATATCTATTGTTCTTCTCTCACTTTATCTCATCCTCTCAAAACCAGACCCTTAAAGCTAGCAGCAATAGGTACATTCTGGATTATTTTCACTTGTCTTCTCAGCATTCCTTCATTTAATTGCGCGTGTGGCTCCCTCTTCGGGCTTTTTTTCGATACGTTGAAGAACAATATAAGAAAAAATATTGAACGCTAAGATCAGAAAGACAAACAAAGGAGAGGCAGAAAATGTATAGTATACTGTCAATATAGAACACGTAATCACTAACCAAGGTAGAACACTTAAACCTGTTACTTTAGTCTTTCTTTAATTTGTTTACAAGTGAAAGTTTAATAGGTAGAGAAGAACTAAAAACTAAAAACCTAAAGGAAAGAGATTAATTTTTTGATTTAAAGTCTGTTCAAGATTGCTCTTACCTGAACCATTAAGATACCAAGTTTAAACTTGCTAATCAATCGCTACCAAAATATCGTTTAAAGGATGTCAAAAAATTCCAAAAGTTTTCAAAACTGTGCTGAATCAGAAGTTCCAGGTTATAACGATTGTCCTACGTTTTTATTCCAAGTATCGAACAAGAAGAGTTCTTCATCAGTCAACTTATCTAGTAGTACCACCACACTTTCGAGTGCAGATAATATTATTACCACCAAAGTAAGAGATATTTCTGGCAACACTAAATCGGCTGTTTCACCACCACCGTTAATTACAAAAAGAAAGCTTTCCAGCCAGCTTGATCCAAATAAAAATAATGATAGTAATAAAATTAACGTATTGACGAAAGATGAACTTGAATCTAGAATAACGGAATTACTTGCCAAAGAATCGAAACTGTCGGAGAAAGAATTTATATTTTACAAAAATAAAGTAAACAACAATATTAAGAAAAGTTTAGATAATGTATCAACTGTAAACACTTTGTCCCAAATTTTTGGAAGTATTGAGAATGATAGTACTGCTGCAAAGAGGTTGTTGACTCAATGGATGGTATCAGACACCTCTATAGGGACATGGTGCCCGGCATTTATTAAAATAGTTGATAATATTGTATAGGTACATATCATATATAATATAAACGTACAAGAAGTTATATGATCTCGACACCTTCTGTTCTTGTGTTTATGGTAATGTGGGAAAAATATGTCAATCTCGCGATGTTGTAGATCCGCTTAACTAATATATAAACAAAAAAAACTGGAAATTCATTTTTAACACACATTTACTATGTTTGCAATGTCGAAAATGCCAAAAGTTAATATCAAGCACTATCGAAAATCATACTCAATGGAAGGGAAACGATCTGTAAAGGATATTTTAAACAAAGGGCCCGAGTTTGTTAAGGATACCCAACTAGATATATTTTTTGAACAACTGAACGATGAATTATTTAAACCACTAGCTCAACTACAAAAAGAAGAAGACAATAGTCGATCTGTGTATCAGTTTTTAGGGTTTGAAAGTAATGGCTTATTCGTTTCGAAACTACTTAAATACTTCAACAAATTGCATGTATTAGTTCTAGATAATCAGAAAAAGGTAACAACGGATGAATCTGATTTATTGCCCATATCATTGCATGATATGAGGTATGTTGATGCGTTAATAAACCTCATAGTGATACATGGGATTGATGCAAACATCCCACTTGATATGAGGATACCGATGGATTCCAAAAGATTGACTCAATTTAAAGAAGATGACAAAAGATATGAAATTCCAAAAGATCATAGGATGAATATTCCTACTTTAAAATCCGTAACAGATTATATGTATGGAATACTAATCCATAGTAAGAATGATAACGAAACTGAAGCGGATTATTTGCGCTCTATCATTCTGAAAGGTTCGGCATATACAAACATATTTCTGGGAATCTTGGTCCTTTTATTTATAGGTACAGTAAGTTATGAGGAAAAGCTCGACTCTCTGGAAACAATCCAAGAAACTTATACTCTGTTTTCGATGTATACGCTCTTGACAGAGACTCTCATTAATAAAGAAGCAAAAGTAAAAGTTATCGATTTGCTCTCTACGCTAGTTATTAGAAGGAAAGAAGATGGTCTCTTGAGTTTGATTGATTTTATCCTTGGTGTGAGAGAAAATGAAGATATTGATGCAGAAAAGTTGAGTCGAGTAAATCAAATTTTATTGTCAAGACCCCCTAAAAGTATTCCAAATAAAATATATTTGCAAAACCTATTCGACCAAATATACGATTCATTGACATATGTTAATAGACCGATTGTTCTTATGTGTGTTAACAATGTTATTAAAGATTTTTTTTTAAGGAATAGGCGAATTGTGAGAGATTTCTTGTTTAAAAGAATATACCAGATTTTATTCAATAGCCCAATAAATAATCACACCTCAAAGGAATTAAATGATATGATTAATGTATTAATATCACTATCAAAGAATTCATCAGTGGATGTTGTTAAAGATTTGGTTTGCGGTCTAGATAAAGATGGATTTTTTTTGGCGCTATGGATGTATGCATTATTCTTGAAAAAAAACCAAAAGGTTGATCCATTGATTGCTAATAATTTGAAAAAAGATAACTTTGGACCTTATTATGAGGTTATTCTTTCACTTATGAAATCATTTCTTTTTATTTTGGATGAATATGATGCTTTAGATTATCTTTGCATACATCTGCTTAATTCGGATCATGAAGAATGGGAATACCGAATAAATTTAGAAACACAGCTGGCATATATCAATGTGAAGAATACCAATAATCTAAATCTGAATGATCTTAATATCAGTTATAATTCAATGTCTGGAGAAAATATGAATAAGATGTCGAAACTGTTTCAAGATATGGATATATCTATTGATTTATTTATAGAGCTTTTGAAATTATTAGACAATGAAGAATGTATTAAAGATAATTTTTTGAGTGTCCTGAAAAGATGGGTTCAACAAACTTTCAACCTAGACAATGGACAGAAGGATTCTTTGGTAAACCTTCCAGAAGACGTTCAGACAAAAAATATTTTAATATTAACTGATATAAAGTTACTTGAGAAGATGAACGAGAATTTCAAGTCTGGGTTAATTAGGAATGTTTCGGACATACTTGAAGTGATTAATGATTTATTAGATCTACATCTGAACAATATTGAAGGGATGCAAAAAGATGATGATGATGATGATGATGACGATAATTCTGACGATGATAGCGATGATGAAGAGGTCAGTGAACAGGATGATAATAATGAAATGAATGGGCATATGAATACACTAGATATCATATTTGAGTTATTGAAAACAATTATAGACCAAACGCCGCCCTCTGTTCTCCAAAAGAACAAATCATTATTATTGCAAATAAATGAAAAGATTAAAAAGAATAGGACAATACCTCAAGAACTAATTTCTTCATCTTTAGCCACTGCTTTAAGGACTTCCGTCACAAAGCAAGACGAACATACTGAAAGTTCACAGAATGAAATGGATGATAATGAAAGGTTAGATAAAGCACTTCGAAATATTGCAGATCCCTTAGTTCCAATCAAAGTACATGGTTTGATGGAATTGCGTAAATTTGTTGAAGACGGTTCTACCATCATTGCTACTGATAGAGTCTTCAAATTGCATCTTCAATATTTAAGAAATCCTGATCCATTTATTTATCTAAATGTAATTAAAGGTTTGTCATCATTATGTGAATGTCAACCTGAGATGACCTTGGGAGTATTAATTGAATTTTATCAAGATCTTAGACGTAGGAACAAAATAGATGATATTTTGAAAGTTGGTGAAGTGTTTATAAATTTTATTCAAAGAGAGAACCAATTATTCCAAGGCAAGTATGCTAATATGATCATCGATGTTTGTTTAGAAAGAATTCAAGGTCACTCAAAAGTTGACAATAAGATCCGTATGTCAGCCATGTCTATTCTGGGTGTCTGTCTTCAAGTCAATGCAAAGGGTGTGTCTACAAGGATTAGTGAGATGTTAGATTGTGTATTTGGTATTTTACAATTAGAAACAGATGAAGCTGCTAATGATAAACAAAATGACACATTCATTATGAGAAGAAGCGCTATACGTTTAATATATGATTTATTTTACGATTTTGAACCTTCTTTGTTACCAGAGAAATATAATATTGAACGATTGTTAACGTTGTTAGAATATATTAAGGATAAAGAAAACGATTACCTTGTATGTGAACAAATAGTTCAAGTGATCAAGACAATTAACGAGGTCATGCCAGAAACTACGTTGGAGAAATTGACGTTATCTGAATAATAGGGAAAACCCCCATTAGTGTCCTTACCTGATGTTATTAACGAATGAACCGTCACATATATGGCTATGTGTCTCAAAATCCTTCTAGAAAAAGAAAGAATAAATATGAAACTAAAAATCAGGAAATCACTAGGAACGAAAAGTGACAGAATGTTTTTCTTTTTTCTCTCCTGCTCAATTTGTTAAGTTCACCGCTCTGCCGCCCACTGAAAATTTTGGGTCTCTCTCTCTCAATTTTTCCATTTTTTCTAGAACGTTATAGAACAAATTCTTCACTCACCGTTTCTCTCATAGAATTACCATATCCGACGACAAAATAGGTTTTGAATGTCGAGTGAAGGAGGAGGGGATTTAGCAGGGAGGGGACGTCGGTGGCAATTGAACAACCTAACATATATATATATGGAGGGGGTTGGATGGACGTTGAAAGATTAATATAACCATTTGTACCTCTTACATAATTTTTTGTTCTGTTTTTAAGTTATTTATTTGTTAATATTCTTCTAACATTTATTAGTAAATCAAGTCAAATCAGTTATTAGCAAAACAATGTCCTCTGAAACTTTTGAATTTCAAGCTGAGATCACTCAATTGATGAGTTTGATCATCAACACAGTCTATTCTAACAAAGAAATTTTCTTAAGAGAATTGATCTCTAACGCTTCCGATGCCTTAGATAAGATTAGATACCAAGCCCTATCCAATCCAAAGGAGTTGGAATCTGAACCAGAATTATTCATCAGATTAACTCCAAAGCCAGAAGAAAAAGTTCTAGAACTTAGAGATTCCGGTATTGGTATGACCAAATCTGACTTGATTAACAATTTGGGTACTATTGCTAAGTCCGGTACTAAGGCCTTTATGGAAGCTTTATCTGCTGGTGCCGATGTCTCTATGATCGGTCAATTCGGTGTTGGTTTCTACTCCCTTTTCTTGGTCGCTGACAAGGTTCAAGTTATCTCTAAGAACAACGATGACGAACAATACATTTGGGAATCTAATGCTGGTGGTTCTTTCACTGTTACTCAAGATGAAAGTAACGAAAAGATTGGTAGAGGTACCGTTCTAAGATTATTCCTAAAGGATGATCAACTAGAATACCTTGAAGAAAAGAAAATCAAGGAAGTTGTTAAGAGACACTCTGAGTTCGTCTCTTACCCAATTCAATTGTTAGTCACTAAGGAAGTTGAAAAGGAAGTCCCAGAAACTGAAGAAGAAAAGAAGGACGAAGACGACAAGAAGCCAAAGTTGGAAGAAGTCGATGAAGAAGGTGAAGAAAAGAAAGAAAAGAAGACCGTTAAGGAAGAAGTTAAGGAACTAGAAGAATTAAACAAGACTAAACCTCTATGGACTAGAAACCCAACTGATATCACAAAGGATGAATACAATGCTTTCTACAAGTCTATCTCTAACGACTGGGAAGATCCACTTTATGTTAAGCATTTCTCTGTTGAAGGTCAATTAGAATTCAGAGCTATTTTATTCGTTCCAAAGAGAGCTCCAATGGATCTATTCGAAAACAAGAAGAAGAAGCACAACATCAAGTTGTACGTCCGTCGTGTTTTCATCACCGATGAAGCTGAAGATTTGATCCCAGAATGGATGTCCTTTGTTAGAGGTGTTGTTGACTCTGAAGATCTGCCATTGAACTTATCCAGAGAAATGCTACAACAAAACAAGATCATGAAGGTCATCAGAAAGAACATCGTCAAGAAATTGATTGAAGCCTTCAATGAAATTGCTGAAGATGCCGAAGAATTCGAGAAGTTCTACTCTGCATTCGCCAAGAACATTAAGCTTGGTATTCACGAAGATACTCAAAACAGACAAGCTTTAGCCAAGTTACTAAGATACAACTCTACCAAATCTGGTGATGAAATGACCTCTCTAACTGACTACGTCACTAGAATGCCAGAACATCAAAAGAACGTTTACTACATCACAGGTGAATCTCTAAAGGCTGTTGAAAAATCTCCATTTTTGGATGCTCTAAAGGCTAAGAACTTTGAAGTTCTATACCTAGTTGACCCAATTGATGAATACGCTTTTACTCAAATGAAGGAATTCGATGGTAAGACTTTAGTCGATATCACCAAGGACTTTGAACTAGAAGAAACCGATGAAGAAAAGGCTGCAAGAGAAACTGAAATCAAGGAATACGAACCATTGACTAAGGCCCTAAAGGAAATTCTAGGTGAACAAGTCGAAAAGGTTGTTGTTTCTTACATGCTTGTTGATGCTCCAGCTGCTATCAGAACTGGTCAATTCGGTTGGTCCGCTAACATGGAAAGAATTATGAAGGCTCAAGCCCTAAGAGACTCTTCCATGTCCTCATACATGTCCTCGAAGAAGACTTTCGAAATTTCTCCAGCTTCCCCAATTATTAAGGAATTGAAGAAGAGAGTTGATGATGGTGGTGCTCAAGACAAGACCGTTAAGGACTTGACTAATTTGTTATACGAAACCGCTCTATTGACTTCTGGTTTCACTTTGGACGAACCAACTTCTTTCGCTTCTAGAATTAACAGATTGATCTCCCTAGGTCTAAACATTGATGAAGAAGAAGAAAAGACTGAAGAAGCTGCCCCAGCTGTCGAAGCTAACGTTGAAGAAGTACCAGCTGACACCGAAATGGAAGAGGTTGATTAAAGAAATTAAAAATCACATTTTTCCAATTACTATTTTCATAGCTATGTCTTCATTTATAAACAAAGTCATGTAACGTACATCACATATATATACGGTTATATATAAAGTAAAATATTATAAATTCTAAAGAATGAAAAAAACGAAAACATTTAAACCTATTAATTAGTTGTGCTGTTGAATAATGCAAATGGTATTGAAGATGAAAATTCTATTTAGAATATATGTAGGGATTAAAGAGATGTATCTGTATCATCAGAGTCCTCGATGACTCTATCGACAAGTTTATTCAATTTACCGATTTCAGATATTCTTTGTTTTGCCAACCAGCCCTTGAATAGAAAATAGAAAGACCCAACAATTCCATAACTTGTAAAATTCAAACACATTTTTATTTCATCAGGGGAAGTGTATTTCAACCAACTAACTGGTAGGATATTTAATGATGGTGCTAATTTATCAAGAATGGTATTGGAAAAGTATTTAGATATTGTTGGCCAAATTACAGAAGCTCTTGCCAGCTCATCACAATATGTAGTCAGACTGCAATAGTAATCGAAAATTAAACGGGCAGTTATCCCAACCGATGGGTCGCCAAAATCTTTGTTCGTTGGTTGTAAATGTTCTTTGAAATATGCTTGTGGTGTAACATTGTTTTGTGATAGCCACTTATTATAAAACCTTTTCTTGTAGTAGGGTTTTATGATACCTCTATATATGTATAGCGTTATTTTGGAAAATAGGACACAGTTGGATATTAATGAAATTGTAGAGATCGAGGCATCTTCGTAAGATCGAAGATGTAACATGAATAAGAATGGATACATTAATTCGAAGTCATCTAGTACTAATCCCGAAAATTCGAACATTGAACTTTGATTTTTCACTAAACTTAGAAGATAACATGGAAATCCCATTATCAAAAACTTATTAAATTTTGATATACTGTGTATACCATTAAACGTTTCGGTATATACATCTAGTGCCTTAGTCGAACTGATATTTAGGATAGTTCTCAATATTGACTCTGGAAAGAGCGTCCTTAATTGATATAGACCCAGTTTCAAAAGTAATTTAGATGGATTAGTTAAAACTGATATCCCTAGCCCCAGTGGAATTAAATGTTGAATTACTTTTTGGATTTTAAAGTAAATAGATAGAATGGTAGATGAGCCCCTCAAATATTTAGTGTTCGAGGGGATAAAATTTCTCTTACACTGAGGACATTTTTTTGAAGGAATGTTTGTTAAGGTGTGTACATTATCTTGGAATGTTTCACTTAATAAACCTTCAAAGGGATTAGGTCCCAATAATAAGAATGGTAACTTTATCATCTGCAAATATATAGATATTAAGCGCCTAACAGACTTTGGTAAAATATCTAGCAAGGTATTTGAATCTTGAGAAAGTTTCTTATTGGTATCCACAAAATCAAATAGATGTATTCTATTCAAATCATATATTGTGATATTTGGACCTCTAACATCTCCATCAAAATGTATTTCCTCTATGTAAGATTTTTCCATCATATTGTTCAAATATTTTAAATAACAAATTTTATGTATTTCCAAATTGCAACCACACGAGTGTTTGATCCACTTAAATTTAATATCATTATCTGTTATTACTTCTTCTTCTAGGCAAATCCAACAAGTATAACTTGTTGGCGGTTGTTTCCGTAGTGTGTTCCAAAATAGCATGATAGAATATACCACCTCGTTAAATATGTGGGATGAATAAGTAATATTAACTGAGTTTCAATGTACAACTCTTTTTATTTTCTTTTAAATGTTAGGTGTCTTCAAAGTGGAAGTAGTTCTGTTACTGTTTTCGATTTTTTTATTGCGTAATCCCTTAGCCCTTAAATTTGATGTAATGATTAAAAACAGTTTTAAAGAAAATAAAATAGAGGAATGAGAGAAGACAGAACGTCTTTGTCGAAAGAGAATAATGATACTATTGATATTTATATGAATGTATTATATACAGGTATTTACTAATATATGCACGAATGTTGGAGTAGTGCAAGATCTTTTTTTCATTATTCATAACTGTGGTTGAGATTGGTGATCAGTTTGGCCCTGCAGCAAATACTTTCTTAAAATGTTTTTCTTTATATTCTTCTTCAAAGCTTCTGGTCCCTCAACACCGTTCTTTGTTAAAAACTCGTTTGCTAAAGTATCATCAGCGAGAAGTTCTTGTAGCTTTGTCTGTATAGAATCTATTGCTGTACGTTCTTGAATTAAATCTTCTTGTATTGATGACACGTTTAGTTTTAATAATTCCTTAACTGCATCCTGAGAGAAATCAGTAATACCATATTTCTCCTTGATTTCCTTTAATTCTTCCTGTGATCCCGATTTATTCAAACAGTTTTGAATCCTTCTAATGTCTTCTAATAAAGATAGATTTTCATTTTCTATTTGTTTTCTTCTTTCTAGGAAAATTTCTGATTTTGCTGCTTCTTCTCTTGCTACATTAATCTTAGCTTCTTTCTCAAATTTGGCAAACTGTTGACCTTTGTTCTTTAAGATTTCGGCTATCGCAAAGAACTTACGTTTTGAAAGCGGCCTAGTAGTTTCGATTCTTACTAAATCACCTTCACGTGAGATATCAGCTTCGTCATGAACAAGGTAATCCTTTCTATGAATCAATTCTTTATTAATCCTCTTGTTAAATATCTTGGTTTCCACACGTACTTTTACTGTCTTTTGCATCTTACCTTGAGAGATGACCATCCCAATGAAATTTTGACGAGCCATTTTGCTTCTCTATATGATTCTTGTCAGTATTATTTAACAAAAAAAAGTATATTCAGAGCTTATAATCTTCTAAGTTAAAGCTATTCTCAGATGGGTTCTAAATTAGGATAGGAGGGTTATTCTAGAATAATGACTATTGCCTTGAATTTTATTTTATTTTTCATTTGTTTAATTTGTCTTTCAACACTCAATAATATGAATTTTCGTATTTAAGAATGTCCTTATTTTCTTTTCATTGGAAAATCGGGCCTAGAAATGACGATTCTTGATATGTATGACGTAGAAAGTGATAATGGAAGACAATAATTGAAAATTGTTATAATTGAAGGTTGAGAAAGTTTAATAAATAAAGTACTTGCACGATAACTTTCATATGATTAATATAAATATATTAAACTATTCATATCTGCACTTAGAAATGTACAATTTTAGTAGTTGTTAACAATATGTAACTCAAATAAAGATGATTTTATTAGAATCACATGAAGTGTTGCGTCCATAAAGAGGACATCCGACATATATATACGTATATATATATATCTGTTATACAAAAAATATAATATTATTAAACTTAATGTATATGCCACAACTGACGATATTTTGGGATTATTCCTTTATTATTATAAAAAGAAGATACATTAAATTTTCATGTTTAGTGTCTAATTACAAACGTTTAAAAATAGTGTCTATAGTAAACAAAAAATAAAAACGATAATATTGTCCAAAAGCGTATTTTCATTAACTTCTTATATAAAAGGAGAATATGTTTCTATTAGAATCTTGTACATTGCTTCCTCCTTTTCAAAACACAATTATTTAACTAAAATAAACAAATAAAATTTCTGAAATAGTGCTCTTTCTTACCAGTAAGTCAGATAATTCTATTTAACGTCAGTATATAAATATAGTGCTCAAGAATCAGACTCAAGATAGTTGAAGATATCATTGAAGTGTCGATATCACCATTTTTGTACATTTATCAATATCGCTTGTATAACCGACTCACCATTAGAGAAATATATACTGTCCATTTTCTAATTTGTGACACCAATCATCCGAATGTGTCTCATCTCCCTCTCTCTTCACATATCTCGAACAAGTTCATATCAGTCACCATCTAAGCACAGACGACTATTATTTGATATATCGAAGACGTAGTGCCATTGTACTCATTTGCAATGTCACTTGACCAACGCAGCTAACCAAAAGAAAAGGAGTCAAAATTAACATTATCTGTTGCAAAGGGACCCCGGCTATCGCCACACTATGAATTACTGACTCCACCTCGTTATCTCTCCCATCCTTATGTTTGTTTCCCACACAGTTATGCGGACAATCGTCTTTCGGCACGTTTCCGCCCCTCCAAACAGAAAGAAACGATTACTTTTTGTGTGTTGTGAGAGAGAGAGGTAAACCGTTTGACTCCTTCCACTTTTGCCCTCATCGAGCATTTTTTGATGGGAAGATTAGATAGAGAGATAGCAACAGATAGCAACAGATAGACATCGAGATATACACAATTTTGGTGCTTAATCTCCGGTAGTCCTTGAAATGAAAGAAAAGATTGACAAACTTTGAACACATCTCACTATCTTTTGTTCAAACTATGTCGTGGAGAAGAAAATGTTAACATGATTTTGTGATGATGACCTCTGTAAAGATATCAAATGTTTCTATTTGGTGATGACCTCTCTTGATTCACTGGGTATCTATTGTATTATATATTTTGTCCTGATTGATACATTTTGATAAAAATAATGACTATCTATATAATTTCAACAACTTTATTTTGTATATATATATATATATATAAACAGACCTTTTATAAAGTTCAGAAATATTTTGGTTATTTGTTCTCCACATTTCTTCCTTTGAACAGTATTAGGTATTCACCAAGAACCAAAAAAAATAAATAAATATAAGGAAGACTAATTGTTTGTCTACTGTTCTCTAGAAAAAAAAATTGATAAAAAATAGGTATTTTTTGTTCTTTCTTGTACCCTTATTTTTATAATAAAGAGGTTGTTTGATTCAATTCTGAGCGAAAAGGAACTTTTATAACACTGTACTAAGATTCCTCCATAATATTCCCAATGACTACAGTTACAAAAAAAACTATTTCCTTAAGATGGATTTCTAACATTAAATTATTACAACAAAGATCCTTTCATATAGACGCCATTGCATATAAAACAGCCAATATCACTTCAAAACAATTTGCTTCGGTATACAATGGTGATTACAAGGATCTTTCTAGAGAATTAGATGGATTTCTAAAACGTCATGTAGGTCCATCTCCAAAGGATATTAATAAAATGTTGAAGACTTTGAATTATGATGATCTTTCAACATTTATTTCATCTGTGATCCCTGGAAAAATTCTTGAAAAGAGACCATTAAATCTAGAGGCTCCAGAACAAGGATATACAGAACAGAAGATGTTAGAAGAATTGAAAAAATTAGCTGATTTAAATAATTTTGAAGTTAAAAATTTAATTGGTAAAGGTTACTACGGTACTATTTTACCCCCAGTAATTCAAAGAAACTTATTAGAAAATCCACAGTGGTATACTTCTTATACCCCTTATCAACCTGAAATATCTCAAGGTAGATTAGAATCATTATTAAATTTTCAAACTATTATTACTGAATTGACAGGCTTACCAATTGCTAATGCTTCTTTATTAGATGAAGGTACAGCTGCTGCTGAAGCTATGCTATTATCTTTCCATTTAGCTAAAGGGAAGAAAAAAACTTATTTGATTGATTCAAAAGTTCATAAACAAACCAAATCTGTCCTTAGAACCAGAGCTATTCCAACAAATATTGAAATTAAAGAAATTGATCTTTTTGATTTGAATTCCCTAGAGAAAGAATTATCCACCGACGATGTATCTGGTGTCTTGTTACAATATCCAGCTACAGATGGTTCAATTGGCTCCATGGAAAAATTACAAAAAATTTCAAAATTGGTTCATGAAAAGAAAGGTATTGTCTCTGCAGCATCTGATTTAATGGCTTTAACTTTATTGAAATCTCCTTCAGAGTTTAATGCAGATGTGGTATTAGGCTCCTCTCAAAGATTTGGTGTTCCAATGGGATTCGGTGGCCCTCACGCTGCTTTCTTCTCAGTTACAAACAAGTTAAGTAGAAAGATCCCTGGTAGAATTGTTGGTGTCAGTAAAGATAGATTAGGGAACCAGGCTTACAGATTAGCACTTCAAACAAGAGAACAACATATAAAACGTGATAAAGCTACTTCTAATATATGTACTGCCCAAGCTTTGCTGGCCAATATTGCCGCCATGTATGTTGTATACCATGGCCCAGAGGGGTTGAAAAATATATCGCAGAGAATCTTTGCAATTACATCTATCTTGGCCAAATTTATCAATTCTGAAAAATCTAATTTTAAAATTCTAAATGAAAATTGGTTTGATACGTTGACAATTGAATTACCAAATGGAATCACATCTGATGCCGTACTTGAAATTGCTCTAAAAGAATATAACACAAATCTTTACAAAGTTAATGATACTACTGTGTCACTCGCAATCGATGAAACTACAACCCAAAAGGATTTGGAGACTTTAATTAAATTGTTTTCCAATGATTCTCAAATAGATATCACAAGATTAGTAACCAAGAGCAAATTTGAAGAATTCCCAACTGATTTGAGACGTTCAACTGAATTTTTGACTCAACCTGTATTTAATACTTATCATAACGAAACTGCAATGCTGAGATATATGACACGTTTACAGACGAGAGATCTTTCTTTAGCAAATTCTATGATTCCATTAGGCTCATGTACAATGAAACTAAATGCTACCACTGAAATGATTCCAATTACTTGGCCTCAATTTGCAAATATTCACCCATTTCAACCAAAATCTCAAGTCCAAGGTTACTATGAACTTACAAAGTCATTAGAATACGATTTATGTGAAATTACTGGATTCGACGCTATTTCACTTCAACCAAATTCTGGGGCTCAAGGTGAATTCTCTGGTTTGCGTGTAATTACATCATATTTAAAGGAACAAGGACAAACTCATAGAAATATATGTTTAATTCCTGTTTCAGCACACGGTACAAACCCAGCCTCAGCGGCTATGTGTGGGTTAAAAGTTGTACCAATTGCTTGCCTGAAGAATGGTTCTTTGGATTTAGTCGATTTGAAGGAAAAAGCAGAACAATATAAGGATAATCTAGCAGCTGTTATGATTACGTATCCATCAACTTACGGTCTATATGAACCAGGTGTCAAAGATGCTATTGATATTGTTCATGAGAATGGTGGACAAGTTTATCTGGATGGTGCTAACATGAATGCCCAATTAGGATTGACTTCCCCAGCTTTCCTTGGAGCCGATGTTTGTCATTTAAATCTACATAAAACATTTGCTATTCCTCATGGTGGTGGTGGTCCTGGTGTTGGTGCTATAGGTGTAAAGTCTCACTTACAACCATTCTTACCAGGCCATGACATAACTGAAATTGAAGGAGCTGGCGAAAAGTCAATTGATGCCGTTTGTTCTTCAGCATTTGGTAATTCGCTAGTACTACCAATATCCTTTGCCTTTATTAAGATGCTAGGTAACCAAGGTGTTCCTCTTGTTAGTTCCATGGCTATTCTAAATGCAAACTACTTAGTGGAACGTTTGAAGAAACATTACAAAATCTTGTTTATTGATGAAGAAGACAGAGTGTCAAAGCATTGTGCCCATGAGTTTATTATCGATCTGAGAGAGTTTAAGGACAAACATGTAGAGGCTATTGATATTGCAAAAAGGTTACAAGACTACAGTTTCCATGCTCCTACTTTAGCTTTCCCTGTTCCTGGTACATTGATGGTTGAACCAACTGAATCCGAGGACTTGAATGAATTGAACAGATTTGTTGATACAATGATATCGATCAGATCCGAAATAGATGACTTTGTTAATAATCAACCGAAGGGAATGGTTTTAAAAAATGCTCCACACTCATTGGAGGATCTACTTCTATCAAAAGATTGGGATAATCGTGGGTACACTCGTGAACAAGCCGCATATCCACTTCCTTTCCTAAGACAAAATAAATTCTGGCCTGTTGTCGCTAGAGTTGATGACATGTATGGTGACATGAATTTAATGTGTACCTGTCCTAGTGTTGAGGATGTTGTAAGCTCTCAAAAATAAATATATAAAAATGTTGTAAATTTACATAATGCATCATAACTTCATACGCATTATCATTATACTTGGAATAAAAAACTCCAACTCTAGTACCTTTTCTTCTATTTGAAGTTCGCGTGTATGTAATATCTTGATCTTCAATTAAATGAAAATATGCTAAATATTATGCTAAATTTTATATATGCTATGAGGCTAGATTAACGCCTATATTTACCTTTGTTCACCCTATTTTTATTATACTTATTCCCAGTATAACGATCTTTCTGACGTTGATTATTATTATTATTCAGATAATTACTTTTTGCAGGAATATTCTTAGAGTGAGTTTCCTTTATTTGCTTCAAAATCATTTCATCCTTATTTCTCTCGTCCTGAGTTTGTTGGAAAAACCTTGACCTCGTCTCTGTCCCATATTTCTTATTTCCCAGACTACTCGGAAATTCTGGTAAACTACTAACTTGTGTAGCTATGAGACTATTTGAGCTGTCCATAAAATCCATAGATGCATTTAACTGGATTCTCCGTTTACGTAAGTCCATGATCGTAGGCTTGATAAGTCTAAATTTATTTCTGAGATTACCTTGAACATCTGGAATGCTTATGTATTCTTCCTGAGTAGCAGGAAGAATTGTGGCTAATTTTCTTAGTAATCCGTCAGGTAAGAAATTTCTAATTGGTGGATTTGCCCTATTCGCAATTTCCAAAGAGGCCTCTCTTAATTTATTATATGCAAAAGTAATGTCATTTAATTCCTCAAGAGATTTTGTGGATGCATTGTTCGCCAAGGATATTGGTCCATTTTTACTTCTTTGAGGTTGAGTACTTTCATCATATGTAAATGATTGAATATGAGCTTTAGCGTTTGTGAATTCTGGAATATGGACGCCTCGAGTCTGATTATCATGGGAATGAAAGGAACTATTGGTGCCTCTTGTATTTGTTCTTGAGTTTCTCTGCGAGACGTTAAATTTCATGTTAACCTTCATTTTCCCATCCCTCAGTTTGTAAAAATTTGGACCAATACGTACATAACTTGAAGCAAATCCACTATTATTCATCACTGAATATTCTTGTAACACACCGATTGTAACAAGGTGGAAAAAGATTCTTTCAATCTCAGATTTCAGCATGTCTTTACCAAGCCCGTGCTCGTCCAATGTCGCATGTCCGGATTGCATCATTCTTGAGTTTCTAGATCCCTTAAATATATCCTGACAATGTATTAGAGTCACTCTATCATTTTGTATCTTTTCAATCATATTTGCTATTCTTTTAGCCGTGTCAGTGATATCTCGTTCTTCTGTTTCGAAGTTTCCCTTGTCTCTACAATTATCACAATTCTTTCCACATAGTTTAGAGTCAAAATTTTCATTGAAGTAAGATAGGATAAGTTTCCTTCTACAATCAGATAAATTATCACAATATGACATAACTTGTTGCAGTTTATCTAAATGTTTATGCCTATTTTCTTCGTCAAGGTTCTCATCCTTCTGAATCATAGTTTGAATTGTTTTAATATCCCGAAAACTAAAGTAAGTTGTACAATAAGAGTATTTGCCATCTCTTCCTGCACGACCAGTCTCTTGATAATATCCCTCAAGTGTACGTGGAACGGTGAAATGATATACGAACCTGACATCAGGCTTATCGATACCCATACCGAATGCAACAGTTGCACAAATCAAACGGATTTCATTGGATTGCCAAGCCCTTTGAACACTTAATCTATCATCTGGTTCCATGCCCGCATGGTAGAATGCACTTTTGATACCTGCATTTTGTAGTTGTGCGCTAGTTTGTTCACATGAATTTTTCGAATGGCAATATATAATTCCAGTTTGATTTTTGAATTTCGTTTTAATTTCCTGACAAATTTCGTTAATCGTATTTTTGTTTTTGGGCTTAACTGAATAGAACAAATTGGTTCTGTTAAAACTTTGTTTCAGAAACACGGGGTCCTTCAATTCCAAATTATGCTTGATATCAAGTCTAACTTGCTCACTTGCAGTTGCGGTCAAAGCCATCATTGGGATATCTGGGTATTCTCTTTTGAAAATATTAAGTTCCTTATAATCGGGTCTAAAATCGTGACCCCAATTAGACACACAATGTGCCTCATCAACAACAACCCTCGCAAGTTTACCATCACTATACAGTTTTCTGATGGCTCTCTTACATTGCTCGGAGGCACTTATCATTTCAGGGGAAATGTAAATTAGATCTAATAAGCCGTGGATAAATAAATTAAATGTCTGTCTTCTTTCCTCGGCGGTACCCTTCGAACTAAACATGCTTGCTTTAATATTCTTAGCGAGTAAATGTTCAACTTGATCCTGCATTAATGAAATTAATGGTGATATCACAATAGTAGTACCATTTGTTTTCCCGGATTTTACAACTGCCGGCAATTGATAACATAGAGATTTACCACCACCAGTGGGCATCAAGACAAAAACGTCTCTCCCGTTCAATGTTGCATTAATGGCATCTTCTTGGTTAGGTCTAAACCCTGGCAATTTGAATACTTCATGAAGCCGAAATTCTACTTCCTCTGACCACGGATATTTATGTTCTATAACGTTGTTAGGAGTAGATTCTACATTATTAGAGCCTGATTTAAGCACATCGATATCATCCAGAATAGAAAAGTCATCATCCAGATCTTCTATCAATATATCTGCTTCATGAACTTGTTCTGTGCGTTCTTGTTTAATAAGTGGAATATCATCTTTAAAGTCACTTACTTCTTCTTCGTTTAATTTTCTCTCTGCTATAATCTTTAATTCATTATCAACTTCCTTCATATTTAAGGCCTGTGTATCATTTTCTCTCTCATCATCGAACTTTTCAAGGTCACTATCTGAGAGATTATCACCTTCGTCGCTATCAGTATCTTCATCCGCATCATTCCCACCATTTTCATTAAGAATATATTCCATATTGCTGTCTATGACTGATATTGGTTCTATAAATTGAGATGGAAGTCGTGTCGATTTATTACCCGAAAGATGGATATCACCTGGATTACTCTTGTTAGCTTGGTGTTGGCTTAATGATTTTAAGGGCGAAGACATGATTATCTCAAAATTGGTATCTGTGATGCTACGTTTATCCTGTGTTTGCGTTTGTATTTCATTCGTAGTGGTAGTTGTAGCTGTTAAGAAATTACTTTCGTCAGAGAAATCTGAATCCGAATCCTCCATCACTGAATCATCCACTACAAATTGTCGATCACTATCATTCAGAGCATCATTAGCCATTTTATCTTCTGCTCTAACTGACATGATATAACTAGAGCCGAAATCATCTTCATTATCAGTTCCCTCTTGTTCCTGAGTCCGACTATGATCAATTTTTCCAACTTTATAGTCAAATGGATCATTCTTCTCTGGTATTCGATAATTAATTTTATTGTTTCTGGATCTCATAGATCTACCAGTAGTTTGGTCATCGTCATTTACGTTCTCCCCTGGTTTTGGTGATTCATCATTCTTATCATATATAATCGTAGGCTCATTGTCGTCGTCATCTTCTTCATCCAAAACTTCAATTAGTTCATCCTGTGTGGTACTTGTTGTATTACCGGGTATAGACTGAGTAATGGTGTTTGTTGACGTTCCTTGCGGTGTAGTAATCGTTGAATCCAGTTGAGAATTATTGCTATTATTGCTGCTTTGTTGTTGAGATTCCAATATATTGGATTGAGTATTTATTGGTCTGCTGCTAACTACAGATTGTGAATTTTTGTATTTCTCATATAAATTCTTTAGTTCTGTTTCTAATATTTTAATTTGAGCCTCACCTTTAATAATATGGGGATTAATCTCATTGTTTAGTTTACTTTTCTTAGAATCTTCAGATAAAGAAGTCGATTCCATAATATTACATTTAGATAATAATAAAATAGAATGAGATTTCAATATATCGATCAATTTTTTTTGTGAGTTTATAATATCCTTATTATATGGACTAGTGATAATTGCTGAAGGTAAAACTTCCTTTCTAGAATTCTTTTGAAATCTTTGTATTTGTGTTTTATTATTTAAATTTGAAGGAATACCAACATTGGGCCTTATCGCTTGTATAGATACAGTATTAGGTGTTTTGATTGCAGCTGTAATTGCAGCCGTATAATTAATATTATTATTATTATTGTTGTATTGAATGTTATTATTATTATAATTCTTATTATTATTAGGATGATTTTGATTGTTAAAAGTAGGTGTACTTGATATAATTGCCACAGGAGAAGCTGCAATTGAACCACTACTAATTGTGTTATTACTTGTAACCACATTTGATGGTTGAGGTATACTCCAAGGGATAACGGGTGATATTGGAGTGCTATTATTTGAATCCCTTACCACAGAAGAAGTTTTCTCGCCATAAGTAGTAGACCTTCGTACATTAGTATCTGTAAATGTCTTCCCCAATATCGATACTAATAAATCATGGTCCTGTTGTATAGATTCAGTTTCTTTCAACCATTTATGTTCTCTACGTAAATTATGAGATGGTTTGGTCACCATCATAGAACTAGTTCTTTAGTTGCTTCTAATTATGGACTAGTTATAAGCCTAACGAAAACGAAAACGACTGATAATAAACAAAGGAAATTAATTTGTTATCCAATAATAATAAATAGTAAGCCAAATCAGCCTGTATAAGTATCTTTATTTAATCCTAGATCAAAAAATTGGTGATATGTGTTAAATCAGTGTAAATATTTATTTATCCATTACCTCATCCATCGCATACAAAAAAAAATACTATAGTGCTATGCGGTTAAATAAATGAATTTATGGTAGTGAGAATTTCGCGTATATACACATATATATTTGAGAATCGCGTCTATCATATAGAGAGAGAAGTACATATAATTGATGAATAAACTTTTGATCAAGAAGGGCATAGTCTATTATAGTCTATACATGAGATAATGAAGTGTTGTAACAATGCATATCAAACAATTTTCTCATCTGAGTTGTCTTGTTCCATAGCGTATTCCCAACAGAAATATCATTGAAAAAAGCTTGCCAAGAGTAACAACGATAATATATATAGATCTGTTTGTTTAACAACATCGAGATCACTAGTATGAGCACCCATTACATACATACAGACGCAGTATCACAGCTATATAACTAATCCACGAGACTTTTTCTAGAAAGCACACAGAAAACAACTCTTTAAGGTGTATATCTCATATAAATTGTACCATTTTTGTGACGATGGATGATGAATAGCGAGAAACGAACAAAATGACGGGCAAAATATATAATGATTATATATTTGTTAGCTCTCGGAGGTAGGAAGAGAAGAAAAAGAAGGGCGTCGTACGTAGGGGGATTTCATTTCGTTTTGGATAGCAGTATCTGGAAAGATAGTCTTGAGCTTGCTATTATTTAAAAAGAACAATATATATTTAAGGAGCGGTAACATTGTGTTCTATCTAGATAAATATTATAAATATAGATGTTCGATTGAGTAACCTCTAAAACGAATTGTAATACCGATATTTTAAAGATGGCGAGAAATAATAATAAGAAGAAACAAAGAAATAAGAAGAATAAGAATAAAATGAGTAACTCTCAAGTGGATTTGAATGGCTCGACTGAAAATGTAGTGACTGACGATAATATAGTCGAGGATAACAGTAACGATGATAACAATACCGAACTCGAAATGGAGCAACCAATTGATAATAAAAAGGAAGAAGGAGAAGGAGAAGGAGAAGAAGTGGTAGTAGGTGCCAATCAAGTGAACACAGATCTTAATGATGCTCCTGAAACTGATTTGAATGATCTACCAGTAGAACATAAAATGAATGATGAGGTTGCAATGGGGGATGAAACTGTCAATGAAATTAGTAATGTTCCAGAAAATGAGAAAATTGCAAAGGAGGTTGAACATAATGTTACAACTGAAACAGAGGACCATTTTGAAAAGGGGTCGAATGAAAATGAGGAGGAAGAAGCAGAAGCAGAAGAAGAAGCAGAAGAAGAAATAAACATTCCTGGGTCACCTGTAATTGAAGAACAAACCACAAATATTGAGAATGGTGCAATAGAAGAATCTGTTGATACTGTAGCTACTACTCCTGCTACTGCTTCAGAAGATGCAACTGTCGAAAATAATAGCACCGATTTAGTGGAAAAAGAAAGTATTGCAATTCAAAAACAAATAAATGAAAACTTTCCTGAAGAAGAACCTGAATTTGGTATAGAACTTGATAATGCAGAAGACAAAGATAAAGAAGAAGAACAAATGCAAAAAGATGTCGCAGAATCAATGGACGATAACACAATAGAAACTGCCCAACAGAATGACGGAACAGAATCTACAATCACTTCTTCAGTTCCAGTGCTACCTCCAAGACATGCAAATACTGAGTCTACATCGCAAGCTGAACTGGCTCCTCCACCATTACCTGCAAGACAATCATCTGTAGAAGATAATGCTTCGCATGTTTATAATACAGAGCCTTTAAATCAAAAGAGTATGATCCTAAATAGATTAGATTTGACGATAAAATATTTAAAGGATAACGACAGATTTGTCGATAAACCAAAAGGAGATCTAATATCGCCACAGAACTTAAAGGATTCAATTTGGACCAATATAATAAATGATCCCGTTCAAAATATACCTATTTCAGCTGAAACTTTGGAAAATGAAATAGTGAAAGGGATTGACCCAACTTTGCGTCCTTTATTATGGAAATCTCTTACGTTAGGGTATTGTCGTGATTGGGAACCAATATACAAGGCTCTTGTTGGTAGAACAAGTATTCAGAATAAATATGCTATTGTGTCTGAAATCAAAAACTATCAAGACTTACAAGAAAATGATATCGATTCTATTTACAACGCCATTTCTGCATTAGTATCACTGGATTCTACAATCCAACCTACACCCCAATCAATAGCATTGGCAGTGGCAATATATAGGGTATATGAAAACGAACTAGATGCCTTTGATGTGATGGTGACATTGTTAAAAACATATGAGGGTGCAGCTTTGTACTCAGAAAACAGTGAGACTCTTGCAATGTTACTATATCAGTTTGATAGATTACTGGAAGAAAACTGCCACGATCTATATACGCATCTGATCAAGAAGGGGCTTCGCTCTTCAATGTTTGCCGCTGATTGGCTCTTAAGCAGTTTTGCATCGGTACTACCTTTGAATTATATTCCTCAGATCCTAGATGTAGTTATTCTTGAAGGTATACCGGCTCTGCTGAAGTTTTCATTAGCTTTAATGATGAAGAATGAAGATATCTTGTTACAACTCGAATTTGATGATCTGTTTTTCTACTGTAGGAAAAGACTATTTGAACCATACCTATTAAAGGGTGCTTTAACTGATGAAAATGGAACCATTGCGGATAATGAGGAAAATGAAGATGCAAATGAAGAGAGTGAAACATCTAGTGTTGAACATACGAGACTTGTTGTATTAAGAAATGATAACTTTGATATCCAACAATTCTTAGTTGACGCGATCGAGAAGACAAGGATTACACCAGAATTAATAAATCGTTATAGTGACGAATATGTGGAGATCCATAGAAATGAGCTTGCCCAAGAGGAACAATTTCAACAGATGAGAGATGAAAATTCTAAATTACAGAACGAAGTACGTGAATTAGAGAGGGATTACACTTCGCTAAATAGGGAACACGTCACAATAGCTAACGAGCTATTACAAAATGATATAAAAATTGAAGGTGTTACGGAAGCAAATACGAGGATGAAAATGGAAATTTTACAATTGAGAAAGCAATTGGATACACAGATACAGAAAAATAATAGTAATAGCAGTGTTCTAGTCCCTAGTGATATCCAAAAAGATTTAGAAATGACCTTAAAAAAGAATGGTAAGGTCATGCAACAAAACTTAATTTACCAAGATCGTATAACTACTCTAGAGAAACTGATAAGTGACATAAAGACAGCTACTGCTGAAGGAATCGATTATGATGCTGCCAATGGCATCTCATCTGGCGCATTTAAAAGTCCACTTCTCTCTGGTGGATGGACTGGTTTCAAAAAAGTCTTTAAATAGAATTAATTTAATTCGTATACAAACAATTTACATAATTAATTATATAGAAATCAATTCTAGTTTATCAGCTCCTTTGTAAGAATACTCACCTAAAGTGGTATGTACAATTAGGGTTTAGGTTTATTATTGTTAAGGGGTGTACGGATGTTATGGATGATTTCTTGATGAAGGCCGATTGGAATTCGACCAATTTGAAGTATAGTATAAGATAAAGGGAGTATAGCTAAAACAACAACAGAACAACTAAGAAACCCAACAAGAAAAGCTATCAGGTCAAGTTGCGAGAATTCAAATATGAATGTATTAAAGGATTACTGTAGTAAGAGAACCTTTTCCTCTGTGTCTTCTGTCGCGAAACAATGGAAGTTAGTAGAAACAAGAAGGATTGCAGTTCAGCCAGATTACAAAGTAGGAGATCCCAAACCCCATTATGTTCCAAGAAGAGATAAAAAATTCCCTGATTACAAATTTGGTGATCCCACCGTTTTTAAGAGAAGTGCTAAGGGTTTATTTGGAGGTTCTTTTATTCAATTTGGTAATAGTATATCAGAAAGTAAACATAAAACTAGAAGAACTTGGCTTCCAAACATCGTTAAAAAAGGATTATGGAGTGAAGTGTTGAACAAGAAGATTGACATAAAATTAACAGCTAGTGTTCTTCGAACCATCAGTAAGGAAGGTGGGATTGATAACTATCTGATAAAGGATAAACCTGCCAGAATTAAGGAGTTAGGACCTGCTGGCTGGAAATTACGTTATAGTATATTAAAAGAGAAGGAAAGAAGAAGTAAGGATTACTTAAAAGACATGCAAACGATGAAGGGTAAAGATGGCAAGGATGTAGTTATCTACTATGATGGAATCATCAATGGCAAACCTCTAAAAATCACGAAGAGTAAGAATAGTCTGTTAAGTTTATTATTCCCATTGGAGAAATTGGAAAAACGCGCTGATGGTATCGTCATTACCAGAAAATCATATAGTGATTTATATTACGGTTGTACCATTGAACAGGTTTTGAGTAAATTAGACGAATATAATTTCGATCTATCTGCTGTATCGTTACAAGAAAATTAATGAGATATGTGGATATCTGATTTATAAGAATCTTGTACAGGAATGCAAATGTCGTGAAATACATGTAAATAAGTAAATATCTGTATAGCAAGAAATAACATTATTATTATAATTAAAGTTGCTTGTTTACGCATGGGGGTATCCTATGAAACTAGAAGCATTTGTGACTGTTTTTGTGCATCCGTACATCTTTTAAAGAAAACAACTTTTTTTTGAAATATATTTATTTTTTTATATTTGTTTTTTATTTTTCTGTTTCGGATTGCATACAATTTTCGAGTAAAACTGGAAGATAACGGACCGCGCAATATTGAAACTTTCAATCTCTACTCTTATACAAGAACCTCACTTATTAAAGAACAGTATATTGAATTCTGCTATCACAATAAACAGAACCATATACAAGTATAACAAAAATGGCTGTCAAGACTGGTATGTAGTAGACGATAGAATAGCAATAATCGCATGAATAAATTATGGATGGACTTTGAATGGAATATATGACCAGATGTTTAGATAATATCCAAAGGAGACTATGAACCTGTATTAGAAATTGATACACATTATTTTAATGAACTACGAAATATTTGATATAATATTAGGACATCTCTAGATACCTTTTTAATCGATTGTAAGAGTGGATAATGCAATAGATTAAATAATTGAATTTCCATTCTAAGGCATCTCAATCAGATATGGGTTATTTATATTACATATTGAACCAAATTCAAAGAAAATTTACCATATTTCTCAAACGCGCCCTGTTATTATCATACAATATAATTGAAAGATTATACGGTTGAATGCATATAAATATGCAAGACGTTACTTAATTTTCGCAATACTAACAATATTAAAATAACAATAATTAATCATTCAAATTATGAATGGTTTATTGTCGTACTATAATTTTTTACAGGTATCGCTGTTGGTTTGAACAAGGGTAAGCAAGTTACTGCTATGACCCCAGCTGCTAAGATTTCTTACAAGAAGGGTGTTGCTTCTAACAGAACTAAGTTCGTCCGTTCTCTAGTCAGAGAAATCGCTGGTCTAGCTCCATATGAAAGAAGATTGATCGATGTTCTAAGAAACACCGGTGAAAAGAAGGCCAAGAAGATTGCCAAGAAGAGACTAGGTTCTCTAAAGAGAGCTAAGGCTAAGGTTGAAGAAATGAACAATGTCATTTCTGCTTCTCGTCGTCATTAAGCGATGTATAGGAATTTTGTAATAATTTAGAATGAAAATATATTAAAAACTCTGGTTATTAATTATTAATTAATTATCCATATTTGTTATTTTTATATTTTTTTTTTGATTTTCACGTTCATTTTTTCTCTTCTTACATTCTTTATCATAATTATTATTAAAGGATACTGGTATATCATGATATTCATTAATATAATCACCAATATAAAAATAAATTAATCTCAATAGTTATATTTTCAAGTATTATTTTTTCTTTGCTTCTGTGTATTGTTTATTTACAGGACGGAAATAATGTAGTATATAAGCTTATTATTAATTATTTGTAATGGTCGTAATTTCTAGTTAAACCTCAGTGAAAGAAGACCAGTTACAATAAGAAGCCATGACGTAATATTGGTAGTATCGATGTTCTTAATACGTGCTAAAAAGTTTGGTATATTAAAATATTTTACAAGCCCTGAATAAATATCTGTAACATTTTTCAGAGTTACCCTCTAACTAATTTTTTTTTTTCGTTGATTTTTTTTTACGCTTTTTCATTTTTCATGGTTTAATATATGCATATAAAAGGAGAGGTGCTGGTCCAAATTAATAAAAGATAATTATTATAAGTTTTATTTCTAAAATTATTTATTTTATAACTTTTTTTGCTAAAGAGGGTACAATGTTTTTCAATTTAGACGCCCAGAGTCACGGTTTGTACGGGATGAAATAAGCCAGTGGACCTATACTTTTTATTCGTAAAATGGTACGGTGGGGTACTAGCTACTTCACTGTCGTGCTCGCGGCAGATCTTAGATAAATTTTCATTTTTAATCTTTCATCTAATGGAAGTGGAATGAGAAGTCTGAAAAGTATCTACACTAGAACTGTGAATTAATATAAGTTATGATTAGATATTTCTTCATGCACATTTTTACCTTTCTTTTAACGAAAAGTTATTTGTTTGTATGTCTTGCATACATATATAGATTTGTCCAATGATTAAGGTTAAGCCTTTTGAAGAGGTTGCAATTGGGAATTGTTTTCTCCCATTTATCAATTATTCATTATATGGTGGAGCCAAGAAAGTGTTTGTAGATAAAAACAACAACAACTATCAGGCCAAATAAAAAAGATAGTTCCAATCAAAACCCCTATCTACTAAGTACTGTAATCTTAAAATGTCTACACGTAGCAATTACAATCAGTCCTTACTAATAAGAACGATTTAATTATATATAAATAAAAATTAAGCGACTCGTTGGAAGTATTTGTTACTGCTACAAATAGGTAAGATTCAGTTGCTATCTAAAACATTGAATACAGTTAACTTTTCCTTATATTTCCTTTGTTTATTATTTCAAACTTTCAAGCTTGAAACTTTCCACCATATAAAGAAATGCAAGGATATACAGGGAGAGAGACTCCTCCCCCTCTCAGTAATAAACAATCCGAGGTAGAGAGGGAGAGCCCTTTCCCCTCTCTTTCTACAATATTTTATGGTATGTAATTAACAAAAACAGTTCATAATATGATTGTATATCCGACAGGGTAACTGTGATAATATACACCCGTGTAAAAACAATAGTAATAGTAGTCTTTTACATCACGTGGGATATCATTATAATTATAATTATAACATTTCCTTCTCTTCATATACCAACGAGTTCATCTTGTTTAATTGTATTATATCGTTGCAATATCCAAAAGAATGACCACTTGTATCTGTTAAATTATAGTACATCACGCTGTGGCCAAACGTTTGGTTTCTTATTATTAGCGCCGCAAACGACAGTAGTACTATATCATAAACCACGAGGGCAAATCGTTGTTATTTTCATCATTAAAAGGGACTAACGTGTCGCCAAATCCAGGGGGGGTCTACCCCACATGGGAATAAGTAAACAAACTAGTACTGCACAACATTATTATTGCCATTATTAATATTACCCACGGAGGACATAACGCCTGAACAATTTACTCTAACACGAAAAATAAAAATATACGCAACAAGGAGAGAGAGATCTCACAATATACATAGTAAAGAAAGAAAATATTCAGGTTATACCCGCGAAATTTTCTTTAAATTACGCTTAATATAAACTTTTCTATGCACACCACCACAAATTATACCAAACGAGACCGGTTTCAACTTCATACGAAATAAATGAATAGATAAATAATATACGAACATACTATATCCACTTTAAACTCGTGGTAGCACACGTTTCTTGTGGGTGCATAATAAAACCACCACAGTTTTTCTTATAATTAGCAGCAATATTTGTTTATTGACCGCACGAGGTCAAAAAAACGATACCGAAAGAAAGAAAAAACAACTCATGTGGCTTTCACCCGGTTCTCCACACATTTATTATCACGTTGCCGTAATAATAATACTGAACCACGTTTTGTAAAGAATAACCAGAGACAAATAGAGAGGGAGACGGGGGGAAACGATAGAACGTGAAGGAAATCGAATAAGAAGAAGGATAAGAATGCAATACAGTATAATAAAATCCCTTAGTAATGGATGCATTTTTAATGTAAAAATTTAATTTTCTAGATTCTCACTATTATTATTATTATCATCTGAGGATGTTAAACACATGTTCTCCATTTTACATGCATATGTAGATTGTTATTATTGCTGTATTAATTAATAATAAAGGAATGCGTTAAATAATTAAATTGGTTTATTTGTAGACTAAAGATAGTGAACAGAGTGAAAATTTTATTTCCTTTTACTTGCATTATTAATGAACTCAAATATCGTATTTTAATTATTATCATCAACATTCCGTGTTTATCTTTCTTTATGTTCGTGCATGCATGGGTCATACGGAACACCTGGTTTATTTCAATTTATTATGATTAGATAAACTGATTCGTTAAAGAATGATCATATCAAAAGAATTATATATATAAGAACAAGTTTGATTTAATTCAATCTATATATTCTTCAGTTTTGACTTGTATTTTGACTTAATTAAATTAATTATAGTTTATACCTTAAACCACATAACATATTATCATAAACCATTAATATAAATTAGTTATATATATCTGTGTGATTCTAACTAATATTATTTCACATTCATTTAATTTTTATTATCATTAAACTGATTCCATTCACTTAAATTTAAATCACTTTTATTTTATTTTATTTGAAAATAATAATAATACTAAACTATTACATACTACAAACTTACAATGTCACTAATTAAAGATAGTCTCAACAATAATACTACTGCTACTACTAGTACGATAGATGATAATAATATGTTTGCATTATCATTTGCAAATCATCCAATGGATTTAATAAGTAATACTGAAAATCCACCAGATTTACTGGATTCAAATAATAATGGAGATTCTTTCCATGAAGACTTCATTATGGATTTAGATACTTATAATAATGATATTAATAACAATAGTAATAATAATAATAATAATAATTACAATCCTACAATTATTACACCTAACGTTAATTTTATCACTGGCGGTTTTGAAAATTATGATGTTGGTCAAAATATGAATAACAGAGAAATTGAATCTAAAAATCAAAATAATTTATTATCAAGTACTAAAGGTTCTTATGAAAATATAATAGATTCATATGCAAACGTCGCTCAACAAAATTATAGATTATGGCTGTCATCGTTTTAATAAGATTGATATAATTAATCACATCACTTCATACCACTTCATCACCCTCCATACTAAGATATTATTCCATTCATTATTCATTCTCACTTTCCTATAAAAAGAGGAGTCTGTATCAACAAACACATATTTACAAACATCCATTCATGACCAACAACACATTTTAACGATAATTTTACAAATATAATTTTTTTTTGAAACTTTTTTTTTTTAATTAAGCAATTTTTTTAGATTTTTTTTTATTAGAAAGGATCCAGATGATATTATTTCATTAATTCATACTTATTTTAAATTCCATCTTTTTATTCATCGTATATATACATTACTAGTATACATCGATATATATAGATATTTTCTGTAACTAATGATAATAATTCATCTTTTCTAAAGACTGTTATATCTAACTTTCTGTATTAAATATACACGATTAATACACATTATATAACTAGATGGATTCATTATCAATTAAGTATGAAACTCAAATCGACTTAATATTTCGCCTTTATCTTTATCTTTATCTATCACTTAATTTATATCTCCTTGTTCTTAAATCTACATTTATATTTTCTTTTTCCAACCCCTCCTTCCCCCGCCATCCCTTAAAAAATTAATAAAGGAAGAAATTAAATAATAATGAATTGATAATGAATTAACCACCAAGTTCTTACATATCTATATATAAATAACAGGGATATCAGAGTATACTTTTTTTTTAGTTAATAACACATATTCACAATTATTTATTTATCTTTTTAAGAAATAGTCTTACTACTAATTGAGAACGTTCAAAGACATCAGTCATAACAGCAATAAAAAAGAAAAGAAAAGAAAAATCATTATGAATCAACAATTAATTGACTCGACTGTCGAAGAAAAAAGATTACATCAGAACAAGAATCACGAGAAGTTTTGGTATAGATGGGGTCCCTATTTAAGTGAAAGAAGTTGGGCTACTGTTCGTGAAGATTACTCCTTTAATGGTGACGCCTGGACTAACTTCCCCTTCGAACATGCTAACGCTAGAGTCTTCAGATGGGGTGAAGATGGTATCTTCGGTGTCTCGGACAATAAACAATTGGTCTGTATGAATGTTGCTTTATGGAATGGGAAAGATGAAAGGTTAAAAGAAAGAATGTTTGGGTTAACAGGTCCTCAGGGGAATCACGGTGAAGATGTCAAAGAATTATATTATTATTTGGATAATTTACCTTCTCATGCTTATATGAAGGCTCTTTACAAATATCCTTTCAAGAAACCTTTCCCATACAAAGAATTGGTAGAAGAAAATGGGAGACGTGGTTATGAAGATCTAGAGTATGAAATTTATGATATAGATGGTCTATTCAAGGATTCAAAAACTGGTGACAGTCCTTATTACGATGTCTTTTTTGAAATGGCTAAAGATGATGAAAATTCTGATGAATTGAATTTTAGGATCACAGTACATAACAGAAGTGAGAAAGATACCGGCGAACTATATATTATGCCTCAAATATTTTTCAGAAATACTTGGGCTTTTGAAAGTACTAATAAATGTGTGAAACCTGTTCTCGAAAAGGATTCAGAGGATTCAAATTTAATTCACGTTAAGCATCCAAAATTCGGAGAAACTCAAATTGTTTTTCAGCCATCTCCAGGTGGTTTCGGAGAGGACGATGCGGATGAAGCTGAAGATATTGACCCCGAATTGCTATTTACTGAAAATGAAAGTAATTTAGTTAAATTATTTAAAGAAAAAGAAAATCCATCAAAATACACTAAGGATGCCTTTGAAGAATATTTGGTCAACGGCGATAAGAAAGCGGTCAATCCAGAAAATGTGGGTACTAAAGCTGGCGCTTGTTATCATTTCAAAAATATTCCTCCTGGTGAATATGTTACTGTAAGATATAAGTTTACTGATGATTTCAAGAATAAGATTTATCATGTCCCTGGAATGGCAGTGGTTGATGAAGATGAATTTGATCAAACTTTTGATAGACGTGAAGAAGAAGCCGACAACTTCTACTGGAGGATTAATCCTTTACCAGTGAGTGAAGAATTGAGATTGATTCAAAGACAAGCAATGGCAGGTCTTTTATGGACGAAACAATTCTATAACTTTGTCTGGAGAGAATGGTATAACGGTGACAGGAACGCTAAGGTTAAACCGCCTCCAAATAGAGCTAATGGTAGAAACAAAAAATGGCAACATATGTATATCGAAGATATTCTTTCAATGCCTGATAAATGGGAATATCCATTTTTTGCCTCTTGGGATTCTGCTTTTCATTGTATCCCATTAGCTATGATTGATCCAGAATTTGCTAAAAAGCAATTGGATTTATTAACCAGAGAATGGTATATGCATCCAAATGGTCAAATTCCTGCATATGAATGGAATTTTAATGATGTTAATCCTCCAGTTCATGCATGGGCAACATATCGTGTATTCAAAATCGAAAGAAACTTGTATGGTCGTGAAGATCGTCCTTTCTTGGAATCTGTTTTCCAAAAATTACTCCTGAATTTCACTTGGTGGGTCAATCGTAAAGATGGTAACGATAACAATGTCTTCGAAGGTGGTTTCTTAGGTTTAGATAATATCGGTGTTTTCAATAGATCAGAACCTTTACCAACTGGTGGTACTTTAGAACAAGCAGATTCTACCGGGTGGATGGCTTTCTTCTCTTTACAGATGCTAAATATGGCATTAGAACTGGCAAAGGAAAACCCAGTTTATGAATCTATTGCCTCTAAGTTCTTTGAACATTTCATTTTAATTAGTGATTCGATGTCATTTGAATATACTGTGGAAGGTGATGAGAAGGGTTGCGTTGATTTCATTAAGCAAAATTTGTGGAACGAAAAAGATCAATTCTATTATGACGCTATTTCTTGGGGTGACGATAATAAACAGCAATTACCAATTAGATCTCTAGTTGGTTTAATCCCATTGTATGCTGCCATGACTCTAGAACCTGGTATTATTAATCGTTTCCCATCTTTCAAGAAAAGAGTTGATTGGTTTGTTGAAAATAGACCAGAAATATTTGGTAGAAATATTGCATCGATGTCAAAGAGAGGTGTTGGTGAAAGATTGTTATTATCTTTGGTGACAAAGGAAAGATTACAAGCTATTTTAACAAGAATGCTAGATGAAAATGAATTCTTCTCCGATTATGGTATTCGTTCCTTGTCCAAATTTCATGAAAAACACCCATTTACAATGGAAGTTCACAACTCTGAATATGAAGTTAGTTATTTACCTGCAGAATCAAATTCTGGTATGTTTGGTGGTAATTCTAATTGGAGAGGCCCAATTTGGTTCCCAACATCGTTCTTACTTATTGAATCATTACAAAGATTTTACCTTTACTATGGATCTGATTTTAAAGTTGAATGTCCAGTTGGTTCTGGTGAGTACTTGAATCTTGTTGAGGTTGCCGAAGAAATCGCTTATCGTATGATCTCGATGTTTATTAAGGATGAAAATGGTGAGCGTGCTATCTACTATGGTGAACATTCCGACCTGTTGTCGAATGATAAAAATTTCAAGGATTATATATCCTTCTATGAATATTTTGATGGTGATACTGGTAGAGGGTTAGGTGCCTCTCATCAATGTGGTTGGACTGCTGTTGTCGCTAAATTGATTAATGATGTCGGTTTATCATGCGCTAGGTTGCCACGTACTCCAAGATCATCTGTCTCATTGTCATCCGCCACATCTCCATCCTTAACCGAATCTCCAATAGTAGATGGTAACCAAAGCAGAAGATGGGCAAGACGTAAGAGTGCTAAATCATTGGTTAATTTTACCGCTAATATTCTGGAATTGTCAGAAGAGGAAAAGAGAACACACAGGATCGGTGGTACCAAGACTGGTCTAACACCAAGGAATAGTATTTCTAGCGATCTTGCTAAAGAATTGATAGATAGACAAAACGAAGAAGAAAAATTACTAGATGTACATTCTTCCGATGAAGAAGAACATTTAGAAATTAAGTCCAATTTGGTTAATAATTTAAAGAATGAAATAGGTGACATTTCGTTGGAAGATAGAACTATATCTTATGAAAATATTGATGATTCTGCTTACGATAGCGACGGTAAAGATCCAATGACAAAATAGTCTTTTTATGAGTTAAATATCAATATAAAATAAATACTAAATATGTACATTATTCTACAATTTTGTATAATAGAGTAATCAAAAATAACGTTACTTGGTTTGCGTTGCGTAGAAAAAATTTATCACAGTAAATTTTATATATATCTTTATATTATTACCAATATTCAGATGCTTTAAATGTGTCTCTAATTTAAAATCCTTCACTACCATTAAAACCATTAAAGCCTGTTAGGAGGAATATATTGAAATACTTTTTCTTAGCTATTTCATTGCAATGATTCCAAGCAGATGTTAATCTACCATCAATGCAGGAACCACTCATATAGAAATTATCAGCACCTGAACCATCGAACATGTGTGCAAATGCATCTTGAAGAATAGTTAATTTTAAATCGTCAACTGAACCGTATTCTTTATTGATATAATCTAGAATATATGGATCATTTTTAACAAGCTCATTTATCTTTAATAACGTTTGATCGAATGGAATCAATATGCTTGGAACTTGTGTATATTTATCAAGGAAAAAGAGAGCATTTGGTACCGCGTCATCTCCCAAGTGAACGACAGAGGAACCGATCCAAGTTTCAGTTCTTGATCTACATTCAGTTAGGATCTTATGCATTTCTCTATAAATACCTGGGCATGGTTTTATACGGTTAAGACCATGTCCAGTAGATGTTAGTCTGTATGCAGAACCATCGAATAAATCAGAATCAGCAATATACCAAAGATGGATCATCTCTCTTTGAATAATTGACCAAATAGTTAGTGATTGTTGTACGTAGTGCCATTGCCTCTTATGATCATGCGTTAAACGTGCACCATCTCTACCATATTGAATCCCAATGGAATATTTTGTTTCAACTTCTGGTTGGAGGAATACTTCTAACCTTTCTAGCATTCTCATTACCGGTTTTCTGTTCATATTTACAAATGCATTGTAATCACCAATTGAATAAAGTACTTGACGGATATCATCCTTGGAGTACAGTGAACTAGAGTATTTCGATGCTAATGTTTCAATGGCTTGTTCCTTTTGTTTAATTAGTTTATTAATGTAAGATCTTGTTTTCCCTACTGGAGATATATGGCTTGTTGCATAGAATATCATGGTATCGTCAAACAGATCCATAGGGTTCTTATCCGTCACATCTCTTGACGTAAGGAATGTTTCGACAGTCTGGATAGGCTTGAAAAGATGAAATTCCATATGGTCCTCAATTTGAGGTAATCTAGAATCCATAACCATATAACAAAGTTTACCGTAAGTATCTCTCATTCTCTCAGGGTTCATAATTTTGTAACGTCTCCCGATTTCAAATACATCCTGGAACCATTTGGCATTATCAGAGAAATTTCTCATTTCTAAAAGTTTTTTACCAATTTTTAGATTGGATGCAATAACTAAACCAGTCAAGACAGAACAAATCTCTTTTAATTGATCTACGATTCTTTTAGATTTTGGTCTGTTTGAAAGAATATCAACACGATCTGTATATTCAGATACTTGTAATGCAGCCTCTAACAATCTTAAAAGATGTCTCTCGTCGTAAGACAATCTCATAGGTATGAATTTAGCATTACCTCTCAATATTCCGAGAAGTTTTTCATTCATGGAGTTTGCATTCTCTGGGATTGACTGAGGGTTTGGAGTTTCTTCTTGCGCATTATCATTTAGTTCACCATTGGCAGAATCTTGAACAGTCTTTTGTTCTTGCTCACTTTGGTTTGAATCTTCTTTACCATTATCGGTTTTAATTTTCATATACTCATGAAATTTACGCTTACCTCCTCTATGCAACATTTCAAAACAAACCACACAAAAATGCTCATCACAATCCTTACATAGAATCTCAGTCTTCATATCTTTACATTCAATACAGAACGATGGATCAACTACCTCATTTGACTCATCTGCTTCATTAATATCATCGTTTTGCTCTTCGACTTCAGAATCACTATTTTCCACATATTCCGAGTCTAATATTTCCTTTAGTGATCTTTTAGAGCTCATTATTGGAGTGTCTTATGAACTTATTATTAAATTATGTCTTGGTACAGATTTTGAGTTACTACCATATGTATTTTAATTGCATTGTTTCATAACTGCATTTCTCTTCAACGGCATGTTCGAGTCTTTTCCCCATAAATTAACTAATCTCTGTCTGCTCTTAAAAAATTAAAAAAAATTCGATTCCGCAACCTTTTCAGTGACATCATAAATAACCATTGTTTGTTAAAAAAATCTTCTTAAAATTGGTTGGTTTATAAAAATGTATAAAAGGCAATCTATATGACACCAGGAAAAAAATAATATATATATTAAAAATAATTTCAAAGAGTGGCTGGTACTTCAGGGTATCTGAAGTCTTTAAAATGTGATTCCAAGTACTTAGAGTGGATAACGTTTTCGAACCATTCAGTAATTGATTTGTGTTCATTTCTCCATTCCTTACCAAATATGAAGGCGAAACCTAGTTTTAAACTAGTGGCGGTAATTAAGTCAGCAATAGTTATTTCATCCCCAGTCAAATACTTTTGGGTGGCTAGTTTCTCTTCGAATATCTTGTAAAAGATACTTAATTTTTCTAAATATTTTTGTTCGAGAGTATTGTCGTAAGGCAACATACCAATATAAGGCTTCACATAACCTGCTAAAACATTCAAAACATCAGAACCACTAAATGAAGCAATGCAGTTTATGTTGGCTTGATGAATCAAATCATCTGAAGAACCAAGCAATTGCTTGATTTCAACATTGTTACCAGTAGAACGTATTAAGTATTCATTAACAGCGAGTTGTTCAAAGAATTTAGATCCATCCTTTAATTTCACAGCTGGGGTTGTTTTGACAGGGAAGTCTTTAACATATTTTTCTTTTGCTTCATCGATTTCAACAATATTGAAATCCAAATTGAAGTGGGAAATTAAACATTCTGGAACAATAGTTCTGATATACATATCATGAGTGTAAAGAATGTTTCTTGTAGTGGACATTTTCATTATTTTGTAGCTTTGGAGGGAGTTAGATGGTAAATCTGGTCTTGTTGTTATTGTCTTATATCAAGAGAGTATCTAATTGAATCACAAGTATTTGAATAATACATAGAATTTTGATGCCCTATATACGTTTATTTATTAAATCTCGAAGATTTCTGTTTAACCTCGGGTTTATAAAGTTACTAATTCAGACCTGACTAATAAATGTTTATTCATATTACGAATAATAATTTAATGTCAGCATCAACGTTCCTGATTTAGTCAAGTCTCATTCTGACTACAAATCACATGACCTAACAATACTTCTTCGCCTTTCAATTTTTCTGCGAATCTTTGTTAGTCCGTTTGCTTATTCAGTTACATTGAAAATTACTAATACCGTGACAAAGCGACGCCTATTGATTAATAATGAAAAGAAACTGAATTAGCTAATAGGGTATGACAGTGGACAGGTATTTTGACAGAAAAATCAGGTACAGATTTTAATGATAACTTCTTGACTTAGTCAGTTAAAAAAACGTTTCCTAGGTGATGGAGATTACAAATATCCTGACACATTATCTCTTGTTTTTATTTCAGTGAGCATCATGTACTGATCTATGATATCAATTCCTTTAATTTGCTAAATGCTTGGGTACCTTAAATTTGGGAGGTTTCAAACTTTATTTGTTTATATAAATACCGATTCCCAATAAGAAGAGTGTCCTAGACCACATGATAAATAAATAAAATAGTCTTCTTTAAAAAAATTCGAGTTCAGAACAAGAAATGTGCTGTTAATATTGGATATTTAATTAATTATTACAAATATATAAGGATTAATACTGATATATATGTATATAATAAGCCCAATAAATACGAATTAATCCCAAGAGTAGGAGTAAATATTATTGTAAGAGATAAGAAGAAGGAAAGTATGGTCACTGAATCAGACCTTGATAAACCCAATAATTTAAGTGACAATGAACATGAATTAGAAGTTATCATTGAACCACCTCCAGATGGTGGTATCTTTGCATGGTTGCAAGTTGTTGGATCTTTTATATTGATATTTTGTACTTGGGGTTTGACAAATAGTTTTGGTGCTTATCAAACCTATTATGAAACTGGTGAACTATTTACTGAGACATCTTCTAACATCTCCTGGATTGGGTCTATTCAAGCTTATTTGTTAATGCTTGTTGGCATTTTAACAGGTCCCCTCTTTGATCGAGGTTACTTTAGGGCATTACTCCTTGTAGGTTCTTTTTTCATTATTTTTGGGATAATGATGAACAGCCTTTCAACTCAGTACTACCAAGTTATGTTATCACAAGGTATTTGTATGGGTATTGGCATGGGTATATTGTGGGTTCCAAGTCTCGGTATATGTATGCAATATTTTCAAAAATATAGGTCTATTGTCATTACCTTAGCTGCTAGTGGTGGTTCGATTGGTGGCGTTATTTTCCCCATAATTATTAAGAGATTGATACCAAAAATCGGATTTGGTTGGACCTGCAGAGCGATTGGATTAATATGTTTTGTTATGTTATTTACCCTGGCAAGTATTATGAAACAAAGAACTCTTCCTGAGACTCATAGGAAAATTTTATTGTTAAATTCTTTTAAGGAACCGGCTTATCTATTTTTAACAATAGGTTTATTTCTGTCATTCACTGGTATTTATATTCCGTTTTATTATATTTCATCATATGCAAATAGAATTGCTCATACAAGTGTAAATCTAAGTTACTATATGATTAGTATCATTAATGCTAGTTTAAGCGGTAGAATTGTTCCAAATTATTATGCTGATAGAGTTGGGCCAATCAATACTATGATATTTGCTTCTTTAATTAGTGGGTTGTTGGCTTTGGTGTGGATTGGGATCAAGAATACTCCTGGTTTAATAGTATTCTCTGTATTATATGGTATTTCTAGTGGTACAGTAGTCTCATTGCCACCTTCTGCTATAAGTTCGGTGACCGATGATATTACAGAAATTGGTAGTAGGTTAGGTACAGCTTTTTTTTTTGCAGGGTTTGGTACACTAATTGGTAACCCTGTTGCAGGTAAATTGATAGACGTAGATAAGCGAGAGTTTTATAAAGGCCAATTATGGAGTGGTGTCATGATACTGGGATCAACCTGCTTCTTAACGCTTGCCCAATATTTTAAAAGAAGAACAGAGAGATATCAATTTCATCTCGATCCTAGGTCCAGTATAGCAAAAAAATTGTAATATATATATATATATATATATATTGAAGATGTGTAATCTAAATATACTCTATCGGATTTGAAGTCCAATATAAATTTAAAAATTATTTGATATATAACAATATGAGAGTTTTAGAAAAAAGATGTTTTTTATTAATGAACTAGAAGGTACTTAGAAAGAATATTTAGAAAATATATATACGTTTTAAAATATATCTAGGCGATAACACAGGCTGGATCCCAGAATACACCCTTGACAATGTAGTTGTCCTTCTTTTCAGAGGAGTTGTTCTTTTGAGAAGCGGAAGTGGAAACAGTAGTTGGTTGCATTTTTAAAAATTGGGTTTTGAGTAGTTGATTGATTGTTGTTGATGTTGTTGTTGTTGTTGATGGAGTTTTGTTTTGTAATATAAATTGTAAAGTATAAACTGAAAGAAAAATAACGATTATTGTAAAGAATTACTAGTCCTTATATATGAAATTTTTATCACAACATCAGGTATATTAAACTTATTAAAAAGGTAATTCAATTTCAAATTATTAACAGTTAGTCAATCTATTACTATTTTGTTTATACTTATCGTTTCATCTTCAATTTTCTGACAGCATGTATATATCCTAATCGGGTAATTACATGAAAAGAGGTTAGAGCCTCAAAAAAAAAAGAGAGTTAATGGATTAAGAAAGGCAAGGACAACGCCTGCCATAAACATCCTATGTATGAAAAATAAAGTAGAAATCCATAAGTTATATCTACTATTCTCAATGTTTGTGCATTTGCACATAAGTGTGAGACTAGTACAGGAGTCTTATAGTTATATAATAAAACTACGCATATGTACGAAGGAAATATAATATAGGATATTCTAAGTTTTCATTACCTTTTTGGGAGATGAAGACCATTAATTAAAATGATGATAATATCCCTGTCGGTTTATAGTGAAGAAATCATTTTATTATTTTTGAAGTGTTAAAGTTAATAAAAAGTAGCAACCATGATTAATAACACATATACTATTGACTAAGAAAGTTTTCAGTGGTATTATGAAGTTGGTATCAAAACTGCAAAACCTTGTATTTCCTTAAACGGACATACTCTTTTTCTTATTATTATGTTTTATGTTCTCTATTTTTGAGGTTTAGTTCAGTAACAAGGCCCGCTGTCGTATGATAATAGGGGGAAGCTTCGAATGCACTACATATCAATTTTAAAAATTAAAGCTTGCAAATCATTAGTCTATTCGCTTATGGTAATCTCTTATTTCAAAATTATGTACTTTTGAGTTTATGTAATATCAAATAAATTTTACTATAGTAAGTTCCGCATGGTACGGAAGCATTTGTTGACCTAGCGAACAATGAAAAAACAAAAACAAAAACAAAAATAAATAAATTAAAAAATAATACTCAAAACATATTTGTTTGTAGGGAACGTAAATAAAACTGAGAGTGATCCCTAAAACTTTTTGAGATTACACCATAGTGAAGTTATACCATTCGTCAGAATTAGAATGTATGGTAAGAATAATGATTATAGCGAACCTTCGAACATAATAATTGGCTACAACAACCAACGAGGAAAAATTACGAATGATATCAGAAGGATAATACGAAATACATTATTGTTTGTGATAATTTGTTTATTGCTCAAGAAATTTGCAAGTAACGGTTTGCCTTCGTGGTATTCCATGAGAAGTAGTCCCCTGAATGTTACCTCCATAGAGAATGGTGGAACAGGTATAATATTTGACGAATCCTTAACAGATTTTGATGATTACAATGTAGTAAATGTCCAGAGATTGGCTGTTTTCATTACCATATGCCTTGCATTTATGGTTCCTTTCTTCTTTTAATTTGTCTTTATCAGTGTTAAAGGGATAATGAAGGTAAATGTTTCATACTGAAGTAAGCGAAGATGTAATTTACCTAATTGAGGATCTGCCAGTCAAGAGATAATCTCGATGAGTGCTACAAATTGAATAGGTTGTGTTTTTATTTTTCGGAATATTTTTCTTTTTGTCGGTTTTCTGTTTTTGAGGTCCTTAAATTAATATATGAGCGTAACTACCCGATTAGGATATATACATGATGAAACCAAAAAAGAAAGAAAAGATAAAATAATGAATAGTTAACTGCATTGCATACCATATTGTTGTTACTTTATTCAAAAGAGATGCAATGGTGTTCTTTTAATGAATCAACGGTATAAAAGGATGAGGTATTGATACTTATATTGACCAAATTATAATTCGTTTTCCTTTCTATCTAATACAGACTCAACACAACAACAACAATCAATCAATCAACTACTCAAAACCCAATTTTTAAAAATGCAACCAACTACTGTTTCCACTTCCGCTTCTCAAAAGAACAACTCCTCTGAAAAGAAGGACAACTACATTGTCAAGGGTGTATTCTGGGATCCAGCCTGTGTTATCGCCTAGATACATATGTACTAATATATATATATATTCCTATTTACGTATACTACCCTAATAAAATAAAATAACATAAATTCTAATCATAAAGTCATAAAATTGTGTATATGTATGTGTATTTATATAAGTAACTAATGTAAAAATAAATGAATAAATTGCTAAAATGGGTGGATGTAAGGAAATAATGCAAAAATAAAAAAAATGAAGTAATAATGAATTAGAAGCTATTTGTACATTTCGTACCAAAGATCAAATACCTTTGATCCATGCTTAATGAGTCCATTTGGAGACAATACATATGGATGTAAACAATGATTCTTAATACGCATATGATGAGTACCTTCTTTTGACATTGTTGCTGTATTGATAAAATAAATTGGTAAATTAATAGTATCGTATTTAGTTGGATTATGAGATTCCTTCAAGATAATTTTCCCCAGCCAACTATGAGTCTCATTGAAGACAGGTAGACAACGTAGACTTGTACTAATATGTTTTTCCCGATTAGTGATTTTTGGAACAGGACGCCATTTAATATCCTCACCATCTAAATCAAGTTCTTCATTGTTATCTACATCATCCTCATCATCAGAATAAAAATCCATATCTTCTTCATCTCTTTCATGTATAACAGTTTGTCTCTCATTAGAATGGTGTTGAATAGATCTTTCTGTTTCCATAATTGAATTAGTCACTGAGACAGATCTATTTGAACGTGAACCAGCCACTGTTCTTTGTGATACATTGGAAATCGATGCGCTTCTAGATCTAAGTGCTGAGACCGAAGCAGAAGCAGAAACAGAAACGGAAGTCAAAGTCGAGACAGAGTTATTATTGTTACGAGCGCTATTTGTTTTCTTTTTGTTAAACATGCCTATGACTCTCTTTATAATGAGGTTCTTCCCATTGGACTCTATATTGTTTCCTGTGCTTGAAGATGCAGTGGACGATGGTAATCTAAATATTGATCCCGATGATGAAGTAGATGAGATGTTTGTAGATGATCTAGATAAGAATGTAGGAGAACCCGAGCCCGAACCCGAGGCTGAGGCTGAGTCCGAACCCGAAGTTGAAGCGGGGGAATCCGTGACTAAAAATAAAGGATACGACGATGAAGGAGCACGTGATGGCGATGCAGAACGCGATGATACAACACTAGATGTAACAGAATCTGTTCTATCACGATGTCTATGTCTGTTACGTCTTCTTGGGAATACTTTATAATCTGGAATATTTCTAATTTGTAAATCCAAAGAGACTGCGATTCCTTCACTTAATTTTGTAGACCAATTTATTAATTCATCGATATCAGCCAACCTAATTAAAAATTGTTGATTTTCACATCTAATTCTTAATACATTAACTTGATCTTGTCCCAATTTATTCCTCCTAATGAAATCTGATGGAAGACCAAACTCTGCATGTTGTAAAGTATACGTTCTTCTCAGAGTCGCACTATTCAAGAATTGATCCGGAGTTGTTTTAATTGTATCTAATATTCTCTCCCTTTCTTCCGATGTAAATCTATGAGTTTGAGGTTGTTGTGTAGATAATTTCTTACTAGTCAATGGATTCACCGAATCTCTGTAATTTTTTATTGATGAAGTTAACATTGGATCAATAGCATAAAGGTTTAATTGTGTAGAATTAATTTCTACAATAAAATTCGACCAAACTTTGGAACGTAAGAGACTAGCATGAGTCTCCGGATCGATATATTCCAATCTGATAGCGGCTAATGTCAAGCAATCCACTGCAGGCGTATAAACTGGTAAATTACTATCATTAGAACGAGTCTCGTATACTGGGAAAGTGATTCTCCTCGAAGGATTCACCGAGTCATATAAAGGTGGTTCTACTGGTAAAGGATCGACAGTTTGTAAATAAGTAATGTCATCGTTGTTATCAGCAGTACTTGTAGTACTAGTACTACTACTTGTACTAGTACTTAAAGAAGACATACTTCTATCAATAGTTTGCAAAGATACACCTGATTCTATTGATGGTAATTTATTAATTCTCGACCATTCTATAGTATTTATAGTATTTATGGTATTTGTAGTATTACCTACATTTAAATTACTATCAAAAACATTTTCGGTAGTGAACGGATTAGTACTTTTCAACATTTTCAAACTTATCGATAAAAAATCAATTAATCGATTATATATATATATATATATTTTGGGTATCAGGCCAATCAGTATATGTATAAATAGATCAAAAAAAATAAAAATAAAAAGCTTGTACTCGATCGTCAACTGTCTCTAGCCAGAACTAATAACTATCTTATATATATATATATATTTATATAGGGGCAAGTTAAGATATATACTAATTCTTGATAACGAAGGCACTCAAGTAATGTAATATCTATATTATATATATATAATATAGAAAAAAGCAAGAAAATTAAAATAATGTGATAAAAATACTCCACTACTGCTACTGCTAAAAGTACTAATAGTAGCAATGTGCAGTGGATAGTGGATAGTGCGGTAACAAGCACTAATAAATCCGCGCCCCATTTTATTATATTTGTCTGTGATGAACTCTTGTTATATCCCCCAATGACGAAGACAGGCCCCTACAGCCACTATCACAAAACGTGTGAAAAATCAAAACGAAAAATTTCTCGATGGAATTTCAATTTAACGAGCAGGCCCCTGAGAGAGAAACTGCCGTAGCAGCAGTTTCTGGAAACGCAAATTTCAATTTGGAAAAATCAAAAAAAGAAAGTAATTTCCAGTTCATACGGAGAAAGGGAGAGAGAACACACCGCACAACCAACTACCCCACCCCACCCCAATTAGGAAATTGAAAAGTTTTGAGGAAAAACAAAATTTGGCTGGACAAATCTCTATGTATGTATGTGCTTGGCAGTGCGGGGTGCGGGCTGTTCTGAGGTAGGAACTTCATTCCACTATACAAATTCATCATCTATAAATTAAGTAATTCGTTTCTATATATTCCATTATAACTTTCAGTAGATACTTCTCTCATTGAGGAAGGGAAAGGGAAGGGATGGGTTAAGTAATTTCATACGCGTTAGATTTGCCACAGTGTGTATGTACGTGTATGACATTTGTAAGGAGTGGGGAGGTACTCCCTACTCCGCGTGAACTGATCGTTTGCTTATTCTTATTGTTATTGCTATTGTTGTTGTTTTTTGTATTAGCCATTGTTTAATCTCCCCCCCCCTCATTCTGATGTATATTAGTCGAGAAACGTGGTGTTTGTTTGTTTGTTTTCCTTGTTTTATTGCAGTTCAAAACGTTGACGTATCTCAACTACCATTGTTATTGTTACTATTGGTCGTGGTTACGAGTATTTGTATTCGTACCATAATTACTCTCTATATTGGTATCATTACTATTGACATCTGGAATTAATACTAGATTTGTTACTAGTAACCTTTGCACACTTCTATAACGGCGTATTATAGTTAACGCAAGACAAAAGATGAAAAAAAACCCTGATAATGCTAAATACGTTGTACCACTTAATCCATAGATTAAATATATTGATATTACAATTAATTTAACCATAAGTTCATATATTTCAATCATGATAGTTCTAATCCTAATCATTGACAGTTTCATCAATTTTTTGCCAATTGGGGAACTATAATACACTATTATATTATGAAATTTACCTAATAATCCCATCACACCATTATCATTATATCCTAGTAGCATCCCACTCTCTCCAATTGGATGACTTACAACACTAGAATATCTCATATATATCATAATTTCTGCGACAAAATCATTCTCAGATAATGTAACTGTACTGAAACCACTTCTTAATATATTATAAAGAGAAAATGGAAATAATATCACCATTATAAAATAATCTAATACTAATAAATGACGAACCATAGATGCAAAATAGGATCTTCTAGGTGTAAATGATGGTGTGCTGTCACGGGGTCTACGCAGATTATTATTGGTATTATTTATGTTATTATTATTATTATTATCTCCTTGTCGTTGTAACTCGATTTCGAAAGTATTAATGATATCTCCTAACGTACGTCTAAATTCTATATTTCCTCGCACTATTGGATGTATTGCATCATTTGCAACTCTATTTTGTTGTTGTGATGGTGATGATGATGATGATGTGTTTTGTATATTTGATTCATTGTTGTTGTTATTATTATTGCTTTCAGAAAGACTTAAAAATCGCTCAAAGAGTATATCTTCATCGGATTCAGTAGAACTAGCCATTCTGGGGTATTAGTTTTCTGTGTATGTTAACCTGTGTACAGTTATATATGAATATGTGTCTCTTTGTCTATGTGTGTGTGTCTCTCTCTCTCTCTATCTTATCGTTTATCGATTGATTTGATCCACCAATATCAAAAAGTCTCTATGTCTCTCTGTCTGTCTATTCTAATTTATCACATTTCGCTTTGTCCTGATAGAATTTATCCTGTGAACCCTATATATATCCTCTTACCCTTAATAAACGAACCCTCAAACGCAGTTTCGCACTTTAATATGAAAAAAAAATTTATATACGTATTTTTTTTTGGGATGCCTCGAAAAAAGATAGATAATTAGGATTACACACAAGTACCAACTCTAATAGATATTTGGTCACGCACCGGTATGATACTCAGACATCATAATATATCATTTACATGGCTACTACTCCTTCTACTGACAAATTTTCTGTGTGTCTTTGCTAATACTGAAACATTTCAAGTAGCATTGCCATCTGGTGCAGCTCTTAAATCTGTAGGTGTGCTTTTTAAACCCACTGTTACTGATGACCTCACTATTTGGTCAGTAGATATAACATCAAACTTAAGAGATTTACAGCCTATTGTGTTAAATTTGGTGTATAATAGTGATGAATATGACGAATATGATTTGCAATTATACTCCTTTAAGATATGTTGGTCCGCTATAACACCAATATCTTATAAGAGTCAATCATTTACGGTGAATCACACTAACCTTACATCAACTAATGAAGTGGCCTATGATATTTCATTCATGTTTGAAAGTGATTCATACCCACCGATAGAACATCAGTCACCAATTATGATCAATTGTTCTATTAGTAAATTGATTTGGGGTGTTTTACCAAGTGAATTATTACCTACATTATTCATGATCTTGATTGTTTTAATTTCAACTATATCATTTTATAAAGTATATAGACACATACCAATTTTATAATAATATTATAGACAATATTCAATTTGATGTGCGTATATTTGTTAAAAGAATAAATATCTACCAAGTTTACCAAAAATTAAAAACCCTAAGAAATAAAAATCTTCAAAATATAAAAATTGAGAAATTTCATAACTATTTCTAATTATGGTACTATCAATATTTTGAAACTCTTGTAAACAACTTATAGTAACACCTATACTTGCTAACAATGACTCCATCAATAACGAGATGGTTCCATCAAAGAATAGCCACATCACAATATTTAATAGACCCCAAACACCTGCAGCTTGTAATGATGAGGACCAATCTAATTTACGAATACCAAATGCAACACCTAACATTGCATTGACAATTCTTAAAATGCCAAACAATGATGAGTCATCATTTTTTAATTGAGCTTTACTCTTTTGTAAGAAAATTAAATCTAAGATTGGTATCACTGATCCAAAGAGAATCCCTTCAATAGCATATATTATCCATTCATGTTGTAATAATAATGGAATATTATCATTAAATACCCATTTAATTATTTTATTGATCACAATTACAGGCTTCGATGTGAAACTAGAATGTAATTGATGATTGTCGTGTAAATTTTGTGAAATCTCTAAATAAATAATACCTGATACACCTAATACAAATAAACTGAAAATGAAATGAATCAATTTTTGGAATAATGTACTATTATCATTAGATAGTTGAACTTTATCTTGTGTGGATTTCAATTTTGAATCATTGACAATTTGATATAATGAATTCGATTCAGTTGGATTGGTAATATCTTCATCATATAATGAAAACAATTGTGGTTTGGTTAAGTTCGATATCGATTCAGAATTGAATATTTTATCCGAGGATTTACGACCTTGCGAACCAGACATCTTTTAATATTTCTCCTCTATTAATAATAATAATAATAATAATATACTTATAAAATTTATCTTTGTCTTTATTCTTTCAAGGACCTGTCAAAATCAGAAATAATTAGTATCTTCTTTATTTATATACTCGTTAATAGTGGCAAAGGGACCCCATTTGATCTAAAAAGCGATAAAACTATTATAGTAAACACCGCTTTTGGTGTGCGTTTCGCTGATTCGTTTAGCCCGACGCGGTGCATTTAGTTCGTTTGGCTCTTCACTATTTTTTATTGCCGTCTGACCTTGTTTTGCTCGATCGGTCAATCTCAAGAGGTGTGAGGTGACATCATCTATATCTCATTCTGTCAATGAACATAGCAGGTGATAAACGTTTGTTGTATACGATTCTCTTGAAGAGAATTTAACACTTCATGAAAAGTAAAACTATTCTAACTATATTTATACACATATGTATATTTTATTGTCTATTATTATAACTGTTGGCGATGCGACCTACAGATATTCTTTTAGGAATACATAACGGTACCCTAAGGTAGGTGCAACCTTTCAATGAATACTTAACCAATTTAAACGGATGTGTTATATATTTATTCAATTGAAACAACTTTTTTTTTGCCTTTTTTATTTTTTATTAAATACCAAAGTTACCGCTACGGATGTTATCATACAGCTGTCTTCTATCTTGTCTCCTGTTTGTATTACCGTGTAATTTATTACCACCACCATGTGGCATTTGCATAGGTATCGTATTTGGAGGTACGTTACCATATGGTGCATATCCTTGACCTGGCACACCTCCCATAGGCACACCTCCCATAGGCACACCTCCCATAGGCATACCTCCCATAGGAGGCATTGGCATTACACCTTGTTGGAATTGTTGGGATCCATAGTTTGGAGTCATTGGCATTGGTTGATTAAATCCATGTGTTCTCTGTTGAGGTGACATATGTTGATTAAATTGCATATTTGGTGATTGGACAGGTGGAGGCATCATATTGTACTGCGGTCCGACTTGTTTCTTCGGATGATTGTTATATTGCACCTGTGGTGGCCCCATTTGTGGATAACCCATACCATTTTGGCGCATTGGTGAAGATGAACGAACATTCGGTGCTGTCGGTATATTACTATTGTGATAACCTGGAGATGGAGAATTAACATATTGGTTCGACATATTTGGATTCCGCATTGGCGATGAAGAACGAGGTTGCTGTCTTCCAGGTGATTGTGCACGGCCTTGTCTCATTGGAGATTGTGCACGGCCTTGTCTCATTGGAGATTGTGCACGGCCTTGTCTCATTGGAGATTCATTTTGACGAGATGGACTCCCGCCATAATTATTGTACACACCTTGTTGAGGTCCTGGTGGCGGAACAAAATTGCCAGTGGGTACACTATTTCCAGATCTGTTCTTATTACCACTTTGAGGTATTTGAATGTTGGATGGCATTGGTTCTCCATGGGAACGCCCTCTTTCTTGTGGTTGTGATTCAGGTGCGTTTTGAGGTAATGGTTGTTCGATATTTCTTGTTGCAGGTATATGTTGTGCTTGTACCCTTTCTCTGTGGCCACCGTTATTGTCTTGATATCTATTCCCATTTGGTGGTTGATTATAATTATTATATCCGGGCATGTTGTTAACTCTCGTGTCGCTTTGTTTAGGTTTGTTGGATGTCTCGTACCGGTCATTAGAAGGTTCTTGTGATCTATATTGTCGGCTATCGATATTGTTTGATGGAGCGTTTGTAGCTTGTTGAGCTTTGTTTAGATTGATTGTAGAGTTACTATTGTTTTGTCTATAATCCAAACCACTTCTATCATGAGTAGGTGTAGCATCCTGAGGTGAACTGATCTTTAAAGATTGAACTGTACTGGATAATGATGCCTCCATATCAGGATCTCTAAGAGTAGAAGGCTTGTACTGGTCAAATTTCGTAACATTCTTAAATGGATCAGGAATTTCTGAATCTAATAATGGATTTTCCGCTATTTCGTCAGTTATCATATTTTCTACCATTTCGTTGATTTCTTCTATTGTATTTGGATTAGATTGCATTGTATTTCTCTTATTCGAAACTTGTTCTGATGGTATTTCAATACGTGGCTGGTTAACGGAAGGTGCAACAATCATATCAGGATTAATATCAGGTAGATCTATTTTAAATTCATCAGTTTCGATCGGAGGTAACTCGTACATATTAGCATTTGTAACCATTGGGATGATATCTTTGTCCGTCCGTTGCCCAGTCATGTTATTATTAGTGGCATCATTTTCCAGATAACCACCTCTGGATGGAATTCTGTCCTCATAGTTACTTGAAGACACAGATGCACCAACACTACTATTACTTTTTTTCCTCAAATTATGTAATGGATTCCATTTGGATATCTTATCGAACGATGTTTTTTGTTGTTTACTATTTTTGTTTAATGAGTCTAAGCTAATCGTGGTATGATATTGTCCCGTTGCTTGTGCAGATGGCATTCGAGTAGCATTTTCATTAGAACTTTTGAAATTATCGTATGTTCTTGATTGATCTCTGATTTTCGGTATAATGGCAGGTTCTTTTCTCTCAAGAGATGAAGATGATGTACTCTTTTTACTCTTGGCAGGTGAGGCGCTTCTACTTTTAGATTTTTCTTCATTTTTCTTATCCTTCAATTGACTTTGACTATTGTAATCTAAAGTAATATCACTCTCTTGAAAACAAACCCATTTTTTAAACCCATCGAATTCAAATTCCAATATTACGGATCTACCGAAGATTTTTTTCTTTTCGGAAGTTTCCTCATATGATAAACTAGATAACCATGTCCATATAAAGTAATCATCAATGTCTACTCTTTTCACTTGTATATTTTCTTCCAACTGATTGATATTTTCTAAACACTTTCTTGGAGCCCAACCAGCTTGGAACGTAGAATGTTTCGTCGACATAGCTTTCATCAATCTTCGAGATTCCTGTGACATCTTCCTACTAATCCCTTCAACGTTTTTCTTCTTCTTGAACAACGATTTCAATAATGCATAATCCTCACGTGCCTCAAAGGCGTCATAATCAGAGAAATCCAACAAAGCATTACATTTCTCCAACAATTGCCAAGGTTTCCTAGAAAATTGGTCTGTATATAATGTTACAAGTGGAATCGTCAAGATTGTCTCAGACGTGTATGCTGTAGAATCCTTTGGTGGATATTCATTATTGAATAGGATACTCTTTAATGCTCTTGGTAATTTGGCTGATTCGAGATCCTTAGGTACAAAACTCTTTAAAAATGCTAGTAACAAATGGAACATTGCATCTGATGCAGGAACCCATTCTGCTAAACCATCTTGGAAAGTATTGTTCACTTTCTTGTATTTTGGTAAGACGCCTCCACTGGCATTCGAATCAAAATCCAAGTTATTTGCAGAAGAGGCTATGCCATCATCTTTAGATGGTTTATTAAAAGCCCATATAGCACACATTTTACTTATTTTCCTTGCGCTCATTTTATTAACTTTAGAATTTGAAGCCAAAGTAACAATCAAATCAAAAAAATCATAGACAATAGAGGCATGATTAGAGGACTCTAAACATTGTGGCATTATTTCCAAAAACGCCTTTTGAGGATAATCCTTATCAGCCTCTCTATATTTAAACTCCAGATAAGCGTTCCATCCTATAATCTCAGAATTGGGTAATCTACACCAAATATACTTCAACCCTTGGAATAACGTCCATACTTCCGTCTTTGTAATGATTTTATGTTGCAACTTCTTATTCACAGGTTGCCCATTCCCCATAGGAAATAATTGATTCAAAAACTTTAATAACTTTTCATTAGTTTGTTCAGGCCTAAATGGAATCATAATATATTCAACATCTGCACCTCTTTCTTTTAATTCAGAGGTAATCAAATGGATTACTCCTTTAATTTTCTCCCTATCAAACTTATGGAAAAATTCAAACTCTTCATCCTCTTCTTCTTGCACCTTGCTGTTGTCTTCTCTTCTTCTGGGTGAGGATTGCCTACTAGACAAACGTTTGTTATGCTCTGACTTAGACGATGATCCGTCAGACCCTAGAGGAGTATCAGGAAGAGGCTTCACGATTTGTTCCATCAGTATATAAACAGTTCGACCTTCTTTATTCTAAAAGTTGGTATTATTTAGACAAATAACAATTAATGGAAGTGCACTCTCTGTATACAAAAAAAACACAAATAACGAACCAAAAGGTATAACAAGGTAGTATGAGGTGGTAAAGAATAAACAAACCAGTAACTACCTTTCTACTTCTAACTATAACCTTAATAGGAAACTTCTATTATCGTCTTTGTTCTTGAAGTAGTAAAAATAACTATAAAGATCTCTCTACCCACGAGATGACGTCTAACCAAATCAAGCTATTTACGCCTCTTCTCCATGTTTACATTTATTTTATATTTTCTATTTTTTTTTACAACAATTAAAGAAACTGTTCGTTGGCCGACATCAGTTAAAACAGCTGAAAGGAAAGGAAAGGCACTATACAGAAAAAATTTCGTCTTTAACTTCAACGCAATGAAAAAGAAACTAACAGACAGAGAGTGAGAGAAGGGCTCACCGCAATTCATAGAATATTAGACTACCTAGATAGATTAATTGGTGAATAATTTAGAAAATATATATATTTACTTATTTATGTAAAGTGAGGAATTAACGTAATAATATATTGTAAAGTATTTACAGAACTTTTAAAGTTAAGGGAAAAAGGTAGACGTATTAAATACGAAAACTGTTTTTTTCTTGTTTTGTTTTGTTTTTTTGAATTATAGTTATAATTTGTTGTTGTTTTTTCATTTCAAGTTAGTAACCACCATCAAATCTATTCGATGACTCTAGTGACTAGACCAGTACCTACGGTCTTACCACCTTCTCTGATGTTGAAACGTTGACCGACTTCCAATGGGGTAGGGTGAATCAATTCACATTCCATTTCGACATTGTCACCAGGCATGATTTGTCTAGAATGGTCCTCAACTTCCGGTGGGAACTTCATGACAACGGTGACATCAGCAGTTCTGATGAACATCTGAGGTCTATAGTTTTCACCGAAACCAGAATGTCTACCACCTTCTTCCTTGGTTAAAATGTAAAAAGAAGCTAGAATCTTAGTATGGGCACTAACAGTACCTGGCTTAGCCATAACCATACCTCTCTTAATTTGATCTCTTCTGATACCTCTTAGTAAGACACCGGCGTTGTCACCGGCCATGGCTTCATCTAGTTCTTTTTTGAACATTTCAATACCAGTGACAGTAGTTTTCAATGGGACCTTGTTGAAACCAACGATTTCTAATTCTTCACCTTTCTTCAAATGACCTCTTTCGACACGACCAGTGACGACGGTACCTCTACCGGAGATAGAAAAGACATCTTCAACAGGCATCAAGAATGGTTTAGCCAGATCTCTTTCTGGAGTTGGAATGTATTCATCGACAGCATCTAATAGTTTCATTATAGCTTTTTCACCAATTTCTGGTTCACGACCTTCTAAAGCACATAGAGCAGAACCCATAATAATAGGAGCATTTTCACCGTCAAAACCATATTGAGATAATAATTCTCTCATTTCCATTTCAACTAATTCTAACATTTCTGGATCGTCAATGGTATCCACTTTATTGACGAATACAACGACTTTTTGAACACCGACTTGTCTAGCTAATAGCAAATGTTCTCTAGTTTGAGGCATTTGACCATCGGTGGCAGCAACAACGATAATAGCACCATCCATTTGAGCAGCACCTGTAATCATATTCTTGATATAATCGGCGTGACCAGGACAATCCACATGAGAATAATGTCTTTTAGCAGTTTCGTATTCCACATGAGCAGAAGAAATAGTAATACCACGAGCTCTTTCTTCAGGAGCTTTGTCAATAGCATTATAATCTAAGAAATTAGCACCACCATGTTTAGCTAAGGTCTTAGTAATAGCAGCTGTTAAAGTAGTTTTACCGTGATCGACGTGACCAATGGTACCAATATTTACATGAGGTTTAGAACGATCAAATGCGGCAGCATACTTTACAGATGTGGTAGATAGGAAAGATTTAGTGACTCTTGAGGTTTGAGTGAAAATAGTCTTAGAGACAACACTATTCTTGAACAGGTTGGTTGACAACCTTGGCATCAAAATAGACATCTTATTATTATTCTTATTATTGTTGAGGTAATAAAGATAAAATAGTTTGTTTACTCCTTGTCTCTTTAATACTGTAATGAAGAATAAGCAAAGTTAAGGTGAATCACCAACAATAATATATGAATAAATACATATATACAAATTTTAATAAATTAATTTTAAATGTATCGTAGTTGTCAAGTGGGATTCAAACCAAACCAAAAGCAAAGAGACACCAACTAATGCCCAACCAAATTACATTTAACAGAAAGGCTTCTGGTGCCCCCCCTGTCGCCTCATAACAAATTTCAGGATAAAAAGCGACACGTCCGGGATTCTGTCACTAAATACGACCACCAAATAAGTACACTTTTCTGCCCTCAATTCCCCCCCCCCGGATATTTCAATATTGGAAAAACAAAACAATAATTTTCTGGGCGAAAGAAGAAGCAGAACTCTCAGAACCCTAAACGGCAAGATAAGTTTCTCTCAAGAATAAAGTTCCTATAATTACAACCCTCAATATTCTACGTTTTGAATGAGGCAGTCCGTACATGCAGAATGAAAAAAAGCGAGAGACCCCAAACAAATAAACGGTGCGTATTCGAAGTATCGGCTATTGATTTTCTGATTTAGTTTGTAGTAATTCGTTACAAATAATATGTTGCTCGTATCCTTTAGAAAAAGATAATACAACCCCGTAGGACCCTTCTTTTAACGATGGAGAAGGTTGCTTTTAAATGTTACAGATGGATAAGATACAACATTATTGGTCGCGTTAGTAATAAATTATCTATTGTCTCTATCAATTTCCCATATTTTTACCGTATTCGGTAACTAAATTGTATACATATTATATAGTATTTGGTTTTGAAATGAAGGGAGAGAGGGCTGTCTAGATCTGCATTGCAACCTGAAAGACGAACCTTGAATGATAATGATCTTTTCTCTGAGTATTATGTAATAATTATTTAATTTTTGATTTTTTTTATTAATAATATGTTTATGTGAAGTAGATATTATTGAATAAATTTATTAGTTATTAAAGAATTATTATATATATTATTATTATTATTATTATTATTATTATTATTGTTATTATTATTATGAATGAAATGACTGTGATGTTTGTTTGAAGTAAATGATTATGAGTGTGTGGGAAAGTAAAAGAACAAATAGCGGTGTTATCAAAATGAAGGTAGTAAAGTAAGTAAACCGTTATGACGATGATGAATGGACAATGATCGTGTTGAATAAAAAGATTGTATATCTAAAGCAAAACCAAAGATAGTATAGTATGTTTCATAAAGTTTTTGAAACACTTTTTTTTTGAGTATTTTCTCTTTGCTTTTTAAGCAGTTTTTTAATAGGAAATGAGACAAATTGACCTGTCTTTCAGGTTACATCTTTATTGATTATGGTAAATCCATGGTTAAAACATTCTAAATCTTGCATTTGCGTTTACGAATATAGAATATTTATTTGGGTATTCTTGAAATTTTGAAGTTTCTCTTTATAGTAGTAGTAGCAATCAATTACCCTTAAAAAAATTTCAACTTCCTCCGGGGTATTGTTGTATTATTATTATTGTCCCTTTAAAAGTTTTCTTTTTCTAGCTTCTAGCCACATTGTTTTCAAATTAATACAATATTGTTAGTTTGTAGGCGGAAGACGAAGGGAAAGAAAAAAGAGAAAAAGAGATTATTATATAATAACTTCGTTTTCCCTAAGAATAATTGGTGCATGGAAAACTTCTTTAGAACAATGAAAGAAAGAAAAGATTAAAGTACTATAATGATGAGAGTTTTTTTTTTGTCTAAATACGATTGTCATATTCCTCATCATCATATTCTTCTTCTTCTTCAATAATTGATAATCGCACAGGTAATTCTTGTTTCTCTAAATCAGTATCAAATGAATCTTTGTCATCATCTTCTTCTTCTTTATTATCATCATTTGATCTTCTATCACCTGCATTCATAAATACTAATATTATCAAAGCAGCAACTAAAATAAAAATGATAATAGCAATGAACCAAATTACGGTACTAACAATGAAATTTTCAAATTCAAATTCTAATTTATCATTCTGTGTAGCCGCATTTGAAGTTATAGTTCTTGAATTATCATAATGCTGATTATCAGCACCAACTAAAGAATTTAATGATTTGACCACCATTTGATATATAGAGATATATTTCTCGTTGCCATCAGTGGTTGTTGATGTAGCAGCAATTTTTTCAAGATTATGATCACACATCATCTTTATTTAATGGTTATGAGTATTATTGATATTATTATTTTTTTATTCTTCTTCTAAGATAATAATAAAAAAATAATAATTAATTAGATCACATATAAAACATTTACGAATAGAAAGAAAAACTTCATTTCAATAAGAAATATATTTGACGTTTATATATTTATATATATATATTAGTTTGGCTCTGCTGATGTGCAAATAAATTAATAGAAGAGTAAAAAAATAAAAGTCATCTTAGTTAGGCTATGCCTTACCTCGGTTACTCATGCAATGCTCGGTTAGTATCCGTTAATTACCTAATGAGGAATTCTTATAACATTCGGTCTAATTAAGAAATGTTTTTTTTTTTCTTCTTCTTACCTGTAAGAAACTATTTACACGATCTGCGTAAATTATTACAGAGAAAGAGAGAGAATATATGTGTATATAATTTAAGTATTATGCAGCCAAATGAGAAGAACGAAGAACGATTGAATATATTGTAGTTAGGGCAGAAAGAAAGTCTTATAGAAGGAATTGGACCCCCTGCTGAATGTCTTATTTTTCGCTCAAGAAAAAAACGGAAGAATTCTACAGATAATTTTGTTTATAATGACCGTTAAACGACCATCCGTGCATCCGTTCCGGTACAATTATTCTCTCTCGCACTGAGATTTTATCTTGAGACATTTTCTTTATTTTAATTGTTCACAATCACGTTTTTCTTTTTTTTACTACCCGTTCGTTAGGGTTTTACAAATGCGCAAAATCAGGCACTTTTTTCCATTCTATGTCCCCGACCCTAACTTGTCTTGTCGAAAAGAAATCTTTTTGGAATGTAATTCTTTAAACCCTATGTTGGTTGAGTTTTGAGACCTTCATTTTCTGCGCGGTGAAGTAGAAGTTACCTGCAGCCAATCATATTCAAGTATTGCGCGGACTCTACTTAAAAAACTTATGTGTGAGCGAAAGAGAAAGAAACAAAGAAATTTGGTTAGTATTGTTAGTTTGGCGCATAGCAGCAATTCGAAGGGGAGGGAAGGATGGGAAGCCAATCGACCAATACTGGTGAAACCTGGTAGAGTAATGGATTGTTGTTGGAAGGGAGAGTAATAAATCTTTAATCTTGATAGAATACAAGTGATTATTCCACTATTACTATTACCACTATTATTATTATTATATATGCAAACATATTATTATTAGTACTAATTTAATAGTTTTATATCCTTCTGTTGTAGTTTTTAAGTTCTCTTTTTTCAATAGAAAACACATTACAGTATACCTACAACTATAATAGAAATAAACACACTTAAGATGCTTGCAGTTAGAAGATCATCCCTAAACATACTGACAAAGACAGTTAGAACAGTTAGTCCAAGTACGGTCAGAGCATTTACTGTAACTGCTTATAAGAATGAATTGTTACAAGATCTGTTCTTAAAAGAATTGAAAAATACAAAGTTCGATATGGCATCTTTACAATCCCCTGAATCGATTGCTGAAAATGTTATTAAATTCTCAGCTCCAACCAAACCAAAGATTCCTACTTTAGAAGCTGCTCAAAAGGATACTTTACAAGACTACATTAATGAAAACGTTGAAACTTCATTGGATACTGCTGCAGACGCTGCTGCCGTACAACAAGACGTTGCTCAAGATGAAGATTGGTTAGTCATTGAAGATGAACCAGAAGAATCTCACCATTAATTGAAAGTTGATATATATAAGCAATGAAAATGGTATTCATTCATACGTGTCATTGACTTGTGTATATATTTTTTCTCTCACTCAATCTCTATCTCTCTCTCTCTCACTCAATCACTAACACACACGCCCATTTCAACTACGCTATAATATCCCCTGAACTATATGCTTAACTCTTACTTTTTTTATTTCTATGGAACGATAATATTCCAAAATCAACCTTACGTCTACTCATACATATATATATATATTAGGACGCATATTGACTAAGTTTTAAAGCGCATCACGTTTGTGGTATATATTTTATGTTTAAATAATCTAAATATTCAACCTTTAACTTTTTTTTCATTCTGAAGTTTAATTAAATTAAATTACCATTGTTTCTAAACTATTTGCAAACACGTACGACATGGATTCATGTAGTGTAAGGTCCATATATTTATATATTCTTTCTCTAATTTAAATGTTAGAAAGCTTATGTTGGACATCACACGTCCAATAAACTCTGACCCTAACTGTAATTTCTGCCGATTATTGTCTGTTTGCATTTTTGGTATGGCATGTTCAACGAGTCCCCCATTCATTCACCGCGCATCACCTTTATCGCATCTCGAAGAGAGAGAAGATGGAAAAAAAAAAGCTAACAAAATATTTAAATAGAGGCACCACTGGGAAGTTTTGTCTTTCTTTTAAAAAACCTATTTATTACTTACTTCCTCTAAACTATACTACCAAATATATTATGATCTATACACTGATATTAGTAATATAGACGAAGACAAACAAACTGGTACAACTATATGGTCAATGTTAACGATACTCCCAAAAACAGATGTTTTTAATAAGTGTGTTCATGGTATGCTTAGTTTTTTTTTGGATTATCGTATATATTGTCGTATGAAGTACTTTCACAGCCTTGTGCCTCGCTCGATCACGAATTTCTTCAATATTGTGATCTTGAGCTGGATGATCAAGGAGAGTAATTTCTCTTCTTTACGATTTTTAATAGGCTAGAATAAACCACAACAGGAATTCTTTTTTGAGTACGAGGGTATCGATCAAGTTGTCTCACGATACTTTTTTTATTATCGTAATTTAAGAATACCAAATCATTATCAACAATTTTATAAGTGTCTCGTTTTATTATTGCACTTTCTTGTAAATTTTAAACTAGTTCGTGAAAATATGTATGTATGTATGCATATATGTAAAAAAAACACTAGTTAGAGTGTTCTTTAGCAAATTCAGTAGCGAATTTAGCTAGTTTTTCAACACTTTGTACACTGACGGCATTGTAAATCGAGGCTCTGAACCCACCAACTGAACGATGACCCTTAAGACCTGTCAATTTTAGAGCAGCAGCTTCCTTTAAAAATAATTCATCAAGACCTTCTTTCTTCAATGTAAATACAACATTCATCTTGGATCTGCATTTAGGGTCCACAGGCAAGTTGTAAAAATCAGGACAAGCATCCAATGCAGTATATAGTATATTTGCCTTACGTTCGTTTTCTTTTTGTTGATGTTCGACACCACCATGTTTCAACAAGTTTTGGAACACTAAATCCATAATACGTAAAGTGAAGATTGGAATAGTGTTATAAGCTGAGTTATTCTTAACTACGATTGGGTAATCGAAAGCAATTGGTGTTACAGGAACATTCAATTTAGCCAAAAGCGCATCATTAGTCTCTGCTTTAGAAATGTTCTCTAAAATGGATTTCTTAATGATATATAAAGTTAACCCAGCTAAACCAATATTCTTTTGAGCACCAGCCATAATGACACCATATTTCGAGATATCTACTTTTCTTGATAAGATATCACTGGATAAATCTGCAACGATTTCAATATCATCACGATCTTGAAGACATTTTGGTAAACTTGGGAATTCGACACCATGTACAGTTTCATTCTCACACAAATAAACGTATGAATATTTCTTACCTTTAATCTTATCACTCCATTGAGATTCTTCTGGAATATTACCGTATTTACCATTAGCATCGAATTTTCTTGAGTCAAAGATGATCTCAGTAGATAATCTTAATCTAGCAGCTTCTTCTTCTGCTTTTTGAGACCAAGAACCAGTGACTAAATACCCACCTGGTGCAGTAGTTCCAGTAGCACCGACGTAAGCAGTCATTAGATTAGTAGCCAATGAAGAGAACCCAGTTGTACCACCACCTTGCATGTAGAAGACTTCATGAGTCTCTGGAACGGCTAGCAATTTACGCAAATCTTCTTTTGAAGAGTTAATGACTTCGGTAGCGTCCTTTGAACGATGAGAAATTTCACCAATACCTAAACCTACATCATTATAATTGATAAGATCCATTGCAGCTTGTTGCAAGACATTGGTTGGTAGTTGCGCAGGACCAGCACCAAAATAGTTTGGTTCTTCTCTATCTAATTGAGACATAATTTGTTGTTGTTGTTTTTCCTTTAAGGTTGAAATTAATTGTTTGTATATAGTTAGCTATAATAATTGAAATTCTTATAAGAATGAAACAATTCGGCAACAAATTCCCCTTTTCCAATATACCTTTCTTCTCTCTATATATATATAAGAATTTAATTACAGATGAGCAATATTATTGTTGTTAAACCAATACATTTCAAGAAGTAAATCAAACAGACTAGTCGATTTCAATGATCGCAAAGCCAATGAGGCTACCATTCATTATTATACTACAAAGTTCATAAGATTAACGTGGCACATGAGGAGTTGTAACGTGTGACTGCAAATGAACTATACAGAGACGAAGAGAAAAAGAGTCAGAAATCTTATGAAATCTCGTGAAATCTTTCAATCAAACCAAACGTGGTTTACCCTCTTTTCTTCTCGTCTCTCGTCTCATCCCTCCCCCACCTCTTTCCTTTATAATATGAGTCAACTAGCGTGGGATAATAATCCAAACGCCTCTCTTTTTTGTTATGAGCAAAAAAACCGAACGTTTCTGAGTGACGCTAAATAAAAAAGGGGACCAGGAAAAGCCGCGCACACCTTCATTCGTGACGGCCCTGGTTCTTTTTGATATTTTTACCATCGTCCAGTGCTGTGGCAATAATATATTGTATGTGCGCGTGGATAATTTGGTATATTTCTCGTGAATTTGCTAAGAAAATAAATGAAGAAAAATTGGTGTTGATTTTATTTTCAGAAGTTGTGACTGTTTCTTAGAATTGGACATCCGTGCACCCTTTCCACATCCGTGCATCCATCAATGATGATATTTTCTTTTCAATTTTGTTTTTGTTTTTTGTTTCTGAGCGATTCTTGAGAGGGTCGCTTTAATATGCGCTTGTTTCTTTGTACGGTGTATTACCTGCCGATCAGTATTTTTTTCATTAACCTTGAATTTTTCAGAAAATTATCATAATATTATTACATGGAAATATGGGAAGAAATTGAATATTATCTCATCTTTAGGAATAGAGGCGGAAAGGGCTGTTTAGCAAGTGCAATATGATGGGTGTAGTTAGTTTATTCAGATAAACCTCATATTGTGTGTGAAGCTATGTAGTTTCAATAAACACGAATTCATGATACTACCGTAAAGTGTTATTGAAAGTAGTATATTAAATAGTTAAAGGTTATATAGTATATAAGATCTTATTACGTATATTATAACTTTCAGTGTTGTCATTTTATTCAAATAAAAGAAATACATATACAAGTAAAGGAAAAATGGTATGTTACTAGCATCTATTGATAAAATTTAAGTTGGATTAGTTATAGAAAAAATGAGGAATTGAATTAAAGATTAGAGTTTACATGAATGATTGAGTTATCTGAAAGCATAGTTACTATTCATTGAAAATAATGAATGTTTATTGATGTATATTAGACTAGAATCTGCTAAGACGGAAATGTTAGAAAATATGACGATTGTCAGAAAAATTTTATTATAATAATTAGGAAAACTTATGGAAGGTGTGTTTGATTCTTAATTAAGATCGTTAATAATGAGTCTCAACTGAGTAGAAATATATCAATCTTTATTTTTGTTATTGTAAAGAAGTGTGATTAAATGAATGAGTGAAAGAATAACATCATAGCAATTCATGGAAAATTACTATTAAAGTTATTATTGATTATTGAAATATATATATGTATCAATTCTGAATGGTTTATTTGTCCCTTTCTACAACTGTGTCTTACTTATTTCCTATGTTTGAATATAGTTTACTAACAAATATCTTTTACAATCCTCAATCACAAAAAAATGTAAAAAATAATGGTTATTACATACAATACTTTTATTTTTTTATTCTTTGTTATGAGATATGTGAATTCTTCAAATTTTTAATACAGGCTAAAGTTCACGGTTCCCTAGCTCGTGCTGGTAAAGTTAAGTCCCAAACTCCAAAGGTTGATAAAACTGAAAAGCCAAAGAAACCAAAGGGTAGAGCTTACAAGAGACTACTTTACACTAGAAGATTCGTTAATGTCACTCTAGTTAACGGTAAGAGAAGAATGAACCCAGGTCCATCCTCTCAATAAGCGGTTTTAAAATATACTTAATAAAGTTAATTTACATATGTGTTTTTTAAAAAAAGAAATACATTTTATTAAATTATATACATATCTATAGAATATTTTAAATCTTTTCAATCTGTTTACACATGTTATTTTATATTTGTTTCGTTATTTATAGCACATATGTCATTATATATCATATTTCATCCATATAATGAAAGAGGGAATACTAAAATAAATATTAACAAGGTTGAAAGTACTTATATCTTACTGTCTTTTTTATTTGATATGCACTAGTGATTACATACGTAGATACAATTGTACCCCCTTCTTTATCTTTATCTTTATATTTATATTTATATTTATGCAATATATGCAACTATTCTTACCAATCGTCAGCATTTTCATCTTCATCACCAGCTCCGACTTTATTCTTTCTTTTACTTAATGCAGCTGCAAGAGCATCTGCTAATGAACCACCTGGTCCTCCACCAGGAGGTCCACCAGGAGCGGAACTCGATGTGGTTGTGACTGGTTCACCCTTGGACTCTTGTAATAATACAGATGGTCTATCTAGTTGAGATTTATCCACTTTCTTTAATGCACCAATACCACCGGCGCCCCTAATAGATGCCAATAAGGCATCTCTATTATTGTCTCCTGTAGTCTCCGGCATGCTCGTACCTGGAGCACCCATTGGAGGTGGTGCAGGTGCTGGTGGAGGAGCACCAGCCTGAGGTTGCGTTAGGAAAGCAGGTGGGGGTGGAGGAACACCAGCTTGAGGTTGTGTTAGGAAGGCAGGCGGTGGTGGAACAGGAGCTGCCGGAGTTGCGCCAGCGCCCATCGCTTGAGGCATAGGAGGTGCAGGAGGCATCACAGGTGCAGGAGGAATGGCTTGAGCCTGATGCATAGCCGGTGCAGGTGGCGGTTGTGGAATAGCTTGGGCCATTGGTTGTGGCGGTGGTGGAATTTGCATACCGAAGGATGTCGGTGGTGGTGTTGGGGTCTCCATGCCTGTATTAAATGTTGTCATAGGAGGTGTGGCCACACTTTGAGGTTGAGTCATTCCAGGCATTGCATAGCTCATATTATTAACTGGAGACATACCAGGTACTGGCATAGCCGTTCTAGGTGGTAGAGTACCAGGTGGTGGAGATTGCGCAATTGTATTGGTTCTGGCTCCACCCCTTGGAGGTGGCGGTGGAACAGGTCCCCTCCTTGGCGCAGGTGGCTGTATTGGTGGCCTATTATTATTAATTGCGGCCATGCCACCCATGGGAGCAGGTACACCTCCATGTCTGTGTGGAGGTGGAGGAGGAGCAGGTCCTCTTCTAGGTGGGGGAGGTGCTGGTGCGTTGGAAGCTCTAGGTGGTAATTGGGTTCCGAATGGAGCTGGTCTTTGAGCTTGGGCTCCAAATGCAGGTGGTTGTGGAACACTTCTCGGAGGTAAAGGCACAGAATTTGGAGCCATCCCTGGTACTTGTGGAAGTGGTCTACTATTTTGTATTGCGGCCGCGTTACCAAATGATGATGGTGGAAATTGGGTTGGTTGAGCCATTGGTGGGATTGGGAATGGTGTAGTAGATTGTTGTTGAGTAGGTTGCGCTACAGGTATTGGGAATGGATTATTTGATTGTGGCTGAGTAGTTGTCTGACCCGGTAATGGTGGAGCTTGTCCCGTTGGATGAGCAAATTCTGCAGGTAAAGGCGGAACACTGTGTTTTAGTATTGGCGCAGTATTATTAAATTCTTCTGCTGTACTTGGTGGTGAAGCTTCCCTAGTATCTTCTTCACTCTGCGGAATGGATGATGCTACTTCGTCGTTATTCCCTTGCATATCGTATTCGTCATCATCGGAATAATTCTGATATGAGTTGTAATCATTATCGTCATCATCGGCAGAATTCGTTGCCTCAGCTGATGGTGGAGGAGGTGGAGGTGCTTTTTTCCTTGTTTCCGGAATATGTTCTGCATTCTTATAATTATATCTTTTCCTTTGATCGCCCATTATAGTTTCACCTCTTGGACCTTGTGTTACATGTTGAGCTTTCTCCTTTGTTACTTTCTTTTTCATTGCAATTGCATTCTTATTCATCAAAGTCTTTCTTGAACCATACTTTTCACGTTTTTGAACTCTCTTTAAGAAATGTTGTGCTTCATTAATGTCCACAAATAAAAACCCAGCAAAACAATCTTCCATTTCAAAAGTATGAAAGAATGTACGATCTTGATAATATTCAAACCCTACATAAAGTTCTTGATCCCAAATGATCCCTCTATGTCCATATATATCGATCAATTTTAAGAAAAAAGTGTTCCCGACTAAATCATCAACTAATACAAGGGCCCCTGAGAGACCGGTGTATTTCCATTTATTATGATCAGGGTATGCGATGTATAGTCTGGCAATTGCAACGTCCAGGATCTTGTTCGAGCCCTTTGGTAGAGCTCTCTTAATGATTTCTTTATCCTGCGTGGATAGGAGACCCATATTTCTAGGTTTATCGTTATGAACCTTTTAAAAAATTTATGAAGAAATGTAAAGTCAAAACTATAACCTTGATAATAGAGTCGTTGTTGTAGGTTGTATAACGTTGATTATACTCAAATAGAGATGAAAATGTTTTCTTTACAGAAAAGTCTATGTGTTTTTATTGGTATTACTAGTTTTTGCAGCTTATACTGTAAATTTTTGTTTTAAGTTTCGAAATGACTATAAGCGGTTACTCTATCTGTATGAGGAACTTCATCAGTAGTAACGGTTAACCCCTTTCAGAGTAGGATCTTTAAGAAAAAAGACCAAAAAAAACGATATCGCTTGTAGCTGTCGTCGAAAGTGATACTTAAAGTAACGGTATAACTAAAACTAATAGAAACAACAATTGCCAGATTAAAAATGAGGAAAACTTTGAGAATTTACTATCCATTTAATGAATTGGCTTGTATAAGTAAACATAGAAAAAATTCATTACATCTATTCAAGAATGTAGCCCTGTCAAGAAATGTTTCTGCTTTAAGCTATAATCATTAAATGTCGAAATCAAATTAGATGATATAAAATGTAACACGTATATAATTGTGAAAAATTGTCAATTATTCATTAAATATTGGTACGGTCATTCGCTGGAGTTGTTGAAAAGAATAATAAAAGGGATGGTACTGAAGTATTAATCTTATTATTTTAAAAATTTTACTTTTGGTATCTACCAAGGAACTTACAAGAATACCTCAGAATGTAAACAAAAAAACAAAAATGATAATTCAATATTTTCCAAGATTTCTAACCCAAACCGACCCAAGATCTCCTACCATGGTAATATAATCATTCATTAAGAATAATACTTTAACCGTTTTAATCTCCATCCAAGCTAGGGCACTACATAACTATATATTTATATATATAGTTATGTGGTTAATATGATTTTTCTTTACATAACGGAAATATATATATATATCTTACATAGAAAAAAAAAATGAAATTTCTAGTAAAAGGACAGACAGAGAACAGAGTGAGAGAGCGAGCGACACATATTAAATATCGGACCTTCACAATGGGGATAAGGAAATTAGAACCGGATGTCAGTTATTTTCTCCAATAAAATATATATTTCAATGATCTTCCAATATATATATATAACTAACAAAAAAAAAGTTACATGGTCTAAATATGTTTATGTCTTATTGTAATTAATATAGGTTTAAACCTTGCACATATACTACTGCTACTACCCCTAACAAAACAAAACAAAAAATAAATCTGAGACACAACATGTTGTCTTCACCAAGAGTATCACACCGAATCGATGAGAATATATTTATTATTGAACTTTGTGACACTGATAATTTAAATTCTTTAACATTCGAGGATTTTCTTTTAATTGCGACATATTTAGAATTAGCTAATGAAAATTCTTCGATTAATTTTACCATAATTCAGAGTTCAGGTAAATTTTTCAGTGCTGGTGGAAAATTTACATCTGTGTTGGAGTTAGCGCCGGATTCCACTAATAATAAAAACCAAGAAGAGGCAGATGAAGCTAATACTGAATTAAGAAAACTGTATACTTTAATCGGAAGTGTAGCCACTCCGAACGTATATGTGACGAATGCGTTTGTTAAACATACCAAGCCTATAATATGTTCATTAAACGGGCCTGCCATTGGATTGAGTGCCTGTCTTGTATGTTTATGTGATATAGTTTATTCCATGAATGATTCTGTTTATTTATTGTTTCCATTTAGTAGTCTTGGATTTGTTGCAGAAGTAGGTAGTTCTGTTACGTTGTATGATAAATTAGGAATCAATACCACAAATGAACATTTATTTTTCAGTACAAAGATTCCATTTGAAGAATTGAATGAGAAGATAATTGTTAAAAATTATAATTTGGGGAAGGATCACGATGATCATATTGAACAAACTAAAAAATTTAATTCTAAAGTGATTTCTGATTTAAAATTGAAAAGTAAGCATTTGAGTCTTGGTAGTCTTCAAGAAATGAAAAAATTACTAAGTTTTGAAACTAATAATAAATTACGTCAAGCGCAATCTTTAGAGACTAATTCAACTTTACCATTTTGGATTAATGGGGAGCCATTCAAAAGATTTAGAGAATTACAACAAAAGAAGAGAAGACATAAATTGTGATAGCAACAATCTCATTATTTCCCCCCATCCATCCATCCATCCATATATATAAATATATATATACATATAATTGCTTACTCCCACCAGTATAAATCAATGTCTAAAACCTTATATAAGAGAATAATACTTAAGTAAAAATAATAATAATAAATAATAAATAAAAATGTCAAGTGAAAACATCATCACATCACTTGAAACGACAAGTATAACATTACAATATAGGACATTTATCCTTGTTCATGTATAATCACTACAGTAGATATTGGTTTACAGAATTTAGTAAATTATTAATTTGTCAGTAGCAAGCAATGACTGTATCCACGGCCTGCGCTGTCCATATTTCATGTCCGTTGTATGTTCCAATGCTGTACAGAGTAACATAATTGTGCACAAAATGACTGTAGCAGAACCACAAATTATTCAGAAGAACGCTGTCAATATCAAAATTGTAAAAATTAAATAGCACATTTTTCTGTTTATTCATTTTGTGCTGCAAAAGAAGAGAAAGAGAGCAAAAAGGAATGGAATTATTCAAACGAAAAAGACAAACAGGGACAAATTTTTCCGGTCCGAATTTTCATCTTAAAACGGTAACAAAACCGGCAGCGAGACAAGCAGATTCCCCAAAAGAGAATACATTGATTGAATGAACGAATAGGAAAGTTTTCTTATTCTTTATTTTTTGTTGCCGTTCGCTGATTGTGTCTGCCGATTAACCGGATAAAAACCCTCCAGAGAAACCCCCAAGAGAGGGTACGCGATATATACATATATACAGAGATACATAAATATGTAAAATACCTATATTCTTTAAACCACAGGGTGCACAGAAGGCCTCCTACAACACCACTACAGATTGATGCTTATCAGTTGTTTTTCAAATTTCTGTTTTTTCTTTTTATTACAGAGAAATGATTTATTTGCTTCTTCTTCTTCTCGGGTTTCCACTGTGCAATGTGTTCAGTTTCTAAATTGAAGCGGGGTATCGAGCCGATTGTTTCACTGTTGCTTTTCCAATTTATTTAATTGAACTCTTTTCCTTCCTTCTTTTGTATAAGCCCGTTTGTTAGTTCTAAAGACATCGAGAGATTCTTTGCAAAAACCCACCAAATGGAATAAATTAGAAATGAAATATTTCATTTCTACTTACAATAACATCTGCTTAATCTTAGTTAAATAGGAAACGAGGCAGCTAATTTTATGCTTCCTTTCATAGAGAGAGAGAGAGAGAGAGAGGGTTGCTACATTTCTTGAGAACTTACTCAGAGCAAGAAAGAAAGTTTCTCTGTTAGATTAACAATCTTATATTATTAAATAAGAATAAATAATAATAAATAGACCTCATTTTAAGATCAAACAAAAATGTTATTATACAATGGATGGACAATTCTATTATATTTTATACAGGGTAAATCCATCTGCGTATAATTTAATTTGGTTTATCATTATCTCTTTCCGTCATTACCTCCTAATATAGGTACCAAAACAACTTTATATATGTTGCCTTAAATTTTATAATACTTCTTTATTTTCATTCTTCTTTTCTTAAAAGTTAAGAATTGTTTATTATATCATTTCAAAGAGTAATATTAATAAAATATTGACGAATTCGAGCTTATTTATTACTCTGCAACTCTATCTTTACTGTTATAAGAATTTTTGGCATCTTTTGTTGATTTCAATTTTTTGTTTCAATTTTTTTTTGCTTCTCTCATTATTAACCGGGTATTCCAATTTAACGGGTTAAAAAACACAGTTCTCGTTTTGGGAAAAAAACACATCCATATACGTAAATTGAATATTTTCATAATAATAACACACTTTTTTATTATTATTATTATCATTTTTTATTATCAGATTAGAAGATTATTTTGACAATAATTGAATCCAAAAGATTCTCAACTTAATCAGGAAATTCCAAACTCAATTAGTCAAAGTAATATTTCATTACATTTGGATACCACTTTTTAAAAGGAGACATATATTGGAACACAAGTACGTGCACCAAACTCATATGAACAATTGACATATAATTTCTTTCCAGCTAAAACCAAAAAAGTAAAGTTATTAAAATTCCGGATTATTAAGAATTGTTCAAAGGACATCACACTCTTCAAACAAGATTGACTTTTATTTTCCCCCGTTTATTGTTTACTCATAATCCATATACCTCTCCCCACTCACCGTTTTACGTTTAATCTTCGAGAATATATTTTGTTCCTTTTACAATAGACACATTGATTTTATACTCTAACATAATTTAACGAAAACAACATTCTTTTTATTTTTTTTTGAGGGGACTCCCTTAATCATAACAATATTTTCAACACACACACACACACACGGATATATCTTTTTAAACCTGATCGAGCAAACGTTAATCATATAACAAACAAACAGATATGGGACGTCCTAAGAAAGAAGTCAGTGAAGAGAAAATCGAACAATTCCAAAGAGAATTGGAACTGGCAGGTGATAGAACGGATATTTTATTACAAGACAAAAAGGGAAGATCAAGATCATGCTTACTTTGTAGAAGAAGGAAACAACGGTGTGATCATAAAGTACCTAGTTGTACTGCTTGTTTGAAAGCTGGTGTGAAATGTGTTCAACCGGTAAGATATGTGAATGCAATTAATAACAATACGGCTAATCAAAGACAAAAGAGTAATAGTAATAGTAATGAGAAAATTCATAATCATTTGACTAAAGATATTGATAATCGAGAGGATTCAGAGATAAAACCAAATAATATAATCCATAACGATCATAAACACTCACAGAGTATAACGTCATCTCCACAGTTAGAAAAAAATTCTTTGAAAAATAATTCAACTAATAAAAAAGTTAGTATGAAAAATAATACTAACAATCAACTAATACCAACCAAAAAGGATGAATATACAAAAGTTCTGGAGAAAAAATTAAAATATTTGGAAAAGTTAGTAAGTTTAGAACCAAATGGTCCTATATTCAATAAAAAGCTTGAACAATATAAGAAAATTTCACATCTATTGGAAACCACCAGTTCTCCAGAACCAGAAAATATAATAACTTTACCTGCACCGCATGTAGATAATAGTCCAGTTGTGTTACGAACGGGAACTCCAAATAATGTGGCTTCACCTGCGAACACAAATGGTTTGGCCCCATTTATCAAAGTCTCAACATCATTTTTCCAAAGACAAAGTGGAAATCATATCAACCAGCAATCTGTACAACAATCACAACCTCAAATTCTAACAGATCGCAATAGCATACAAAATTTACATTCTAATCAAAGTAGTACGAGTATCAGAAATGATACATCAGCTACTCCAGTTGCAACAATACTACAACATAATAATACTAATATTCCTTTACTTTCGTCAGACTCAGTAGATTCAATAGATTTCTCAAAGTGTATTTTTGCCAAATATAACTTAAAGGAATTTTACTCATATGATCCAGCATTTGAATTTGATGAAGAATTATCTCGCTCATTTTTAGATACTTTTTTCACGCGGTTGCAATTTAAATATCCATTATTAGATGAGCATGAAATTTACGAATTTCATGAAAATTATATTAAAAATGCCATCTATTCATATTCTGATAATGAATTTCATTTTTGTTGTGGTAGAATGTGGTTGGTTTATACCATTGCAGCATGTTTACACATGACAACAGGGAAATATAAAGGCCAACCACCAGTACGATATTTTTCTACAGCAATAAGACATATCACTAGATGTGGTGAGAAATTAAACTATGGTCAACGTATTGAATTATTAACATTATTAGTTTTATATCTTTTGAGAACGGATCGTGATACCATGATTCTTTATGATATTATTAGTGATGTTATGAGAATATGTAAAAATGAATTACATTTAAACAAATGGGATCCACAGGATCCAAGTGCTAACAAGAAACTTAGACTGTTTTGGTGTGTCTATTTATTAGAACGGATGATTTGTGTCTCTGTCGGAAAACCATACACTGTAACTGAATCAGAAATTGATTTACCATTTTTCAATGAGGATTCTTTTAATACGAAGAATACTAAGATCCATAGAGGTGTACATTTTATCAATCAATCATTAAAATTAAGAAGAATAGAATCGAACTTTGTTGAAAAATTGAAAATATTACCGAATAATGGTAGACCAAACAATAGTAATAAAAAAGAATTACGTAAACAGTTACCTTTATTGAAAAATATTTTCCATGATTTAGAAGTTTGGAGATCAAATTGTGTTCAGACATATGTGAAGAATTTTGAGAATGAGACTTTAAAATTGTATTACTATCGATCTGTGAGATTACTCATTCAACCATACTTAGAAGCTTTAACCCCCGAAGATCGCTTATTTAGAGAATGTCAAGCTGCGGCAGGTCAAATTTGTCAATTATACAAGATATTTCATCAAAGAACAATCACTGGTCATTCGACCCCAGCAGTCCATACAATATTTGTCGCAGGTGTAACATTAATTTATTGTATGTGGTTAGCAAGAAATTATGATGATGAAAGACGTAAGAAATTAGGTGATGTATCAAAACATACAAGACCTCTTGTTACAGCAAGTTTATTTTCCACTATGGACGATCTGAGGGCCTGTTCTGTTTGTCTTTATGTCATGACTGAACGTTCTGATTTTGCTAGAATCTTTAGAGATACATTTGATCAATTGATGAATGCTACGGTGGGTAATTTAATTGAACGTTGTGGTCCAAATTCTTCAGAATTAATCTATATGTCAAACACGGGAGATAATCTACAAAGTAATATCTCTAAGAAGACTAAAGGGAAAGAAAAGAATGCTAAAAGTAATAATAATGACAATAAAAATAATTCTAAAAGTAATAATAATGATAATAAGGACAATATGGCTGGGGATTTAAATTCTAATAGTGAGAATATAGGAGAAGGGAACAATGAAGATTCTGAAACAATTACGAGTGGTATGCCACCAGCAATGAACAGAACGTTTGGTAAGAGACAAGCCGAGGAACATGTTGGATTTGTTGAAAATTCGCAAGTTGATCTAGATGAACAAAAGAGAATGAAACAAAGAAGAGGTATGCTTGAAAAGATCAGCGTTCCAAGAAGTCTATCTCATTTACTAACTAATAATGATTCAGATATTAGATCTGAGGAGAAAACCGAGGAGAAATCCAATGAGAATAATGCCAGCACCCCTAGAATATCTTCGTATTCCTCTGTTTCATCATCTTCGGAGAAAATTCTTCCTTCCTTCAATGGTTATAGTGTCGAAAATAGAATGAATAATAATGTTATTTCCGATATGACTCCTAATGTAATCAATAACAACAACATTAGGGACTTCAAAATTGATACAAAGGTTATTGCGATGGATATGAAGGACAAACAATATATTGTTAAGAAGCCAATAAATATAGTCGAATTTAATTGGAAGAATTTTGAACATCAAGCTTTTTTACAACAACATTTTGCACAACAAAATTTACAAGCTTATTTAACAGCACAAAATCATTGGTCCGGAACAACTACAACGAATCCAAACAGTGGGGATACTGATATGGCATCTAATTTCAATAACAACAGCAAGATTGCTTCGTCATCCATACCGCAATTCTCAATAGATGAAAACAATATCTATAGGCCTGCAACAATGCCACCGTCACAACAACAACAATCATCATCAGAATCAAGTGTACTATCGTATAATGGTAATAGTAACCATAATGATAACATTAACAATAACAATAACAATACAAATCCTTCATCTATGAGAGAAAAATTGAATGAACTAGTTGGTAAAACTAATGAACCTGTAGTTGATAATAACAATAGTAATAATAACAATGGTAATGTGTTGTATCCAATACCAATGAACAATAACCACCACAACCCCAACCACCACCACAATACTAATAATAATGGTACTGGTAGTTATGTACCAAATGCCGCTGTAACATTTTCTAGTGGACCAAGTCTGAATGTGGCATTACCTGAAAAGAGTCCCAATCCCAATGATATATTATTTAATAATGGTACACATGATATGATTAATAATATTTCTACATGGACTACCAATTCCATTAATGAAATATCGGGACAAATGCCACAAGATGGTATTAATACTATACAATCCGAACCATTTACGACAAATATTCGTCCTACAGATTACCCAAATAATGATAACAATAACAGTAACACTAATAATAACAATGTAAATATTGTTAATGTTTATCAATATAATCAGAATAATAATACTCATAATAATGAGGCGAATACTACTAATAATAGTAATAGTAATAATGGCACAACAAGAGATGATAAACCTGCAGAAGAGTTTTGGAGAGTTAACGATGATTATGGGTTTTTGACATGATATATATAAGATATATATATATATATATACAATCAAATAATTTAGCATATAATAGTAATAATATTAAAACAAGCCATTTTTTAATTAATTTTATTAATATATATGTACCGTTGTAAGTGATTTCCCAAGCATCGCGAAAAAAACGTATATAAAAAAAAAAGAAAAAGAAAATAAAACAAGATAAAGAAGATTAGCTAGTTAGTTACACATAATTACCAATATCAAGATGGAAAGAGCCAAAAAACAATAAACAACACCCATAACTTAGAAATCTGACCGTTGAACAATTTTGTATTTAATATAGCAATACGATGACATTACATACTCTATATATTCCATCAACTTGTTCAATTACCACTATATATGAACAACTTGTATTAGCCTTTGAAACTTCATATAAAGAGGCAGGTAATAATAATAATAATAATAATAATAATGGAATAACTATTCAAAGACGGGATAGATCGAATTATACCAGTATTGAAATATATTATGATAATCAAATTTTTATAAAATTTAGTAATATTGCAGAAGATAATAGTAATGAGGATGATAATACTAATAAATTATTCACTCAATTAGAGTTTGAAATATTTGACAGTAAGAGCTCAAATGACAAGCTTCTCAATATTTATGAATCACTTTATGACACTATTAAACTTATTATATTGAGTTGCTGTTTTAATAATAATTCAAGAGACAAACAAATAGCTGCCTCTACTCTAAATTTCTCAAAAAATATGCCAAGTTCTAATAGTTCTAGTAGTACTAGTAGTACTAGTAATAATAATATTATATGCTCTTTATTAGAAGAGCAATTTGGAGAAATGTTTAAAAATCCGGCAAGTACTAGTGATAGTCAACAAGGAGTTATTACTACAGGCAAATATAGTGTACTAATAGATCTAGAACAATTGCGTGTCGTAGAGAGTGACTCTGCACCCTTAAAAGGTCGTGTAGAATCTGTTCTTGCCATAGGTAAATTATTACGTACTCCACTATGTTAAATAAAGCAAGCAAAACAAGCAAAACAAGCAAAACAAGCAAAGCAAGCAAAGCAAGCAAAGCAAGCAAATAAATTTTCATGCAAGGTGCTCATTTCACTACCACTATGTGATAAATACAAAAATAATTCTCCGAGACAAAAAATTGTTTTCATTTCCCTTATAGTGGGGATACTATACCGAGTGAGGGAGAACAAACTGCGTGTGTGCACTGTACTGAGTACGTTTTGTTGAGACTTCTTGTTGTCAATTGTTCCCCCACCCTTCTGGAAGAGCATGTCTTAAAGGGGGAGGAAACAATACATATATATATAATATATAATATACAGACCACCATACCATCTACAGAGAGAAGTAAATATGCCTTCTGAACACTGCACGAATTTCAGCGGGCACAGGACATTTCCTTTTTCACACTTTATCGTTCCCCTCTTCCTCTCCCCTTCTCCCCTTGAGTAGCTCATTATTGCCGAGAAAATCTGCTCTAACTCTCATTATACATAATATATATGTATTATGCCTTATGTATATTACGTATGGGAAATACGCGCACTCACTCACACACATATATATATATATGTGTGTGAGTGAGTGCGCGTTAATCTACTGAATTTTAGTAGAAAACACTGACATCCCCCCTTAAAAGTGCACACACACAGATTATTGCTAATATTATGCTCGAGCTGTTTTGTTGGAAGAAAGTGAGGAGAACAGATACAAAGAATGCAACTTTTGTGAAAACATTGCAACAAACAGTTTTTCAATTGTTCTGCCGCACTGTCGTAGAGTTGTCGCACTTTATTGGGTTTGCTACCTTATTGTACTGTGATTGTGTCGCACAACTGTGTCTAATCTTTGCATGGTATTGTAACATTTTGGGATTTTAATAGAGCGGGGGAAAGAAGGGGGGAAAGCGGTTGAAAAATGGAAACGAAAACGAAAATGAAAAATAAACAAGTAGCTGAAAAGGTTAATGCACTGCAAATGGGAAGAGATCAATAAACCAACACACACAACATGTATATATATTTACACGTATCTACTTGCTTTTCTCTGTGTTCTTGCTATACTCATTGCCCATTCTTTGCATATGCACAATATATTTACAGTATCAGTATCAGTACATTATTATCATTATTATTATTATGGAGTTTTTTTATTTTAGTTTTATTTGACTTGATTTGATGTGATTTGACATCATATTACTTTTATATAATTATATCGTTATTTTTTGGTTCAAAATACATGGCTTCTATCTTTTAAAAGGTGATTAATAATTTTAATGGATTATTATTTTTTAAAAATATTTCATTTTCCTTTGAACTTGCTATCCTTTAATTTCATTTTTATTGCAAAGAATAAGGAGTTTTATTTTATGTTATGTTATTTGTTCTTTTCTCTTGTTACTATATCTTTGAAACGTATCAAAAAAATTACCACTACAAGTAATAGAGTAATATTGTGATTATATATATATATATATCTCTAGATAGATATAGAAAAAAACAAACAAACAAACAAACAAACAGATATATATAATCATACTAAAAACCCACATTAATAATAATCACATTACAATATGATAATACCACAATTACCAAGTAGTAATATTAAAACTAGATTTAGATCAAAATCAACAAAGGAATTATCTTCAATTTTGAAAAAGACTCCATCAATATTTAATAATAGCAATGATAACACTACTAAGAATATCAGAATTAGAAGTAATAGTACACAAAGTTTGGGTAGTAAAAAAAATGTACGATTTTCAACAAATTTAATTGCTATTAAGAAATTCGATAAATTTGCCGAACCTATTACTATCTCTAATGAAACATCCCCCGATTTATCACCTTTATTAATTCCATTAGATATGACATCAAATAATAATAATGATAATGACGACGATTCTTGTTGGTTTCACGATTTAAATTTAGTCCCAAGATTAATCGACATTGAAAATAATTTTAATGAATTTCATTTCAATAATAAAAAAAATAAATTATTTTCTCTGGATGATGAGGATTACAACTACGATAATGACGAAGATTTAAATTATTATTTTAATGAAGCTGGTACTTTAAGAAATGACAACAACAACAATTCAAATCCTACATCTCCAACTAAATCATGTACTGACGATCCTTTATTACAATTACAATCTAATCAAAATTTAAAATGGGAATTATTATCTACGAATATTATTAATAGTAATTTGATTTTAACTAACGATTTTATTAAACATTTTATGCATAATCAAAACATCAAAATTCAATCTTTGAAAATTAATAATGAAAATAAATTAGCAGGTTATTTAATTGTTAATAACTTGTCTTTTGAAAAATATATCGAAATTAAATTCACTTTTAATAATTGGCAAAATATTCATTACGTTAACGCATCATTTAATAAAATTATCTCTCCAAATTATGATCAATTTAAATTCGTTATCGACATTAATTCTTTTAAATTCTTTTTAAATTTGAAAAATTTATTAATCAATGATATTCTAAATATCGAACTTTGTTGTAGATATGATGTTAAACATGAAACTTACTATGATAATAATAATTACAATAATTATAAAATGGTATTGAAAAGACCAATGAAAAAACAAAATGAAATCATCCCTAATAAAAATGATATTTTAAATATATCAAACGTACAAGATAAAATCACCGCTTCTGCATCAAAAGCCGACTCGTTAAGAAGAGTAAGTAGTATGAATCCTGTATCAAGACATCATACTAGAACGTTTAGTGCTGACACTGATTTTTTCAATACTTCTCCATTGAAAAATATTTATTATAATAAAAAGATTAGTATTCCATCAACTACTACAACCACAACTAGTACTACTGGTACTAATGTTGTAGTACCGACTGCATCAAGGATTATTACGAGTGCTAGTACACCTCATCTAAATGAGAAAAATGTTTTGTCTTTCAATTCGGACCTTTCATCTATTTCTTCAAGTTCTATATCGTCGGCAGCTTCCTCTACATCAACAGATTCATCATCTTTATATTCATTTCAAACAGAAAACGATACAACCCCAATCATTATTAAACCATTACCAACAAATATTTTACAATTACATGACAAAAACAGCATCAATGATGACCAACCATTAGCAGAAAGAAGAACAAGAAGGAGGGAAAGTAGTCCGCCGGATGTGTCACCTTTGGAAAAGACTTCTATACAGGATAGTATTCTTAACACTGCAACGACACCGGGGATAGAATGTATTAATAGTTACCTTTCTCCATCATTGGCAGATATTAAAGATCAATTATATTTATCGCCATCAAAGGGGCCATATGAAACTAAAAATGTATTTAATGATAATAACACAATTACAAGTTATTCGGAAAGTGTTGCCACTGATGCAACATTAATTAAAAAAGTCTCAAGAAAAAATAAAGAAGAATCTATTATAGATCCCTTAGATAATGGTTCAGATAACATTAGTAACAAGAAAACAAAAAATAAACATTCTACAAGTACACCATCTTTGGATTCAGACTATAAATCATTATTAGACTCATGTTGTTTTTACACTCCAACAGCATTAAGCCCGAATGAATCCTCACCAAATAAATTCTCATTCATGTCATCAATTGCAGATTAAGATACTCTTAGGTTTCTTTATTTTGTATTGATACATTTTATTAAAATATTCCATTCATAAAACATTCTTTTTGTCCAATTTTCATTTCATTTCATATTAATTATTAACTGTTTGAAATTTCAAACTAGCTAACACATACGTTACATCCTCGAAATGATATACTATTAGATTGTGCGTTTCGCATTATGTTCACTAAATTTTTGTATTTTTATCCATTTACTTATATTTCAATTCTTTTATAATATGTGTATATATATATATATTTTGCACTAATCGTTATTCAATAAACAAATTAGTTTCATCATAAAAAAATTATTGCTTTCTTTTTATAAGTTGTACCAATGAAATAAACAAGACGTCAAAGTACCTCTATATACGTTTTCAATTCTCGAAGTGTTAGAAGAATTTATAACTTTGTCTATTTCGACAAAAATACTGACAACTAAGATTTAAAAATATTAATGACATTTCCTATAAAATTTTCCGAAAGAATAAAAGAACACAATACCAACTACTAATAAAATAGAATTTTAAACGTCAAAAAATGACAGTGTTTAACATTTTCTGATGACAGATTCAAAAAAAATAAAAATAAATGCGCAAGCCCGGAATCGAACCGGGGGCCCAACGATGGCAACGTTGGATTTTACCACTAAACCACTTGCGCGTTTAATTCTGTAATTTGTTATATTGGGATCTCAGATGATTGAAGACAAAAATATAACAGACGGTTATATTTAATTACTATTACTATGTTGTTTATGTTGACGTAGATTGGCAAAAGAGTAGATACTAATAGAATTAGGATTGGGAACGATTGTCATTTCTGTAGAGAGTCTGAGATTGTCGGAAATGTTGTGGGAATATTAAGTAGCGATACTTATTATGGTAACAATTCATGAACAGATAGAACATACTTGTATGTTCTATAGCAACTGTTCTAAAAGGATCACGTGGTCACTAATTATCACGTGACATGTATATTATAATATCGGAAAAACTATTAGAAGATATTTTTCCGATAACGCGCGATGCGCTTCAAGAAAACTTTTCCTGCGATGAGATGCCCATTGTACATTACTTCATTTATTAAAGAGATACTATCTCCTCGAGATATATCTGGGTATCTATCTATATATTTATAGGATTAGCTTGTATACTACTTTATGTAATAGATCAACGAATAAAAATTATACAAGCAATCTTTATAGAAATGACAATCGTTCCCAATCCTAATTCTATTAGGATCTACTCTCTTGCCAATCTACGTCAACAGGAAATATATTAGAAGAGGGATAATGACCAAGGTTGTGATCTATTGATAGATTCATCCCGCAATGATCTATTGATAGGTTCATCCCGCAACAACTTAATAATAGATTACTTACGCCACTGTCGAGTGAGTCTATAATCACGACAATGATAATCCAACATATATAAATGGAACAATATTTCATTTATGAATATAATTGTTTCCATAATTTACTTTATATATTTTTATATAAGATATAAAAAGATGAGACGACTATAAGTTGATTTTGTAATATAATAAAATTTGTTCAGTTAAATAGAAGATGTCTAATTTACAATTTTCCCATCAGAGATAGAGTGTTTGCCTCTATTAGTCTCTTCAAACTTTACTTTATTTAATTCGGATATTTTTTAATACGATAATCGATCAGTCTCTTTATATTGTTATAATATAGAAGTAGCAATACTTAGTTATTACAATTTTATGTTTAGTAAGAAATTATTACTAACTGTTCAATATGATTCTAGAACATTCTTTAAGAATGATTAGTAAGCAAGTATTACTAATTGTTTCATAAGTGTCTAGAACATGTTTCTAGAATGTTTAGTAAGAATACTATCAATATTTGGTAGACTGTTTTCCTTTTCCAAAAGTTTAAAAGGAACACATATTCTAACTTTATATATATACACAATCTTCCTTATATAGACTTACTTTATATAACATAAAATAAACCACAAGATTATACATTTGACTATCTATAACTGAGCTGAAGCAGACATACTGTGGTTAGACTTATATTCGTTCATTATTAAAGGTGTTAGGTATAGAGGTGAATGGTGTAGCTTAAGTTTTAATGTTAGGTAAGCAAAATATATTTGTTATATTTCTCTTCTATTTGTAAGTGATTATTTATTGTATATAATTTATAGAACGAACAGAATCTAACTTAGAATGTAAGTTCAGAATTCTTTGTCTTTATATATCATTTATTTTATCGAAGTTTCGTTTCTTCTTATTACCTAAACGATTGTTAAGTAGTAAACTGATTACCTAAACGATTGTCAAGTAATTGATTTGTTACCTAAACGATTGTTGGTTAAACGATCGATAAGTAATGAACTTATTTTCTAAACGATTATGGCCTAAACGACTATTACCTAATAAAATGTTTATTTCTTATTAGGACATCTTAGATATCTTGATTTCACATAATTTCTGTCATATAGATATTCAAATGTATAATCTCGTGGTTTATTTTATGTTATATAAAGTAAGTCTATCTAACAAAGATTGTATACATATAAAGGTAGAATATGTGGTCCTTTTTGTAGAGAAGCTAAAATAGAGGTTTTATCTCTAGTGTTAAACAGAGCTGTTGTTGTTAAACTGCTCATCTTTTGCGCATAGTAACGTTGGACTATGTAGCTCCAATAAACCCAATGTAGGGGGAACGAATACTACATTATGCAGTATATACCATGTGTTATCCTATATACGGCAAGGCAGCACACTCTAAATTATACTTATATTAGCTACCTTCACCTTCAGATAGGTTAAGCTAATGTTAGCCTTTTTAATGCTGCCGCTACATTTCTACAAGGAACATATTTTCTGAAAAACCCCACTTATGATTTTAGATATACAATTAAAGCCATGTATATAAATATTTCTTAAAAAAACCAAGAAAAAATGCCATCTTAGTATAATGGTTAGTACACATCGTTGTGGCCGATGAAATCCTAGTTCGATTCCAGGAGGTGGCACATTTCTTTTTCTTATTTTTTTTGCCATAATATTCTATTATTACCTCTGACAGAGAACACCTTGGTCGATAAGTAGATGCATTATTGAGCTATCATTATATGTAGTATTTGGGAAATTACTTTAAACTGATGTACTGTTCAATATGTGATTGTTTTTCTTTTAGGCGGCTAAGCTTTTTCTAGGCTTCTCCCATTTCAAATAAATTATAACAATACTATTGAGAAAACAAAATATTAACACAGGAAACTGTTTGAAAAAATAACTACTATTTTCTGAAAATCGTTTAACCTAAAATATTGAATAAATAAATGTTTTTGCCAATGTTTCGTTTAATTAAGAGGATGAACAATGAGATTTTATTTTGTGGTAAATTAACAACAACAATTTAACGTAATGAATCTATGTAGAAATTAATGCAATTAAAATATTTTAGTTACATTATAGGTTTCTAAATGTTGTTAACAAAAAAAAGAATTAGTTCTGATTTTGTGAAGTAAGATATTTAACTTGGTGAAGAACAGTTTTCTTTTTGAAGGGCGGTAACAACAAATTAGTAGGCTTTTTAGTATAAATATATTTTGTGAATAGATACCATTCAGCTTGAGAGAATCTGAGTAAAATATTTTTTTATATATCCGATGATAAAAGACAGTAGGGACAGGTTCATTCATTTAATTGATTTAGATTATTTACGTATATAACAATTGTAAAATAAGAAATTTGTATCTAATATTAAAACGAGACTTTAAGCTAAAATACAGAAATGGATATGTATACATAATATAGAAATATAAAAAGATGAAGGGAAAGAAATTCGATAAACAAAGATGAGAGGGAAAGATAACAGAAAAAAACTAACATTTTGGTTACCATATTAATAGGAAAAATAGGAAGGCATAAGATTTGGTACAATTAAAACAACAACATCGTTATGGAATGGGTTAAGAGACTTACATTAATCGTATAGTTCACAAACTAATAGAAACATATGAGGATAATCATACTAAGAATGAACACACAGATGATCAAAAACAACTCCAAATTGCAATTCTGTGTCAATCATTATTAGAAATATATGCAAAAAGTAAAATGATATGACATGGAATGATTAAATGAATAAAAAATAAAAATAAAAATGAATAAAATGTTCTTTTGAATTGCATTTTGGGAATGATTTTGTAATATCTTAGTATCCACCTATTTGTATGTTTTGCTTCGTAGAGAATAAAATGTCGTTGTCCATAAGTATAGTTCAATAGTTATCTGCACATAATATTTATGAAGATAAGTTCAAGTTAGGTCAAAAACACACACACAGGAAAGACTTGAATATAGATGAGAATGGAATAGCATTAAACATACAAACAAAAGAGAAAAATAAAATCTTGAATTTTATTTTATTTTATTATTAACTATGTTCTATTTGATATGTGATAATAATAATAATAATAATAATAATACTATATCTTTCTGTTTTGAAAGAATTTTAATTGGGTGTAATAATGTAATGATTAAACCATATATTTCGTTGTTATTGTTTTCTGTTAAACACAATTGTATAAGTCTCTGTTTCTTTCTTTTCTCTCTCCTATAATAAAAAGTGTGGGGGATGATGATGGGATAACCATAATTAATAAATTATATCTTTAATCTCTCTTTGCTAATGTTTTTTTAATTATAAAAAAAAGAAAATTTGTTAAATTTTTTTCTTCATAACGTTAGTTATTTCTTCTTTCTACCACCTTGTTGTCTTGGTAAACTCTTCTGAGCGGGTTTTAAAATTTGGAAAGAACATAATAAACTTTCATCTACACTCATCATAGCACCTGCATTATCGAATTCACCACAATAATTTGGAGCACTAAATAGAGTAACTAATTGTCTCTTACTGAAAAATTCATAACCATCTTCAACAACTTGATGAGCTCTACAAATTAATTCCATATCTTGTTTCTGTAAGAATCTGTTTACAACATCTGGACCAAAAGTAAATGAAACACCTCTATCATTTTCACTCCAACCTACAATATCTTTATCTGGATCCGACCATAGTAAATCACAAAGTAAACCGACATCTGGAATATCTGTTGGCCTCATAACTCTTCTAATTTGTTCCATACTGTTTAAATCTGGAGATAAACCACCATGCATACAGAAAATTTTTTCATCAATAATAGCAGCAATTGGTAAACAATTGAAACAATCTGTGAAAGTTTTCCATAATTTAATGTTATAACGTCTCTTACATTCATCATAAAACCCATATATTCTATTAATGGAAGCACATTCATGATTACCTCTTAAGATAAAGAAGTTTTCTGGATATTTAATCTTATATGCTAATAATAAACAAATAGTTTCTAAGGATTGTTTACCACGATCAACATAATCACCTAGAAATAGATAATTAGATTCTGGAGGGAAACCACCATATTCGAATAGACGTAATAAATCATAATATTGACCATGAATATCACCACAAATCTGTCATAAATTTTTGTTTTTAATAAACAAAACATAATTTACTTAAATATTAAGTAAAAAATAATAAAGATTGTTCATTAAAATATGAATTTGTTAGTAAAAAGTTTTTTTTTATATCTTTTAAAAAAAGAGATGTTTTTTATGTTATGTTTTATCCCCATTATTTGATAACCATAATAATGACTAAACGTTCATCATGTTCATTATTCGAAATATTTTATTCATTTATGGTCATATCCGCGGTGCTAAAACAATTATCATTTCATATTTTATTATAGCTATTTTGAAATCTTTTCTTAGGTAATCAAAATCAAAAACAAAGAGGCAAAAAAATCTTTTAAAGCGTGGGCAAAAAAAAGGAGTAATAATAATGAACTAATCAAAACAAAGAAAATAAAAATGGGGGAAGAGCTTAACAAAAGACAGATCAGACAAACATTGAATAGAAAGAATCAATAAAATAGCCTGAGACTATCATGATACACTCTTCTAAATCAATGTTATATCAATCTAATATTGTTAAACCAAAAAGGGAATAAAACAAAAACAAAACAAAACAAAATTCTCAACATACTTTAATTGGAGCTTCTAATTCAAGTAGAATGGGTTGTTTAATGAATATAGATCTTGCCTTTGAACATAGATATCTAATTTCATGTTCTTCTAAATCAACTTGTTGACCTGGTTTTGAACCACGAACTTCTAATAATCTGTCGATGATGTTATCCACATCGATTGTTTGTGTCTCCATGATTCTTTAAAACAGATGTATTATTATTAGTTGTATTGGATACGAATAGGATTTATAATGATAATCTTTATCGTTCTTTTAAATGAAAATTCCAAATAATTAAAAAGAAGAACTAAAAATGAACGACTTTTTTTTTTCGATCTTTTTCCAAAGGATTAATAACTAAATGTAAATGTACAGATTTTGAAAAATATAACCCACTAAGATTAATTCAATTTCTATATTATATTATATTTCTTTCTTACCAAATTTAAATTCTTTAGTATGCTTCGTTTTTTTTCTTTATAGATTTTAGAATAAAAGAAAAACGAATAATAACGACAACAGACGACAACAAAAAGGGAGTTGGGCAAAAATAAATAAGTAAATGTAACTGTACTACTGGTTATATATATATATATTACTTGGACTAAATAATCAAAATAAAATAAATGAAGTATATATAAACATAAAACACCCTTACTAAAAAGAAGAAGAAGGGATATATAACAAATTAGAATAAATAAGAATAAAAATAGTTGAAGTAATTAGGATATAATAGACCTCAAGTAATAATATCTTTAACATGAAAATGATGCTAAAAGGGTGAAAAAAAATTTAAAAAAAAACATTCAGAATTTTTTCTGAATGTGTTAAAAGTTCTAAAAATTTAAAAAAACAAAACAAAAAAACAAAAAAATGAAATAAAACGAAATTAACAAAGAGGAAGGGGAGAATTACCACCAGAAAATTCCGTTTCTTTTCTCCCCTTGTACAAAACTGGGTAAAAGCGAAAATCTCCCTTCTCGATTTGAGAGCTGAATTTACTTTGCAAATATATATATTTTTCTTTCTTTGAAGGCATTACAAAGAAAACAACGCAGGGAAGTGGTTTAATTTCTTGACGAACACTTAAGATCAGGGTAATCACAATATGACACCCTGTGACGACGAGATTTACGGAGTCACAAAAAAGAATAACAGTAGCAACTTAGGCGGTCGTGGAATATGATATCTATTTCGAAACAATAAATGCTTATTATATAAACTAAAGAAAGCTACAATAGTATATCTTTCATCAATTGTAGAGATGAATACTTTCTCTTATGTTTTAGTTCTTCTGTCAAAACAACTTGCAAGAATAAAATAGATGGGGTTATGTTCTCTCAACTGAAGCTTGCATGGTAGAAAGGTGTAGGCGTAGCTTGAGTTCAAATGTTAAAATAAAGCAAATGTTTTATGTTAATCCTCTCTATTAATTGTAAGTGGGGTTTCATTATTATGTAAGATTTATAGAACGAATGGATTCTAACTTGGAATGTAAGTTTAGAGTTCTCCGTCTCTATATATTAATTATTTTCTTGACATTCGGTTTCACTTATTACCTAAACGAAATGTTTAGTTCTTATTAGGATATTTAAGATATCCTGCTTCCACATAATTTCTGCCACTCTCCTATCTTATGAAAGTTTTTAGTATTATTTATATAATAAATGAATATACATATAGATACGTCTTCCCATTTTCTTAGAGCTACCAATAGTACCCAAAATCTTTAATATTGTATTAAAGATATTTGTTTTCAGTCTTATTAATTTTTTATTCATTCTTCTTCAATGGAGTCACTCTTCTTAGATTCCTTACCCCGAGCCTACTTATCAATTGATATTGCTATTGTTATTGTTATTATTACGTACTATACATTTAGACAAGATAACAAAATATTAGAGTGTATTCCTTCTTAAATAGACACCTTTTAAATATATTACAAGAGGGATAATGACCAAGGTTATGATCTGATGCTAGGTTCATCCTGCAATGATCTATTTATAGCTTCATCCCGCAACAACTTAATAATAGATTACTTACCCCACTGTTGAGTGAGTTTATAATCACGACAATGATAATCCAACATATATAAATGGAACAATATTTCATTTATGAATATAATTGCTTCCATAATTTACTTTATATATTTTTATATAAGATATAAAAAGATCAGACGACTATAAGTTGATTTTGTAATATAATAAAATTTGTTCAGTTAAATAGAAGATGTCTAATATTCAATTTTCCCATCAATATATAATTATAAGTAGCCTTAAATGGATGAAACGTTTATAAGTTCTGTTGATATTATTTTATTTGATCTTTCAATTAATTCCTCCCCACTTTAGGTATGACCAACTTACAAAGTCTCATAACATAAAAAACTTATATACTTCAAGCTCATAGAAATATATCTACAAAAGGTCACTTGTACAAGCTATAAAGTTTAAAAACAAATGTTTCAATCGGTAAAATTCGTTAGGTATATAATGAACTATAAAATTTTAGATATAATCTAATTTGTATATCGAGATAGCTTTACGGCAAAACAATTTCCCTGCATTTGTAAAGTACGTTAATTTTAAATTAACGCGCAACGCGAAGGCATATATTCAAACGTAGCTATCTGAGAAATACATAGGTTATCAAAAGGTTTTGATTTCGAAACGCATAAAGCGCTCATTTTCTGAACGCTTATGAAAAATACTTCATAATGATGAACCATATCGTGTGAACAATCTCTGACTGTAACCCTAGCAATAGGGTTTAATGATTAGAACAACTTATGTTGCCTTCCTTCTGATATGAAGTTTTTTTTTTGGGGGTTTCCAAGTTAAATATCGAGTACCTACTCATACTTAGTACTTCGAATTCAAGAATTTATCAATTTATGTATGTTTTCCGTGTTATCGGGATTTATTAAATCGTTATGGTGTTTCAAAGACGCAGATCCTTAATAACGTTTCTCTCTTTAATAAATTCTGCCCTATTTTGTTACGAAATCCACATAGCAACGATGTACGTGTGGGAGTGGGGGTGGGCCCCTACAGTCTGTATCACATTTTTATCATTGGGCTTTGCTTAAAATACACTACTCTAACATCTATTCGCCCGGGTACATATTACATATATTTATTATGCAAAATAGACAAATTCCCGTTTAAGTTATGAAATGAGTGAAAAAAGTGAAAATATCAAAAAACATATTTTTGTTTGTTGTTATTTCCGTGCTCCGACAGGCTTTCTCCTTTCTAAATTGAGGAAAATTTCAGCAGCTTCTTATAAGGCACTCATCGTTCATCTTCGGTTTCTACTCTCTATTACATAGGCAGCAAATCTCTTGTTTATACTTTGCTCGTTGATATAAGAAAGGTAAGACAAATCATCGGACAGGGAAAAACCTATGTGTCCCTCCCACTTCAATACCTTTAATCTCTAATACATATATGCAAACTATAATTGTAAAATGTGATTGTCTCTATTTACTATATACAAAGAAGAAATGCAGATATTGTACTTCTGTATTTCGTTGAAGGAAGACAGCAGCGACCTTGGTGAGAAAATTATCCGGTTATACCAAAGCAGTAGTAGATGTAGAATTACATTCTTATTAGTTAATATTTTTTCATTTTGATAATGCTAGCTCTTCTTGAATTGATGTATCCAGTAGTTGTATTACTTTCCTTTAAATGTTATACAGACTTTATACATGTAAATGATATTGTAGATATATCGTTGCGATAAATAGTATTTTTTTTTTAACAATATTGAAATTTCTTGAAATGTCTTATTATTAACTGTATATTTGACAACAGTTTCATATTTGCAATATTAAGAGTCTTTGATTTTCTGCATTTCTTCAAGGTTTCCTCAATTAGTATCGAGATAAAAACCAACAAACCAACAAAAGTGAACTTCCTTTTTCATAAAATACTGTCATTTAAACAGATAATTAATTAAATTCATATAATTTCAGTCCATAAAACTACTTATAAATTAGGACATGTATCATTCATACATATAGAAGGCATCCGAATTGAAATATAAACATATACATTACCAAATGCCTACTTTACAACCATCATCTAGTGTTTGTTATAAATTGAAATTACCCGATTTGCCGCCAGAACTAAGGAATAAAGATCTAGATGAAACTGTGAAGAGAAGATATTCTTTAGATTGTAGGACAGGTGCAGCTACTGAAATTTGTCGATCAAGTATATTGGTACATGGTGGTCTTACTATCCCATTGAATATTTCACATATTACTACATCGGAAATTCAAAATAAATTGATATTATATTTTGCCAAGAGAAAACATACTGGAGCTAATTTTAAGAATTTACAGGAATGGATAAGTAGTGAGTTGTTCTCATTAGATCTAATAACAAGAGAATGGTCAAGAATACCGACAACCAATAAGAATAATGACGAAATCATAAAGGAAAGATTGTTACATTCAATGTGTTATTATAATAACAACTTATACATGTTTGGTGGGCTTATTGTCTCACCACAAAATGATTATGAGTTGATTGCCACTAATGAATTATGGAGATTGGATTTACAAACGATGAAATGGTCTTTAATTGGTAAAGATCCTCAGATAACAAGAAGATTTAATCATACAATACTTGTAAAGAATAGTAATGATGAAATGAAAGAAACGAAATTGATTATCGTGGGTGGATTAAATAATATGGATCAATCGATACCATATGTCGATGTTTTTAATATTACTACTAATGAATGGGAATCTGTAAGATCGTCCAATAGAATAATAACAAACATTGAAGGCAACATGGTGTCTCTATGTAAGAATAAAAATTGCCCCGTACTATTACAGGACAATGAAGCAGAAATCCCAACTTTAGCTTATTATATGCCATTATCTCAACAGAAACGACAATTAAATCCACCAGAAGAGGCTCCATCCGATGAAAATTCCCCAATGACATCTGATTCAGATAGTCAAGAAGATGAAAAAGAAATACTGAAAGATGCTACATTGACTTCAGAAGAGGATTCAAGAAAATGTGCTCCCATTATAGCATTACCATTGCTTTCGAACGCACAAGGTGTTCCATTGATTGCAAATCAAGATGGAGTATTTGAAGATATCCAAAATACATTTCATTATGAATCGGCGTCATATTTCAACGATAATTTTATTCTTGTAGGCACAACTTCAATTGGCCCACAAGCGAAACTATACTGTTTCTTTTATAATTTGCATTTCTCAAAATGGACAATGATTAATATCGATTGTCCAGATTGCGATATAACCCACCATAGATTTTGGAAAGTATTTACTTGGGAGTCACACTATCAAGCACTCTTGTTAGGTACACTGCACGATGACTTTCACACTTCTTCAGTTCAAAAATTTGATCATCTACTTGCATTTGGTTTATCAATGACAAACGTCTTAAATAGGGCTGCAATATTACCGGATTATAAACAATCGAGAAATCAATCTCTCTCGACGACCCCAGCAACGCCTTCAAATCTAGATAATAATCCATTCAAAAATCCAATACGACCAACGACAACAACTTCGCATTTCGAGAGTTATATAAAATATATCACAACTCCATTAGACATAGAGGCTACAACATCTGTGTTTCCACCATATGCTATGGTTTTAGGTAAAGATGGTTTTGATATCTACGGGGATTCATTTGCAGACTTTGAGTTTATTACCAATGAGGGTGAATCTGTGGGTGTTCCATCATATTTACTGAGAAAGAGGTGGGGTAGATATTTTGACTGTTTATTATCTAAGAGTTATTCAAAGACTTATGCCAATTATGAGACAGCTGGAAGCCATTCTGCTTTGGTCAAACCTGTAACTGACACGATCAGTGATATACCAGAGACTTCCATATTGAAACTACATCCTACAAATAACGTCATTTCACAGACATCTTTAGATTCATATTTCAAAGAGAAAGAAAACAATTTGGATCCTAAATCTATGTCAAATTATAATAAAGAACAATCTGTTAACTTACCCCCAACATCGAAAAGTAATATGAATTATAAACTTTCTCCGACAAGCTCAATGTATAATGTCAGTGTTCACGAAAATTCTCCTGATGTTATCAATGTGATCCCTACACACTTATCTAATAATAGGTACGAAGACTTTAAAAATTCCAATATGCAGGCACCAACAACAAGTTCTTCAAGTGGGATGGTGTTCAGAGTTCCCTTCCACGACAAAAAATTCCAAACCACAGATTTTCAAGATCCACGTACTTCATATAGTCAAAATAGTACGAATGACCGTAGGAGATCTTCATTAGCTGTTCAATTTGAAGGAGGTGTAGATCCAAATGGTTCAAAGAGCCCAGGACAATACCCTCGTCGTGCATCACACCCTACGCAATGGAATCCCTCATTTTTGGATTCTAATAGTGCGTCACCCAAACCTAGCGGATTGTCAGTAAGCTTCAATCCTTCTTCAATTACTAATAGTAACAACATAGCCAATAGAAGGCCGTCTTGGAGAATGATGTCAAGCGCGGCAAATTCTAGAAAGGCATCTGTGACCTCTCAGAGCAGTGTTATGTCCTTTGTAAGTTCTAAATCTGATAGAATGGGGAACTCTGTCATAGCAAGAAGAAGCACGAGTGCTTCAAGTAGTAATGGTAGTAGTAGATCTGCTTCTCCCAACCCTGTTTTATTGAACGTTTCATTGCCACCATTAAGTAATATTCCAGATGATCCAATTCCGTCCACACCTGCTAATATACCTATCCCTCAAAATAATCATCGCCCAAAGTCAACAACTTCGAGGGCAGGGTCATTCGCTGAAGTATTTGGTTCGAGTAGGGACAGTCCATTCTCGTCAAGACGATCATCTAGAGTAAGGCATGGTTCAAATGTAGCAGATTCAAATAGCTCAATGCATTCACCTAGGTATTCAATTGATGATGCTAAAGGTTTTATATCACCTACAAGAACCAGACGTATGTCGTCGTGTACTTCTAATGGGGATAGTCTGGAGAGTCTTGGTGCTGCTGAAGGAGGTAACAAATTAGAACCTTTATTAACACCGAGATCCTTGTATCTTCCTTGGCCCACTGCCACGGTTCAAGCTTTTGTTGAATTTTTCTATACCGGTCAAATCAATAAGAAATGGCTATTAGTTCCCGTAGTGATGGATCTATTAGTGATGGCCAAAATTTACGAAATCCCATTACTGTATGAAATGATTTGCGAGGTCATTTATGCTATTATTGGTAAGAAAGAAGAAAATCTACATTATAATTGCAATAGTATAGATCGTGGGTTTAATCAACTAGTGACAAACTATTTTCAAGATGATGAATCAAAGATTTCCAAATTCTTAGAGAATAATGAAGCTTATCATCAATTACAACATCTGAAAAAATCATTAAATGACATTGATAATGGATACCTCGTTATGAAATTATTAAGTGATCTATCAAGAAATCTTTCTACTAGCACTAATGAGGATAGTGATAATAATGATACTATCCTAAGCCAAGATGATTTGAAATCAATTCAACGATCATTATCAAATGTTTCTCTAACTAGAGATATCCACATGGCCAACGAAAGCCATCCAATGGTGAAACTTCATCAAAACTCTAACATTTCGACAGGCCTTTCGTCACTTATTAATAATGATAATGACATAGATGTATCGGCATCGTTGTTAAAGAAACTTCTTAATCAATCCGATAGTAAATATCATAATGATACTGTCAGGCGTGGCATGGATTTGGTCGCCAAGGATAGAGAAAGACGTCATTCTTCTAATAGTTCCTTATTCAAACGTGTCAATGACGAGGAACTAGAACAAGCCAGATTACAAGGTTTGTCTGAAGTTGATTATGATTTTAGTAGAGATGGACATATGAATTCCAAAAGTCTTAAGAAATTATATTCGATGTATGATAATGATAATGGTTCCGAGACGAAATTATCTAAGGGTAACAATAAAACAAACACAAGTGAAGCTAATGATGATGAAATTGAAAAAAATTCGTCCCAATCAGATTCAGATGAGCTAGATTCTCAATTCGATGGTCTATCCAAGATTAAGATGAAAAGACAACAGTTAGAAGATTTTGAATTAGATGAATCTATTGATCCATTATATCGATTCAGTGAAAGTGAGGCTGAAACATTTGGAGCCTCTATGTCACGTTCAGATTCGCTAAGGGCATCAGGCTATGGTAATGCAACAAGAGGAAGCAAGACAAGTAAATCAACTCTTTACAAAGATTCGTTCCTAAAGAATAATATAGTTAACAATCCTAGTACTGGTACACTTAAAAATGATAGTGGATCCTTTCTGCAGAATAAAAAACCAAGTGATGCTGAAAGTGGATCTAATTTATTAAATCTATATCAAAATGGTCATTATAGAGAACCTGGTGTGAACTTCACTGAACCAACTTTAGAGAATATCATATCAGCCGATGCTTTACCACCTGTTGATTATATTATGAAATCAATTTATAGAACGACGGTATTAGTGAATGATTCACGGATAATGATACGATGTATGGAATGTATTGAATTATCGAAATTATTAAAATTAGTTAAAAAGAAAATGTCACATGAAGTTCAATTACTTGAAGATAAGACCAAGAAAAATGAAAAATCAAGAATATCAAGTATATTAGTTACGCCACAAAGTGGTCATAGGTCATCCATCAATGCGGTGCCAAGCAGAAAAGAAGGATCTATCACTACACAAGCTTTACCAAAAGTTCGTACTATGTCATCTATACCTAATTTCAAATTGAAACAAATCTCTAATAACAATGTTCCAATTGACCCATTACGTCGTAAATCATCTAAGTTAAATTCAATCTCGCCACGTACATCGCTATCTGTTGTCACATCCAACAACGCTAAAACCGGTCACAACCCTGTGACCAGTAATTCAATGGTAAATTTAAGTCATGATATGAGTAGCAACAGTAAACTGTCAATGTATCCACCATTCATAACCTCGACGATATCTAATGTAGCGTCGCCCAAGACTAAGAAGGATCTTAAAAATCCGTTACTTGGTTTAAGCAATAACAATGCTAATAGCAATAACAATAGCAATAGTGGCTTCTCATTTTTTGGTAAGAAGAGTAAAGATAAATAAATATACATAAATGCATATAGAGAGACATGAACATAACAATATTCGATAAATCTAATTAAATTTGTTTAAATTGTGTCATTAATTAAAATAAAACACCAATCACGTTATTCCTCGGATATTTTTTGTTGATATTAATACATTTTAACTTATCTATTTAAATTGTTTAATTATTTTTTGTTTTAAAAATTCTGTTATATTTGATGATTATTTATTTATTACCGCAATTTTAATATATAGATATATAATTTATTATTTTCGTTAAAAGGAAAGAAAGGTCATCACACTTCTTATAAAGCCTTCTTAGCAGCAGCGGCTGGAGAAACCTTGTTGTCTCTGTTGAATCTTGGTCTTTGAGGTGGCAATCTGTTTCTTCTGTCGACTCTAGATCTGACTCTGACAATTCTGGCGTGAATAGCACAGGAAACACAGTAGTGCAACTTGTTGTAAGTCTTTGGTAGAGCATATTCTGGGTAAACAGAAGCTTCAGACATATCTCTGACAGCAGCAGCTTCGACAATGTTTCTGATAGCCATTCTCTTGATAGCCTTGTCCTTTGGAATGGACTTGGAACAGTTAACACATCTGACTGGTTTGACGTGACCTCTACCCTTCTTGTTTCTACCGTTGGAAGCTCTCTTCTTTGGCATCTTGTGCTGGAATATAAATATATATGTGTTTGGTTTCTTTATATATTTAAAGAGTAAATATTTAGAGAAAGCACAAAATAAGAATAGGTATATATATATATAAGAGAAGAACGCTATATATCAAAAAAACATACGTAATAGAATCGAGATAATAATTAGTTTAAGAAAAGAACACTCGTTACAATGAGAGAGAGAGAGAGAGCATATAATATAATAGTAAATAGCCCATATCATACCATATCATATCATCAATATTATTATTATGTTTTCCAAAAAAGATAATATCAGTATAAATTTTATTCAATTGAATGTACTACTTAGTTTGTTAGCAGAACAAGGTCATCGAATCCCTTTCCTTACTCACATTGAATAAATTCATCACTTAGTGAAAATTTCAGTATTTGCTTCTCCCGCATAGTTGTTATGAGTGTGCGCGTATATGGCATATATCGAAAAAGAATGTTATCAAATATATGAAAGAAAGAGAGCGGACGCTGTTTTTTTGCAAATCCATTCGAGAAAATAGCGATGTACGGATGTTATAAAAATGTACGGATGTAACTATCCGGCCGTCCAACCATAGATATATAAAAGGAAGAAGATCAAAAAAATATTTCACATGAAAGAAAGCACCGCGGAATAATATAAAATTAAGAAGAAAAGAACGAACTTCTCGGGCGGCGGCGGGTACTAAAAGAACGAAACAAAGAAGGAAAAAGGGCGCAATAATGGACAAATAACATACGAACCGTTTCCCTTCCTTACTCACAGACAACAACAGCAAAAAAGAGGCGCTGATGAGTTGAAAAGACAAACCGAGACGGAGACTAGACGGAGACAAATCGTTCCGAATATGTTAATAGATAATCTTAATTCTCCCACTCATTCCCGGGTCTTTCTTTCTATGGCAATAAATATCTGGTAGGTAAATGCTTAACTAAGAGACACTCCGGGGATAGCGAGAGAGAGAACGTCTGAAAAGTAGGTAACTCATATGATTATTGAATTGAATAAGAATTCTTTATAATTACTACCAGAAGAGAGGAGCGTGTCGGGGTTAGGATATATAAGTATCGATGAAAAACTTCTGCGAATGGCATAAGATGACGACGATATTAACTATCTCTATAGGCAGACAGGTTAATTTTTATAGCGTAATCTAGAATCATCATCAGTAGTTAAGTATTAAGGGTTACAAGATATAAAAATGGATTTATATATACCTATAATTACGTAGAAATTATATGTTGTTACACACTCATAATGGTAATAACAATGTGGAAATAGGCTATTATTAATACTATTTACCCAAGTGAGTGAGTGTATGTGTATATATGTAAGTCTCTTTCTTTCCTCAACTATATATTATTGTTACAGTGTTGCCTGTAAAGACTCTTTAGTAAAATGCACACCTTAATTATCTTTTTTCAAGCAAGAGAAACAACAACTCATGATGTTATATCTCATAATAAATGCCGTTTCTTAAACGGATAAAAATATATAGATAGAAAGAAAGTAATTTTTCTAAATTCTGCATATATGTGTTTTTATATATCTGTAACAATAGTAATAAAGGGTTTCTTAGCTGTGGCTTATTCTAAGAAATAAAGTCTATAACACGTTATCATTGGTATTGTTACATATATGTATATTCTTCTTTTTTGAAAAATAACTCTCTCTCTCTGTCAAGAAAGAGTAATAATGCTAACAAAGGTAGCGAGAGAAAAAATTGAGGTTGTTGCAGTTAAAAAGGCGCAATTCCTTTATTAATGATTGTAATAATAACAATAACAATAATAATTTACATATACACGCACAGCATGTTATACTACGTACAGGTACAATAAATAGTACGCCTTTCTCTATCTATCTTGCAAGAGAAGAGGCTAATTCATCTATCTAACACCTAATTAATTAATCTATCTATCTATCTATAATAATGTAATAATTAACGAAGTAATAAGCATTAAAAAAAAAAGAGAGAGAGTCTGGATGATAATGTATTGAGATATATATACATATACATCTAGGTTTTCTATTTCTGCTGCCGTTTCTTCACTTGCTGTGTTGTAATCTGAAATTGATATACGTAATAGTAATTTAGAACCTTATATATATATAGACGCATCTTATAATTCGACTAAAAATCTTAAATTGATTCGTTTGCTAATATAATAAAAAACATGTATAGTGTTCATTATTAATCAATTAATACTACTCCAAAGATAAATATATATTTTAACTTACACATAAGATAATGTCATTTGGATTAGAGAGATCAACTTCTAGTCATACTGTAAACTATTTAATGGATAATAACAATAAAATGATGAATAGTAATAGTAATAGTAACAATAATAACAATGGTTACGTTGCTAATGCAGGAATTAATTATAATTTCAATCTACAATTGATTCCAAAGAATGATATTGAAAATAATAATATTACTGTAAATAATGATTTAACAGGGAATACGTTAATAGATGAAATTGACCCACAATATCAATTTCAATCAAGTACAATACCTGCGACCACAAATAATATAATGAATTATTCTAATATGTCCCCATCCATAATGACTAAGACGCTTTCAATAAATAATAACAATACTTTGAACAGTAGTAATAACTATAATAATGGTAGAAGACTCTCGATATCAAATTATAATTTTGATAATGCTAATTATTATGAATATGAAGATTTTGAAATGAAATTACAATTGGGTAATAATAATGGATATATTGGAGTAATAGATCAATCACAATCAAAACAATTAGACCAAGTTCCATATCCTTCAACAACAGTAAGACAATTACCATTGACTCATCATGAAATTGATTTAGAAAATTATGATATTAATGATGAGGTTAGTATTGATAATAATAATGATGATGATGATGATGACGAATCTATGGGAAATGAAACTGATATAGATATGATGGATAACGATCTGCCGGATATTGCATTCGATTCAATAATTGCAACTACAACTACAAATAATGGAACGTCGAAGAAGAGAATGCGTGACTATTTCAAATTTAATTTGTTCAATTCTAATAGTAATGGCAATAATAACAACAACAACAACAATAATAATAATATGGAATCTGAAATACTATTAAAGAATGATGAAACTAACTCACAATTGAACGATCAATTCACGTTGAAGAAGAAATCCTTCTGGAACCCTAAAAACACACCTTTCTTAAGACGTTACAATAGTAAGAATAAAAATGATGATGATGACGAAGAAGAAAACGATATAGATATGAATGGAATGAAAAAAGAATTGGAATTGTCCGATTTTTTTGATATAGATACATCTACTGTTTTACCTGCCGTCATTACTAGTGTCCCACGCCAGAAACCAATGTTCAAGAATGGACTGAATCCAATGGTTATAATGGATCCATCTCAACCGATTACCGGCATGACATCTTCTTCTTCTTCATATGCATTTGAGAATATATCCTCTGTAAATGCTGACGCAAATTCATCTTCCCCAGTGATGACTATTGCGCCATCACTTGTTACAAACGATGATGTCTCTAGCTCGGTGACAGAACCAATCAAATCCATGAATCCATTTGAACAGGATATCATGAATTATTACGATATTAGTAATACTGGTAATACGACCATGGAACGATCACCTATCGTTGTTATAAAAGAAGAAGATGACGATGAGGAAGAAAGTACGGTTGATCCTAGTGTAGAAAGCAATACACAATCTGACACCCTGGTCATACACGAACCACCACAAACAATGAAGAGAAGGGTCTCAAATACAATGCCAAAAACAAGAGGTCGTAAACCTTCTTTGATCCCAGATGCAAGTAAACAATTCTGTTGTGATTATTGTGACAGGAGATTTAAAAGACAAGAACATTTGAAGAGACATATCAGATCCCTACATATTTGCGAAAAACCTTTCACTTGTCATATTTGTCAGAAGAATTTCAGTAGAAGTGACAATTTGAATCAACATATAAAGACTCATACTCATGATGACGAGTAATTACAACGACAGCAGCAAAAGAGCCGTATACAATATATAGAACCCTTCATATATATATAGACACAACCCATTAAGTAACGAATGACGATAATTTTTATAGAATTTTGGATAAAAATACACTTTCATTGATTTTTTTTGTTCTGTCTACTGAATATCTATTTGGATAAAAATTACAGAAAATACTAACGCCGGTCAAAACAAAAATATTGGTAGACAGAGAGAACTATATAGTTTTTTCTAACAAAGACAATCAAGATACTCAGACTCAAAATTCATTCATAAAATAATCTAATTCTCATTGAATCAGTCTGCTCTAACCATAATTACAAGTAAAATATATGTCGAACTTTTCATCAAACACAGCATATCAACTACAACTTGATAGATTTCTGCATTCTCCTTCACAAAGCAACCAATGTTCTGATTGTAAAAATTCTAACCCGACATGGTGTTCTACTACTTTCAATGTATTTTTGTGTTCAAGGTGTGCATCCGTTCATAAGCAGATATTGAACAAAGATCCATATTATTCAAATATAAAATCCATAAAATTAGATAATTGGACAGATGATGAATTATTTAACTTCATTCACAAGCCGAACAACCTTGTCAATAGAAATATATATACAACTTCAGATAACTCATACGATATAGAACAACTAATCAAGAGAAAATATATGGATCCATTACTAGAATCAGGGTTGGCAAAAAAAAGAGCCAATAGAAAGTATCCTTTACTGACAAATAGGAGAGCTAGAGATTACGAATTAAGTAAATATTCAAGACATGTTAGAGAAATTGAATCATACGATAGAAGGTTTAACAATGAAGATAATATTATAGAGGCTTTATCTATGGCTCATGGTAATATTGAAAATGCTATTGAGATTCTAAGATATAATGATGAAGCTGTTAATTCTAGATATTATAATAGTGATGATAGAAGCCGTAGTAGCAGTAATTCTTTAAATTCCGATAGATATAGTGGCTCAAATTATGGAAGTGGTCGTATACCTAGTTTACCAAGAAGACCTGTCGATAATGGACCAAAGGATGCGGTGTTTGATGGTTCATTCGATGGAGCTACCACTACTACTTCTAAAGAACCGAAGGCAGCAATATTTGATGGTTTGGCACCGGAAGCATCATCCAATCTTCAAATATCTGAATATCAAATACAGCAACAAGAACTAATGAAGCAACAAATGTTACAACAACAAATACAGCAACAAGCAGCCCAACAGCCATTCCAGCAAGTAATGCCATATCTAGCACAGCAGTCATCTCTACAACAAGTACAATCGCAACAACCACAGCCATACCAACAACTATTTTCCCAACCTACAACTACACCACAGCAAGTAGTATCCCAACCTATGTCGCAATCCGCCTTTTCTCAACTCCCATTAGACCAGCAGCGTTTATTAATGCAACAACAACAACTGCAGCAACAACAACAATTCTACCTACAACAACAACAAATGCAATTTCCTAATCAAAATGTATAGAACTACTGAGGGTTCTATCAATAATGTTTGTTTGATTACCAATCATTGCTAATGCCAGTTAGCTGGTCATGGATGATATATATGCATAAATATCACTAGAAGTTTATGTAATTAAATATTTAATAGCAAATGAAACCTGTGAATTTCTATATATGGGTAATATTTCTTTATGCAATCTAACTCCGTACATCCTAGCATGATTTACTATCCCTTTTGAATATAGTGATAGTTATGCAAACTCAAAAGGTAATGATTCTTCTGATGCATATGATACACCCGAACCTGATGAGCTCGAAGATCCAAACGAAGATGCAGAGCCTGCTGAGCTAGATGATGAGTATGATGACGTCGAACGGACATCGCTGTCTGATTCACTGTTACTGTCACTCTCATTCAATATATCGATAAAGTTTCCTCGTCTAGCCCTACGCTCAGATATGGGGGCATCGTCATTTTTCTTAACGGAATTCGTTGGATGGGGGTTGATAGGTCTTGCAGGGAATCGTTGGGGTCTAACTATCCTAGGTGTAGATGTTCTAGTTGATGGAGTACCTCTACCATATAAGTTAAGAGCAGCAGCAGAAGAAGGTTTTCTCAGGGTGGAAGATGCTGAACTCAATGACATATAATTCAAACCGTTCGCATTAATACTTGGCGTATTATTTAAAAAACTCCCAGAATTTTGGAAGGCCGAGGGGCTTTGTTTATTTTCGTCAGGAAGACCAACTTTACTCATGGCATAATTGTCAATATAAAAAGAGTCCAATGAAGCAAAAGATGAATTTATTGGCAAATCTACCATATTGTTGCTTCTTTCCCGTCTCTCTTCGAAAGCCCGCAATTCATTTTCATAAGAAGGTATAGCACTTTGACTGTAACTTCGTGATTCTTCCAATTTGTCATCCATACTAATCTCTGACTCTGATTTAGATGTTTGAACATTATGGCCATATGCGTCTGTCATTATTGAACCTTCACTTAATAATATACTTGCATCACTACCAATCTTCTCTAATGTTTTCATATCAGATATTGGACCTTTGGTAATGTTGGAAGCAATCTCAGAATCGGAAAAAGCATTTTGTAGAGAATGATCTGAATTTGTTGTGGACTTCAACGAGGATGATGATGAATCCCTACTATTGGAAAAGTCAAATCCTGAGTAATTATTTTCCGAAGGTTTTGATCTATCATCTACCTTTTGTTTAGTAGTCTTGCCGGAATAATACCTTAACGGTAAAGATTTTAAGACTGATTCCTTAATTTTCTTACCGACGCCTGACACTGCATTACGCAATTCAGATTTGGTGATGGAAATCTGTTCATATGTATCTTTTTGATCTTGTTGGAAGATGTCCTTTTCATCACTCTTCATATTTACAAGTGTTTGGTCAAACCCAGCTGTATGTTCAAAATCCCAACATACAAAAGGATGTTTTTTAATACCAGCAATTGTGATTCTCTTAGCAGGGTTCTTCTCTAATAATTTATTGACCAGATCAATTGCAGCATTGTATTCTTCTTCACATGATATCATCGAAATTCCATTTGTTGAAAGTTCTTTGAACGATGGGCATTCGACAACCTCGTTTGAGATTTTCTCGAATAACTCTAATTCAAAATCAGATATAAATGGTAACTTACCAAATAAGAGACAATATAATGTCACACCAAGAGCCCATATATCGATCATTAGTGAAATACACGATCCCTTGAATAATTCATTCCTATCAACGTTATATTTTGTAAACATTTCATCACCTAAACATATTTCGGGTGCAAAAAATGCGGGTGTACCAGCAGTCTTAGCGAGTTCTAGCTCATCTAATGCTTCACTTGACTTTTTCCTACTCAATATCTTCTTTCTTGCGTCAGGATCATTCAAATTTTCTACTGTATTGTCAATCATTATACTCGTAGATGCTAGAGACACACCAAAATCAGATATTTTAACCACATTATCAGCTGATAATAAAAGATTTGCTGGTTTGATATCTCTATGTATAATTCCTTGGTAGTGTAAATATTCCAGACCTAAGATAACTCCTCTAGTGATTGACCGGATGGATTGAAAGTCTTGCACAGGTGGTCCTACTGCTTCCATTTCCATGCAATCATCTTGACACCATTTAATTTCACCTTTCGAACAATACTCTATAACTAAGTAAATCTTTCTTGATTTCAAATCGTCTAAAACTTCAATCAATTTAACAACGTGTTTATGATGTAACTTTTTCATAATAGCAATTTCTTTCTTAATTTTATCATTCTCTATTATTTTTTTAAACAATTTAGGTACCATTCTCGATCTCTTTTCATGTCTGTCAACAATCTTAATTGCCACCAATCGTCCAGTTACTAGGTCCTTCGCCAGTTTCACCTTCCCATGCTGGCCATGACCTAGTTCTTTTATTATTTCATACGTGTTAAGTACTTTCCTCTTAGAGACTGGATCATAAGTCAATGAAATTCTGTTCGTTTCCTTTACTGGCCTTATTTCAACGTTTGGGTTATTAGAAGGAATTATATGATCTTGATGCAATGGGTGATTTAATTGTCTTAATCGTTGCTTCTCTAACAACATATTCAATGATTCCATTGAGGAAGACGATAACTCAGAGAGTCTATCTGATGACTTACTATCTATTTTTAATATATTTCTATCTATGGTGGTGTTCGACTTAAGTGAGTCTATGCTGGGGTTTCTAATATGCAAATAATGTGATGGGTGCTGTGATGTCTTTGTACGATTGCTACTCTTCTTGGAAAGTGATAATGTCAAAGGTGTGTCATTGTTTACCATTGATGAACTTAGTTCATTTTGTAATGTAAACGGAATGTCTACTTCTGTTGAGTCGAAAGCACCGCCTGACATATTATGGTTTTGTTATTTCTTCACCAGTTTAACTTTATGTGTATGATGTGATAATATATCAATGTCAAAAGTATGCTTTCATATATAAATTTGTTAGTTTGGTATAGGCCTAAGGTGAAATGGGATGTTGTATTTATTAGGCAACTAAATTCCTGTATAAAAGTTTATCTTAATAAATATGGTGAGATAAGGTAATATGTAAACTACTTCAAAAAGGGTGTTTTGTTGTTGAATTGTTGAGATCTCTCAATAATTGATTATTAAATACAGAAAAAATTGTGTTTGTTTTGTTATTTTCTGTTGTGAAATGAATGATTCGTGATATGTGTTCATCTACTAAAATTAGTTCAAATTGTTACTTATTTGAGCAGAAACAAAGGTAGAGCGAAAACAGAGAAAAAGTTGATGAAATAAGCTGAAATTCTTATATAATGAGATGCTACAGTATCTAAATTGAAACAAGAACTACACAAGAGAATACGAATACAGCACCTAGAACTTTGGTATTGTTTCGTTTCACTAATTAGATAATATATATATATATGTATATAATTCTTTGTAATCAAGTGTATGAAAGAAACTGTGTCAGTTCTCGCTTGCGCTGAATCAGAACCATTTCTCACTTAGAAGGACAACCTATAAATGATTTGACATAGCACAAAGTGTTTATCATTGAGGAAATGAGAAACAATGTAACTACTATTCGAGTTTGAAGCAGTTACATGCAATAGTAGCCTAATTTATAGCCTCTATAAGTAATGCCATCCTGGCCCGTAAAACATCGGTCGTCGCATGTGATTTATATTCACTCAGATAAGTTTGCGTTATTTTTGTTTCATCAGTCTTCTAAAATAAAAAATACAAGGTTAAACAGGTATATTACAAATGATTGCTTTTATCTAATTAGATTTTTAAGACTAAGAATGTCATTGTCCTTTTTTATTTGGATCATTACTTGGGACGGTTGGGAAGCTGAACACCTTTTCTAATTCTTCTGGTTTAGTATTAGAATAATTCGCTTCTTCTTTCTTTCTCTTTGCAATGGCAATTTGTTGAGCTTTTTTAGTTTGTAGTCTGTGTTGAAACATATTGTCATTCAATTTGAAATTTCTAACCTTCATTTGAAGTTCTGTCATCTTATCTAGAAGCTTGTTATACTCTGATTGATAATCTATTGCGGGTAGTTTATCCTGGTCTTCTTTCACAGGAGTTGGAGTCTCATCTTTTTTGGTATCATCTGAATTTTCTGAGTCCTTAGAAGAATTCCTCTTTGTAAATATTTTGTTAACCCACGTATCCCATGAACCGGAACCATTAGACGCTTGCACTTTTAGTTGAAGCTTCACTCGTTGTAATTCTGCAACGGTGCTATTATATTCTTGAGAGTGGATTGGTACAACAAAACCTGGATTTTCTATGAGGTGTATATCACATGTGTATATCAAATCTTTTAATGTTTGATTGAACAAAACGGTGGTTGCTGGTTTAGAACATATCATGCATGGATTCATGTCCTTCAGAGCCACCTTTCGCTTGACATATTCGTTACTCATACTGCATTCCCTGTGTATGTGATATTTTATAATTATTTTATCAGAAGATTATATGAATGGTGAGTAAAGAAAGTCGATTCACTTGTAGTAAAATAAAAGTTTAAATATCGGATAGCACTCTTCTAAAATAATGCCGAACAGATATAATTTCGATTTAAAATATTGTGCAATTGCAAGGCACACACAGAACTAAATAAATTATTTTAACAAAGGTTATTTTTTTATTAGAACTCTTTTGTTTATCAATAAATACGAACTTTGTTAATTATCAAATTTGTATACATAATAATGCTACTACATTCTATTCTTAGCTCTGTCCCATGCACTTCTAGGTTTTTTATTTGACCGCCTAGAGGTGCTTTCTTCCATCTTTCTCTTTGAGTTGAAAATACCAAAGTCTTCACCACCAATAACATTAGCTTTGGCATTTCTTTGTCTTAGTTTTTGCTTCTTCCTCTCTGTCTTATTCATACCCATATGATTCACTCTTGTGAAATTTTCTTCTTCAAAGGTAGTCACCCTACGTTCCTTCTCTGTATCTCTAGATGATTTAATACCACCTCTACCATGATCTAAGATATCAGCACCGATGGAAGTACCCCAATCTGGTTGTTCTGCTTGATCTTTGATATATTCTTCCATAGCTTGCATCTTAGAGTGACTACTACGGTCCTTATGATCCTTGACACTAAATTTATCCTCGAAATGTATCGTAGTTTGTGGAGGTAACATGGCGTTTATCTTTGGCGGTCTATAGATACCATCATTTTCTCGGTTTTCTTCCTTTGTTTCTTCATTATTGTCGTTAGATTGAGATTCGCTCTCTCTCGTATATCTTGATTTAGTGGTTGTTTTTGTCTTTGCATTTATCATGTTTGGTCTATAAGACAGCTCATCATCTTCATCACTACTTGATGCATCCTCTTCCTCATCGTTAACACCTCTGCTAGAGTGCATTGACGCACGGTTACCCTTCTCTGTAATACGTTTTTCGACATCTTTATATTCTTTCTCTGCTCTTGTATATGATCTCACAAGTTTATCTAATTGGTAGCCTAACTTCTTTTCTAATGGTTTTACACCACGTTCTAATACAACACGGTTCTCAATACTTGTCTCACGGCCCTTAGAAGTTGTAGGGTCTTTAACCTTCGGATCCATCTTATCATCAATAATGGAAAGTAAAGAAGAAAGATATGACAACATTGATCCATTCTTCAAGGAGAGTAACGAGACTTTAACATTCTCATCCACTTTTAAATGAGAGGCAATATCATTGTGTTGAGATGGATGTTCATAAATTGTTTCCAATTTGTTGATGGCTTCTGAAGTTGCATCTAGAGACGCATGCATTTCTTTTAACAATTTGTTTAGTTCAGACATCCTTGTATATTTTTTTGGATTGTTTGTTTAATCTTCAGAGTATTTTACTAACTCTAGTACACCTAATAATCCTGGTTGATCTCCGACTTATAATATGTATCTCTCTTATACCTTCATTACTGTCATTGATAGTTATATAGCTCATCGCAAAATTCAAAAAAATTTTCACGGCTCATCACACAGCACGAGCTTTGTCTCAATGAGAACCCAAAAAGAAAAATTTTCATTGTAGGAGCGATGAGCTTTTAGAGTAATAAGTGATGAACTTAAAAGGTTTAAATAAATGGCTAATGATCATCACCGTCATAAACGTTTCTTTTACACAGTTTGTTTTTATATAAAAGAAGGATAGTCACAACCACTTTACTAACTTTGTACAATGCCTCAAAACGAATATATTGAACAACACATTAAGCAACATGGTCGTCGTCTAGATTACGAGGAGCGTAAGCGTAAGAGAGAGGCCAGGGAAGCTCACAAGATCTCCACTAAGGCTCAAAAACTGACTGGTTGGAAGGGTAAGCAATTTGCTAAGAAGCGTTATGCTGAGAAGGTTGCAATGAAGAAGAAGATCCGTGCTCATGAACAATCTAAGGTGAAAGGTAAATCCAAGCCAATGGATGAAAATGGAGACGCTTTACCTACATATTTGTTGGATAGAGAACAAACTAACACAGCAAAGGCCATTTCTTCTTCCATTAAACAGAAGAGATTGGAGAAAGCTGATAAGTTCTCAGTACCTTTACCAAAAGTGAGGGGTATCAGTGAAGAAGAAATGTTTAGAGTTGTGAAAACTGGTAAATCGAAGACAAAAGCTTGGAAGAGAATGATCACCAAACATACATTTGTTGGTGAAGGTTTCACTAGAAGACCGGTTAAAACGGAACGTATCATCAGACCCAGTGCATTAAGACAAAAGAAGGCCAACGTCACACATCCAGAATTAGGTGTCACTGTGTTTTTACCAATCTTGAGTGTCAAAAAGAATCCACAATCTCCAATGTATACACAATTAGGTGTACTGACGAAAGGTACCATTATTGAAGTGAACGTGTCGGAGTTAGGTATGGTTACCTCTGGTGGTAAAGTTGTCTGGGGTAAATATGCTCAAATTACTAACGAACCAGATAGAGACGGTTGTGTCAATGCAGTTCTACTTGTATAAGCTACAGGTAAAATATTAATTAGAAAAATAATCAAATCACATATTTTTTTGAATCGGTTCTCATCTTTTTGCATCCTTTATTAAATATATATAATAATTCCTCTTTTGTACAATAAAATTTAAATAGAAACATTAACCTTTATTATCTTATAAGTTATTCATTGTAATCTTTTTTTCTTTTTTTTGGTTGGTTTGGGTATGAAATTATAAAACCAAAAAGTTAAATAAATCTATATATCGGTTATGTATAATATTATTGCTTGCCATATTTTTAATCAGCAATCGTTGATTCTAACAGATAACTTACGTTGTTGTTTGACTAATTTATATTGTAATAGAAAAAAAGGGGGGATTGACAAAAATTGCTGCTCTTTATATCATTCATCCCAAACGATGATTTAAAGAGCATATGTATATATATATAGTAAGTAGGAGTTTGTGAAAGGGAATAAAAGAAGTAATAAGAAGAAAAGGGGAAAAAATATCATTGCATCATTCTTGACCAAAACCTATGGTTTCTTCAACGGCCAACGTTAATTTTTGTTTCAAGGAGTCAACATCAGTATATGGTGGTAAATCCACTCTATTGAAACAGGTATGTGATTTTGGTAATTGTTGTATTTCACCAGCTTTCTCAATTGTAAATCTTCTTGGACCATCAGACCCTTGTAAATCTTTGAACCCATTGACTGGTATTCTTGATGTACCTGTTGTAAATTGTAATAATCTTGCTCTTTGTTCATTGTCCCATTCACTAACGGTCTTCCAGAACCATTGGATAGCATCATCAGATTCTTGATAACCTCTGTAATCTGTATGTTTTTTCCAATCTTCGATATCGATCTCTGCAATACCACCGATCAACAGTTCCAATTCTCTTTCATCAAAGACTGTAACAAGGTCTTCGGGTATTAATTCATTGAAACCATCCATAAATGCCTTCAATTGTTCCTGTACTCTATCTACGATCTTCCATTGACTGAACAATTCAACGTATTCTTTTTTGTTTTCATCTGTAACTTCAATGTTACGTCCATTTGGTTTCAAATCCACAGTAACCACTTCACCGAATCTTTCATCATCGGCACTAAACGTGAGGTCAAGAACACCATCAATACTATTTTCAAGCATCCAATTCAAAGAATTATACACTTCGGCATCGACACCTTCCATATCCTGTACCATGACTTTCTTTCTTAACATCATCTTATATAACGCACCGACAAAGAATGCATCCAAAAATCTTCTATGGAATACACCTAATCCGACGACTCTTCCGATAAATTTGAAATAATTCAAATGTTCAGGGTTTATACCAGAATTTGGATTGATTTGAATAGTATAATTATCATGAGCGGAATATTCAAATAAACAATAGAATGGATTAAACATTTCATGAGATAATAAGAAGAAGAATTCACGTGAGACACCACCATAATCCAAACCTTCTTCACCATCGAACTTAATCATTAATCTTTTCTTTAAATCTTCTGGAGTTTGTCTCATTATTTCTTGATAAGCATCTTCAAAGATATTCTTTCTACGAACTTTAATGTGACATTGACCTGGTAAGATTCTTAAAGCAGGTTGTGATCTGAAATAGATCACTTTACGTCTAAAGTCTCTCTTATATTGCGGTACGTTTTGATCTAATGATGAAGGTAATCTTGGATCATCCCATGTCGTAGTCTTTGTATTATGATCAACAAAATAAACTCTTGCTGTATTTGTTAATCTCATTTCCCAACCTGATGGTAAAGGACCTAGTTGAGATACAGGTTGTTGTTGAATAGTAGTATTAGTTGGACCATACGTACGGATGTATTGTTGTCTTCTTGGATCTACCCAGGTTGTTGTTCTTGTATTATGATCAACAAAATAAGCACGTCCTTCTGGAGTAAATCTTTGTTCCCAACCTGAAGGTAATTCGCCAAGTCCTGAAGTTGTAGAGCCCGACACCGCAAAAGCAGCAGCAACAGCACCATTTACTGCTGGTGTAGTACTACTATTATTAACTTGAACGCTTACGTTATTTTCAGAACCATTAGTTGAAGAACTTGAACCTGGTAAAGTTCTCCCACGATGTTGTCTTCTTTCCAATTCTGTGTTTGCGTTTCTTTCTTCATCCGTTTGTCCTACAGTAGGACGTTTCCATGTAGTAGTACGAGTATTATGATCGACATAATATGTTCTACCAAAATTATCTGTTCTTCTTTCCCAACCAGCAGGCAAACGGCCATATTGATCTTCGAATGAAGAATATTGTCTATTTGAACCATTGTTGTTACCATTAGAAGTAGTAGAAGTTTGAGCTGTTGTGGTAGTTGCTGCTGTACCACTTTGTAAAGTATTTTCTACAGATTGAGCAGCAGTAGTAGCGGTAGCTGTAGTCGTACCCGAAGTAGAATGGTTATTACTTGTATTATTGGTAGAAGAACTTGCTCTAGATGATCTATGAGTTCCATTCCCAGTAGTACGTGAATTCGAAGTACTACTTGTTGCAGCATGAGTACGGTTAGTAGTGGTGCCAGTGGTACCAGTAGCAGTAGCAGTAGGAGTGGTATCATTAATTCTTGACATTACAACGATCAATCTACCACTGACAGCCAAATTATCATTTGATCTCTTTAAGTCTCTAGTGATTGTTTCTTCTTTCCCAGTGTGAGAATCATTAACATCACCTAGGACATCATTAATCTTAATATTAACTACACCTAAAAAGCCTTGATCCTTCTTTTTAAATTTCTTTTGGTCGAATACTTGAATAGTCAATACGGAGCTTTCCGAGATATCGTTGAATTTAAAGGTTTCATTCCAATATGGGTTCAAAGTCTTCTTGGCTGCCGAAGTAGATTTTGTTTGATATCCATCCACTGTTAATACAGCAAATGGATCCGGTGATCTGAATACATCCCTCTTGTATAGGGATTCTGCCGCTACCAATTTCACCGAGATAGACATAGCTTTAATGATTGATCAGTATGCTGTATAGTCCTTGTATGTTGTGAATGAGAATATGTAATGAAATGTATATAACGTTCTGTGTTTGTATTTATATTTATATTTACAAATATATGTATATAGGCTGCAAATATGGATCACTTACTAATGGGATATAAATTACTTTTTATGTTTCCTCACTACAACCCGTAAGCACTAACGAACGATATTACTATTACTATTACTATTACTATTACTACTATTGCTATTATTTTCTTACCTTCCCTTTGCCACAACTGCAAACTTCCCTCATGATGACAAGAGAATGAGCGAAATCGAGCAAGAGAAGGAGAGTGCACGTGGTGTGTGGGTGTGAATAGGGGAGGGTAACACCCACACTGTCTACAAATTAAGCCAAGTCATTATAATTATAGTATTAGCACAGGCTATACCATATTACATTGAATACGGACGGTGTTGTGTGCTGTGTTGTATGCTGTGCTGTATTATGTTGTAATAGTAGCAGATATGCTATCGCCAGGGGATAAACCATTATTCAGTAATCTATTCATTCAGTAAGGTAATGCATCAGTTCATCCAGCAGTGCAGTGAAAGTTGAATGAATTTTCTTTCGGTTTTTCGGTTTGTTTTCATTCCGCAGCTGATGTATTTTGCGGTGTGTACGGCCGTGTGTGCGCGCGCCAGTTAATTGTTTATTTATTTGCTGCGGTTTTGTTAATATTAGTACTATGCTACATTAAGGAGTGACGGTTAACTAAGCACTGGGTGAAGATCATCATCACGATCTTCACAACTCGTTAGTTGGTGTTTGTTTATGTTTACATGTATTTATGGAGAGTGTAACTATATATATCCTGTGATGACTACTTGCTGGTGATATTCTTACTATTTTATGATAGGTTCCTATATATTTATATTCATATTCATATATATATATATATATATGAATGGTGGGGTGGTGGTGGTGATCAGCTCTGTATATAATATTCTTATTGCAATGTAGTTTATATATACAGATATAGTACATATACATATACATATACATATATAGTACATACACACAGGATGAAATATTACGAACCAATAGGTGTATTCCGCCAGCCAGCAATGTATAACAATATTAACAGCAACAGCTTGTCATATAATAAGAAGAGTTGGTTGAACCATTATAATGCGAACGACCAACATTTTAAACAGAATTTACGTAAAGTGTCAGAAGATTATAATGATCATTATACGACACAAAAATTGAAGTCGGACTATTGGACAACAAGACAATTGACTGAGGAAAATGATACATGGAACGATATCGCAATATCGCAAAGTAATAATAGATTATGTATTGCGAACACAAACCAAAGTAATGAAACTAAATTATCTTTGTTTCAATTACACGACAACAACAACAGTTCTTCAAAAATCTCATTGAATAAATTACACAATGTAACTTTACCAAAAAATAACCCAGTGACAACTTTGTCTTTTGTAGAGTTTCATTCAAGGCGTCACCATGATAACGATTTATTGTTAACCGCACATCAGAATGGTTACGTGCATTTAATTACTACTTCAGCAACTGATGGTTCTCAAATTGTCTCAAGATTTAATCATTCAAAATTTATGACTTTTGATAATGATCTTACTGTTATAAATGGTGCCATGCCAATAAGACAATTGGAAAGTGATTTGAATTCAAATAACGGATTTGTCTCGTTGATTAACGAATCTTTATTCATCTATGACATTTCAATGAATAAATCACCAACGTATTTAAATCATTTCCCCTCGATTAATAAATTCGCTCTACATAAAGACACTCCCTTGGTAGCATTAGGCCAAGTAAATGGAATTTCCTTTTTAGACGTCAGAGACGCCAACAAACCAGCAATTTATTCTGTTGGTAACAACAACAATAATATTACTGCTATTGAATGGATAGACGACCATACGATCTCCTTGGGGAAAGCAAATGCCGGGACTGTTCAATTGTTCGATATTCGAATGTTACAACAACCTTCCACAACGTCAATACCTTTATGGGAATGTCATTTGGACTCAAATAGCTCGGTACGTTCTTTGAAATATAACTCAAACAATAAAACTTTATCGGTTTTGGACGATATGGGTGCATTGACTAGGTGGGACTTAGCTACACGTCCTGGTTTCAACTTCAATTTCAACTCAACAACACAGCATTGCTATTTAAAGAATGGTTTACATTCAGTGACTCGTAATCACAACGCCTCAAATGTCTTGCAATGTGGTGACACTTTGGTTAAAAATGGAAATCTTTCAGGTATGACTTTATGGAAGGATGCAGTGATTGCTCATGGGTTGAATGAATTAAGTATGCATAGAATTGTCGACATAGAGATGTCTACGTCTCCTACTTCATCGAAAACTCCTGTATCACCAACTTATTCTACTGGCACTTCCATGGATAGCATAACCATCATGGACTCCCCCATCACATTTAATGAAAATGTTACAGGTGTTGACTCTGACGCAACTTCATTGTTTGATTCATATAGTGAGGATGATCATGCTGATATCGCAACTTTAAGACCTGAACCTTTGTCTCCGATAAAGAATGGTAACGATTCTTCAATGAATAAATTGGCTTTAAAGAATTTAAGTTGTCAAACAATGGTAGAGACAACAACAATATTTTAATTAAATAGTTGATTATACAAGTACTAATATTATCTAATAACACAAACTACCAAAAAAAAATTAAAAAAAAAGGTGTATTATATGCACTCTTTTTCATTTTTTCTTTCTTTCCTAAATAAATATATCTGGATTTTCAATTTTATTTTAGTTATTTATATATTTGTCTAACGACAACAACAACAACACAATCCAGTAATCAACCGTGTCAGTATGTTTCCATCACGATTATCTATTGACATGCTATCATCGGGACTGCATTCTCGCTGTTGCTGTTCATGATAATAATTGTCACGATGATTCTCCAATCTATTTGATTGATTCCCATTGTGATAATGTGTCCCCATCGAATCATAGTTTGTATGGCGTATAGGTCTACTTGTTGTTGGTGTTTCGGCTCTTCTATTTGAATTATGATTGTTCTTTGAACGGCTTGTCTGTGATATCCTATTCAATTTAGTAGTGTCATTATGCTGTGATGTCTCTTGATGAGTATTATTATTGTTGTTGTTGTTGTTATTATTATTGTTGTGATTGTTATTATTGTTTCGCGGCGTAGCATTACCATATCCGTGTAAGTTAGCTCTTTTATTCACCGTAATGTTCCAACCTTCACCATGGTTTAGATCCATCCAATCATAATGGTTATCATCTTCCAAATGCCATTGTGTTAATACATCGTCAATAAGTCCTATTAAATAATCATAATCTGGTTCTTCTTCGAACTTTAATGATCTTACATGTTTTAAATATGTAGCAAATTGTTCAGGTATAGCACCATTCATCAATAGATCGTTAGGATCCAATTTCTGTTTTGTTAACCCAATCTTTTCATATTTTAATTTATTGTTTGGTGCTTTTAAACCCTGCCATGGTAATGAACCTCTTAAGAAATAAAAAAATACATGACCTAGGGACTCTAAATCATCTCTTCGCGATTGCTCCCTACCAAAATGTGTATTTATTGACATATATCTAGCGGTTCCACTTAATGATTTTCTTTCTCGATATGGAATATGTTGCTTAGTTCTAGGGTCTCGGTATTGTTTCGCCATCCCAAAATCCACCATATATATTAAGTTTGGATCTCCCTCAGCACTCTGTGTGACGTAACGCTGGGCACGTGAAGACGACGAAGATGAAGACGACGACGACGTTGAGGTAGAGGAAGAATGGTTCAATTGGAATTCAGACACTAGGAAATTATCAGGTTTGATGTCTCTATATATCAAATCATGTTCATGGATGGTTCTCACTCGTTGAATCATTTGTCTAGCCAATAGACAAGTAGTCTTCACGCTGAATTTACGGCCACACCATTCAAAGAGGTCCTCTAAGGAGGGACCCAAAAGGTCGATGACCAAAACATTATGCATCCCTTCTTGTCCATAGTAATACGCATGCGGTATCCCACGACAGTCGTTCAGTATCCTGTATGCCCTGAACTCGTCTCTCAATTGAGGAGTATCCGAGTTTCTTGGTTCAAATTTAATCGCAACAGGTTCTCTGGCGTCCTTGTTTAATAGATTCTCCCCTTCGAATATGACACCGAAGGAACCTTCACCAATCTTGGGACCCAGAGCGTAGTGTATCCCCACTATATGTTGATGGCGTGGAGGCATTCTTTGTGGATGATGGCAGGCAGTATGTAGTGGTTATGTGTTTATACGAAGTTCAGATTCAAATTCACTGTTGTATCAGCCTTTTTATCATGCTTTTTTCCAAATAAAATAAAATTGTAATGGATTATTATTATTATTATATATTATTTATTATTTATTATCAGGGAAAAAAAAGGTCTTTCTCAAAGTAAGGAATTTTAATCAAACAGCCAAAACAAAGAAGAGGAAAAAACAACGAATTTTTCAGAGAGAGAGAAAGAAACGCGAATTTTGATTGTCAAGATAATACATTTCACGTTGCTAGTGATATATATAAACATTTATTTATTATTTGAAACTGTGCAACACTTTGGTTACTTGTCGTTGTATTTAGGGAACGTTTTGGAGATAGGATATCAACATATAGATTAGTTAGATTTGAATAATGCTGGAACTAAACGGGAAATGTCTGGCGTTTCATGGACCATTGCTTTATGAAGCTAAGATTTTACGTATTTGGGATCCCAATAGTAAGAAAATTAGTTTTGTCGAAGAAGAACAGGATCAAGAGAGAATCAAACAGGATATCGAGAGTATCCCGCAGGAGTTGGTCTCTGAACAATGTTATTTCATTCACTATCAAGGGTGGAAAGCCACTTGGGATGAATGGATCGGAAGCACACGTATTAGGGAATATAATGACACTAATATTGCATTAAGGAAGCAATTAGTACAGGAGGCAAAGGATGCTAAGAGACAACAACAAGAATTGAAAAGACAAAAACAGAGACAAAGTACGCCTACGGGTGGTGTAAGTAAGAAACGTGGTAGTGGTCAGGATTCTTCTACAGGTAAAAATAATACTGGAAATACAGGGACAGGCCAAAGTCGTAGTCGAAGTGCTAGTGCTGTCAAATTGACAGATCATAGTAGGAAAAATGGTACCAATGGTACCAATGAACATTCATCTTCAAATGCTGGTAATGGCAACGGTAGCAACACCAATGCCAGTGGGAACGGATCGTTGAGTGGGAACAATGGAATATATTCACAACAATATTATAATATGTTAAATCAAAATTTGCCAAAGATTACTATGCATATTCCATTGAAACTGAAGTCTGTCTTAGTAGACGATTGGGAGTTCGTTACGAAAAACAAGAAATTATGCAAATTACCACGTCCCTCGACGAAAACAAATAATCAAACAATCAATGGAATATTACAAAGTTATCAACAAGAAGTCATATCTGGAGGAATGACCTCATTAGTGGAACAATCCATATTAGAAGAATATATTCTTGGTTTGAAACTATATTTCAATGAATGTTTATCCAAATTATTACTTTACAGACTAGAAAAATTACAATATGCTCGATTGGAAGAAAATTTACAACTACATAAAAAACAAGACGAAGGTACCAGTGGGAAGAATGACAGTAGTAGTATTACTACTACTAATACTACTAATATTATCACTACTTCTAAAATTGATATTTGTAACGTATATGGTTCGATACACTTGTTAAGATTGTTAAGTGTACTACCTGAATTAATGAGCGATACTACAATGGCCACCCAAAGTTGTCAATCGATAGTGCGTCAAACCGAATCACTGTTGTTGTGGTTTGCAGTACACAAAGACACCTTATTTGATATGTCTACACCAGATCAAGATGGAGACACGTACTATATCAATACATCAAGTCAATACGAAGGGTTAGCACTCGGTATGTAAGGTTGATCCAATGTAATTCAATGTCATCTGCATCCCAACCAAGAATATGTGCATATCGTAATCAGCACGAGGCTAACCGACCATATCAGTAGCAACTAATTCAATACATGTTCTGTACTCGTTATGTAACAATACAAAGTCCAGATACAATACAATGCAACATGCGTATACGTATATATGCATATATAATGTAGATAACCGGATATAACAATGGGGTAGAAGCTTTCGCGGTCGATAATCCCCCGGAGTGAACAAAAATACATAAAAACTTGCATGATAGTTCCCAGATGATAGTCACCGGTTCAGTACATTGACGGTATCTATCTCGTTGTCTTATTGTCTCTTACTAAGTATGTCTGTGTCTGTGTCACTGTTCCCACTTCTTTAAGTTTTTTGTTTTTCTGTTGCTCTCTTGCCATATTTGTCCCTGATTGGCCGTTGCTATCCTCATCCACAGCAAGCAAAGAGACAGACAGACAGACAGACAGTAAATGAGAAAGAGGTTTCTACTACTGCTACTACTAATTCAGTTCTCATTCCGGCCCGCATCCCACTACCATAACCCTCTTGAGACCCCAAACAAGTGATGATTTGCAACTTGGAATGTCTTGTATGCGATTCATTCAGTAACAGCTGAAATTCTTTTTTTTCCTGCCTCGCTGAAATTTAAAGGTCCCTTTTTCTTGGTCAAAATAAAGAAACTGAGAGAGGAAAAGTTAGTAATAATAGTAGTGCAGATAAATAAAACAGAGTCATATATATATAAATATTTCATAACTTACGACAAGAAAGTAGATCAAAAGAAGAAGAGCTTCAGTGAGAAAGAGATGGTATCTGCGACACCAGAGCAAGAGGTGATGGCTACGACGAGTGCATCAACAAGTGCAGAAGCAGTGTCAGGTGACGCTGTTATAATGTACACAACCGGAATCAATACCGGTTCTAATAACAGTAACGGCTCTAACGACGGCAGTGAACATCTACAACATGAGAGGTATGAGTGTCCTCATCCAGATTGTAATAAGAGTTTCTCTAGACAAGAACATTTGGGTAGGCATAAGTTGAACCATTGGCCTAAAGAGATCTTTACGTGTCAATATACATTTCCTGAAACTGGAGTTGCTTGTGGGAAGACATTCGTTAGAAAAGATCTATTGGTAAGACATGAAAAAAGACATACCAAGGAAAAGAATAGATTACATAGTAAAGAGAAAAATAAAGATAAATCAAAGAGTGCCACTGATACTGCTGGTAATAATGTCAGTTCTAATACTCCAAAGAAAGTCATGAAGAGGAAAAATAAAAAAAATGTTGTATCTGTGACTGTACCAGATGCAACTGCAGTTCCTGCACCAAAAAAGAGAAGAACTAAGAAAGCTACTATGAAGATAGATAGATCTGCTTCTGTTCCAGCAGTTACACAAGATTCAGCTAACACTGGGAATTCTATGCGTGGTCTTTTATCACAGAAGTTTAATTCAAGAAGTTCTGTAACGATGACAAACATTAATAACGGATCTAATGACATGAGTAATAATAATAATAACAATAACAATAACAATAACCCCAGTAATATCGGTGGTACGACTTTCTATAGTAACAATAATAATGGTAGTAGTTCGAATTTTTTTGATTGGTTATGGGCTCCAGATACAAAGCCTAAAATGAATATGAATTTGATAAATGGAAATATTAATAGTAACAGTAATGGTAATAATGTTCAAGGCGTCAATGTAAATAGTACTAACAATAATAATAGTAATATACCGAATGTTAATGTAGGTATTGCCCCACAACAGTTACCGATGCAGCAGCAACATATGCAGCAGCATCAACCTATGCAGCAACCTATTCCTCAACAGGTATCCCATGAGGCGCAACAGTACCAGATGCAACAAATACAAATGCAACAGCAAATACAACAGCAGCAGCAACAGCAGTCACAACAACATTATCCATCACAACAAGTGCAACAGACACCACAACAAATGTCTCAGCAGATAGGAAGTCAAGGGACAACACCATTCGGGCATCCAATGACTAATCCGATAGGAACACCTCAAGATCTATTTTCTGTGGATTATTTGAATCCTGATCCCTTACAGCATTTTATGCGTGAGATTAACTCCTCTATATTCCCATTCACTTCTACTAATGATGAGCCTACAACCACTGATACTAATAATAACGATAATGAAAATATTGTTACTGATCGTAGTGTAGAAGAAAGTATAAGCACTAACGTATCGCCTACAAATGTAACAATACCAGATAGGAAACTATCTACTACTGAGATACCGCATGGTAGAATACATAATGTCCCCAATAATTTCAAGATAGCTCAATCACTTACTGATTTACAACGTCATTCTTCAGAACCCGGGTTACACTCTAAAATTAGTGAAGAAGATGTTAGACGTCAAAGCTCATCAATAGATGCTTCAAAGGATAATACAAAAGTTATTCCACAGGCAAAATTAAGATATTTTGATACTCGTGGTGAAGATGTAATTGATAATTTGGGAAAACAGAAATCAAATATTGATGATATGAGGAGACAGGCCTCTTCATCAAGTAGTAATAGTGCAGACACACAGCCAAGCCGTCCTTTAGATATTGATGCGAAGATCGATGATGTAATGGATTCATATAAAGAACAACTAAAATCATCGTTGAATGCGATTCCATCTTTATTTTCATCAGATCCTAAAACTAAATACGCACTATCGGAGGCTAAATGTATGGCCTTATTTCAACATATTCCTGATATAAAATCTATTCCGCAAAGAGTCTTACAGATCACTTTGAAATCATTTTGGGATAATTTTCAACCAAAATATGGTTTATTACACAAGCCATCGTTTCAGGTTAATAATGAACCAGATATTTTGATCTTGTCTCTGATTATGACAGGTGCTAGTTATTTAGGTCCTCAATATAGAGAAACAATTTCTGATCCTATCTGTGGTCCATTGAGATGGATGATCTTTTCTCACCCAGATTTCCAACCACCCTCTCATACTTATATTATTCAGGCATTATTACTGTTAGAGAATTATGAAAAGACATGTACAAATAGATATTTACATGAGAGATCCTATTTACATCATGGTACTACTATGCAATTATTAAGAAGAACTCCTTCATTGGGTGGTCATCCATTAAGAGATAAAAAAAGACATAATCATGCTGATAAAGGCACACAACTAGATGATTTCTTAAGTGAAGAAAAGATTAAAAATGTGGTAACAAGGTGGGTTGAATATGAAAGTTTGAAAAGAGTAGCATTTTTCGCATTTTATATGGATGTGACCCATGCTGTTATCTTTGGTTATATGAATTTATTTATTAGTTTTAAACAAATACACTTGGACTTACCATGTCCCGATGAATTATGGTCAAGTTATGATTTAAGTTTTGAAAAATTGTCCGAATTTGGATTCTTTGGAGATGGTACATCGAAATACAAGAATATTACATTTTTATCTGCTTTGAAGTGTTTAATAAGAGATGTTCTGAAAAAATTGGATAATAAGGAAGTAGTTGATACATCTATGCGTGGTGCTAATGGCAGTTCTAACGGTAATGAAAATGAAAATGAAATAAGTTTATTATTTGATAATGGTAATCAAAGTATATTTGGGAAAAAAATTCTGTTGGCAGGTATCCTATCTATGATGTTTCAATGTCAAGAAGAAGCTTTTGATCCATTGATTGGTGTTGGTGCATTTATAAAGGGTATTGGTGAAGAAATTGCGAAGACAATGACATGGAGAGAAGTGATGGCGTTTGCAATTAATTATTGGTTTTGTGAAATCCAACAAAGTTGTAATGAAACTATTAATTGTTTAACACCAGATAATACTATTGATGAAGATGATGAATTTGCTAATGAGCCAATCTTACAAGTATGTGATTGGAATCGTAATGAATTAGATTGTAAATTACCTGTATATCATATGTCTCAAGTGATATTAAGAATCTTTCATCATGATTATTATATTTTTGCAGGTGTTCCATGGCGTATGAATGTTAAAGTAGGAGAAACTGAATTTGATTTAGTTTATCAAAAGATTTTAAATTTTGCCCAGGATAAATATAATGGTGGTGTCACATTAATCTATGCATATCAATTTTTATTCCAAATGTTTATTCGTGTAGATAAAGATGATCCAACAAATATTACTGTGGATCATAGTTATGATTTGAACACTGATATCTATATGACTCGTCCAAACACATTAGCATTAGTGACTTTATTAATTTGGAGTTTAAATTTTGTATTATATGGGCCTGAAGTTAGTATTTGGGATAATGGATTAAACCAACGTCAAAGTATTTCATCAAGTTATTCCAGTGATAGTGATCCAAAAGTTGCATTACGTAACGAGTACAATCAAAATTTGAAACAAAAATATGTTCCTGTGGAGTCCTTTGATGATTATTTAATCCGCATGTACAAACACTTACACATTCGTAATGATCAAGATGTAATCTCCTTCCACAACGAAATTTTCCAAAAGGCAAACTTAATACCCACTATTCCAAGAAAACAAAATATGTGTGGTTTCCTAATGCATATCATTGCGATATTTTCTACGAGTTACTGGGACTTAGGTAAAGAATTCAACCGTCTTCTAGAGAATTGTCTGGAGAGATCTTTAGGTAAAGCCTCACATACTTGTTACAACATGTACGACGTCTGATGGTCGTGACTATGAACTATTCGTTCTCTGCACGTAGATTGAAGTTCAGCCGTGCATACATGTAAATCTGTATATATCATTTAGGTTTGTTGTATCGACATTAGTTCAGTTTTATGAAATATATATATATTGTACTATTCTATTCAGTTTGTCACCGCTACCCCGGATTTACGGCTGCAAACACCGCCATAGTTAAGAAAATTGAAAAATAATTATTTTTTTGCCCGCGCAGTCGTCGTCGAGAAATTGTCGCTGTGTGATTCTTTCTTTGTACGGCAGGTGGGCGTGAAGAAAGGGGGGGGGAAGCGAGAGGGGAAGCAAAGGGTCAGAAAGATGATTAGTTAAAGAAAATACTGAAAAATATTGAAAATATTATATAAAGTATTATTAGAATAGCTATGGTAATAAGTTTTATTTAAGGTATGGGGGAAAAGGGAGAGGGTAGAGTGTTATAAAGCTGAGGAATAACTACATATATATATATATATATATGGATATAGAAAGAGGTAGTTTATTTGAACGTTTGTTATGAACGAATAAGACTCACTATATTTTATTATTTTGCTACATTAATTTACATTTTTTTGTTTTAGTTATACACTCCCGTTGATATTTCGACACACATTTATATATATATGTTTATATAGCATACATTCATTCACACAGTTATTGTTTTTTGTTACGTATGATCCGATTGTAACATCATGGAACAGATTAACTCAAATAGCAGGAAAAAACTGCAACAATTAGATATATTTAAAAAGTACGCTGCTGAATCTAAAGATGGAAATGGAGAACTCGTACTTTCATATGACGAGTTTATTGAATTGATCTCGAATTCACAGAGATTATATTCTACTTTGACAGACCATTCCTTCAATTTAAATCATGTACCTACAAATACATTTGGTTGTATCTTTTTCGCTATTGATGAACATAATAAAGGGTATTTGACCATTAATGATTGGTTCTATTTTAATAATATTTTAGAATGTAACGATTATAATTTAATTTTATTATATGAATTTTTTAGAAAATTCGATATTGAACAATTAAAACATGGTATAATAGAAAATAGTGGTACTCAAATAGATACTCATCGTATGAAAACTATTAATTATAGTGATCGTTTCTTAGATTTTAATGATTTATTATTAAATGTATCACAATTTAAAAAGACAATCGGTTTATTACAGGATTCTATGAAAAATAATACAATTTCTCTTAAGGGTAGTGGTTTGTTATTTGATTGGGATAATCTACCTCTTTGGAAACTTTATGAAACATTCCCATATGGTGGGATTTCGCAAATGAATAATAATCAAAATGCATTTATTAGTTTGAACTCTTTAATGACAATGTTACAAACCGATTTAAAGAATGATCGATTGAAACAAGGCTTTGATCAACTATCTCAATTGGATTCAAGACAGAATTGTCTAACAATAACAAGGAATCAATTAATACAACTTTTGAAAGGACTCTATTCTCATAAAGTCTCTTATGATATATTCGATTCCTTAGTTGATATTACTCCACAAGGTTCGTTGAAACGAGATGATCAAACAATTCCTTATGGTGTCTTTAGAGATGTAACTTATTTGTTCGAGAATTTCGATTTATTGAATGAAGTATTATTGAAACATGCAAGTGGAAATGGGTTGAGCGCCAGCGATTTAAGAGAATATACAATTGATAAGGAAACATTGATGGATTTATTAAATACTCAATACAATAAAGTTAATAATTTAACACGATTCTCTCCAACACAAATCGATTTATTATTTAAGATAATTTCAAATTCAAAAAAATTGCATAGAAGGAAACTTACCTCACACGATGAAAATAATGACCAAAAGATGGAACATTTCCATGAAGATTCACAAATAAATGATTTTATTAGAACGGAATACATGTATGGAACAAATGAAAAACCAAAGACTGAATTGGAATTATTTAATGATAATTATATTGATCAATCTAATGAATTTTGTCAGGATATATCAGAATATATGGATATTCCAGGCCATAGAAAATCATTGTTTAAACAAATATTTGGCTCTAGTAATGTTATATCTGACTTTGATATAGATGATGATAGTTTGACCATTGAAGATTTTACAAAAATTATTAATCCAAATTATTTGAATGATATTATTCATATTCTAGAATTGCAAAATGTTAAAAATAGTTCTCTATATGTGAATTATTATTTTTATCCAATATTTGATTCTATCTATAATTTTTGTTTGGGCTCAATTGCGGGTTGTATTGGTGCTACGGTCGTGTATCCTATTGATTTTATCAAAACAAGAATGCAAGCACAACGTTCTAATGCAAAATATAAGAACTCTATTGACTGTTTGTTAAAGGTTGTTAAAGCAGAAGGTATTAGAGGCCTATATTCGGGTCTTGGATTCCAATTGATAGGTGTAGCACCAGAAAAGGCAATTAAATTGACTGTTAATGATTTCATGAGGAAAAGACTTGTCGGTAATCAGAATCAATTGAGTGTAAGCGGAGAAGTATTATCAGGTGCATCTGCTGGGATGTGTCAAGTCATTTTCACAAATCCTATTGAAATTGTAAAGATTAGATTGCAAGTGAAATCGGAATATGTGGGTAGTGCAGATACTACGGCAATTCAAATCATTAGAAGGCTAGGTCTATCTGGTTTATACAAAGGTGTGGCAGCATGCCTAATGAGAGATGTTCCATTTTCTGCTATATATTTCCCTACTTATGCTCATTTGAAAAAAGATCTTTTCCAATTCGATCCAAATGACAAGACTAAGAGAAATAGATTAAAGACTTGGGAATTATTATTAGCTGGTGGTCTTGCAGGTATGCCAGCTGCATTCTTAACGACTCCATTTGATGTTGCAAAGACAAGACTTCAGATTGAACCAAAGCAAGGTGAAACTAGCTATAACGGTATATTCCATGCATTTAAAACTATCTTGAAAGAAGAAAGTTTTAGAAGTTTCTTCAAGGGAGGAGGTGCTAGAGTATTAAGAAGTTCACCTCAATTTGGGTTTACACTAGCAGCATATGAACTATTTAAAAACTCATTCCCGGTGCCTAATTTTGGAAGTGACTCTAAAACCTCACCTGGAGGATCTACTGATATTGGCTCTTCTGTAGCTTCCTTGGCTATATTCTCTCAACAAGCTAAGAATAATTCCAAGAAATTTGCTTATAATTCTAGCATGGAGTTATATGGACCTACTATAGACCCTTACAGTTCGAACTATCTAAACTACTATTATAAGAGCTGTGAAGTAGCTAAGACTTTTATTGATTTGGATAACAATTTTGCCAGGTTTGACAAATCAGTTTATTCTAGGTTCAATGATTACCTGAAGAGTATCGGGAGCGCTAGGTAATATAAGGAGAACGAATTTCTTCTTTGTCCATTAAAAAGATCAAGACATTAACAATTATAATTCACACTTATATACATTCATAAAACATTATATATTCAACTCAAAACATCAGATTATTTCAATATTCAGTAATGCTGTTTATTTCCTTCTCGTAGTGTGGCCGATCTGATGGGTTCCAGCGATTTTATATATTTTTTAATTTTCAGGGTAATCTTGATGAAAGTTTTTTTGCGATGAGATGAGATGCCATTTTTCACTCGGCAGGGTGAAAAAAAATTTTATCTGCTAATGTAAGAGAAAATGAATAGTACTTTTTGAGATGAGCTATTGGAGTTGAACAATCATTGATTCTTACAGGTGTTTTATGAAGCCGTAATATCCATAAGTTGAAGAATATTAGTACAGCAATACTATAACAAGCAAATAGGGACAAAAATATGGACATTTTTAGAGTACTAACTAGAGGTGCAGCTATCAACAAAAATGTTGCTGGTGTCAGCAAAGGTAACTCCGTAGATTACAGTAAAGTGGATGAAACTAAGATTGAATCTAGTGAAAGACAGGAGCATCGGATGACTAAAGAACTGGACTTTTTTCGTAATAAAAAAATTATCCATAAAGTCAACGATTTAAAGAAAAAAGACTCCGATAATGTCAATGATAATTCCGATGATGAAAAAAACAAAGATAAAAATGAGGATGATGATGTTACTGAAGATAATGATATTGGACCAAAAATTACCACCAAGAAAGAGGCTGTAACTTTACGTAAATCATACAAGGGTAATATAACAGGTGAAGACATTCCATTACCAATTGGATCGTTCGAAGATTTAATTACAAGATTCTCGTTTGATAAGAGATTACTAAATAATTTGATTGAAAACCAATTTACGGAACCTACGCCAATTCAATGTGAGGGTATTCCTATGACTTTGAAGAATAGAGACATCTTAGCATGTGCACCAACTGGTTCTGGTAAGACGTTGGCTTTCCTAATCCCTCTATTACAACAGATCATTAATGATAAAGAAACAATCGGATTAAAGGGGTTGATAATATCACCTACTAAGGAACTAGCCAATCAGATATTTATTGAATCTATCAAGCTAGCTAGTAGAATATATTTGGATAAAAAGAGACCATTACAAATTGCATTACTTTCTAAATCCTTAAGTATGAAGTTAAAGAATAAAATCATCAGCGACAAGAAATATGATCTTATCATTTCCACACCATTAAGATTAATTGATGTAATGAAATCAGAATCTCTAGATTTATCTAACTTAAAGAATATAATCTTTGATGAGGCTGATAAATTATTTGACAAGACTTTTGTAGAACAATCCGATGCAATTTTAGGCCTTTGTAACACTAAGAATCTACGTAAATCTATGTTTTCTGCCACAATTCCTTCGAGTGTCGAAGAGATTGCCAATAGCATCATGTTGGATCCGATTAGAATCATCATTGGTCATAAAGAAGCTGCCAACTCCAATATTGAACAAAAACTGGTCTATTGTGGTAATGAAGAAGGTAAATTGATTGCAATCAGACAACTCGTACAGGAAGGAGAATTCAAGCCTCCTATAATAATCTTCTTAGAATCGATTACAAGAGCCAAAGCTTTATATCATGAATTGATGTATGATAAAATGAATGTTGATGTTATTCATGCTGAAAGAACGCCTACACAGAGAGAAAAGATTATTGAAAGATTCAAGTCTGGTGAATTGTGGTGTTTGATCTGTACAGATGTGTTAGCCCGTGGTATTGATTTCAAAGGTGTTAATTTAGTCATCAATTATGATGTTCCTCGAACTGCACAAGCATATGTTCATAGAATTGGTAGAACTGGTAGAGGTGGTCGTTCTGGTAAGGCTATTACTCTTTATACCAAACTAGACTCTATTGCTATTAAACCTATAATTAACGTTATGAAGCAAAGTGGTTGTGAAGTATCTGAGTGGATGGACAAAATATCAAAGTTGACAAAGAAGGAGAAACAACAATTGAAGAGGGGTAAAGGTAAAGATGAAAGAAAGCAAATCAGTACAGTTCCTAGAGTAGACCGTTTGAAGAGAGCACGTAAACAAGAAATGATCGAAGGATCTAAGAGAAGAATGTATAAAGAGGCTCACAAAGAAACTGAAGTTTCAGAACAGGACTAAGATAATAATAAATAAAGCTCGATGGTTCCTATTATTTATATACATTTATACATTTCTATGTAAGAAGATTAACATGCATAACAATTTCGAAATAATTCTACAATCATCCAAAAGGAATTTATATATTATTGAGTGATGTTTAGCTCATAGTGAAATATCAAAATTTCAAAGGAACTTAAATTTTCTATCAAGCGTAAAAGCCGCAGGGACACAATTCTAACGATAAAAAGTTAGAAGATCTCAACACTTAAATATAGGTTTAGATATATATGTTTGAATAAAATTAGAAGGTAAATAATATCGAAAGGTTTGCTTTAATTGAACGCGAATAAAATATGTCTAAAGCTGTATGTGCATTTGAGGCTTGTGGTTGTAAAATAATTACTATCAATGACGCAAATATCATCAGTTTACCAAATACTGCTCTTGACACATTTCGCCTAATGAGACATCGTAAAGAAGTTGAACAAGATAATAACAAAAACAGTGATTTTCTAATAGTGGGTGATGTCTGGGACTTTGATAACATTGGTGTGTCAAGGGATATTCCAGCAACTAACATCACTGATGTAACAGAAGGGTCCTTGATAACTGCAGACGACTTTGTATTTTCTCATGAAGATAAGATATGGACAATCACCAAATGTGTAAAATATCTCATATGTGCTGACTGTGATAAGGGCCCGATAGGTATGGTATGTGAGATTGCTGATAAGTCAACAGGCTCGGACAAGAAGATTGTTCACATGCTAAGTCTCAAGAGTGTTACTCATTAGCGTGAGGCAAAGTGACGTAATCTTGAAGAACAAGTCAAAAATCTTATAATGGTTCGTTGAATAGAGGTGGCATCAATCCAAAACATCCTTAGAATAACAGTATATAGATGTTCATAGTATTTTATATGGATATACAGCAAGATATCATGAAGTATTACCCTCAACGACTAAATTTTCAATGTCGTGGTTCGCGATAGCCATCGTGTAAGAAAAATTTTCAAACTGAAATTTTTTTTTTCTTTGGCTTTCAAGTGGCGATGAGCTTAGAATAGCAAAAATCCGAAGAGTTTACAGAACTCCTACCCCCCCCAGCTTCGATGATCTTAACAAAAGAACATAAAGAAACTTTATATATAAGAACGCTTATTTCGTATTTACATTGTAACTCAGACTATCAGAAATCAAGAATCACTGTATTTTATTCTACTGTGTTTATTTATTGCGCTTACATTTTTTAAATACATCCTAAAGAAGAAAAGCCTTTGAAACACATATATCGAAAGATAAACTTCAAGTGATCATATTAATTAGTATTTTGATAGAAACCGAAACTTTAAGGATTAATAACGAAAAAATGGCTACCAGAACTCAATTTGAAAACTCTAACGAAATTGGTGTATTCTCCAAGTTGACTAACACATACTGTTTGGTCGCTGTTGGTGGTTCCGAAAACTTTTACTCTGCTTTCGAAGCTGAACTAGGTGACTCTATTCCAATTGCTCATACTACTATTGCTGGTACACGTATCATTGGTAGAATGACCGCTGGTAACCGTAGAGGGTTATTGGTTCCAACACAAACCACTGACCAAGAATTGCAACATCTAAGAAACAGTTTGCCAGATTCTGTTAAGATCCAAAGAGTTGAAGAAAGACTTTCTGCTCTAGGTAACGTTATCTGTTGTAACGATTATGTTGCTTTGGTTCACCCTGATATTGACAGGGAAACCGAAGAACTGATAAGTGATGTTTTAGGTGTTGAAGTTTTCCGTCAAACCATCTCTGGTAATATTCTAGTCGGTTCATACTGTTCCTTGAGTAATCAAGGTGGTCTAGTGCATCCTCAAACTACCATTCAAGATCAAGAAGAACTTTCTTCTCTGTTGCAAGTTCCATTAGTTGCCGGTACCGTCAACCGTGGTTCTTCAGTCGTTGGCGCTGGTATGGTTGTTAATGACTACTTAGCTGTCACTGGTTTAGATACTACTGCTCCAGAATTGAGTGTTATTGAAAGTATCTTCCGTTTACAAGATGCTCAACCGGAATCTATTTCTGGTAATCTACGTGATACCTTAATCGAAACATATTCTTAAGCATATCGGGATAATATATTATTAGACGAAAAATATATATATATTTTTTTTCGACTTTATTTTCATTTTCCTAACTTCCTCATATTTAAATTGAACAAATTAAATGTAAAGCCAGAAGAGACTACATCATTCATTATTATTTTTCTTTTACCTTTCATTTATATCTTCTGACGCATATGTTAGTCATCTCTATTTTTAAAAAAAATATGTATAGATATTGATGATTATTTGATTGTTCTATTTTTAACTGAAAGAAGTTTTTGCCTTTGGTTCTGTAAGATATTAGAAGATAGGATAGAATGGTATCACATTTTATTTTATTTACTGTGTAAATTATTCATATAAGAAATTGCATTCCTTTTTTTTTTTGGTTATTCAACATTAGGTATGTATTCTTAACATAACTATTTCTCAGCCCAGTTGATATCATGACGGTTTCAATCTAGGCTAGGCTTCCTGTATAATTAATTAGTATTATTATATTTTTTATACCTTTCGGTAGGCGGTGGTAACCTTTTCCATTATAGAGACTTAAGAAAAAAATTAAGATTTTTTCTATCTATTTATGTCATCGTTTAATAAAAAAAATTAGAATTTCTATATCTAGTATTACGTATTTTTGCATGAAAGCAATATATATGAATAAGTTTGTTGAAAAAGCGTCAATTATTCTCATAAGGATATTATTATTATTATTATTATTATTATTATTATTATTAATTTCTTGAATGGTCTGGTCTGGCCAAAAAAAAAAATAGAAGACTTCATCTCCATTCAATTACGAAAATTCATTCATCGTTTAGGGTTTTTCAATCCTATATTTAAACTTTCTTTGTGACTTTTTTACCTTTCGTACTCTCTAAGCTTTTGGACTTTTGTTTATTTAGTAGATCGGCTTGTTTCTTGGCAAGTTTTTCTAGTTTATGTTGATGCGACTTTAAATGTCTCAACATATTACTCTTGACATTAAAACTTTTTTTACAACCTATCCAGGAACATTTAAAAGGATTATCACCTGTATGGATTAGGAAATGAGTTTTTAGAGTTGATGGCCTCGAACATATTTTACCACAAATTGGACATTGTTTCCTTTGTTGTGAAGGTGATTTACGCTTGATTTGTTTGTTGCCAGTAAGTTCCATGACATTAATTTCATTTTTAAATATTAAATTTTGTAAATTGTCATTTGACATTTTTGTTGGCATTATTGTTGGGGAAAGCTGTTTCAATTTGATAGCTTCTTCCTGTTTTGGTGAAAAAGTTGTAAAATTTGGTGGAGAAGATCGTTTTATTAATAGATTTGGGTTTAATGACGGATAATTTTGGTTTTTTAAGTTTAATGATAAATTAATTTCTGAATTATTATTATTATTATTATTATTATTATTATTGACATTCTGTAAATTTGGTTGAACGGTTGACGTTAATATGTAAGGAATGCAATTTCTTTGATTAATTTGACTATTGTTTGTAATTCCAGATGATGATGGTGATGATGACGAATTTGACGCTATAGTTGGTGTAAAATCTTTTATATTATTAGCATTCATAGTAGTAATTGATGACTTAGATTCAGACATCAATGTGGAAATATCTGGACAAGATTGAGAAGTTGGTTTAATTTGTGAGACTAATGATGATAATGGTGGTAATGTCACAATTGGTATATTATTTTGTAATACTGTTGTGGGACTAATATTTTCATCATTGTATGTACCGCCAGTAGTATGATGAATCCTGTCAGGACTATTATTTAATGGTTGTTGTATATCTTTAATCATTTGTGATTGAGCTATCATTGGATTATATACAGAAACATTTGAATTAGTATATCTTGGATTGATCATTTGATTATTATATACTAATTGAGGATAATGATATAATTGAGGATGTGATTGAGAGTTTCTGAATTGTGATGTAAAATCTTGTTGTTGAGGAAGAATCATAACATTTGACATTGGAGAGTAATATGTCAACATTTGATTCGGTTGTGATTGTGGTTGTTGTAATTGATTATTACTGTGTGTTAGTGGTTGTAATTTTGGGGGTACCTGTTGAGAACGTTGACTAGATGGTACGTAGTAATATATATCTTCCATTATTTTAGTTTATGATGATGGTAATAATAATAATATTATTAATATTATTATTTGAAAACTTTGAAAGCTGATATTAATCAGTTTAACAGAAATAGAAATGATTAGTAGTTATAGTATTATTATTTTTCCTGAATAGTTGATCCAAAAAGAAATAATATTTGGAAATAAAAAAATTTTGGAATAAAAATTGAATTAATTTTATATACTAAAATATCTCTTTTTTATTATTTTTAAATTGTTAAAATAATTTATTTTAAGATAGAATCAATCTTCTTATTTTTAAAAGTCTATTTTATGTCTGTAGTTAGTTGAATACTTTTTTTTCTGGCTTTTCGAGTTTGTTGAAAGTGTGAAAGAGAAAAAAATTAAGAAAATCAGAATAAAAGTTAAACAGGTAAGTTTGCTGAAGTAAGTAAGTTTGAAGAAAAGAAAGAAAAACGAGAATGATATGATAATAAAGTAATCAAAATGTTTAGGATTTAAATTGGATCAACCTTATCTTTTTTTTTTTTGGTTGATATTGTTTTCAAAAATGATTATAACTTAAAGGAAGAAAATAAATTAGATTTAAAACGACAGTGTAATAATATTATTTGATAATATTAGGATTTATTTATCTGTACAAATTTATTCGAATGTGGCACAGTATGTGATAATGACAATAAAATGTTGATTTACCGGTAGATCTTTTTTTTTTGGTTGGTTTGTTAAGTGTATGTTATCTCAGTCACTTTTCTCTGTTAGGATGAAGATTATTCAGAAAGTAATAAATAATATGAGACGTTGTCTTAGAGATATCTTTTTGAATTTTTGAATATATATTTATTTTTAAAATTAATTAATTAATATTCAGGCAACACATAGACTGAATATGGAAATTGAATTAAAGTATCGTACAAATGATGTCGTAATTTTTGAATTATTGAAAAGAAATTAAAATAATGAAATTATTAATATCTTTCTTCTCTATGATTATTTGAAGGATATAAATGATACCTTGGGAAGTCCGGTTTACTTAAGAAGTATACCCATATATATATATATGATATCAAAATGATATAATGATTACAAATGACAAGAAAAATAAATTTTAAGAAATAATGTTGTCGTTGTAATGATGATGAAAAGGGATTAAAGTTTTTTAAAAAAAATACATATAAGGGAAAGTGTGTGTGTAAAAAAGAAAAATATATATTTTCAAATATGAGTAGTAGTAGTACCGATATTCACTATTTTAGCTTAATAAATTATTATACATTAATTAATTAATTAATTATATTTATAAAAAATACTACCTATCTACCATAAGATCTTTATTAATTAACTTTATTTATTTGATATATTCTGTGACTATAGTACTAATTTTATTTTGCCAATCACTCAAAGAAAAGAAAAAGAAGAAGATAAATTATTTTTGATTCTCCAATTTACTTATTGAATGAAAGAAAATCAGAAAAAGGTGATTGTAATGAGATCACAAATGGAAAAGATGCAGCGCAGACGTAAAAATAAATTAAAGAAACATAGAAAGAATGTTGAAGAGAGAGAAATAAGAAAATAGTTTAATTAAGCAGTGTAGATTGCAGGCAACATAAATAATATTTACGGATACTACTGATAGTAACTATCGGTAGTAATAAATGTCGGTAGTTATTTAAATGTAATCGAAGAAATTATCTAACTGTTTGTTTCTTGTGTGTGTTTTGAGAAGAATAAGAGAAGAGAGGAATATCGTTGGAAATGTCTTATTTTTATTATTTATTGTTTTTTCTTGCCTTTGTTAGCTACGTTAATTTTTTTTTAAAATGAAGAATGATTATGTATGTATATCGTATTGAACAAAATGATCAGAGTTAAGTTTAAAATGTGAGAATCTTGTAGCACATTCGTTACAGATTCAATGCTTATTCTTTTATGCACTAATTTGCTTCCATATTCAACCATTTTGTTAATATCATTAACAAAAATTATATTCCTGTTGTCGATACCTTTTTCTTTTGTAATTTTTTTGCTTTCTTTCTTGGTACAGTTGTAAAACTAGTTGTTACAAAAACTTTAAAACTATTTAGATATTACCAGTTATTTCTTTTTCTTTGAGAAAGCTTACGGACTTAAGTGAATTAGACAGATTCATTAAAATAACAAAAAAAACTATTAATCGACACCGATATTATTATTATTATTATTATTGGAAAGCGTTGTCCATATTGTCTACATGCTTCCAAAAAGGGTAGACTAGACGCGGACGTACACATAAATTTACCAAGTTATATCTCAGTGGGAAGATTGGTAAGAGAGAAACGGTGCACCAGGCACGGGGTTTATTTTTTTTTTTTCGGTTTTTCTCGGGATTGTTTTCTTGGAAGATACAGATTAGCTGTGCAATTCAATTATGATGGAAATAGATCGATCATTTATCACCACGGTATTCACGCAGGGAGAGAAAAAGGGAAAAAATTAAGATGTTCATCACTCATATTGTCGCGGCGTGTATCAATCAATGCCGTACTCTCAAACCAAAATGAGACACTCAGATCGTAAATGAAGTTTAATTGTTCCTCTTTGTCTTTCTCTGGTGAAAATATAAAAAAATACAAGAGAAAAAGAAAGAAAAACCGTGTAAAAAGAATCTTTCCATTAAAATAGGGTGGGGCTTGTGTCCCTATTTTCTTGGTGCATTATCGTTTGTTTGTTCGTTTTATATGGAATATTGTTGGGATAATGTGACCTTTCGTTTGTTTGTTTTATTGAAGATTGAATGGGGGGAGATAGCGAACATTGTTCAGGACAACGGTTAGTTTTATTATGAGTTGACATACAAATATCCTCTTCTTTTTTTTTTCTCTTTCTCTAGTTCTGCCTTTGTTTAGTGTGAATTTCTAGTTTGTGTCTTTTTTGTCATGGGGGAACGATCCGGCAGGTAATTTTTAGTTTAATTACTCCCTTTCGTATGCATTATGCGAAGCTAAGGATAATAAATGTATAAATTTTATTTAATAATTATTATTTTTTCTGAGGTCTCTCATTGTTCTCCTGTCTTCTTCGTTCTTTTCCTTGTGGAAATGTTATAGAAAATTTCTTATTCCCTCAGAAAATAAAAGAGAACAAAATAAATGAAATGAAATAATACTAAAAAAAAGGTTAATTATTATAGAAATATAGAAAAAGATCGGCTGCATAATATTGACGTCTACATTTACATTTTTTATTAAAAAAAAAGAGGATATTTTTATTACACCTTCTATACCCTTCTTTCTTTCTCAAATGAAAAAAGGGATGGGGCAGTTAGAGAGAAACCAATACAATCTTTGACTTATTTTAAAGGCGAGAAATAGGATCTGCCCTAAACATTATTAAAGTAACTTTGCTTTTCCATAGTAAATAAAAAATAATACTATGATGCACGATTTGGTAGTTACTTACGTCTTGCTTTTTTCGCATTGACGAGCCAATGACGACAAAATGATCACTATATTGTTATTACTTTTTTTTCTTGGAGGACGGAGAGAGAAAGAAGCTATATCATTAGCAATTTTATCTGACGAATTAAATTTATAGAAAGGAAAGAGTTTAGATATAAAGTTTTCAACAATTTAACAGGAGTTTGAAAATAAACCTATGTCATAATATTATTTTTTAAAGGGTAATATATGATTGAAGATGACACTAGATGACACAACTCCTATCATATCTACGTAATTAGCTATCATCGATTACCCTTTTTTTTCTTGCCTCTATGTGCTTGTGTGCTTGTATGTTTGTTATTTTTATCTTTGAAAAAGGAAAATCTGATTGGCTTGTGTGCCAAAACAAAAAAGAAAGAAAAAAGGTTAGTGTAATTTGTTTGTTCTTTAAATTTTTGAGGGTTAACAATAGAGTGTAAACGACATCATTCAGTTTAATCTTCTTGGTATATAGTTTTATAAAATAATAATAGAAGAAAAAAATGAATATTACACTAAAAGTGGGGATGACTTTAAGCAACTCCGCTTGTTCTAGCCACACTTTTAACATTCACATTTACTTGAGTACTAAATAATAATCTTAATTCATTGTTGAGGGGATCTTACTCGGTATTAATCTATTCGGTACCGTATTATATCTTTTCTAATTTTTTAAACTTCCAAAAAGAAAGATGTAAATACCATAAGAAAATATTTTTAATATTATTATCGAAGATACACAATGGGCCCATCGATTTTGAAATGTCTGCACATATCGGAATTCAGGCATATTCAGTTTCTAAGCATTGTTTGACAGATCGAACCTCCCCAGAAAAAAAACAGCACCCTATAAACAATGTACAGAGAAAATAAAATTACAGTCAATCTCCGATAGTACCCACAACAAGCTGTAAAGAAGGATGTGTTCAAAAATAAGCTGCGTTATATTATTACCTGCGTAAAGTTGGCATTAAAATAAACTGAGTAAAAAATGTAGAATTTCATTTTTCTTTTTGTTGATGATGTTGCATTGAAGAAATGACGTCGTCCTTCTGAATTTCTTCTGTCACAGTTCACTTCACCCTCATTTCTTCACATTTCGCTTTTGTTGTTTTTTTCCTTAATAATTTTGCTTTGCGCATACAGAAATTTTCTTTTGTAATATTTTTCTTTTACTCTCAAACATACGTGTTGTTGGGGAAATACCGGAACAAATAGGCACTGCCGCAGTAGACCCCGAGAGGGATTGCAAATAAAAGTATAATTTTACATCATAACTCTCACATGAAGCTTAAAATAAAAGAACAAAAAGGAAGGATCAAACAGGTTTTAGTAATATTTTATCAATGATGAGTAATAAATTTATGAAAAAGGTCCAGCCATATTTTAGTTTTTACTCATCACAAAAAAGAGTTACAGAACGACCTCTTAAACACTTGGAAAGTTACAAAAAATAAAGTTACATTATTAATTATAAAGAGAGATATTATTTTCAAAGTATCGTGTATCTTGTTTGTACAATTCAAATGGCAAGGTACGAATGAGCATATTAGAAATGTTCAGATAAAAAAAGGAATAATATAGAAGAGAATAAAAGAATAAAAAGGTCATGAAAAGGAATTTGACCTTTGTTGAATTATTTTAGAAATAACTCCATTCGAACAGTCTTGAAAAGTAACTGAGATATATTTCATATTCTTAGAATTATCATTGATAATAATAAAGGGATCGCCCTCATCATTAAAAGCGTCGTTTACAAAGAAATACAAAAATTAATTTTGTTACTAACTTTAATTGTAAAATGTAGTAAATAAAATGTCGAGGAATCAGAAATAAATAAACTATAAAGTTTGTTATCTCTGACGAATGTACGTCTTTAGATTCAGAGAAGGGAAAATCCTTTTTTCACAATACGATTTGGGTAATTCCCCTTCTCAACAAAATAATAAAATAAACTTTTTATGTATGTTCTCCTCAAAATTTATATTATGTTTTGTAATTTTTATTTTCCATGCTCTAAATTATTTTGTGGTTGTTGTTGTTTTTTCACATTCTATTTTCGTACCTTCTTCTTTTGAAGTTCAGTACAGCTGTTGATGTGGTAACTGCATTGTAATTTGAGAGGGTTGTATTATTGCCTTTGATAGTTTTTTATCATGACTTCTAATGTGTCTCTGTAAGTTACTCTTCACATTAAAACTTTTAGTACAACCTGGTCTAGTACAACAATAAGGATTATCACCTGTATGAATTAGGTAGTGGGTCTTTAATGTAGAAGGTCTGGAACATTTCTTTCCACAAACAGGACATTGTTTCTTTTGTCTGATTTCGGGGCTTAGATGTTTACCGATACCATCACACACAAATTTCTTTCTTCTTGATTTTCTTTCAGGTTTTGAATTATAAATTTTTGGTTCAATTTTCGTATTATTTGACACAGTTGCGGCACTGCCAATCTTTGGAGAAACTGTCTCACCGTTGTTACTAGATACAGGAGAATGAGTAACAAACACAGGTGGAGTCAAAGAACCTGGTGATAAGGCTGCATAAGTACTAGCAGTAGTACTAGCAGTACTTGCCATATCTTGGTAAACGGGTGTTACTACATTGGGAACCATTAGAGGATTGCCCATTACAACCATCATTTTACTTCTTGGTGTAATTGGAGATGAATTACTTGATGAATAACTACTACGAGTATTGTCAAGGATGTGACCTGTCACAATTCCATCATTTGTTGGAGTACTTACAACAGATTCATTTTGATTATTATTTTTATTATTATTTGGCCCCATAATACTGGAGATAGGAGGTAACTTAAAATTAGAGTTTGAGTTTACACGTGAAATATTATTACTATTACTACTGTAATGAATTTGTTGAGTATCATAAAATTTAGTTTGAGGAATATTAGTTTGATATTGATAAGGTGGAGAAGAAGTAGCAGAAATTGTTGGTTTATAATAATTCGAATACACACCTGGTGTATTGATTGTTGACGTAATAGCTGAACCTGCAGCTATTGGATTACCGTCAGACATTACTGCCATGTTAGGATATGGTAAATAACTAAACTTAACTGGTAATTGTTGTTGTTGTTGTTGTTGGGCAACGATATTACTGTAGTGATTTGGGTTGTCACTGAAGACGTAGTTTTTGTAAACAATTCTTGGTGTTAAATCCATTGTAGCAAAAAAATATTATAAAACGAAAATCTATTTTATTCGTGGTATGGTGGGCAATTTTATATTAAAATTTTACTTGAGGGGTTGGTTGTTATTTTTTGGATTCCCTATTTATTGTCTTTGGTTATTTCAATCAATGTAATATAAAGAAATAAATTGGAGAAGTTCTTTCTTTTAATTTTTTTTTTTCTTTTTTAGTTGGAAAAAAAAAATAAACTTATATTAAATTTATATAAAAAGGATGAATACGTTAATTGTGAAATTGAAAGATTAATTTGTTTTATTATCCTTCACTATTAGTAAAATTTATTTTTTCGTAAATATTTTAATTAATATTTGAGAGAAATATACAAATAAAGAAATATTAAGAATAATGAAGAACGAAATGTGTCTAACATTAAATCATCTTTTTGACGGAAACACATACCATCAATTCTAAAAACATAATTTAATCAACCATATATATATATAAATATATATACTCATATATGTCTGTTTGAGTATATATATTTGAACAATGGGAAACTTCATTTATTACTGAAAATGGCAAGAGAAAAAGAAAAAAAGGAGAGAGATAGTCGAAAAATAGGACTGACACTTCATTAAGAAGTTCTACGGTATTTTGACTTAGCACTCATTAAGCTGAAATATCCATTGAAATCTAGGTCCCAATCATTTATCTTCACTACGAGGTAATCTTTCTGTTCTAAAATAATAATTTTTAGCCTGGTTTTTGCATAGTTACTACTAACAACGAAGAGTACGATCCGCATAGCAAATCATGATTTACTGAAGAAATCCCTCTAGGAAACAAGTTGAACAAAGGCACAAAATAAATAATAATATTACTATTATTTGTTTTATTACAATATATATGTATATAAATAAACTTGAGGTCCTACGTGGTTGCTTAATTAATATTGTTGAGAACCTGTGTTTGAATGAGTTCACTGAAATGAATGTTGCAAGAATATAGTTCGCACACCTTTTTCTCTCTGTTAATTTTTTTTAGGTTTTTTTCCTCTCGAGGTACGGAGATATACAGGTTTAACGTCTCGTTGAACCTATGAGAAAATATATATATATTAAAGAACTCCATGGGAAACTATACCTCAGAAACTTTTTTTTCTTTTTTTTAAAAACTTGAAACAAACGGATGGGTTATCAGGCTTTGTTCCTTAGACACAATTGCAGTACTTATGCACATAGTGCATTGATAATAATTGGTAACTAGTAGCAACCACTACCCTTTTAGGAAACTATTTCAAAGCCATGTACGTGTTTCTCTGTGTGGTGTGACAAAATACTTCATTGCTTTAAAGACCGTTTTCTTTTTTTTGATAAAAAAGGTCATGACTCCACTACGAAATTTCTTTGAAGTTGTTAGTTGAAAATAGTTATCCAAGAAAAGGATATGAACATGGTCTATTCGATAATCATTTTATCCTTTCCTTTCTGAATCACTTTTTTTTTTTTGGTTGCTACTTCTGGTCAAAAAAATACAACTAGATTCTTCTTTGATCTATTGTAGTTCCCTATTCTTACTCCATTTTTTTAAACCTTTTTCTCGATCTAGAAGTTAATAATAAACGTCTTTAAATGATACCTTTTTCTATATTAGTGGTAACCCAGACGCCAAAATCAAAACGGAAAAGTTTCAGAGAATAACTGGGGCTTCCAGAATTTTTGAAAATAATGGTAATAATAATAAACTTTTTAATAGGATAGGATTTTCTTAATACAAATGTAAGCAATTACTGAATAGTTTATTCGTTTTTCTTTTTATTACTTGGTCAATTACAAGAATGTTACTTGTTAATATAACTAAAAGACAAAATTCATTTCATGTAACACTTTTCTTTTTTTCATCCTAGCCCCACCAAAGTATTATACATTTTGAAGGACTGGAGTTTTGTACATTTAGATAAAGTTTATTTCTATTATCGTTTTACTACTCTTTTCTTTCTTTTTCCTTGCCTACAAACCACCAATTTCGAATTTATTTTAAGTTTGATCTTTGCTTTAATAGCCGTAACCTATTACCTGAATTCGCACAAGAAGAAAAGGAGAAGTATTCAATCATTGACCTACTGATTGTTTCAGCAATAGAATTTAAGGCAAAATGACAAACTGGCTCTACCCTAAAGAAACATCATAGAAAGATAAAAAATGTGGGAAAAATGTGGAAAAAAAGAAATTTTATCTTCTCTTATGAAACTGATCTATAATTGGTATGTTAAATGAAATATAATGGTAAAAATATTCATTTGGAAAAGAAAAGAGAGAAAATAAGCTTGAAATAGAAGGAAAACGGGAAGCAAACAAGCAACACTGCTGTCTCTTCTATGTTTGGTGAAGTGATACTACGCTATATTCCTTTACTGTGAATGTCAAAAAACGACAGGCTTCACATAATAATATTCAATTCGTTGTACGAATAATATTGGTAAAATTGTTGTGTTTGCCATTTAACTACTTCCACCCAACAAATACAAGTATATATATTACAAAATCAAAAAATAATCAAGAGATAATGCCGAACAAATAATTTCGCCCAGAAAGATAACTTATACAAATGAGGAAATGAGTTTTCACGGAAGAAGGTTATCTCCTGGAGTTGCTATCCCTTTCCCCCTACAGGCGTTGAATTTTTTAATTGAATAGACTCACCTTCCTCAGGCACGCCCACTACGTTTATTTCTAGACCAAGTAACGAGTAAGAAAAAGAAATTTATTGAGCTGGAGTCCATTGATGAAGGTAGCTCTCTTCGCGAATATCTGAACATGTTCATTGCAAATCATCTGTTGAAATGTATATGCCGAATAAGATATTTTACAACAATGCCGTAGAGAATTTGCCACGGAAGTCAAAAAGTTCCACAGTTAATTGAATTGATTCATCTCACTTCTTCTTTTGTCATTCTGCGTAAAGTTAATCACTCGACGCGTTTTTTATATTTTTTTGTTAACTTTTCTCTTTTTTCGAATAAAAATAAAAAGTAGAGTGAATCTACGTCCATTGTACTATACATTCTGATTTTCACTGTGATCCGGGAAATGCTCATAGAGTAATCATTTTGCATGTGCCAGTGAAATTCACGTAGAGATTCTGAACTTCAGTACACGGCTTGTTCCACGGAACTTATGGTATTCATGTCCATCCCCAACAATGATGTGGATTATCGATGCTGGCAAGTCAGTCGTCCTAGTTTTACTAGGGATACCCTCCGGACAGACAGTAGGAAAGTAAGCAAGGGTTGCCTATAATACAGCAAATATCCTATGGCATTTGAAAGGTGTGGAAAGATCGTTGACATTTACTCATATGGAGGGAGTATGAGATTTCATATCATAACCTACATATCCTTACCGAAATACGAAAATGAGGCCTTTTTAATTAATTTTTTTTCTATTTGTTGTTCTATAGCTGGATTCGGTGCATACTATTAGGTAATTAACTTTCAATTACCCCATAAAGTTGTATTACCTTGCTATATATCTCTTTTTTAACGAGAGGTTGAAAGGTCACATTGGGCATTTAACCATACGACAGTTTGTGAAGTAATTGCTTCAATTATGCCCCCCCTCGGTATATCGGCTTTCAGGCAGATCTTTTTCATGAAACATTAATAAGAATATCAGATAATACCAAATTGACTGCCAAATATAAGATGTATTTTTTTTTTGTTGTGTGCGTGAGGTTTAAGTTCCATGGAAGCCTATAGTACCATCATGTTCCTTTGAAAATTGTCAGGTGGAACTTGTGATAGCGAAATTATTGGTTTCACTATTGCATGTAACCTTCCGGTGTTATTGTATTTCCCCTTTACTTTGTCTCCATAAGTATTTCAATTGATGATAATAAATCGACAACCCAACCCTCATGAACGAACGAATAATTCCTTGTTAGGTTCATAAGGTGAAACTACTCCTCTTACTTATATGTATTCTAAGGCTCCAATATTAATTCACTTGTATAATTGCCATTTTGTTACGTGTGGTTGACTGTTATTCTGTTTTTACAACATTTCTACTGAAGATATTTGACGCCACACTTTTTAGTACAGATCCTGAACAAACAATGAAAGTTACAACATCGTTACTTACCGAAAGAAAAAAAATTGGCGATTTGAAAAAAGAAAAGGTAAAGTAATTGATAGAAACCTGTATCTGAACTAGAGATATTGCAAGTCATAGTTTTAACGTGTAACTGATTGTTCTTTTTTATTTGTGCATAGTTTACGTACAGAACTTCATCTTTAATTTCCATCTCGTGTTGACAATGTACAACATCTTTTATTGTGATAATACTTAGTGATGACATGAAATAATAAATGAGCTTTTAGGACTGCTTATATTTCAGTAGTAATAAAATGTATAATTGGTGCTGATTTCTGATAGATAATACGTAATATATAGTTCTTTTTTATTCTTTTGCCTGTGTTGAAATCCTCTGTAAAGTAGTGTATGTTTAAAATTTGAAACTAATTGTTCCCTCTCCAGGATTCTCATAAATGGTATGTGCGCTTGGTTAATTTGACGAACTAACATTTCCTCTTTATAGCCTAGTTGACTTTCCTGTACATTTTCATTATCCATTAATTAATACAGTTCAATGGAAGTTCCTTAGATTTGTAAATTTCTTGTAATTGACTAAAGGAGAAGGACATGATATGTCACTTTCAGACTATAGCATATAAGATCTGATTTACTAAATTATTTAACAATACATATTGTTTGATAGAAATTTTCTCGATGATATTACTTTATATATTATCCGCAAAAAGAGAACAATTTAGAATTGTTTTGAAGTTTATTATTTTTTCAATATCAGTACTATAAATTTTTCTTTAGACCTTTCACCTTTTCTATATCTAACTGTAACAGTTAACGTCATCTAATGATTTCTGATTGTCACTGGCATTATTCATTCTGTGAAATGAGCATCGAGAAATAATAGATCTTTTTCTTCATACTTAAGGTTGATTGGCATCTACCGCGTGCTAGCTGGTAAAAAAATAAGAAAATGAGATCGGCATGACTTTCTCAGAATTTGGCAAAAATTAGACCGACATGGGAAGAAAAAGGTCGACATCGGTAAATATTGAATAATAGGGAACCGAAATAAAGTTAATCACAGATAGGGAACAACCTTGATCTAATTTTGAAAAATATATATTTATTTATTTATTAATAAGGTGATTAGTATTCAATTTAAGAATTGTTGTCATATCTATTTGAAATCAACCAAGGGAAAGTCTATCTACTCAATTTATTTTGTCGCTACAACCATGACAAACTCAACGATAGCTATTATCAAGCAGGACTCGAATATGGCTTTCATAGCTGGCGGTATAGCAGGTGCTATCTCTAGAACAGTTGTTTCGCCATTTGAGAGAGTAAAGATATTATTACAGGTTCAGAATCACACCGGTAATTCATACAATAATGGGATCTTCAAAGCTATCAAACAAGTATACTTGGAAGAAAACGTAAAAGGTTTGTTCCGTGGTAATGGAGTGAACTGTCTAAGGATTTTTCCATATAGTGCTGTTCAATTTGTAGTATATGAATACTCTAAAAAACATTTTTTCCATGTTGATGGTAGTATTGGTAAGGAACAATTGAATAACTGGCAAAGATTATTTAGTGGAGGTCTCTGTGGTGGTTGTAGTGTAGTTGCTACCTACCCATTAGACTTAGTTAGGACAAGACTTTCTATACAGACAGCAAATTTACAACATTTAAAACATGGTAAAGCTAATAATATGAGTAAACCACCTGGGATATGGCATTTATTAAATAGAGTTTATCATGAAGAAGGGAAGATTGTTGGATTATACAGAGGTGTATGGCCTACAATGTTGTGCATTGTTCCTTATGTTGCGTTAAATTTTGCAGTTTATGAACAATTAAAAGAATATATTCCAAGTAATGATGGCACCAGACAAAGATATTGGGAAGATAATTTTCTAAAATTAAGTATTGGTGCAGTGAGTGGAGGTGTTGCACAAACGTTGACATATCCATTTGATTTATTAAGAAGAAGATTTCAAATTCTAACAATGGGTAATAATGAATTAGGGTTCCATTATACAGGTGTTTATGATGCCTTAAGAACAATTGGTAAAAATGAAGGTTTCAAAGGTTATTATAAAGGTCTGACTGCTAATTTATTTAAAGTGGTCCCCTCTACTGCAGTTAGTTGGTTGGTTTATGAAGTGGTATGTGATGTAATTAAAACCATGTAAGTTTTTTCTTTGAATATCCCACTATATGGATGAGAAAGAGAGAGCATGCAATCAGTTGTAAATTTTTACAAATAAGGACACGATTGGTCTTTTGATTAAAAAAAGACTCGACTATGTAAATATATGTATCTATAAGTATACAATCGTCATTAATGTCATATTTTTTTTTTTTTTAATCCAAATATTTAAAATTAATGTTTAATAATTATTTTTCATCTTTAAAAAGAGAAGTTCCAACGAAACGGAATTCTGTAAACAAAAAAACAAAAGTGATAAAGAGAAATCTCACCCTATTCTGATGTTAGCTTTTAATTAAATAACCGTCAACATGGAAATATGCAATTGAACAGTGGATCCCAAATACTCATGATTGTGACATCTTCTCCTCTTGAATAAGCACTTACATAATTAAATCAAACCCTAGTTGACACCTTAGATTCTTAGGGCGTATCAGGGTTACTACCAAACCCTAACTTTACTTCCCGCGTAACCAAACAAGAAAAAAGAATAATCTTTCGGTGGATTTGATTGGCCAGCCTTCACAAAAGAAAAACAACCAGTCTGCCGTCTCTCCCTCCACTCTCCCTTCCAGTAAAATCCGGCAAGGGACACAGAGATGGAAGAAAACTAACAAAATATCAACATATCAAAATATGGATAGATAGATAAATAGACAAATAGAGGATATACACAAAATACAAATAGTAATAGATGAAAAACTGAATTTGTTTTGAATCTTTCCATCGTCCGAAAAATCCATCTTCAATTCTGATTTTCTGTAATTTGTCTCCGGGTTTTAAGGGGTTGCTCTCCCTTTATCACTTGTAGTATATATATATATATATATAATGTATACTTTCTCGATGATGGTATAAATAATACTTTCGGATAGTTTGTTTACAACCTTCTCTATATTTTTTAGAAGAATTTTCAATATTCGATTCATTACTGCTTTTTTAGTTTTCAAGTGATTTTATCTTATATTTCTTAAGCTAACCAAGTCTGTTTTAAACAAGTCATAGTTGCAGGACAAACATACATTCACATATATATACACAACTACAATTCCAAAAAGATGCTACCCACAAGAGTATTACTTAACTCAGCAGTATGTTCTTTCTAATACATTGAATAATTCAAGTTTTCTTTTTTTACTAACAGCACATCTACATTTGTATTATCAAATATATTTTGAATATATATACGGATAATGCTATATTATTATTAATATTTTAATAGAAAAAATCTGCTGGTACAAAAATTCCTGTTGAATTAACTCCTCTAGTCTTAGCCGTTTGTGTAGCTTTAGGTTCAGGTTGTTTTTTCACTTACAAAAAATTAACTACTGATGATACTCTAAGGTTGAAGAATAATCCAGAAAATACTGGATTGAAGGAAGTTTTAAATCAAAAATAATTATTTCTGAAGAGTTAGGTAATCCTTTATTATTTTTATTATTATTATATGAGACAATCCATATCCTCTTTCTTTGATTTTTTTGTTGCTTTTAACACATTCATATTCATCACAACTTCCAATAATTTATTATGTTTATATATTAGATATATTTTTAAACCAAGAATATATAATATAATAATACACCCAAGAAACAACGAATATATTGGAAAAAAATATGATATTATTTTATTATCTGTCAACCAGTATTTCTTTCTTTCCCTTCCCTTATATATTCAGATTAGGTTTGATACTTATATCTTCAAACTTTATTTCCTTTCAAGTACATCGGACTAAGTAGTCATTGCTTTATTGTAATTATTATATTTTATGTAATATCTATTCTTTAAATTACCATGATCGTTGTATTGCTTATTTAATTATCTTTAATGATTAACGGAACGGACCTGAAATTAGCGTGGAAGGTAGAATCTGTTCCGTCTCGGTCACGTGAAAATAGACTGAAAAATTTTTTTTTTCGTCAAATTTTTTTTTCTCAAATTTTTTCCTTTGGGTTGTCCTCCTAAGAAAGAGCAAAAATAATCGATTAGCTCATCTCATCTCATCTCGAACTCCTTTCTCATCAAAATATACATATATACATATATATATATACATATACATACACATATTAAGCCCACATTAGTTTCCTCACTTGAGTATCTTCTGTAAGGATAAGCTAGCCGAAAGAAAAAGCATTACAAAGATCTCATACTCAAAAGACACGATGGGTAACTTAATAAAAGTTCCTGCCGGTGCAAGAACAGCAGACTTTCGTACTCTCGAAAGAGAAAACAGATTCATAAATCCTCCAAAGGACAAATCTGCATACCCATTGCTAGCAGAGGCAGTGGAACCACATGTCGGTTCCTTCAATGCGTTAACTGAAGGTCCAGGTGGTGGTCTACTGAATCTTGGTGCTAAGGACATTGGTGAAAAAATTATCTTTGATGGTAAACCTGAAAGTTCAGATCCTGACCATATCAATGACAAATATTTGGGGAATAAACTTTCCGTGAGTGTCGAACAAGTCTCGATCACAAAGCCTATGTCAAATGATGGTGTCTCAGCTGCTGTAGAAAGAAAAGTATTCCCCACTGAATCTAGACAAAGACTAACATCTTATAAAGGTAAATTATTATTGAAATTGAAATGGTCTATCAATGATGGTGAAGAAACATTCACTGAAGTGAGAGACTGTGGTGGGTTACCAGTCATGTTACAATCCAACAGATGTCATTTAAATAATCTATCTCCTTATGATTTAGTTAAATACAAGGAAGAATCCGATGAAATGGGTGGTTATTTCATTATTAATGGTATTGAAAAATTGATCAGAATGTTGATTGTTCAACGTAGAAATCATCCTATGGCTATCATCAGACCAAGTTTCACCAACAGAGGTACTTCTTACACTCAATATGGTATTCAAATGAGATCTGTTAGACCTGATCAAACGTCTCAAACTAATGTTTTGCATTATTTGAATGATGGTCAAGTTACTTTCAGATTCTCTTGGAGAAAAAACGAATATTTAATTCCAGTGGTTATGATCCTAAAGGCTCTATGTGACACTAGCGACAGAGAAATTTTCGATGGTATTGTTGGTTCTGACGTCACGAACTCTTTCTTAACTGATCGTCTAGAATTGTTACTACGTGGGTTCAAGAAACAATACCCAACCTTACATAACAGAACCCAAGTCCTGCAATATTTAGGTGATAAGTTCCGTTTTGTCTTCCAAGCCTCTCCAGATAAGTCCGATTATGAAGTAGGTCAAGAAGTCTTGAACCGTATTGTTCTTGTTCATCTAGGTCAAGATAAAAATGAAGATAAATCTAAGATGTTACTGTTCATGATCAGAAAGCTTTATTCTTTGGTTGCTGGTGAGTGTTCTCCCGATAATCCAGATGCTACTCAACATCAAGAAGTCCTGCTAGGTGGGTTCTTATATGGTATGATCATCAAGGAAAAGATTGACGAATATCTACAAGGTATTCAACAACAAATCAGAACCGATATTAACCGTGGTATGGCCATTAACTTTAAGGACCGTAAATACATGTCTAGAGTTTTGATGAGAATTAATGAAAACATTGGTTCTAAATTACAATACTTCCTATCCACTGGTAATCTAGTTTCTCAATCTGGTCTGGATTTGCAACAAGTTTCAGGTTACACTGTTGTTGCTGAAAAGATTAATTTTTACCGTTTCATCTCGCATTTCAGAATGGTGCATAGAGGTTCTTTCTTCGCACAATTGAAGACTACTACTGTTAGAAAATTGTTACCAGAATCTTGGGGTTTCTTATGTCCTGTCCATACACCCGATGGTTCTCCTTGTGGTCTTCTAAACCATTTTGCCCATAAGTGCCGTATCTCAACAACGCAAACAGATTTGAGTGAGGTTCCAGCGTTATTATACTCCTTAGGTGTCTCCCCTGCATCTCACACTTTTGCTGCTGGTCCATCTTTATGTTGTGTTCAAATTGATGGTAAAATCATCGGTTGGGTGTCTCATGAACAAGGTAGAATTATTGCAGACACTTTAAGATACTTGAAGGTTGAAGGTAAGACCCAAGGTTTGCCATTGGATATGGAAATCGGTTATGTACCACCTTCTTCTAAAGGTCAATACCCTGGTCTATACTTATTTGGTGGTCACTCTAGAATGATGCGTCCTGTTCGTTACTTACCATTGGATAAAGAGGATATTGTCGGTCCATTCGAACAAGTCTACATGGATATTGCTGTTACTCCACAAGAAATTGAAAACAACGTTCATTCTCATGTCGAATTCAGTCCAACCAATATTCTATCTATTTTGGCTAACTTAACTCCATATTCTGATTTCAACCAATCGCCAAGAAATATGTACCAATGTCAAATGGGTAAACAAACTATGGGTACTCCAGGTGTTGCTCTTGTTAACCGTTCTGATAATAAACTGTATAGATTACAAGGTGGTCAAACTCCAATTGTGAAGGCAAACTTGTACGATGATTATGGTATGGATAATTTCCCTAACGGTACCAATGCTGTTGTTGCAGTTATCTCTTATACCGGTTATGATATGGATGATGCGATGATTATCAATAAATCTGCAGACGAAAGAGGTTTTGCATATGGTTCTATGTATAAAGTTGAAAAGGTTGATTTGTCAATGAATCGTAACCGTGGTGATCCAATCTCCCAACATTTCGGTTTTGGTGATGACGAATGGCCAAAGGAATGGTTAGACAAGTTAGATGATGATGGGTTACCACATATCGGTACTTATTTGGAAGAAGGTGACCCAATCTGTGCTTACTTCGATGATACTTTGAACAAGACTAAAATTAAGACTTACCACTCATCCGAACCAGGTTACATTGAAGAAGTTAATTTGATCGGTGATGAATCCAATAAATTCCAAGAATTACAAACCATCAGTATCAAATATAGAATTAGAAGAACTCCACAAATTGGTGACAAGTTCTCCTCTAGACATGGTCAAAAGGGTGTTTGTTCGCGTAAATGGCCTACTATTGATATGCCATTCAGTGAGAGTGGTATGCAACCAGATATTATCATCAACCCTCATGCTTTCCCATCTCGTATGACCATTGGTATGTTTGTTGAATCTTTAGCTGGTAAAGCTGGTGCACTACATGGTATTGCCCAAGACGCTACGCCATGGATGTTCAATGAAGAAGATACTCCTGCTGATTATTTTGGTGAACAATTGAAAGATGCTGGCTATAACTACCATGGTAATGAACCAATGTACTCTGGTGCCACAGGTGAAGAGTTAAGAGTTGATATCTACATCGGTGTTGTCTATTATCAAAGATTACGTCATATGGTTAACGATAAGTTCCAAGTCCGTTCCACAGGTCCAGTAAACAGTTTAACTATGCAACCAGTTAAGGGTAGAAAGAGACATGGTGGTATCCGTGTAGGTGAAATGGAAAGAGATGCTTTGATTGGTCATGGTACGTCATTCTTACTGCAAGATCGTCTGTTGAACTCTTCTGATTACACACAAACCTCCGTCTGTCGTGAGTGTGGTTCTATTTTAACTACTCAACAAAGTGTTCCAAGAATAGGTACGATGTCTACCGTTTGCTGTCGTCGTTGTGCTGTTACATTTGAAGATGCCAAGAAAATGCTTGCCAAACATGATGGTGATGAATCTATATTTATCGATGATTCACAAATATGGGAAGATGGTCATGGTAAGAAATTCGTTGGTGGTAACGATACTACAACAGTTGGTATTCCATTTGTTTTGAAATACCTAGATTCGGAACTTACTGCTATGGGTATTAGAATGCGTTACAACGTAGATCCAAAGTGAACGATGCTAACTCTACATCTTTCTAACTCCCATATTTTCTACTTTCCAGCACGCATATACACATATATATTTATTATATATAACATATACTATCTTTTGAGATAGTACAAATTGTACACTACTTATAATAATAATAAAAAAGAGCAATGAACAACAATTACGAATTTAAAATATTTATATATCTCCTTCCAACTGGAACCGAAAATATACGCACTACTTCGAGAATCAAATAAAATTTCCCTGTAACTAAAACGTCAACTATACTTATATAGAAACGCGACTTTTTAAAGCTGTCAATTCGCGCGAATCTCTTTCTTTTCCTGTATTGGCCACCACGACGGTCAACAAATGTTTACTTACGGCGACAATTCAACGTGAAAAGAAAAGAAGCAAAAAAAAAAATGAAAAATAAATTTATACTTTTTTTCTTTATGTAATCTAAAATGGAGCCTTTTTTGGGATCTGGCGTTAGGGACTATATTATTTTTCTTTATTGAAGGAATTAAACTATAGTATAGTTATCCAAGTCACTGACGAATAAACTGTTGGTTGTACACTTAGCTAGAGATTTTGATATCCAAAGATTACTTTTTTCTCTTTTTTTAGCTCTGTAAAACTACCTTTTTTTTAGCTCTTTTTCATTACCTCGAAAGAACCTGATAATTATCTTGAATCATCGTGATCCTGCAAATAATTTCCAGAGAGAACTACCGATTATAGACGAGAATTAGATTCTACAGTGCAATCTATATTATTATTACGAATAATTAAAACAAACAAACAAATAGTCTCTCGCTTCGAACTCAATAATTTCACTAAAATATGAGTGCAAATCCGTTTGATGGATACTCAAACGACAAGGAAAAACAAGATGAGGGCACCTTGAATAACGATGAGTCTATACTATTATCTACCAAGGAACTACTTTCAAAGGCTACTCCGTCTCTGGAGTTCTGTAAAGTCTCTGTGGAGGAAACTGTTGATAGATTAAACACCAGCAGCAACACAGGTCTTGCATCTGCTGAAGAAGCAAGTCATAGAAGAAAAGAATATGGCCCAAATGAAATTTCAGTAGAAGATGACGAATCACTGTGGAAGAAGTTTTTATCAAATTTTATCGAAGATCGTCTGATCCTACTTTTGATTGGATCTGCCTTAGTTTCGGCAATCATGGGTAATTTAGATGATGCAGTTAGTATCACTTTGGCTATTATAATTGTCGTCTCTGTGGGATTTGTCCAAGAATATAGATCTGAAAAATCCCTGGAAGCTCTAAACAAATTGGTCCCTGCAGAATGTCATTTAATTAGAGGAAGCCAAGAAGCTCATGTTTTAGCATCTGTCCTTGTTCCAGGTGATTTGGTGTGTTTCAGAATAGGTGATAGAATACCTGCAGATTTGAGAATAACTGAGGCCTTTGATTTATCTATTGATGAAAGTAACTTAACTGGTGAGAATGAACCTGTGCATAAAGTAACAAGTGCAATTAATAAAGAGACCTTTAGTTATAACACAACTGGAATCATTCCGCTATCAGATAGAACTAACATTGCATACATGGGTACTTTGGTGAAGGAAGGTCATGGTAAAGGTATTGTCGTCGGTACTAGCACTAATACTTCATTTGGTGCAGTATTTGAAATGATGAGTAGCATTGAAAAGCCAAAGACTCCTCTACAACTAGCTATGGATAAACTAGGGAAGGATCTATCTCTTTTCAGTTTTATTGTAATCGGTTTTATTTGTTTAATTGGGATTATCCAAGGTAGATCGTGGTTGGAAATGTTCCAAATATCTGTTTCCTTGGCTGTTGCTGCTATTCCTGAAGGTCTTCCAATCATTGTCACTGTGACATTAGCTTTGGGTGTCTTAAGAATGGCTAAAAGGAAGGCTATTGTCAGAAGATTACCTAGTGTTGAAACTTTGGGTTCCGTTAACGTCATTTGTTCAGATAAGACTGGTACTTTGACTTCGAACCATATGACTGTATGCAAAATCTGGTGTTTAGGTAGTATGACAAATAAATTTAATGTTCTGGATTTACAAAAGACAAAAGGTGTTAATTTCAAGAATTATTTAACTGATGACGTTAGAGCCACTTTGAATGTTTCGAATATTTGTAACAATGCTTCATTTTCAGTTGAACATTCGAAATACCTCGGGAATCCTACGGATGTTGCTCTGTTAGAACAACTTTCCAAATTTGGACTTGAAGATAATAGACCAAATGTCAAAAAAGTGCACGAGATTCCATTTAATTCCAAAAGAAAATTCATGGCTACTGAAGTATTTGAACAAGATGGGACTCATGTACTATATGTTAAGGGTGCATTTGAAAAGATTCTATCTTACTCTAACACATTTTTAAACGAAAAAGGTAAAACTGAGAAATTAACTGAGGCCCAGAAGGCAAATATCACTGAATGTGCTGACTCATTAGCTTCTGAAGGTTTACGTACTTTGGCATTTGCTAAATTACAATTGAAAGGTACTGAACCAGTTGCAAAACTTACCGAAGATATGGTTACAGATTTAACGTTTACTGGTTTAATTGGTATGAGTGATCCTCCACGTCCAACCGTGAAACCTGCTATGGAACAATTACTACAAGGTGGTGTCCATATTATTATGATCACTGGTGATTCTGAAAGTACAGCTGTAAATATCGCTAGACAGATTGGTATACCAGTTATTGATCCAAAATTATCCGTTTTGAATGGTGAGAAATTAGATGAAATGTCCGATGAACAGCTGGCTAATGTGATTGACCATGTTTCTGTTTTTGCTCGTGCTACTCCTGAACATAAATTGAACATTGTTAGAGCTCTAAGGCAAAGAGGTGAAGTCGTGGCCATGACAGGTGATGGTGTTAATGACGCACCGGCTTTGAAGCTAGCTGATATTGGTGTGTCAATGGGTAAGATGGGTACTGATGTTGCTAAAGAAGCTTCGGATATGGTGTTAACTGATGATGATTTCAGTACTATTTTAACCGCAATCGAAGAAGGTAAAGGTATTTTCAACAATATTCAGAACTTCTTGACGTTCCAACTTTCTACATCTATCGCTGCTCTATCCCTGGTTGCACTATCCACGTTATTTAAGTTACCAAACCCGTTGAATGCTATGCAAATTTTATGGATTAATATTTTAATGGATGGTCCTCCTGCGCAATCCTTAGGTGTCGAGCCAGTGGACCATGAAGTTATGAAAAAACCTCCAAGAAGAAGAACCGATAAAATTTTAACTAAACAAGTTCTAAGAAGATTATTAGGTACTGCGGCATGTATAATTATCGGAACAATTTACGTATTTGTCAAGGAAATGGCAGAAGATGGTAAGGTCACACCTAGAGATACAACAATGACATTTACTTGCTTTGTTTTCTTTGATATGTTTAATGCCTTAGCATGTAGACATTCTACAAAGTCTATTTTTGAAGTAGGGTTTCTAACAAATAAGATGTTCAATGCTGCAGTTGGTTTGTCCCTTCTAGGTCAAATGTGCGCTATATATATACCTTTTTTCCAGAGCGTGTTCAAGACTGAAAGATTAAGTCTGGGAGATTTACTTTTCCTTTTAGTTATCAGTAGTAGTGTATTCATTATTGATGAATTAAGAAAGTACAGGGATAAGAAGAACGCACAAAACGACCCTTCTTATTACTCAATCGTATAGATAATGATTCATCTTAGGATACTTTTCGAATTATTACTAGTCTTTTTTTTTATTGATAAAGTAATAATTTTATTTACTCTTCTCAAATATGTTTCTTATTTTTTTTAGCAATAGAGTAACTTACGTACAACAAATAACATTTAGATATAATAATAAAAAATTTATATAAAACATTAAAAAGGAGAAAAAGAATATTTAGTTCATTAATAATAGGCTGGTTATATATAGAAATCATAATTTTTAAATTATGCTATATACTCAGCTTGTTGGTAGTCGAAAATTGTCAGATCAGTAATACAGGTTTTCTCAGAACAATGTTGCAAGACATTGGCAAATATTGTAATATCTTTCCTTGTTAGCCCACTAGAAAATGTACAGTCTCCCGTGAATTCTGCATTGGTATCTCTTTCAACTCTGTTTCTGATTTTGCAGCAGCAGGAACAAGGTTCCAAGAGAATGATTTTATCTATTTGTTTTATAATACAGGAGGTGCTTTCTTCGATCCGATTCATAACCTGTTCTGATATACCCACTGTATCAGAAATCATCTTAATCATACATTCTTGTTCTTGTTCATTTAAAATGTAAAACAGTTTATCGTTTATAGTTTTAATAATGCTTTTGTCTTGATATAGAATCGTCACTTCTGCATCACATCTTGTCTTTTTCACTCTACAATAATTACAACTAGGCCACAATCTTTGTTTTCTTTTAGAAGGCATAGTGTACAATGTGTTATTGTATGAAAGTTTTCTCTTTTTCTTCGAGCCAGATTTTGCTAGTGAAGCTTCATTAAGCCTCATTGTGTCGATAGGCGGTAAAAGACTGATTATTTCCTCATTAGGCTTAACAGATATCCTAGGAATATCCGAGTAATCTTCGAATGGATCATATTTGGTCTGTGGTAAATAGGAGTTATCCTGACCAGGTATTAAAAGAGGGTGCATTGGCTTGTGAGTATTTTTCACTATGTAATGAATGGTGGTCATACTTGAATGGATATATATAGTAGAAATCTTTGTTGTAGTTAGTTGGGTTCTTGTTACAATAATGATAATTAAAATAAATAAGAGGTAAATTATCTTCAAAATTCAGATTCTTCTAGAAGCAGGATGGGTATTTATATATAACCAAGAACCATTTAAATTTGTTTAAAATTAGACTCACGTTGGAATATAATTCATGCGGAGCTCATGCACTTTCTTCACAGTTCAAAAAGAGGAGAGTAAATTAATTTTCTTAAGTATTGTTTTATTCTGATTTCCAATCTCCTAAATGATTAATAAGCATTATAATTTTTATTATGGAATTCTACCTAGATGATGGTAGTTTAGAAATTTAAACCTTAAAATTAATCAGAATACAGGAGTTCATATACGTAAATATTAGTTGCATCCTGAGAGGGTGGAATGATAATATAATAGCAAGTTTGGTATCCATTTAGCTCATCTGTTATGCATTTATAGGAAAACAAAAGTTAAAGACAATGGACGTAAAATAACTTAAATGGTAAAGTTAAAAAACAAAAGAATGCATCGGTGATCATTGGGCCGAAATAGGGTATTCCCTGGACAAACGTGCACTCGAGAGGTTATATTTGTTCATTATTGAGAACAGAATCAAGTAAGCTATGTTTTTCCCTTCTTGTTTTTTGACCCCTCCCATGTGTGGCTCATAGTTTGCCTATTGTTTGACAGATCAATTTCTTTTTTCTCCTTTCTTGACACTGTTTTAACCCGCTCGGGGAGGATGTTTCCCACGCAAATATTTCTTTTTTGTTTGTTGGAAAAATTGTCAAAGAAAAGGATTAACCTCGAAGGGGGGGGGGGAGACTAGACTAGTTCACGGATCATTCATAATGGAACTATTAAAATTATGCAAAACAGAAGAGGGGTATCAGGGGGCACATAAACAACAATAGGTGCATTGTCACTTAGAAGTAAAGAAATAAAAATGGAATTTTAAATATTTAACGATATAATTACGTCCTCCTAAAAAAGTCGTTTATGTAATGGTAGGTCTAGCCGTGTGACAGAAAAAGCTTACAAAGATATTTCTGTGGTAAGCTTCCGCTTAGTAATAAAGCTATACATATAGATGATTAATAGGTATCATAAAAAAGATGATTTTTATTATTAAAAATTAAACTGTAATATAACTGGTAACTCCATGTCGGGCCACCAGTGAAAAAAATAATTACTAAAGTCATGTAAAAGTTATATAGGTATCAAAAATAAAATAAAATTATTCACATAATTAGGTTACCTAATATCGGTCCTTAAGGTTATATACGTCAATAAACTCTAGTTTTTTTTTTCAAACAATGGATAGAAGGTAAGAAAAATGTTAACTTTTTGTAACAAAAATTGATATTTTTGTCTTGTTCTTCAGCTAAAGAGTCGACATAAAATTGTCTAAATCTGCAAATCCTTGTTCGGAAAGTAGCTGACTTGGCGGTGAGCTAAATTGTAAAGCATTCACTGGTGATGCTTCAGAGGAATATAAATTGTTCGTATCTACGTCATTTTGATTTACATTATTATTATTGATGTTGTTATTATGATTAAACATATCATTATTATTATTAGTAGTATTAGTATTAGTATTATTATTATTATTATCGTCATCATCTATTGTCGTATCGTTCATTATTGGAAATTTGTTTACATCCATGTTCGAGTTAATATTAAAACTGTCATAGATCGCACCACCATCAGTAACTTCTGGATTAATAGTATTGTCTGCAAGATTCTTAATATATCTGTGGTTTCTATCCATACTTGAAGATCTTTGCTTATTTTGAAACACCGATGATATTGCGCTATTGTTACTATTTGAGATTGGGATTTGACCATTATTCCCTTCACGATTTGGACGTGTTTTTCTCTTTGCATTCGTATAACTGCCTGGGATGTCCATAAAACTTGGTGTTAATGATAATACCTCCACACTACGTATACTATCATTATCACCTGTAGTTCTTTGACTTTTTGTGCGCTCATTTGGATAAAATGATTCTGTATAAAGTTTACTCTTTTCAATATGATTACCATTATTCTTTTCTTGCAGGAGAACATTAGCTTTAGATAATGTTGAAATAGAAGAAGAATCCAGGAACATGTCTAATAATCCGTTACTTGCTTGAGGTTGTCTATCAGGTAATGGTTTCCCATATTGATGTATACTATAATCATCAGCTTCGTTACTAGTCACTGAGGGAACAATACTACTTTTTCTTGAGTCGGATCTGGATCCATATTCTTTAAAGGATGCATTTTCACCACCATTTAAAGCCCAGTCATTAACATAGGAACTACTATCTGTAACTCTTCCAACACCATTGAGATCAGGTGGAACAAATTCTTCGAGAGGTACAATTACAGCCCCTGGATTTGGTTTCAATGGCGGCGATGCCAATGCAGATTTATTTCCAACTGGTGGAGACCCAATATGAAATGACGATTGATAATTTTTCCCCATGTTCGTATGACTATTATTTGACGAGGAACCTAACATGTTCAAATTAATTTGGCTAGATGATATATTACTACCGTTCTGGCTTTGATTGTGGTTACTATAGCTTTTTCCATTTGAATTATCCCAATTTCTTGATACATTATGTAGACCACTAGAATTATTGATATTGTTATTAATGTTATTGTTATTATTATTAAATCCGCCGGTAATGAAATTGAATTGCATTGCACCAAGTGGTGGACTTTGTGGAGAAGAAATATTTTGATCCAAAGAATTTGATGATTGTAATGAAGAGATTGATGCTAATGATGGAACATGATGATAATCTTTAGTAATTTTTCCGGATAAAATATCTGAATCTATAAAATTTGTTGAGAGATGATTTGATGAATCTGATAATATACTACTTGCAGATAAGAAATTACTATCTAATGATGTAGATGAATTAACTCTTGGGAAAATGCCTGCTCTAGGTTTATTATTTGGATGATGATTATGATGATTATGATTAATAGATGATGAAATAGATCCAGTTGTACTATTAGTTGTGGTTCTTTTCTTTGAAGGAGATCTTTTAGTTTTCTTTGAATGAACTGGACATTTTTTAATCATATTTTCTTTTGATATTTCTATACCATCTATTATATTACTATTATTACACGTACAATTCTTACCAGCAAGTTCTCTTGCTTTTGCTCTAGTTTCTTCTTTAGCCTTTTGAGCTAATCGTTTCTTTTCTTGTCTACCACATGTACAAGTTCCTGGAGGTTTAATACCTTTACTTTTTCTTAATTCTTTACAATATGCACATGTTGTGGATGGTCTACCTTTTGGTTTTATCATCATTAATGGTTGATCTGTATGATTACATGTTGTGACTCTATGACCTCTAATGCAACGTTCACAAGCATATTTAATGCCATTTATTAGTACCATTTGTTGTTGTTGTTGTTGTTGCTGTTGTTGTTTGTATTTCTTAAAGAGAGAAGGATAAAATTGAAAAAATAAAAAGAGTCTATAACAGTATTATTGTTTTTTTAAAAGTTTGAAGTAAGGTAAAGGGTTTTATTTTTATTTATTTTTGGCTTGTTGATAAAATTTTCTTTCTCTATCGAACGTTGAATGTCTGTGAATATCTATCTATCTATAGATATACATATATATATACAGATGTATAGATGTATATATATATATATATATATATGATTCTCCGTATAAGAGAGGCTAGTGATTAAATAAGTAAAATATTGTTAATCACCTGAAAAGAAATGAAAAAGTAAAGAGTTCAATAAAATTATATATATATCGTATGATGCCTGTTTTTAGAATTGTCAGTTGATGGAGATGATTATATAATATTACTTACTTACTTAAAAAAATCGATAAAAAGAAAACAAATTCAGTTAACTAAACAGGGCGAGAAATAATTCAAAATTTCAATTGAAGAAGAAATCCACTAGAAATGCATAGTTAATGTTTGTAATAGAACTGGTGAGAGACCGAGAGGCCGAAATTTAATGGGTGAAATGTTACAAATTGGTGGTAATATTCAAATTTTTACAAATTTTACAAATTATTCAATTTATTCAAAATAATTGAGTCCTCTCCTCTTACTTTATTGCCAATTAATTATCATCACCACGGTCACTTACTCTATTCTCCCCCTCCCCCAATAAGAAGAACAATAACAAGTAAATACTCTAGAGAAATCAAGAAATCAAGAAATTTTATGGATTAATCCAGAGAATACCCCTGACAAGACTCTTTCTGTGTCGCAGATACAAGCATTTTCTTTTTTATTGTTATTTTTTATTTACATTCTCTCACATAGAACCGGACAAATAGAGAAATAACATATATATCCATATATATATTGTTCGTTGTCCGTTGTTCGTTATTTCTGTACAGTCCTTATATTATTGCATAAATACCATTTTCAGTTTTCTTCCACTTAATATTAATAGTAATAGTAAGTTTAAGATGAAGGAATAAAAAAGGACGTAGGACTTTGTATGGAGAGAAGTGGTATGTGAAAAAGAGAATACGCAGCACTCTTCGTAGTAAACACATGTTACCTTGGACGTACGCATGCCTGACCGTATAGGTATTCTTTTTTTGAGTCGAATAAAAAAAAAGAAAGTAATAAGAATAATAATAATCTTATATACGTGCGCTGTTTCCTTAGTGTTTTGATCAACAAATAATTTTTAACCGTCTATCCGTCGCCTCAAAAAAGAAATCTTTTGCCAAAGAGAAACGAATTGGATTGGTTCGGTTCGGTTCGGGAAAGGCCGTGGAGCATGGTACCCATCCATACAGTTTGTCGTTGGTTTGCATTTTTTTATTATCACCTTTCTTAATCTCGTTTCCCTACACAGAATAAAATGAAAATCGATTAATATCCATTTTTGGTTAATTTCTTAACTAAAAAAATACTGTCAAAATATTATACATTTTAGAAAAAGACAGTCCCTTGGATATATATTTATTAATAATTAATTAGTGTTAATATTCAATCACAAAATATATAGAGGTTGATTTATAAGACTACAAAATTATCAATGTTCTCCTCTTTCTTGTCATCTGCTTTGAAATCACTAAACTCTTCTCTCTTTCTTGAAAAGAAAAAGCAATAGAAATAAACTTGCTTTGTACTGTTTACCACTACTACTTCCTTATTCTTTCTAGATATATGTAAGTTAGATAAAGAGCCCCGGTAAAGACATTTTTTATAACATTAATCAGATGAGATGTGCCACCACCTAATATCAAAATCAAATCAAACAAATGATTGAATGAGATAAGAAATATTAACAACGCCGTAGATTCGGGAAACCCTGAAAAGGGAAATTTGTCCGTAATCTGTATCTCTTTCTTTTCTTTTTCTTTTTCTTACCGTTGAAAAAATAGATAGCAAGATAGAGTTGTTCTCTCACAAAACTCTACTTCATTTAGTTTACATCGGTTGACAATGTAATTTAATCTCTATGATAATGAATATGAATATGAATAATATATTAAAAACTAAACTAATGGTAACTTTGGTTATAGAAAAAAGAAGAAGAAAAGTTAAATTCGAAAATCTTCCGTCGAACCTTCTCTACATCTTATCTTGCATAAATCATGTATATATGTATAAACCTTTAATGCAATTCTATTCATTTTCCTGAAGAAGAATTAATCGATTTACGGATATGGAGTGATGATATTCTTAAATATATTTACTCCTTTCTTGTGCAAGCATTTCAAATCTCCGATCAAGGAATTGATTTTATAAGCAGCGTTTAACAACTTTTATACCCCCGCTCACCATCAGATATCATATAAAAATTAATAGCAATCGGAAGAAGAAGAAAAATATCGTTCCCTGCATAAATATTACTGTGTGAATAATACTAGTATTAATAATAATAATAATATCTCTACGATATATTCTTTTAACAATTTATTTTTCATCACCATTTTTTTTTCTTTTCCAAATTGATAATTCATTAAATAATAATATTCAATCTTTCTTTTTTTTGGTTAACATTGTAAAGAATAAATAGTTCAAACACTCATGACGTAAGTTTCTTTTTATCTCTTGCAAAAAAAAATAAGGATACAATTTGGCTAATTTTCAATGACTCTTTACAAAAATAGGAAATTCTGTCATTACATTTCAAATATTTATAATCTTGCCTCCAATCTAGTTCTCAAAAAAATAAAGTGCTCTTCTTTTTATTGGATGTATCATGTCTAAGCAAAATATTGAATATTCGTTGTTCTGCAACTAGAGAAAACATCATAACAAAAGAAAAAAAATATGTAAATTATTGATATTTTCATTTAATGATATTTCAAAACTAAACTGATAACTTTCTTTATAATGAATGTTTTTGTAATTATAAAAATTTAACTTTTATCTCATCAATTGTGAAAGGTATAGTAACAAATACAACGAAATGAATTTTATTAAATCATTTTTCTCAGTAACTAACTTTACTGCCAAGAGTCCCCTCACCATAAAATAAAGTCTGAACATTTATTTAATCAATACATATAAGCGATCATGTTCTTCTTCTTAATAACAAAGCCATAACGCCCGTGTTATGGTTCTTAAATCTCTTAAATTCAAGTTGGTAACAAGTACGCTTCTTCAGTACTACTACCACTCCACAATAACTTACAGAAAAATGAGAGAATATCTTCCATTTTTTGTTATGGGATGCAATACATGTAAAAAGAGATAGCAAATCAAATCACTTAAACAATTCAATATTAACTTCATAGATGTATTCATACATCAAAAATTATTGAGAAGACATCGGGGCGCAAAAAAATTAAAACCTTCAAAAACAATATTCTATATTTCGGAATGCGCACACAACTACACATTTTAGTTATAAAAATAAAAGATAAAGAAAATAAGCACAATCAGGTGATTTAATATACTTATGGCGCTAAAATATTTATTTTTTTTTTTGGGGTAAACGGTTTGGTTTCTTTTAATAATCGTTCTCCCTTTAACACATATATTATATATTCAAACACATATAATTCAGTCTTAACACAAATTATGAAGCTCGAATGGTTTATTTCAGAACTTATATCTTCGAAATATAATTCATAATTGAGTACTCCGAGAAGTTATTAACATGGATATTCTAGCAAGAGATCATTCAAATAATGGAGTTGCCACTGTTTGGTCATTGGCAACTCTTGGGGCCCCTTACGGTTCACAACAAGGTGCCCATTATTCAAATAAAGGTGGAATAAAAAAGAAGGATATACTTGGTGTTTCTATACCTGATACTTGTGAAGCGATTGAATTGAATAGGAAAGATTTCTCATTGAGGCACATATCCAGTTTGATGTATGGTGTCACTATCTGCTATAATAGAAAGACAGAGTATTTTCTCAACGACATAACAACTATACTTTCACAACTTACAAGAACTGTCTCACAAAATTGGAACATCGCAAAGATTAGAGCCCAAAATGATCCAAAACATTTTACTCTGCAAGGTATTTCAGACTTGATTCCTACAAGACGTATGCAATTCTTTGGATCGGCTAATACATTTCTAAAAGATGATAAAAAATTTGATATTCAAGAAATTCCTTCCTTTGAAGATTATATGAACAACATTTTAACTTCTACAAGATGTGGTAATAATTTTGAATCTGCTCTAATTAGAAGAAACGATTATATATCGGAATTAAATAACTCAAATTACCCAGGTCGTGATGTATTACAAGATGATATTCATATAAGTAGATGGGATTTTAATCCAACGTTAGAAGAAATTCCTATAGATATAGACTTTGAACTAGATATTAACGATGTTGTTAGTCAGGGAGGGTCTTCGGTGATTACTAGTAATGTTGGTCATCCTGAGATTAGAAGTTTGGAAATTGAATCTGGAAGTAATAAAAACAGCTCGAGATTTTCACCTTTAAAGTTGTCTGAATTGCAAGATAAAGGTCAGTTTGAACCTTCAAGCATAAATCTTGGGTTAGGACAAGAATATAGCGACAATGAAATTACCAAAATTCAAGTTGGAGAACTTGATGAGCAAGAGCTACAATACGAGGTATCTTCTAAAAGACAAAAAATATCTAGTGGTAGAAGTAAAAACTTCAGGACCCCCATCCTGGTCGACTCACGTACTGGCCTCCCAACTAACGTTTTGAGAAATTCTCATGATAATTATGCAATACTAATGCAACAAAGTCATGCAAAGGGAAGGAGCAACGGGAATAAACGGAAACTTATACAATGGGATATGTTACTTTTTTCGCAAAAAGATATTCCTCTGATTGAGACCTCTTGGAGAAGTGTCTTTTCTGACTTTATTTTGGCAGCAGGAGGTCGTGGTCCTGTATCAATTGAAAATGGTAGGAGGGATGCTACAACACTGTCCTTAAATCAGAGCAATAGTGGTAGCATTAGAAGTACTGAAGTTGGAAGAAGGCAAGGAAATTTGGACTTTCTTACAAGCCAGTTCCAAAATAACGATGATGATAGCTTATTATTAAATCTAGATCAGATAAATGAAGATATTTTGGAGGATCAACTAAATGATTCTTCTGTGATACAAAGTGTTCCGCAGAGTAAGAATTCAGAGGACTTTGTAAATATGGATATGCATTTACTTCCATCAAGTATAGGTCGTAATCTCAGTCGTTACTCGACGACTAACAATTTTAACAGTGATGGACCAGATATTGTTGATGCGTTGTCTAAGTCAAGAAACCATGAAAGTTCTGTTCATATTGGTGTGTCCGAAACAAGTACAAAGAAACAAACTGAAGACTCAATAGACAGTGAAAGTGGCATGTGTTACCGCAGAAAGGACACAGTATTAAGCGCACAAGCGAGAAGATTTTATTTGTTCATCAAAGAGAGGGCATCATTTCAAGGCGTTTCCTCTAATCTTCACTGCCACTTCGAAAAACAGATATCATTTGAAACTCTTGTTCCAAGCAAAATCACAATTGTAAATGAGCCTGAACATAAAGTTGTATCAAAAAGTGTCGTCGCTGGTGCATTCTTTACTCTTTTGACATTGGCGTCTCAAGATGTGATACAGATTGATATATTACAAGAAAAAGAAGGAAGGATACCTGCCGTTAATACTGGGGATAAAATTGAAATATTGGTTTAAAAAACTTAAAAGATGAAATATGATATTACGTGTAATTATGAGTTTGTTAATTGGCATCATAACATCAGGTGGGAGTAAGCATAACAACAATGACACGTATTATTACCCAATTATCTATTTATGAGCATTTACGTTAAAAGGTATCTCTACTACACCAGATATCGATAAAAGCATGCTTTGCAAAGATAGGTTTACTCCTGTTATTACTAGTTAGCTCCACATGTATTTTTCATAGATTTTTTTGGTAAGGATACTGCCGTTTCGAGCTAACACTAGTGCTACTGGGGAAACAAGAAGATTATTTACAATACCCAAGATTTTATTGCTATTTACAATTTTACTTAAATCTGATATAATTTATGTACATTGCTATTTTAAACACCATTAGAATCATATTTTTTTTCTGTTACATCCTTCTTTATTTTCATCATGTGTGTCTCTTACTTCGATATGTATCCATCTTTTGGTACGCTTTCTGTGGAGTATATCCGGAGTTTCGACTACAGCATAAGAAATTCGCATGGCGAAACAAAAAAATCAACAGAAAATATGTGACATCAAAGCAGATTACACCATATATAATTTTACCCCAATATTTGCAAACACCCAATTTGCATGACGAAAGGATAATTAATATAAGCAAATTTCATATATTTTGTTAGCCAATGTTTGAAATAGTAATATATTATTATTGGAGTGTGCGTGATGCTAATTCAATCTCCAATGAAACTGTTGGTCAAACATTGGTGATACTGTTCAAAGAAAATATATATAAATTGTACCTGATATATCACTTGTTGACACTAAAAATGAAGTTTCAGTCCTTAAGGAAATTCAACTTGTTCTTTAAGGTTCACTAATATCTTATTAAAGGATTGAGTTATAATAAGATTAATCGTTTATTTTATAAATTTTTTCAGCTACTTAAGATATATATATATAAAATAAATTACTAATATCTACTAATTGAGTGGACACATTAGTAAGTTAGCATAATGAATGTTTTCCTTAGTTTTAAGAAAACTTTCGGAGTTACAACAAAATATACGAAAACCATAAAGGCTAATTATTCAAAAATGCTTATCAAAAAGAGAGAGTCCTTTATTCAAGAGGAAGTTAAGAAAATTGAACAATGGTGGAACTCCCCACGGTTTAAAGAAACAAAGCGTATATATACACCCTTAGATGTGATTAAACATAGGGGTAGTTTAGGTATATCTGACGTAAAATATCCATCATCAACTCAAGCTAAAAAACTCTTCGAATTATTAGAAGAAAATTTTAAAAATAAGAAGCCTTTACATACATTAGGTGTTATTGATCCCGTCCAAATGACGCAACTGGCCAAATGTGATGATATTAAAGTAGCATATGTATCAGGATGGGCATGCTCTTCCACAATGGTTGGTTCAACTAACGAAGTATCTCCAGATTTTGGAGATTACCCATATGATACCGTACCAAATCAAGTGGAAAGAATATTTAAAGCTCAAAAGATGCATGATAGGAAGTCATTCTTGGAATTTTTGGAGAAGAAAAAGCCGATGGTGGATTACATGAAACCAATCATAGCCGATGCCGATATGGGACATGGTGGGGTGACTACGGTGATGAAATTAGCCAAACTATTTGCTGAGAAAGGAGCTGCTGGTATTCATTTAGAAGATCAACTAGCGGGAGGGAAACGTTGTGGACATTTAGGAGGTGCTGTTCTTGTTCCAACATCGACTCATGTAAGTAGACTGATAGCTACACGTTTACAATGGGATATTATGGGTGTTGAGAATTTAATTATTGCAAGGACAGATTCATGTAATAGTAAATTGATTAGTAGTAGTTCTGACCCTAGAGATCATGAGTTTATTCAAGGGATTATGAATATTAATGTTCAACCTTGGAGTGAAAAGTTGATTGATTTAGAGCGTCAAAATGCAACTAGTACTCAAATGTCTGAAAGTGAACTTGAATGGTATAATACCAACAAATTGGTAACATTTGATGAAGCAGTTCAATTACAAGTAACTTCGATTCAATTTCAAAAATACATTAAAACTAAGAAAGAATTAAAAATTAAGGAAGAGAAAAATTATTTAAGTTTAGGTGAAATGAAAAACATTATTAAACAAATTGCGCCTAAAATTAATATAAAATTTGATTGGGATTTACCACGTTCTTCAGAAGGTTATTATATGTTTCAAGGTGGTATGAATGCAGCAATTAGACGTTCATTAGTATTTTCTCCTTATGCAGATATGATTTGGTTAGAGACAAAGACTCCGAATCTTGAACAAGCTAGGAAATTTTCTAAAGAAATTCATGAACAATATCCAAATACTAAATTAGTTTATAATCTTTCACCAAGTTTTGATTGGAGTAAACATGGTTTTACAGAACTTCAATTAAAGAATTTTATTTGGGATCTTGCGAAAGAAGGATTTATTTTACAATTAGTTTCATTAGCTGGATTACATGTAGATGGTGTATCATTTTATGAATTAGCTAAAAATTTTCAAAAAGATGGAATGTTTTCTTATGTGAATTTAGTTCAAGAGAAGGAGAAACAAATTGGTTGTGATCTTTTAACACATCAACGCTGGTCTGGAGCAGAATATGTTGATTCAATAATGAAAGTTGTTCAAAATGGTTCTTCATCAAAAACTTTAAGTACTACTGGAGAAAGTTTTACCGAATCTCAATTTTGATATCTAAAATTTAAACTTATATATAAGCTTATAATAATACAATATTACACGTCTTAAAACAACAACAACAATAACAACAACAACTCTACATATGTGTAACATTACTACTATTAACAAGTGCATATAAAACATTTATTAAGTGGTAGTTGATATTTAATCTGAGTACCTATTTTAAGCAGTAAGTAAAATATAGATACATCTCTACCATACATAACAATAATAGTAATATCAAAAATGATCAATAGAACGATAACTAATACTTCAAGAAAGGGGATGTATAACTATATGTGTCTAAGAAGGGATAATAGATATATGAAAAATAGTACATAGAGAGAAAAAAAAAAGTGCACTAATAATTACCTAAATAAGTATAGAGTGATAAAGTCTTTCCCCCACCCATCCTTCGATTGATTTTGGAGTAATAACCAACACTAACTCAATAATATACAATGCCCTGCTCTTTCCTCATAAGAACAGAAAAGTATATATATATATTCTAATTTATTCTAGATATAAATATAGAAAGTGTGACTACTTAGAGTAAAGTATCACCATAATTATTTTTTAGGAAATTAATATATCTATATTTGTAAATATAGTTTTTTGTTAAATGTATGTGTGTTGAAAGATGTATTTACTTAGGTTTTAAGTAATAATCTAATTTATAATAATTAAGTTATAAATATATTCCACCCACACACCCCGTATTCAAAAAAATATATATGTATCAATTACGTATATTACGGGAAAACTTACCATTTATTCCCGGCAAACCGTCAATTTCAATTTTAAAATTTATTTTTAGCTTTTCCAGTTTGTCTTCCTCCCTTTGTTCCTCGTTGTCACACACTCTCTCTTGTCTCCTGTTCAGCCCATACACCACACGTATAACGTAATTTCAATATATATTTTAATATTGTGGTTTTCTATATTCCAAACTTTGCCACAGAGACATATGTAGTAGTCAGTCCACATGTATCAATAATACTATATAATCTATATAACACTTCATAACAACGGACACATGCACGCACGCTCTCCATCTCTCTCCATTGAGAATCCTGTTCTGTCAACTCAGAATAAATATTTTGGTTTATTGGCTCATTTTGTGCGTGGTGTTCTGGGAGTCTTGATGAATTTCATATTTTATTGAAATGGCAGGACTTTTTCTCTCTCTCTCTCTCTCTCTTAATATGTCTCAAACGCGATTCCTCTCATTTTTTATGTTGGTCTGTGAGAAATGACAGAGAGAAATGATAGAAAGAATTGCGTTTATTTTTCATTCCAGTGATGATGATACTCATTTAATACATAATTTTCAGCAATTTAATAGATACAGAAAGAAAACACAGATTGTTAAGTAAACAAATTAATGGAATGATTAAAAATACGTATAGACAGAAACGTAAAATAGTAAAAATAATAAACAGTTTTCAGTTTTTCAGTAAATTACGTTTTTTTTAATTCTGGCATTTGTTATCCTTATTAGTGTTAATAATTTTATATCAACCCCCACCCCACCCCATAGTAGAAAATTTATTGAAAAATAATAACAACAATAATAGTAGTAATAATGTCAGGGATTTTATTGAAATTTCCTATTATATAATAGATGCTAAAATAATATAGTAATATAATTTTGCAAAAAGATATAACCTTTCTTTTGCGATGATCTTATAATTCTCCTTTATATACTCTACTCTTGTAATATATATATATATAAATACATATATTTGTAAATGTTTATGTTTTTAAAAATATTTTGCACGATCAAACAACAATTATAATATATTCTAACTAAATCAAATTTAAAACAAACAAATATTGTACTCTGCCAAATAAATAAATAATTAAATACACACACACACAAGAATGAAACTCGATAAAGAACAGACAATTCCAGTTAATGGCTACATAATAAAAAATCTTGTTTGTCAGACAAGTACATTTAAAGTATGTGATGCAATAGATACAAAGGGAAATTCATTTGTATTAAAAATTATACCAGCTGATATCAAAGTTAATCTGTTAAAAGAAGAACATGTAGTTGAATCATTTGTTCATAATGATAAATTATTCATTGTTTACGCTGAAAATAATTTTGCTAAAGAAGGTCCGGATTATTTTTCTTATTATATGAATCAATCAACAAAAATATTATCTTCATCATCTTCTTCAGCCTCTGTTAGGAATGAAAAGGATCAAATACCCTCGATATTAACTAATAAAAATTATAATAACATGACTAGTGCGGGCACTGGTATAGTTAGTCCTTTATTAGATAATGAAAATAATGAAAATAACAACAATAACAACAATAACAACAATAACAACAATAATAATACTACACATTTATGTTTTGATGATATTTCAATGATATCTCATTTAAAGAAGAAAAAAATGTTTGGAAATATCACTAATAATTGTTCAAAGAGATTAAGAACACCTATCCCTAAAGATTGCAATTTTATTTTACCAAGTACTCCTGAGAGTAATATATCCATATCAGAAGAAGAAGAAGAAGAAGAAGAAGAAGAAGAATCAGGATCAGAATCAGATTCTGAATGTGATTCAATTGATAGTTTTGATGATGATGACGACGACAATGACGATGACGATGACGATGACGATGACGACAATGATGAGGATAGTGAAATAGTAACACTAATTAATAATAAACTAGAAGAATCGATTTCTAATGGATTGATACCAATATTAAAAGCTCATCATGATAATAACAATATTTCTAACATGGTACCTACTAATAACTTTAGTAATAGTAACACATCACCAATTCATAAAACTGAGCCTAATTATGTTAGTCAACCTTCACACATACATATTCAATGTCCATTAACAAGAATAATACACAGTAAACATACAACTATTAGAAAGACCCCAATTCCAAGGGAAATGTTGCATAACAATAACAATAACAATGATACTTCTTTTCAATTTACACAAGATAAAATTCGTACAGATACATCTTGTGGAGGACCTTTTAAATTAGAAATGGTAAAGAGTTCAATGTTGAGAAGGAGAAGCTCTACAAAATGTCAATTTTCGACCTAGATTTAAAAAACGAACAAAAACAAAACAAAACAAAACAAGTTTTGAACATGAACAATAATAACGTCATTCATAATTTACATAGTCATTTATTTATTCATTGTTAATAAGTTCTCTAAGGAAAACAGAAATATGAATGTATATGCATATTTTTTTTTTGTATTAATAGGATGAATCATTTTATATATTATTTGTTATATAATCTATTCTATCAAATAAAAAACGATTAATTAGATATCGGAAGACTATTTGCTCCCAAGTGAAAAAGACATAAACAAACCCCGAAGATTACAACAAAAAAAGAAGGGAAAGAGATGGCGAGCAAGAAAGAGAAGTCATTCACTCACTTCGTCTCTCCTCATCCCTTACTTTTACAGTTAAAAAGGATAAAAGGCTGGAAAGAAAGAAAGAAAGAAAAAATAAATAGAAGGAAGAACTTCTCATTTTATTTTTTTCATTATTTGGAAGTTTCTCGAGAAAGAAGAAGAATAAGATAAAGAATAGTATAATCGTGAATTGAAAACATACACGTAAAGTAGAAAGCAAGACAATAAATAAGATATCATAGAGGCAGTACTTACAACCTAGAGGATTTTATCTCTTTTCTAGTTCGTTTGCGTACAATTTTAATTTGAATCGAAAAAGTTCGAAAAAAAACAACCTTTTGATTTTTTTTTCTATAAATAATGTTCAGATTGACATCAAGAAGGACGGTCAGTTTAATGACCAACTTACCAACATCCTTTCATTCTTCAAAGCTTGCATCTACGTTAGCCCTTCTAGAGACATCTCCTGATGGGAACCTCGATCCTTCTTCTCTAAACCTATTGCAAGCAGCTAAACTTTTGAAAAATCCAATAACAGCGTTATTTGTTGGACCCAATGCCTCTACTGGGGCTCAATCACTAAAGGATTCTGTGAAATGTGAAGGCCTCTCAAAGATAGTTGTTGTTAAAGATGATTCCTTAGCTCATTATTTACCTGAAAATATATCACCTTTACTTGTTGAATTATTAAAAGGTGATACTTATTCCCATTTTGTAATTACAAGCTCATCTACAGGTAAAAATATACTCCCTCGTCTTGCTGCTTTGATTGATAATCAACCTGTGTGCGATGTAGTCAAGATTGAAGGTCCTAATAAATTTGTAAGACCAATATACGCTGGTAATGCTCTTGCTACAATTGAAACTTCACAAGATAAGAAATTACTTAGTGTTCGTGCTTCTGCCTTTGATTCTGTAGAAGAAGGTAAATCTGAAAATGTTGAAATTGTAGAGATTCCTTTTACAAATAAGGATGCTATACCGATTAAATGGTTATCAGCTAACTTAACAAAAACAGGAAGACCAGATTTGGGATCTGCGAAGACAATTGTCTCTGGTGGACGTGCATTTAAAGATAAAGAAAGTTTTGAAAAATACTTAACTCCATTGGCTGATGTTTTGGATGCAGGTATCGGTGCCACAAGAGCCGCAGTTGATAACGGATTATGTGATAACTCCCTACAAATTGGTCAAACAGGTAAAATTGTTGCTCCAAATCTATATATTGCTGTTGGTCTATCAGGTGCCGTTCAACATTTGGCTGGTATGAAAGATTCAGGAACAATCGTTGCAATTAATAATGATCCAGATGCACCAATATTTAAAAATGCCACATATGGTTTGGAAGGTGATGTATTAAAGATTGTACCGGAGTTGACAGAAAAGATCAAGGCTGCTCAGAAATGAAAATAATTAAAAACTAAAAATTAGATGAAAAGATAAATAAATATATAACTATTTATCTAACTTTAAATAAGACTTAAATATTCCTTTTGATTACTGTAAATATATATATATAGCAAGGGAAATGTTATAGATTCCTAGTTTAAAAAAAGAAACTATCAAAAGAAGAGGAGTAAGATGATATGAATCCTACAATTAACAATTTTCTAGTTGGAAAGGCCACTTTTATGACCAACAGTTCTATAATTTCGAGAATTATCAAGAATGTGATCCCTTGTCTTATTGGCCTTCGCAATATTGAACAGATGCCCATAATTAAACTTGTTCCATTATATTCGTATCGTACAGTACAATTTCTGATTCGCCGCGTGGTCTATTTTACTTTTTTACTACTTTATTCACCTGAGGAGCCATGCAATGGTTTATCAATAAAGTTTATCTATTTTAATCCCTCTTCTTTTATATTTTCTTTTACCCTTAGTTTCTATCCTTAGTTTTTCTTGTTGTTTCAGAGCAAATATATTAACCATCAAGGATTTATGTTTATCACTTTATGACTCCATTGATATACTTATGCTTTTATAAACAGTTTATTGACAAGAAAGTTATTGTTAAAACGTATAACTTTGCTTCATTTTGGTACTAAATGACTATTTGTATATGACAAGATTTACATCAAATAGATATATACAAATAACTATTAAAATATTATTTATTGGTTTTACTTAACTCACACTCAAAGAATATTTAACCTACTCTATTTATAAAAAACATCCCCTCATCCAAAATGACTCCGCTGGACCCTTTAATAGACAAACATAAAAAATCAGATAAACGTTATGGAACTATCGATATGAACTTCTCAAATATATATTCAGCACCAGATGCTGCAGAGACGGAATCTGATATATTTTCGATCAATAAGAACAAAAGGGATCGAAATCTTCTAGCCTCTCCAAAACGAGAACGTATACTTGTAAAAGATAATACAAGCGACAGATCACTTACTTTCTGGGATGTTGCTCCTTACTATATGCCATGTTTTGCATGGATTCGTACTTATTCGTGGTCTATGCTCTTTGGTGACCTACTTGCAGGAATATCACTGGCTTCCTTTCAAATCCCATTAGCATTATCATATGCCACATCATTAGCACATGTAGAACCTCTCTGCGGGTTATATTCATTAGTGGTAACACCATTTATCTACGCAATATTTGGATCTGTCCCTCATATGATTGTAGGTCCCGAAAGTGCTTTATCATTAGTTATGGGTCAAACGATTGAGAAAATAATGAGCCACAACGAGGATCTTAGGTCTGTCGATCTCGCCGCAATCATTACACTTGTTGCCGGGATCACATTATTGTTGGCTGGTATTTTTAGAATAGGATTCTTGGGAAGTATACTGAGTAGAGCCCTACTTCGTGGGTTTATTAGCTCGGTAGGGTTTGTCATGGTCATAAATTCTTTGATATCAGAACTTAGATTGGAGAAAGTAATGCTAGAAAGCCCAGGCCACCATCACACAGCATTCGAAAAAGTGATTTTCCTGTTTAAATATGGACCAGAAAATTATCATAGAGCTACAGCTATTGTTAGTGCTAGTTGTTTTACCATTTTGATGACAATTCGTTTTGTTAAAAGAAGGTTATCAAGAAAATTTAAATGGGTTGTGGTTTTTCCAGAAATTTTATTGGTAGTTGTTCTAATGATATACTTATCTGCCAAATTTAGTTTCAAAAAAAAGTATGGAATAGCAGTATTAGGTGATTTTAATTCAGGAAGTTTTGAAGGTTTGGTGAATCCCGTTTCAAAAAATAATAGATCGTTATTTTCAATATTATACAATGTAGGAGTCGTGGTGGCATTATTGGGATTTTTTGAATCCACAACAGCCTCAAAATCACTTGGCGGTATTGACAATTCTACTGTGTCGTCAAATAGAGAGCTTATAGCAATGGGTTTAATGAATGTTGGAGCATCGGTATTCGGAGCATTACCTGCCTTTGGAGGTTATGGTAGATCAAAAATTAATGCAATGTCAGGTGCCAAAAGTGTAGTGTCTGGTGTGTTCATGGGTTTAATTACTTTTTTCACAATACAATTTTTATTACCTACGATTAGATATATTCCTACTTGTGTTCTCTCCGTCATAACTACCGTCGTGGGTATTAGCCTACTACAGGAAGCACCTGCTGACATTAAATTTCATATTGTATGCCGTGGTTACAATGAATTAGTAATATTTACACTAACATTTCTAACGACTATATTTTATTCTGTGGATGTTGGTATCAGTATTGGTATCGTTTATTCCCTCCTTTACATTGTTAAAAGATCTGCCAAGTCTCGTATTCAAATTCTAGCAAAAGTTGAAGGGATAGATCATTTTGTTAATGCTGATGAGTATCATACTTACCACCATACAATTAACTCAACTGAGGCCCTCAACCTAGAACATTTTAAAGATTGTCTCGTAGTGAAAATTCCGGAACCATTAACTTTCAGTAATACTGAAGATTTAAAAGAGAGACTGGACAGATTAGAACGGTTTGGATCTGTAAATACACATCCTGGTTCAAGAGACATACGTTCTAGGGAAGCTGTGAAATATATTATAATTGACTTGAAGGGAATGACATTTATTGACTCCTCAGCAGTTCAAATTTTAAAGGAAATAATCACGGACTATAACGAGAGAAATGTCAAGGTACTCCTTACGAGAGTACCATTTAAGAATGAAATAAGATTTAAACTTCAAAGATCTGGGATTACCGACTTGATTACGAAATACAAGATACCGGAGAGTTTGAATGATATAGATAATGTAGAGACAAGCACTCAATTGGGAAACATGGTCCTCGATTCACCTTATTTCACAAATGTCGAGGAAGCAATGTTTGCAATAGAAAGCAGTGCCAACTCGAACCTTCCTTGATATGTAACATAAACATAAAATATTTATTATCAGCATGTATAGATATTTTTAATATATTCTTTAACTTGTAGATACTTTCTAGCAAAATCTAACAAAAAAATAAATTATGTTTCTGTTCATACCCACAGTTTCACAAGTTTCTAAATTAATGGAGATTTAAAAAAATGCGCAAGCCCGGAATCGAACCGGGGGCCCAACGATGGCAACGTTGGATTTTACCACTAAACCACTTGCGCTGTTATTTTGTACTATTGTTATATCTGAAGCTGTTGAAAATATAATATAAGAATCTACAATAGATCAACCCCTCAGTGACATAACTGTAAACGTAAGTTTGAAATCGAGAATATATTGTTGTGGGAATATTTGTTGTGGAAATATTAAGTAGCGATACTTATTATGGTAACAATTCATGAACAGATAGAACATACTTGTATGTTCTATAGCAACTGTTCTAAAAGGATCACGTGGTCACTAATTATCACGTGACATGTATATTATAATATCGGAAAAACTATTAGAAGATATTTTTCCGATAACACGCGATGCGCTACAAGAAAACTTTTCCTGCGATGAGATGCCCATTGTACATTACTTCATTTATTAAAGAGATACTATCTCCTCGAGATATATCTGGGTATCTATCTATATATTTATAGGATTAGCTTGTATACTACTTTATGTAATAGATCAACGAATAGAAATTATACAAGCAATCTTTATAGAAATGACAATCGTTGATCTATTACATAAAGTAGTATACAAGCTAATTGACAGAAATTATGTGGAATTGATATATCTAAAATGTCCAAATAAGAATGAAGAATTACGTAATAATTAGGTAATAATGTTGTGTTGAATATGTAGCGGCAGCACTAAAAAGGCTAACATTAGCTTAACCTAACTGAAGGTGAAGGTAGCTAATATAAGTAGAATTTAGAGTGTGATGCACTGTCGTATATATAATAACACATGATATATACTGCATAATGTAGTATTCGTTCCCCCTACATTGGGTTTATTGGAGCTACATAGTCCAACGTTACTATGCACAAAAGATGAGCAGTTTAACAACAGCAACTCTGTTTAACACTTTTTAGTTCTGCCGCTACATATTTGTTATAATATAGAAAGTAGCAATACTTGGTTATTACAATTTTATGTTTAGTAAGAAATTATTACTTGTCGGAAATATATTATAAGAGGGATAATGACCAAGGTTATGATCCATTGATAGATTCATCCCGCAATGATCTAACAATAGGTTCATCCCGCAATGATCTATTGATAGGTTCATCCCGCAACAACTTAATAATAGATTACTTACGCCACTGTCGAGTGAGTTTATAATCACGACAACAAGAAATCCAACATATATAAATGGAACAATATTTCATTTATGAATATAATTGTTTCCATAATTTACTTTATATATTTTTATATAAGATATAAAAAGATCAGACGACTATAAGTTGATTTTGTAATATAATAAAATTTGTTCAGTTAAATAGAAGATGTCTAATATTCAATTTTCCCATCATTACTAACTGTTCAATATGATTCTAGAACATTCTTTAAGAATGATTAGTAAGCAAGTATTACTAATTGTTTCAAAAGTGTCTAGAACATGTTTCTAGAATGTTTAGTAAGAATACTATCAATATTTGGTAGACTGTTTTCCTTTTCCAAAAGTATAAAAGGACCACATATTCTAACTTTATATATATACAATCTTCCTTATATAGACTTACTTTATATAACATAAAATAAAACTACAAGATTATACATTTGTGTAGAGAATCTGAGATAGAGTGTTTGCCTCTATTAGTCTCTTCAAGCTTTACTTTATTTAATTCGGACATTTTTAATACGATAATTGATCAGTCTCTTTATATTATATATTATTTATAGAACAAATAGAATCTAACTTCGAATGTAAGTTCAGAATTCTTTGTCTTTATATATGTTTTATTCTAATCTCAATTGAGGTTCGAATTATACTTTGTTTCATAATGCGATTAACTTTGTTTCATGTTGCCACATATTTTGTTTCATATTTTAACACGCTTCATAATAACTGTGCTTAAAGGTAGTTCTTTACCTATTGAAATTAAGTGTTGTGCATATTACTCTTAATTTCTGACAATTTGAATATCTATAACTATGTCCGATAATTTCAACTCGAATACTAATCGTATATTCTCGATTTCAAACTTACGTTTACAATATTTAACAATAATTGCGTATTGCTACTTCCTATATTATAACAATTTTTGTCTTCGATCATTCGATATCACAATACAACAAATTATTAAATTATAAGCGGATTTAGCTCAGTTGGGAGAGCGCCAGACTGAAGAATATACTTCGGTCAAAAAGAAATCTGGAGGTCCTGTGTTCGATCCACAGAATTCGCATTTTTGTTTTTGGTCTTACTCAACTGTCGGCCACGCTGTGGTGATCAAGACGTCCGCATTTCTTTTTATTTATTATTGTTTTTTGTGTATCATAACAAGATTACTGTTAAAATAGAGACACCATTCAATATTTTATTTTTAATACTTATTAACTCTAACAATATTTCATTACTTTTTAAAATTTGTTTTGTTAAAATTTCTATGTTTACATTGAAGAGATAGCCGGACGAATAACTTTCCGCGATGAGTTTTCGAGTTGTGAAAATTTATCACATTCATCGACTTGAAAGCGTATAAGCAGGTGTAAGAAAAATATATCTTTCTTTCAATATATATAAATATATATTTATATATTTCGTAAAGGACTATTATCAACAGCAAATCATCCATTAAGATTGGATATAGATAGAATTCCACATGGGATTTTGGTTGAATTTCTTTAAATCCGGAAGTAAGACTGTTGCTAATTCTGGATCAGCGACAGGCATCGCTGTTGACAGTTCAAAATATTCCAATTGGAATAAAGAGAACTTGATCAAAAGAATAAGAGAACTTGAAGGAGTAGAACCAAATAGGGCTAAGGGATCTAAGAAGAGAAAGAATGACGAAGAGAGTATAAAGGGAAATTCTTCAAAGAGGTCTAAGAAAAAGAAGCCTAGAGAATTTGATTTCGCACAACATAATACAAGATTTATTGCTCTTAAATTTGCTTATTTGGGTTGGAACTATAATGGTCTTGCACTTCAAAAGGAGGCTACAAAGCTTCCAACTGTAGAATCCATATTATTGGATGCCATGAATAGATGTAAATTAATCCCATCTATGGTTCCACAGGATTCCAAATTCAGTAGATGTGGTAGAACAGATAAAGGTGTTAGTGCTATGAGTCAAGTAGTATCTTTGAATATTAGATCTAATTTAACTGATGAAGAACAAAAGGATCCCGCAAACGACTCCAAAGAACTTGATTATGCTCATATTCTAAATCAACAATTACCTAATGATATTAGAGTATCAGCCGTGGCATTAAGACTTCCTGAAAGTTTTGATGCTAGATTTAGTTGTAAGAGTCGTCGTTATAAATATCTGTTTAATGCAAATGGTTTAGATCTTGAAAAGATGCAAAAGGCAGCAAAAATGTTTGAAGGTGAAAATGATTTCAGAAATTTTTGTAAATTAGATGGATCTAAACAAATTACTAACTATCATAGAAATGTTATTAGTGCTAAAATCATGAAATATAATGATAAATTCTATTGTTTTGATTTAGTAGGTTCTGCATTTCTATGGCATCAAGTACGTTGTATGATGGCGAATCTTTTCCTAGTGGGTCAAGGATTAGAAGATGATACTTTGATAACCAATATGTTAGATATTGAAAAGACTCCACAAAAACCAATATATGATATGGCTAATGATCTTCCATTAATTTTATATGATTGTGAGTTTGATTGTGAGATCGAATGGTTAAATACCAATGTCAATGATTTTAAATCTGTTAAGTATGGCAAAGCTGTTGATGCTTTAAAATTGAAATATGATTTAAAGGCATGTTTAACAGAATTATTGGAAGATTCTTTACCATCACAAGAATTTTCAATGAGAGGCAAGACTAGAATCAATACTGGTGATGGACTTGGAAGAATTGTATCTCGTTATCAAAAGATGGCCGACAGAGATATCATGGCTGGTGTTGAAGTTGTTAATGCCAAATACATGAGGAAGAAAGAGAGAAAGAAAGAGAGTAAGAAACTTGACAATTCTAAACAGAATTGATTGAGAAGAAAAAGGATATACTTTCCTTTATTATATAATAATTTGTCACTTGTATATTATATAATTAATTTGTAATAGTCACTTTCTTTCTTTAGAAATTTATTATATTTTCAAAACTCCCCACTATATATAAATAAATAAATAAATAAATAAATAACTATATAACTATATAAATAATTATATTAATTATGTCACGTTTGAATATCTATCGATCTTGTAATCCAAGATGGATCCCAATATAAGATTTCTTTCCCACCACATTGATTATCCATCCATAATAAACCATTAGCTATCATTTCATCCAAAGTTGCTTTACATCTCACGCGCTCCCAATTTAAATTTATATGTAATAGATTAATGCTAGCATATCCCATGACCGAACATACTTCTAAGACCTTCGCTTGATCCGAAGTCAATTCATTCGGAACACTTCTTAAGAATTTCAAATGATCTCTAATTTGAAAAATTTCAAAACCTCCATCTAAATTTGATAACATTTGAACTGATTTTTCAATATCTTCTATAGTGACATTTGATTGAGCAAAATAAATTTTTTGTAATTCGTCTAAGGATACAATCCCACCATTAATATCTTTAATATCTCTACAGATTTGAATTAATTTCACACAAATTTCGTAATAATAATCATCTACGCTAAACAGATGACGATCTTTATCAAATAAATTTAAAGGGTCAATACCAATGGAATTACACATTTTCATAAATTTTGATTTAAATTCATGATTTAGTCCTAGTTCTTCATTGTGTTGTTTAGCGAATTGGATTAACTTATCTTGAAATAATTTTAATTGTTGTTCATATTCTTTTGATTGTCTTTGTAAAATAGTTGAATCATAAGTATCTTTCGTAGCATCAAATGCCGATACTCCAAACCGTTTCATATATATACATATATATATAAGATCGACAGGTGTGTGTGTGTATATATATTTTTTGATAATACAAATAAAAAAGTGTTACTAGTCTCAACAACAACAGAATATCTCAACTAAAAGTCATCCCTTTAATTAATCATTCAATATTTTCAATAAATTTTGATAAGGTTTATATAGTAACTGAGATAGAAATTCCAAAAAAAAGAAGAAGAAGAAGGCGAGAGAAATCAATAAATTATAAGTCGAGATTTGTAAAAAAGTATATATATATAAAAGAAAAGAAAACAGACGCGATAAATCAAATTAGATAAACACACTTACAAAAGAAGGAAACAAGGACCAGGTGAGTATATTGAAAAGAACTATGAAATCTTCGAATGTTAGTGATTTCCAACCTCAAAGTTGGCAAACATCTTCGAATGAAGCGTTAAAGATTTCGTTAATTGGGAAAGATGTTCAAGCTGGAGCCATTCAATTCCCACCGACTTTCACATATCCGATCTTTGGAGATGATGAAACGATATACGGTTACAAAGATTTAGTGATCCATTTAGTGTTTGATTCCATTACGTATAAGCCATTTCTAAATGTTAAATATTCTGAAAAATTAAACGATGCAATCGATCCGCAAACGGATATAATTGATAAGATAACGCCTTTTTTACCTGCAAATGATTATATCTTGAGAGATGAATTACAATGGGTTGACAGTTTCCATTCTGAGAGAGAATCGTTTAATTTGATGTTGCTTTGTGAAAAGATTGATGAATATAAGAAAGAGGATAAATCGTATGGTATATATCGAGTACCAATCGGTGAATTAATTCAGAAGGATAAAGATTCTCCATTAATTAAATTTTGGTTAAGAATTCAAATTTTTACGTTATTATATATTGAAGCTGCCACGTATTTAAATTTAGAAGACGAACCACGTTGGGTAATTTACTTATTGTTTAATGAAGAAGATCAAACTTTAATTGGATTTGTCACTACGTATAGTTATTGGGATTATCAAGGTCATGAATCGTTTGATAACAAAGCGACTAAATTAAAATTCAATGAAAAGATATCGCAATTTCTAATCATGCCGCCATACCAAGAGCTTGGCCATGGGTCGTCATTGTATCAGTCGTTGTACTCGTATTGGTTTAAACAAGATACGGTGAGTTGTATCACTGTCGAGGATCCGAATGAGCAGTTTGATGATTTAAGAGATCGTAATGATTTAAAGATATTGAGTTCCACAGGATTTTTCGAAGAGTTGAAGAAGAAATGTATGGATGAGCAAGAAGTTAAATTTGTTAGTGATGAGTGGATTGAACTGAAACGTCAAGAATATAAATTTGAGAAAAGACAATTTAATAGATTAATTGAGATGATTTTATTAATTGAGAAGAAGAATATGTTGTTTATTAGACAAGTGAAAAGACGCATCTGGTTAAAGAATTATGATTCGTTGTGCGAACTTGAAGATAGTGAGCAACAATATAAAGCAATTAATGATTCATATTTGTTAGTTAAAGAGGATTATGAACGAATCATCCAAGCATGTAAATTTTAATAAAAATAAATAACCTGTTCTTCTTTTTGCACGTGACGAGAAATAATTGAAAATTTGTCAAACCAAAACCAAAACCAAAGAAAAAAAAATAAAGAAGAGAAAATTTTTCTTTTTCTTCGATCTTTCATAGTCAAGAAAAAGAAAATAGAGTAGTATAAAGAAGGTCATCTCATCTCATCTCATCTCCTTACATAAGACATATTTATATAAATAAATACAAAAGCATAAAGACTGATCATAAATAAAGTGTGAGATGGGTAGTAAAAGATCGTCATTGAATAGAATCAATGGTAAGGGTCAGAATTCTCAACGTGAAGTTAGACCTGAAGTATTTGGAGACAATATAGCACGTAATCAACTGATTAATAACAAAGAAGTGCTTGCTGATGACAAAGCCCGTGCTTCAAGAAAGAGAGGTCAAAACAAGTTAGAATTGAAGAAGGACCAGTCCCGGTTAAGATTATACGGTAGACGTGCGTCTGAAAAGAATGCCAAGAATAAGCAGAAATATACAGATAAAGAGTTGAGTATTCCAACGTTGAACAGAAGCATTATTCCCGGGTTTCAAGTTAAGAAGGGTAAGAAAGGTAAGAAACTAATTGCCGACGACGATACTCTGTTGTTGACCAGGTTGGTGAAGAGCATTGGGGATGAATACGATCACACTGTTGAAAGTAAATTAGAGAAAGATAGACGACTACAAGATATCAGAGACCTAAAGAGGCAAGAAATTGAACGTAAAGAAGAAGCCAAGCTGAATAAACTGGAGGACAAAAAATCGGAACTGAAAAACAAGGCTAATGCCGCCAGGTCGCTGCGTAGAAAGAACCAACGTGACGCAAACAAAGTAACAAACAGCAGTGCTTTTGTAGAAGAACATTCCTCAAAGAAGAAGAAAACTGTTTCATTTGCATAGAAAACAATGAAAAAAACGGTGTAGAACGAAGCATGATGCAACCGGAATTTCGATTTGTTGTTGGGGTACAATATGAACGAATGCTTTCGACACACAGACAGACTGGAATAGCGGCTATATGCCAGTGCCAGTTGCATAACTGTGTACTTGTATAACTGTATACTTGTTTAATTGTCTAATTGTATATTATCGATATTATTATTTGTTTGCATTTGAGCTGAGTATTTTGGCCCTTGTTTGTTAGGGGTTGTGTATTAGCCGCTGATTGCGGGGTAGAGATGGAGATGGAGATGGAGATGGTCACACTTTAATAAGTAACTATATATTACCCCGCATACACACATAGGATAAAGTATATAAATATAAGTATAAGCATGCCATATATCATCATCGTGGTCAATGCTGGGATTATGTCTAGTCTCATGCAACATAGCTACATCAAGAGAAATATATACACTGCAATAAAAATATGCTAAGAAAGTTTACTAGAGTGTATAGTTCAGTTCACTCTACTAGTTTGTCATCATCGGCTTTGAAAGACACCCTTAGAGAATTGATTCCGTTGCAAAGATCACGATTGAAAGACTTAAAGACAAATCATTCAAATGTTAAAATTGATAATATTACAGTCGGTTCAATAATTGGAGGAATGCGTGGGAATCAATCAATGTTATGGGACGGTACAACATTATCACCGAATGAAGGGATCAAGTTTAAAGGGATGACAATTAAACAATGTCAGGACTCATTACCTGGCATCGATGGAATCTTCTTACCGGAATCAATGATTTGGTTATTATTGACAGGTAAGATTCCAACAATGCAAGAAACAAAAAGTATTACAAATTTATTTAACGAAATCTTAAAATCACAAAATAATTGTTTACCAATTGAAGTCGATAGCATTATGAATAATTTACCAAAAGATTTACATCCAATGACTCAATTATCAATTGGGTTGGAATGTTTAAGTAATAATTCAAGTTTTGCAAATTTATATAAAGATGGGAAAATTGGTAAAAACGATTATTGGGATTCAACGTTTGATGATTCAATGGTTTTAATCGCAAATTTACCTTTACTAATTGGTAAAATTTATTCAAATTTAATTAATAATGGCAAATCTTTAGGTTCAATTAATAATTCAATGGATTGGAGTTATAATATCTGCTCAATGCTAGGTATGACTTCCACAAAGGATTCAATTAATAAAAATAATTTAAACGATAAACAATTAATCGATTTTAATAATTTAATGAGACTGTATTTAGGCATTCATGTTGATCATGAAGGTGGGAACGTCTCGGCCCATACAACTCATTTAGTAGGTAGTACTTTAGCTGATCCATTTCTAAGTTATGCTTCAGGTATTAATGGACTTGCGGGACCTTTACATGGCTTAGCTGCACAAGAAGTTGTTAGATTCTTAATTAATTTGGAAAAAAACGTTAATGACGTTAACGATAATAAATTAATCGAATCACAAATTTGGGAAATTTTAAATTCAAATAAAGTCATCCCAGGTTATGGTCATGCCGTATTAAGAAAACCGGATCCAAGATTTAATGTAATGCTGGAATTTGTTGAAAATAGACAACAAGAATTCCAAGATGATCCCCACGTTCAATTAATGCAAAAATTATCAACTTTAGTACCTTCAATCTTATTAAAACATGGGAAATGTAATAATCCTTATCCAAATGTCGATGCAGCATCAGGGATATTGTTTTATCATTACGGTATTCAAGAATTGTTATTCTTTACAGTAATCTTTGGTTGTTCAAGATCAATTGGCCCATTAGTTCAATTGATTTGGGATAGAATTTATGGTTTGCCAATTGAAAGACCAAAATCGTTAGATTTAAAGACATTGGAGAAGTTGACAACGTCACGCACTTCATAAAGAATTGCACCTCCATCCAGCCACTTGCTTACCTTTGCATCCACATTCATTCGTTAGTTTATTCTTTAGTTCGTTATATATATACATTTATTTACTTTTACTTATTCTTCTCTTTCCTTTATCATCATCAATTACCCCAATATTTCTGTCTCTATATGCCATTCCCCGGGTTTATTTGTTTGTTTTTCCCTGTCGCTGTCTGTATTGGGCGGCTATCAACAGAAATATTTTAATGCATTTTTGGGGTATTTGGGGTATTTTGGAGTAAGTCACGCATTATTTCAACCCAATGCAACTCAATTCAACTCAATTCCATAAGAGTTAGAGATCAGAAGATCGGAGAAGCACACTGGTATCCTTTTATATACTCATCCACACACACACACATATATATATATATAAGGAGCGATGATGAGAGCATTCAAAATGATATACGTAAGATTTGATTACTAAATATATATATATAGTAACAATATATAAGAACTACCCCTATTCACTCTCTCTGCTCCTTGGATACTACAGATATGTCAAGAAGATTACTACCAAGTGTTAGATACATGTCGTCATCAATAAAAATGAACGATAGACCTACACCTGACGCATTATTAACGAAAATTGCTTCATATGTTCATAACACTTCGATTGATTCAAAATTAGCATTCGATACAGCTAGGTATTGTCTTTTAGATACCCTTGGTTGTGGCTTGGCTTCTTTAAAATATCAACAAGTTCAAGATATTATTAAACCAATCGTTCCACAATTGGGTCAAATTACAAACGGCTGCAATGTTCCAGGTACTAATTATACAATGGATCCAATTAATGGTGCATTTGCTATTGGCACTACCATTAGATGGTTAGATTTTAATGATTGTTGGCTAGCTTCAGAATGGGGTCATCCATCGGACAATTTAGGGGGGATCCTTGCTGTAATCGATTTCATTAATAGATCTTCCCCTACTGCGAAACCGTTTGTTATTAAAGATGTATTGGAAGCTATGATTAAAGCTCATGAAATTCAGGGAATTATGGCTTTAGATAATTCTTTTAATCAAGTTGGTTTAGATCATGTCATCTTAGTGAAATTGGCTACTACTGCTGTTGTAAGTAAATTAATTGGTCTTAACGAAGAACAAACCGTGACTGCATTGTCTCATGCATTTGTCGATGGCCATTCGTTAAGAACTTATAGACATTCTCCAAATACTAATTCAAGAAAATCTTGGGCCGCAGGTGATGCTACTTCAAGAGCTGTCAGATTGGCTTATTTGGTGAAAAATGCTGGAATTGGTTGTATTCCAAGTGTATTAACTACACCACGTTGGGGACTTTACGATACTTTATTTAAAGGTCAACCTTTTAAATTCAATCAACGTCAAGAATTTAAATCATACGTGATGGAAAATGTCTTATTTAAGATTTCATTCCCTGCTGAATTTCATGCACAAACAGCTGCAGAGGCCGCAATGATGGCAAATAAAAGACTTATTGCATTAGGAAAATCTGCTAACGACATTAAAAGTATTAGGATTAGAACTCAAGACGCTGCTATGAACATCATCGATAAGTCGGGCCCATTATATAATTATGCTGATAGAGATCACTGTATTCAATATATGATCGCTGTTCCATTGATTCACGGAAGACTTACTGCTGATGACTATACCGATGAGGTTGCCATTAAGAATAATGATATTGATAATTTGAGATCCAAAATGTTTTGTGTTCGTGATGATCAATTCACTAAGGATTATTATGACCCTCAAAAGAGATCTATCGCAAATGCTTTGTTGATAGAATTGAATGATGGTACCATGCTAGATGAGATTATTGTTGAGTATCCAATAGGACATAAATTTAGACGTGATGAAGGTATTCCTCTATTGATGTCCAAATTTGAAAATCATATTAAAGAACGTTTTGGAGATTCGAAACAAGCTCAAAGAATCCTTCAATTCTCCACCGACGACGATTTTGAAAATTTGCCTGTTCACAAATATATAGACGAATATGTAATGAAATAATTTTAATTTTAATTTGATATTAGTCTCTTTTCTTTAGTTTTAATACGCAAATAAGAGTCTCTCTCTTTCCTTCATTACTTGATATTTTTTCTCGGACACTGACCTTGCACATTATTCAGTAAAGACGGGAAAATTTTTCTTTTTTTTGTCTTCTTTTATTATGGTACTTTATTTGATTTTTTTGTTTTTGAAATATACCAACAAACCAACAAGCTAGTTCAATACAATAAATAGTATACATACATTAGAACATTAAATTCTTAACGTACAAGCTTCTTTCTTTCTGCCTCTCTTTATTATACCATATACAACCACGCCAACCTTCTCCTTCAATAACTTAAAACATGATGAGTGCTGGTCTCGGTAGTAACAACAACGACAATAACCAGGACCCTCAAAACAACAAAGTTGCTGCAAGTACCATTTTCAACGACTTACTAGAGTCGTCGAAAAACTTGCCGTCGACCTCGTCCGAGCTGGGTTCCATCCAATTGAGTCTTCATGAAATCAACAGACGCACAAGAGAACTGAGAAATGCTCACTATGAGAGGGACGACGGTCACGTAGAGGATCATCAATTCGCTCCGAATAAGAGGAATAAAGCCAATGAGAGACAATTATTGCCTGTGGATCATACTAAGGCTCATTATTTGTTGGCTAACAGTGGTGTTGCGTTCGATGATATCGATTCCTCTTTGAAGTTTTTACAGAATGGTGAGACTAATAAGTTGAAGAGGAATCAAGCTGTTGGTCAGACTAATAGTTTGACTTCACAGACTCAGAGTCCTATGGAGATCGACAGTTATTTGAAGATTAAGAAAGAAGAAAATATCTTGTCATCGATTGAATCTTTGTTGTCTAATGCAGCAAAGGATTTCGATTCATTTGTTAATTCAAATTTAAATTTGGATTGGAATCAAAGAAAGAATATTATCAGAGAAAATTTCGGTATCTTAATCAACAATAAAGGTACTACTACTACAGCTTCATCATCTACTACTATTCCAAAAGATTTCGTGAGCGCAACTTTGAAGAAACACTCTATTAATCCTGAAATTCCTGTCTGGGGTAATAATTCTTTGAGAATCCTAAACGATAATTACAACGAATCTAAATTGAATGTTAATGAAAATCATTTGGTAAGAGAAAATTTTGAAACACATGCGAAGATTGTTTACAAATTCAACAATTCAAGACAAGCAGGTCAACCTATCCAATTAACTAAAGAATTCATCTCATTATTATCTAGGAATCCTAACGATACTAAAAACAGACAAATGTTAGAAACTTGGAAAATCTTAGATACTTTACATGATAATCAAAATTCGACTAAAATCAATACTGTAGAAAGATCTAAGACATACTTGGAAAAACAATTTTTAGATTATGTTAATTTATTATACAACAAAAAAATGGATGAAGGGTTACCAACAAATATTAATAAGGTTAAATCATTTATTGATAGTAAGCTGAAAAACACTGACAATTCATGGAAAATCAAGAATTTAACTGTGGCTAATAGTATCCCAATTTGGGCACTGATTTTCTACCTATTAAGAGCTGGGTTGAAAACAGAAGCTCTCGAAGTTGCGACCAGTAACAAATCAAGTTTCAAGAAGGTCGAACAATCATTCCTAGGTTATTTCAAGGCATACATTTCCTCAAAGGATGGCACTTTACCATTGGAGTTCTCCAACAGACTTCATACCGAGTACAACCAGCATATTAAAAACTCTTTGAATGGTGATCCATTTAGACTGGCTGTCTATAAAATCATTGGTAGATGTGATCTAACCAGAAAGAACATCTCAGCTGTAACTTTGAACGTCGAGGATTGGTTATGGGTCCATTTCATGCTCATGAAAGATGATATCAGTGAAGATGACCCAATATATGAAAGATATACATTTACCGATTTCCAGAACATCGTTACCTCATATGGTCCATCTAGATTTACGAACCATTACTTACAAGTTCTAGTGTTAAGTGGCCTATATGAACTAGCCATTGCATATGTTTATGCTATTAATGAAATGGATGCTGTTCATTTAGCTATTGTAATGGCTAGTTTGAACTTATTGAAATTCCCTTCAATTTCATCCATTGTGAACAAGACTGAACAATACAATAGAGATATTAATAATAATAACGACCGTAATAATGGTAGCGTTGGTGGATTTTCCCCACTTGGAGAGAGACTATTATCCATCAATGATAAGAATGAAAGAGAAATTGATTTCACCAGAATTATAAGTAATTATGTGAAATCTTTCAAATTTTCTGATCCAAGAATTGCTATAGAATACATTATTTTAATCGGATTAAGCACAGAGAAACAAAATGAACAAGTTCAATTATGCCATGAAGCTTTGAGAGAATTAGTACTTGAGACCAAAGAATTTGCGATTTTATTAGGTAAGATTAGCAGAGATGGTACAAGAATCCCAGGTGTTATCGAAGAAAGATTACCTCTATTACATTTACGTGATGAGAGTGAATTTTTGCGTGTTATCACAGAACAAGCCGCTCGTAATGCCGATGAAGATGGTAGAGTCCACGATAGTTTATTATTGTATCAATTATCAGAGGAATATGATATCGTCTTATCTATTGTCAATAATCTACTTGGTGATATTTTGAGTAATGCTGACTTGACACAACCTCTATTACAAGTGAGTGATAACAGTGAAACAAATCCTATCCTTTTAGCAAGAAAACTAATTACTACTTTTGCTGATAATCTAGAGATTTCAAAGAAGATTTCCAATAAGAATTCTGATACATGTCTTTTCTTACTGAAGATGGTTGATATTAGAGATTCATTCTTAAGTAAACAATGGCAGCAAACTCTAACCATGATTAAAGAATTAAATATTTTACCATTTGCTGATGAACTTTCAGCAAGGGAAAAAGCACAAGAATTTACCACTTTGAATGAGAATTTAATCAAATGTATACCAAACCTATTAATTATTACAATGACATGCGTCTCAAGATTAGTTGAAAATCTGAATAAGAGTGAATATCAATCTATGGAAAAAGCACAACAGATCAATTCTTTGAAGAATATTGCTAAAAATTGTATGATATATGCTGGTGTTATTCAATATAAAATGCCTAGGGAGACATTTAGTACATTAATCAATTTAGATGTTACATTATGAATTTAGTATATATATATATATAGGGATACATAAAAATAAACACAGACGACCTCTATATACAATATAACATAATAATTATTATACTTAGCGAATAAGAGGATTGGATTTGAGATCTCAATAAGGAGAGCCTTAAAAAACAGTTTTTTATTTATAAAAACAGAATAGATGAATGCTTAAAAATGGATATATATATACATATGTGGATATATAATTAAATGATAATGTAGGAGAGTAATCAACTCCACATTTTTATGAAAGAGATAATATTGACGTAAAATGTATACGGTACAAGTTTGAAGAGAAAACAGTTAAGGTTACAGTTGCGGAATTAAAAGAAAAAAAAGATGTTTCGAATGTCCAGACTATGGGTTTGTGCTAAGTGAAAAAAGAAACATTACAACCATACTATGGATGTGAGTTAATACTATTTTGTGCTCTTCTATGTGAATAGTCAGGTTGGAATTCATAAGCATTTGGTTCAATAGAATTTTCTTTTGCTAGTTTCATATGACGTCTCTCTAATCTTCTTTTTCTACGTTCTTCGAAATTATAACCTTTTTTATTATCATCTTCGGATTCACCAGAAGATGAACTAGAATCAGATTCAGAATCAGATGGTTTATCATGCATATGGACCTCGGGTTCAGCAAATTCATCATCTTCATCCTGCGGATGGAATATACAACAGATTTTGGTCTTCTTTTTGCCCATATTCTCATTATCGATAGTACCTTGCTCCCATCTAATATTTGGTTTATCGTTTGTCTTCTTATTATCCTGATTCTCTTTATTGTGTTCTGTATTTGATGCACGTAGAGTCAGCACTGGTGGTGCCTGAGAGAGACTGATAGTCTGCGAGCCCTGAGTGATCCCTGACCCATTGTTATTACCATGTGGGGACATATTTTATTTTTAATAGAGTAATTATCTCTTATGTGATTAATCGTTTAGATGATTCAACTCACAAAGATAAATATATTTATTCTTAATTTATAATCTTATATTCTTAATATAAAACGAGGAGTATAGATGGGACCCTGAAATTCTTATTTATATTTACAAATTTCAATTATATAATCAATTTTCAGAATCGAGGGGCGTTACCCTCGCGGAATCGAAACTCGACGGGGCAAAAAGAAAAACCCAATCAATATAGAGAGAATAAGCCAATGGATGAAGGTGGCAAAAAGGGCTGTTATCAACTTAAAAGGGAAACAAAGAGAAGGTTACCAAAAGATTGAGCAATCGAAGGAGTTAATAAGGTACATTTGTTACTATCAGTTAGTTGATACTCGAAGAAGATAAGCAAACTTAGCCTTTCGAAGGGACAGAAACAGAAATATATATATATATACATACATCGCAAACAAATATGGATAGATTGCAAAGACTTATGATGAACACCAAGGTAGGTGCTGTTGATGCGGACCGTAATGATACCAAGGAGACTGTGTACATATCATCAATTGCCCTGTTGAAGATGTTGAAACACGGTAGAGCCGGTGTTCCTATGGAAGTTATGGGCCTGATGCTAGGTGAATTCGTGGATGACTATACTGTTAATGTTGTAGATGTATTTGCTATGCCTCAATCAGGTACAGGTGTGTCTGTGGAAGCTGTTGATGATGTTTTCCAAGCCAAAATGATGGATATGTTGAAACAGACCGGCAGAGACCAGATGGTGGTCGGATGGTATCATTCACATCCTGGGTTTGGATGTTGGTTGTCTTCCGTCGATGTTAATACGCAGAAATCCTTTGAACAGTTGAACAATAGAGCTGTTGCTGTTGTTGTGGATCCAATCCAATCTGTCAAAGGTAAAGTTGTCATTGATGCATTCAGATTGATAGATCCAGGTGCATTGATTAATAACCAAGAGCCAAGACAAACGACGTCAAACGTTGGTCTGATGAATAAAGCCAATATTCAAGCATTAATTCATGGCCTGAATAGACATTACTATTCGTTAAATATAGATTATCATAGGACACATGATGAAACAAAGATGTTAATGAACTTACATAAGGAACAATGGCAAGCTGGATTAAAAATGTATGATTATGAAGAGAAAGAGCACAATAATTTGGAGGCAACACAAAAGATGGTTAAGATTGCCAAACAATACTCCAAGAGAGTCGAAGAAGAAAAAGAATTGACTGAACAGGAATTGAAAACACGTTATGTTGGTAAACAGGATCCAAAGAAACATTTGACCGATACTGCCAATGGAGCTTTAGAAGACAACGTCGTCTCTATATTGACAGCAAATGTCAATGCTGTGGCTATACAATAGAAACTTCATTTCCACCCCAAATGCATCATTATCATGTCATTAGTAAGAACAGAGAAAAATAAAACGTGAAGATATATATATATACAAACTTTACTATAAATCGTATATATTGTATAAACATGAAAAAAAAAATGAAATATTATTACACGCAAATTTATTATCATCTATATTACATAAAAAGTAATCGTAAAAAGAAACCTCAATGGATGAGTTAATCCACAATTTTCTCCCATACTTGAATACATGTTTCATCTAAGAACAACAAATTAAAATTCCTAACCGTAGTCCTTGTATTATCTATCTCGACCCAATCCTTTGTTTGATTATTAGGCAATTGAATTTTCCAATTACTAGTATAATCTTTTTCAATATCATACAAATTCTTTTCAGGATCATGTACAATGTTTGAAATTAATTTGTATTGAATTTTGGAACCTTTGTCGTTTGTAAGAGGTAGACTCAACCTTTCATCAAAATTTACTATAGTTTGATTTCTATTTCTAACATAAAACTCAGAATCATTCAAGTTCTTTGATTTATTAAATCGACTAATATAAAGGAAAAGATATTGAGGTAAATTTTCTTTAATCAAATAAAGTTTACCATTATCAGTAGATTCCATTGAAAATTTTTCCATTATCAATTTTTCAAGTTTAATCTGCTTTATATCGTCAACGTTTTTGCTCTCTTTAAACATAGATATTTCAGGTAAAATCAACGTCAAATTCCAAAATGGAACAACTTTAATCTTATTACCCTTTGTAGATACTTTTAATTTCCCCTGACATGCTTTGGTCAATATTTTTCTCAACTGTTTATCAGATTGGCACAATGTATTTATCAACCAATTCAAAAATATTTGAGGATCCAAATTGTTGTTTGCTTTAATAACATTCGAATGATTCACCATTAGATACGATATCAATTCATCTGGTCCTATATTCAATTTAAATAAGTGAGGAGACCAAATTTTTTTCATTATCAAAGCAACATTTTTAATCAACCCATTCTCATTGGTGAGGTTCTTATTATAACATAACAAGAAATAATCTCGTATAGGGCCAATATGGGCCAATAATTGTATCACCACGTTAATGTATGCAATATTATTTGAAGTAGATTTGTTTAACCCAACAATACCATTGTAATATGACTGACCTTGAGTTGATTCGAAGCATACATATGGGGATCTTTGTATAATATCCGAAGTATATACCGGGTTTACTGAATATTTAATATCATGAATTAATCTCTTATTGACGTCCCCTAAATGCATTGTGTTAAGATCAATGTCTATTTCATCGGGCAATACCACCACTCGAGAGGTCTGAAAACTTACAAATAGACGATGATCATCACTGACTGAATGTAGAAATGCTGGGGTACGTTCTTTACAACCTCTATAGTACTTCCCACATATCAGACATCCGTATATATCCAACTTCGATAGAGTTACGGAACATATCTTTTCAGAATCAAAATCTAGTTTCTTCCTGTTGATAGTCTTCATAAGAGACTGCACTTCTTCATCCTGTATTGATACAGGTTGCTTTTGTCTCTTCGTTTTCGGGTGTTCCTGTTGTTGTGTGGTCTGAATTTCCTCATCCAATAGACGCTTCTGAGTCATATCACTGTAAACTAAATTAAATTAAAGGAATATAAATATACAATCCTAACTTGGGTGTCCTTTCCTTTGGATACACAATTACAAAGCAAGATAATTTTCTCCTGGGAACTATATACTTTAACTGTCAATAAAGCGAACAATCTATCAAGGTGCACTGTCCCATTACTTAAGCTAAAATCCTTTGAAAATAATCCAATTTTTTTTTTCACTTTTAGATTAATTAAGCGATGGATGGATGAGAATGATCTTTGGCCATCTACGTTCTTCTGACACCGACAGAGCCAAAAAACAACAACAACCAAAATAATGTAAACAATCGGCGGATCAAGATCCCATGGTTTCGACTGAGTCCGATTATGATAATAGATTACTACAAACTAATGTGCCTTACCAATTATCTGAAACCTCTTGCGAGAGACCTATCTATTGGCATATTCCAATTCTAAACCGACCGGTACAGGCAATTCACCAAACCTCATGTAGCAATCAAAATCAGGAAGAAGAGAGATGGAAAACTGCGAAAGATATATTGATATCTATTAAATTGTGTGCTATTATGGTCCATCCACCAATCTCGATTGGACAACCCACCATACTGCCCAGAGAAATTAAAATGCAGTCATTTGATAAACAGACAACTTGTATACAAACTGGGAAAATAACACAGAAACAGCCGCACAACTGTCGAAGAAATCTCAACTGAAAAATGTGTCATTCACCCCCAAAAAGTGAAAAAACCAAAAAAAAATTGAAAAAAAATGAGTGAAACTTCCAAGGGAAGAAGAGAAATGATTACATAAAACACAGGTTGATAACCAGCAACAAATAATATTTGTTTAGTGACATGCATGCATGACCTGTCTTTGTGAATGGGTGGAGTATTCAAAGAAAGGTATTCGTTCTCTCTCTTTTTTCTTTTCTTTGTTATATAAAGATATACTCGGAAAGGTAGAATGGATTCAGCCCTATTTAGTTTCGGTGTACCTCTAGCAATTGGCTCAGCAATCACTTATCTCTCAAAGAAGAATAACAACAAAAAAATAAACAAAATGTCAAAACTTGCAGATCCAATCGAGGATATTCCTCACTACATTAGAGATAATAAGTATCCAGCTAAGATCCACAACTCTAAAGTCAGAGAACATCTATTGGCCAAATTATCAAAGAGCGAAGCAATTGATGCAGTAGGGTTTTTGGTAGTCGGTAACCCCGTGGAACCAAATAAGTATTGTGATACCTTTAAACAATTTAGACAAGAACGTTATTTCTTCTATTTGACAGGTATTGATATCCCATCTGCTGCTTTATTTTACGACTGTAAATCTCAGAAATTGGTCGTGTTCTTACCAGAAATCGATTACGATGATGTTGTATGGGGTGGTATGCCAATGGAACCAAAGGAACTCCTAGAAAAATATGATATTGATGAAGTCTATTATATGAGTCAATTGAATGATATAATTGGACAATACAACAACATAGAGACATTGTATACTACAGACAAAGACAATTTTGATGAATTGAAGTTAAACGAATCTTTGAATAGTATGGTTAATGCCAAGGACAAGGATTTCTTCTATGCATTGGATGAATCTAGATTAATTAAGGACCAATATGAAATTGAAATCCTAAAGCATGTAGCTAAGATTACCGATAGAAGTCACTACGCAGTTATGTCTGCTTTACCAATTGAAATCAATGAATTACATATTGAAGCAGAGTTTGCATATCATGCGAAGAGACAAGGAGCTCGTACTCTAGGTTATGATCCAATTTGTTGTTCTGGTCCAGCATGTGGTACTTTACATTATGTGAAGAATTCTGAATCTTTGAAGGATAAGGACTCCACTTTGATCGACGCTGGAGCCGAATGGATGAATTACGTCTCCGATGTCACTAGATGTTTCCCATTAACAGGAAAATACACTAAAGAGCATCGTGAAATTTACGAGACTGTTCGTGATATGCAAACACAAACTATGGCATTGATGAAGCCTGGTATCAAATGGGAAGATCTACATATCATGTCTCATAAGATTCTAATTAAACATCTTGTTGAGTTAGGTATTTTAAAGGGTAGCGAATTCACAGAACAAGAAATGTTTGACTCTAGAGTCTCTTGTGCTTTTTACCCTCACGGGTTAGGTCATGTAATGGGTCTTGATGTTCATGACGTCGCAGGATATCCAAACTATGAGGATCCTGATCCTTATTTCAAGTACTTAAGATTACGTCGTGAATTGAAAACCGGGATGGTGTTAACAAATGAACCAGGTTGTTACTTCAATGAGTATTTACTTGATGAATTCTTACATAAACATCCAGAGAGAGCCAAGATGGTTGACTTTGAAGTAATGAAGAAATACAAAAACGTAGGTGGTGTACGTATCGAGGATGATATCATAATTACAAAGGAAGGATATGAAAATATGACTGGGATAACTTCCGATCCTGATGAAATTGAAAAAATTGTTCAAGCAGGTCTTTCAAAGAAACGTTCTGATTTCCACGTTATTGTTTAGACATATATTATGTGTGTGGTTTTCCTAGCTTTTAAATTCTCTTATATATGCTATTAATTGATATTTTTTTATTGTTATTTATTACTGTTTGTATAGATTGACTATATATTTATAGTGAGGGAAAGAAAGAGGAAACATGTATATACGTATATGTATAATACCCCTTTTTCTGCTTTACAATCCTTGTTGTAACCTTTCTTGGAATTTGCTCTTGGCGAAACCCCATGCACCCAAAAGACCTTTATCCAGATCCAATGTAACATTTTCTTCTGGTGCCTTAGTGACTCTCGAGGCAATAGAAGCTGGATCAGTTTCTAAAATAATACCATTATCAATCAATTCATCGATAGCTAATAACATCAAATCATAATTCTCTTGGATATTCTTTTTATCCACCCCATTATTTAAAACTAATTCTAAAGAATTCCTGTAAGCATCGAAGGCCTCCTGTAAAACCAATTCATTTTCATTACCGTCACCTATCAAATACAACGTCACGTCAGTGTATTCTTTGTATAACACCAAATGATTTTCATACAGCATTATCTCTGCATTCTTCTTGTGTGTCTTCTTGAATAATTGTTTTTCAAATTCGAATTGAACTTTGTTAGATGTGGCTAGTGATTTAGCGACCGCATATTCACTTCCTGTATGAGAATGGGGTGGACTGTAATATTTACCATATATCCTTTCACCCTTAGAATCCAATATTAGGATACCTTCGACAGAATATAATGACATGGTTGATCTCTTTACAATATACTTCGTATTAAATTAATCTAATGGAGGGGGGCTCAGGTACGTAACTTTTACTAATCCTCAAAAAAGACAAAGAACCGAATGATTTGTGAACGTATTTACCAAATTGAAATGACTACCTAAAACACACACTATTGCCTTGTTAAAATGTAATATTAAACTAAACAATTGTTCTAGTTCAACCCTTTTCTCTTCTGAAAAGACTCTCCAATCAGTGTATAAAGGTTGCTCTCGATTACCTCTTTACGTATTTCAAATCACGTATATTATTATTATCTCTCAATGAAATTTGACTCGCTGGCCGGTCGTTGACAAATTTCAGAATTTTTCGCATTTTTGGTCGTTTTGAACGTTAAGACCTACATTACAAGACCTAGGGTTACAAAGTAAGGGCCTGTTATCCGGGTAACATTATTATTATTGGTTTTTTCCAAAGTTGAATAAATTTCAAAAGCAAAAAGTTCTAGTATTTCTTACGATTTATGTTCTTAACGTAGCAGTTTCATGGATAAAAGGATCTGAGTATACCTGTACCAGTGCCCAGATCAACTACTTGACTGTTACAACCGATAGCTGCCAATTTTTTATTTTGTTTTATCATAATTAAAAGGGTTTTTTTTATCACTTGAAAATCTGACCAGGTTAAAGATCCATCGATTAGCTTCTGTTGACCTCTTTTAACTACTTTCATACCTTTTTGCCATTTTATCTCTATCCTAATATACAGAGTCCTAAATAGAGATTATGACTACATCGAACAATGAGTTTTATTTTGGTTTACTCAGAATATCTGTGATACAAATGCTCAAAGCTCAAGGCTTTGATAAAAGTAAACCTTCCACTGTGGATACATTGAGTGATTTATACATAAAATTCCTTAATCTTTTAGTACTCGAAGTGACAAAATTAGCTCAAGCAAGAGCAGATGTAGATGATACCATTGCATTACAGGACATTACACAAGCATTTACTAATTTGGGTCTAATAAAACCAAATGATTTACTGGACGTTTATGATGAAAACCCTGAAGGACCCGGCGATTCAGGCGTAAGAGCATTAAAAGATTGGTGTTTAAATAGTGTTCAATTGAGTAATTATAAAAAAGTCGCATTACCGAATATCGACATGCTTAGAATGTCAAATGAAAACCCAACGATAACGCAACAAGCTACTACCGCGACTAACGCTTCCACTTCTAACCCTACATTATCTTCAAATCAACCTGGAAATAATAATAATAGTAACATCAATAATACTAGTACAAGTGATGGAATTTTACCTATAAATCATACTCAAACACAAAAACAAATATTCGCAATACCTGATTATATGAATCCTTCACAACAAAATCAACAGGAAGAATTGGAAAAAGAGAAAGAAGAAGAAAATAATTTAATTGAAGAACTAATAAATAATGGTGATACAGATGATTGGATACGGTTACTAATAGTAAGGCAGAAATTAAAAATCTATAATAGAAGGCGTAAGATTGAAGCAGAAAATTCCACTTCAACTGCTTACGCTCATAACTCGAATACACCGAATACAGATATATCGGTAATCCCAGATATTAAATTGTTACCAAATATTGCTGGTCTAAAATATTCTATTCTCTATAACACTTTACAATCCAGTTCTCCTGAGATTAATAATGGATCGTCTTTGGAGGGAGAATTCAAGTCACATAACGAAACATTACCTATAATAGAAGAATCTGATATAACATCATCTGACAATAATAACAATATTGGCACAGGAGCCATTATGGATACAGATCATGTTACTATATCAGACGATGCTGCATCCATAATGGGAAGAGTAGCTCTCTTGACAAAATTACTCCCAATAATGAAACAAGACACCAAATTAGATAATATATCATTATCTTATGAAAATTCTGATTTTGATGAAATAGACCCAAGGAACAATGTTGAATCGGAGAAGGGAAATAATGATATAGAGACATTCGAACATGAAGACGATGATATGGCTGGTGCTAATAATATGCAATTAGGAAGCACATCCAATAACATTAACTTCGATGAATTTGGTGATATGGACAACACTTTCCAAAGAAGAGCATCTCTAGATTATGGTAGTTCATCAATATTCTGATAGTCATATACGATATATATATATATACTTTCTCTTTTTACAATAGAAACATGTAACTTCTTATATATATAGTTCATCCTCTTCAAAAGTTGCGAAGACAGTTTTATAATTGTGAATAATATACATTTGATTCTTATAAATGGTCTATGCTTACATGCTTCATTACATAAATATCTTATAACCTCCTTCTGGATTTAAACTTACCACCCTTTTTGAAATTTTTACCAATTTTGTTTCTCCCTACGTTTCTCTTTGGTGCAGACTCGTCATCACTGAAGTTATCATCCTCCTTTTTGCCCTTCTTGAATTTTAGTTTATTCTTTTGACCTCTAACAGGACCAGTCTTGACAGCCTCTAGATATGCATTGATACCACTTGTCATATTCTTGATTGGATCATCATCATCAGCAGCACCACCCTTTTTACCCTTAACGATTAGCTTACCTTCATCGTCAAAAGCGAACGCTTCATCGGATAGTAGCTTCTTCTTGTGGTCCTTCTTGTTAAATTTCTTAGGTCTTGTAGAGGAGATATGCGCCAATGTATCAGCATCCAACAAATCAAGTGGATTACCACCAGATTTTTCAATAATATATTGTTTGCTCTTCTTGTGGTTGGTTCCATCTTCGTCATCTTCATCTTCATTATCAGATGATGCATACACAGCTTCATCAAAGGCAGACATAAACTTTGGACCCTTGGCAGTAGGTAGAGTTGTCTCCTCATTTGTACCATCAGCATCCTTACGCTTACTTCTGTTACGTGACTTTCTAATGTTAGTCAATAATTTCAAGTCATCCTCAGGGAAATTAGCTTCAACGTATTCATATCCAAATCTTCTAATTAATCTTTCAATAATATGCTTAACTTTGGCCTTAAAGTGACCAGTGTGCTCATGGGACCAACGCAACAATTTTGGAATCAAGGCTGGGACCTTTGGCCTCATCATTTCTTCTGGCAAACCAAGGATACAAACCTTAGCAAAACCAATGGCACTCTTGGCGATTTCTCTAGAGTTAGAAGTTAGATACAACTCAACGGTATCATAAATATCAAGAACGATATCACCAGCTAAGGAGTCCTTGAATTCAAACATTAGACATGCAAATGCTGTAATTGTGCTACTAACCATATGTTGACTTTCACCAATCAAACCAGCAGATATAATCTTGAAAAATTCAGCAAGAGAGGCAACTTGGACATTACCTTCTCCCATATCTATGCTACCACCGTTTTGCATTCTTTCAGCCATCAAAATTAAAATTTCAAAAGCTAAATCTCTGGTCTTTTCATTAACATCCTTAGTAGCCAAAATAATCTCAGCAGAGACTTGAACAATAAAATTCATGTGGTCTGGTGGTAACAAATTCACAACAGTCTTAATAGCGGCTAGTCTACCAGATCTAGCAGAGGTGTGAACACTGTTGGAGTTACGTAATAAAATGGCTTCAATCTCAGTTAGATAGTTAGAAATGGCTTCTTCACCAAGAGATAGTTCAGATAATTTAGAAATAATTCTGTAAGCACGTTTTTGGATCAGAGTATCGTCTGAATTGACAGTCTGATCAAAGATCATGAATAAAGGACCATAACAATTGGATGGTAAGTATCTGACCATGATTACGATAATATCTAACAGAGTTGCAGTCAATTGGGGCTTATTATTGTTGTTATTATTCGAACCATCCTTCGCAGCTGCTTCCTTCTCCATAGAATTCTTTAAAAGACCACATACGTTATTAAATGTTTTCTCAACGTCCTCTGGGGTTGTGATTTTCAAGTATGATTCTATGGTATCTAGGATGTAACCTCTTAGGTTTGATGCAGTTTGAGTGAAAATATTGAAAAGAACAGCAAGAATGTTTACAGATTTCGATGTTAAATACTCTAAATTTTTCTTGGATTCTTCTACAGGGAATATAGCCCGTAGGATGATATCATCTTGTAATGCACCCTCGGAGTACATGATATTACTTTCAACTAGCATCTTTAAGGCATGACAAATTGTAGTTCTCAGATCAGTGTTACTGTAAAGTAAAGAACATAGATCTGACGCAAACTTATCTGTAAAGGATTCTCTTAAATCAACTGGCAATTCAGCAAAATGTGGTAAAGTAGACCATATTTGATCGATAATGGTTTGGTAAATTCTCAATTGAACAGATTCCTTTGGGAAAGAATCAAGCTGGGACTCGAATACTTGGGCGGCTGGTAATAGATCTGAAATAAAGATCGATAGCTTAGCATGTCTAGTATAGTCTCTTAACAATGGCAATAACCAAGCTCTACCTGGTTGATCTTTAATTTCATTATTTAGATTTAAAGGTAAAATTTGTAAGACAACATCTGGTCCAATGGCAGAAATAGCGTTACCAATCACCAAATCAATCTCAGAAACCAATTCCATTGCTTCTTTTTTCTCATTAACTCTCCAACTATCGACTATTTGCAAAGATTTATCAAGAGCAGGATGGGATCTAAATCTGAATTTCTTATAAGCTGCAGCCAAAATATTCAATATTTCCTTTGTACAATTGGTGTATCTAACTGTCAAAAATTCAGAAAACATTTCTGATAAACTGTTGATAATCTTTGTTACAGTCTTAAAATCTTTCTTGGATACGCTACCTTGACTTTGTTCCGGTGATAATATGATTTCATCTTTAATGGCATCAGTTAGGACTGCAATTAAACATTGAGAAGCACTGAAGGAGATTTCTTTATTTTCACTTTGTAAATAGGTTGACATTAACTCGAATACTTCTGGAACTTTAACCAATGCATTCATTGGGGAGCCAACTGCATAAGTAGACATACCTTTAACGACAACTGCAATCCAGGATCCAACTAAATGAGTATCATTATTTGATGGTCTTAATTGGAAAATGGTATCTATAACTTTAACGTATTTATCTTCAGCCAACCCTGTGGACACGGTAGATTCAGCCATGGAATTGAATAATTTTTCAAAACATTCAAAAGAAGTGGAAACAAGATATTGATCAGAACTCTTTGTTACATCCAATAACATATCACATAGAGGTTCAATTTGACCTGTTGGCCATTGGCCAGAGGTTACGACAGTACTTACTAGACGTAAACATTTTATCACTTTAGAGTTTATATCATCTTTAACAGTTTGGTTCTTCAATTGTTTACTTGATAAACCATTCAATTCGTTTAATACATCTGTTAATTGATTAATGGCAAATACCGAGATTGTAGTAGAGGCAACATGTTCTGCTGTTGGAGCAACAGGTGGATTTTCAAGTATCTTATGAAGAGCCTCTAAAGATCTCTTTCTAATCTTTGGTCTTGGATCTAGAGATAATTCCAACAGACCTTGCAGACCTCTCATTGGAGTAATGGTCAAATTATGAGTATTATTCCAAGCTTGAGCATCCTGAGCGACTAACAAAGACGCTAAACAACCAATGGCAGATCTAATCAATAATGGTTCAGCTTTTTCATCAGTAATACAAGGAGCGATCTTAGCTAATAATTCGGAGAATTTAGATCTTAATAATTTCTTTGGAGCATATTGGAAGATGATATCTAATAAATATGTAGCTGCTGTAGTTAATTGTAAATCTATAATATTATGAGTATCGTTATCAATGGATTGATCTAATAAGGACATAAATGCAACCATATAACTAATAATATTCTTAGAAGTGTCGTTAGTGTCATGACCTTCGATGTTTTCCTCAACAGCAGTCAATATAATGGCAATATGTTTTTGATTTTCCAATTTAGAAGTTGCTTGATGTCTAATCTTGGATAGCTTATCCTCTAGCTCGAGCATATGAGCCACTTGATCTGCGTCCATCTTCTATATTTATCTTCTGACGTTGTCGTTATTGTCCAAGACGGAAAAAAGTTATATAAAATAGAACTCTAGTTTATCTTTATTCTATCTTCTTTAACCTTTAAGTTTTATTGTATATCTTTTTAAACATACAATTGAGATGAGATGAGCTCATCTCTCAATACACTATGGCAAAAACGAAAAAAAATAAAATTATTCAATATGAAAAATTTTCTTTTTTTTCGTTTCTGTTTCTTCGGTGCCAAAAAACCAAATAAAGAAAAAGCCCGAATTCATAATAAATCACGTTGAACGGGAAAGGGAGGGCCTTCTTTTTCCCTCTCTAAAAATCGAACAAAAGAGATTAACCAAATAATCAAACATATAAAGAAAATGAACTAAAACCTTTCATTTAACATGATATTAAATCAGGTTTAAAGGGTTAAAAGTACCAAAAGCACATTATAATAAGGAAATACATTAACAGAGAGAAGTATCATAAATAATGACTTGTGGGATAGTAAGGATTAGACTCGCAAGATTTGGTAGAACTAATAATCCAGTGTATAATATAGTTGTAGCAAATGCACGTCGTGCTAGAGATGCTAAACCATTAGAAGTATTAGGTACATATAATCCAATACCCCAATTAATTACTGTGAAACAAAAGAAACGAGGGATGATTCCTGAGAAGAAAGTCAATTTAGATTTTGGACGTACACAATATTGGATTGGTGTTGGAGCCCAACCTAGTGATTCTGTGACTAAATTATTGAAGAAATGTGGAATACTTGATGAAGCATGGGGTCGTAATAGTGAAAGAGAAATAATAAAACCTCGTGTGGAATCATATGAATAAACTCAACAATACACAACTGTTCAAACTCACAAAATATATAAAATAATTCAACAAAAGGATGTAGAGATACAACACACATATCGATACAACATATCGGTACCATGTAAATACTTTACTACATAATATCTATCTATTCATTTTAATCATAAAACAAAATTCAATCATTGCAGGTATGTAAAATATAATATTTTTATGATCTTCTATCTTTATAAGTTTATATGTATATATATATCTATAAGTAAATAAAAAAAAAAACCTCAACAGTTGGAAGGAAAAGAGGAATAGGCGCCATTCATCATTTATTAACTATTCTAGTACTTATTTCTTCGTGCCTAATGAGTCCGCCAATGATTGTTCGTGACGGCAAATATTAGCCGCCGTCAAACTTGAAGTTCCACTATTATTTGAGAAACTTGTAGTTGATAAAGGAGAAGCAGTTCTAAAAGTTTGACGAGGTAATAAAGAATGATGTAAAGAAGGTAAATTTCCACTACTGTTATTTGAATTGATCAAATTATTCATTGAATTATTTGGTGTCAAAACATACATATTTGTATTATTCTTATCTTTATTAGTATTCTTATAACATTTTAAAGTAGGTTGTGGTTGTAATAAATTATTTCCAATACATAAAGGTTCTCCACTACTTTTGAAAAAAGTTGGATCTAATGGATCTGAAATATTATGAGTAGAATTTAATAATTCTGTAAATTGAGGTGGAGGCGGCACCAACGAAGATTGTGAACCGTTTCTTGACATATAACCCTCCCGTCTAATCTCTTGATTCAACGTATGTCTAATCGTTACAACCATTGCGTTAGATTGTAATGGGATGCGTGTTCCTGTGTCACATTGTTGAGTGATCGCTTGTTCGATGGATAACATTGCCACACGATTAAGAATACCTGCCGGTGGACTAGTTGGATCGAAAGGTGTTATAGTTGGATCACTTGATACATTTAAATATACATTCATTATCAAATCGATAAATTTATTAGAGAGGATTGCATATTTGGATATATCGCCATTATTATTAATACTATTGTTACCTGACGTGGTGAAATTATTAGAATAAGTGTAAGTATCACTAATTGAGCTTGTTAAAGAAGAAACGGATCCCCCACGTGCTCTATTCATATACATTGAGATATGTTGTTGTTGTTGTGGTGGTGGTTGATGTTGAGTTAATGGTTGTTGGTACATGTTAGTGGTTGAATGATTAACAGGTGTGCATAAGGATAATCCTAAACGTGGATCTTCTATCATATCGTTCATTATTTTAATAATATTTATAGATGTAAAAATAAACGGTTGTGTGGTATTATGGTTAGTAGAGTGGTTAATATGAAGGTTATAAATAATAACTAGTTAAATGGGATATAGTTATTATTATTATTATTATTTTTTTTTTNTTTTTTTTTTGAAGGAAATAAAAAGATATGAATTGAATTTCAAGATGTTTATATATATATATATATAGAAAGAAATAATAAATCCAAAGGATGTCAAAATCTAAGAAATAAGTAATAAATAGAAAAAAGAGACACGAAATAAATAAAATAAAAAACTAGGTATAATGAAACTATTCAAGTAAATCAAGCAGTAAGTAAATATGGTTTCGCTTAATTTCAAAACCCCTTTCCCACCTTCTAGTTCTATCAATTCTAAAGACGAAATTTAGTTTAAATTAAACTTGTAATTTACAAATTTCACTATTAAGAGAAAATGACAAAAGAATAAAAGAATAATAGGAACTGCGGGAATTATTACTACAACCACAAGAACTATTTACATATAATAAAGAAGCTAGGATGAGTTAAAAAGGCACAACAACAAGGGAAGAACGAAACGGAAACGGAAACGGAAACCTAAGTTAAAATCGAAGAAAGAAAACGGACTTGCGCAACATGAAATTAAATGAGTATAAAATGTGAATTGCTAGTAGTTAAAATAGAAGGGAGAAAGATTACTATAATTCAATCGAGACAAACTAGTGAAGATATTAAGTTATCTGACTGAATTATTATTGCTAGATGAATAGGTTATTTTTGATTAATTAGTTGATTAATCAATCGTGAAGGGATTTAGATTGGGTACTGTACATATTGTAAAGACCCTCTTCAGTCCCTTCTAGACCCCGTTTTTCATTTCAGTAGTTGCAGTAACAATTCTTCTTCGTCTTCTTCTGTATAAAACAAAATAGTTGGCTTTGGCTTTGGCTTTGGCGTTGTTGTTACTATGGCACTCAACCTATCTCTATATAACCTTCCTTATTAATTCAACATTACTTTATTTCCTGTAATATTAGTATTATTAAACTATTTTCAAGAATTTTATTAGTGCTGCTACTAATCTTATATATTTCCTCTAGCACCCCACGTTATGTATCCAATTGTATTTGTTCGTTCGTTCCTTTACAATATCATACTATGCTATTTAATTTTACCTATTAACCCCCACGTTAAACAGGTCTCTCTCTCTCTCTCTCTCTCTCTCTCTCTCCTTATTTCACTCTTTCTATCCCTCTCTCCCCAAATTTATACATAAAATATGTATAAATATTTTAATTATGCAAATTTTGTATCAACTGCATCATGCAAGATGCTAAGCCGCGGGGGGAGAAGAGTAAAATATGTATAAACGTATATTTCTGGTTTATTCAGAAGAGAACAGACGGACCCCACATTGTAGAGATGGAAAATACGAATGAATTTATTGATATTTACGACTGACAGTAAAATACTGCTAATAATGTTTCTTCGGTCCAACATTTCACGGTGAGGGAAGGGAAGGGGAGGGGAATGAGCCTTAAACGAACTATTTTTTTTTCGTTTCCGTAGAAATGTCCTAATCCGAGCTAATTTCTTCTGGTTGTTTCCGCATTAAAATATAAAATATATCGAATATGTATATTCCATATTAGGATCGTCTCCACAGATCTTCTGTGTTAACAAATACGGACTGCGGAGTTCTTTTAACGTCCATTATATATCTTTTTTATTAACTACGGAGTTGTATATCTTATACCCTTTTTTCTATAACAAGGGGGTGAATGAATTCTTACAGGTTTGTCTTTCTCCTTCTTCTTTGTTCTCTGGTATTTTTGCGTAGCTTTTTGCGTTTTTTTTGCAGTTATGAACCGTACGCTCGGTCAAATTATTTCACATTCACTTTTCTCCTTGCTTTTCTTCATTTATACTGAAAGAGGAAAGGTAAAGAAGAACTGGGACGCGTTAATTTAAATTTTGTTTTATTATTGCCGTATCGGGTAATCTGATAAATAGAATAAATAAACAGTGTTTGGTGTGTGTCGTAGTCAGTGATGCATATATATTGGTTACCCTGCATTTTGGTTTTCGGTTTTCTGATTTTTCTGATTTTTCAGTTTCATTATAAGGGAACCTCATCACTTACTCAGCCTGAAAAATAATATAATTAAATAAGCGAAGATGTACACTAGACAATATCACATATATATATATATATCTAATTTAAAGTTTGGTTATTTTATTCTTTAGTGATGACGAGAGAAGTAATAATCACTGCACTTTAAACATAGAATGACTGGCAGATTTCATCATCCTTACACTCCATATGATATTCAAGAACAATTAATGGAATCATTATACGATGATACTTTAAATACTAATAAAAAAATCGCTTTAGTCGAATCACCAACAGGTACAGGGAAGACTCTTTCTTTGATTTGTGCTATAGTGACATGGCTAAGAGATAATAAATCTAAATTAATTAAGGATGAACAACAATTAAATAGTAGTAATAGTACCAACACGGCTAGTAGTAGTAGTAGTAGTAGTGATGATGATGATGATGAATCAGAGCCTGAACCTGAATGGGTAGTCGAAGCATTTAATGATTCGCGTGCACGTGATACGGTGGCGGCAGTGAAAGATTTTGAAAATTATTTGGATTCTTTACCAAAACCAATGGTCACAATGCAAACATTGACGGCGCGCGGCCCAAAGAGGAAAATTGCCGCAACGAAGTCAAATGGAACAAATGATAACGAGATTAATGATAACGATTTTTTACCAGAAGAACAAGAACAACAGATGAATGAAACAAAGACACAATCATTGAATCAAGAAGTTAAACAATTATTACACAAATTAGAACAACAATCACAATCGCAATCTGATCAAAATAATGAATTTGATAAATATCATACGATTGGAGGAACTTCAATAGCAAACCCAATTAAAATATATTTTGCATCAAGGACTCATTCACAATTATCACAATTTGCTCATCAATTGCAATTGCCTCAATTTCCATCTTCATTTGAAAAAGATAATATTCCTTTGGAAAGAATTAAATTTTTACCATTGGGTTCCAAAAAACAATTATGTATTGAACCATCTGTAAAACGGTGGAAGACAGCAGAAGCAATTAATGACGCTTGCTATGATTTACGTCATTCGAAACAAGGTTGTCCCTTTTATTCAAATACTCCACAATGGCATACTTCAAGGGATACAATTACTTTTAGAGATAATTTATACAAAGAAATTCATGACATCGAAGATTTAGTCCCTTTAGGTGAATCCCTAAAAGTTTGCCCTTATTATGCCTCTAGAGATTCGATTCCAGGTGCAGAAATCGTCTCTTTACCTTATCAATATTTATTATCTAATGACGCTAGAGAGTCTTTAGGCATTGATCTCGATAATTCCATTGTTATTGTCGATGAAGCACATAATTTAATTGATACTATTAATAATATTTATAGTGCTTCAATGACTTACGACAATTTATCAACAGTCTTGAAAGGTTTAAACAATTATTTGGTTAAATTTGAAAAAAAATTAGGTCCACGTAATAGAGTTAATTTATTAAAATTATTAAAACTATTAGAGACAATAAAATTATTTGTTGATTCAAATTTTAAAAAACCAGGTCAAAGATTTCAAAGTTATGACATTTTAAATGATTCTAATTCAGATTTATTTAATATCCATAAATTGATTGATTATGTGAATAAATCCAAAATAGCTTATAAGATTGATACTTATATGGCCAAAACAATTGATAAAATTCAACAGAAGAATAATTCTACTTCTACTTCTTCTTCTTCTTCTATATCAAGACAACCAGCTTTATTTAAAATAATGAAATTCTTAACAACTTTAACAAATCCAAGTAAAGAAGGTCAATTTTTTTTCGAAAAGGATAAAGAAATTAAATATATGTTATTGGAACCAAGTAAAATGTTAGAACCTATTATTAACAAATCTAGATGTTTGATTTTAGCAGGTGGGACAATGGAACCCCTAGCAGATTTTTATAATGAATTGTTTCCTCAAATCGATCCAAAGGATATCTTAACCTTTTCATGTAATCATGTTATTCCTGATAAAAATTTACAAACATTTATTATAGATGATCCAATTTTTGAATTCACATTTGCCAAAAGAAATTCAACATCCTTAATCAACAATGATTTATTCTATTTCTATAATAATTTATCTTATACTGTTCCAGTCACAGGTGGTATTGTTGGGTTTTTCCCAAGTTATCAGTATTTACAATTTGTTGTAGATAGTTGGTCAAAATCTGGAAAATTGAAAACTTTAACACAGCACAGAAAATTATTCTATGAAAAGAAAGATGGTGAAGATATCTTAAGTGATTATATCAATACCATCTCTAAAGGTGAAGGTGCAATTCTTTTTGCTATTGTTGGTGGACGATTATCAGAGGGGATTAATTTCCAAGATAATTTATGTAGGGCTGTCGTGATGACAGGTTTACCTTTCCCCAATGTATTTAGTGGTGAATTACAAATAAAGAAAGATCATTTAGAAGATAAAATAAAAAGAAATGGGGGGTCACAAAAGGATGCACAGGATGCAACACGTGAGTTCTACGAAACGATTTGTATGAAAGCTGTTAATCAAAGTGTCGGTAGAGCAATAAGACATGCAAATGATTATGCAGCAATATATTTATTGGATAAAAGGTACGCTACTGAAAATATTAAACAAAAATTATCTCTTTGGGTTCGAAAAAGAATTCAACAGGAACATTCTGTCTCAACGGTACTGAAGAAGACATCGTCATTTTTTCAGGCTATGAGCCAATAATTAAGTATGTTCTTATATATATATATTTCTATGTTTAAGATTATATCATACCTGTACCGGTATACACACTATTTTTACAACATACTTCTAGTAATGTTCTAGTAAACCAACCATAGTGGTTAAGAGAGTCTGCTTCGATATCAATAACTCTTTTGTTTGTGACAGGACATCTTTTTACAGCCAGACCAAGTATTGGTAATAATGTTATAGCACATAGTTTCCATGTGTTTCCTTCTTTAGAGGTAATTTCCTCAAAGGAAGAATTAGAATTATCATCGGTTATTTTAAGAGAAAAAGTTTGTGTAATAAATTCACCTTTCATATCATATTCTTCGAATTTATCAGAAGGGATATCGGGATTAGGAGGTGAACCTGTCGCTTTAAGTAGAGCAGTAAGGCAAGCAATATCTAATACATCCGTGATCGTCTCTAATCTAGACAAAGCGTATTTTATAATCAGCGCACGAAATATATTGATACATCTTTTATCTGTGTTGTCCAGATATATGTTGAACCTTAATTGATTTAAATTTTCATTATCGAAATAATTTATCAAGTATTGTTTGAAATCAATTTGTGTATTAAATTTTGGATTAGATTCTAATAACTTCAGTGAATTTTCATTTGAAAGTTCTCCGTTCAGTGGTAAACTACCCCGTTGATAGATAATATGAGTTTGATACCATGCAAGTCCAGTAGCTTCATTTGATATTTCCCACTGTTCACATAGGGGGACAAACATTACATGATATTGACGTTGTGAGGAAATTAAATACTTCCATGTCACACGGTTGACATTATATAAAATTGCTACAGTGAAACCATCGGGTGACAGAGTTACTCCATAAATATTTAAATTGGTCTCATATTTCCCAGATTCGTTCCATATGTCATTCCATTTCTTGAATTTATGAAGTAGATGTGGACCGATTAAAGTATCAGGTTGTAAAGATATTTCGTTAGTATCCAAATCCAATTTAATAGTCATATTATTAGCATTTGAGACAAGAATTAAAGTGTCTGTTTTTCTAATAGGAACAATGTAAAAATTATTTGCTACTGGAAGTCTTTCGATATCTAATTTATTAGACGTTAAATTAAATATATACAAGTGACCAGATGAAGTAACTATGACGTAACGATCGTTGATTATGGCGAGATCGAATATTTTAAACCTCGAGCTATCGATTATTTTTTTTGCATGTAATAAATTTTTGTTATACTCCAATTTCCATACAGAATTATCGGATGCAGTAACAACAATGTTGTTCCCTATCCACAGAATATCAGTGATATATTGAGATTGTAATTCGTCCATTTTAACTCTATTTATTAACCCAAAATTATCGCTTTCTGGTTCTTTTTGAAAGAATAAAAGTTCTCCTGCTTCGTTACCAACGACAATGGTATTGTCATAGGGTGACCATTCAAATGCATGGAAACATCTTTGTTGTACATTGACTCCCGATTGGTCGATTTTTGCGACAGGATTCTTATCTTTATATATGATAACATTAAAATTATTCGATAAAACGGCCAAATATTCACTGTCATTAACTTTAGAAGGTTTGCAAGTCCTTACAAACGATGCTGGTTGAGTGTTAAGAAATGCGTTATCGGTTGCCGTTTCGAATTCCATGACGTTACCAACGACTAAGGGATACTCTTTGGTATAAAACAGTCCTTTCGCATTGTTATTAATAAGTGAGCTATCTTGATACCTAGGTTCTCCGATGGTTATTTCAGGTGATGTTCTAAAATATAGAGTTCCGTTTCTGGACCAAGTTATTGCATTATCCCAATCCTGTAATTCTTTACGCTGGATTATTAAATCTTTCAGTAGCTTCATGCTCGATTGCGCAAGTAAAATGTTTTGTTAACTATTAATCAGAAGTTTATTAAAATTTTATTCAATGCTAATACTTCGCACTTGTTTTAGGATCAAAATCCTGATATATCCTGGTGAATTATGAAGTAAATTATTTATTTGTTTACATCTTGTCAAATATATAAAGTTTCATGTGCCCCTTCGAAACCGAGCGAGCTCATTTTGTCTCGTCCCACGGTTAAAGAAAATTTTCAATGTTTTTAGCGATGACTTTGAAATGACAAGCGCTGAGTTCACTTAATGATTGATTGATTTTGAAGCTACAGATGAATATATAATCTGTCTTTTATAAATTTAATTTCGGATTTCATATATATTTATATTTGGTATACATAGTAATAAAAATTTAAAGAAAACATTGATTCAGCAGCCATGGCTCTATCATCTAACTGGTTAAAACTCCAAGAGGAAAATAATAAATCTAAATCTAAGAAACAATTCAAGAATACCACTTCCAAGAAAGTTACCAAACCACAGAAGAAGAATCATGACTCTTATAAGAGAGATGAGAGAATTGCCAAGAAGCCTAATAAAATTATGAGTATGGTTTATTCTATGAATGACGCCATAGCTCAGCATAAAGAAAATAAAAGAGATGGTAAAGCCTTTGAATTTAAGTCTGAAAGCAATAAAGATGAGGGTTCATCTGAGAGTGCGCCAGCTAATTTTGATGGACTCCCACAAGACAAAAAATCCAAAGAAATAGGTAAATTTGTTGCTATGGATTGTGAGTTCGTTGGTATTGGTCCAGATGGTAAAGATTCTGCCCTAGCTAGAATATCAGTAACGAATTTCTTTGGACATGTTATAATAGATGAATTTGTTAAGCCAAGAGAAGTAGTAACAGATTGGAGAACGTGGGTTAGTGGTGTGAAGCCACAACATATGAAGAATGCAATTTCTTTCAAGGAAGCACAAAAAAAATGTGCAGAAATTCTAGACGGAAGAATATTAGTCGGACATGCAATTAAACATGATTTAGAAGCTCTGTTACTGTCACATCCAAGATCGATGATCAGAGATACAGCCAAACATCTACCATTCAGAAAGGCGTACGCTATGGGTAAGTCGCCAAGTTTGAAGAAACTTTCAAAAGAAATCCTAAAGATTGACATTCAAGATGGTCAACATTCATCAGTAGAAGATGCAAGAATAACCATGATGATATACAAGTCAGACAAAAAAGAATTTGAAAGATTACATAGAACAACATTCAACAACGAATCTAAATAAATTTAGTTAAAACGTAACTATAAAAGTATTTTATTTTGTATAATAATAGACACAATTCAGGGCATATTTTTCATAGATTTTTTACATAAAAAATGTTCTTAAGTATGTAAACAGATGTATGACTCTATATATTTTTAGTTAATATATCTAAGTTGGACAGGCCAATCGAGCTATAAGCATTGTAATAGCTTTCTTTGACGTAAGTATAAAGTCTAAATCCTGAACAAATTTCTCCTTCAGTTCATCTTGGTTTCTCTCAACTAATTGTGAATGTAAAATAATATCCAAACCTGTATCCTTTATTCTGTCAATAGATGTCGTATTGCATTGGTTAAAGTTGTGGAATTGAGAATATCTTACTACTTCTCCCATAATTTGGAAAATAATTGGAATCCATTTTGGATGGTGCTCTAAAGAGGTAATTCTTCTCATTTCAGTATTAACAGCTCCATAGAACCTGAATAAACAGATGGGTTCTCTATCTAACAATAATTGCATAACTAATAGTAATTTAAATTTTGTAGGTTCATCAATGTTCTTATTCTTGAAAATCATGGCACCCTGATATAGAGCATCATTTGATTGGGAAGTATCAGAGCATAACCATTCTTCAATAATTGTGGGGATCTTGCATTGTTCGTTTATTACAACCATACCACCATCATAACCAGCTGATTTTAGAATATTTCCAAATTGATCAGCATCGACGGTTAAAAACAATAAAAACATGTAAGATTTGAATTGGACAGCATCTGAAAACAATTGATATTCGTGGTAAGCATTCTTAAATAGGCCAATTAAACATTCTGTTGCATTTGCACGAATTGAAGGAATCGATAACCCTCTCGAAATAAATGCGACGATGATAGACACAAAATTGTCCTCCGACCATGTCACATTGTATGCTTTTTCAATCTGACAAAGAAATGGTTCCGCAAATTCTCTTGCATCAAGTAGTTCTTTTACTAACGTTTTCATTTCTGAGCCGTTGGCAAAATGATATTCATATAATCTTGAAGCACAATTAGACATAAAAATAAGCCCACTTTCAAAAATGGAGGGGTGGTCAGTATAGATCAAGCACATCGAGAGCCAAAATAATTTCATTAACAATGGGAAAGAAGGATCTAAACCCTGTACAATTTTACTATAAGCAAATGCGTGAGAAAGGACCATAAAGACATTATCTGTATTAACAATAGGCTCTGAAGTAACCCACATCGTTCTAACAAGTAAATTATTCAATAATTTAGTGGATGTATATGTTTTGCCGGCTATACCCAAAATCATCATGGCACGAGCTGATAAAAATGGATTGGATGTAAACACCAGTTCGCTCAAGTACTTCTTATACTTTGAACGCCATTTATAAGTTTCATAAGGAGCAGGACCGTCCATTAAAAGGAGAATTTTAGTCACGAAGCTGTCTAGAATATTAAATTTAATAGAGAATGAACCTGTTGAAAAACTTGGAAGGATATCACCTTTGTACTGGCTGAATCCAAAGATATACTTCAGTTTGTATGTTGCAAAGTCACTTGTTATGTCATCAAGTTGTTGTTTCTTTTCACTTGGTAGTATGGAATTAATAGATAGAGAGTTGCAAACATTCATTAGCAACTCGAAGATCAAGGTCCGTAATTCAATAGGTCCAATATCAATCAAAATTGAGATAACAAAAAGTACATCAGGTAAAAACATCTGAACCAACAATGTTGATTCGAAAAATAAAAATGCTGTAATATGCACCAATATTTTCAACTCAGCCCAACTCTGATTGGTTGTATCAAATTTTAAAGTAGGGAGAGTGTGTTTTACGGTGTCTAGAAGCCTTTCAACTACTTCGGTTGCAAGTCCCACTGTTGGGAACCCAGTTAGAAGATCTGTAATTCTAGTCCAATCCTTATTTTCTGAATCCCTTTCTAGACAATGGCCCATTATCTCAGTAACAATTAGTTTTGCTAATCTTCCATCTGTAATTAGAGGAAACCAGATTTCATTAAGATATAAAGACGTGAAGGCAGGCTCGGAAAGGGATAATTGAATTAATGATCTAATGATTTTTGACGTATTCTCATCTCCGTTTTCGTCATCTCCAAGATAAACATAGCCATATAAGTTATCAACCCAGTAAGAAAGGAAACTAATAACTTGAGGTATATATTTCTTTGGGATATAATCATTTTCTATCCCCTCTAAAATATATTTCCAACAGTGATTTGTAATTTCAGGATGATACGTCGCGAGTGATTTAGCCATGTTAGATAGGAAAATTGTGGCATTTGATGGAATATACACTGCTGGTGTTTTATGAAAATGAGAACCTAAATTTAATTTGAATGCCCTTTCTGCAGCGGCCAGCAAGTTATATGAGTGCGACTTAACAACATCATCAGGTGTGAATAAGCCTACTATGGTTACCAGTAACAAATGACCTATCATATCATTTCTTTCATCTGAATGTTGTGCAATATCCTGCACATCTATAGGAGCGACAATTGTTTCGTCCGGTACATATTCAAATTCTTCCCTAGATTTAGCATACTCAAACATTTTCATAATTTCCAAAAATTTGGTACTACAAAATATCAATCTCTTACCGCTAGTGAGGTTGATCGTAAATTCGCCAGTAACCCCTGTAATACTGGATACATCAGTTAGTACAACATCAGCAACCTTGTAGACTTCATTGATCTTTACATCAACTATTTCATTTAATTGCACTAATTTAAATTTCTTTGGTGTCTCATGTAGAATTTGGAAATACTGGTTACCTAATTTCATCGAAACAGGCGATAGACGGTTATTATTTTCGTCATACATCATAATATTATGTAATGATATACGCACATCGTCCATAACTTGCAACCCTTCACAATCAATCTTTAAATATTTAAGTAAGTCACCATCCGAATTGGTATTTCTAAATTCGTGAGGGACTTTATGAGCTAGATACACATTATTCTGATCAAATATTTGTTCCCATTGTTTTAGGAAATCGTCATTCACATTAATGATATAAATACAGGCGCAATTTTCTGGAACAAATTCTGGGAAAATGTTGTTCATAATGATAACAAATTTCGTAAAATCAAAGGATGCTTCTTCATATTCGGTACAATCAAATAATAAGTAATGTTTGGATGACCATATCCTAGTATACAGTTGTATTAGTTTGAAAACTACGGTTTCGAGCTCTACACCAAACTCTAGCAACTTTGCCATAGAAACAGTCAAGATAGGAACACCATCTGAAGCGAGTAATTCTCTGACAAACGTCTTATCTGAACCAATTTGTTTATATTTTTTAAATGCAAACCTACTCATAAATTCATATAGTTTTGGATATTCGGGACCCAGTTCCTTGATGTTTTCTGGGATTTCATTTTTATATTCAAATTTCGGTTCCCCTAGACGACCCAATGCTTCGTCAAACATTAATAACGTTTTTGATAAGAATGGAATATTATCTGTTAATTTAATATTAGATAAGATGCTCCTTCTAACATTTATACCATCTCTGTATATGTATTGATGGAAAAATCCATAATCAAATGGTATTGGATCACCATTCATTCTAACCTTGATATCTATTTCACGTTCTGGATTGCAAACATCTTGCAAAAAGCAAAACATTTTTTTGCTACATTCCTCAAAGAATTCCATTTTAGATTTAAGGATTGGCCATTTAATAAGGTAATCAGATTTATTAGCAAGACCTTGTATGCCTTTAGCTAAAGATAAGAGCAGTCTCTTTTGATGAACCGATGGAACACCTATAATATTTTCTGTTTCTGGACTGACTATAGCAGGACAAATCAACCTTAAGAATATGAACGACCCAACAGCAACCAAGCCATAGCCGGGAAATCTCTTTTGAGCTTCAATATAAATGGATTGCGAAATATAGAAAAATTCCTTGGGCATATCACCGATGGAGTTAACTATTACATCAATAATAGAGGCAAAATAGCGTACAAAAAGATCGATCTTCTCAGTTGCCTCTGGATCATCCGAATTAATTTTTTCAATTTCAACAGATTTGTTTTCGTCCATAATATTTTGTAAAGTCATTCTGAGAATGTTAATTAAATAGTGATAGCCTTTATCTTTGGCAAGCAATGCTAACGATCTAGTGGCACAACTGTTTCTTCTCAAAATATCAGATGGTCTTGTTGAATTTTTAATTTCATCCTTAATTAATTCTGAAATAATAATATGTGATGCATTCCTAGTCTCAAAAGCGTTCACCAAAACGGCTGTATATTGGTCAATATCATTCACTGGACATGATCTTGAACTGTAAATTGCAAGTTCGGAGTGCTGAATTGTGTATAATAGCATAGAGTCTATGGTATGCAAACGTTCTTCTTCTAGTTTTCTGTTATCAATTGGATATCTGGATAAAATATTTGTAAATACATTCAAAAAAGCGATCTTAATATTTTTATTATATGAATAACCCATTGGAAGAGTAAATTGTACACTAACTTCAGTGTTCGCCTTGGATATATTAGTTAAAGCTAAAATAACATTTTCATTCAGTAGCGTCATCTTGTGTTTCACGGTGACTGGACAATCTTGTAGATCCATACTCTTTTTTAAACCTTTTAGGAGAACGTTAAAGTATTTACCAAAGAAGACCACCTTAGATCTGTTCACCTCATCTGCAGACCCCGACCAAAGTACTTCAAGGGGAAGATTTTCTGTCAAGTAGGCGATGGCCTTGGAAGATTCAATTGCGGTATCAATATATAGGTAGTCCATATCTCTTGTTTCTAAATTCATTTCTCTATGAGGTCTGGCAAGGTTTTCTAAATCGTATTTTTTCTGGATTGACATACGGAACCATGATATTACCAATTTTAGCCATTTATTTTTTAAGCAATAATGATGTTTGATCGCAAGTGCCTCCTCTGATGTTTGGATTGCTTTGAACATCTTTGACATGTGAATCACAGATTTGTAATATTTTGGAGCGTTTGGATCCATATTTTTCACCACCACGATCAATCTATCAATAACATCAATGATATTGGTAGAATATACAATCATGATATCTCCAATGTCTTCTCTTCTTAATATTGTTCTAATGATGATAATAATTTGTTCTAACAAGACAAAAGACATTTCATTTTGTTTAGCACATAGATCGACATTAGTAATTTGATTAATATGGTTTCTTAAGTGGTTGAATAAAACATTTAGGGAATATGGATGTAACTCTAAACTGATAATATCTCTAGCATTTTCTCTGGTTAAAAGATCTACATTGTTTAGCCATTCACATTGTTTGCTGATAAAATAACTAAAATCATTTCTCAACGTGGCTACTACCTCATCGTAGTTAATGTAAGATGAATCTAGTTCATCAGCTACAGTTGCTGATATAGAGTTGCCACTGATTGTACGGAGGAAAACACCAGACACGGCTGATAGAATACCTGCAAGATTTCTAAACTCCCATAATTTCTTCCTATTTGTCTTCTTGTCGGATTTTGTGTAATGATACCATTTTTTGAACATTTTATCGACACAATCTAAAATAATAGCATCCGGCTTACTTCTCAGCATCAGAATAGCATTTCTTACACGCCTCTGGAAAGCAGTAGCACCAGAGGTTGCAAATGCATTGTCTTTCAAAATAAAATCTGATAGAGTGCATTCATCATTAAGTGCATCAGGATAATGTTCTTTATAGTTTTCAATCAATTTATGGAATTCAATATTGCCCGCAATAATTAGTTTCTGAACCTTTGGATCGTTGCAATAAAAGGAAATTAATAGGGCTCTTCCAACGGTACCATATAGAAGCGGAAATGTGGATGTTTGAACCTCAATGGCTGCAGCTTCAACTCCAGCACCTTGTGATGACTTCATTAAAGACGAACGCAGTTTCAGATATTTTATTAATATATCTAGCAAAATAGCACGCTGCTTATTCGAAAGATTTAGATTTAGCAACTCGACCGCAAACAAACTTGCTGTATGACTGCAAATCAACAGATAGCCTTTAATTGTCATAGCAGATTTGTTTGATCCATATTCGTTGATGTATTCTAATAAAACATTCATAAATAATTGAGCGCTTGAATGAAGGGCCTCATCAGCTTCCAAAACAGAAACAAAGACAGGTTTAATAATATTGTGGAAATCTTCCGCAACCCAATCCAGATTTGGATTCTTATCGTGAGGTAGGATGAAGTAACTTGTCATCCTCTTAAAGGTATTTAATATATTGATAGTGATCTGTTTACCGTAAAGGAAATTTGTGGTGGTCTTGATATCAACATCTTGCGCTGCTAAATTAACTTGGGAGGTAGATAGCTTCATGTTTGGTCCATTAGATTCCTCTGAATATCTTCTTAATCTCCCCAATGTTTGTTTAACTAACGGTTTAACATTTCTTTGTAATGGTGTAGACGTTGTGGAAGTCATTAATTGGGAAGAAATAGATGGTGTTTTAGAGCTATCACCCATCGATGTAAAATTATTTGTATCTGAGACATTTTCATTGGTATACATCGACAGTGGACTTTTGCTTCTGTTTAATGCATTTGGGAAAGCTGCCCTCCTTGCTCTGGGTGATATGATCTGACCTGTACTGGAGGTTAAAACACTACTTGAATCATTGGCAGTATTAATAGACGAGGATGCAGATCTGTGCATTGAATTAGGAGACCAATTTATTTCGATACCACCATCATCAATGTCTACTGCACTTTCAAAGGCTTGCAGTAAAGATTCGTCGGATGGAACATTGGAAGGGTATTTGGTCTTGCCGTTTAGAGCATTCCTTTTGATTCTCATCCCATTTTTATCAAGTATCGTCCCATTCAGGATAGCTGTAGCAATTTCAGTAATATCATCATCTAATGTGGATATATTTTTCAATGTAGCCTCTGAACCTAAGCGGAAAGATGATTTAAAGAAAGAAGATGTCTTGTACGCTATGTCTTTTTTCACTGGTTCCGGAAGAGGTAAACTGAAAAATACTCTAAAACTTTCAGTGTATAAATTGATTAATTGAAGATTCTGTGTATCCAAACATTTTTGCATATTTAATGATTTCATAAATTTATCATTTTCTAATTGTAAAGCAGCTGTAATGTATGTAACTTGTAATTGGAAATAAGAGAAAGCATTTCTTTGTAAACAATCTTGCAAAATATTGTTCGTTGAAATTCGTTTATCCCATCCATCACCAATATGGAGGTTAATACCCAATATCTGAGTTATTCTCTTAGAAAAAAGTACTGCAGGCAAATTTGGTTTATATTTGGCAACAGATGCACTTAATGAATATAAGGAAATTATTGACATGATCGAATCAAACTGAGCCAGCTCAGATGACGGAGTCACTTCTGTAATGTTCTTAATTATTAAATCGACATATTTAATAGTCTTCTTTCTTGAAAGTTGTAGAGCTTTCAATCTTCTTAATCCCGATGTAAAATGTTTCATATGCAAATTTCGATCTCTATCGATATGCGGTGCACTTTCATCCTCTTTGGTAGATGAGGAAATTTTATCCTTCGATTTAATTTCTTCAATATGTTTGAATGATTGTGTATTGATTTCTGTAAATACTTCGGTGTCCAACATTAATAATGTAGTCAAAAAATTTAAAACTGCTGTATGTGGTAATGATTCATTGTCACTGAAATGATTGTATAGATCTAGTATATTTTCCACATGGATGACATCAGTTTGTGTAATGTCCTTAGTGTCTTCCATTGTATTCAAAGCGTGTATGTGAGACATATCATTCACCAAGCTATTTGATGAGGCACTGCCACTTCCAGTTGCAGATGTACTCCTTGAGTAAATACTTTCGTTGGCACCACCATTTAAGGAGCTACTAATACTAGGATTGCTAGAGTTATAGTTTGAGTTAGAAATCTCACGCCTTGATTCATTAACAGATGCCAAGTTGTTCAAGGTCACCCGTGACCCTGAATTATAAGTATCATAATTGTTGTTGTTATTATTATTATTTGATGGTATTCTGCTCTGGAAATATTGATTAATGTCTGTTGAAGAATGTTTTGGAGAGTTCAGTAAAGATAATGCAGTAATGGTTGGAGTATTTGATATGATTGGTGATTGTCCAGATTTTGATAAAGGAGTGATATTCCCACTGTTCGATGACGATGACCGTCTCTTTTTTAAAGTGTCTGGTCGACGTAATTTATCTTGTTCCACGCTGTTTAATGAAGTGGAAGATGAGGATGTAGAGGATGAAGATACGGATGCAGATGCGGACGATGGTGATACAATAGGAATATGATTTGAAGTGTTACGAGTTGATAGTAATGATGATGTTGCGTATGCTGATGTCGAGGTTGAAGTCGATGATGCCGATGATGTAGGTACTGTGGCAGATGTATTATTGTTATTGTTATATGAAGTATCCGATGCTCTAGTCAAAGGAATTGACGATAAATTATGAGTAGCTGTCAGCATATTACTCACGTTGAATGATGAATATACATCATCGAATAAGTTGTTTACCGAAGTACTCAATGCTCTCATTGTTTGATCCTGTTTTGTTAGATTATAACTCTTCAATTTTTGATAAGTTTGTAAATATTCCGCTGGTCTTGCCATTATCCAAAACAATAGAGTGCTGGAGGCAAAATATAATACCAAATGACTAAACACTGGTCTTTTCATGTTGTTTAAAAATGTCACTAGATCCAAATATCTCGATATGATCTTTTCATCCAAATAGACGTAACCTATCAATTCTACATTCTGCACATATTTCATATCACTTGAACTGGAGGGGTTCATTGTCAGTGGTTCCTTCAGATTTTTATTTATAAAAGTCAAATATTGTTCAGGGTTTGTTGCTGATGAAAACCTTAGTAGACGACCTAATGCAATATCTATCATTGCCAAAATCTTGTGATCTGTCCTTTTCCTTAAGAAAGATTGATACTCCGGTAATATCTTTTGGAAGATTGTATTATTTGATGTTGAAAATAGATGACTACACATATTCTTCATAACTTTCAAATTTCTTACATGGGATCTTAATTTCAAACAAGTTTCCATTAATCTGTTTGCGATATGTTTCTTTAATGGTACAGGTGAAGTTTCATGAAATCCTGGTTCTACAATCGAATACCCAATTGCAGAATTTGCAAAAATCTTATTTTGAACGTCTATGTATATATCGCTATTGTCACTATTGCTTTTATTCTGATTGGTTTTATAAACTTCATAGGATTTCATCTTTGGAACTGTACTTGATTCCAAATGGTCCCAATAATATTCCACTACATCACATAATAATCTTAATAGGACCAATATTGAATGGATCGATCCTGTGGAAATCTTAGATGAAATGATTCTATGATCTTTAGTGATCATATCTATTGCATTTAAAGTGTTTTCAATGATATCATTAACGTTTGATGAGATTGCAATATTCATAATCACTGATCTACAAGAGATATACAACTGATCCTTCTCAACATCTAAATACGTTTCAAAATGGGACTCCACTGGTAGCATTGGGTATATTCTCTCCAGGTACAAATGGTTCACTAGTGGAACATTCCCATCATTACTATTATTATTGTGATCTTCTTGTTGCTCGTTCCTTTCGTGAGCGTTTTCCGTTGTAGACATATTTATGTTCAATTATTTTGAAAGTGTTGCTTGTTTGGTAATGCAAAAAATAGAATATGCTTATATCTTGTTACTTAATCGAGTTATTAATCTTGTGGAAATACTAGGAACGATGAAAGTAATAAAGCAAAGACAAAAAAAAGTAGTGTACTAAGACACTGGTTTGGTTTTTTTTCTAATTCTTTTTCACTTAACGTTGTATGTAACCTCTCACTAATTAAGCTATACTATACTATATATATTAACCGTTGTTGTAGTTCTCTATATATCAAGATAATGGTAGTAGTCATTTTTGACAAACAAATTTGCTTAACTAATTCTGGTGTAGTCCCTCTAGCTGTGTTAATTTGTATATTATATCATATTGCCTAACAAAAAATTTTCGTTTATTTTCCTCGCAGTGAGAAAATAAGAAGTGCTGCTGTTTCTGCGCTTCCTGTCTCGTTTCTTTTATCTACAGTGCGACCCTTTCCAACTGCAACAACTGTTGGCAATAGGCAGAGAGAGACAGAGAGAAACGGTATCCATCATTTGGTATTCTCGTTGTGGTAGTTGTTGCTGGAACGGGTTGGTAGATAGACCACCGAGTATGGAACTCGAATGGGATGTGAGGTGAGGGCTGCAAGTAACGCAAAGATTTGGCCGTTTTGGCTGCATGCCTGCGTACTGTTCTTTATTTACGTTCTTGCATGCAGCAAGGTTTTATACCAGTGGAACAACTTATATTATATATATATATGGTTGTTCCGGTACGTGATTTGCAAAGTAGGCACTCATATATATATATATGTATATGTCTATGAGTATATTTATGTATGCTACGTATATATGTATGCTACTATTTGAGTTGTCCTCGTAACTTCTCATTGATACGTTCAAGTCTCGGAAGGATACCTTGGTGTGGATCTAATAACTTTATCACGGTATCTAATTTATCGACAGATTTGAAATCAGTATTGTTCCCTGATGGTTGGGTATTAAGTTTCTGCGATAATTGCTTCAAATTTTTGTTCAATTGCAATCTTTCATCTAGTTGTATTTGTTCTTGTTTATTCTTATGCCAATATTCTTCATTTGTCATCACTTCAGTGATTTGACTTTTAATTTTAATTAATTCTAGGTTCAAGCTTTCTTTACGTCTCATGACACGCTTTAATTCCGTTAATAGTCTATTGTTAGCAGAATCAATATCCTTAATATCCCGAAGATCATTGTTCATACCATTTAATATCTTTTCAAATATTTTAAGATCTAATTTATACATCATCCGACGTACAACATCATGTTCATCCTTGTCAAAATCCAGATGTGCCTTTTTCATTAGATTATCTCGAAACAAGAAGTGGATCAATCTTTGTAACGTATCGATCCCTTTTAACGTTTGATCAGAGGTCATAAGTTGTTTATTCGTGTTGCCATCAAATGTTATCATTTGGTTACCAAGTGGATTCCGTTGGAATTTACTTCGTGGTGGGAGTCGGGATGGTACAACAAGTTCCTTAATATGATCATTAGTCAAATTTATTTGGAATCCATTGTTATCGTTGGCATTATAGTCGTAATCATCTATTGGAGGTAATGCTTCTTCTGTTTCTTGTGGTGGCATATCCATAGGATCCATCGGTATATGTGGCGGTGGTGGTGGCGGTAATGAATCCATACGAGATCGCTTCAACGGTGGCTCTCCCGTAGAGTCATTACGATATGTATCTATTATATTGTATGTATCGGGACTGTCTGTAAGTTTCATAGGAGTCCGGATCACTAATACATTATCCTCATCAATGGTCTTTCTTAAGTTAGATCCTCTCTGTCTGTACAGTATTCTTGTATCTCTGTTCATCATCGTCATCATTCACTGCTACACTGATTTTGTAATGTTCTCTCTATCTCTCTCAATGTCTCTCTCGCATTCACTGTATTATTAATATCAATCTGTTTATATATATATGTAGTCTTACTATTAGATAAAAAGGTAAACAAAATTGTTTGTTATTTTTCAGTTGCCGCGTCTCACTATTTTTAAAGGTCCATCGCCATATTTTGTTAGTATTAAAGTTCTTTCAGCTTATGACACTGTAGAATTGTGACGTCTGATAATGTTCAAGGGGGAGTAACGACGTTACCTTCTTTTGTTATTACTTAGTATATATGTGTGTATTGTAGATGGATCCTTGAAATTTTTACACTTGTGTTTTACCTTGTCTGGTTAAAGTAATTCACTTTTTCTTTTGTAATATTCCATCATTAGGGACTCATCCATAATGAACATTCCACAACCACCTAATTTTACAATACAAACTTCTTCGGACCCGCCACAGACTCTATGGATGGGAGATTTGGATCCACGATATGAAGAAAGTACAATACAATTCATTTGGAAGTATTATAACAAATCTGTAAAAGTTAGATTAATTCGTTCCAAGAAGAATCAATTGATTCCATGTACCTCTACAAACAAACAACCGGACTTACAAGATGGTTCAATCCATGTCAATGGAATGGAATTTTGGGATTCCAGCATAACACCACTACATCATGCAGGATATTGTTTTGTTGAATTTGAAACAACCAATGACGCAAAATATGCTCTATCATTGAATTCATTACCAATACCGAACATGTGGTTTGAAACAGAGACAAACAACAACGACCAAAGTGGGTATATGACCAACCCCAAATTGAGAAGAACATTCAGGTTGAATTGGGCTTCTGGTGCCACTTTACAATGTGGTGTATCATTAACGCCTGAATATTCTTTATTTGTAGGACATTTATCACCCACAGTGACAGAAGCAGACTTGGTAACTTTGTTTCAAATGAAGTATGAAAGTGTAAAGACCGCCAGAGTTATGACGGACCCCTTGACTGGTGAGTCCCGGTGTTTTGGGTTTGTTAGATTCGATAACCCGCAGGATAGAGACAATGCATTGACAGAAATGTCAGATATATATTTACAAGGACGGTGTATAAGAGTCTCCACAGCGTCAGGCAGATCCTCCAATCATTTCCCAGAGCCTCCTGGGTCACCAAGTGCCCATTCAATGTCGCCTTCGTCCCCTTTGTCTCCATTACAGCCCAATATCCCAATGCTATTACCAACTAAATCTCAAGCGTCAATAGGACTGTCTCCAGAGGAAGAATACAAGATATCAGTTGCTACAGCCCAACCATTATTGATGCAAACTGCAATGCAACTGGTTCAACGACAACGACAACAATCCATAGAAAAAGGGTTCGTTGGCAGAAATGGGGAAGGGCCAAGTAAGAACACCACACTATTCATCGGTGGCCTAAATAGAGATATCGCGGAATGGCAAGTCCAGTTATTATTCAGACCATTTGGCAATATCTTTTCTATTAGAATCCCACCCTTACGTGGTTGTGGGTTTATTACATATTTCAATCAGTTAGATGCACAGGCTGCAATGATTGGAATGCAAGGTTATGTAGTGGACGGACATCGAGTAAGACTCGCATGGGGGAATACACCTATTGCAGACTTTCCAGAGTACGAAGATATTGTTAATTTATTAGGAGCCACTTTAGAACGAAGATATTAAAAATATGATTTTAATCTTCTAATCCTCTCTTGCAGTCACATGAAATTTCGCCTGCCTGTCTCTTTCCCCCATTTATCTTCTAACTTACACACTTTCCACAAATAATTTTTCAGTCATCAGAAAAAAGGTTCAACTCATATATGAATATATAAAGGACGTATACAGAACAATAACAAACAAACAAACATATATCTCTATATGTCATCACGTATTCTTCTTGTCTAAGTAGATAACCAGTACGAACTATATTATTATTTTTTACGAAGAATGTTATCTTTACAATTAGCTCACAGATTAGAGAACCGTCATGTTTTATTGATTGGTGCAGGTGATGTTGCAGTAACAAGAATCCCCAAATTGCTACCCACAGGTTGTAAATTAACTATTATTTCACCAAGTCTTCACGACAAGATACGAGCCACTTTCCCATCAGAATGGCACGATGGTATTCCGTTGGGTGGGGTGATCACAAATGAACATTGGAATAGTCAAATACAACAGAGTTATCGGGTGGTAAACGATACTTACAGACAAGAACAACTCGATTTGGAACCAGCTTGGTCCCTGATATTAGTATGCATCAGTGATCATGACGTCTCTAGACAAATATATGAAGATGTTGTTGCGAAATATGGCTCTGCACAAATGATCAATGTAGCAGATGTCCCGCCACTATGTAACTTCTATTTCGGTGCAAATGCTACATTGGCACAGGGTAGATTGCAAATACTAGTCTCCACCAACGGATTAAGTCCTCGGTTTAGTGCTTTGCTAAGAGACGACATTGAACAAAGATACGATTCACAAGCTGGACAACTTGATCTGGCCATTGACAAGCTGGGCCAATTGAGATCCAGAATCAGAGTAATTGCGTGTAACACAAACGACGTGGCATTCCGTATGAACTGGGTGAAACTAGTCACAGATAGGTTTGGTCTAGCGTACTGTCATGTCATGGATGTAGAGAAACTGAGCCATTTGTTCACTCAGATGTACAACGACGCAACACTGCAGACAGTAACACCCGTAGCAGTCACAGACAGCGACCTCCCCTCCCACGACTACATGTTGCAACACTATTCCCAACTGTAAGTAAACGATATAACCTCTCTTTATATATGTTTCTATATCTCATCTTGAATATATTCAAATGAACCTGCCTCCCCATGCTTCCCCACGCCCAAAAGAAGGGGCAAACGAAATATTTGCGGCGACGAGCGAGAAAGCAAAGCAAAGGAAAGGGGGGGGGAAGTTAGAGGGGAGGAAGGAAGCAAACTAAGAACAATATCATCAACATCAACAACAAAGGAAGGTCGATGGAGCTTTGCTACTCCTCTGTGATTACACCCCCTCTTGGTCTTGTGCAATAACGTTTTCCAGGAATATATACATATATATATGTATATATGTATATGTATATGTGTTTGTCCATTGTGATCTACTACATCTAACTTTACAACTGCATTATTTTTAGTGATCATTCTTGCCCTCCCCTAAGTCACCCATCCGCATTACAATATGTCGAACCAGAACAACTCAAACTTAACTACCCCAAGTCAGGGGAACTCCACTAACGTCTCCAGACATGCCTCCATCGTGGAGATGCTGTCCACTCCACCTTCGGTCCAGCCAATAGGAACTACTGGATCTTCCAACGCAGCCGGTGTTGGAGCTAACGTAGGTGGTGGTGGTCCAACGATCAACTTCCAAAACTACTCAATGGGTGGTAATGGTGTCGATGAACAAGTCGTTGAAGAAGAAGACGATGAGGCTATGGATGAGGCTGTGCCGTTAGAGAAGACTACTTCTCAAAAGACCTCTCAGACTATAACGACTGAACATAATCAACAATGGCAATTCATCAAATTATCTCAATTAATTGAACCTAAGAAATTGATCTTCATCCCTGCTTCAGCTTCTGTAGAAGAATCTTTTAACACTTTGGTAAAACACCATTTGAATTCTATCCCTGTAGAGACGGTTCCAGGGGATATGAATTGTTTAACTTTTGATTATAACGATTTAAACTCATATCTGTTACTCGTCCTAAATAAAATTACCATTGAAAATAAACAGATCATGGAAGATTGTCAAAATGGGAAACCTGTCCCAGTAGGTGAAATTGTTAAATTGACTCCAAAGAACCCCTTCATTAAAATTGCAGAAGATGAAACTTTATCTGCAGTAATGGGTATCCTGGGTTCAGGGGTACATCGTGTAGCAATCACCAATAATGAAATGACAAAAGTGAAAGGTATTTTGTCCCAACGTCGTTTAATTAAATATCTTTGGGATAATGCAAGAAAATTCCGTAATTTGGAATCTTTATTTAATTATACTTTACAAGATTTGAAAATTGGTGTCTTGAATTCAAATGCAAAACCAACCTCTAGACAATCCCGTGTCATTTCAATCAATGGTGAAGAACCTTTGATCATGGGTCTATACAAGATGTTCATGGAAAGAATCTCATCTATTGCAGTCGTTGATAATCAATACAATTTGATCGGTAATATCAGTGTCACAGATGTCAAACATGTTACCAGAACCTCACAGTATCCATTATTACACAAGACTTGTCGTCATTTCATCTCTATTATCCTAAACTCAAGAGGTTTAGAGACAGGTAAGGATTCTTTCCCAATTTTCCATGTCTATCCAAATTCCTCTTTAGCAAGAACTTTAGCAAAATTAGTTGCAACAAGATCTCATAGATTATGGATTGTTCAACCACCAGAGTCTGCACAAAATTCTAACATGTCAGTTTCATCATCTCAGGATTCTCAACAACAACAACCTGGCGGTCCTCAAATCGGAGATAGCTCTGGTCCTCAGACACATCACAACTCACATACTCATTCTCATCCACATTCACATGGATCCAATGCTAATAAATCACCTTCACCACTATTGACCGCAGTAGATGATCCAATTGCGCCATCAATTCCACAATCAGGAGTAGCAGCCTCGGCTGCTGCTGCTGCTACTTCGTCACCTAACCTGTTCGAAAAAGAATACCGTACCGGTAAGCTTATCGGCGTTGTATCATTAACTGACATCATCAGTCTATTTGCAAGAAGACAAACCGAATTCACTCAAGTAGATCCGCAGACAGCAAGAAGACAAAGAGGTAGTATTGTGTAAGGAAGATTAAAGAAACAATAATTTTGTTGCTGTTGTCGTTTTTGTTCTGTGCAAGTGGAATACAATCACCTCCACTTTTTTATACTGTACACAAATCAATTTTGAGAACTTATTCTGAATACATTTTGTCCATCTCTAGAACTGTTTTTTTCTTTATATAATTAGTATACTTATTATCTTTAATTATCATTATCATTATTTTATATACATATATAAGTATCTTCATCATAAATAGAATTGAAATCTGTTAAAGAATAATTAAAGACAAGAACAAAAAAAATATACTGAGATCGCATATAAGAAAATATATAAACGATTTTAAAGAGATAAACAAGCAAATCAACAAATCAACAAACAAGATAAAGAAGCAAAATAACAGTAACTGAATATGGCTAACTCGGATCAGGAAGGTACGTTCTAGAATTATTATAACCTATTTTAATTTGTATTAATTTATTTCTGTTCTATGGACAAATATACTAACAAACCACAGTCATAGTAATCGATGATTCAAACGATCAGTCACCTAAAATAGCAACACCAAAGGTGGATACACCAAAGGTGGATACACCAAAGGAGATAACTTCTAAACCAGCTACTTCAAAAGCGTCAACTCCTAAGGTTGCTTCGCCAGTTACTTATAACCCTATTTCTAACGCGATTACCTCACATATACAAGCATCTCAGAAGAGTTCACAACCAAAGAAAACAGTAGAGACGTCTAAGAAAATGCCAAATATTGCACAAGAACTAGCAATGAATAGGAATAACGCAAGAACTTTATCGCCTGGGGCTCCAACCTTTTCATCTTCACCGATAATTAAACCTTTAGTGGAAACAGTGGTATCTAGTTCAACGACGAAAGATGATGAGAACCAAACAAAGGTAAAATCAAAACCAAAACCTAGAAGTAAACCAAAATCAAAACCAAAACAAAAGCAAATTTCAACGAAAAAGATAACATCAACATTTATTACCAAGCCAGAAATAAATGAACCTTCTTCTCTCATGAGACAGGTGAAAATATCTTCGCTTCTATCATCAGATGAATTAAAAGTTGAGAATCCTACTTCGAGTTCAAAGGACTCGCCATTGATATCCTCACAGTCAAGTGTTTCGAAACTACTATCAACCCCCGAAAATATTCTGTCTACGTCTACTGCTATCCAAAAGAATGCCCCGTCAAACATAGTGCCATCCGTAAAGAAACCAACTACCTCTATTGCTCCTAAGAAATCACCTACATCAGTAACGAGTGGATCTCTTCAATCATCTACTACTGTTCCCAAAAAGAAAACTGTTACTGTAAGCAAACCTGTGTTGAAGAGAACTAAGAGTAATACTACAGCATCCGGTTCCAACCAAACATCTGGCCCGACGTCTAAGAAGAGTTTTACTTCTGGTGCTAGTAAAGCTTCTAAATCTAAATCTGCAACTTCATTAGACTCTATGAAGAAGAAGACGACAATTAAAAAGACCACAGATAATACTGATAAGAAAAAATTGGCGGATGGCTCTGCTACTGCCTCTCTTACAACTGCGAATCAAAGTCCTCCGGAGCACTCAAAATTGACCTTACCTCCAACTATCGATGTCCCTAACCTACTTTCTACGATCCCTTCAAAGTCTAAACAAAATAACGATAAAAATTCAACGATTTCTGTTGTCAATATTCCGTTGTATTCGACATCATCTAACGAATATCTTGATGAAAATGGAACTGTAACGTTTAATTTATTTAAGATATTGAAGGGAAATGAACCAAAACTTGACTCTAAAAGTGAGATGGAACTGAAACGTAAAAGATTATTAGACGAAGAGATAGAGGCAAAGGAAGCAATCACGGATATGGATGATGATGACGATATGGAGAACAATGATGATACGGAAAAGTCAGACGAACAACCTAAGAAAAAAGCACATCCTATGAAAGGTAAAAATCTTATCGGTAAATATGATTTCGAAGATCCATTTATTGATGATTCGGAAATGTTATGGGAAGAACAACGTGCTTCGACCAAGGATGGATTTTTTGTATTTTTTGGACCATTAATAGCAAAAGGACAAGCAGCTAGTTTTGAAAGAGCAGACGGGACTATGAAGAGAGGCGGCATAAAGAAATGAATTAAATATGCCTTCATATATGTATACCTGTTATGGTATCAAAAAATGGACTATTATAAGGTATGTATAAGTTTACTAAAAAATATTACATATAGTACATAAAAAGTTAATAATATATTACGTCGAATAAATAATTATCCATTATTTAGATGTTATTTTTCTTTCTCTAAGGTGTTGAGAGCACACCCAAGTTCTTTTTCAAATGACACTAATAATTTCTTATCCCACTTACTCTTAACTGATTTCATGAAGTCTGAATAATTTGTCACCAAATTGATGTCTGTCTGTTTACGATCTGGAGAAGCTGCAACCTTCATAGCATCCAATGCTAATTTGTCTATTATTTGCATTCTTTTCTTATTTAATTGAATGAAAGGGATCTCTTCAATGTCTAAAGATTTCATCTTAGCAATTAATTCATCTGTGTCATTTTTCTCGTCCTTCTTCTCATCGGTAGATATCACTTTTTCATTTCTTGACCTAGTTTTCATTATAAGATCACTTAACATCACCAGAACAGCAGATTTACCGTGAGGATATGGGAAATTCTTTAAAGTCTTTGTAATGAAAGAAAATGCTATATCTTCCTTTATCAAACAAAGAAGACGAGTCATTAATGTGAAATTAACCATTCGCATTTTACTATTAGTCTCCAAACAATTTTTCAATAATAATGTCTTTAATAGTACTTCAATAACGTACCCTTGAACCCTTGATAATTGCTCTTTTAATGCTGAACATGAATTGTGAGTTAAACTGACCCATAACCAGTAGCGACCAGTAGATTCAGTGTTCGTATTTTCATAAACTGGTGAATAAAATGATCTTGTTGTGAAATTCAAATATAGGAATATGGCATCATCTAACGATATTTCTGGTAATAAATGTTCACCATATTCTAAGTAATGGATACCTGATAATGATACAATACCTTCTGGAGCCATATATAATTTTTTACCATGTGCCAATTTCTGTAAAGCATATGAGTAAGAGAGTTTAAATACTACTTCCGATATGACATTTCTTGCTTCATCTGATGTTATTTCTTCATCTGGTGGTAAAGCTTGATATACTCTCTTGGATTCATTTAAACAAGTGATAAATTCTTTTTTCATATCGACGTCGACAGATAAAGCGAAGTTATAAAACCTACTTTGGCATTCAAATAGAGATTCATAATAATCCATAGATTGGTAAGGCATTCCACTAACTTTGCAAAAATATTTCGTTTCGCTTAACATTGCAGTATGTCTCAAACAACTGGATATAGAAAAGGTAGATAATCTTCTTAATAATTTCACTTGTAAGTCCTTTTCGTTCTTAACTATTTCATCTAATTGTTCTTGAGTTAAAGCTCCTTCTTCTTTCGTATCAACTTTTGCTAATACATCTTTAGGTACCTCCAATGGAACATAGAATGCACAGAAGCTATGAATACGACGCATCAATAAATTTGGATCTTGCATTTGGTCTGCAGTATGTAGGAGCATATTCTCAGTTGCAGTTACAACCAGACTCAAATATTTGGATGGGTACAAAGTACTAATACGTTTCAAAGTAGCACCAATCATTTCAAAAAGAATGTAGACTTTAAACCCGATAAAAAAGTCACCGGGGACCCTTTCGTAACTGACTTGTTGAAACTGAGAATCTTGTTCTGCCTCATCTTCTGTATCTATTTCGTACTCATCTTCTTCCTCATCAGAACTATCGATTTCTTTCTTTTCTTGTTTTGATTCATCAGCTTCAAATGCAGCGACCTCCTCGTCGTAGTTTAAGGATCCGAGTAATTCACAGCCAGTGTCCAAGGTTTCCTTTGGTAAACCACCAAGAGCAATCGAATTGAAACCAAGGATAATCGCAGTGGCAATCTGATCGTAACGTATAGATTTACGTATATCCACATTATTCTTGTTTAAAAATTTCATTAATTGGAATGGTAAATCCCAGCCAATTTGAGCCAAGATTTCTTTGTTATTCTCCAACAATTCTAACAAAGTTAAAAGAAATAGCCTCTTTTGAACTAATGAAACAGAATTAGCGCTGACCTTATCGACAAAGATTTCTATTATAGTCATAATAGCAACTGGGTCGTTCTCTTCGGACTCAAAGGCTTCCTGTAATTCCTTGCATATTTTTTTGACATTCAACATGTCCCCTATTTTCTGAATAGATGTGGCTTTTTCTTCTTGCTTAAAGTATCAATCTCTGTGGACAATTAGTTGTAAGATGATAGCGATATGAGGATTAAATCTTGTTGATATTTCTTTCTTTCTAGTAAAAGTTTTTATTTCAACTATATCAAATTGTTCAGCCAACCCATTCTTGTTCCTCCCTCAATCGAACTTTATTATGATTACTTCGCTGAAATTTTCAATTGCAAAACCGAAAAAATTTCAATCGGCAAAATGCGGCAAATTGATCAATTTCGGATTTTTTTGGCTTATATCATTACCACACCAACAACGAGGCACTATGGGTCCCAATGATTCATCTGTTGGTATTATCAACAGAATGGTTAGCTTTTTAGAAGTAGATATGCAACGACTTTGACCCTGGAAGGTCAATAGATTCGGTTTATGAAGGTAAAGGTGTATTTTTCATATGGTAAACTAACCAGAGCATTTTCTCAAGGAACTAAATTAGTGTGATAATGGACGTATAGTTAATTGCACCCGTCCATTCTTACCTACCCTTAAAAACAGAAGATTAAAATATGAGCAGAATAATTACAAGCGAAAGTGATACTGATAATGATACCGATTCTTCTAGGTCTTCAACTTTATCTCAATCATCTCACTCGAGCTCCTTAAGAGATGGCAACCGTCAGCTTAGCGTTATCGATTATTCTCCTTCCATTACTATGGAACGGAAATTGGAACATTATACCAGGAAACTATCTCAGGTTGGTCTCGGTGAGAAAGAGGATAGTTCCGTAAGTTCTGATAGTGAACTTATTTCTAGTAATCATCAAGTGTTACTTGACGATGAGGAATCTCTAGAGAAAGTACAAATTAAGTTTATACCTATTGGATCAATTTCTTCAATGGTACCGTCAGTGTTTAAGATTTCACAAGGTCAACCATTCTCAATGATCCTAGCATTTCTTACGAAGAAGTTGAAAATACAGTATGTACATTGTTATATTAATAATTCATTTGCACCAAGTCCCCAACAGAAAATAGGTGATTTATGGAAGCAGTTCAAAGTTAACGATGAATTAATAGTTAGTTATTGTGGTTCTGTAGCATTTGGCTAAAAATTATGTACATCTATATAAAGCATTTAGTGTTGAGTACCATTATTATTACTATTATTGTTATTAAATTAAATTAAAAGGTGGACATAAAAAGATTATACATATATTTGAATGTAGATAGAAAGAAACTTCCAATTTCAAACTTGTTATTTGTACAAATGATGGGAAGTGACATGTTGGAAATGAATGAAATTTTAATCTTTCTTCTCGGCTGGAACTTCTTCTTCCAAGACAACCAATAGGTCTGATGCTTCGACGTTTTCGTCGTTATTGATTAGAACTTCTTTAACTAGACCATCGGCAGAAGAAGAGATAACCATCTCCATCTTCATGGCACTTAGGACAGCAACTGGTTGACCCTTCTTGACCAAAGAACCCTTGTGGACCTTGACTTCGACAATAACACCGGCCATTGGAGCACCGATTTGTAATGGGTCATGGTTGTCGGCCTTTGGCTTAGAGATAGTTTGGATTTGTTGGGAGTTGTCACTAACACGGATCTTTCTCAATTCACCATTCAATTCGAAGTAGACTTCTCTTGTACCGGTTTCTTTGTTTAAGTCACCAATGGCTTGTAGTTTCATGATTAGAGTCTTACCTTGTTCAATAGTAACTTCAATTTCTTCGTCAATGACAGCTGGAGCCAGGAAGTTCTTGGTTGGTAGAACAGATAAATCACCGTACTTTTCTCTCATCTTTTGGAAATCTTCGTAAACCTTTGGATACATGTTGTAAGAAGCGACGTCACATTCAGTGATATCACCAAATCTAGTCTCTAGGTCTTCCTTGATGGAAGCTAGATCAAATGGAGCCAATTCTAGACCTGGACGGGTAGTCAACTTTCTTCTCTTGTTTCTTAAGACATCAGATCTTAATGGTTCTGGGAAACCACCGTATGGTTGACCAATTAAACCTTCGAAGAAATCCATGATGGAGTCTGGGAAATCCAAAGTGTTAGCTAAACGTTTAACGTCATCGGATGTCAATTTATTAGAGACCATGAATTGAGCCAAGTCACCGACAACCTTAGAAGTTGGAGTAACCTTAACGATGTCACCTAATAGATGGTTAGCTTCTCTGTAAGCTCTCTTAGTTTCAGCCCATTGTTCACCTAGACCCAACTGTTGGGCTTGGAATAGCAAGTTAGTTAATTGACCACCTGGAATTTCATGTTCGTAAACTTCTGGATCTGGACCCTTTAAGTCAGCCTCGAAACAGGAGTATAACAATCTCATTTCAGCCCAGTAAGCATCTAGTTCACGAGCATTTTGTTCAGTGACACCAGTGTCAATTAGACCATCTAAGGAAGCCAATAGAGCGTTGATGGAAGCTTGAGAAGTCATACCAGACATAGAGTTGATGGCAACATCAACGACATCTGCACCAGCCAAAGCACATTGAGCCATGGAGGCAACAGCAGTACCAGCAGAATCATGAGAATGGACATGAATTGGTAAGTTTGGATATTTAGCTCTTAGAGAACCAATCAACAATTTAGCGGCAGCAGGTTTCAAAGTACCGGCCATATCCTTAATACCTAGGATATGAGTACCCATGGCCACGATCTTATCAGTGATTTCTAGGTAGTAATCCAAGTTGTACTTCTTACCAGGTTGTAACATGTCACCTGAGTAACAGATAGTAGCTTCGACAACACCACCAGCCTTCTTAACTGCATCAACACCTACCTTCAATTGTTCCAAATCGTTTAAGGCATCGAAGACTCTGAAGATATCAACACCATTATCCTTTGCTTGTTTGACGAAATGGTCGATAGCATTATCAGGTAAAGAAGAATAAGCAACACCGTTAGCACCTCTTAATAACATTTGGAATGGAATGTTTGGAACTAATTTTCTTAAAGTCTTTAAACGTTCCCATGGATCTTCATGTAAGAATCTCATGGCAACATCAAATGTAGCACCGCCCCAACATTCTAGAGCGAAAGCACCAGATAGAGCGTGAGCAGTAGTTGGAGCAATGGCAGCCAAATCGACAGTTCTTACTCTTGTGGCCAATAGGGATTGATGAGCATCTCTCCAAGTAGTATCCATTAATAAAGTACCGTTGAAGTTTCTAACTTGTTTAGCAAATTCTTCTGGACCTTCTTCTAATAGGACTTGTCTCCAACCACTTGGTGGTGCAGTAGAAACATTGATAATGTTTCCTTCGGAGTCATGAATATGTGGAACATCTGGGTTTTTCTTTAATTTAGGTAAACCAATTTGACCCTTGATAGAAGAACCATTAACAGCCAAATCAGCCAAATAATGTAATAATTTTTGAGCTCTGTTTTGAGATGCAACCATTTGGAATAATTGTGGAGTGTCATCGATATAAGTAGTCCAATAATCACCACTAATAAAGACAGGATGAGTCAATAAAGTTAATAAAAATGGAATATTAGTCTTAACGCCTCTAATTCTAAATTCAATTAAAGAACGAATCATCTTACGACGAACAATTTCATAAGTGGAACCAGAACAAGTACATTTAACCAACATGGAATCATAATGAGGAGAAATGACAGCACCCGCATAAGCGTTACCACCATCTAATCTAACACCATTACCACCAGAAGATCTATAGACTTCCAATCTACCAGTATCAGGTTGGAAATTTTTAGAAGGATCTTCAGTAGTGATACGACATTGAATGGCAAAACCTCTAGTAGTGATTTTATCTTGTAATAAACCTAATTGAGGTAAAGAAGCACCAGCAGCAATTTGAATTTGTGCGGCAACAACATCAATACCAGTAATTTCTTCAGTAATAGTATGTTCGACTTGAATTCTTGGATTAATTTCAATGAAATAATGTCTATTTTGATCATCAACTAAAAATTCAGCAGTACCTGCATTTCTGTAACCTGCCACTTTAGCTAATTTAACAGCATCTGTTAGGATAGCGTTTCTAACATCGATTGGCAAAGTTTTAGCTGGAGCCACTTCAACAACTTTTTGATGTCTTCTTTGAACAGAACAATCTCTTTCGAATAAATGAACAACATTACCATAATTATCAGCTAATAATTGAACTTCAATATGTTTTGGTTTATTTAAGAATCTTTCAACAAAACATGTACCATTACCAAAAGCGGTTTTAGCTTCAGAAGTAGCACGTTGGAAAGCATCAGCAATATCATCACCTTCTCTAACGACTCTCATACCTCTACCACCACCACCAAAGGCAGCTTTAATAATAACAGGATAACCATATTGTTTAACGAAATCCATAGCTTCTTCAACAGATTCAATTGGACCTGGGGTACCTGGAACTACAGGAACATCAGCTTTACCAGCCAAATTTCTTGCAGAGACTTTATCACCAACGGAATCAATAACTGTTGAAGGTGGACCAATCCAAGTAATACCAGCTTGAGCTACTTTAGCTGCAAATTCTGAATTTTCTGATAAAAACCCATAACCTGGATGAATAAAATCAACTTTATGTTTTTTGGCAATATTAATAATTTCATCAATAGCTAAGTATGCACCAACTGGAGTATATTCACCTTTTTCACCTATAACATAAGCTTCATCAGCTTTTAATCTATGAGTAGCTAAACGATCTTCATGAGAATAAATTGCTACAGTACGCATAGATAATTCATGAGCAGATCTAAAGATTCTAATTGGAATTTCACCTCTATTAGCTACTAAAACTTTATTTTTCTCACCAAGTAAAGAGAAGTTATCTCTTAACCCTTGTAAGTTCTTACTAGCCATAATTGAAGGATGCTTTGTAAGATTATAATGCAATTGAAACTAGCAAATGTGCTATTATTATTATATTTGTTATAATTGAATATTAGTATTCAAATAAAAAAGAAGATAATAAAAAAAAGGAACTTTAATATTATTTTTTTTTAAGTTAATATATATGTAATTTGTCTAAAAAGAAGAAAAAATTGAAGCAATAGTTAGTAGTAGATGAATTTTACCTCTGTTTTTTTTCACAATTTCAGAATTTATTTCCTTTCTCCTTGTTTTTCCTTCTGTCGAGAAATCTTTTGACGTAGAAAAGCGAATAGTATAAAATAATATAATTAAAGAAAAACAAAAAAACGAAAGAGATATTCCTGTAACTATGACTAATTTATTATTATAATAAAAGGGTTGCAATATATATAGAGAGAGAGGTGCTGGAAGAAGAAGAGGAATTATTAATAATTTAATAAACTGAGATGACTTTTAAATATTTATATATATATATAATTTATATATAATTTATATATAATTTATATATAACTATTAGAGAACCAATCAAATGATAGTGCAGCAACTAAACTTATTGGCGGCAAAACCGACTTAATCAAACTTCTTTTTGCTTCTTATTCGTATTCTTCCTGCAAAATGGAAATAAAATAAAATAAAATCCATTTGCCCTACACACTTGTCGTTGTTGCTGCTGTTATTGCAATGAAAACTCAAAACTCAAAACTGAAAGCTGTTCGCATAATAATGACCGATCAATCAAAGAACTGCAATTTATTCCTCGCGTTTCGGGCATCGCCGGTCATCCGAATTTGTGGTTTTATCTGCCCAATCAATTGTAAAAGAGAAATTTCGGATGACCGCAAATATATATTTTACGTATTATATTAATATCGTTCTCGGTACAACGGCCGAACGGACGATGCAACAGAAAAAGAACAGTCCGTCTGTCTGTCTGTCTGTCTGTACAAATATTCCGTGGGGCGTGGGATATATTGGGTCACACACTCGCCGCAATATCTCTCTCTCTTTCTCTCTTATCTATTCAAATATGAAATAGTGAAATGCGTGACATTTGACATCATAGAGGGTAATTCACACACTTTCAATACCATCTTGTATATCTATCTATCTATCTATCTATCTCTGTGTGACGTAACGAATTAACTAACCCTTTCATAGTGATATGTCGTAATGATGATGACGATGATGATGACTATGATGAAGTTAAGATCACTGCGAATCTATCGTAGTCCCCTACAAAAATAATTAATTAGTTATTTACAATAGATGTCTATATATAATAAGCGTAGAATGGGAGATGGAATAGGGGTCCGCGGCTATTTCTCATTTGTATTTCTCTTAAAAGACTCCTAATCTACACGACAACGCCAACTACTTAAAGGTAATTGTTGTAACCTTTGAGCATTTGGTCTCACCACTGCAATATATATGATAATACCCAATATAATACAAAGACCATTAGCAATGTAATAACCATCTCTATATAACACTGCTGTAGCTGTTGCCGTAGCTGTTGAAACAGTATTCCTATCAACAATTACCGGGCATTGATCTGGTGTACCTCTTATAAAACTACCATCTTGACAACGATACAACGTAAACCAATTAACAATATACATGATTATTATCCTAGGCCACGTACCACCAAAATTACTCACAGTGTTTAATAACGTCATATATGTACCACCAAGTAACGGATCAGCAATTCTGGTATGAAATGCAGATATACCAACAAATTGGACAGTATTCATAAAGGAACTTAAAAGATGTTGTATAATTATCATTATAAAATAGGGCATCGTCACTTCCCCATCCTTTGGAAACATCAATACAACAATACTACCTAACATCGCAGCAAGTAATCTACCAAGATAACCATATAACCATGGTGTCAAGACACCAACATTATCACCAAGTAAAAAAATTTGAAATCTTTTCAAATTTGAAAATTTTTTATATTGAATATCTCGAAGTCTTGCACCATGCATCGAAGTGTCATTTTCAAGTTTGATTTTATTTTCATCATTATTTGTGATAAGGTCATGTTTCTTTTTAGAATTTGTAGTTTGAGCATCATTTGAATCACTGGACCATTTAGCTACATAATAACCAAATATAATTTCAAATGGTACATCGATTAATACACTAACTGCTAAATCTTCACGACGGAAACCTTTTTCTAATAATTTTAAATTTGTAACACCTTCATTACATTGAAATGCTATCTTGGATACTAAATGAACACCGACGAGTGTTTGCACCGAGGGTAATCTTAATACTTGCCAAAAACATCTATAAATATAACGAATACTCTTTGTATTACCTTCTTCTTCCTCATCATTATATTCAGGTTCTATCAAATCATTTGTGGTGGATGGAAGACCACCTCTTTGAATTCTTTTATTGTAATTGGAACGACCTGGATGTTCTGTAACAAATAATGCTACATACAGTGTAACAAGTAAATATATTATACCTGCAAATTGAAGATATCCACCTAACGATATTAAACCATGATCAATCGGTATGGCTCCATTAGGTCTAAGATATTTATTAGTGAAATCTGCTGAATTGAACGATAAAAATACTGTAAATGATAAGAAATAACCAATATTTAAACCAACGGTTTGAGCAGTAGAGGCATATGATAATGAGTCTCGAGATAAGATCGTTAAAGCCCAACCATCAACTGCAATATCTTGAGTTGCACATAAAAACACTAATGTACCAAACAACATTGTTAATGAAAATACATCGATTTCATTAGCTGGATGATTTGTTGGAACGGCTACTACATTATTTTTATCAAACGATGCATCGACTCCAGGAAATACTATACCTTTTGATACAGCCTGTCCAAGGGTCCATAACATTATCCCACTAATGCATTGGATCGGAATGATCCATGACCTACGACGGCCAATACGGTGACTATAACACGAATCAACAATTGGAGACCATAGAATCTTTAACGAGTATGGATAGGTAGCCATCGAAAATAAACCTAACGATGTAAACGACATAGTCTTTGACATGGATTTCAATAGGAACGGGATTGTACCAAAGGCCAATCCGACAGGGATCCCTTGAACAAAATATAAAACCACAAGTAAATAGAATTGCGGCAGATCATGTTTCGCTAGGTTTCTTGCCGATGCCATTATTGCTTGCGAAGAATATCGGTCTAGATGTATTCTATATCTTCGAAAGATATAATCAATTGAGTATGACTATGTTCAAATATATTCAAATAAATAAATTTGGAGAAATCGTTCCTATCCAAGAAAAATTGATATATGAATAACTGGATCTAACGATGGGTTTTAAACAAAATGAGCATCACCCAATATCTATTGTTTCATATTTTTACGTGGTGATTTTTTCACTTTTCTTTCTTTACGTCTATGTATACGTAGCGCCTCTAAATCTTCGCGCTTTAGGCTCGGTATTGTTCATCTCTCCCTGCAGTGCTACTTTCTCTTTGGGCTATTTATTCATACAATGAACAACAATAATATAGTGAAAGTAATAATGGCTCAATTATAGTTCACATATTAACTAACAATTACAAAAGGGTAATTAGTTTAGATACAATTAATTTTATTGATTGGATTATTTATTTATTTATTTATTTCATTGGGTGGTGATTTTTTGCTCTAGCTAAGAACAGAATATTTGTTTTGTTTGTTTGTATGAATTTGGAATATAAAGAAAAGAAAAACCAGCGAGTATACGTAAATATGTATATATATATCAATCACTCAACAGATAAGATATCCTTAACTGCTCTCACAATAGTTGGAGCATCTGGGAATGCAAAATCTTCTAATTCTTTAGCATAAGGAGTTGGTACATCTGCACCAGTGACTCTTTTAACTGGGGCATCCAAATAATCAAAGGCATCAGATTCCATCACTTGTGCTACAATTTCAGACCCAACACCAAAGGAAGGGAATGTAGACTCAACAGTGACCAAATGGTTGGTCTTCTTGACTGTCTTAATGATTGCCTCGACATCTAATGGACGAATCGAACGTAGATTGATAACTTCAGCAGAGATACCATGTTCTTTCTCAAGAATTTCAGCAGCTTCCAGTGAGAATTGAACATTACGAGTGTAAGTGACGATTGAGACATCTGTACCTTCACGTTCAATCTTGGCTTTGTAAGGTAAAGTAAAATCTGGTGATAAAGCCTCCTCGGAAACTTCAAACGATTCACCGTATAATAATTCATTTTCTAAGAATACAACAGGGTTAGGATCTCTAATAGCAGCCTTCAATAAACCACGAGCATCCTCAGCCGAATACGGCACTAAAACTTTTAAACCTGGAATGGAACCGTACCATGCAGAATAATCTTGAGAGTGTTGTGCTGCAACACCAACAGCGGACCCATTGGTACCACGGAAAACAATTTGACATTTTTGAGTACCACCAGACATATAATGGGTCTTTGCTGCAGAATTTACAATATGATCCATAGCTTGCATAGAGAAATTGAAGGACATGAATTCAACAATTGGTTTCAAACCTTTCAAAGCAGCACCAACAGCAAGACCTGTAAAACCATACTCTGTAATTGGTGTATCAACAACACGACGTTCCCCGAAACGATCCAAGAGACCTTTTGTAACTTTGTAAGCACCATTGTATTGTGCAACTTCTTCACCAATGATAAACACATCATCATCACGATCCAATTCTTCTGCCATAGCAGAGTTCAATGCATCTCTAACAGTCATAGTAGTTTTAGAAGATGCCATTCTACAAGAAACAATTCTTGAAGGCAAGGATGGTCTCATGGCAGAGGTTAAGGTAGCACTACTGTGCACTGCTTTTCTAATGATTGGAAATCTAAGTGGCATCATTTTTGTTTTGTATTTGTTGCAAACTGACTGTTTATACTTATTTGTTTCTTGTAATTCACCAGTAGTTTGTTTCTCTCTTTTATCAATTGATAATTGAATATCTAATAAGCCCACAACAACGGTTTTAATTCAATACACCTTTTGATATCTGTAGTTTGGTCCATGTTTTCCCAGCCCTGTAGTTATGTGTATGTATGTATATGGCTGTCCATCTAATGGCTTGCATATTTGTTTCCCCCCTTCCCTTCCTCGCCCTTTTTCCCAAACCCACCAAAAAAAAATTATTTCTCGTTTTTTTAACGTTTGTTTGGCTTCTTTTGACACCGCACGCTGAAAATAGTTTTATAGTGAGGAGAAACAAAACAGAGAGCCCGTCTTAACTATGTTGAATGAATAGAGGACACTGTGACACGCTCATTTGCAAACGAATAGTAAGATCCTTTGAATTGTTTTAATAGTTACCCAGTATCATTGTTCTAGTATTAATGTGGGTCTGTTTTAAATATTCTACAAACTGTCATTTGTTAATCGTTGTATAGTTCCAGTAATAATACAAGTAATTACTCATCATGTCAATGGACCATATTTTAAAATACTATCATTCATACACAATAACTCTGAATAAAAAAAATTATATATTAATCATTGTTATTTGAATTTGAATTTAAATAATGAAAACGAAAGTAACATCTTAGTAATAACGACAGATGTAAGGGAAATACAAAAGTAGACTTTTTAACGAACATATTTGAACCAAAAATTGGTATACTTAGTCGAGAAACTTTGCCAAAGGAGGAATATTTTTGAGATCCTTTACTCTAATTTACATGAAAATACTGAGAATATCAAATATAGGGTACATATTTTCAAGTTTATTGAGTCAATTATTAGTTTTATACTTTTCTTAAATTACTATCTTATTTACAAAATGTAATATATTTTTACATTTAGTATTGATTGGTAAACTTCCTGAATAAGTGCAATAGGTAAATAAAAAATCAAAAGTGACAAATTTAAACGAACACCATACTTTCATCTTTTCCTTCGCATTTTATAATTCTAACTATACAATAATGTTTGTTTCATTAAAAAGAAATACATACCAATTATATATATATTGATTTCCTACAATTTACTCTTCTTTTCTGAAGAACGAGTGAAAGTCTCGGCAATGATACGTCTTTGGATCTTCCCTGTTGCCGTCTTTGGTAATTTATCAACAAAATAAACCTTGACTGGGATCTTAAACTTAGCAACCTTATCGCTCATAAACTTGACAAGTTCTTCGTATGACATTGTTTGACCAGGTTTCAAGACAATACCAGCTTGAACGACTTGACCATACATTTCGTCAGCGACACCGAACGATACCGCTTCGTCGACCTTTGGGTTGGAAAGCATGACACTATCAAGTTCAATCGGAGAAATCTTCTCACCACCTCTGTTAATCAGTTCCTTGATTCTACCAGTAAGAACCAGGAAGCCTTCAGAATTAATGTAACCTTGGTCACCAGTTCTGAAATAATTCTTTAATCTAGTGAAATTTTCAAGATTAGCCTTATCGTTATTTCTGTAACCTGGAGTGACATTTTCACCTCTAATTGAAACTTCACCAATATCACCTTGTGGTAACACGTTGTCCTTATCATCTAAGATGACAAGTTCAACACCCTGAGGTTGACCTACAGTACCTGGCATTCTTTTACCTGGTGGCAAGTTATTTGAAGTCATTTGATGAGCAGCCTCAGTCATAGCGTATGCTTCTAACACCGGTGCGTTAAATTCTGTCTCTAATTTATGGAAAGTGGCTGGTGCCAAAGCAGAAGAACATGATCTGATGAATCTAATATGTGGCATTGGTTGTGGTCTTGGGACGTTCAACATGATCATACTAATTGTAGGAACACAACTGAACCAATTACAATGATAATTTACAAAATCGTTCCAGAATCTCTTTGGAGAAAATCTAGGTGGGATCACCACAGACCCCTGAGTACGGAAAGTAGATAGTAGCACACCAATTAGACCATGTACATGGAATAAGGGCATCACAATGTATGATCTATCTGAAGGAGATAATTTATATGTATTAGAAATGTTTGAAGTACTTCTAACAATATTCAAATGTAACAATGGAACAGTCTTTGGAGTTGAAGTTGTACCACTTGTATGCAAAATCATTGCAATATCACTAGAACGTGCAAACCCTGGGAATTCAGTTGCGATAGGACCAAGTAAGTACTTGGCACCATCCAAAGAAGAGTAAATCTTCTTGTTGTAGCCATCCTTTGGTTCATAAATATCATATTCGACTCTAAATCTGGATTCATTGAAGTATAATTCAGCAATATAAGAATTGAACTTCTTAGCAGATTTCAATATTTCGGCTTTTGGAGTCATTTTCACGGTACCTCTTGGAACACAAATAACTTGAGATTGTAAATCATTTAAATAGAAATCAAATTCCTTCTCTTTATAGTTAGGGTTCAATGGTGCACCAATCTTAGCATCCATAGTGGCACCTAAGAATGCGACTACAAACTCTAGACAATTTGGCATCGAGATTGCAACGGTAGATTGTCTAATAACTTTACCGTATAGAGGTGAGTCTAGATTGTTAAACATACTTTGCAAATGACCTACCATGTTTGCTAAATCACGATAAGTGACCTCGATGTTGCTATCTGGGATCACAATGGCTACATTGTCGGAGACTTTGAATGTATCATTAAAGGATGCAGTATTAGTTACGGACATGGTAAATAAATGATAATATTTTTAATTATATTGATTGATAATCCTGTACATATATTTATAATGAGAGAATCTTTAACCAACAAGAAAATAAAAAATGAAACCCGTTCAAGAAGACAGCGATGACTTTTATGATATCTTTCACTTTATGTTAGCTTATTTATATATGAAAGAGTTTCATCTTGGGAGCAACTAGAAGCAAAAAAACAAACGATCCCTTTCGGCTCAGTGCGATAATCCTGGCAGTCATCAATTAACAAAAATTCAATTTTCGGGCCGAAACGCAAATACAACGTAACGTAACGTGACATTACCGTAGTCATCTAGGAAGAAGAAGACAATACATGAAAACAGGACACAATAGAACCATTTCTGTCAGTGCAATAAAATAGATCGATATAACAGGATGTTGTCAGTTTCAGGGACCTGTTAGACTGGCTTCTTCTTGTAATCGTCTTACTCGGTCACGTATCTTATCTAATAAAGCTACGTTAGTAGGTTTGTCATTGTCAGTGTAAGAATAAGGCACTAGAGACTTTGGGAATGGGACAATAACTGTACTACGTGTCGAATCTCTCATAATATGAGCTCCCTGATCGTCAGAGGTACCAAGTCTTGTCCCTTTGGTAGCTTTATATATGAGATCAACAAACGAAAATACATTTATTGGACCAGGTATTAGGACACCTACTTCGAAATTGGTAGCAGATTTTACATCAGTACCCCATGCTGCAATACTTAGATTCGCTGATGTATATAGACACCAATCTACTGGAGTATCTGGAATAGATACATCGTTTTCATCGTCGGAGGTCCATTTCATATAGAATTTTGAATGAGAAGGAGTAGCCCTTCTCTCTATCGAAGTTGCAATGGGATTCTGTTTGACAAAGAGATTCTGCTTTTTCATCGATATATAAGGTTCACTGTAATCGTTATAATTAAAATGAAACCACCCACCAGATAATAAAGAAGCGGGTGAATCACAAACTTCTTGTAATGTAGGATATAATATGTGGCCACACACATTTTTAGAAGAGGTTAAATTTGGGATCATAAACCCTGTGAACAACTGTTTACCTTGAAGTCTTTTAGTACCTATCGATGATGTTTGCACTAAATAATGACGCTTTTTGATCTTATTTATTTTGGTATTATCGGACTCAACTCTTCGTACAACGGATCCAAATTTGACTAACCCTGATTCTTCATCACAAGTGTTCTTATTATTAGAATCTAATGCCGCAAACCTTCTTGGAGTAGAAAATAAGAAATGCAATCCATTTAATGATGAGAAATCATAATTGGAAAGATCCCCAATTAATCTTTGGGTAAATAGATAATGACGATAACGACCAATATACTCAAATAGTTCTGCGCGAAAACATGATGCATCGTCTATGTCGTCAACCAATTTTTTATCACCGAAGGCCCTTAGTTTGGGACTACACCAACAAACTTGTTGTGGATATGTGATCTCTGCTTCTGTGAAATTATTTGATGGCATAAATATTCTCATTGATTTATCGGAATAAAAATTCAGGATCATCTTTGAATGATGAGATGTATAACTTGGCATGTCCACTTCAACATATTTGATTTTGTCATGTAATCTTTGTAATTTCTCCGGAGCTTTAATATCTAGCGGTACAATACACCCTCTTTGCATCACCATTGTTATATCACTGAGATCCTTATGGAAACAGGATAAAATAAAGTTCATATCGTATTGATAACTGAATAAGAACGTCGAACTAAGCTTCGGATCATTAAATATGTCATCCGTAGTAATAAAATAAGATTTTTGTTCATTTGACATTGTTTCATATTGCGAATCATACACAGTTGATCTCATAAGTTTAAAACAATAATCAGACTCATACAGTATTGAATCGATCTTAACTTTTTCTTTGTCATCTAGCTTCCTTGGATTAGCAGTTGCATCTGCAGCTGCAGATGATTCTTTCAATACCTGTTCCTCAATACTCGTATCGTCTTGAGAACCTTCATCCGAGTCCGAATCAAGTACCACCACCTCAATATCCTGACTCTCTACTTTCATTCCAGCGTTAGTTTCTTCTCTCTTAGCTCTTGTGTCTGTCACCACTATATCTTCACCCAATTTCTTGTAATTCACATTCTTCCACCTATTAGCAACTTTACTTCTTGCAGAAGTACTGCTGTCAGCATTTACAGACGGCTTACCAATAGACCCTGCCATACTCAAATACCTTACACTCGATCAATCCCATGGTCAGCCCCTTATCCAGGTCAACCAAACCAGATCATCACCCCATCTGAAGCAACCTGCCTCTTTCTAGCTGATGCTGTTGTTGTTTGTTGCAGACTCAACGAGACGAGCCAAGACGAGACGACCGCCCCCACACGGCAGAGCCGCCCCCCTTCATCTCCCCCATCGGCACCCCCCTTCTCTGTCTCCTTCCCCGTGTTGGGCAGGGGAAGCACATACACAGAGAGACAGCGAGAGACACATTGCGGAGGTTTTCGATAGACCCCAAACTAAACCATTCCCAATCACTCCCATTCTTTAAAGGGTCGACCGATTAACAGCGACAACAGCAACTGATTCATATTTCTTTCTATTACTTCAAAAGCTGTCCTTGAAACAGACTTGTGTTATTCATTTATAAACAGTACACAGTTCAAGAATTAACTAGCATCGATAATACGAGTACTGCACACATCACATTCAGCTTTTGGTAAGAAGTTCTTACATTCATAGAGATCGTTGCATACAGTTTAACAACATACACATACATTCGTAACAGTGTGAGATATTCTTTTAATATTGTCTTACTTTTTTTTTGCTTTTAGTCTCTATTGTTTAAGATACTGAACTTTTTGCTAAGGGAAAGAACCAATTACTGTCCTGGCTTTTTCTAAAATCAATTATTTCAACGTAAGGAGAGAAAATAATAGACTTTCTTAGATATTGGAATTTACTGAGGAGGTCAAGGTCTACATCATTCTCTTTGCAACGGGGCATATATATACATACCCGCAAAGAATATTACGAACTAGCTATAACAATAGAAATAGGAATACTAAGAAGGGGTGCGCATAATAACAATACAAACTCTTTTAAATTATAATGATAGACCCTCAAGTAGTGGATAATAGCAGTGCTACTACTGCTAATAATAATAATAATGATAATAATAATACTGACAGTCTAAAACGGGTATCGAAGGATATAAATACAACACAGAAGCATTATATAATGAATACGATCGAGGATGATATCGACGAGGATTCAGTGGACCCTAAACAAGTCACAGGTTTTAATGGTGAAACAAATTATATACCGAAACAGCCTAATAATAATAATAATAATAATAATAATACTCCGACATTACTTCCGAAACCCGGTAGAACATCGTCACCTATTGCATTTAAAGCACCATTTAATCTGGCAGATACACCGGATACCACAATTCCACATAATACTAATAAAACGGGATCTTCACCACTTTCAAAACCTTCAAGTTCATATTTAGATCAAAAGGATAATTCGACAACAATGCATATTAATAAACCAATGAAAAGATTGGGAAGTCTTCACGGTAAGACTACAGAAGTTGCCGAAGCCCAAATTTCAAATAAAAGATGGGATTGGAATATTTTACCGTCTTCACATAACATACCGTTGGAGATTTCTGATGGTTATAACATCGCTACCATATCGATCGATGGTGAAATGAAAGCGATTAAATATGATCCAAAATATAACAAGGTGCTTCCCCAAATGGATCTATTTCTAAGATTTAATCAGGAATCGACAATGAAAGAAGCTTTAGTGTTTGCCAAAAAAAGATTAAAATCATACGCAAAATTTTTGGATCATTATATTAAACAATTAGGAAAATGTAACGGCAATATTTTAAATTTAAATTTAGATATAAACTCATTACCATGCGATACAATGGAATCACAAATTATGGAAGTAATACAATTATGGAGTTTCCAAGTAGAAACATATTTTGCACAGGCTAACTCTTTACTTTTTAATCCCGAAGTCACGCAAAGTTTAATAAATAGAAGATCCCAAAGACGGAAATCAACTACAACCTCAGTTGATGAAACCCTCTATACAAAGAAATCAGACTCTAATCAATCATTCTCACATTCAGATCAAACCACAACAATGATTGACCCATTAGAAGATATAGATATATTGTTATTAAGACCTCTAGTGACACAAGAGATAGGTTGGCAATTAGCTTACAATGAACCACAAATTACTGTAGCTGATTACGCATTAAATATAGCTCCTTGGAAGGAATCTGATGAAGAGAGTAATACAAAATTGGTAGAATTTATGGAAGGTACAGAAAAACATTATAATTATAGTCATGGGACCACTATAACTTCAGAATTGACTGACATTAAATATATAAACAATTTAAATGCCCCAGCATATTTATTGGATTGTATGAATAGAAAATCCAGTGATAAGAAACCATTTGATATTAGAAAATTTGGATCCCAAGACATTATTAATAGTATGGATGATAATAATGACGTAAGTTCTATCACTAGATCTGAGCATTCAATAAATTTTCATAAAGATATTAGTGATAATATGAGTATAAAATCTTACACAACACCTTCATCTACATCCACAAATAAAAAGAAACGTAAGGACAACAAACCAAAGAAATCAGGTTTTGTTAATTTTTTCAGAAGGAAACATACTTCGGTATCTACATCGAATACTGAATCTACAGCATTACATACACCACCAGCGGACAGCTTAGTGACTCGTTCAACTGCAGGATCAATACCTAATTCTTCAGATCCTATTGTAAAAAATACAACACTTCCATTTGATAAGCAATTAACAAACCAACAAAACGCTTTTGATTCAATTGACGAATCTATTGGTAAACCAATGAAATTTAATGAAAACGAATTACAAAACGAATGGTTAGAAAATCATTTTTGTGAAATTTTGAGTAATTATAAAAGAGTTGGAATGCCAACTCAATATTATTTCCCAAAAAAGAAATCATCAGGCTTAACACCTGAGTTATCACCAAGTTCTGAGGTAAAAGTAGCCCCAGAATCATCACAGGAAAGTTTAAATAGTGAAGAACGGTTACCAACTCATAATATGGTGAACAATAGAGGTTACTACGGTAGAGAGTTACTTCAACTGAAATTACCATTCAATAATGATAGTGTCCCAGCTATATTATGTCCTTGGATTTGGACAACCCTGACAAGAACTAAATGGGGGAATCTATTACGAGAAATAAAAAGATGTTTACAACCAGAAGGTTATGTGTTAGCAATAGCAACGGACTTAAGAGTCTCAAACTCAGAATATGGTGGACACCCAGAAGCTAGCTCCAAATTTAAAACTTCAGTAGAAAGAAACAGAGTCTTTGACCTGTTGTCAATTGAAGCAATGAATAAAGGTCTTCATATATTTCCAACTAAACATTTGGCAAGAAAATTTAAAGAGTGCGGATTTGTCAACATTAAGACCACTACACTAAGTTTAAAATCTGGTGATTTAACAACAAATATGGGTTGTATCAATGAATTCATGATAACTCTATTGTGGCATTTACTGACTGGGTCTTCTGTCGGGAAAGAGAACTCTAAAACAAGCGGACAAGTGGACAACATGATTGAAAAGTACATTAAAGAACATTGGGATAAAGTTGACGATCACGCAGGCTGCCTTAGAACAATTTTTATAGTGGCACAAAAACCGAAGGTTAACAATATCAAATAACCTTATACTTAAGTATCCGTACATTCGGTACGATAAATAATTATATATTCTCTCTATATGCAAGATTTGTTTAAATTAATCAGTATATCTATATCATTACCAAGTTCATTCACTCCTCTATAGTTTAGCTTCCTTGATCTTGCTTTCTTGGTAATCTAAGTTCTTAACGCCATTTACTTCTATATCAAGTTTCTTTGCAAGCTCCGGATCTTCCTTCGATACGTCATTTATTAAATCAAATATTTGACCTCTGGAGTAATATTTAGATTGAACATTTGATGCAAGGGAATATTTTGTTTGTTGTAAGGAGTTGACCGTCTTTTCGTTGATCAAGACATATTGAGTGCCTGACTCCGGACATTCGTAGTTTATATTTAACAATAGTCTCTCCATAATTCCTCTTAGACCTCTAGCACCTGTACCTTCGTTCAATGCAAATTGGGAGACTTTTTTCAAAGCCTTATCAGTAATACATAATCTTACACCAAATTGTTTAAAGATATACTCATATTGATCCAACAATGCATTCTTTGGTTCTTTCAAAATATGGTACAAATCTTCATGTTGGAGTGGTTGTAAAGCTGTAATGATGGGGACTCTACCTATAAGTTCAGGAATCAAACCAAATGTAACTAAATCGATAGGTGTTGCTAAATTCAATGCGGGAACCTTTTCACCATTTTCCAACTCAATCTCTTCTAATTTATTACTGATATTAGTGTAGTCATCCTTTTCATCTTCTTCAGTCTCCTTTTCTGGTTCATTCAACTGTTTTAATTTTTTAATTCTATTGGCAACGTGTTTATCTAACCCAACAAATGCACCCATAATCATAAACAAAATGTTCGAGGTATCAATTGTAAATGTTTCCTCTTTCTTAACCACCGATTTATTACCTTCTTTATCTGTATCCGGCGACTTATTTTTGACAGGTCTTTTAACACTAATCTGTACACGATGACCTTCAATGATCTTTAATAATGACTGTTGAACACCTTCACCAGAAACATCCTTAGTACCAATACTTGCAGAAGGTTTAGCCAGTTTATCTATTTCATCCAATACAATAATACCTCTTTCTGCTTTAGCAACATCAAAATCAGCATTCACTAGTAATCTCTCTATGCAAACTTCAACATCCTCACCAATATACCCTGCTTGAGTTAATTGAGTACAATCGGATATAGCAATAGGAACATCAAGCACACGAGCCAAAGTTGTAGCTAACAAAGTTTTACCAGACCCAGATGGACCAATTACCATAACATTACTTTTGCTTAATTCTAAATCATCAATCCCATTAGATTCAGGATCGTTTTCTGGTTTTAAAGATTCAACTTGTCTTTTCAAATTGGCCATACCTTGTTCGGCCTCACTATTAGGAACGTAAGTTGCTTCTTCTTTTTGATCAGATACATTAGCCTCTAGGAATTGTAATTGATTTTCCTTCATCTTTTGCTTCTTGATCCTATCGTATATCCTCAGGTAATGATTATAAACAGACACACTCAAAACTTTCTTACTCACATCTTGCCCAATGACATATTCATCGAGGAATGATTTCAGTATCCGTGGTGATGGGATAGTTGGTAGTGATGACTGAGCTAACTTTTGTGAGGCTCCATTTATCGTCGTAGACCTACTTGGAGGAGGTACTGGAAATCTACTAGTAGAATACAATCGGATAGGGAGTAAAGATCTCGATCTGGCAGGTTTTATCATGACGGCAAACGTTCTATAATTATAATAATGTAATAAAACTTAAGTTATTGAGTTTTTTGTAATTAGGTCTATCGAAGATACAACTACGTTTCTGATTAAAGTCGGTCGTTTTTAGAATTACACTTAGGTTATATACTTTTTTCTTATCCGATCATTCAATTAGTCATCGCATTAAACAACGCCTGTCAAACTGAAAAGTTTTCGATGCACACCTGCTTTTATGATATATTTACTCATGCATCGATACATGAGCAATATAAAAGAAAGATTGACATGCGGGATTGTACTCGTTGTATAGAAGTGTATATATTCCATTTATGGTGATTTGGTATTGATTTTTGATGCAAGAGGTGTTTTTTGTTCAAATGCAAGGTTCACAAAGAAATTAACTTCAATGCGTTGGCCTCAACAGTTGTTTAAAGTTTTTACTTGATTTTGTATGAAAACATTCTTTTGTTCTTTAATATAAGTGGTAGTAGAGTGTCATTTGTTTGTTTAACTCGGCAGCAAATAAAATATTTTCAGGTACTTGTAAACGTAGATCTTTCATATGAAATTGGAGGTAGAGAAGACTAACTGCACCAGACTTCGCTATGCAGCCAAGGAACACATTTTCAGTGTTAACGTAAATCGAGAAATGGGTGATTTTGCCCAATTTTATTGCTGTTACTTTTTGCAATCAGTAGAACATCGTCAGTCTTTCTATATTGGTTCTTCACCGAATCCACCTAGAAGATTGAGGCAACATAATGGCGATTTAGTAAAAGGTGGCGCATACAGAACAAAGAGGAGTGGTACAAGACCATGGGAGATGATATTATTTGTGTATGGTTTTCCGAATAAGATTATTGCTTTACAATTTGAGCATGCCTGGCAACATGGGTACAAGACTAGGTTTATAAAAGAAGAAGCCAGAATAATCAACAAGAAGAATTCTGGATCAGCAGGTAGAAATATACATTATAAACTAGCTCTAATTAGACAGCTCCTGAACCATCCATTTTTCAAAGTTATGAACCTTGGTGTTCAATTCTTTAATAGTGATGTAGCTTCTACGTTTGATCAAAATAAATTTGGAATTGCCCTGGATCCATGTTATGAGAATTGGGGTAAGGTTAAGACTTCTGAAAATGCCCTTTCTCTTTCCAAATATGATTTAAAAAGATTGACTGTTGATGATCTCTCAGATATTTCTGAGCAAAACAGAGCTCTAGTATCCCATTTTTATGATTCATCCATAAAGCTTGATGAAGAACGTATGAACAGATATACTGAACGAGTGATGGATGGTCTCTCTAAATGTAAATTATGTTACAAAACCTACGATTACACTTCTGAGGATGAGGATCTAAAGCCACACATAGCATTTTGTACTAATGAGGGCTGTGATTTTGTTTCAGAGGTAAGTTGTCTATGCCGAAGGTTCATAGTTGAGGAAATAGATGATAGAGATAAGGATCTAACACTCATACCCAGAGGTGGACGCTGTCCCGAGTGTAGAACGGAATTGGAATGGACCATACTCATGAAATATTCGTCCATGATAAAAGATGTATCCCGTAAATAAAATTTAAAAGGATAGTAAATATAATGATTATATATAGTGTGCTATTTTTTAATGAAAAACAACAACATAATATTTAATAATAATATATCCTATATCGAAAACGATATCTCCCATTGTTCATTAACACGTACTTGAGGATTCTTGATTATCACAGTAGTTGTACCATCATCATGCTCAACTTCTATTTTACGTGTCTCGGAACCTATCTTAATCGTAGCATGATCTCCAATATCCATCGTATTGCTATCCATAGCAATAACTATCTTTTCAATCATTGTGTTGCCTAAGCAATCGGCATTTACAGGAATATGAACAATATCGTTCTTCAGTATAGATTTGGCTAGTAGCGAGACAACGGTCTCTAAATATTCACCATTTTCATATGAAAATGTTTCACCATCATCTACATAAAGTTTACCACTTGCAGAACCGTTATCTAGAGTTGGAGCAACAAGCAACGTATAAGGATCGTTGACCATCAATTTAGATGAACGTCTGTATATCTCCCTCTTGAATAAAATATGTCCACCTTCAATGAATGCAGGAATCTTTGCGATTGGAGCATCAATTTCAACTTCCTTTAGATGATCTACAACAAGTGCTTTTAGTGTCGTCAAATCATAAAATATACCCTTAGGGAAAGTCATAGTAGTAGTGAATGTTTCTGGAGATGTAATTGGTTTGACTAGTATACCATAGTTTCCTAGATAAAATTGATTATCAACGTCATATAGTTCATTATGCTCGGGATATTGGAAAAACATTGGTTTCATAATTGCATTACCATTAATACTAGATTCATGGAATGCAGAATAAAATGTGGGTAACAATGTGTATCTTAATCTAATTGAATCTCTAACGCTGTCTCTTACAGGTTTCTCCAACAAGTAAGGTTCTCTTCTGATCGAGTCAATATGAGCATGTGCTCTGAAAAAAGGATACCAAAGACCAGTTTGGTACCAACGAATTATTAGTTCTGGAGTTGGATTCCCATCGAAACCTGCAATATCTGCACCAATAAATGGCATTCCTACAATATTGTTTGACAAGATCATTGGGATAGAAGCTTTCAAATAATCCCAGTTAGCAATATTATCGCCTGTCCAAGTGGCAGCACTTCTTTGAGAACCAGCAAAGAAGGCCCTAGTTAAGATAAATGGACGTTTATCTGATATACCATATATATCCTTCATGGAATCATATGTAGTTTCGTGAACGGTCAACCCGTAGACGTTGTGAATAGATCTTTCTTCGAAACCCCCATTATGAATTAAATCCTTTGGTGCTGTAGTCTCAGGACCATTAAAAATCGATGGTTCATTCATATCATTCCAAATATGTAAGTTGTCAATATATGATGGTAACTTAACAGTAATAAAGTCTTTAAAGAATCCGTCCCATACACGTTGTCCAATTTTGCCCATGGTATCAATCCAGATGGAGTCTCCCGGCCAACATCTACCAACATATAAATCACCGCCAGCGTTAAGGACACCTGCCTCCTGTCTTTTAATTTCCTCACTGATGTGATATTGTGTCTTTATATGAGGATCTATTAGGACAGCCAATTGTCTACCATATTTTGCTAATTTCTTTAACATTCTACCTGGATTCCCAAAGGAGTCTGGTTTCCAAGTGAAATATTTCTTGTCGTCAGTGTATTCTAAATCTAACCAAATAAAATCAAATGGTATATCTTCTCTATCCATATTCTCTTGAACATTCAACACGTCCAGTTCATCATTATAATTCCAACGACATTGATGGTACCCAATAGAACTCAATAGTGGTAACGTTGGTCTCCCAGTCAATTGAGTGAATTGATCCGTGATGTCGGAAGGTTTCTCACCAATAAAGACAAACACATCAATGATTCCTGCTTCGGACATGATATGCGATTGTGATAACCCATTATCAGTATAATGTATATCTACCCAAGTATCAGCCGGATTATTCCAAAACACACCTACCGATTTATCCTTGTTTGATGTCAATAACAAGGGAATAGCACCATACATTGGCATTCTTGAATCCAAATTATATTGGAATACATCTACATTGAACAATCTATATGGTTCATCATTTGAAGTATCTCTTAAACGTAGAGAGTCAGCATGTTCAGGGATACCATATAAGGAATTAAATCCATTGAAGGTGAAATCTAAAGCGATTGATTCTGGTCCGAATGGGACATGATCCCCCTTTGAGTATTCAAAATCATCAGCGAACATATTATAAGTTGATTCCTCTGGTAATACATTTTGAAAATTTTGTTCCATTGAACGATGGTGTTCAAAATTGAATAACGACCGATCATTGATGGAAAGGATCAAGTCTTCACCTTGGAATATAAGAATTTGGAAAGAATCTAAGAAAAGATGAATCTCTAATTGATTTATATCATTATAGACTTTAATCACATTTTGTTCTAAATCTGGAGTTTGGAATACAAAATTCACAAATTTATCCAAATTAGATTGTATGGTTTCAAATTTTTCAAATTGTAAAGGGGTATTATTTAAAGAATCTGTATGATTCATAAAGGACCACAATCCCGTTTCATTATATCTATGTTTATTTAATAAAGGCGATTCAGCTTCAGTGTCATCATTAGTGTTACTATCAAACGATTCGTCGATAGTAAACCTTACACTTTGCCAGTCATTTTGGAAAGTCAATTTAAATGGTAATTCTACCATAATATCTTCAATATCATTTCTTGGAATTGTCTTAATGATATTAGCCCTTAAGGAGGAAGAATTATTATTATTATTGTCGAGATCAATATGGATGGATTGTTCATCTATAAGATAGTACGAGTTATGCGAAGATTGTATATTTGTGGCATAATGTCTATTTCTTTGACAAAACCCAGCTTGATTACATTTTTTCAATAGGTAATCTGTGAAAGCAGCAGAGGGATCTATAAAAAGAATGGTTACCAAGAATAACTGAAACAAAAAAATATTCATAATGATACTTATTATTTTTGTAGTTCAATTATTAATGTAATGAGAGACAGAAATATTGCTTCTTTTTAATTATATCCAATGTAAATCTATTTTAATTTATTAAGTAATTGATTTATATGTAGTTTTCCTATTTTTTTAAGCCCTGAAATATCTTAAAAAAATATAAAGTTGAATAGTTATAAAATGTAAGAAAGTGAAATATATATATATAAATGAACAAACTACTATTATATTTATAGATAAGTTCACCATTCAATGCTGATAACTATGTTTGAATAATCGTAATAATACTAAATTATATATATTTTTGGTTTTAGATAAGATAAAGGAGAGGAATATTGAAAATAATCCAGTTATTTAATAGCATCAAGCTATTAAATAAATAGTTTTCATTATATATATAAGTATATATATGTAATAACAGGGGAGAGAGAAGACTAGAAATGAGGGAGAGGGGAAAAGAAAGTAGATATTAGTTTAATAAGAAATAATCATTCTGATTTATCGAATTTCTTGTAGTATTTTCTTGATAAGAAACAATCAGCAGTTAACAGTCCTGCAATACCAACTACGGATCCAACAACAAAGATATCAGGTTTATCAGCCAAAAATCTTTTTTCGTATTTGATATAACCTAATAATACAGAGGTAATGGAAGCAGCCCCAATCAATACATTAATAGCGACAACTGGGTTCTTCAAAGCATTTAGAACGTTAGTACCACATCCTACAAGTTTTTGAAAACATGCAGAAGTAGAACAACAGCATTTGTTCTTGAAATTTTTCAAACATTCACCACATTTTTTACATGGATTCTTTTCATTACAAGAAGAAGAACGGTCTACGACGACAGGTTCTTCTTGTTTCTTTGGGATAGCAGCAGTAGGAGCAGACATTTGATGATAATAATGTGGTTCAGGTACGATAGGTTCAGGAATATCTATATGAGACTTAGTAGATGAATTTCTTGAACTAGATGTAGAATGATGAGATCTGTTTCAAAAAATAAAAATAAGTAATAATATATATAAATGTGAATGTTAGTAATACTGAATATTAAAAAAAAAAGAGTTAATAAAGGGTTTAGAACTTGACCAAATATATGTTGTAAGTATGTCAAATGAAAAAATGAAAAAAGATGCTAGTCTACGTCTATATATATATATGTCTGAGTATAGTTCTTACCCCATAATGTCCCTGTATCTCTCTCTCTATGTGTGTATCCTTTCTTTCCCCCGCCTCACCTAACTTCACCAACTTCAATGACTATATCTCTAATTAATACGTTGTTGTTGCTATCACTATTAGTCTCATTATTATTCTGACCTGTTCTTGCACAGCTTTCTCTTCTGTCTGAGGGCTGTGGGTGGGTCTTGCCTTGCTGTGGATATATTAAATAGTAGCAGTATCTGCATTTGGGGAGGGGGAGGAATACAAACCGCCGCACAAATATTCAGCAACTGCTATTATTATTATTAAAGGGGGCCGGCAGCGCAGAGAGCGAAAGAGAGAAAGAGAGAGAGAGACAGCCAATAGGATAAAGGAAAAGGAAATAGAGAGAAGAAAGTTATCCCCGGACTTATCTGATATTAAATGTAATATTCTGGATGATTCAATTGCAATTTCAGGGATACTGTAATAAGATATCATTTATTATAATTCTAGCGTCAAAGGATGTGAGAATGGAAGTTGAAATCGTATGATGTAAAGGGACCGACTCTCTTGAGAGGGTTGAACTAATATAAATGTTCGAAACGTTGGGATATATACTCACATACACTAATATCTTTTTTATTTATTGGTAATACTCCATTTAATTAATAGGTACCGTGTACATACTTCGACATAATTGTAATTATTGCTTTATATAAATTGGTATACTTGGTTTTTCACATAGTTGCATAGAAAAAGAGACGATAAAAGAGTAAATCGTTTGAACATTCAAGATTGATAAATAATAATAATAATAAATGTACTTGAACAACTTATATATATATATATATAAGTCAATGTGTTACACATTGTAAGAAAGAAAGTTAGCGTAATTCAATAACTTGTTACTTTATAACCGTGTGTGGCTTGAATGGAAATGCCAAATATTCTTTTTTTGCTTTCTCTTTGGGAGTTTTTTTATATTTCAATTTTTAGGATAGTACATTAATTATTAATGAACTACTTTTTAATAACAAATTAATTATCTCTTATTGCCCATTTAAGATAAAACATTACATGTCCGGATGTGCTTGAATTATGCCTCCTTCTTCTCCTTCCTAATCATAGTGCATAGAGATATATGATATTATATATAACAATAGTTTAAATTATGATTTTCTTTTCTTATATCACTGGTAATACATATATATATATATTCTATGAGTGCATCGTTTTATGTTATTAATATCTCCGGGGTCTCTCTACTTAACTCCTCGTTGTTAGTAAAAATACATAAATAAGATACCGGGAAACTGATACTAGTTTCCCTATTCAATGTTTCTTATATTTATGTAGATCCCTGAGCGGTAATTGTATAATCATCCTTATATCTTATCCTTTTACATTTCTAAAATATTTTGTGACACCTGGGGACATCAGAGTTAACGTTTTAGCTCAGGTAGATTCTCTCGACCAATGATTTATTCCAACAGGTTTAACGACGTTCCCCTTTTTTATGTAATTAAGTAAACTTTTAGTTATCAACAATTGACAAAAGAGAAATCATAGTCCAATGATTAAATTTCAACCTAGATGTCACAGTAACGTCTCACTCGTTGTTTAGATATAAGAAAAGATTAGAGAGAAGGAACTAAACAATTTACTATGTACCAAGTAATAAATATTTTGTAGTATATATTATTGAAAGAAACAGGGAAGTAATTATAGTTCATGGAAAAATATCCATGTTAGAAATGACAAACAAATTGCGATATAAATTAATCTATAAATATCAAATTGTCTGACTTCTTGAAGTGTTCACCGTTAAAGACAGAGATATATCCAGATGTAATCCCATTCTAGTCGTTGAAATATATAATTTTGTGAAGTTACAGGAAAAAAATAGAAGATTTCACTCAAACACCAATATCCCATAAATATGCTTAATATGTGAAGAACATGTTCTCTTTAACATTCTCTAGAACGGGAAGAGTAGAAAAGTGAAAGTTCCTTCCAATACTACATATAAACATTTAGAATGACATCAAGCAAAAAATCACGTGATTTAAAATCAAAAATATTAAAAATGAAACGGACAGGAATTGAACCTGCAACCCTTCGATTGCAATTTTAATTTCCTTGGAAATACCAGGATTTAACTGGAGTCGAAAGCTCTACCATTGAGCCACCGCTTCATCTTAAAATAATGGAAATAAAGTTAGTACTTTAATACTTTAAAATTTTCTATATCGGGTATCGACTAATCCTTCTCTTCAATTTTGTTAAACAGAGTTTTTGTTGTTAAACTGCTCATCTTTGTCGGAAATATATCATAAGAGGGATAATGACCAAGGTTAATCCCTCAATGATATGACAATAGGTTAATCCCTCAACAACTTACTAATAGATTACTTACGCCACCGTTGAGTGAATTTATAATCACGAAAACAAGAAATCCAACATATATAAATGGAACAATATTTCATTTATGAATATAATTGTTTCCATAATTTACTTTATATATTTTTGTATAAGATAAAAAAAAATCAGACGACTATAAGTTGATTTTGTAATATAATAAAATTAGTTCAGTTAAATAGAAGATGTCTAATATTCAATTTTCCCATCAAACTTCTACTTATATTAGCTACCTTCACTTTCAGATAGGTTAAGCCAATGTTAGCCTTTTTAGTACTGCCGCTACATTTCTTCACTAATCGTTTAATCAGTGTCTAGAACATGTCTCAAGAATGTTTAGTAAGAATATTAACAATATTTGGTGGACTGTTTTCCTTTACCAAAAGTACAAAAGGACCACATATTCTAACTTAATATATATACAATCTTCCTTATATAGGTTTACTTTATATAACATAAAATAAACCATAAGATTATACATTTGAATATCTATAACTATGTCCGATAATTTCAACTCGAATACTAATCGTATCTTCTCGATTTCAAACTTACGTTTACATTAGATCTCTTGACATCACATAATTCCTGTTATGTATATGTATCTTTATATATGACATAAAGAGTCCTATGTAGTAAAGTTACATATTATACACATGAATAGAGAAAGATGAATACAAGGTAACTTATAATCAATTAATACTTACTATTAACCTTCAACCTGTTGACGTCCAAAACTACAACCGTACCATTGTATTTAATACATTTAATAATAATTCCCAATTCTTAATTTCTATAAATGCCAAACATTGCGTAGCTAAACCATTTATCTTTTTCTCTTTATTTATGCTAAATTGTTTTAAAAAATTATTTAAATCAATAAATTGTATTACAAGAACTATATGCTATATATAGGGTTATTTTAAATCTATATATCTAAATATGCTGTAACTTCGAAGGTGTTTCTAATTCATCATTTATTTCCTCCTGAACTTTTCTCTTTTTGTCCCCATTTTCTGTTTCCAATTTTTTTGTTACCCTTTGATCACCAGTAACACCATCTACAGGTCTAAAATATGGTTGACACCTCCAATATGGAATTGTCTTGTAGTGTCCACCCCATAATTGTTTTTCACCATCGACGATGGTATCCTTTTCTTTAATATCTGGCTGAGCAAATATATCAGCAACAACCTTTTCAACAGGAGTAACAACTCGTGATTCCCATTCCTCAAAAGATATCTTAGTATTCATTTTTGCAATCTCCGATCTGATATCTGTATGATGAGGTAGAAATGGTCTTAGTACTTTAAAAAAATGAGATTTCATAGCATTTCGAGATGCTTTGGATTCCGGAACAGATTTCACAATCTCGAAATATTCTCTCAATAATTTATCTACACGAGGGAATGTCTTTTCTTTGTCGTCAATACTACCAACATTGAAGACCCCAGGATTATACAAATTACCTTCTGCACTCATCACCGAGTCACAACCAATGTACGCTTGACATCTTTCAATGTCTTCTGGATATAGAATATTACCATTAGCAAAAAAAATAGTGTCATCAGGAAGATTATTTCTTAAATATTTGATTATTTCCCAATCAGCTAAACCGGTCTGCTGACCTTTCTGTTCCCTTAACCGGCCATGGACACATAGAAATTGTGCGCCAGCATCTAGGACCATCTTTGCGTAAGCTAGCGTCTTCTCACGATCTGGGAATACTCTTATTTTGGCAGTCACAGGGACATCCAAATTGTCATGTAAAGTTTTAATTAGTTTATGAACTAACTCCCATTCTTCCATTAAAAATGAACCATAATGTCCCTTTCTGGCAATACCCTGCGGACAACCTAGATTCAAATCAACAGCATCGCATTGTCCTTGTACTAACTTTGCAGCACTAAGAAGATACTCCGGATCGTTTGCACAGAATTGAACAATCAATGGTCTATCCAAAGTTGCGTCCCCATCTAAAGAGCACCAGTTATCCTTTCTATACTTTTCAGATGTTGCAAACAACTTTGCATGGAGCATAGGAGTATAAGCCAGTGTTGCACCATACTTTCTTGATAGAATTCTCCAAGCGAGTTCAGATTGATCTACCATTGGAGCCAGAATTCTGGTTGGTTTCCCAATCTTTTGGAAAAGCTGTCTTCCATTTAATTTTGTGGTTGTCATTGTTACACTACTACTACTTTCTTATATAATGTATCTAGTATTAATATGTGAAACAATCCTTCTATCTTATTAATCAACCCATCTCATCTCATCGCTCTAATTATCTAATGAATTTAAATCTTAACTCTTCTAATTTTTTTTCTTTGTTTCTTTTTCTTCCATTATGTTAACAAACATCGCTCCTCCCAATTTATAGTAAAAATTATTCAACAAAGCAATATATACTTACGAAGTAGTTTGATCCAACATAGGGAACAGAAAACTGTGATACAATTATTTTTCTTTAAATGTCTGGTATCTGTATATATGCATAAATCTATAACGTTATATATACATATATATATTAATTCTAATTCATCATTTACACAAGAACAGGGTTCGTATTAAGTAAAGGAGAGGAACAATAAAAAAAACCTATGATTAAACATGATGACTGGCAAAAATGTCCATGTCATTGTAGATAGCTCTCGATTGTAAAGCCTGGGCAAACACTAAACTGACGGACCATACAGGCGAGACACTTAATATTCTCACGGCTAAATACAAACAGCGTGAAGAAAGACCAATGGAATTGATAATATGTGTCGTTTCTTGAATTGGAGTAGTAGGTTTCATTGCTAATTTGGCATATTCTTCATGGAGAGTATCAGCATTATTAATTTGATATCCTGTTGAAATTAGTTGTTTTTCAACGCTTCTTAACATTTTGAAGATCTTCATCCATAATACTCTATCTGATACATTAAGACTTGTAGAGTTTTCAGATCCATGCAGTTTGAAGTTAAATGCCCACTTTTCCACAGTCTTCAAAAATTGAGAAATAATCAAAGAGGAAATTAAAATACAAGTAGTGCTTGGGATTGGTGATGAGATATTAAAAGAGTTATCATTTGTCGTTGAAACAGTTTGTAACCAGAAGTCAATTATTTCTAATGAATAAGTAGTAGCTTCAAATAACGATTCTTTATCATGATAAAAAGTATTCAAGTTTTCATTCATTTTATCCCAATCTTGTCTCCATATTTTACGAAGAACATCAGTCATATCAACACATTTTCTAATCTTGGCATAAGTATGCAAAGGAATTATTAGACGCATAACAGGTGTATTTTTAATAATATTGATATTGTTCTTGTTTGGAGTCAATATACCACCATTCTTTATATATAATGCTTCCCAGTACTTCAACATTGACCCAACAATAGAGCGAGAATTAAATCTCCATCTCGTATCATTTAATGACTTGTCCTCTGGATTAGTGTTCGCATTCTTGGAGAATGCTCTTTCCAGTGTGATTTTTTCATGAACAGAGATCAATAATGATAATAAGGTCTTTCTTGATAGTTTCATATTTTCAAAGATATATGGACTACCATTAGTCAAATACATCAAACAACTTTCATAATTACCACTACCATTAGATAACTCAATCAATGAAAGTTTAGAATCTAAAGTAACATTATTTTGTTGAAGACACTTTAACCAAGTCTGTGGGTCACCAACGTGATATAAAATTTCGAGACTGCATGGTACACCACATTTCAAGTCAATAGAATGCATGAAATTGTCTACACCAGCAACAGCCGAGTAGAGGTTCGAGACTAGTAAAATATTATGGCAGGTTCTAATCCTTGTCTGAGCCAAAATGAAATATTCATAATTTCTTCTAGTTTGTTCGGGACTTCTAAATTGTTCAGTATATTTTTGTAAGACGTCAGGATTATCTTGAAGCTCAAGGGTATGATCACTTTCAATTGGAGGTCTAATAAAATTTTCTAAAGGTAGATTCAATTTAGTTAGTCTTACAAGTTGAATCAAAGTAGTCAATTGTGGACGAATACTCTTTATAACATTTGTATCACTACTGAAAATACCAATAAATATCAATAATAAAATGGTCTGGATAACCCAAAGTGGTGTTTTACTATAATTAGTCTTTGATTTATGTAAAACATCTCTAACATGGAACCAAGCAATGTTAGATAGTAACATTGAATGCCTAGAATGGAAATCGTACAATGCACCAATCATTGTGATACTTAGTAACAATGAATAATTGGACATGTCCAAATGGATGGAACTTAAATGAATAAATGGATAAAATGGATGGAAATGAATTTTAAACAAGTTAACATATTTGTTTAATTCTTGCACAGTTGGGAATTGATCTGATTTTAATTGATTGTCCTTAATAATGGCACTACGAAATTGTTCTGTATAAAATGATAAAGGTGCTGATGCACTTCCATTAATAAAGTTTGCGTACGTGTCCACACTGGAGTTCCCAGTAATTTCAAAGACAGAGGAAGTTCTTGTAGAGGAAGAAGATGTATTACTCAAATTTCCATTTAGATGGTTGTCATGTGGTTGTTGATGTGTATCTTCTTTCTTCTTGAAAAGATCCATTTGTCTAGTGGTGAATAAATTAGATAATTCTGTTCCACTGTCGATAGGATGATGAAACCCATTTGATATTTCATTTTGTTGTCTTGGTATATTCATATTTTGCACGTTACCACAGTTATTTAACTGTTGATGCTGTTGCATTTGTGCCTGTAACTGAGATTGATGGTTATTCATGTATAACAAATCTTGGTCATCATCTAATCCTGATCTCATCCCTGGGGCAGATCCAGATACGTTACCAGATGTAGTACCGGGTACAGTAGCTGATCCGCCAGATTCTGTGAAACCAATATCGTTCAATTGTTCGAAATTCATCTTGAAATCAGTCTCCAACGGAGCATGGGCTAAGAAATTCTTGTAAAATTCATCGTCTGGTGATAAAGTCAAATCTGGATGGTGAGACGTTGATGAGCTTGGACTATTATTACTCTTCGTTGTTGGACTTTGATACAATTGATTCAATTTGGGAGTCCTGTCCGTCAAACTTTGTGAAGAGGATTCTTGTTTAATGATATGAGTGTCTGGGATATCCGTGAAATGATCATGAATACTTGTATTTGAGCCATTTGGAGAATTTTTATTACTTGATAATTTGCCTGTTGCGAATAATGCTGATCTTTGCAACTTATTTGATCTTTGATTTTGTCCTTGTCCTTGAGATTGATTTTGATTTTGATTCATTCTCTTTAAATTCAAAAACGATTTAGAAGATGTTGGGACATAACTAAAATAATCTAAATTTGTATCATTCATTTGATTAGTTCTTGCATAACCTGACGCACCACCAAACGTTGGACCCATAGTTAAAAAATCCGATAACATTGCCATTGTATCCTGTTGAGACATCCCATTTTCGTAACCGGTATTCAAACCATCGTTATTATTATTGTTGTTATTATTATTATACATCATAAACTGTTGATCATTTGAAAGATTGACACCTGTATGATTAATATTACCATTATTTTGCTGACCGATGTTTGTTTGATCTGTTAAACCATTATTTTGGTCCAAAGAAAAATGTGGAATTTCCATATTATTTAGATCTATCCCACATTCCAATGCTTTTTCAAACACTTGTTTTGCAGTCATTTGAGGTGTAGAAAATCCAACTTGATGTGGAGCGTCATTGGCCATATCATGATTAGTCATTGGCCATCCAGTAGTTAAATTATTATTAGCGTTGTTATTATTATTAGGATCTTCCAAATAAGTCAAAGCGCTTGATGCAGAAAATGAAGCATGTCTCTTATGTCTATATTGTTTATTATTTGATGTTATATCCATTGTATTTCCAATATTATCATTACTATTACTATTACTATTAGTACTGTTTGAATTTATTGGATATACCGCTAATGGAGATTTTGAAAGTCCATTAACATTAGATGTTGTTGTAAAAGGAGAATAGTTACTTAATGCGGGACTTGGATTTGAAGTATTTGGTGAAACTGACGAATTTTTTTTAGCAACTTTATTTGATTTCTTTAATTTATTTGATCTTTGTCTTTTACCTGTGGATACAGAAGGTGATGAAGCTGCAAGAGCTGCGGCTTCTTTAGCGGCTTCTTTAGCTTCCTTTTTCAATTCAGCTGCACTTTTCGCCATTGGGTTTGTTAAAGTTGGTAAGATTGATTTTTTATTCCCATTAATCTTAATAATATGTTTATCGGAGACATTATTTCTATCTGTTGATTTTTCAATCAACGGCATGCCTTGTTGATCATATAAAATGGAACCTTCCATCATATTTGAAGGTGATAAAGAATTCGATTCTTCGATAGCTGTCACATTTGCAGCACCAACAGCAGCAGCAGCAGCAGGTGAGCCATACAAGTTACTATTACTCTGCAATCCGTTTTCATTTTCCTTAATCAGTATTTCTTGTAAAAAATCATGAACTTTCGTAGAATCATGATTAACATTTTTACTTTGTTCTTCGATACTAATCAATGATGAATGCAATTTATGTTGGTGTCTCAGCACCAGGTCCCTTCTCGCAAAGCATCTCCCGCAAAAGATGCACAGAAACGGTTTTTCGTTCGTATGTGACCGTTCGTGTCTTTTCAGATGTTCCTGTCTGACAAACCCTCTTGTGCAAGTGGGACAAAGAAACGGTCTTGGTTTATCTGTCTTGATGATGCGGGACTTCACAGGGATCGGAACCATCTGCAGGTCGTATGCTTGAGTATCGCCATCCATGGTTTGCAATTCTGTGTGTGTGTGTATATATAAATAAAGAATAAATGTATTGTTTAACCAGTAAACTCTGAGATAGTCTCTATTCTTGTATCTCTTAATATATCAGCACGAGATAGAAAACAACAACCACAGTGACAAATGACAATATAGTATGTGTCGCGTGTATCCAAATGTGTATAACCTTCTCTGCAATACCAATTCTTTGCCTCTTTGCTTCTCTTTGCCCCTCTCTCTGTCTAAATGTATATATGTGTGTATGTATTAGCTCATTACTTTATCTAATATATATCCACGACACTTTCCTGAGTGTGCGTATATAATAAAAAGAAAAAAATAAATAAAAATAATGAAAATGTTGTGATATGTGCCATACATACCGTATCCGTCTATCTGTAACCGTATCTGTCCATCCGTGTACTGCCCATATCCGTCTGTGTGTATAGAGAGATGCGGGCATATATGTACGGCAGTTGTCGGCGAGCGAGCGGGCACGCGTGCGCTGCGCGGTAACAGTTGGCGACCGCCGCGTCGTATGCTGTGATGTGCCACACTCTCGTGCCACTGCTATGTAGTTGGTAGTTGGAAGGCAGACTGCATTGAGACTGGCCACCATTGCAACTACAGGAACTGCAACTGCAGGCAGGCAAACAGCACCCATCACACACACATTGATCCTCTCTCTCTATATATATATATAATACATATAATATACATAACCACAATACATACACATGTACCGCAAGAGAACGTTCACGGCCAATCAGATGAGGGAGATGGCGCGCCGTGCTTCTGCATTCCACTCCTGCTGAAAAAATGGTTTATATATATATATAGTGAGAGAGGTTTGCTCAAAGGGGGGACAGAATATCAGCTACTTAAAGGACAGTATTGCACAAGAAGTAGAAGAGTTTAGCCACTACTAGTACTACTGACTGAGACTATAAACACACATACACGTACATACATACACACTATGTTCAAGAGATATCCTACACCTGTGCTAAAGACTTACTGGCCATTCTTTGTTGCTGGCGCAGTCGTATACTGTGCAATGGGGAGCCTCACCGAAACAATGCTAAAATCTGATGAATATATTAATGATCCAAGAAACCCAAGATTTAAAAGAGGTGAAAAACCAGTGGATTTGAAGAAGAAGGATTAAACTCAATCCACCCCCTGATATATATACCTACACTGGAATTATTATTATTATTATTATTATTCTACTACTCCCTCACATATACTTTTTTTACATATATTCTATCAAGAGAAACAACAATAAAAAACAAATACTTTAAATTTATTTTCTTTGACTAATTCGTATATACATATATAGTTATATCTATTTAATCGCGCTATCAATAGCATTTTGAAACATGGTACATAACGTCTTTCTACTTTCACATCCAATACTAATTCTAATTAAGGTCTCATCAAGACCAAATCTGTTAGCATCTTCAAGCTCGGATTTACTTGAACCATACTGTAGTATAGTATACGGACTCGCCGTAGTCAACGTAGATCCTAAGGATGGTCCCTTGTATATCTCTAACGAATCATAAAATTGTCTGGCTTTAGCCATATTATGAAACGTAATGGAAAATATATTACCATATCCACTATCTTCATTACATTTAATCATTTCATAATTGCTCTTTGTGACAGATGACGTAAACCTAGGATAATATACTTTCTTAAATAATCCTCCCTCATGCTTAACAATTACATTATCAAGAATATATTCACACGTTAGATTCGTTTTCATGGTTCGAGCTACGTAGTCTCGAGAATCTCTCTCAAGCACTAATAAATCCTTACACCAGAGATTATCCTCATATTCGCCTAATTCACTTAGAAATTCATGTGCAAATGAATAAATTTTACTTTGTGGATTTAATATTAAAGTACCTGCCATGGTCCCCGTTTCACCACTAAATATCTTGGTTAATGAACTACAAACAATATCTGTATGTTGTAACCCATCAATATTAACAAAACTACCAATAGATTCATCTAGTATAATATAGAATCCAAACATATCAGACAATTCTTTCAATTCAATAAGATTACCCATCTTTAATAATGGATTCGAAGGTGCTTCGATGAACACAGCAAGGATTTGTTCCCCAGAATGTAATATCTTCTTTAATTGAGCCATCGATTCATTTTCACCGCCTGGCAAAAAATATGTATTGTTGAACGTTCGTAGCATCTTTAATGTATCAGAATATGGTAATCCAAACATTACAGTCTTTTTATAGAGATTAGCACCTTGTTTCTCCATTGGTTCATTATTACTAGAATTATCGTTATTATTAGTTCGATTATTCAAACCTGATATTGGAGAATTGTTACTATTTGTCAAATCTAAAGGTGTTCCAGTATTATTACCATTTGTCGTTGGGATCGATTCATTGAGACTTGTATTGGAGGATGCATTGCTTCTTGTCCGATTGACTCTTCTAAGATCAAATTGTAATAATAAACGTAATGTGGTAAATAATGAAGCCATCCCACTTGGAAACAAAAATACATCCTTTTCAGGGTCCACTAACGATTCCCTAGTATCATCTTCTTGAATGAGACTCATCGATTCAGTTCTTACATGTAAATTGCCTCGCGTTATAACGCCTCTATCATCATTACCGGGATTAAGTTCTTCCGTTGCATCAGCAAATATTGGTTCTGGTGGAATCATAGAGTTTAAACCTGTGGTGACCGTAGTCGTCACAGTTTCATCAATTTCTTGAAATTCTTCTCCATCTTCAAAATTCAAATCCCAATCACGTAATGTATTATTATTGTTGTTGTTATTATTACTACCATTGTTATTGCTGAAATTGGCTGAGGTTTCTGAATCCAAAAAAGTAGCATTCAAATTGGAATTACTATTGTTTTCATGGAAATGATAATTCGAATCATCATTTTCTTCATTCATATCAACAAAATTATTGGTAATTCTTTTCTTAATCAATTTCTTAGCTCTATCAGTAAATTCAACATTCAAATTTTTATCAATAAATGATGAATCGTCATTGTTACTATTGTTATTTTTAATGCTGTCGGTACTACTTGTAGTAGTACGTCCCATTGATGATGAAAGTACAAATAATTCATGCAAGACGTATTCAGCTGCCCTACTTGAGATAATTTCACCACTTAATTGCCAATATTCTTTTAAGATAGGATAGTATTCAGACTTTACAAATACAACAGCAATCTTACATTCACGTTTCCATTTTTTTTCCTCTGACGTAATAGGTTTAGAAGTAGCCAATTGTAAAATTCGTACTTTAACATTAGTTTGACTCTTGAATCGGATATATTCTCTACATCTTTTGGCTACGTTATATGAAGGAAAACAAAGGCAGGATTCATTTTCTTTAGCATATTTCTCACGTATGACATTACATAATTTGGACACCAAAGGATGTAATTTCACTCGGGGATATCCATGTTTAAATTTAGTATTACTTGTATCCTCTTTAGAAAGTGCATTCATATCGTGGACATAATCTACAGCACTTTGCCATGTCGGTAGATTCACAGATATGGAATGTAATGTATTAGATGGAATCGTATCATCCACTTTATGTATCGGCATCTTGCTTATTTTGTCGTTTAATCGAATGGAAACAAATAATTGCAGTATGGGTACTTTTATCTTCGCTGTGATTGTATATAATGGAAAACTGTTATCATTCAACTCAATTCAATTCAATTATATCCTAATCCTAAGCCATGTAACGTTTTGTTATCAGTAATATATATTTATATATCTATTAATGAGATGCAAATATTAGAACAAACGAGAGAGTTTCACTTCAAATCGTAACTGTAGTTATCGTCTAAGTCAGTTAAGTTCAATCCAAATATATAAATACACGACAAATGCTTCTTATGTAGTGTGTTCTATCGAATCTCTTTGCGTTTTGCTTCGATCAGTCCAGTCCATTCAACTTAATTATACTATACTGGTTATATACAGATATTTTGCCTCCCTTTCTTTTTCTCACACAACCCCCCACAATGTGTGTTCGTTTGTGTGTGTGTGTGACTTTCGCCCTCTCAGTGAAAAATATTTGAAAAATTTCACAGTTTTTGTCTTTTGCTCCCCATCGAATACTTCGACATGAATACGATGAGTAATACTACTTTGATACAAACAGGACTATATGTAAAGACGTAATGCATGCCAACATTCACATTTTATATTCTAGTTGGCTGTGACTTTTTTTTGACCGTGTATGTCTTAGAGCTGGGTTTGGTCCTTTCAATGTATATATCTCTCTCTTCCCCTTTCGTTGTACGAATGAGTATCTTCCTAAGATACTGGTGACTATAACACACCTTATTACATAATAGGTAATGGTCTCTCTTTGAACAGCACTTTATAACGTATGATATCACACAGGTCCACTTGTCCGTCTTGCGAATTGAACTTCAAGAGACCTAATGGAGTCTCCAACTCTTCAATGATACCCAACAGACGTTGTTTCTTACCGATATACAACGTCGCATTTTTCTTGTCCTCGCTGATGTTCAGTAGACCAAACCGTATGACATTCTTGCCCTTGTATGTATTAAATTGGGCATCTATGTTCAAGGCAGATATCTGTTCCTGTGTTAGGTCAATGTCAGGGATGTCGAGGTCACCTTGGATCTCTAGAATCATGTTACCAAACGCTGTCGGAACGGTGACCTTTTTCTGTTCGGGATCTAGTAATTGTGTAATTTGTTCTGTCGATATCGTAGTGGAAGGCATTATTACGTTGTTGTGGTAGTAGTGGTTCTGGCACTAAACTCGTAATATATATATATATATATATATATCTGCGAATTATTCAGTAAAAAAGGAAGTGTCAATAAACATCTCTTTTATTCCATCTTGTAGTAAAATTAAATTAAATAAATTTCACAGCGTGAACGAAAGGGGAGAAGCCAAAAAATAATAATAATAACGATAATAATATTCGCACTACATATGTGCCAGATCAGAAGTACATAAAAGAGAAAGGCAACCAACAGAAGTACAGTCGATATAAAGGGTAAATAAGAGAAAGAGAAGGAGATATCTATATTTCTATAAAGATGTTTGGTAAATTAGGAGGGATATTTAGTTGGGATAAACGTACAGTAGTACAACGATACACGCAGGACCTTTCACAAATTACTGGTGAGATTCATGCCCTTGAGAAGAGTTTGCAAAGAGGTCAGGACACAATAAATCGTATCCAGTCACGATTGACCACATATGGACTTATGGGTTCTGGTGCCGTGATGGCTTATGTGTACATGGAACGTATGTTTCCTTATTGGAGCAATTTTGTTAGTTTGATAGCGACATTTATAGCTTGTGTTGCAGTGTTGATGTCATTGAAATGGTTGGCTTCATTGATTTATGGGAAATACCAAACGTATCAGCAAAGGAAATTGAATAAGTTGAAGGCTATACATCAAAAGAAATTGAATGAATTGAAGAAAGAAACCAATTTTCATGAGACTAATTCAATTATTCAAAGGTTTTCATCAGGGGAGGATCAATCTGACGATGCAATGATTCTGATAGATGATGAATTGAAGGAAAAATATTCAGAATTACAAAATTTAAAGAATGAATTAGAGGCACTGAAACATAATGAAAATCAAACAGGTTTGAATAAAGAAGAAAAAGATGTATGGTTTGATAAAGTTATAGGTGTTCTAGCCGGGGGTAATGATTTAGATAAATTACCTAAACCTATTGTATGTCCCAACTGTCAGAAACATTCAGGTGCATATAGAATTCTTGGGAAGCCTTTACTTTTCATCTGTCCTTATTGTCAATATAAGATTGGTGAAAATACAGAATCGGTTCTCCCTCAAGAACAACAGTATGAGACAAAGAAGGAACAATCAACTGAAAGTCAATCAATTGAAAATCAATCAACAGATAAATAGCATTTGCATCGATATAAGCAATTATTTCCATATTATACAAATATATAATAACAACAATAATGAAAGATAATGTCGACCTGTTTAAAGTCCTTATGAATTAAATAGAAAAGAAGGATATATATATTTTAGACGCATATATATATACAGAATTATATCTATTTAGATAGAGACATGATAGCGTTAACAATGTCACCATTGTGGCTCTTTAGAGCCTTAATGGCAGCGTTCTTAGCGACGTTAGCTTGTTGCATGACCAATTCAATGTCTTCATTAGACAAATCACCAGCATCAACTTCAACATCGTCAGCTTCTTCAATCTTACCAGCACCAGATTCGATAGCATCGGCAGCAGCTTGCATATCAGCTTGAATGTCAGCTGGAGTCTTGGTGGCAACATCAGCGTCAGTTGGCATTATACCAGAAGCTTGAGCTTGTTCTTGAGCAGCAGCCAATTTTTGGGTGAAGTCGTCAACCTTTGGTTCACCAAAGACAACGTAGTTACCACCGGCAGTTCTGTAAACTTCTGGCTTTTCAATAGCAATGATTTCATTGTTCTTCTTTCTGTAGGCAACTCTGATGATACCTGGGACTCTCTTTAGACCTAGCTTCAATAGCAGGTCCTTGGACTTCTTTTCGTTCTTGGATAGGATGGAAACGTTTGGAGCAGACATTGTTGATAATATTTAGTTTTGTTGTGATGATTTGTTTTTTATTGATAATTAATATATATATATATTTCCCTATATAAAGATACGAATCAATTGTAATCAATCACTACAAAAAATACCCTCCAATTGTTCATGGACCTATCCTCAAACCTTACCTGTAAGGATTATACGTTGTTGTTGTCGTCGTCCAATTCCAATCAGTCAGTTCCTCTCAGTTTCCTCGTCGACAAAAAGAGAAAATTTTTCACTCTGAGCGAAGTTCGAGGAAACCCTAACATGCACGCCGTGTGGGTGCATACTATAACATGTTGAGTTTACTATGTACCGGAAATATAGGGCTTTCCCACTGTGAGAGGAAAGGGCAGTAATTGAATAATTTAAGGTGCGAAGAATAATAATAAGATGCTACTATCAAACCTGATGGAACTTTCTGTTTTTAAGTAGCGATTATTAGTTCTTATTCACTTTATAAAAGGCTTCTCTCTGGAATATATGTATATAGATTGATAAAACAGAATATTTTACCACACCCCCTTAACGTATATGTATGGAGTTATTGTTACGAAACCCTATTCAACGATCGTTACGTTCGACGTCTCGGTTCATTAATATAAATACTTTTAGGAAATGTCATTATAATAAACTAATATTCAGAAATAATAACCTTTTAAATGAGAATGCTGCTATACGACCCACTTCTCTGTTAATAAATACCCTCCATGGGAACAGGCTCTCAAGATCGTTTCATTCCATTTCATATTTGAATGCTAAGGATAATGCATTATATAGGAAACGAAAGAGTGAGAAAAACGAATTGTTAAGGAATACCACCAATATATTTACTAGAATGAAGATTCATATGAGATGGTTTTTGAAAAAATCAACAAATCCATTTAATGTAGATGATATTGGAGCTCTAATATCATGGATTGTAGTGAGTCATGTCCTTGTGTTTATTATTTGGACCACAACATTCGTGTCTTTGATCATATATTTAATGAACACTGTGTTTGCACAAGAATATTTGGCCAAAAAAATTGGTAAATTGATTACAAGTAATAATAATTTAACTGTAGTGTTTGAAAATGCTATTGTTCCAAGTTGGTCTGCTGGGAAGATTACCTTCAGTAAAGTATTCGTCTCTAGGAGACCGTATGGTGAAGATGATACCTTCAATAAAGGTTCTCAACAGGATGCGATGCAAAGAGCTACCCTAGCCTTAAGTGAGGATCTTTTGGTCAGTAGAGATGATTTCGAAGATGGGAACTATACACAATATGATTTGACTATCGAAGAAGTTCAAATATCAGTTAGTTTTACTAAATGGATAAATGGGAAAGGTTTTATAGATGAAGTGTCCATTAATGGTCTAAGAGGTGTTGTAGATAGAACACATTTAGTATGGAAACCTAATGATGATCCAAGAAACTATAGAAATATATATCACGTTGGTGATTTGGAGATTGCAAAATTTATAATGAATGATGTTCTAGTAACATTATATCAACCTAACGGATTTAGACCATTTCAAGTGAGTGTCTTCAATTGTGAATTACCACAATTGAGGAAACATTGGTTGTTTTTCGATCTCTTAAACGCAAATAGTATCAGTGGCACGTACGATAATTCAATGTTTACTATTCATAGAAAGATTAGATTCAATAAAGATGATTCCAAGTCAAGGATCGTTACACAATTAAGAATAGATAACCTAGATATAGATCATCTTAATGCAAGTATGGAGGGTCCCTTTGGATGGATTGCTGAGGGGTCAGTCGATATGGTTGCAGATATTTTCTTACCCGATGAGCACACTGATTCGTTTGCATTATCTGAATTAATTACAGATGTCAGTAACAAGATTTTAAACAGAATAGACTCAGACTCCCAACATTCTCAAGAGGAAGAAATAATTAGTACAAAAAATCTAAAGAAATTGGATTATAAGAAATTAGATCCTAATCAATATTTTGTAATGGATTTTTTCTTAAAACTAAACAATGTTAGGGCTGAGGTTCCCTTATTTACATCAGAATTGACCTATACGAACAATGCCTTGATAAGGCCCATTGTTGCATATATGAATTCACGAAGAACGTATATCCCAATAAAATGTATGGTCGTGAAGGATAAGTCTGATTTTGAAGGCTGTTGGACCATCTATGACTCGTATCTGATGAATGATTTGAGTGACGAGGTCTATGATGCTTTTGCTAACTATGTTTCAGACGAGCAAAGACGGTCGATCCGCGTAAAGAAAGTAACTTTTTGGTCATTGCAACTACTGCTACAATTGATCCTGATGGGATTAGGTGCAATAGCATAATAAAAAAGGATATAACACATATTCATATTCGGACTCTCTTCCATCCATCCCTGTAAATACACTCACATACATACATACACACATATATATATCTATATATATAGCATGCCATCACTACCCCATTCAATAAACAGATACTGGCCCAACATCTCATCTAAAACTTACAAACGTAGTGTTTATATCGTATTCGACTAAATAATATCAATAGAGTGCTATCCTGCTCCCCCGGGGCTCTGTGTGTGCTACATGCAATATTATATGTATATTTAAAGGGAACCCCGTACGGCGGACAAAGAGCGAGAGACGCAAGGGAGCGAAGGAAATATACTGGCAAGTTTTTTGTTTTGTTCTGTTTTTGTCTTTGGTAATAACAACATACAATAATAATAGGGAACCAAGAAGGTTTGTTAACAGGAAGAAATAAGTTAAAAGAGGAAGATATATCTATAGAGTTTTATTGTATTTAGTAGTGGTTAGTTTATCTTGTTTTTATTTTCTATTGCAACAAAGTAAACTTTTTGTATATATTTCCAGAATAAAAACGAAACAGTTGCAGAACATTTTACAGATAAGGTTCGCTACGAATTTCTTTTATTTTGCATAACCTATTGACTCATATCGTATTCATTAGACTAAAACTAATAATCATGGCACGTCCAGTATTGCAAACAACAGGCTCACTAGGTGTCTCTTATATCATATTCCGTGGTGTCAAGCACCTCCTTTCTAAACATGTCCCTGAAAAATGGTTACGAGTTGAAGAACAACAAAGGAATAGAGTCAACGACCTGGCTCAGAAAGTTGGTGGGAAAATACAGGATTCGTTGCCTAGTATCCCTGAAAAGACGCGAAATAATAGTGCCCTGTTAAAGACTGTTTATGATTCTTTCCAAAAAGTTAAATTATATGAAGTCGCAATCTATTTACTCACGATTCTGGTCGTAGTTATTTTACCACCATTATTATCATTACGTATGGATAAAAAGAAGAGAATTGCTTTGGAAGAATTTGAAAAACGAAACAAAGAAAATAATGATAAGCATGACGATAACGATAATATTAATTTAAGTAAAACTCACGAAGAAGAAGAAGAACCTGAAGAAGAACCTGAAGAAGAACCTGAAGAAGAACCTGAAGAACCTGAAGAGGAGGAATATGAAGAGGAAGTATCAGAGACTAGCAATGAACTTAGCAATGGCTCAATAAATAATAACGCCCAGCTTAGTTTAACTAAATATGAACAAACTACAGAAGATGAGACTCCACAAGAACAAGAATTGCCAGAACTAGAAGGCATTGAAGATGATAAGGATATTGATGAAAGTAATATCACTCTAGCGAGCTATCATGGTGTCGCAAGTGATGTAAATAATAATGAAATTGAAATTGAAGAAACTCCAGAATCAGAAGTCACCAATATAACTCATAATGGGGTTGATTTAGAGGCAGGATTTGAAGAAATTGATCAGATTGGTTCCCCTTTACAGCCAGTACATATTGAAGTCCCCGATGAAAATATAGAACCTATAGAAGCATCAAATGATGTCCAAGAGAAAGAAGTACTAGAACCAGAACAAGCAATTATCTTGGAAAAATCTGCCGAACAACCAAGAGAGGTACCTTCATTGTCAAATCCAATTGCCTTATCTTTTGACAGTCAAAGTTCACTCCATACTCAAATGTTGTTCCCATCAGCAGGATCATCATCTTATATTCAATTTTCACCAACAAAGACAAGTGATCTGAAAGTGGAGATTAATAAGAAGAACGCTTATTCACAACCCTTCGAATACTAATAGTACATAATCAGTTAAATAAAATTTAGAAAAAAAAATTATTTAAAAATTAAAGGTTATCTTGACCAGGGGTTATAGCAGTCAAACTAAGGAAAGTTATCATTTCCCATTTTTTGTTTACATAAGGGTGTATAAAGCTTTCTTGCAGAGTCTAGAGTAAACTTATAATTTTTTAAACAAATCATAAAAATTTCAATAATATTTTTCTGCTGGAAATTTACTACCAAAATTTTCAATAATGAATCAAATTATAAGTATGAACTCTCACATCATCAGTCATTGATAAGTATCGTTCCATATTTTTGTTGATAGTTTGACTCTATTTTAACTAATCTGTCATACTGAGTCCTCAATTAACACAAATACTTTATAATATTCTAGGTACAGAGAATAGACGCAGAAGCTTCTTCATCGCCGCGAAGAATCTTTATTGGAAAATTTTCTTAGAGAATAACTAAATGAACAAAGAAGCTCATCGCATCTCTTACTAGTAAAAAGAACTAAATATATAAGATAAAAAATTGAATAAGCATTATCTTTTAATATCTAAATCTGAATTAGTAAAAAAGACGTACAACCTACTATTAACAATGAGTGTAAAAGGGATATCTATGACCTCATTGGTCAAGGAATTGGAAATCGCTACAGGAAATGATTTCCAAAATGTTTTAAAAGCACTTTCGTCTTCGACTTACGTTGATGAAAAACTATTGAAAACTGACTTAGGATTATTGAATGCCAAAATCTTAAAATTACTACGTTCTAACAAAGAATATGAGGTTTGGAAGGGCTGTCATGCCGCTTCTATGATATGTTCTTTTAACGCACTATTCTTATTGTCCTACGGTGGTCAATCATTAAATGCAGTTTATGCTAAACTGGAACATATGTTAAATTATTACTCAAGTACAACAAACACTTCGCAAGGGAGAACCCTATTAAAGACTCTAGTTACCACTACTAAGATTTTGATGGACTTAATGAGAAACAAACCAACTCTTTCGAGAGAATGCTTGGTTCCAAAATTGAAAGCAATTATTCCAACACTCATCCAGTTAAGTCGTTACGATCCCGAATTATGTCTGCCAATCCTTAGAGATCTGTTATTTAAACATAGTACTACGTTCAAACCATATGTGAACAAGTTCCGTGCATCTTTGACAGAACAAATCGCTACTGGTTACCATCATTTCCCTAAGGAGGTTCAACAATTGTTGTGTAGTAACTACGCTTATCTACATTTGATTAAATTACAAGCACAAAATGTTCAAGATGAAACAGAAGCGCATCACAGAGCTTACCATGATGAAGCATGGAGAGCAGGAATTTTCTCCATTTTAGTCCAGTTTAAACCAATTATTAAACTTTGTAGCAATATTTTAGATTTTGATCAAGATAAAGAATTATCTAAACTATTTGAATTGTTACCATCGGATCAATATAAGGATTACAAGATTGAAGAATTTTTGCCACCATTGAAACTTGATTTGAATGCACCTTTTACTTTATGGGAATTGCCTAGACGTATCAACTTATTAGTCGATTTGCTGACCTCTTTTGTGACTCAACCGACTCCATTCCCAATTAGAGTTCCAATTGGTACAATTAATTTCATTTGTGAAACTTTAGTCAGTGTTTCTACCAAGTACTTACCAGTGAAGCGTGAATTACGTCGTGATCAGGACTTAAATGCCATTATCGCTGACATTCTTCCTGAAATCCAATTCGCTGGTATTACGTTATGGAGAGATATGCTCAAATCTTACGGAAAATGTTTCTTACCAATGTCTGACAGAATTCTTGGAAGTCTTGAAGTCTTTATCCCATTCAAACCAAAGTCTAATGTGGTTGACTTGGAGACTTGCAAACTTTTAGAAGAAAAACTTTTGAATGTGTTCGAGGTGGCTAATTTGGTTTTATCTAACGTTGGCCATAGATTGAATGAAGTCGATTCCATTCTAAAATTAGTAGAAATAGGACTGTATTTAACTGAGGACACTTCATTGATTGAAAGTATATTCGATAATAAACCATTAGATAAAAAAGAAGCCATAATTTCTCAAAATAAGAATAAAACCAAACATAAGAAGGATAATAAAGCTGGTGCAATTACTGATCTATACACTAATTATGACCAATTCCTAACTAAAACTTCTCTTCGTAAATTTGATGAAATTAACAATTTCTTAAGCTTTATCATTAGTAACTGGAGACTTGGTACTAGTCAACAAATTCAAACCATAAAATATTCAGTCTCTAGAAGTTTGCAAATCAAGGAACAAATGGGTTCTATTCCGCCCAGTTTTGTTAAATTATTGAGATTATTGGTCCTAAATCCTGGTAATGAGAGATTATCTATCTTACCAATCGCCATTTCCCTATTAAAGGCATCTAACGATGTGGCTTTCGATTTATTGTGCCATCCAAGATTACCAATGGGTATTGTTCACAATGCTAAAAAATTAGCTGATGTAGAAGAGGATGATGAAAAGGTCATTGAAGAAGGGACTTACCATGGCGTTGAGGACGATGGTGCTGAAAAAGCTCATTCATCGTATAATTTCAACATTCCTGAGATTGGCGACGATGAAGAAACTGTTCCAATTCCAAATCTTGAAAATCCTTCCATTCCTGTTACAAATGTTGAAAATGAGACAAAGGTTTTTAAGAAAAGATCTGCTGAAGAAGTCGAACAACTTGAGACAGAATTATCTGTTAAACGTACTAAAGTGAGTGAACAGTCCAAGACTAAAGAAGAGATTATCGAAGAACAAATTATTGCAGACAATGAAATCGAGAAAGAATTACAACCAGCTGTTGAAAGAGTTCACGAAGAAGCTGCCAAAGATGAAATAGTTGAGAAAAACGAACAAGAAGATGAAGATGAAGAAGATGAAGAATTCGAAATTCCTGAAATTCATTTAAGTGAATACGAAGATGACGAGGATGCAGAAAGTGATAACTAAATATATTTAAAGTACATATTGTAATTTAATTGAAAAAAAAAATAACCGAATAAATAATAAAACATTAGTAACCTTTTTGCATTTGACCATAGTTATATGAATGTTAAAATAATGATAGGGATAGGTATACATATATAAATAAATATAAATATATGTTTGTGTTTGTATGTATGTGAGTATGTGTCAAGAAATTAGGCAAAGAAAAAAGAAAGATCATCAAACTAGGTCAACTAGAGATTTAGTAATTTCGTTCTTACATGGAACAGATAATGGATTTGGTCCACTCATATATTGACTAAACAAAAATCTACCAACGGCTGGTTCTTTAACCAACTCCATCTTGTAAACATCACCATGTTTGCAATTGATATAAGTCATTTGTAAACTACCGTCGGAGTTTAATTCCATCAATAAATCGTCATCTTTCAAGAAGGAACCCTTTTTGTTAAATGCGTTTCTTAATTCATCAATACCCTTTTCCAAAACCTCTCTGTTTTCTTCAGCATTTGGATGATTCCAAATTGTCTTAATAATACCTTCTCTAACGAAAGTCAAGTTAGTATTTTTGATTGGAGTAAATTTTGCGGTCATTCTAACACCACCATCCAACAAATTTCTTGCTAATATGACAGATTTTACTGGATCTTCAAGTGCAGCCAGAACATTTTCTTTATGAGTTTTATTTTCATCTGTATCAATAAAAGTTTTCTTCAAAAAGAAGGAGTTAAGGATCATTGGAACATATTTTTTATCATCATCAGCAATGTAGATACCGAGACCATAAACCTTAAAACTTTCAACGATCACAGATCTTACACCTAGACCTAATAAAGAATAATTGGTGCCCAATGGATACAAAGGTGGACGTAATGCACTTGGGAAGGAGTTGATTTGGTCATTGATCTCAAAATATTTAATCTCTGGCAATTTATTAGAAGTTTGATATGAATACAATAAAGCACCAACACCTAGACCTAAAGTTCCAGCTATCCAGTAGTTGGAAAACGTCTTAGGTCTCTTAGCCTCAACAGGAGATGTGTTGCTCGTAGCATTTGTAGCAGCTGTCTTTCTTAAACAAAGAAATGTAGAGAACCTGGAAACTCTAATATTTTTAGAGATACAACTTTTCGTAATACCCTTAGCTAAAGTGTTTGCGTACATGATAATTAATGTGCACGGAGTTGATGAAATTTAAAGCTCTCTCTTCTAATATAAATTCAATATCAGTTTAAAATAGGATACAACAAACCTTCTAGGGAAACAAGTTTTCGAGTGAATTTCAACTATATATATACTTAAACATCTATAAACATTTCGAAATAAGGCAATAATGCGCTGCCATTGTATAAGAAGGGGATCCGCATTAGCATTGAGAATAGCAGTTCTAAATAATTACGAGTCAATACTCCGTACGCCAAAGTTGAAATATCCCAAACATCTAAATATGCTCTTCTCGGGTGTCTGTCTGTCTCGTATTCTTCCTCTTTCCCTCCCTGTTCAACTTGGTAAACTTTCAACGAACTTCGTGAAAAATGTTACTCTCTGCTTACTAAAACGGAATCGATCTGTACAAAATTTGTTAAGCAGAGAGAACCAACAGCATGAGCCTGAAAAAAGAAACGAAAACTTATCAACGACAAAGGTAAAGAGTGATCACCGCCGCAATCTCTAGGACGAAGGAGGGGGTTTATGTCCAATTTAAAGGCAAATTTATGTTTTTTTGTTGCAGCTGGTAATTACAAAGAGCATAGTGATGATCTCTGCGGGTGTCGAGTCCTTCATGTATTAATCAGGTATAGCTAACAGTTTGGGAGACCTTACCTGCAGAGTTTTCTAAAAATTGACATTACAAGAATTATTGGTTAATGGGCAAAAACTGGTTTGGTACATGTAGGTGTATTGTTTCCCTCTTTGACATCTATATAGAAACCCTGTCGTTTGCTAATGATGGTCTGGACCAGAGGTATCTGAACCCATACCCTCCATTTCTTGTTGTAAAACGTCTTCTATGGTAGCCGTTTGATCATTACCATTTTTAAAATGATCTATGTTGTACTTGGCGGCTTCATCGAGACGTTCTTGATATTCTTTTTTCACAACCTCCATCTCTTGTTCCACTTCTTCATCTACTTGGAAACTAATGGCACTGAAACCATTTTAGGTGTTAGTAATATGTAACATCTTTGAATATAAATATTTCTGATGAAACTTGGTATTTAGTTAAATTGTATTATATACTTCTGATTCAAGGTGTGATAAACATATAACATACATTTCTTGGTCAACAATTCAATTGCCTTCTTCTTAAGTTCTGCCCTTTCTATTGGTGTCAAGCTCATCGTTCAACTTGTTAAAAAAAAATAAAAGAGTAAACCTACAACCACGATAACGAAAACAGACACTGTACTTTAATATCTATTGTTAATGTAAGATCTAGTTACAATTCTTGCTCTTATATTCAATCACAAATGTTTACTAATTTCTCATAGATATAGATAATATTTACTAGTTATGAAATTTATTATGGTCATAAAATCATTTCTAACGAAATCACGGCAAGTAATGAAGCCCGAATATATCACTAAGCGATAATATTTGCTAGCTGTAGTGAAACCCTCATACCAAATCTTTAGAGGAAGTTTGCCACCCTATAGAGTAAAATTTCTTGAGGAATAAGGAAAGACTATAAGGATTGAGAAGGTTGAAGCCAATTGGGACATAAGGAATCAAGGTAAAAAACATCTGTGAAGTATCATCATTTGATTGGAAGGGACATACTTACGAGACATTTGATATACAGAAGAGGATTCACGTTGTGGAAGGATTTTGTTGAAGAAATAATAAGACCTAATAATAACAGAATAAAATTAGCAAAAGCATAATGGTATTAGAAGCTACTGTACTAGTTGTTGACAACTCTGAATACTCCAGAAATGGTGATTTTCCAAGAACCAGATTTGAAGCTCAGGTAGATGCTGTCGAGTTTCTATTTCAAAATAAAAGAAATGAAAACCCTGAAAATAATGTTGGTTTAATAGCAGCAGCAGGTGATAATCCTGTTGTATTGTCCACATTCACATCAGAATTTGGTAAAATATTGGCAGGATTACACGAAATTACAATTGGTGGTTCTATCCACTTAGGTACAGCAATCCGTATAGCTGATTTAACTTTAAAGCATCGTCAAAATAAACATCAACGAGAGAGAATCGTCGTGTTTGTATGTAGTCCAATCTTAGATACAAAAGAAGAATTAGTAAAATTAGGTAAGAAACTAAGGAAAAATGGTGTTACCGTTGATATCATTAACTTTGGAGAAATCGAACAAAACACAGAAATATTAGAAGCATTTTTTGAAGCAGCAGGAGAACCTACTGCAACAGAAGGTTGTCATTTAGTTACTTTAAAACCAGGCCCAAGATTGCTGTATGAACAAATTGCCACGTCGTCAATCATATTAGGCAACAACCACACAGGTGACGCCAATGATTTCAATGACGTTAACATGGGCGGTGAGAGTGCATTTATGGATTTCGGTGTAGATCCATCAATGGATCCAGAATTAGCGATGGCTTTACGTCTATCTATGGAGGAAGAACAACAAAGACAAGAAAGATTAAGACAGCAAGAGCAACAACAGCAAGAGCAAAGTAATGGCAATAATGAATCTGAGACTAAATAGTCTTATTGAATCCTTACAAATCGAATATAGTATCTATACATATACAACATTTTTTTAAAAAAAGTAATTAAAGATTAGTTCCCTTCTATAGTTTTAATGTAGAGATTATTCATGCAACTATTCATATATAGCTTTTATATGTACTTATGATAATATTATGGAAAATAAACATATTATAATCTTTGAGCGATCTTGATAACATCACCTAGAATACCAGCGGCAGTAACATCAGCACCTGCACCAGCACCTTGAATGACGACTGGGTTAGTGTAACGTTTGGTCTTGATGGAGATGACATTGTCAGAACCCTTTAGAGCAGCAAATGGATGAGAGTAGTCGTATTTTTCAATACCGACAGAAACCTTGTTGGTCTTGACATCAACCTTACCAATAAATCTTAAGACCTTCTTTTCCTTAGCGGCTTCTTCCTTCAATTTAGTCAAATCGGCATCATAGTTTGGCAATTTTTCCAAGAATTCGGCAGCAGCTTCAACAGATTCCAATGGTTTTGGAATCAAAGATTGAACTGGGAATGATTGTGGGTTTTCAACTTGTAGACCAGAGATTCTGGCAACAATGGTGACCTTTCTGGCAACATCTAGACCGTTCAAGTCATCTCTTGGATCTGGTTCAGTGTAACCTAATTCCTTAGCAACCTTCACAATATCAGAGAATTTAACATCATTTGGTTGAATGGTAGAGAATTCATTGAAAATGTAGGATAAAGTACCAGAGAAGATACCTTCAATCTTTTCCACTTCGTCACCAGTTTGAATAATTTCTCTTAGGAAACTTAGAATTGGCAAACCAGCACCGACAGTGGCTTCATGGTATACTAGACCATCCGTTGGTCTACCGGCAAAGATCTCCTTCCAAGTGGCTAGATCAGAAGAGAATGCCTTCTTATTTGGAGTAGCAATGGAGATACCACTTTCAACAATCTTTGGGTAAAAACCAGAAATGTAAGCGCTAGAAGTGTTATCAACTAGAATGGTTGGCTGTGGAGATTTCTTCAAGAATTCGATCAATTCTGGAATGGTCAAGGTCCTATCAGAGGCCTTAGCTAGAGTATCCTTCCAATTAGCGTCTAGCTTCAACGGAGAGTAGTCCTTAGAGATTAAGGAGTTTTCAGCTTCACCGACATAGACCAAACTGTAAGTGATTGGGGATTTCATAGCAATGATTTGGTTCAAGAAAGAAGAACCAACAACACCGGCACCGACAACGGCAACATTAACAACCTTACCTGACATTTCTATTTTATTTTATTATATTATCTAGAGTGAATACACTTTAATCTAAAATTTACAAATAAAGATACTAATAACAATTTCAATGCACAAAAAAAAGGTTCAAATTGATATGATTTCAATGAATATGTTTTAATATCATTTTATATAAATTTCAGTAAAATGGTTTACAATTTCCACATGGAAATCTCTCTCATTTTCCCTCCCTCTATTAGTTAATTAGTTAGTCATTTTTCATTTTTCACAAAACTTTCAGTTATTTTACTGTACAGCGCAATTTCAGAGATGATAAAATATTTCCGGCATCGCTTTGCAACTTGTAGCCTTCGCAATGGGAAATTATCAGTTTAAGATACCACGAAGTATCGAAGGGGAAGAAACTGGAACAGAAAGAGTAGAAGTGTGTAATTGTCTGCAAGCTTTCACGTGGTTGGGTTCATTTCCTTAAGGTGATGAGCAAATTGAAAGTTTAGTAAAATAATACCATATATGGTGAAATATACAGAAGTTTGGAATGAACTGACTCACTCAATTTCCCTATTTACAAAAAAGTACGGACATTATATATATCTATCTATAGTTAATTCGTAATATTTTGAATCACAAATCTTGGAATGCCATTTCAAGAGAAGGCGCTACTTGCTTTCTGGAGGCTTCGATATTTTGTTGTTCATATTGTTGAAATTCTTCATCGTTAACTAAAGTTCCTGATGTATTTCCCATTACACCAACATCAGGCTTTTCAAGTTTTAGATATTCTTCAATATTACTAATCATATCCTTTGCAAGAGATTTAACTTCATCAGATGGTATCAATGTCATTTGTCTTTGAAATTTACCATTTTGTACAAATGACGTCATAATAGTCAATATATCGATATCTTTCTCCTCTCTATATCTAATACACTCTTCTTTAAAACCCTGACGACCGCCGAATTCCTCATATAACCAACCCATTGGTTTCACTATAGAAGATATACCCATAATCAGTTTTCCTTCATGAACACCCTTTGTGTTCGAGAATTCAAATTGTTTGTAATCTTTTCTTAGTAGATCTCTTGCTGTAAAACCAGAAATATCATTCTTTGCATTCTTAATGATCTTGGTATATTTATCCATATCAATATCTGGTGCATATTTAGAATATAACTCTTTGGAAATTGAATCAGCATGTTCCACTCTATGACTGAAATTCGTAGTATCAACTAAACCGGCAGCCAAACATAATTGTGTAACGTCATGTCCCGGTTGGTAACTCTTCGGTAGAATTTCATTCACAAAATAGTTGTACACTAAAGAGGTACAACTACCACACACTTGGATAATTCTAGGTGAGGCATCTAAATATAGACCCATATCCTTATGATGGTCAACCACACCAACAACTTTTGTAATGTATTTTTTAACTTCATTGACTACTTCATTATGATCCACAAGGACAGCCTCGATAGTTTTGTTACTTTCTTGCCATTGCTTAACATCATCGAGGAAAAATAGAAGGTCTTCATCAATGTTAACATCATTCAACACATGTATGATATCTCTTCTCAACTTCAAATCATCCTTTGTAATATTAATAATTGGAATGATCGGTTGGGCATCCTTTGAGTTTTCCACAAATCTGAAGTAAGCGTAGCTGATTGCACTAGTGACAGAATCCAAATCAGCAGATTCGTTACCACAAACTATTCTTACCGTATTGCTAGTCACCGGCGTTGCCTTTAGGAGGTTTAAAAAAGAGCGTACGGTTAAGGACATTACTATCTATAAAACTATATTCCACTGGAGTAATTGAATAGGTATAGATACGAATAAATGTTATCATTTCTGTCGAAACCTGTCAAAGTGTAGTTTAATCTCTCTCATTTAAAGCAATACGACCGATGGGGCACTTATCTTGTTGACATCGCGTTCCACTCACAAGACCAAGCAGGCTGCCAATCCAAAAAAAAGGCAAAATGCAAGGGCTCTAACCTCAAAGAGATAAGGGTGAGGTCTCACTAATGTGATCTCGAACAGTAATTAACAGGTAGCTACTAAATTATTCAATTCATTGACCATCAAGAAAAAAGTGTAGTTTATCTTTCAAACATGTTCTGATGTTGGAATATATCTATATAATGCGAATATAAAATATATATCATGTGAAGTTAAGATGGATATCCAACAATTCCCTTTGCTGTATCTGTTCAGGTTCTAGCGTGGGCCACCCATAAATGATAGGAGCATAGAATACAAAGCATGATATTATTGGGACAAGGAGAAACATATAAAATGAATATAATCGCCTTCCTAACCGTGTATAATCTTCTTGTTTTGTCTTGTTTGTTTGGAGAAGAGCTTCCCAGAAAATAGCGGTAAATAGACATCCTATCATCTGAGCAGGTAAATAATGATGCAGAAACTTTTGCCTTTCCATTAAATAGAATGGGAAGTAATGACAGGCCCACCCTATAAATAGGAATGCCAGTGGTCCGAAGAAAACTTCTCTCATTTCACAAGTAACTAATCCTATGACCCAACTAGGTAATAATATGTCAATCATTATTATTACAACATATATTAATAGAGTAGCAGCCTCAAGCCACCATGCAATAATATTACCAATAAAATATATCTGATCCCTATCTTCGGCTTTAGTCCAATATAGAACTCCACTGAGACATAATGGCCAAGACGATGGCTGTGAAGCAAAATCATGTTCGGATGATAAATCATTATTGTACATAAACATTGCATTCTGTAATTCTGACCATTTACTGAAAAATGGATATTCTTTAAATTTCCTCTCTGTTGCCTCATCTTTCCTTTCTTTATCTATGTCAATAATTCTATCTATTTTCCAATCATTGTACGCAAAACCAATCCTATTAAGGTCCATATTAGCCATGATTAGTTGTTCATCATTATAAGAGTCGCTATTTGTCTTGTTATCCATATAAATTGTACATTCTACTCCTGTATTAAATATTTTAAAGGCAGTCTTGTTAGAACTTACAACATGACCATAATCGATTTCCCTTAAGGGTAAAAGGTTAAATAATGTGTGCTCATACATATAAGTGTCTGCTACATCTTTATCAACCATTGTAAAATTTGTCGTTTCACCACGCACATCTGTCGGATCATTCAACATATTGTTTGATGATAAATATTTCCCAGAGTAAATGTTCTTAAATTTTACGTTTGTGTTCAATGTCAACACTGAATCACATCCAAAATCCTCACAATCGTGCTCTGGTATGATTTGCCATATTACTTTATCATTAGTAACATAAGTACCCAATAATGTATTATTAGTAACGTCATCCACGCTTAAAAATATTTCTGAAAAATCATGACGTATGGTAATTTTGTCAAAGAATCTAACATTAAACTGATCATGATGATCTAAAAAGGCTTTGTTAGGTATTAAACTATCTTGAAATGCTTCAGACAAAAATTCACTCTCCTCACTATCATATATAAGAATTTGAAAATGAATCCAAAACCAAAATAGATACAACAGAAATGGTAACATGACCAAATAGTTTAACTTTTGAATAAAATATCTCATAAAAAGCCTTAAACTAGTACTCTTTGACTGACAAAATAATTGCCATAGATTATAACATACAGCTATTCCAATAGTTGCATACGTCATCACGCCAACATATTTACAAGATATGGCACATGACAAATATATTCCTGTTTGAATCAACCATATATACCATTCCCTCGTAAATGATTTCCCATGAGTTATTTCACATTTATAATATCTGATATAGGAATATAATGTAGCACTGATACTCAACAATAGCAGTGTATCCAGGAAGATAAATCTTGTTTGACATACTTGAGCATTATCAAGAGCGAAAAGTAAAGACCCAAATGCACACGTTATTGCAAAACAGTTCAATTCCTTTAAAGAGTTAAAAATAAGTGGCACTATCAATGTACCTAATATAGCATTGACTACCCTATATGCAACATAAGGTGCCACTACTGCGCCATCCTCTATGTAACTCTGTCCAACGTAATCAAATTTAAAATATCCACTATAATTGGCTAAATATCCTATTAATGCAAAAAATAATTTTGCTAAGGGAGGATGCACATCAAAGAAAAATCTTCTTTCTAAGTAGTATGATGCAAATTTCCCAAAATGAACCTCATCGAAAACGACAGCAGAAGGAAACGTAATTTTAACCAATCGTACTACCAAGGCTATGAATGTGACCAGCAAGCAATATCGATTATATGTTATAGGAGAATCTGGGAGTCCTTTTCCCAAAAGATTTACTGAGTTGAATTTCGAATAGTCCAAGGAATCATCTTCCTTTTCTATTTCGACACTAGTTGTAGCAGACATACTTTATGCAGATTCTACTTTGTTACAGCAGCTGTATCCATCCGTTCAATTAGCAACTTATACTGCTCTCTGCACCAAGTTAAACTTCATATTTCTCATATCTAGATAAATAAATATATATAAATAGAAGTGAAATATGAGACAATCTATATAGCTAACTGTCTCATTGAAGTATGTCCTTACATAATATCCATATATACCGAAAGTCGAATAAAGAGAGATGCCACTTTTGTCGCTATCCCTCGGACGTTTCTGTATAATGAAAGACTAAAAAACAAACAAAATTCAAACAAAAAATGAAATGAACGAAATTCTAATTGTATTTGAAATAGAAACACCATTTCAACAAACAATTCACAACGATTACAACTGTGGATTCATTGTCAGTCGAATAAACTCACACACACACACATACACACACACACACATACACACACACACATACACACACACACATACACACATACATATATATACACACATATATATAATTACTATTATTATTTGCATTAGTATAATTGGATACTGCTTAATATTTCAACCCTTTAGCACATAGTACGAAATTTAGTAACACAGGTTTTAACTGAAATTGGAAAGAGGAATAATATGAGTGGCAGATACTTACAATACGGTAAAGCTGGTATTTTAATAACGAGGAACATTACCAATTCTTCGATTATAAGAGCTGGTGCTACGGCTACATCAACATCGACAACAAGTAGCTTTAAAAAGGTAACCCCAACTCCAACAACTGCATCCACCACATTGAAAGGTTACAATACTACTTTAAATAGCAGCCTTAAGGGGAAAGTTCTTCAAGAAAATACAAATGCTAGCACCATAGAGAACCTACCATCCAGGAATGAAAACGATATTGATTGGACCAAGTCATGGTACGGTATAGGGATGAAACCATTTGTGGAATCAATCCAAGAAAAGTTGTTACAACCATTGGAAGCCAATGATATCGAAATCAAACCAGATGGTTTATTGTATTTACCAGAAATTAAATACCGTCGTATATTAAACAAAGCTTTTGGAGCCGGTGGTTGGGGGTTAGTCCCCAGATCCGAGACTATCGTCACCTCAAGTTTAGTAACAAGAGAATATGGCCTAATATGTAATGGACAATTAGTTGGTGTTGCCCGTGGTGAACAGGACTATTTCAATGATACCGGTATTCCAACAGCTACAGAAGGTTGTAAGAGTAATGCTTTAATGAGATGTTGTAAAGATCTTGGGATAGGGTCTGAATTATGGGATCCTGTCTTTATAAAGAAATACAAAGAAACACAATGTATTGATAAGTTTGTCGAACATATTGCTACAAAGAAAAAGAAGAAAATTTGGCTAAGAAAAGATAGAAAAGTAGAATATCCTTATAAATAGAAGAGTAGAACCAATAACAATTTAACTTCCAAAAATCTATAAATCTTATAAATAATTTTCAAAGTGATACAATATCACTTTATTCAATTACCTCCTACAGCGACAGGTATCACCAAAATACAACTGACAAGAGAGGCGAGGTCAACCATTTCGGTTCCAAGTTTTAGTTTTTCTAGACTAACTAGATGTTTCTATAAATATTCTTTATTGTTAAAAGAACTGTTTCTTTCTTTCTATATAATCTGTTTCTATTTATCTCGAGATGACTTATCTGGGCGGCAGCTGCGGCGATAGGGCAGGTCGCCGTGAAGCACTACGGATGGGGAAGATAAAGAGAGAAGCAACTTTTGACGTCCCCTTATCAACAGATAAGAAACTTGGGAAATAACATATTTAAAACACAAATCTTTTACTATTAGTTTACTTATCCATATATAACCATAACATTCTAGTTTATATTAATAAAGTGTTTAGAATAAATCATATTTATTAACTTTAACCGATAGTACACGTCGAATAATGATAGTTTTTAAGACGTTTGGCCTTTGTACGCTGTTTGGACTGACTACCGCTCAAATACAGCAAAATATCCAGAATTCACTTAGTGTCCATGATGAAGAACCACTTTTGAGAGGACTTAAACTAGGAGAGTTGAACTTTATACATACCACAGACACACACGGCTGGTATGGTTCTCATAAAGCTCAATCTGATTATGATGCAGACTGGGGTGATTTCATATCGTTTATTCAACATTTCAGGAACAATAGAATACATGGTAACAAACTGATTAAGAGAGACCTGCTAGTGATTGACACTGGTGATAAACATGATGGAAATGGGTTAACAGATGCAACATCTCCTAATGGATTGGAAGCTAACGAGATATTTAATTCCTTAGACTACGATTTGCTAACTTTAGGAAATCATGAGCTATACTCAGCAGAAAGAGCTGTATTTGAGTACTATACTACAGCGATGTCATATAGATTCAAAGATAAATATATATCTAGTAATGTCAATTTCATTACGGCGACAGGTGACGAAGTACCCTTTGGGAATAAATGGCGTTATTTTGTCACACCTTACACAAGACATAGAATTCTAGCTCTATCATTTATATTCAATTTCAAGACTCCAAATTCAAGAGCTAAAGTTACACCATTAGTGGAAGAAATCAAGAAAGAATGGTTCTTACAATTGATTAATAAGTATCCATCAAACAAGATCGATGTACTTCTTGTTTTTGGTCATTTATCTGCAACAGATCCTGTAGAGCATGAAATTAATTATTTGTACGATGTATTAAGATCATTTTATCCTGACACGGTGATTCAATTCTTTGGAGGACATAGTCATATCAGAGATTTTGTAAAATTTGATGATCGGTCTACGTGCTTACAAAGTGGTAGATTTTCGGATACGGTTGGGTTTATTTCTATCAATAATATCAAATCTAAACATTCAGAACCAATATTCTTTAGACGCTACCTCGATTTCAATAAGAGATCCTTCAAATTCCATGCGAAGACAAAACACTTATCTACAAAAGTTGGTAACTACGTTTCTTCAAAGATTAATGTATTAAGGACTATTCTAGATCTGGATCACCAATACGGGATTGTCCCACAAACTTATTATATGATGGCAAGACCATTGGATTCAGAATCAAATATTTATTATCTATTCAAATCTGAAATTTTATTAAGCTTAAATTCTAGTATCACTGATCCGGCTATTGGCAGGATGATTATGATTAACACAGGGGCCATAAGGTATGATCTATACAAAGGCCCATTTACGAAGGACTCAGAATATATCGTATTACCGTTCGAGAATACTTGGAACTATATGATTTTACCTTTAAAAATTGCCTCTAGAATTGAGGAGTTTTTAAACGAATATCCGTATGTTATGAAAATGTTATCTCCGCCAGAGGTATTCCAGAATAATATATTAATTAAGAAGAACGAAATCGATTGCCCTGTTGTTGATAAACCTGATCTGTCGGAAGGGTATACCACTGTTGATGATTTTGGTTGTGATGGAGACGATACGCCACACAACACCCAAATATTATACAACGTTCCAAATGTGATACAATCAAATCAATTGGTTAGTACCAATCCAGATTCTCTGATCCATTTTATCTTTGTTAGTTTCCTTACTGACGATATATTACAAGCCGTGAATTCAATTGGTTCAGACATATCCCCAGGTTTCCAAAATTATACATCTGTTGATGTAAATATTTACGGTGGACAATCTGCGAAACAATTATTACGGGAATATATCATCCAAATATCCCAAACACAGGATAAATAACCTATTCATTTATTTAACCTTTTGCTAGTACTATCACCATTTTTATGCTAGCTAAGTTGAACATATCCATTTTCAAGACTTGCATTAAAATATACATATTCATTATACTTTTAAAATTGCTTTATCTACTACATATAACATACGTATATCTATATTTCGATTTTATTAATTCATTATCCTTTTCGTAGTTAGTAAAAGTAATAATGGAAGTTGAGAATTATTGATTTAAATTTTTATTGTTTTGTATATATGAGGTTACATGAAAACTATATTATTGTTGAAGGTAAAAAGAGAAAAACACAACTCTGTATGTATGGTACATAAGTTAAAGATAACTTATAAACCAGATTGAGCTCTTCTTCTGTCACGTTCTTCAGCAATGGTTAGCTTGATACCCTTACCCTTTGGTAGGGAAATGTATGGCTTACCTTGTTCACCAATGATGAAAACATTGTTTAATCTGGTGACGAAAGTGTTGTCTAGAGAATCCTTGATGTGGACTAAGTCGAAACCACCATCGTGTCTTTCCTTGTGGACAATAGTACCAATTCTACCCATGTTACGACCACCGGTAACGTAAACTAGCTTACCAGCATCGAACTTGATGAAGTCAGTGATCTTACCAGTAGCAAGGTCGATCTTGACAGTGTCGTTAACCTTGATAGCTGGATCTGGGTATCTGATGGTTCTACCGTCGTGAGTAACAACGTATGGAACACCCTTCTTACCTAGTTGGACCTTCTTGACCTTACCTAGCTTGTAAGAAGCTTCTTCATCAGTGATTCTGTGAACAGCGAATCTACCCTTGACGTCGTAGACTAATCTGAAGTTTTCGTTGGTGGCATCTAGAGTGATGACATCCATGAAACCAGCTGGGTAAGTAGCATCGGTTCTAACCTTACCGTCAACCTTAACATGACGTTGCATCATGATAGCCTTGACTTCACGACCGTTTAAGGCATACTTTAATCTGTTTCTTAAGAAAACGATTAATGGCAAAGATTCACCTAGCTTATGTGGACCAGCAGATGGTCTTGGGGCATAACAACCAGATAGTTTGTCTAACAACCAATGGTGTGGAGCTGCAAGTCTTTTTAGATGCTTCTTTGGACCTCTAGCCATATTGTCTTATATTATTATTACTGGTCTTCTTTTAGTTGATACAAAGTAAATTATAACTTAATTAATTTTTAATCAAATTCTTAAGTAGTAGTTGTTTTAAAAGTAAAACCTCTATATTACTATTGGTGAATGAAAGAGTTTATTGTGAATTTGTTAGTGAAAGCAGAGACTAAACACTAGTGTAAACGTAATTTAGTGTGATGGAAATTTTGCAGACTGCTCCAATTGCTTGCTTACCATATGTTACTCCATAATCAACTGTAATTAGCGTCTATGCATGATTGTGTTGGCTGAAAATAAAATAAAAATTGCGTTTCATATTGATCTTTGATTTTCTGTATTATCGCGCAGAGTGCCAATAATATCTTGTATTTCGGTATTATTCAAAAACTGAAAAATATTTTTGAAAAGTGGAAAAACAAATTAGTGGGTGTCTTGATGTTGAAAACCAAGAAAATGTAAGGATGTAAAAATAAAGTCATAAATATATATATATAATTAACTTTTGATATTATCTCAAATTTGTGAGACACACAACAAAAGTCCATTGCTAGAGACATTAAAATATACTGCTATATGCTTGTATATTTCTATAAATTTTTTATTGGTATTAAAATACTCCCTCTATAGATATATTTATTTGCTAGTTTTATAACTAATATAATATTAGATTTGAGAGTCATTATTTAATATTACATTTAAAGTAGAACAAGACTGTAATAGTTTCGAGCAAGTGATTGTGTTTTCCAAACCCAAATATTAGTTACATTAAAAGATTGCCACTTTCCTCTTAAAGTGTAAAGTATGGCTACCTGTACATTACGTTGCTGATTTACTTTATATTAAGCATGTATTTCTTTAACAAATTGTTCTCTTAACTATCGCCAAAAGTGACATTGAAAGCCCGAATCGTTAAATCTCAAAGGAAAAAATTAAGCAAGTCGCATCGTTAAATGCAATTTACGTAATAAAGTGAAAAATAAAAACAAGCACGATAATAATGTAAATCAGGTTACTTATTGACAACATGTAAAAAACGGTTACGGAATCTATAAAGCATTAAAGAAATAGATTTTTGGTAAGCACCATCTATAACTAGGGCTAGCAGGGAAAAGTATGAGTAGTCGAATATGTCAAATAGTTAAGAACTTTTTCATAATCTTTATTATATTAACAACATTCTTCCAAAATACATATGGTTTAGACACTGCCAAACAAAAAAGTTTTTCTTCAAGTGATGAGCAAGATAATTACCTGGAATTCACTTTTACCAAACCTGAATTAAAACATTATAGAGATAAAGTTGAACAGTTTTTCACATTTGCATTAGACAATTATCTTTCAAAGGGTTATCCATACGATGAAATCAGACCTCTTTCATGCGTACCAAAGACGAGAAATTTTGGGAATCTGAATGATCTTGTAACAAATGATGTATTGGGGAACTTTACAATAACATTATTAGATTCGTTGACAACAATAGCAGTCTTAGGGGATCGTCAACGAATGAAAGAACTAGTGAACTTAGTATTAGATACTTTTGATGATTTTGCAATTGATTCTACTGTACAAGTGTTCGAAACGAGTATTCGTATCATTGGAAGTTTAATGTCCACTCATTTATATATTACTGATCCAAGAAAACGTGTATATTTAGGAGATGAGTATGACGGTGAATCATTATTATTATTAGCGAAGGATATTGCCGATAGGTTATTACCCGCATATATGACGAAGACTGGTCTTCCAGTATCTCGTATTAATCTTTTGACACGATTTAAAGAATTAACCGTTGAGTTCTTAAATGAAAACAATGCAGCTGGGATGGCATCTCCAATGTTTGAATTCACAATGTTATCATATTTAACCAATGATATGAAATATGAAAGGATTACTAGATATGCATTTGATAAGATTTGGGACATGAGAAGTCCACTTGATTTGATCCCAATGTCATTCAATCCACAGGATAGAAGACTGTATTCTACGATGACCGGTGTTGGTGCATCGATTGATTCATTTTTTGAATATGCATTAAAGGGCTCAATTTTATTTGATGATGACTCATTATATGAAATATGGGATACCGCATACAATGCATTGAAAGTCAATTGTAGAGGAGATTGGCTGTATTATAATGTCGATACACATAGTGGTCAACTAATGACTTATTGGATCGATGCACTAAGTGGATTCTTCCCAGGTTTACAAACGTTAAGTGGGGACTTAGAAGATGCTATACCAAAACATTTATTATTCATGAATCTATGGGATACATTTGGTGGAATCCCTGAAAGATGGTCCTTTGATATCAGTAACATAATATCGGCCTCGAAAACGTCTTCACCATATGATCAACTACCAAAATATCAAAAGATGGAACAAGGGAAAGAATCCCAGGAGACGTTACGTAAACGGAATATACCATTAGAATGGTATCCATTACGTCCTGAGTTCATCGAATCCACATATTTCCTATATCGAGCTACCAAGGATCCATTCTATCTTAATATTGGGGTACGAATAATTAAGGATCTCGAAGAACGATTCATGGGTCCCTGTGGGTTTTCTGGGATTCAAAACTTATATAGCGGAGAGAAGCAAGATCGAATGGAATCGTTTGTGTTAAGTGAAACGTTGAAGTATTTATATTTGTTATTTGACGAGGACAATGAAATACATAGTACGAGAGATAATGTTATATTTAGTACGGAGGGTCATCCATTATGGTTAAGACCTGATATCAAAAGAAGATATAAGATGGAAAGTTACTTCAATGATACGACCTGGATAAACCATTTACAAATGTGTGAGACAGAAGAAATTCAATATCTTGAAAGGATGAATAATGAAGGTAGTGATGCTGAGAAAGGGTTTTTCCAATTCGCGAAAAGATTACTATCAGTTAGTACAGAATCATCATCATCATCTTCTAAAGAAGAAGAAAAAGGTTCCAGAATTATAAATGATGATGATCAAGATAAGATTGTAGTATCGAATATATTATCTTCACCATCTCCTCAATGCACGAAATATGCAATTTTTAAAAGTGACGAACCAAACACATGGTTAACTTATTCGAATATATTAAGTCATTATGATCAATTATTCGAAATATCGCACCGATATGAGGATACATTGATTCAACCTAAGATATTAATGGAGAATTATTACTTGCCAATGGCATTGGAACCCAAGTTTTATAACGTATGGGCCGATCCTAAATATAGTCAAAGTCGACGTCAAGCCACAACTATTGCTATGGACCTAATATTCATGTCAATGAATGGCACATACCTTCCACCAATCAAATTTGATGGCAATTCCACTATCCGATGCAGTACATTCCAAGGTAGACGGAAGATACGATTAGAGAAGATTGCTCCGCGGCTAATCGACTCGTATGGCGACATTGTCGATACATCTGCGTTTCAAGAGGTTCAACGCAAGGATGTGTATAATACTGGATGTGATACTACAGCAGAATTATACACGCCTTCATCATTGTATCGTGCGGTCAAGATAGATGGGGTAGATATTCCTAAAGGGTATCGTTTAGAATTACCTCATGACGAATTGTTTGTTGAACCAAGAGATGAGAACAGTTCATTAGGATTAAATTATGAAAATCAGATGATGTTACAATGTATACCTGTCATAAATATTTATGTAAAATGATGAAAAAAAATAAGATATCACAACAATAGTGTATAGACCCTGAAACAGACACAAGCTAGCTAATTCATTCGGGTAGGGGAATTATTTGACCATATTGTAATAACATTTACAACAAAACAAAACAACAAAATAAATATATCTAAAGTCCAGCTTTTCTTTCTAAAAAGTCAACAAAAATAATAATCCCCATATAGCTGTTATTTGACCAGCCAAAAATCCTGATATTTTGTTGTTATACCTTGCGGAATATTAACTATTAACTCCTTAACGGTGTAACATCAAAAAAAAATTTGTTTATCTTTTTTATTGTTCTGTTTTCGCCACTCACCATTCTTGATCCAAAACTGTATGCGAGATGCCCATCCTGCTTTATTATTTTGAAAAGAAATAAAAAAAAAATCAACTGTTGTCCCAAAATCCACAGAAACTACGGTAGCACTATTTTAATAAACCGATCAATCGACTAAAAATCCGGACCGATGAGCTCATATTTTCTTTCTTTTTGTTCGGTTCAATTCGTCAAATTAGGGGAGACATCAGTACACCGCAGTGTAAATATACATAGTTTATATATGCAAATAGATAAGAAAAAAAAACACAACAGGCGAACAAACGACCATTTATGACATCATGCAGTGTTTTAAGTGGCACAATGTAGTAATAAGAAAGATTGACACGATAAAATATTTCCTAATTTGGAAGGGCTGTTCCCAATCCCGCCATCTTCCGTTTTTTAATTTTCTTTTTTGTTGTATCGTATCGTATTATTATAATAATTTGTGTGCTTACTACGGCGTTTCTCTCGCAGGTTTAATCCATTTAATGTTATTTTCTCTTGTGAGCATTTCAATTCCAAGGAGTGACGGCTGCATGTCTTTGCGATGCCCCGTCAAAACAGCCAAACAACTTCTCACTGAGTGCAACTTTCCAAACTAGGCCAAAACAAACAAACAAACAAACAAACCTATGGCGTGTTACATTCATTGGATGAGATGGGCGATGCTTTTTCTGTTTTTCTTACAACCACGCCTCTATGTCTGTGTGTTGGTGCTTGTTTGCTCGTCTTAATCTGGCGATCGTAGTTTGTGATGTTCCGCTTCGCACTTTGCTTTTTCTTCTCTTGCCCATTTATTGCTTTCCTCGAGGAAAGAATTACCGGATCCCATAATACCAAATTTGTATTACAATACAGTACACTCAACTCTGGTAAACTTATGCAGAGCACCATCTGTATATCCAAGATGTTAAGAAAAATAAAATAAAAAACTAGTTTATTTCTATTTAAGGGCATCCAAGAAAAAGAAAAGATTACAACAGACGGACAGACAGACAGACATACACATATAGACATACACATATATACACCACTGTACAGTACATATTACATACCCCCTACGAACTGACTTGCTTCATAGAAGTCTTCTTCAACAAGGAAAACAATCAACTACAAACTAATAATTATTAGAATAAAGAGACATACGTATATGCCGTACTATTAAATTAAATGCTTCACCTTGCAAAAGATAATAAAAGAATGTCATATTGATACGTTTATTATCTCTTTCTACTTAATTCTACTTTAAATTATATCAAAAACGACAAGATGAAATGATTATTATGAATGAATAATGGTTTCACATCAATAATATTTAAAATCACAATACTAATAATTGCTACCTTTACTCGTTTGTCTGGAATAAGAAATAAAGGGGAGAGAGAAATGAGATATAATATATATGTATATATATATTATATATATACATCTTACGTATATCTCTTATAACTATTTTGAAATATGAAAAAGTGAGAAATGAACGAGAGACAAGCCGTTTAAGTAATAGCAAACGTAAGAAAACTGAGCATATTCAATCACTCGAATGATATAGAAAAATATATACTCTTATTATTAATGTAATATTATATATAATTCTTTGTATGTGTGTCTATCTCTCTTTCAATATTAAACAAATCAGGAACCATTAAAATATAAATGACAACACACTCACTGCTATTGTCTTCTTCTTAGAGTACCAATAAAAATTTAGTAAATTTAATAAAAAAAACACAGACACCCAAACTCCAGTTCTTATTTCTTATTTATATATAATTATTAACTCATTCTTATTTATAAAACTTATGACGAGAAAACGAGATATCGATTTCATACGGCTTATTTTCATTACACATCCACCTATATCTATTTCTACTGTTAGGCAAAACGCTTCAAGATCGTAATATCCTCAGTCATTTTAGATTGGCTACCCTTTGATATATTTAATAATAATATTAATAGTAATATTATTCAAGTGTTAAAACTATTTGGTCACCTCTGTCACTCTTTAACATCTATTAATCAGTTCAATCAATATAAAGTTAAATAAAATAACTATCATATATCGGCTATCATTACTGCATTGTTTTCTTCGTCCTTATATTCACACTTGCTTTTCTTCTTACCTTTCTCTCCCTCTTTGGCAGCTCTTTCCATCCCATTTCATTCCGTTTTTCACTTCACTTCACTGCTCTCTCTTCCCTTTTTCCCTTTTCTTTCTTCTCATACTTAAAAGAAAAAGAAACAATCCTACTACACCGATACTACAAACAAAAAAACACATCATATATATTAATAAAAGTACCACTTTTATTAATATTATCTAATCTTTATTTCTTTCCACAATCAGATACACTCCCTTTCTTTCTTTTATTTTTGTTTTTACCTTTTCCCTGGCTCCCATTCACTAAAGAACTATTACTAAGACTGTCATAATATATATATATTTCTACACACCGACATATATATATCTATCTATCTTACGTTCTTCTGGTTTTTATTTTGATCATCACCTCCCCTTCATTATAAATTTATTAAGGAATAACTGAGTTTATTGCATTATTCTGCTGCTGCTAATATCCAGTTCACATTACATTAATAAAAGGGTTCTTTGATACACAGACAGACACACACACACACAATAATGAACTTCTTTGGCAAACAACAACAACAACAATCACAGTCTCAACAGACTAAAATATCGATAAATACGTCACAGGGGTTCTTTCCTAAATTCGGGAGCCAGACTGCTACTCCTACTACAGCAGTGAGTCAGAACTCATATGCTATGGGCACAACGGGATTATCTCAAGATGCTTCTAATACAAATACTAATTCCACCACCACCATTAATAATAATAGTATGATGGATCAACAACAGATGATGAATTTGGATGCAATTAATGATGATATAGACATGGATGTAACTATGAATAATAATACTACTAACAACAACAATATACCATATAATAATAATAATAATAATCATAACAGTAACAAACCATCAGGTTATAATGCCAGAGATTCATTAGCACAAATGTCAAATCACCAAAAGAAATTACAAGGAAATAATTCTAACTTACACTTACAATTGCAACAACAAAATAATATTAAAAATAATTTAGCAGCTATAATATCACCAAAGGAAACATCATATCCTGATTCAGATAGTATTCCAAGAGGTAAACTTGAAGTCACTATCATTGAAGCAAGGAACTTATCAACAAGGAAAGACGGCGCAGAACCTTATGTGGTATGCACTTTTGAAAGTTCAGAATTTATTTCTGAGGGTCCCGAATCAGTAGCTGTACATAAAAATGATACTGATAATAATCTGCATCATCATCATCATCATCATATGAATTCCAATAACATTAAAAACGGGAAATCGAATTGGTCATCATCTGCACTACCAGTTCTTAAAGAGAACTACAACAACACAAGACAATCATACAACAACGATACAAATTGTAACAATAATAATAATACCAATACTAATAAAAGTGGCACAAGCAGTAGTAGTAGCAGAGGTAATTCATCTGATAGAAATTCGAATAATAGTGGTACTGATAATGAAATTCATTCTGTACACTCAAATAAGTCTCTTAACGAGGATGCATCAAACCCAATATGGCATCATAAGACTACCTTTGATGTGTTAGGGGCTCATTCTGAATTAGATATCTCTGTTTATGATGCAGCCCACGATGATATGTTTTTAGGACAAATAAGATTACGTCCTAATATTCATGACTCACAATTTGAACCACATGAAAAATGGTACATGTTACAAAATAGAGTCCTCGATGAAACAATCTCTGGTGAAATATTAATTAGATGGCAATACAAATCAACGAAAAAGAGACATTATGGCCCACACGATTTCGAAGTATTAAGATTACTGGGCAAAGGTACATTTGGTCAAGTCTATCAAGTTAAAAAGAAAGATACAAAGAGAATATACGCAATGAAGATTCTATCCAAGAAGGTTATCGTAAAAAAGAATGAAATTGCTCACACTATTGGCGAAAGAAATATCTTGGTCACAACAGCTACTAATGCATCTCCATTTATAATAGGGTTGAAATTTTCATTTCAAACACCTGCCGATTTGTATTTAGTCACAGATTATATGAGTGGTGGTGAATTATTTTGGCATTTACAAAAAGAAGGTAGATTTTCTGAAGATCGTGCAAAATTTTATATTGCTGAATTAATCTTGGCTTTAGAATATTTGCACGACAATGACATTGTTTATAGAGATTTAAAGCCAGAAAATATCCTTTTAGATGCTAATGGAAATATTGCATTGTGTGATTTTGGTCTTTCTAAGGCTGACCTGAAAGACCGTACAAACACCTTCTGTGGTACCACTGAATATTTGGCCCCAGAATTGTTATTAGATGAAACAGGTTACACTAAAATGGTGGATTTCTGGTCCTTAGGTGTCTTGATTTTTGAAATGTGTTGTGGCTGGTCTCCATTCTTTGCTGAAGACAACCAAAAGATGTATCAAAAGATAGCTTTCGGTAAAGTTAAGTTCCCAAGAGACGTGCTATCTCAAGAAGGTAGATCCTTTGTCAAAGGTTTATTGAATAGAAATCCAAGACATAGACTCGGTGCTGTGGATGATGGGAGAGAGTTAAGAGCTCATGCGTTCTTCAACGATATTGATTGGGAAGCATTAAAACAAAAGAAGATAGCACCACCATTTAAACCACATTTAAATTCCGAGACCGACACCTCTAATTTTGATCCAGAATTTACACAGGCATCTACATCTTACATGAATAAGAATCAATCTATAGCTGCAACTCCACTTTCCCCAGGTATGCAAGCAAAATTCGCAGGCTTCACATTTGTTGATGAATCTGCCATGGAAGAACATTACTTTAGTAATAATAGTGTAAACAGAAAACTATTACAAAACTCATACTATATGGAACCTGGCTCATTTATTCCTGGTAATCCAAATCTACCTCCAGATGAGGACGTTATCGATGATGATAGTTATGCCAACGTTGATTCTAACGATGGCTACAACCACTTAGATAATGGCAATAGAGGTCGTATGAACGATCACATGAACATGGGTATTGATATGCATATGGACTACGATGGAGATCAACATATGGATGACGAATTTGTTAGCGGAACTTTTGAAATTTAGCTCTTCTTTTTTTCTCTTTATCTCAGTAACACTTAATACATGTTTTCCAATTGTTACGTTCCAGCATTATATCCTCTACATAATTTTCATTTTTTTTATTTCTCAGGTTTACAAATTAATTAATTTTTTATTTAATATATATTTTCGGTCCTTTTTTACAGAATTCTAATTTTATTATAAAATGGTGTAGCTGTTCATATCTTAACTAGTTAGAAGCGTTTAAGAAGGTTCTTTAATATGTTCCCTCTTTAGTGTATCAGGGTGCCATCTTTTATGTGAAGCTCTTAAGAATTTCGCTTGACAAGGAAATTTCAAAATCGCGCAGGACGAGACGAAAATTTTTTTCAGTTTATTATGCAATAACGAGCTCATCTCATCGTTACAATTAAGATGCAATGTCATCGCAAAGTACGCATTAAATACAGACAACTTGAATATATATTTACATTAATTTATAAGTAGTTAGCAACAAGCAAAGGAAAACCATTAGATAGGTTGTACACAAAGGTATTGACCAATTAATATTATTATTAACAGGATGTCATCGAACAGACAAAGAATTGTTACCTCAAGGGCACCTCTACTGCCACAACAAACCACTCCAGAACAACGTTATTGGAGACAATATTCATCGGCACAATTAGTCAAAGAGCATAATAGTGTTACACATATTGCGTTTAATCCAAAGAGTCCCTTTGATTTTGCAGTAACATCTTCTACTAGGGTCCAAATATTTTCATCGAGAACAAGACAAGTAGTAAAGACCTTCTCTAGATTTAAGGACGTTGTATATTCAGCAAGTTACAGACAAGACGGTAAGTTATTAGTCGCTGGTGATGCAACTGGTTTAGTCTCCGTCTACGATTCTTATAATCCAAGATCTATTTTACTATCTATCAATGCATCTACACATCCAACACATGTTACAAAATTCCATCCACAAGACAGCAAATCTTTAGTCACAGCAAGTGATGACAGAGTTACCAGAGTTTGGGACATTTCCCATGCATATGAACCCACTTTAGAATTAACAGGCGCTTCTGATTATATCCGTAGTGTATGTTTTGTCCCATCTGCACCACATTTGATTGCCACGGGTTCATATGACGGTTTAGTTAGATTATATGATACACGTAAAGAAGGAAACACACCAATATATTCGTTGAATCATGATCAGCCAATTGAAGATATAATTTCTATTTCTCCAACCCAGTTAGCGTCATGTGGTGGTTCAAACTTCAAGATTTGGGATTTAACTAGCAATAAAAAATTATACGAAAGAGGTAACTTTAACAAGACTGTTACATGTTTGGACTATGTAGAGAACTTTGACTCACCAATGCAATCTGCATTTATTGCCTCTTCATTAGATGGCCATATCAAGGTTTTTGATCCGGTTGACAATTTCAAGGTAAAATTTGGCTGGAAGTTCTCAAGTGCTGTTCTAAGTTGTGCTGTATCTCCAAGTGATGCAACCGGTAATAGACATTTAGTTGCAGGTATGTCATCTGGGCTTCTTGCTATCAGGACAAAGAAGAAAGAAAAGAAAAGCGCTATCCGTATCGACACCTTAGAGACTATCACAGGGAAACAAACAAAGAGTAATAACTTCCAAAGAATGATGCGTGGTTCGGAATATGAAGGTGATCAAGAACATATTATCCATAATGATAGAGTTAGACAACAACGTCGTCTTCGTGCATTTGAAAGATATATAAATCAATTCAAATGGAGCGAAGCATTAGATAGTGCATTTGTTCCAGGTATGGCTAAAGAACTAACACTAACTGTGCTACAAGAACTACGTAAACGTGGTAAGATTCGTGTCGCATTGTACAATAGAGATGAATCCTCTTTGGAACCATTGCTAAATTGGTGTTTGAAAGGTATAGAGGATGTAAGATCGGCTATTGTTGTAGCTGATTGGATCGCTGTTGTACTAGAACTATATGGCAATACCTTAGAAAGTAGTCCCGTATTAAGAGGCATGATAGTAGATTTGAGAAATAAGGTAAGAGAGGAAGTATTTAAGGCAAAGGAAGCCCAAAAGATTGAAGGTATGCTGCAATTATTAAGTAGTTGAGTAATCATTTGGTAGAGGAACATAAGCGTACATACATACATACATATATAGATGCAACATCCAAAAATCATATAACATAATAAAATTAGAAGCATATACGTAACGGAGAGTGCGTTCCTTTAAACATGAATATGTTCTATGAGATGTTTTAAATGTGTACATGAAGATCCTCAGTTAATAGGAAGGCAGGAGAGCGTCGGATCTTCAGAAGACGCCATTCTCTAATAACCTTCTTTTCTTTTTCTGCATTCTGTAATAAAGTATTTAAAGTGTGATTGTCCTGCGCAACAGTCTGAGTCACAGCAGTTTCCGGATATCCCATGTTTCTCAAGTGTTTCTGAATTGTTTCTATTTCCCTACCAAACACTAACTGTAAATCAAGAATAATGTGGTGAAGGGAAATTCTTGCTGTCTAAAATGTCGGGGGCGCTTGGCAACTCCCCCAAAAATATCATGTTGAACGATGTGTGTCAATCTGAAACACGAAAGTTTTTCTCCAAAAATTTCGACCTTTTTGGACAGTCACGAAAAAGAGACGCCTCTTAAAACATTGGGAAAACAAGCACGGCTGAAACTTAAGTAAATAAACAGACCATCATCACGTAATTTCTTAGAAGATCGTTTAAAAGTCGGAAAGGTGTTTTCTTCTAGGTCTATCAAGGTTTTTGATCGACTTCTCTAGTGAACGATTCGGTGGAAAAGTTGGCTGTAAAAACTAGAGGTTAAACTACATTTCTGTTAACATTATAGGTATGGATATAGAGTTCTTTTTAAATCTTCCAACCGATTTACGGAAATCCGTGTACTATCATCTGGACGGATCATTTACTCATCTAGAACCACCATCTGTCGAAGATTTATATAGTAATAACTCCATTGAGGTTTTGACTAACAGAAAGAAAAAAACAGCCTTAGAGAAGATTCTACTTGAGAGACTGTACAGTATTTACTCACCCTTTATTGATATATTTGAATATAATCCTGATATTGTGATTAAATGGTTACAGTTCTCGATATGGCTAAGATATGACTCAATCATCTTGGATTGTCTTCGGTTGAACCATTCCTATAGTGGTTCATTAATTGGTCCTATTGATTGGATTTATTTAGATACTAATTTGAAGTTATCGTATTTCAATAGAAAAGGTTTACTACAAGTATGGTATACACAAAATGAATATTTTGATTGGATAGTTGATTGTGAACCATTAGGAATCACAGATTTAGAAACCAATTATTTTAGGTTGAATATGGAACATTTCAAATTATCTAATATATCAAAGGCTTTAATTCAATTTGAAAAGAAAAAATTATTAAATGATATTTACCAAGTAAAATTTCAGATAATGGAAGAAAATATAGATGAAATCTGTGATATAAATGAAACAAAAATAAACAGCAGTAAGATAAATACATCAAACAATAATATTCTAGATAATACAAGGGACTCATTAGGATCGGGAAGCAGTAGTCTTTATGTAGATGATAGCGATAATAATGATGATAGCAATACTTCCTCTAGATCAAGAAAGAAACGCAAAACATACACATCTGAAAAAGGTTCAAAACAATTGGATATAAGTGTAGTAAATGTCCTATCTTACTTGAAAAAGATGAAAAAGCTTAATAAAATCAGTGTAAGAGGAGATATATTATACGATGGATTAATTAATAGTCATGGAATAAGAGATAGAAGAAATAACGCAATCAACTACTTAATAAAGAGAAAGATTGAGGAAATTGAAGTTTTCCAAATTTCTGATTTAACAGAATATGGATTATCAGATCTTACAAAGTGGGATAACTTACAACACTTATCCTTGATTAATATTAAATATTGTGACATGAATATGATAATATTCCCTAAGTTTTGTCAAATACTTACTTTAAAGAACATCACAAGTTTAAAATGGTTTGATATAGTTCCTGAGTCTCAGGGTAATTATTTCCAGAATAATTATTCCAAAACGAAATTACCTTCTTTAGAGGATGATCAAAATTTACTCATATATCATTATAAAAGAATGACTAAATCCAAAATAAGTTACAAACAAAAATTATGGAAAAATCTAGGGGCATTAAATAGGATTAATATTCGACACATATCTGACATTTTAACCGGGAGAATAATAATACCATTAACATTACTTTCTGAACAACGCATTACCCTTTGTGCCTGCCCCGAAAATACTGAAATCGTTTGCCTATAGAAAGCCATACCTACTGAATACTTATGCGCAATGACTGAATATATATGTACAAGGTTATATGTATTTATCATTATGCTATATGCTACGTAAAGAATGTATATTGACGAGGTTTTTTTTATATGTCCATTTCGTCTTTAATTTTATGGGTTTAAATGAATATTTGCTTTGAAGATCCCTTAATATCCAATTTATCATTTTCCAATTTGTAAGATTCGATTTTTTTCAGATCTTTGAGTAAATATTCTTTATAAGAGAACTCATCCGAAGATAGTAAAGGTTCAACATCAAATAGTATATTTTTACCCCTCCTTTTCCATTTATTGATCCAGGATATTGCTGCAGTAGTGTCACTCAACTTCTTCATATCAAACATGCGTCTGAATATGGTGTAAATATCATTTGTTGGTTTTGTTTGGTAATCAGGATACCAATCAACATTGGCTTTAGGTTTTTGTAAGTTCATGAGAAATAACAGATAATCAGCCTGCGCAACAGGATCAATTAAGGTTTCTTTGACACACCCACATAGAGCTTGGGCCAACATTCTAGATTGACTACTGACACGTCCTGGTAACCCAATACCGGGAGAATCAATTAAATATATACCTTGAGACGATTCTTCTTTCGAGATTCTAATAATTTCACTTGTACTCCTGGTCACACCAGCCTCATTACCTGTTTTACTTACTTTTCTCCTTTTTGTGGTATCATTTTTTTTACCAAAATTAATATACCGTAAAGAATTAACTAATGTAGATTTACCAACATTTGGCATACCTGTAACCAATATTCTATACCCCATAGGGAGAGGTACATTATCTTCCATTAGTTTGTTACTTTCCCATTGGATTACTTTCATTAGATTCTTTGTATCTGTAACATTCTTGCCATCTATAATCATGAAATTTTCATTCATATCTTTATGCCATCTAGTTAAGGTATTCATTAGTTCTACATTCTGCGGCATAAAATCCTTTTTGGTATACACAATCAATCTCTTTATCCTCTGGTTTCCCGCCAGGAAGAATTTGTCAAATAAAACATTTCTTGTTGAAAGTGGAGCTCGTATATCTCTTAATTCTATAACCATATTCAGCTGAGGGGCCAAATATTGAAATTTCTTCAATGCTTTAACCTGATGTCCCTTAAAGTCTGATAGTTGAACATTATACTTTGGGAATTCAAAACGAGGTACAAAGTCCGACAACAATCTTTTAAATATTACTGTATGATTTAAATATTTCATTGTGAACTTATTTTCATTTATATGCTAATATTCAATAAATATAACCTTTCGTATTGAACAAGTTAATGCCTTTTTATTTCTAATTACCTTCTTGAAAACTCATATATTTCATGAAATAAAGTTTCTTCACTTATTTTTCTCCTCCAGCGCTCAATAGTCTCGGAAATAAATAAAAATGTCTGGGTGCCGTATCAATTACAAGTTAAATTGTGCACTTTGGTATTTAAACTTTTTATTATTTGGATCTACTATATTGAGCATATTTCGAATAATCTGTTTATGTTCATCTGAAATTTCAACTCCGTACCTTAGGATCCATAATAGATGACCCTTACTAATGAACTTATCAATGACATATGGATTTTTGGAGTCGACAATAGCTTTAAGATAGTGATTCCACGGTCTGGTATCATTACCGAATTGAATTTTTTCTGATCTTTCTTCCCAAAACTTAAATAATTCGTTCCATAGTTTATGTCGAGATAGTATATCGATTATACTGATTATTGTACTCTGAGACAATTGAGGTATCATAGATAGATATCTAATTACACGTGGGAAAGAATCTAGCCTGCTACTATGATTCATTACCATTGATCTAAGTATTAAATCCAGAACTTCTGGGTTGTGCATTATTCGAGTCTCCAATTTAGTCCCTACAAACAACTTTAACAAACTATCAAAAAGTATATTCTCCTTCCGTAACAGCTTCCTGTTCCCATTTCTCGATTGCAAGCTGTTGGCTCTAGCAACCGTTAGTTTCATGAATTCAGTAATTTCATGTACAGTTATGTCTGCATTGGAATATAGTTTCAATTTAAAGTAGTTTTCTATAAATATCTTCATCGAAGTGATACTTGGCTGACTTGAAGCTAGAGTTTCGAGGAAGCCAAATCTAAGATCCCATAGTTCTTTATTAACTGATGCCGAATTTAACGGCCATGCCTTATCAAAAATATTTACCCAATCTTCCATGTTGACATTACTTATACCTGTCGAATTAATGAGTAGTAAAGTGTCGTTGATGCATTGTAAAATAGGGTTTAATGTCTCAGTTTTAAAAACAGATATACTGCTATTCAAAACGATATTTGCCTTTTCAAAATCTTGGGAATGTAACGATTCTTGTAAATTTTTAAGTATTTCTCCATTAATGGCTTTACTGGTTCTTCTCGATGAAGTAGAATATTGACGTGAATACGTAGAATAATGTCTTCGTTGTTCAGCCAGACGTCTCAAACCTGATAACACATTATTCTCCTCGCTGACTTCTAACAATTCGTTTGATTCTCCAGTTTTAGATTTTGATGTAAGTTTAGGAGTCCATAGATGTTTTTCATTTTCTGGTGAGTATAACTCTTCCAAGTTTAACTCTGCACGTCTTTGATCCGTCAAAATATTAACGAATATATTATCTGTACGGGTATCAACCATATACCAAGCCTCATTAGATTCGAAAGTATTGATGTTCCTTTTGTTTACATTCCATACGCCACCTAAATTATTTCTTCTTAATAACCTTTTCTTCTTCTTCCGCTCATCATTTCGGTTGATATTACCTTCGAGATAGGCCATATTTGAAAATTCTTGTTTGATTAATTTATTCAGTTCCACATATGTATTTTGACAATGTTTTATGGATTTTGCTGTTGCAACAACCATTAAATCTGCCATTTTACTAGTAACCATATCACTATTTCTCATGTCAAATACTAATATATCTTTCAAACCTTGTTCTTTTGCTAGAAAATTACATATCTTGATAAGTGATTGTGGAGAATTATTTGGGAACTCAATTTCTTGCTGAGTAGATGCTAATAAAGATTCCCTTTGTTCTTTCTGTTTAGTCATTTGCAAATACCAAGGGATACTATTTTCATAATTAACTTCATTTTGTTTCAATGAAGTATTTATAATTTCATCTTTTGAAATAGTAGAGCCAGTTGATTCAGGGACTGATTGATCTTTAGTGTTAGAATCTGTAGTGTAACATGCAGCTAATGATATTGTAGATTGTTTGAAATATACTGAACCATATTTTCCCAGAAGCTGAGGTATATACGAGGTCCTCAATCTTAACATTTTAAGTACTAATTTAGAGGTTGGATTGTTATATATGATTATGCTAATAAGGCTCTTGGTATGGTTTGAGATGTAGGTATTCCAAAGCTAATATTTGTTTTATAATTCAATAATAATAAATCCGGTGTACTATATTCTCTCTCCCTTCCTCTTTTGATTTTTTTGAAGGGACTTCCCGAAGAAGCATTGGAAATTTCGTTTGCCAGAAATTCGATGAGTTGATTCGAGCAATGAAAAAAAATAATCTAACTGAGGTTTAAGGTGAACTTTCAACAGATATGAACCTAAAAAAACTAATACACAAAGGTATATATCTGATAGATCCAGACAGCTGAAATAGAAAAAGTTCATTTTCTTTTTTTAAAAAATAATAATAATAATAAAACCAATATAGAAAACTGAGGGAGAGAAAAAAAGTTATATAATTACAAGTGCACCAATGCACATAAGAAGTTGAGGAAATTAATAAGACCGAATATACTTTGAAAGAAAAACATGAACCGAGGAGTGATTCTAATTTAAGTTCATTGACCCCTTAGTTCTGGTTGAATATTTTCATCTGAGATGTCTTCATTTTTTGACTTATCTTCATCTTCACCGTTCATATCTTCTTCATTATTCCCGTCATCTTCTTGATCAGGGTCGTTTTCGTTATCAACAGACGCATTCTGTAGGGAGACAGCTTCTACATCTTTGAAATGAGATGACAATAATCTCAATTGTTCTGCAACATCATGGGGCAATTTATCGTCATGCATATCGTCCAAACCAGCCAATGGATTATCGTCAATCCCTGACACCTTCATGGCTTGATCCATCTTATTACGTTTTGAAGAAGTATATCTCTCAAGATCATCCTCATCAAGTTCTTCTTGTTCCATATCTTCGTCGTTACCAATTACAGAATCGAACGTACGTTTCAAATTATTAATGGATTCTCCAGAAATAGCAGCTTGAGCAGCAGCTCTAACAGTTTTTTCATCAGCGAGGTCATTATGAGATTCCATATCTTCCTCGTTATCGTTATTATGAAGACTATTGGCCTCTGTATCCTTTTCATCCGAGAGAGCAGCATGTTCCCCGTTTGAGGTTGCGGCTTGCGAGATAGCTTGATCTAAGTTCGAAGACATCAATATTTCATTATCAGTCTTTTCCTTGGATTCTTCCATTTCAGTTGGCTCAGCTTTATCTGTTCCTTCCTCCAAGGAACCATTATGTGTTTCAACTTTGGCTTCTTCAAGTGAAGGAGTAGTAGAAGGCTGAGTTTCAATAGAAGCGTTACCTGCTTCCACAATTGTATGAACAACACGTCCAGATTGACCTATATAAGAATCAGGATTGACATCTCTATATTCACCTAGTTTCTTTTTCTTCAATACGAACCTTGCCTTATAAGTGGTAACACGTCTTGAAATTAAAGAAGTAAATTTTTTTGTAATATCTTCATTTATTAAATGGTATCTATGCTTAATGATATCTAACAAACCAGAATCATCAACAAATTGAGATACTTTAAATTTTGATAATGAATGATTACTCTTTTGATATATATCTTCCAAAGTATCATCGAAATTCAAATCATATTGAAGTATTCTTGGAATCTTTGTAAGGACAAATTTATCTAATGTTAAATTTTGTTCAAGTGAATGGTTATGATATGGTTCAATCTTTGTCACAATGAATGGTCCTTGAATGGTAGAATTATAATGAGCATTTGAACCATGAGAAGCTAAAATAATTTCATCAACATTAAAGGAGTCGTCTGTTTTGTTCAAATTATCCTTCTTAGAAATTTCTTTTGATGGTGCATCCACTTTAACTCCAAGGTCAATATCATTTTGATTATCTTTTTCTTTAGTAGAGTTCTCATTAGGATGTTGAACAGCGGCAACTGCAGCTGCAATTGCATCAGAGACATTTTGATCTGTCGCATCTGATTCATTATATTTTCTTTCATTGCTGTCAACATTTTCATGATCGCTTTCTTTTTTAACATCGTTATCTCTATCCTGTTTTACGATAGTAGATGTATTATTATTATTATCCTCACCAGCTTTAACATCGATCAAAGTATCAGTTTCATCATCTTGATTGGAATTGTTTTGGTTCTCATTTGTTTGTAATTCAGTGACAGATGCAGCAGCGGCGGCGGCAGCTGCAGCTGCAGCATTAGTAGAAGTGGCGGTTTGATCATTTCTTTGTTGAGAATGATTATGGTCATGGCTATGATTATCATAAAAATTATCACCATTAGAATAACTCAACAAAATCTTGAAGGGACAACCTTTCAAATGACAAGCATAAGTGAAATGTTTATTTCTATGAGAATTCTTTAAAATAATAGGGCAACGTGCTTGAAATTCATAATCATTAATTACATCTTCCCATGTCTGTAAAGTATCAAACTTACGCGGTTCCGTATCCACACTTGAGGAAGCAAGCTCAGTGTTGATTATAGGATGCTTATACTCATATAAGTTTGTCATTCTATTTTTTTCCCTCTCACTTATTGTGATTTCCAGCAAGAACTTCTATTTTATTATTTCTCTTATGTCGAAGTCCTTAAAAAAGACTAATGTTTAATATTATGACTTTCTCCAGATCTTTTAGTCTTCTTAGTAGAGAGTGATATTGTAAAAAAAAGTGTCGAAGAATATGTTTGTTTCGTTAAATGTTATAATCTTTAAAAAAACGTTTTGGCCGTCTTCTTATATAACAATTTACGAAAGGGTTCAGAAAACGAAACGAAACAAAACAAAACAAAAATTTTCTGTTATTTTCTGTTTTCTTCCAACTTTTGAAAAGCCTGAAAAGATGGAATTAACTTCGATAAATTCCAATTTTGTGCGCTGTTTGTGTGTATGTGGGCGCGTGTTTCCTTTTCTTTTACCTTTCGGTATTTAGATGTTCCACGCCCTCGTGGAATATGATGAGACAGGCTCGTTCAGCGTGATGCAGCACGTGACTATATAATGGAAAGCGATTTCTCGTGGTCTTTGATACCATTGGCAAAGCGGTATACAATGGAAAGGTATTTCCCTAATAGTTTACAGTATATTATATACTTATTGCCGTTTGTGTGGTCGGCGATACTTAGGTGATGCTTGCAAGGCCTGTTTGAGGCTTTTTAGTAGAACGGCTAATCTTATTTATTTGTTGGTGTTTAGTGAGACGCGTAAAGTATCCGCTTATATCTATGATAATAAAACCGAAATGAAATATTTTGGCGTTTTGCCCGTCAATAGCGATGCTCTTCGACTGAAAAATTATAGAATAATATGTTAATATTATATCAGAAGGTTGGTTTAAAATTGTGAGTTAATTGTAAGTCTATAGTGTTTCTGTTATTCATATAAATAATCCAAGAATATTCACACTATACATATACATATAAATCATGGGTATTAAAGGTTTAACTGGGATCATCTCTGAAAATGCCCCACTTTCAATCCGTAAGAGTGAAATAAAATCCTTTTTCGGTCGTAAAGTTGCCATTGATGCATCAATGTCACTGTATCAATTCTTGATCGCAGTTAGACAACAGGACGGTGGTCAATTGACTAATGACAATGGTGAAACCACTTCTCATTTGATGGGTATGTTCTATCGTACATTACGTATGATAGATAACGGGATTAAACCATGCTATGTGTTTGATGGTAAACCTCCAGTGTTGAAATCTCATGAATTAGGCAAACGTTCTGCTCGTAGAGAAGAAACAGAGAAGAAATTGGCTGAAGCTACCGATGAAGCTGAAAGGATGAAGCAAGAAAGAAGATTAGTTAAAGTATCAAAAGAACATAATGATGAAGCTAAGAAATTATTAGGATTGATGGGGATTCCATTCGTTAATGCTCCCGGTGAAGCTGAAGCTCAGTGTGCAGAATTGGCTAAAAAGGGTAAAGTATATGCTGCAGCAAGTGAAGATATGGATACATTATGTTATAGAACACCTTATTTGTTAAGACATTTGACTTTTTCAGAAGCAAAGAAAGAGCCTATTCAAGAGATAAATACCGAATCTGTATTAGAAGGTATGAACCTTACAATTGATCAATTTATTGACCTAGGTATCATGCTAGGTTGCGATTATTGTGATAACATTAGAGGTGTTGGTCCTGTAACGGCTCTAAAATTAATGAAGGAATTTGGTTCTTTAGAGAAAATTGTAGAACATATAGAGAGTGATTCAACAAAGACTAAATGGAAAGTACCTGAAAATTGGCCATATAAGGAGGCTCGGGATCTGTTTGTACATCCAGATGTCATTGATGGTAAAGAAATCAATTTGAAATGGGAACCACCAAAGGAACAAGAATTGATTGATTATTTATGTAAAGAAAAACTTTTCAGTGAGGAGAGAGTTAAAGCTGGTATTGAAAGATTAAAGAAAGGCTTAAAATCAGGTACACAAGGTCGTCTTGATAGTTTCTTTAAAGCGGTACCAAAAACCAAAGAACAATTAGCAGCAGCAGCAGCAAAGGCTAAAGCTAACAAGAAAAACGCTAAGGGCAAAGGTAAAGTTGGCAAGGGTAGACGATAAACAAAATAAATAATAATAGGAGAAATATTAAGGATAATTCTTCTTCAACTTTATATAATCATGTAAAATAAAAACAAAAACAAAAACAATAACGATTAAAAATCTATCTGCAAAGTAACAGCATCGACTGACCGCATAGTTACATTAATAGAATTAATATCAATATACTCTACATTTCTTAGCGTTATCTTACCTTGTATATGCTATCCCATATTCAATTTCTTTAGTTATTATAGCACCGATCGATTAAATCAGTCGACAAAAGTTGAAAAAAGGGAAAAAGGTCGTGCTTAATTTCCTCTAGGCACAACAAAATAAGGAAGGAGTGAAAATACATTTAAAAGAAAAAAACAAGAAACATATAGAGCTGGTATATAAGTAATAAACAATTTACACTTTCCATTTTATTATCGACAAACAATTTACACTTTCCATTTTATTATCGACAAACCATTTACACCGTAACCTTTTGTTCAATTCTATAAGCGCAACTTACAATTCCACAAACATTATGTCTGTACAAGAAACTGAAACAGAAGTTATTTTGACACATCCAGATAACAAGGCAACTACCGTCAAGATTCTTAAATACGGTGCCACTGTGTATTCCTGGACACTAGCTGGCCAAGAACAACTATGGTTATCTACCGCAGCTCACATGGACGGTTCTAAGCCAGTAAGAGGTGGTATTCCATTGGTTTTCCCAGTCTTTGGTAAAAATGAAACTGATGAATTGTTGAGCAAATTACCACAACATGGTCTAGCTAGAAATTCTACGTGGGAATTCTTGGGTCAAACTAAGAGTAACCCACCTACCATTCAATTTGGTTTGAACAAAAACATTGCCAACCCAGAAATGACTAAGTTATGGAGCGAAGAATTCAACTTAATCCTGACAATTGAATTAGGTGCCGATTTCTTAAAGACTGCAATTGAAATCGAGAATCCATCTACTTCCAAGGATTTGAAGTTCAATTGGTTGTTCCATACTTATTTAAGAATTCCAGATATTGAAGATACTATGATCTCTAATCTTGTGGGTATGAAAGTTCATGATAAATTATTACAGGAAGCATTCATCGACAAACATCCAGTTATTCAATTTCATCAAGAAACAGATGTTGTTTACGAAAAGGTCACCGAAGAACGTGTTGTCCAAGTTGTCAGACAAGGTCATCCTCTACATACTGTCAAGAGGGATAACCTACCTGATGTTGTCGTCTGGAACCCATGGACTGAAAAATCTGGTAATATGGCCGATTTTGAACCAAAGTCTGGTTTCAAAGAAATGGTTTGTATTGAACCTGGTTATGTTACTGATTTTGTTACTTTACAACCAGGTAAGAAATGGAATGCCTCTCAAATTTTATCCAAGGATAAATTGAAGTACCAAGCAATTCAATAGATTAAGAAAATAAATCAAGTACAAGAGTACATGAAAATCTGTGTAACGTTTAATAATTAAACAATTTTTATATCATTAAGTAAAGCATCATTTTCTTTGTATAATATACAGTTAGTTTGACTTTTGAAATAAATATTTTTATTAAATATTATATTTCTTTCTGAATTCTACCTACACATTCGATATAAAATGCACATTTAGTCTGTTATAAATAACATATAAACACGAAAAATCTCTAAATACCGTTCAAATGTAAATCAGTCTCCTACATGTATACTTAGTTAAAGCTGTACCACGTATGTTTAACCATTGATCAGTAAATACTTAATTTGAATTCAAGCATACATTAAGAAACAATGAGGAGCCTTAATATCAAACCCCACCAATATATTTACTTTTAATTTTTATAATGCAATTGTAGATAATTTGAAAAAGAGGTTTCCCCTCTATTAGTTTCCTCATGGTTTGTATGTTTTACAAAGGACCTTTTATAATACAAAAGAATATGTCAGACAGTTGTATATCAAACATAACTTACTTTTGCAATATATATGTCTGAAAATGCATTTTATACTTTAATGTGGTCCAAGGACAAAAACAAGTTACAAATATAAAGTACCCTTATCATCCAAAAATAAACAAAACTGATGGTGAAAAATAACCGCCAAGGTGAAATGAAAAGTTGCAAAAATGGACGAGTTGGGAATCGAACCCAAGACCTCTCCCATGCTAAGGGAGCGCGCTACCAACTACGCCACACGCCCAATAATTCTATTAAAATTAATATAATATGGATATTTAAAAGAAGGCATATGCAGCCGGGTAACCATATTTAAATTGTTTCTATTTTTTGACAAAAACAAAGATATCTTTACGCAGAAGAGAAATATATAAATTAAGAGATGAATGTGTATTAGGGGTATCAATTAGACACTTATTACATAATGGGAAAATTGAATATTAGACATCGCCTATTTAACTGAACATATTTTATTATATTACAAAATCAACTTATAGTCGTCTGATCTTTTATATCTTATATAAAAATATATAAAGTAAATTATGGAAACAATTAAATTCATAAATGAAATATTGTTCCATTTATATATGTTGGATTTCTTGTTGTCGTGATTATAAATTCACTCAACGGTGGCGTAAGTAATCTATTAGTAAGTTGTTGAGGAATTAACCTATTATCAGATCATTGAGGGATTAACCTTGGTCGTTTATCATTCTTATAATATATTTCCGACATTATACTTATATCAATTTGTAGAAAACCTGAGCTAGAGCTTTTGCCTCTAGTAATCTCTGCAAACTTTGATTGTTTTAATTCGGACATTTTTATAATACGATAATCGATCAGTCTCTTTATATTATATATAATTTATAGAACAAATAGAATCTGACTTCGAATGCAAGTTCAGAATTCTTTGTCTTTATATATATTTTTATTCTAATCTCAATTGAGGTTCGAATTATGCTTTGTTTCATAATGCGATTAACTTTGTTTCATGTTGCCACATATTTTATTTCATATTTTAACACGCTTCATAATAACTGTGCTTAAAGGTAGTTCTTTACCTATTGAAATTAAGTGTTGTGCATATTACTCTTAATTTCTGACAAAATCAATTAAAGAAGCCATTCCATCAAGGCATTCAGTCGTTCTATTGACTTCTATATAATAATAAAAATCACATACAAATTCTAAGAAATGATTTACAAGTATTTGCTTTACTTTACCTACTTTCATCTAAGCTACCACCAAACATCTTACCTTAACAATTAACAATGACGAATCAAACTCTAACTAATATTATATTAGCTTCAGCCCAGTTACAGTCTGAACATTTGTAAGTAGTCTATGTATTTTCATTCAAAGTCTCTATTAACAGTTTTGGAATGGAAAAACAAAATTATGACCAACTGGGAAGAACCTTTGTAAGATACAATTATATATTTAATTGACTATGTAGAACAACGTTTGTTTAATATCGCACTATAAATTAAACTGACGTTTAATAAGTAGCTAACAATCTTACGATTCGATGAATAGCTAGTGTCCCCACTCACCTGTACCTGTAGACACAAAATGTATACTTAGAAACTGACAAATTACTAAATCTATATATGAACATACATATTCAGTTATGAAAGGTTCAAAAGACCCTCTTTATTCTAGACGATAGCATTAAAACAAGTTCTCAATTGACATTCACAACGGTTCGTATTAATATATAATCAGTTAGCGGATCACCAAGATACTCCGCGGCCGCAGGCTCTAAGAAATAAAGGTGGCAAAACCAAAGAAAGATTCGCCAAATGAGAAAAACAAATAAAAACACCACTAAACGTCATCTACCTGATATACTAATTTATATTTATATTTATGTATTAATATAAATTATAATGTGTGCCAAGAATAAGAAAAGGAACCTTCAAAGGAAAGAATGTTTAAGTACTTTTAAAGGTTAAATAAAAATTTGGGATCCTCATAACATATAATAATCAAGATTTTTGAAGATAAGTTATTGTTATAACACGAAAGAAGTCCGAATTAGAGCCTTATCATCCATTAATTTATAAGTCATCCGACTGCAAGAAACCTGATCAATCGATAAGAAATTTAAGATAATATAATAGCAGACGTCTTTGATATTCCTGATTTCAAAACATTATCACAGCTTACAAATTATATCTTTTCTATATATTTTATTACTTTCTAAAACGACGTAATAATTAATTTTGATATAGATCAATCTGAAACCACATCCGAGGGAGTATGAGGGAGACAAATCACAGGTCGATAGCAACTAATAAACCAGTAGTAACAATAACGTCTACGTTGTACGATCGAAGGGCTTTGGATGTAGTGTCTGATATTCCTTTGATAAATTCATTAAATCATTTAACATATCTAACTTCTAATTCTGCAAAAGTAAGAGATATTATTTCTAATGACGGTGCATTGGAGCGACTTGTTGCAATGCTTCATAATTGCTATTTTTTTCAACTAGAAATTTTAAATCAAAAAGATACACATCACTCTATGGATATACGATCAGATATAGTATCGAGACAACAAACATGCGCATTATATGCTTGGAGGTGGACATTAGCATTTCAATGCTTGGTCCTTACGGGGACTAGAGGTTCTGAAATGATTAGGAATAGAGTTGTATCTGCTGGTGTGCTCCCACTTTTAGCAACAGTCCTTGATAATTATCTATTGTTTACCAAAAATTACGATTACATGAATGGAACATATTTAAGTTTTGATTTTAAAAAAATGAACCTTGATAGTCAGGAATCATATGAACTCTTTAAGAAATCTGATTCAGAAACCTTTCAGGATTATTTAACAAATATAATAGGAGAAGATATTTTTCATTTATCTGAAGATACCAATCGTTTTGATGAAGTTTTATTAAAGAAAAAAATGACTAAAGAGACCGATTTCGGACTCATATGGAAGTCTTTTGAAGATACTAACATACCACCTATTGATGACGATGCGAATTGTTTTCTGGATGAAACAGAACCAGTTCCAGCAATATTAACACCAAGAGAGTTCTATTTGGGCCGTATTGTGCCGAAACAGGATGATGTCATATGGTCATTGCAATTATTAGCATTTATTTCAAAATATACTTATATGAAAAAATTACTTCAAGAGGTTACTCCAGATGAAAGATTATCATTTAGACCTATTATTGACAGGGTTAGAAAGAGACTTATTATTAAAAAGGGACAAAGTTTACCTATTCCATCTTTTACTGGTAAAGAAGTGCGTACCGAAGAGAGTCTTGGTACCAGCAATGATGCCTTCGAATTAGAGATAAACGATTCATATATTAGCACCAATAGTGATCTCATCGATGTAGATATTACTTACGAACCGCCTGCCTCCCAAGAAACAGACGGCACTGACAACGATACAAATTTTATAATTGATGAACATATTGAAATGGATACATCTAGAACATCAGATGAAAGCAAATTACTTCAAGAGTTACTAAATGTGGCAGAACAATGTGATAACTTATATTCTGTAAAAGACGATGTTATTAAATGTGAAGTGAGAAATCCATATCGTTACATGGGATTTCAAATTGAAACTGCAAATGATTCAACGAGAAGGCAAAAGGAACATTTATTAAAGCAAATGTTCGAGAAAAATTGGAACTATAAAGAACTGTCGATGGACATCGATGACCATAATCTACATGAACCGTCAATGAGCTTACAAAGTTTAAATATATTTCCATTAGTTGAAAAATATACAGTAACTAGCGATAATCCTAAGGATGTCATATACTGGAGTTCAGTAATAATGCGTAATTCCTGTAGGAAGAATGAAACTACAGGTGTTCGTCAATGCTCTAATTTTTCATGTGGTAAGTGGGAAGAATATCCTCGACAATTTGCCAAATGTCGTCGTTGTAAACGTACTAAATATTGTTCCCGAAGTTGTCAGCTCAAAGCATGGACATACCATAGATATTGGTGTCACGAAGCATCATCCAGTTCAAAGAATAGTGCATCAAATGTTGGAATGGAAAGTGATGCAACGACTCCTAATGAAGGTCAGTCTGGAGGCAATTCTACTGATATTTCAGAAGTAATTGCTACTAATATGAGTAATTTGAGTACCACCGAAGTAGGTGATAATGAAGTGGGACCAATAGAAACACATGTAAACCATTTCGATAGCAATGATGATGATAGAGAGGGAGAGGGAGAGGGAGAAGAAGAAACATAAGTATAAAAGAAAACTTTTTTTTCCTTAATGGAATATTATTTTTTTAATCTTGATATTCCTTATTTAAACAAATACATAAACATTATAAATTTAATAACATATCACAGCATCTACAATTAACAAAATAGTGACTATTAAAAGAAAGAATACATATTTCGAATAAAACATTTAAGAATTACTCCAAATAAAATATTAATACAGAAGATGATAATTATTTTTCTATATGAATTTTAATGAAGTCTATATATTTATTTATTTATAGCGAGAATGAATATTAGCAAAATGTCCTTTATGTATATTATTTTGAAAAGGGTATATGGAAAATTTAACCCAATATTGAGACTGACACTGGTGGATCAGCTAGAGATTCTAGTGGTTCATAATGGTTTTTGTTCATAAAGGGTATATTTGGCATAAACGTTTTCCACGGGTATTGGGAAGTACCTTCATCGTTGTTATACATTTGAATTGTGGTAAAAAAAGACCAACGAAAGAAAATGAGACACATTTGAGTAAAAGTGAAATCAGGCCATAGAGTTGGAACAAATTCTATAGTGGAATTTTGATGCGATTGCCATAACATATAATCAGATAATCTTCTATGTCCACTAGTTCTTATCAAGATATCACATTTCTGAGAAAATTCATCTAAATACATTTTTTCACTGAATTTATTTAAATTAATATCATTTAATTTTATTTTCTTTTCTGTATATTCCTTTGAATTTTTGTAGATTGCATGTTGAATATCATTTCTTGAAGTATATGGGAAACAGACATAAAAGGTAAAATCTTTGCCATCTTGTGTTAATCTTTCTACTTCTTTCAATTTATTTCTTGTCTCAGGGGTTAATAACCTTTTATCTCCTATAATTCTTAATTTAGAACCATATAATGGGTCTTTATAATCCTGTGCTCTATTAGCAAATTCCTCCAATTTGGCATTAAATAAAGTCATTAAAGTTTGAACTTCTTCTTCTGATCGATTAAAATTCTCGATCGAGAAAGCATAAGCACTTACACATTTCACACCCATTTTCTTACATATATAAACTAAAGTTAATAAAGTAAAACCACCAGCCTCGTGGCCTTTCTTCAAGGGTAAATTATTAGATTTGGCGTATCTTCTATTACCATCCATTATGAACGAAACATGTTCTGGAATAGGACCTACTTTTAATATAGCAATAAAAATATCTTGTAAAAATTTCTGCCACCATACTCTAATGCTTTGAGGAACAATTCTCATAAATACAATATGTAACTGATTAAACACATAAAGAAATAAATGTGTTGAAGATTCTATAGTGTAATTTGTTGACCGGATCAACGGACCTCTAACTAATCTTTTGACAGAAGCAATCATTATTCACTGTTATGAATTGGTATACAAGATTGTAAATAATCTACGTTGTTTTAATAAGTAAATACCAAGGAAGAAACCAGAAATATGAAACGTTTCATATCTCCATTCCCATGTCCCTTTTATACTTCTTGTTACAGCTATCCTCCCATCCTCCCTGATCCCCACTTTCTCGTTCTCTTTCCCTCCATCCCCAACAAAAAAAGAGACAACAGCGGCTATTTTTCTTCCCGCCAGCCGCAGTCTCCGCAATTTGCGCTTTCCGTTTCGCTTCCCTTCGTTAAATTCTAACAAGAAAATATATTACAATAACAAGGCTCGATCACCTGTATTATATTATATAGTACTTGCCATAAAAGATAAGTATTTTACATAATATACAACTATTTTACTCGACATGTATAAGATAGATTGTAATTACTTCTTTACTAGAAGAATTAGTCTTATTTTAATGGAAGAAATAATGGAACACTAGATATTCCAATAAAACAAAGGAATACGTCTTTTCTCAGTTTGTAATGAGAGTCGAATCTTGTGAAGGAAATATATAATTAAGCCAGGTAGCGGTGTCAATAAAGAATTAGGCCTCGATAACAAGCCATCTAAATTGTCAAAAGAATATTGCCATTAAATTTGGATTGTCCTATAGTTGGTTAGGCCCAGTTTTTAATGCTTTAATTGCGGTACTTCTGTATTACATCTTAGATTCAGAGAAGGATATTTACTTGGTATGAGATACCCTTAATACAATATATACACATAAATATTCATCAGTATTTTCAAAGCTATTCCACAATGAAATTTAATTTTTTTTTGTCATTTAAGGGCTGTTTTGTTGTCAACTGTTTTACAGAACTGATTTTTTTTTCTTGGGGGAAAGAAAAGAGGTATAACCTCCTTTCATAGTAGTAGATACACTTGTAAAAAAAAATGCATTCGTTATATATTTTATATATGCTGCGATTAAATACTTATACATAAGTATATTTGTAATTATCTATTAGGAATTAGTTTTTTGTAGGGGTAAGATATATGGTAAAATAATGTTTATGAATATTTGGGGGGGAAGAGTTCTCCGTTTTTTGTATGTGCTTTTTAATCTTTCTGTATTCTTGATTTTTGGATGAATAAATGAATAAGATACTTTCACAAGCGGTTTTACCTGAAATTATTTAAGACACTGCCACAATCGAGACAATAATAACTGCTTTCACCTCTTATTAATCCACCTTTCGAAATAGGTTTGAAGTGTGAACCATGGCATACATCGCATTTAAAAGTCTGCGGTAAATCTTTACCGATTGCTGATGATAGACTCTCACTAGGGGATTTGTACATACTTGATTGATTCAATGTAGGGGTAACTGATGTTCCGAATCCATATTGTGGTGTTTGTCCACTGGCGCTAAAATTTGACATTGAAGGAGATCTTAGAATAGGTTTAGTTGTTTTTGAACCAAAGAGACCAGAGCCACCGGTACTACTATTACCAGTCAAATGGGAGATATTAGTAAAAGATTTTGTTCTACTGACCGTAACAGAAGAATTGCTTCCACCTGTGGAACGACCCATGGTATTAAGTGATGTCGCACTATTGACCCTAGCGCGAGTCTCTGATTTATATTCTTGAATCTTTTCTAATACGCGTTTTCTGATCACGGTAGGGATATCTGTTCTAAAGACTCTAATAGTACCCGTAGTATCAGTACTAATTACAATTGATCCAATAGCGTTGACGACATTACTTAGAGAACTGGGTCCAATATAATCGGACAGAGAGGAAGATGAGTCATTGGATGTAATAGGGGTCACTGCAGTACCTCTTATTTTAAAGATATCAAAATCATCTTCAGTATTAGAGAATTCAGCATATAGTTCGCATATAACATCGTTAGATAACGACAATGTCTTAGCAGTATCGATTGGTGCCAATGACACACTTGTCACAGGAGCTGGATGTGCATTAAATGCAAGATAACTACTATTCTTGATGTAATCATGATGTCCAGGGATTAAGGATGCTAAAAATGAATGCCTATGATTAGACTCATTTTTAACACTTTCTGTCGGTGAAGAAGGTGATTTATTTGCGTGGGATGTCATATGAGTCATTGTCAACGCAGTCAAATCATCGTTTCTACCACTACCACTGCTTAGACTAGAACTTCTGCTCAATGATTTATTGAATAAGTTTTTCAGACTATCTGATCTTTTGAGTCCATTCTTCGTCTTTTTGCCATGTGTGTTAGTATCATCATTGGAAGGATCTTCTACCGACGATTTTAATGCCCAACAATATATCCAATGATCATCACTACCACAAACTACATAAGCACCACCAGTAGAAGTAGATAATTGAGCATTATGAGATAATATTTCACTATGGAACCCTTTGATCACTTCTAACATTTTCTTTGTGTGCAAATCAAATATCCTGATTCTAGAGTCATTCGATGTGACTAATATACGAAGCATATTACCCTTTGTATCGAATGGTGGTGAAAACACGGTTAACCCAGTAATTCTTGGACCATGGTGTGCTTTAGCTGGATCTTGAAATATGGTAACTGATTTATCAGATTGGGTCTTTCTATCTGTAACATGAAACGAGGAAATTGCAGTTAAACCATTAGTCAATAAAATATAGATATAACCATTGAAGGTTCCCACCACAGTATATTTACCGTCACTTTGTGAGAACGTTACTGATGTTATTAAATCAAGAGTATCGAATTCATAACTAATTTCATCGTCTACAATAGACCAAAGTCTACATGTATGATCCAAACAGCCGGATATAAAAAATCTATCATCAGTTGGATGAAAACTAACCGAGGTGACGAAATCTGGATGATGGAATGTCTTTAGTGATAATTTTCTATCTGGATGCCATAATTTTACTGTTTTATCCATGGAGGAACTAACTAAAAAATTGTTCTTGGACCAATCTAGATCCAAGACATCTTGTGTATGTTCTTTAAAGACTCTTATTGGTAATGGATGGAACACAGGAGCATATAAATCCAGGGATTCATTGACATTATCGTAAGCTGGACCCAAATAAGGAGAAGAAGATGCTGATGATTGTGAGGGGCAGTTTTTATTATTGTTTGCTAAATTGGATAATTGAGATTTTAACCTAGATCTTCTTGCATGAGATTCGATATTTGATTCCAATGTAGAATTTAATTCTAATCGTTCGATAGGGGAACTAATAACCTTCCATATTCTAATGGTACCATCTTTCCCTGCAGTAGCTAAATATTTCCCATCATGACTAAATTTACTTGTCCATATAGCTTTCGGTGTCACTGGAGATTTTGAAGATGATGAAGACGATGGCGTCGGATGACATGATGATGTTGAAGTTGAGGATGCAGTCGCGGTCGAAGATGAAGAATAAGGGCCCGATGTTCCATTAGGATCATTCATCATTTGTTTATTTGCATCGAATTCATTAAGATTATTAACTTTCAATTCTTGTGCAAGAAATAATCTTCTAAATTGTTTCACATGTCTAGCTTTCTTAAAAGTCTTAATATATTTTGGTTCTCTTAAATAATTTTCAAATTGATCTATATCAATAGAATGGAAAATTGGAGGGAAATTATTACTTCTACTATGATTTCGTTGTGAACTAGTGTATGTTCCTTTCATCAATTGTTGTCTTACTTGAGATAAAATCTGTTTTGAATCTCTCGTCATCATATCACTTGCAGAGTTTGTATTTGATTTATGATGAGATTTATTCATTTTTAATCTTACAGGCTTAATATCTTCCGAGAATCCAACACTTTTCTTAATATGGGTAGTTTTCTTCTTAGAATTAGATCTGACTGTATTAGTAGCAGAATTGTTGGCATTACTATTAATGTTTTCATTTGTTATGGAACCTTCGAAAGTAGAACTATCTACCATATCAGTATCCTCGATATCTATATCATCCATTTCAGATACTGTGGATTCATTACTTTGGACATTATTCATAATAATATTAAATTGAGTAAAAAAATAAACAATTACAGAGAATAAAAGGCTGTCAGGCTAACTCGTAAAAAAGGATGATGATGATGATAAAGTCAATGATATTAAGGGGGAGGCGTAACTGTAATAGTACTATGTTTTTCGTCTTTAGTAATCTGTTTAGTTGTAGATTCTTGAATACCTTATAAGCGCGGATATTAACAATAAGATAGATTCTGTAGCGAAAAAGGATAAATAAAAATTAATGAATGTACGAGTTGGCAATATGAATAATAATGCTGTTGTTGTTATTATTATTATTATTATTATTGTAACTTTATCAAGAGAATAATAATTTGGAATCTCAGAATGAAGAGATCAAAAACGTTCTTGAAAATAGTGAAAATAGTGAAAATAGTGAAAAAGTTTCAAAAACTATCAGCCAAACGGTCCTATATTAAAATTCCACTATAATTAAATCGTTCAAAATAATAATATACAGGTAGAAGAACCCTAGAAATTACAATAGCTGGAAAGTAAAAGCCCTTTTTGCCTATAAGCGATTTTAGTTTGTCAGTTATTGCAATTATTGCTATTGTGGTGTCTTCTCTCTTACAATTAGATGAACCGAACCGAGAAGAATTTTTTGGATTTTCTCTCTTTCTGTGTGTAAAATGTGCGTACAGCCCGGGAAACAATTATTTGGTTAGAGAGAATTGTAAAGAAATGTAAAGATCCCTTAAACGACAAAACAGAACAACAACAACGGCAGCGGCAGCAGCAGCAAAAATTCACTATGCGCAGACGGAATAGAATGGAATAGAATGACTGTTATGCTGCGCAGTTACTTCCAGCTTTGTTTTTTTGAAGGCTTTGAAGATGTAACGGAGCACTAAGCGAGGCGCTACTAATACTACTACTACTAATAATTATTAATATTAGCAATATAACTAGTATAGTTTTATAGTTAGACTATACTATCACAACTAAAATATAGGCTAGTTAGGTGGAGGTGTCTTTGGAATATACTAGTAAGATATATTTGACAGATTGTTTATTCTGTACAGTAGGACAATAGAAGAATATCTAGCTAGAAAGTAAAGAGAAAGGAGGTGATGGAGGCGCGGTAAATATATATATATATGTATATTTTACTTGTTTTAGTAGTTGGTAAATAGATTTCTGACACTCGCAGTTCTTATATATATATATGACTAGGTTTTTAGATCTATGTACAAAACTCGCTATATGACATATTCCGAAGGCATGAATATTTAAAGTAGATAATACTATATGAAATACACAGATAGCCTCTTGCATGTGTATATATATATCAATAAGAACTTGGTGTAGTTAGGAGTGTTTTCAGCAATTGGATAGTAATAATGACACACATACACATTTAATAATGACACACATACGCACTTAAGAATAACATATTTTGTGTTTTCTCCCTTCTCTTAAAGGGTTCCACGGTTATAGCCTTGTTAAATCCGCGGGTTACTTATATTTGCATATTATAAAGCAAGACAGCAAATATTTTTTCTGTTTTGGCTCTCTCTGTATAAACAGAGAGGTTCTTTGAAAGAAAGTACTCGCATCCGGGGATATCTTCTTCTTTTCTTATGAATAATGTAAGGGTTCAACACCATATATTCATCCCGTCTTAATGCCCATATAATATTTATTATTGGGTCTCTATATCCTTTAACCATTAATTTTTCCGTTGTCTCGGTCATTACATTTATCCCTTCTCACTGAAGGTTTGTACGTTTTTTGACATGATATAATAATTACTAGTACAAACACATTCCGATTTACTGGATTTAACACGGCAGTAACTTTCTTTCCCTATTATAAGTATTTTACAAGCCGATAAGCTTTCGGCTGTTGATTAGGTAATAAAAAATAGTAAGACGTTATATGTTATTTTTATTTTATATATATTATCTGTATATATATATATATGTATTTCATTAGGTTTCTGAATTAAGAAAGAGGGTCGGAGGTGTGGGGGAGGAAGGGAGAAGAAGATAAATGATCTCTATCTAAGTACGAACAGTTGGTTCTTCAGTACCAATGAACTCTTGTAATTTTAAGAATTTAACCACGGGTTCGATGGTTGACTTCAAATAAACTTGAGCATCTAATGGATACTTGCTCTTATCATCTGTATATTGTTCAATGTATAATCTGATCGTGGCACCTGTTGAACCTGTACCTGATAATCTAGTGACAAATCTTGCACCATTAGATAATTTGGCATATAAACCTTGATGAGCTGATACAGAACCATCAAGATCAGTATAAGAGAAATCGCCAGCTTCAGTAACTGTCAACTTTTCTTCTGTAGAACTTGGAATAGTAGAACCAACAAATCCTGGGGATTCTATGTTTGATCTTAACTGAGCAATGACCTTAGCTGCATCTTCAGAAGAAACATGTTCATAATCGTAACGAGTGAAAAATGTTCTACCATATTTATTCCAGAATTCATTTTGAATGGTTTTAATAGAGGCCACTTTTTCGGGATGTTGTTTATTATAAATAGCCAAAAGATTTAACCACGCAATAATAGCCCATAGACCATCTTTTTCTCTAACATGATTAGAACCTGTACCAAAGGACTCTTCACCACAGATAGAAACTTTCTTGGCTTCAAATAAAGCACAGAAAAACTTCCAACCTGTTGGAACTGCATAGCATTCTAAACCGTGTGCTTTAGCCACCCTGTCTAAGGCACTTGAAGTTGGGAAAGAACGTGCAAGACCATAAATACCTTGTTTGGCAAAATATGGAATATCCTTCGCATATTCAGAGATAATAGCAACAGAATCACCTGGAGATACAAAAGCTGGACCAGCACCGTAAATCATATTTCTATCACCATCACCATCTGAAGCAGCACCAAATTCTATCTTTTCACGATCGACTCTATCAACTAATGTCTTTGCATAAGTCAAATTTGGATCTGGATGCATACCACCGAAATTTGGACTTGGATGCCAATCTTGTAACACCTCATCTGCTGGTAATTCGAATTCATCAACAAAAATAGCTTTAGCATATGGACCTGTAACACCATTCATACTATCGATTAATAATTTCCAATTCTTTTGGTCACGTTGTTCATGAATAAATTTCTTAATTAAGGGGAAATCAAAGATTTCTTTTACAAAATCAACATAAGATTTAGTAATATCAATAACATCAACTAATAATGGACCATATTTCTTATTCTTACCTAAAGTTGTTAAATCCATTTCAGGGAAATCTTTAATGATCTTATATTCGGTCAATTTTTTAGAAATTTCCCAAATTTTATTAGTGACTGGTTCTGGTGCTGGACCACCATTTGATAAATTATATTTAATACCCATATCCTTATCTGGACCACCTGGATTATGAGAAGCAGTTAAAATAATACCACCGGTACATTTTTCTTCATAAGTTCTCATAATGTGAGAAGCAGCTGGTGTAGATAATAATCCATCTTGACCAATGACCAATTTCTTAATACCATTAGCGGCACCAATGGCTGCAATCTTATGTAGGACAACATCGTTATAATATCTACCATCACCACCAACAACTAAAGTAGCACCTTCGCAACCTTCTGGAATTGCAAGAAATACAGATTGAACAAAATTTTCAACATAATTTTCCTGTTTTTCAAAGACTGCAACTCTTTTACGTAAACCAGAAGTACCAGGTTTTTGATCTTGATAAGGTTTGGTTGGAACTGTTTCCACTTTAAAGGCCATCTTTTTTTAATATTTAATGAATTTGTTTAATTGAGTTGTTTAATTGAGTTGTTTTCTTGATATTGCTTCAACTACAATTGTCTTAGTTTTATTGTATCAACTAAGAAAGAAAAATATTTTAAATTATTAAATCGAAATTGAAGAACTTTTATTAACTTTAAAAAGTAAAACTTATATGAACTTCTCTTTTATTTATATGTCGAAAATTAATAAAAAAAAAAATAAGGGGGAGGGTTCGAGTCCTATTATATAATAGGGAAGGATAACTCAAGATTAAATAAACCAAGGCACAACAGGTTAAGAAAACAACCGCTGAATAATAATTTCTCCTATTTATCGTTATACCCCCTTAATACATGTGCATTTGTATTAATAAAATACTTATAGATACCAAGAATTATGTAAACCAGTCCTTTCGACAATTCTAATTCTGTCAAATATGTATACGATCATCTAGTCAGTTTATTAATTTAAATTGCGGGTTTTAAAGTTTCACCGGTTAAGTACCCCTCGTTAATAGTACTAGAATTGTTTTAGTTGTTATATAATATATAATCAACGTTCATTTTAATTGATTCGGTAGTTCTCTCTTTGTTATTTACATTTCTAGAATTGAATGGTTCTTATTACAACCCCCGGAACTCCTAATATTCCCTGTACTATTACCATTATATTAATTGTCTCTCTCCCTCAACCTTTACCTACTGCTGTCCCCCAGCTACACCCCCACTGGTATCCGCCAGCACCTTGCATTTAACGACACCATCAAGTACATAAACGTCTTCCCGTTCCATCCTCCATCCCCCCCCCTTATTTTTTCTATGGTATTTCCGCGCTTCTTTTTTTGTTTTCAATGAGGTCCGTACTCTCGGGCAACTGATGTAGTTATTATAATTCGAATAATAGTGGGGGGAGGAAGTAGATGAATTAAATCGAATTACTGGTAACTTTGTTTAGGTGATAATACTAGGTTGAAGTACATACATAGCACAATTACCAAGTATATGAGTAGAGGATGTTACGTTTTCTTATAACCATATTTCTCGATATATGTATCTTTGTTGTGATTTGTCTGTTCAATTTCTCTCAAATGATAGTAAAATATACCCATCAAGGTTAAGGGTTTGCAGATGAAAGTACTAATCTCATACTTTTATGATGATTGACAAAAAACATTCTATATAAAGTATTGCAATTATATTTAAAGTATTATTAAGAATGAGAACGTAATAAGGTATATACCTACCTTAATTGTTCAGAAAGATTATGTGGGCGTGTATTTTATTTTTTAATCACGCCTACCTCGAGCCAATAATTCATCTAGAGGTGGGGCTTCTTCTGTAATATTATATTCTAACTCTTTTCTATCAGTTGCATTTGATAGTGTGTTATCTTCTGTTTTGATTGGAACTTTCTTAATACCTAATATTGATGTCAATTGTTCAATGTCATTGAGCATAGATTCGCTCGGTCCGTTGTGAAGCGGATCTATCTTTTGTAGAATATTTTCTGGAAGAACCGGCGGAGTAAACTCCGAGCTATTCTGTCCCTCAATGATGACTTTATGGAAATAATCTAATAATACTTGTCTTTGCGCAAATGGTGTAATGGCATACATTTGTAAAGGGTCTTGTGTAAGTGGAATGGTTTGCTCAGGTAACGGTAAATTTGTAAATTTTGGAATCTCTTCAAAATGTTGGTAATATTGCTCAGATGGTATATCATTAGGTGTATCTATGCTCATAGAATCTACGAAATTTGACATTAAATTATCAATTTTTTGTTCTAGTTCCTCTTGGTCTTTGGTTTCTGTTTTGACCTTTTCATTGTTTAATTTATCCTTTAATATTGTAATTCTTTCATCTTCAGAGAATGGTAATCTACTAATTATTAATGTTCTAACATGTGTATTGTTTTCTTCTAAAGTATTATTAGTACTTACTTTCTTTAAATTGGTTGTACTAATGTTTAATGGTATCAATGCACACATCTGAACATCTGCCCCAGATTTTTGTACATATCGACAAATTGCAATTCTGGAAGTTTCTAATAAAGTATCAACAAGGGCAGAAAAACTTGTAACATCTCCAATGGATCCTAACCTTGTATCGGCCATGATGAAAACAGATTCTGAATTCAAATATCTTCTAGGCAATTGGTTTTGATCCATAAAACCACGAATATCGATACCTGGTGCTGTCTCATAATACAACTCATCGGCGATCATTTTTGGTAATACTACGTAATCTGTACCATAACGGTACGCTTTGGCCACTGATTTACTTGAGATTGGTACACCCTCAGGGAGTTGTCCTTCTTCAGTCTCCTTTTTAATGATCGATTTCTGTTCTTTTTCTTTGTTGTTCTCAGGGTATATTTCGTATTCGATAACATTCTTTGGTATAGTATAATGATTATTGAAATTTTTGTTATCAATTTCATCATTTTTAGTCTTTAATTTTCTGTGTAATCCAGATATAGATTTAGTAGCAGGATAACCTTCTACATTAATACAAAGACAACTGGTATCAGATATGTTTTCAGAAATATTATCCATAGCAATGTTAGTTAATTCAGCACCAAGTCTCAATTGTCCTGAAAAGACTCTGACAGGTTTCACCACTGGTGGTCTTGGTGTGTTTGTTAATTGAATTAATTCAGACAATTTAACAATCGTAGATCCCTCACATTTGGAAATCAATCGAAACCAACTATTCTCTGGACCTGTAACACCTGAAGAATTATCCTTGGTAATTTGATTTGTAGTTCTACAATCAACCAATACAAAACGACCAGTATATTCTTGTAACATCTCATCGATTTCACTATCTTCCAAAGTGATGGATTTCATATCATCTGTGAAACACATGATTTGTCGTAACATCTTCCTTTTATGGAACTTTTCTTTGATTTGTAAAGTTGATAACAATAGACATTGTTCAATGGTATTGAACTCATCAGTGTTGATACCATCTGTAGGTTTTAATGAACATAGCATCTTTGATATTTCCTGGCATTGGCTCCCTAACAAAGGCGCTTCCATTTTTTGTAGTTCGTATATATTTTCCAATTGCATAGAATTATCAGTGTGGATATGATTAGTTAAAAAACAATCCACCCAATCTGTTTTTCTTGACTTTTCACATTTCTCCAACAATGTATATTCCAGGTACTGGAGCAATTGTTTCACTTTATCTGTTTGTATCATTCGTTCAGAGACATCGATAATAAAAGAAGTACACTCTGCCATTGTTTTATTAATATCCTTCTTTTTTTGGTATCTGGGTTTTGGTCTTTTCTGAAAGTTACTTTGATATTTCTTTGTAGCAATTCACTGACCCCTTTTCTGGTTCTAGTCTTACATTTACAATATTTGAACATGTTACTTCAGCATTATGTAAACACCATTAAAATTACACGTTCAAAAAGTCGCGTCATACGAGCAACAATATGACAGAAAACAATTAACGTCAGTATTAAATAAATATACACAGTAAAAACATAAATTAGTTACTTTACAAGAAAATTTCGATAAAAGCATTAGTATGTGATTACTTTTATTTCTTCTTACTATGGGTACAGTTTATATTCTACATTTTAAATTGTATAATCTCAAAAACTAAAAAACTATTAAAGCAACATTAATATAAAATAATTCACATAATTTGAGAAATTATTGTACATATCGTATTGTTTCCCATAAAGAAATAAAATTATATCAATTATAGTTATTCTTATGCAGGTTTGAAACAAAATAAAAGAAAAGTTATAGAAATTGTCAAAAACTAATAAAAAGAAAGCCCTGTAGGGGGCTCGAACCCCTAACCTTGTGATTAAGAGTCACACGCGCTACCGATTGCGCCAACAAGGCTATTTCTTATGAATATTTTTGGGAAACTTAAAATCTAACACCTACTTATAATTTATCATCTTGGTGCAATAGTTTTAATAAATGGAAAATATGTTTTTCAGAAATTTAATTTTAAATTATGTATATTACGAAAAGTAGAGAAGGTAAAGTAGTTTTACTTTTTGTCATTAAAATTAATATTTTTCTAAGGAACTTAAGAGTTTTTAAATATAAGTGATATTAAAGTCACATTTATTAGTGTAGAGAGGTGGAGGTGTAGCTAACGTTCTTATTGGGACATTTAAGATATCCCTTATCCATTTAATTTTAGTTAGTAGTATAATGTGTTAAACAGAGTTGCTATTTGTTAAACATATAAGCTATGTTCAAATACAAAAGAACTCTTAGTTGCATGTCAAAATATAAATGACTAACAACGTATCTGGTTCAAATTCAGGTTTCCATCAGTCATCATTATTTGATTATGAAACAATATATGTTACATTATTCAACGAAAAGATGAAGTTTCTGATACAATGAGAGTAATATTCAGTAAATAAGAGGTCACCCACTCAGTAACTAAATGACGTGCTCTTGTGTATATAAAAGAGATATTATTGTCCTAATTAGATTTCAAATATAATTAGGACAATATATGATAAGTTCTTTTTATAGAAAATGTGAAGACACGTTAACGTATAATCTATTTTGATAGAGAATTGATTAAGGTCTCGGGTTCTTGTTCAATAAAAGATCAAGAATAAATAAATAGTGTATGTTTATCCTTTTCCCCAAAACACACGTATTTACTAGATAATCTTTCGACAGACTTAGGTTATATCTATTAAAGTATGTGAATATATTTCAATTTTAGTAGTAGTATGTTTCTTTGATTGTGTAAATATACGGTGTACCGGAACCACACACTTTGTTAAAAAAACAATGATTACTAATAATCCTTATCGTATATGCGTATATATATTTATGTGTGTGTATGATGTCATCACTTCCTGTTTTGCTTGTCTTTATGATATAATTTTTGTTTGATTTGTAATTTTTTAGGGGAGAGACAGATGGCACAGCCGTTCGCTTCTCCAACCATTCTATAAATATATATATATAAGGAAGAGTAGGGTTTAATAAATATTTTTTAACACCATTGATTAATACATCTATTATATTAATTAATAAAATAGCAATAAATCAAAAAAAAAATCTATTAGTAATATTTTCATAATGTCTAGTCTATGGGATTCGTTTACAGTATATAATCGTCACAAACATTCCAGTGACCCTGAATTATTAGGTACTAACCATTCAAACATTGGTACAGGTAAGACCAGTGTTTTGTTTCCAGCGGAACATCGAATCTTACAAGAAAAGACCATAAAGGCTCAAGCAGAAGCCAAGTTACGTGCAGAAAGTGAAGCTAGTTCTCGTAGAGCAAGTTATACAGAGAGTTTGAATTCTAATAACAACGCTAATAATGGTGATACCTCCGCTACAGGAGGAGCACAACCAATGTTTGTAGATATTTCAAACATGACTAGATCAGAATTCAAGAGACTGTATGATTCTATGAGAGAGGGTGAGCCTGATAACAAAGTTAACTTCTAAATGCAAGCAATATAGTATATATAATTATATATATAATAACATAAAAAGCAATTTATCCTTATGACTATCCCCATCTAAGTATATGTAAATGTATATATATTACCAGTTTCTTTAAAATGAATAAATATATATTATGATCATAATCACATTAGAAGTTACAGTGTATACGCCTGAACCGGCATGCCCTCTGACAGCACGGGATGCCGGGAATGACTCACTCTGTTTTTCTTAGCTGACAAGCGACGAGACAAGCCGTTTGCGCTGTGCACCGCGAGAGAAGCCAGCGAGAGAAGCGAGAAATGTTTCCCACAATTTCTGCTCTTCTCGTCTCAAAGCTGAAAATAATTTTTCAGCAATGTTCGATGTGCGATGACTGACGAGACGAGTTACAACTACTACCATTACCATAATATGAGTTGATATTTATTATATTGTGATGGTGATATTCTCACGAAATGGAAGTTTTTGTCAGATGGTAAAGGGTACTTCACGTACTTACTGCATTATGTTCAGCTTACTTTTTTTCTTTTTTGGGTTGTGTTTTTTTTTATTTTTCACTGGCTTTGTAGGGTGACTTCATAGTTGGTGAATTTTTATGAATATTTCAATGATTTCTATCATATATTCTCTGACTCAGTAAATTTTTTAACTATATATATATATATATAACTAATTTCACCGTTATTATTATTTTTTTTGTTCTTGTTAGAATATTTGTAACTTTGTCTGTTAGTTAAAATTACCATTTTTAGCAAGATAAACCCTCATCGTTCCTCCCTTTTTGCAATCTAAAAGAAATGATTAGAACTTCTGTAGTTAAATCAACTATTGCAAGACGTGCTTTACAAAGATGTGGTTCTCATGCAACCGTAATGGTTCCATCCACTCAGAGATTTTATTCTTCTCCATCGACTATATTATTAAAACAACAACAACAAAATGATACTTTTGCAACAAAGGGTAAAAGACCAGAACCTGCACCAAGTTTTAATATCGATATTCAATCTTCTTCAACTACAACTGTCTCAAGTAAACTGGCAGATAATGCTGCTAAGAAGAAACAATTAGATAACTCCCTAGTAGGTATGACCGGTGGTCAAATCTTTAACGAAATGATGTCTAGACATAATGTAGACACTGTCTTTGGTTATCCAGGTGGTGCAATCTTACCTGTCTATGATGCAATTTATAACAGTGAGAATTTTAAATTTGTCTTACCAAAACATGAACAAGGTGCTGGGCATATGGCTGAAGGTTATGCTAGAGCCTCGGGGAAACCAGGTGTTGTCCTTGTGACTTCTGGCCCAGGTGCTACTAATGTTGTTACTCCAATGGCTGACGCTTTAGCTGATGGTATCCCAATGGTAGTGTTCACAGGCCAAGTGCCAACTACAGCTATTGGTACTGATGCTTTTCAAGAAGCTGATGTTATTGGGATCTCTAGATCATGTACAAAATGGAACGTTATGATAAAAAACGTTAAGGAAATGCCTACTAGAATCAATGAAGCCTTCGAAATCGCAATGAGTGGTAGACCAGGACCTGTCTTAGTAGATTTACCAAAGGATGTTACTGCTGCAGTCTTAAGACAAGCTATCCCAATAAATAGCGCTCTACCTACCGATACTTTACATCAATCCTCTGTGAAAGAATTACAAAACGAATTTACTGTAGAAAGTATTAATAAAGCTGCAGATTTGATTAATTTGGCAAAGAAACCAGTGTTGTACGTAGGTAGTGGTATCTTCAATAATGAAGATGGACCTCGTGTCCTAAAGGAATTGAGTGAACGTGCTCAAATTCCTGTCACCACTTCATTACAAGGCCTGGGTGCATTCGATCAAGAAGACCCTAAATCTCTAGATATGTTAGGTATGCATGGATGCGCTACAGCTAATTTGGCTATTCAAAATTCAGATTTGATCATAGCAGTCGGTGCAAGATTCGATGATCGTGTCACAGGTAATATCTCCAAATTTGCTCCAGAGGCACGTAAAGCCGCTATGGAGAACCGCGGTGGTATTATTCATTTTGAAATCTCTCCAAAGAATATTAATAAAGTCGTGGAGGCTCAAGTTGCCGTTGAAGGTGACGCTACTGCTAACTTACAATCTATTTTACCTAAAATATTCCCTGTCAAGGAAAGAACTCAATGGTTTAAGGATATCAATGGTTGGAAAGCAAAATATCCTTACGAGTATATGAGAGAAACTCCCGGTTCAAAGATTAAACCACAGACAGCTATCTCTAAATTGTCAAAGATCGCTAACGCTACAGGTAAGGATGTCATTGTCACCACCGGTGTCGGTCAACATCAAATGTGGGCTGCACAACATTGGACTTGGAAGAAACCTCGTACTTTTATCACCTCAGGTGGATTAGGTACTATGGGTTATGGTCTACCTTCTGCGATTGGTGCTCAAGTGGCACATCCTGACGCTCTAGTCATAGATATCGACGGGGATGCTTCTTTCAATATGACTTTGACAGAACTAAGTTCGGCTGTCCAAGCAGGAACTCCAATCAAGATCTTACTGCTAAATAATGAGGAACAAGGTATGGTGACACAATGGCAATCCTTGTTCTATGAGAACCGTTACTCTCATACTCATCAATTGAACCCAGATTTCATGAAACTGGCTGAAGCAATGGGTTTGAAAGGTATTAGAGTTACTAAGCAAGAACAATTGGATGGTGCTCTGGAAGAATTTGTTAATACGGAAGGTCCAGTGTTATTGGAAGTCGAGGTCGAGAAGAAGGTTCCAGTTTTGCCAATGGTCCCAGCTGGTAAAGGTCTTGACGAATTTATATATTTCGATGAAGCCACAGAAAAGGAACAAAATACTTTACGTCATAAACGTACCAATGGTAAGCATTGAAAGGGAAAGAAAAATAGTTTAATGGGATCATTCATGTAATCTAAAAAAATAGAAAGAGGGAAATCCAATAATAAATATTCAGTAGTCAAATAAAACAATTAAAAAAAAAAGAAGAAAAATATTTTAAATTAATACTACTCAAACAAGTACATACATTTGCATATAATTTTTCATATGTGATCTAAATATATTACGATGTCAATAAGACAATAATGAAAGTTTATTCATCAAAAGAAAAAATTAATCTTTGTTTGTTTCGTCTTTTTAGGATTGTATTAAGCACATGATTTCAAGAATGTGTAAAATAGAATAGATATATAAGGAAATAAAAATTAAGTATATTGATTACAAGCTGCAGCTACAGCAACACCGACAACAGGGAATAAGTATAATAGTTTATTGCGGTACCAATGTGTATTACCATTCTCATCAAACCATGGTTGTTGTTCCGTAGCAGTTTCGACAAGTTTTAATTTCGTCTTGTTATATGGTGGGTACCTCATAAATAACATCTTGTCCATCCAATATGGTTGTTTAAATACAGTTCTTTCATGAGTGAAGGCATCAAAACCATAGATGCCACCATAATTACCGTATCCTGACTTACCAATACCACCAAATGGAGCATCTTGAATGGCGACATGGATTATAGTATCCCCAATAATGCAGTCCCCAGATCTTAAACGGGTTAAGATATGTTGTCTTTCATGTTCAGAATCAGAGAAAATATATTGCACTAATGGTTGATCATTTTTCTTAATAATCATGTCTAAAGTTTCATCTAAGTCTGAATATTTATAAATGGGTAATACAGCACCAAAGTTCTCTTCTTCCATTAATGAGTCATCCCATGAACAATCTGAGATCAAAGTTGGTGGAACACAATATAGACCCTTATCAACGTCAGTGACAAACCCTTTTGCAGATTCAGGTATGTATTTCTCACCATTTGAAGCTTCGACTTTCTTTCTGATTGCGTTATATGCTCTTTCCCCAACTACATAAGTATAATCTAAATCGCTGTTAAAGGTGGGATACATTTCATCCAAAACTATCTTCGCTTGTTCCAACACTTTATCGTAAATAGATTCATGAACCATTAAATAATCAGGGGTAACACATATTTGACCACCATTACTAAATGCACCAAAAAATATTCTCTTTATGGCCGTCCTCAATTTAGAATTATTTTTGATATTAAACTTTTGAGTCATAAACGCTGGTGATTTACCGCCCAGCTCTAGGACACATGGTATCAAATTTTTAGCAGCCTCCTGGGCGACAATAGAACCAACATTTGGGGAACCGGTGTAAAAAATCATATTCAGGGTCTTGGATCTGATTAATTGGGTGGTTTCTGGGATAGCACCTTGGACAACTTGTAACAAGCCATGAGGAAAACCCGCCTCTTCAATCAATCTTTCCATTTCAATTGCAGTTGCTGGAGTCATCTCACTTGGTTTTAAGATCACAGTATTACCAGCAGCGATAGCGTTGGCGACGGGTGTTAATGCTAGCAGAACAGGAAAATTACATGGGGATATAACTAAGGTACTACCCATAGCAATCTTTTCTACATAAGTTTTACCTAACATATATGTTGGAGACATGTCACATATACGTTTTGGCTTCATCCATTTGGATAGATTTTTGATCATATTCAAAATGTCATTATACAACGGGATTAGTTCCAATTGCATTGATTCTTGGGGAGCACGGTGATAATCCTCATACATGGCATCAATCAGGTTTTTCTCATTCTTCTTAATAGCATAATATAATTTTTTTAATTGTTTGGACCTAAATTGTAGGTCAGTTTTTCTTATATTCTTGGCCTGTGATAATTCCTTTTGCCTTTCAAAGAAAGTTTCACTAGAAACTGCTAGTTTAGTATCTATAAGATCTAGCGGAGTATAATGTAGTTCTCTCATAGTTATCTTCTCTCTAATTGATTATTATAAAGATTGAACAGTTGTAAATTCAGAAACCTAGTTGAATCATCTGTTGTTTAAATATTATTTAAATGTCTTTCTTAATACAGGTTAATATATTATTAGAATATTAAGTATATTATTATTTTGCGCTTAGGATTTTAACATCGCCCCTAAGATTAAAATAACGCAAAAAGGCGATATTGCCATTTAGTCTTAAAATAGAAAACAATACTATGAACTCGTGAGGATAATATAAATATCAGCTAAGTTACTCAATTCAAAATGATGAATTTCTTAATTTATATACCCGCCTTATTTAAACCTATAGGAAATATATAGGTAGAATATTTAGTGCATATCTAAGTAATATTATCGAAATTTGTGGAATTATTTTCCGAAACGTTTTGACCAGGTTCTAGTTCGTCAGGCTCATGTTCTTGATTTTGTTCATATTCTCCTGTCAGTGTTTCACCCGGCGTCTCACTAGATGCTGATTGACTTTCTTGTATATTCCTCATTATCGTATCTTCTCTCTGACGTTGCAATATTAATCGTCTAGGAATACCCCTTTGCTTAATATTCAATGAATAATCCTCGACTTTGTCATCTTTCCTCGACAAATATTCATATAATTGAGATATCGACATCAAACAAATGTTCCCTTTATAGCTGTTATTCCCCAATCTAATATTTTCTAATACCTTGATAGCTTGATTCCTCTTTATTCCTTCTGGGAGGTTGTATTGTTTAGGGTTCTTTATGATGTTTTCAATTCTACTGATAAGACATTTTCTTTTAGCAAATAGAACTCTTTGGCCACGTTGTCTACGCCAAGTAGATCCGAATTTTCTTTCCAATTGTAAAAGCGATGGCTTCCCAGGAAATCCTTCGTAGTACTCTTTTGCCACATCATAAACACTTTGAATAGCTATATTCATTTTATAATTTTTCCACAAGTCTGTTCTTATCGCATTTTCCATTTCTCTGTCGCCTTCTTCTTGAGCTGCGATTAAAGAATCTCTAGCATGTTCATCTTCCAAAACTTGAGCTCTCGAGATTACCCCAGGGTGTTGATGGCCTGGTAACCTAACATTAAGCCTGTCAGGAATCGTACTTGTCGCAGTATACGTATTTCTTATAATCTGATCACTTAAAAGAGGCAAATTTCCATCATCACCATCTGTTTCCCTTTTCACAACTATTCTATCAGAGTTTAGCAAAATAGATCTATCGTGAGCTTCTCTTGCGTAGTCAACTTCAGTACGTCCTTGTCCTGAGCCATAGTAGTCTGTATCTTCTTGGCCTAGGGTCCTTGTGATAGGGTCTACAGCGTTCTCATCCGAATGATCCAAAAATCGTAACCTTTCACCAGACATAATACCCACTACTTCTTTAAATAATTTCTTCAACTGTGAAACTTCCGTTACAGACTTTTTGATGTCCTTGAATCCACTTTCTAGCCTTTTTGCATTATTCAAATAGTATGCTTCTTGTTCTTGTTCTAAAGTTTCAACTTTATGTCTAAGAGTTTCATTTTGTTCTTGAATTTTCATCATCTGGTCTATAATGAACGTCTGGAATTCTCTTGAGGTAAGGTTAGAACCTACTCCAGTGGCAGTCACATTTGTAGATATTGTAGTATTTGTAGAGACTATATTACCTTCAGCGGAAGGTCCGCTGGCTCTAACATTACTACCATCATCCTGGGTCGCATTCCTTGCTTGTATTATATTATTAGTTGTGTTTGGGTTAGGTTGTGTTGCCCCAGATGTATCTCTAGGAATAGATTCACTTCTATACCCACCATATCCTAAAGGATAATCAGAATCATCGGAATCCATAGGGATCTAGGTATATGTTGTGTTTTCTTTTAAGTATACAGAAGGTAACAACGATAAGCTTGTTGCATACGTTGCGTTACACGTCTCAGGGTAAAAGAAAACAAAGGTCTAATTTCAAAATGGTGCCTTTTACTGGATACGATATAAAAAAATGCTAATGTTCTTATTCTAAAGCTTTTGATAACTATTAACGGAGCTCCAAGTTAGCGATCGAATCATATCCATTTAAATGTCTTATTTACATATTCGAGATGTCAAATTCTTTTTCAATTGAAGGTAAAACTGAAAAACTTAAAAAAAAAGGGAAGAATGAAATGCGAATAACGATAAAACTACAGTTTTCAATTAACCGATCTGCCGATCAAAGCAGTCTTTTTTGGAGAAGGTACTTATATCATCTTGATATATTTTCATCAAAACGGCATATCTGGGTGATCGCTCATCATAAGGGTAATGCTCTTTGTCGAAAAAAAAAGAAATTTAGGTTACTATTGAGTTGTTTTAATTACATTATATAGTTTTGATATATAGGAATTTTTATTCTTCAAGATATGAGGTTTGAGGAGAATAGAGTTGCTATCTTCTATCATACATCTTCCATTTCTATATCGTCGTCGTCGTCGTCATTATTATTATTATTGCTATCTTTATTAGTTTCATCAGTTTCCTTGGTTTGAATATAGTTAGGTTGACTGGCATCCATAGTCGTACTTGTTGTAGTTTCTGGCCTAGCCTCTGTATGTGTAGCCTCTGTGTGCGTAGCCTCTGTGTGCGTAGCCTCTGTGTGCGTAGCCTCTGTGTGCGTAGCCTCTGTGTGCGTAGCCTCTGTGTGCGTAGCCTCTGTGTGCGTAACTTTCATTTGTGCATCGTCTGTTTCTGGAATATCTGTTTTGGCAGTTTTGACTTCTAAAACTTCTGAAGTATTATTTAACTCGATTTGGCTAGCTGTATTATTTCTGTCTACTCCAGATGAGCTTTCAGGGAGACCTGGTGTCACCTCTTTGGTATACGTATCTCCTGACAATGTAGCCTTCAATAAGCATATTTGTTCGTGTAATTTTTCATCATCTTGGCCTAATGCCTTCTTGTTGACGTTTATAGGTAGTAATCTTGTACCAATATTATCATCTAATAATTTAATCTCATTTCTCAATCTAACTGTTGCCGATTCAAGATCAGTATAAAATCCCTCTACATGTTTTGTAAATAGTGGTCTTGCAGAATCATTCCCACTTTTCACCTCACTGAACGCATGTACTACCTGTGAGGCCTCTTGCAGCATTCCACATAGTTTTAAATCAATCTCATCGAGCGCAGAAAGTCTTTCCTTAACGTATTCTGGTTGCATTTGTAGCTTTGAATATTATAAATGGCTAATTTGAGAGGAAATTTTCGACTAGTAGTTTGTATATGTTTTCTACTCTATTTTGTTTATACGTAGGTGGTTGGCATGTGAAAGGTACCTTCACAATTCTTAGAGGTTTCTTTATTTATATTATTCAACCTTGGCCTTTTTCCATATTTTCTTTTTCGTTTTTCCTGTTGTCATTATTTTTTTGTTACCGATCCGCTTCCTTTTAATAGTAAAAGAACCAGCATATGATTTTAGAAAATGAAAATTGATTTAAGATGGAGTTTCTCTCTTCACATCTGTTTCACGACTTTTACGGCCCTTTTGATTTGAACTTTGTCTTATCATGTCCATTATGTTTCTTCTCTTAGGCTTTTTTGGTTTGAGATCATCCGACAACTCCCTCTTTAATGCCATTTTCAGCTCAGTTTTTTCCATTGGAGTCTCTTCCTTTACAGACATTAAACCCAGTTTGGAATCTTCTTCATCTTGTTTCTTTATACTTATGCTACCTTCCTCTTTTTTGATACGATCACTATCCTCTTTTAATATTGGTTTTGTTAGGTACTGTCCCTTATTAGATACCTTCCCTGCATCTCTAGTTACCTGATATACTCTATAGAGATGGTCGTCAAAGCTAGGTGTCAACACATTATCTAATTCCTTTTGATTCCATTTCAATTTATCAGGATTCATCCATTGTTTCCACTCATCAGAGTCATATTCAAGGACGCAAGGCATTCTATCATGTAGCCATTTGAGACCTTCGGGAGCAGGACCAGTGATTATAGTATATGAGAACATCTGTTCTGTTTCGTTATAATCAAATAAACCAGCAAGAAACAGTATTTTGTGGTCTTTTCTTCTTAAATAATAAGGTGTTTTACTTTTATCGTGTGATTTCACCAACCATTCATAATAGCCGCTGATTGGAACAACGCAACGTCTACAACCCAGACAACCGTGCCATATCTTACTAGATAATAAGTTTTCCATGCGGGCATTGAAAGTAGTGTACCCTTTAAAGGTTCCAATCTTCTTAGACCAATGAGGAATTAACCCCCACCTCATGTAACGTACATCATCGTTTTTGGAATTTAATACAGGGGCTCTACTAGTGGGTGCAACATTGAATGATTTGTCATAGTGTAACATGTTAGAATTAACGCTAGTAGATGTATCATTTTCTGAATCTCCAATATTATCAGAGTCTTTATAATTAACGTTGTTTCCTCTTAAGTTAATGTCAATACCCCACTGACCAAATGCAACTGGTAACTCATCGCTATCAAATGATAGCGCGTATCTACCACACATCCTACCCGATTCTTTTGTATACTATGTATACTATAAGACAGCGTACCACTTACTCCAATATCTAGAAACAAGTCAAATACATATACACTTGCTTGGATGTTTGTTATTTTAAAGATAAAGAAGAATTACTGACTACCCTTAAACATGTGAATATCTTATACTTTCCTTATGTATAATACAAAAAAAGCGATGCGTTAAGAAAATATGTAAGTTTGACGCTCTTTTTTGAATATTGAATGTTTTTCTTTCTTTCACCCGTTAAATAAGAATAATGTATTAAACCGAATCTCTTGAAAAAGTGGTAATTTCTCCAATAACTAGGAGCTGTAATAGGTTTGAACTTTGACCAGAATCTCTCAAAATAATAGAATTGGATTTTCTAGTGGTATCACCAATTTTTTTCTGACTGTTTTTTTTTTTAATAGGAGAAAGTTTGGAAGTGTGATTACTTTGTTCGATTTCATTATTTTATCAATTTGAAGATAGTGTCTACAAATATGAATAGTCGTATTCTATCCAAATTTGCTTCTTCTTTGCGATCGAAGTATGCATTGTTGGGTAAAAATCAGAGGTGGATCATTGGTGTTGGGAGCGCCGTCTCTGTTACATTTGGTACCGCTTATTACTTATCAAAATATAGAGATTCTCGTCGAACCTATTTATCCCCATACACATATGCTAATTATTACAGTGATAGATATAGATATCCTACTCATTTAGAAAATTATTTGAAACAAGCTGTATGGGATGAAAGTAGCAATGTTAATTACAACTATACAGAATCTCTTCATAAATATATTGAAGTATTAAATAAATTACAAGATTTAAAAGTTAATCCTTTAAGTGATGAGTATACTAGGATAGAATTAAAAATTGCAGAAATGTTTGAGAAATTAGATTTACATGAAAATGCGAAAAATATTTACTTGGAAATGTTATATAGATTTTTTGAATCCTTGAATACTCCAGGGGTAGTACCAGACGAGATGAGACCTGAGTTGATTAGAAAGGATTTGAGAGTTTTGATTAAATCATTGGAAGTGAATAAAGATTTAGAGATAGGTAAAAGAAACTTGTTAGCTCATTTGTTACTTGCCCAAGAGGAAATTTTAATTAGATCACCTGAATTGAAAAAGTTTTTCGACTCAAAGAGAGAAAAAGCAGAAAAATTGGTGAAAGGTAAACCAATTAATGGTTCAGAATTTAAATCTTTCGTTAATGATGAAAATCTGAAATTTAATGAAGATGGTTATATGATTATGGACATTCAAAAGAATACTAGTGCATGGGAACCCTTTAAAGAAGAATTTTTTACAGCTAGGGATTTGTACACTGCGTATTGTTTGTCAGCCAAAGATGTTCCGTCAGCATTAAGTTGTAAGATGACTACTGTTCAATGGATGATTATGGCAGATATGCCACCAGGTCAAATCTTATTAGCGCAAGCAAATTTGGGTGCGTTGTTATACTTACAAGCGGAAAAGTTTGAGTCTGACCTCTTTCAAATTGATAGCAAATGTAAGATAGATCCAGGATTTATAGAAGATGAAAAAGTGGTAAAAGCCTTAAGGTATTTAAGGAAAAATAGAGATACGTGTTTACAAATGGCTAACCAATGTTATGATTCTATATTAAAGTTTTCTAACGATCATAATAAACTACGATACCATATGAAGGATCAGTTAGATACTGCCATCCCTCAAGCTATTGCATTGTCGACTTATGGTAAAGGAATTCTTAACCTGCATAACGGGGTTCTAAACAAAGCAGAGCGCCACCTTTCAGATGCTATATCGTTAGCAAAGGAAACTGATTTTGAAGAGTTGTTGAAGGAAGCAGAAGGTGAGTTAAAGAAGGCAAAGGATCTTAAAGAACACAATAACTCTTTGGATAAGAGTACAGATACATGTCAATAAAATGTAGGACAACGTAATATATAATTAATAGTGTAAAAACTCAATATATTCTGGAACAGTAAGAGGCCATGAGCTTTTCGACTTCTGCCTTTTACTTTAGGTAATGAACAGAATAGTAAAATAATTATTATATTAATGTATTTAATTACGACGAAGTAAATATCTTAAAACACTTAATTAAAAGTTATTAATTTTTTTTTATTGATTACTATGCTACAGAATGTATTATTAAAATATCCTATAATTCAAAAAAGAATGGATTTTTTGTTGTATTATATGACCTAAAGAAGACTAAAAAAAGATAAAAGAGAAAACTATATATAAATATATTTTAAACTTTAAAATCCTTAGTTAGTGGTCATGACTTGCCAGACTCTAATGACGTTGTCAGTGTAACCGGCGAATAGAGTTTGACCATCAGCAGACCAGGTTAGAGAGACAGCGTGTGGGTCAGCAGCCTTGTTGTAACCAGCAAATTCTGGTCTTAGGTCGTCAATTAGAGCTTGTGGGTCTAGAGAGAAAATCTTAATACCAGAAGCGGTGGCAGCAGCCAACCAGTATCTGTTTGGAGAGAAAGCTAGAGCGAAGACTTCGTCTTGAGCGTTCAAGGTGTATAGAGCATCCTTGGTAGCTAGGTTCCATAGCATGATTTCACCATCCTTACCAGCGGAAGCAACTAGAGTACCATCTGGAGAAGCAGTGATGGTGTTGATGTTACCGTTGTGACCGATGAAGTCAGCTTCAATTTGGAATTGGTTCAAGTTCCAAGCCTATTTCATATTGGATGAAAACATTTCAAAAAATGTATTTCAATATTTGTTAGTAAATTTGTATTCAGAAAAATTGATATTATTCTTAGTATTTTCTTACTTTCACTTATCAAGCGTTTTTTGCAACGCAAAACAAAATAAAATAAAATAATTAAAATTGTCATCAGAGATCTTGGTGATAATTAATATGTCTCATTGGAGATAGATCGTCTCCTCTGAAGTAGCAAATATAGAAATCATCATATGACAGAATTATTATATTTTAATTTTATATCGTTTGGAGGATAGGAAATTAAAAAAAAAAAGAATAAAAAAAATTGAAAAAAAGTTAAAACATACCTTAACTAGTTTATCGTTACCAGCAGAGATAACGGTGACGGTGTCGTCATTTTCGTTCTCATTTGGAGCAACTCTGACTTGGGAAACCCAGTCGGAGTGACCTAGAAGAGTAGCTAGACATTGACCCTTGATAGTCCAGACCTTGATAGACTTATCTCTAGAACCAGAGATGATCATAGAGGCCTTTCTGTCAATGGCAACGGACATAACATCACCCTTGTGACCGACGAATCTTTGGAAAGTTTCACCAGTGGCGACTTCCCATAGTCTTAGAGTCTTATCCCAAGAAGCAGATAGAGCGTAAGCACCATCTGGTGTTAGGGTAACATCTTGGACGATGTGAGAGTGACCCTTGAAAGATCTGACTGGGACACCGAATTGGCCGTCTTCACCAGTGATCTTCCAGGAAATCAAAGTCTTATCTCTGGAAGCAGAGACAAGTAGGTTTGGTTGACCAGCGGAGGTGGCTAGGGAAGTAACCCAACCGTTGTGACCTTCTAGAGAACCTCTCAAAACTAAAACTTCGTTAGATGCCATTGCTATTCGTGTGATTGTTAGTTAGTTTATTATAACTAACAGAAATATTTATGAAGAATAATAAATAAATTCAAAGTGACAAGAAATAATGAATTAAAAAAACTAAACGCCTCTTAAAGAAATAATAAATAACAAATATTTACAAAATACTTTGCGTTCGAAAGTGTCCTTTGAGTCTATCCGTTTAGCTATTGAAATTTTCAATTTTTAATTTTTTTGCGTGGTCATCGAAAAAAAATATATTATTTCACCAAACGTTCTGAACTCTTCGCTTGTAGGGACCCCTTTTCCAGCGTAAACTATAGAACGCACCATAGTTATTATTTTATGACGACTTGAACATCCGTACATCCACAGGAAAATAAATCAAAAAAACAGTTTTAATATTTTTACACCCATACATTTTCTAAAGTTAGATATTCGTTCCCCAGTCGCTTATTACGAAATGTCCCGATCTTCAGTTAGGGTTTAGAGTTCTTATTTTAAGTGATTATTTGACTCTTCTCTGATGGTTTAAAGGGTATTTACCCATCACTTTAATAATATAGAAAACAGTAATAATGTAATAACCTATCTTATGGTAATTTCATGAATAAAATAATTCAAAAGAAGTTCAAGGCATTTGGATACCAGATGACCATAACTTGTTAACATAGTTGATGTGTTCCATATAATATTTACACTACATCTAATTTATCCTTATTTGTCTTAATCCTTTCCCATATATATTTAGTCTTGAAGTAATTACTGTAACCCTCATTTAACATTAACACATCTAGTTTATCAGATTCCTCGATAAATACTTGTTCGGCCTTCACATCTATGACTACGCCTAATGATCTAAACAACTTCAATTTTAAGATGTTTGCCCTTGATACTGGATCTTCTAATATCTTTTGAGCTGCTTCGTTTTCATCTCTATCAATTAAATTTATTGTATCAATTGGAGTTTGGGAATTCTCACCATCCTTATTGTATTGATCGGCTAATTCATTTATCCTCTTATCATTACTATTTTTCACCTGAAGATTTTTCTTTTCAATGAAATCCAGTTCAGCTACTAAATCCATAAGTTTATCTTGCTGTAGAATTGAATCTGTATCTTCTTTAAGTTTTAGTAATTCTCTATTTAATGACTCAACTGTCTCTTGCTGCTCTTTAACCTTCTTTTGAAGTTTAAAAAGTGTTTCTTCTTCCTCTTTCAAATACTTTTCATTTTCTTGCTCGATTCCTACAGTAGCATCCATTATTTCATTCAAAGAACTTTGTACATTGTTAGTGTTAAATTTTTCCCTTTGAGCTGCAATGGAGCTTATTGATTGTGAAAGGTTGAATTCTTGATCTAGGTTTTCCATTTTGTAGTATGTGGTAGTCTGACTGGTTTTATGAGTATGATAGTATAACGAGAGTTGTGGATGATGTACTTTACTCTCTGTTTGTTCCGATGATCTCGTTGATGTAAAATTTACTTATTTGTTTGTTTACCTTTTTTAATTTGTTTCTATTAAACAAAAATTGGTTCGCGAAACTCGAAATCTCGGAGCGAAAAAGGAGAAAGATCGTTAAACAACAGAAATTGGAAAGGTCACATTTGATAATGTAACAAATACATAATAAACGTTAATTAATTTCTTAATAATTTATAATTAAAAAGGCTGAAAGAGTATGTTCATTTCAACAGTAATATTTACAAAAATTATTGTTATTTTAAAAAAAAATTTAAACTAGAAGTTGAAATGTTTATTATGAATATTATGTAGTTTTTAAATATTATTATTCAATAAGACTTGAATTACAAAAATATAAAGGGGTATTAACGAACAGAATAAATTCTCATAGCTTGAAACATGAGAACTATTAAATGGGGGTATCTATATTAGAATCGATCGTGTAGCTTATCTTTAGCAGATCGATAAAAGTGAAAGTCAAAAAAATCCTAAAGGGTTGATGATTAGATCATCAAGAATAGGAAAGTTGAGATCAAGGAGATCAAAGAACCCTTGATAATAGCACCGGAACCTTCGAAGGAAGCAATGGTATGGGAAGCATCGGCATTATTAGCAGAATTTGGAGCAACAACAACAGCTGGAGCAGTCTTAGTAGCAACAGAGGTGTTGGTAATGGTAGTAGTCAAAGATGTATCTGCGACAGTAGAGTGAGCAGTGTAAGTGTTACCGCTAGCATCAGTGGTTAAGTAATCACATTCGACAACTTCAGTGACAGTACCGCCAACAACGACAGTAGTTGTGTAAGAGTTACCAGACATGTCAGTTGGAGTGTAAGTAGCTGGGTAGGTGGTCAAAGTAGAGACAGTTTCACCGTTAGACTTAGTAGAAGTACAAGTACAGACAACAACAGTGGAAGTACAGATTTCAGCAGTGATAGTTCTAGTGTAAGTGGTAGCAGTACCTTCAGCAATACATGGGTAAGATGAAACTAGAGTGACAGTGTTACCGTTAGCGTCAGTGGTAGTGTAGTCACAGACAACATAGACAGAAGTTGTACCGTCAATAACAACAGTAGTGGTGTATGTAGTCAATGGAGTTTGAGAAGCAGTGATAGTGTAGGTAGATTCCATCGTGATGGTGTTACCGTTGTTATCAGTAGTGGTGTAGTCAGAGATGACTAGAGTTTCAGTGGTAGTTGCATCAGTCTTGGTGGTGGTGTAGTAAGATAGAGAACCAGAAGAAGAGGAAGAAACTTGAGAGGAAGCATCAACAGCAGAGGAAGCATCAGATGAAGCAACAACAGAAGATGAAACGGCAGAGGAAGCAACAACAGAAGAGGAAGCATCAGAGGAAGCAACAACAGAAGAAGATTCAGTAGAAGAAACTTGAGAAGAGGTAGATGCACCATCGATAGATGAGGAAGCACCTTCACCAGTTAAAGTGTAAATAGTCTCGACAATGAAAGAGGAACCATTGATGTCAGTAGTCCAGTAGAAAGAAACTAAATGAGTTTCGGTAGTAGTAGCGTCAGTGTAAGTAGTAGTGTATGGAGCTGGAACTTCTGTGTTAGTGAAAGAGTTGGAAGCAGTGGTAACAGAAGACTTACCGTTCAAAGCATCGTCACAAGTTGGGTTTGGAATACATTCACGACAGTTTTCTGGTCTAGAAGAATCTGGAGAGTCAGGGATGTAAGTAATACCGGAACCTAATTTCAAGTGACTGGTGACTCTGTGGAATTGGTCGAATTTATAGTTTGGACCAATGTCGATCTTGAATAAGTTTAGACCATCAATAACAGTTAGAATACCAGAGACATTGTTGTAAGTCCAGTAAGTCATGGTTAGTCTAAAGTAAATTCTGTTGGTACCACCGAAACCTCTAATGGTCAAACTTGTTAAACCTAATAGAGACTTAATGTAAACAACAGAAGTTTCATCAGACATGTAAATGGTTTGAGACTTCAAAGATCTGGAGATCAAGTGGTTGATGGTCAATGTAGCATAAGCACCAACATCCACACAACCGGTTTCACCTTCGAAAGCAACTCTAGCGTGTAGGTTGACACTCTTTAGACAGATAGTACCGGTGTTTGTAATGTGTAATAGATCCAATAGAGTGTCTGGACCCAATTCAACAGAGGACCAGTGGTCAGAAGTACCAGTTTGATAGAAAGCCATCAAACCAGAGTTGTGGAAACTGGCAGCCCAGATTCTGTAGTGAGAACCAATGATGAAAGGTTTCTTACCGACTAGGAAGAAGTCACCAGAGTTGAAGAATTCAACACCGAAAGATTCGTAAATTAGACCAGTAGCAGCTAAGGAGTCATCGATGACATAAGTACCATAGTTGAAGGTGTTACCTAAAGTCATGACAGTCATACCAATGTTAGAAGATTTAGTTTCACAGATGTAAAGGCCACCTCTGTTAGTGACACTAACCCAGAACTTGTGGAATAGACCAGATTGAATAATTAAATTAGAACCAGAAGTGACACTAACTGGTAGAATGAAATAAGTTAAACCATGTAAGACTTGGTTACCGGTGAAAGTTTGGGCCAGAGTAAAACTGGTAAACATAGACAGCACACAGGCTGCTGTGAATAAAGCAGATTTGGTATTAACCATAGCGAATGACTTAAAGTATATATTTATTGTTTTTCTTTAATAGATATATCTTTATTGAGGATACTTTATGGGGATTTTTATATTTTCTAATATAGAGAGATTGGAAATGAGAAGATTTAATTTGAAAGAAATATGATAATTATCATCTCTTTATATATCTCAAAAATTTCTTAAATGTATTGAGAAATTGAAATATCTTTATTCTTGTGTTTCTAATATTATCTCAATTATTACAGAGTAAACAAAAGCATACTCAACAGATATTACAATAATACACCCCAAAACTAGTAAAACTAAATCTTATGATCATGTAAAACAAATTAAAATAATGAGGGATGAACCATACTCAAAACAAATTTCTAAAATTACCATACTATAACTAATGCATGCAAAAAATAAGCTGTTTCATAAGATTTACGGTGCGGATAACCCACATCAACACAACCTAAATATAGAGGTGATAACCATAATGGGCAAAAATTCTAATCAAAATTAAGAATATAGTGCGGAATATCTACCAAATTGTAGAGAGTAATACAAAAACCAAATCATAGGATGTAAAACATAAGTCTCGACACGAAACGGCAGGTGACTAATTAACTAATCGGTTCGTCATGTGATAAAAATAAATGGGACGATACATTTTCTTTTAATTTCGACTTATGATTTTCGAGATCCAAGATCTGGACGTGTTTTTCCTTTGCGTTTAATTTGGCTCCAATATGCACAGCTGCATCCCTGTGCTCTTTAACGAGAAAATGTTATGTAAATCTGTTTCAAATAAGGATGTGCAAAAATATGAAATGTGATAAACAACGAATGAGATCTCAAATTTACAATACTTCTGAACTGACATAATACCGTACAAATATTTTTCTACCCCTCTAATGCATGATGCATATATTCACTTAAAGCAAAGTATACGCCAAAAAAAAAAACACGAAACCGATACCAACGAAGCGGCTGTTCGGTTCCCTTACTTCTCCGGGGTTCCCCCTGCAAAAATGAAACCAAAGAAGAAAGAAAAAACGATTTCACCGAAAAAATGTTTTAATGACGAGGAGAATATGATGATTTTATCAGGAATGACTAAATGCCATATTTGTACAATTCAAACCCTATTAAGAATACATTTAGCTTTTTTTGATTTATGTGTGTATCTAAATGTTAATCCATTTTTTGTAAACATGGAATGTTTACAGAACTATTTTTATCATTGTATGCAATGATATACAAGTAATAACATATTATTCAACTTACTGTTGAGTAGAAGGAAATATTCCCTTTTTGTAGGAGATGTTGAGCTTCTTAGAATAAGGTGAATGACTTGTTTGGGTTGTAATACATACATGAATACCGTAAAAGGAGTAGTCGTATATTTTCGTGGTTATATTCTTAGTAACAAAAACTCCTCTTATTCCTTTTGGAGAAAAAAGGTGTTTCTTATGTTGTTTATTTATTCCACGTGATATTTATGGTTTTACTTGATTTTTTGTCCGATTAATTGTGTTATAGCTACTGATGTTTCTACTCGGAAGCATTCTCCTTTGGTTAATTCAAGATTGAATTCAAGTACAATTGGAATGTTATGGCAGTCTTACTTCAGCACAACGTATTAATGGCTATTTTGATATGTTTACTTTTATGTTGCCAGACTTTCATATTTTATTATAGCAGAGCTCTTTTTGTCATGTTTAGTTTTTACTCCTTTTGGACTTTAGAAATATATTTCTTTTGGGATCATATTTCTTTTAGGATATTTGATACTTGAATTGGTAAGAAGTCATTGATACAAAAATTATGCTATTGTTGTTGTTTTAAATATTTTGAAAAGAGATGGTATCAAAATTATGTATTTTCATTTTAGAATAAATAAACTCACTAAAGTAGATAATTGATTTGTACTGTTAAATATTTTCATATTATTGATATGTTGTTAACGAAATAAGAGGGATGAGTAAAACAGTTTGTTTTTATTTCATAATAAAAAGTATGATTAGAAAATTATTTCGTGTTTCTATCATATTTGCTTTTATTTGATAATAATTTTCTTAGATCGACATACTGTATCCTTTCCGCTAATTAAATGTCAATTTCAATTTGAAAAATTCACCATATATAGGTCAAACACGGATGTAAGTCCATGAGATTTACTATCACGACTCATAATCATCAAACTTTACCAAAAAAAAAACCTCGATCATCCATATCAATCGTTTGTTTACATGTTATACATTTCTAGTAATGCTTCTCATTGAAGCTCATATATGTTGTTTAAAATCGTTCAAATAATGATCAGTATTATTTGTTTGATTCAAAAGAAAAAAAAATTCAGTGCTATTCGAATACTGATATATGTTGCAAAAAAACAATCAATCAATCAATCAACAACGTATCCATACTTCAATTTGTCTGTTGTTTATGTTTAAAAATATTATGTAGCTATCACTTGAAAAATTACATCCATAATGTAAACAAGGATATGTATTCTTATTATGTGACAGTCTATATCGTTTTACAAAACTCTTTTAGTTTTAGATACAAATGGGTTCGTTCTCGTATACCATAGTGTTCCGGTTAGCGACACTGTTTTGTTGAGCATCTTGGTTTACTATAATTGTTTTCAGAGAACGCCCTCTTCGGAAAGGAAAGAATTTGGAAAAATACGAATGCTAACAATAGGGTCTTGCTAAGGATATATGTAACATGAAGGTCAGATATAGGTCTACAGATAAGATAAGTCTCCATACCGAGATATCGCTATTAACTGGATTGCCATCTCTTCTTCTTCTTCTTCTTTTTTCGAATTTTATTAAAGGATATTGATACTTTTATTTATTATTGGATAGCTAAAAATTTAATCAAATTTACAAATTCAAAATAGAGTCAATTTAGAGATAAGTTCACAATAATATATAAACTACGATTATTAGATGTTCATCTGTGACAATTCTCCATTATAAATAAAATAAAAACTCAAGGATGGTAGCAAATAATACATTTGCATCAATACCTTATTTAAACCAAACTGGTCACCACATTTTAAAGGGAAACTCGTCCTTTGCAAAGGTCATCAACACACCTTATAGAATAGTTCGATCCTTTTCAGGAGCTGTCAGTTTACAATATCAACAGGCACAGAAAGCAACAGAATATAGTACAGGTCTACGACAATTCTTAAATGTCCTTGGGTTTTTTTTCAGTGCTTACGCTATAGTCTGTTTTGCTGCTGCTTTGCTACTTAATAGAATCGCCATGTTACCAAATTCTAGGACTCGTGAGAATCCTCTTAGACTTCCTAGATGGATGAGGTCAACTCTGCATTTTTTTGTTATTATCCCAATGGTTACAATGATATACTTGGTTGAAAGTAATTGGGAAATACCCCATATGAATAACTTTCTTCTGAAGATGTATTACGTCATAATATGGTCATTTGTTGTTGAGACAGTAACATCAGTGTCGTCGGGTCAAATACCTTTAGAGAGCTCAGATTATACTATCTTCGAATTATCTATCCAATTTTATAGTATGAAGAGTCTTGATCAGGAACACATAATGGCTAAAGAATATATGTCTGACTGTATTGTGGCAATGCTTAGTAGGATACTAATACATCTAGTTGATATATTTAATGTTCGTAGATGGAGACTGATTGGTAGCACAGTATTAAATACTGGTTATTTGATATATCTGGGAAGAGTCGTTTACAAAGATGGACCGCTAGCAATATCGTCCTCTACTAAGTTCAGGCAGGTTCCTAAATTATTCGGTATTCTAATTATTTTAGTTTCGGTTGTTTGTTATTTCTTAGCATGTTTAATAAGATTTGATCCTTTAAATCCTGATCATAGTAATTTACAAGACTTAAAGTTTCATTCTTTCATGCAAAATTGGACTACACATGTAAATTTTAAAGGTGATGAGGACTTTTCTACAATTATTTCAAGATTAGCAATGTTACTGTGTGCAGGAACAAATTCAGGAGGTAAATCAATGCATAGAGAATTCTCCAATATTAATATTCCAAATAAGATTCATAGCAACTATGCCATTAGTGACACATTATTCCAAGCTAAAGAACGGCTAAAGAATGATAAACTCGATTCAATGAAACAGAAAAGTAATAGCGATGTTCTTGATGAAGAAGCGAAAAAATGGGATTGGCTTAAAAAAGGAATTTCATTTTATTCAATTGCGAATTTACTATGGAAGTTTGTAATTCGTTTATTTTATGGATTTAGGTCAAAAACTAAATCAAATAACGAACCGTTACAAACGTCTTTATCAGAAAAGTATGAAAAAGTTATAAGCGAGGAAGCCGAATATGCTTATGACACAGAAAGTGAAGAAAGTGAAGAAAGTGAAGAGAATACAGAAGCATATAATAATTCTGCTGATGGACATTCCGCATGGATATTATTACAAAATGATATGGATAATTCTGATGAAAATTTATCAGATGATAGTGAATATATCCCAGATAATAGTTTAGCTGAAGATGATATTTTGTTTGTTGTAGATAAGGATGAACAGGTAGATGAAAAATGCCAGGTTAATGAGTCTAATGATAAAAGAAACTGTAATAAAAATAAAAATGAAGAATTGACCGAGGTCAGTTTAGATAATCAAATCGGTATGTTAGATTTAAGAACACCCGAAAAAGATGTAGGATGGTTTCTATCGTTGCAAAGTATATTTAACTTCCATTTGACACATGCAGAAAGAATAACGAGGTCTAAATTTTCTGTCCTCAGGGCTCAGGATGCCAAAAAGGATACAGATACCATTCATTCAGAGGCTGACCTATTGTGTGCAGTCTGTAAAACAAACGAGAGAGAGATTGTTCTATGGCCTTGTAATTGTTTTGCAATGTGTGATGCATGTAGAATTTCTTTGGCATTAAGAGGATATAGCACTTGTGTTTGCTGTAGAAGACCTGTGGATGGTTATAGTAAAATTGTGAGTGTATCTAATTAATCAGATGTTTCCAAAGAAAGGAAGCTTCTATGGAAGCAAAATGTAATCGTATTTGTTACTTATGAAACTACAAACTTTAATGTGATATGAATTGCATGACGTGAGCGTTATTATTATTATTTTTGATATAAGTATATAAGTTAATTTATTTTATTTTATGTTATCAATGATGGAATAAACGGATTGGGTTTTCAACGTAAACCAAGTCGTTAGCATCAGCAGCTGCAAACACGGCTTTATCCATTACAGATCCAGATGGGGCAGCAATGAACTTGACACCAGATTTAACAGCTCTGTATACGTTATCTGGGAATGGGAAGAAAGCATCAGATGATAGTGCAACGTTGTTTAAGTTGTTCGACCATTCGGTTCTATCTTGTTCAGTTAGAGGAGTTGGAAGTGTTTCAAACTTAGATTCATATTCTGATTTTTCTGGTTCTTCAGTTGGAATTTGACCAGTAACATATAAGTCAATAGCATTTGATTTTTCTGGTTTCTTGACACCCTTGGCCCATTTGAAAGCTAAAACGTTTGGATGTTGTCTAAACCACCAGTTGTCGGCTTTGTCACCGGCTAATCTTGTACAATGTATTCTAGATTGTTGACCAGCACCTAGACCGATAACCATACCGTTTTTAGCATAACAAACAGAGTTAGATTGTGTGTATTTCAAAGCAATAGTAGCCACAGTTAAATCGATAGATGCCTGTTCAGTCAGATCCTTGTTGTTAGATACAATATCTCTGAAAGTAGATTGATTAATAATTGCATCATTTCTCTTTTGTTGTAAAGTGATCCCATAAACTTGTCTGGATTCAGATCCTTCTGGAGTGTAGTTTGGATCTATTTGTAGGACACAGTATTTACCTTTCTTTTTCTTCTTCAAGATATCTAGAGCCTCTGGTTCATAACCTGGAGCAATAATACCATCTGAGACTTCCTTAGAAATTATTTTAGCTGTTGGAACATCGACAATGTTTGATAAAGCAATCCAATCACCGAAGGAAGACATTCTATCGGCACCACGAGCTCTAGCATACGCACAAGCCAATGGAGATAAGTTTTCAATGTCGTTGACAAAATAGACTTTCTTCTCGATATCTGTTAAAGCGATACCAACAGCAGCACCCGCTGGAGAGACATGCTTAAAAGAAGCAGCTGCAGGTAGGTTCAAAGAGGCAGATAATTCTTTTACTAATGGCCAGGAATTTAGAGCATCTAGTAAGTTAATGTACCCTGGAGAACCTGAAAGAACTTGAAATGGTAAACTATCTTTCTCAGTGACAAATGCTTGTGCAGGTTTTTGATGTGGGTTAGCACCATAACGTAAAGGTAGCATTTCTTTACCTTCAGAGTATTGTTTTCTAAAGAAATCGGAGATTGCAGAATCATAAGTAGCAGTATGTTCAAATGCCTTCAAGGCCAATTTATTTCTAAAATCACTAGAGATTTCATTTTGTTGATTACCAGTCAATTCTTCCAAGAAAGCTGCGTAATCATTTGGATCAGATAAGATAGTGACTCTAGAGTGATTTTTAGCCGCAGCTCTCAAAAGGGTTACACCACCGATATCAATCTCTTCAACAGCTTCTGGAATGGTAATACCAATCTTTGCTACAGTTTCTTGGAATGGATATAAATTACAAACGACATAATCAACCATGTCAATATGTTGGTTGGTCAAATCAGCCAAATCAGATTCGATATTTCTTGCAAGGATACCACCATGGACAGCTGGATGTAAAGTTTTGACTCTACCACCTAAAATTTCTGGAGCATGAGTAATAGAAGAGACATCTTCAACAGGAAGACCAAGTTCACGGATCATGCGGGCTGTTCCACCGGATGCTAGGATACGAACATTGTTTTCGGTTAGACCTTTAGCTAGGTCAAGTAAACCTGTCTTATCGTAGACAGATAGAATAGCAGTCTTTTGAGCCATTGTTATTATTGTTGTTGGTGGTGGTGATATTATAATTTTAATGTTCGAAATATCTGTCAATATATTTTAAAGCAGAGAGTTTATGACAAAAATATACAAAAAAACAATTGAGTTCAAGAATAATACTTATATATATATATATGTAGTAGATATCAAAGTGGTAGTTGCGTATATGTGGAGTCATTCATCTATAACGACAGATCATCAAAGTAATAAAGCATTTAAAGTACATAGGAGTCAAAAAAATATTTTATGTAACCCACAGGGGCATCTGGTTACATAAAATTTAAAAGTTGGTGGGTCCTCTTTCCAAACCATAGAGACAAAGATGATAGAAAGTGTGCGTATTCAACTTTAACATACTTCCTCTGTCATTGTCACTTCTTATTATTACTTTTATTTGATTTGTTGTCAGTCATTAATATTAAAATTGGGAATCGTTTGATGGCCTTTATATACATATTTTTGACTCTGTTTCTGTTGCACGAGCTAAGACAATATGAGTCTCATGGTGGTGGTGTGTACGAACTTTTCTTCGAATAAGAGAGAGAGAGAAACCAAGAAACTGTTACTGAGCGCGTCTGTGCGCGATTTCTCTCTTGCTCTTGCCCTCTCTTTTTTTTTCTTTTGAGAGTGCACGTGACCTCTTGCGTGTCAACGTAATTGGAGGTCATGTGGCATCACTTTGTACGAGACTGGAACATCATGCGGTCAATATATGGTATGCATATATATATTGGGATGACACAGTTGTTCGATATATAGTTCAGATGACAATCGTGTAGCGTAAAGCCAAGTTTATAAAGAAAAGTATAGCGAATATATCTTAATATATTGTTTCAATAAGTGGAATATTATAAGGACGGATGTAGACATCACACTTAACAATAGTGAATAGAAGAGAAAGAGGACTAAATTTGAAGTATGTACATTTGTATCGCCTTAAATAATAGATTAATACAGAAACCAAATGTATATATGGTTCTTCTGGATCGGAAAAGATGTTTTTATCCGGTTCAAATGTACCCATTATTTATTTAACTTTTAAACAGAAAACATATGTACAATAGTCTTTAAGACTTCGAGACAATAATATTGCATAATTTCCAAGCAAGACAACAGAGAAATATAGCGCGTGTGTGATGGAGTAGAGTATGAGTTAAGGAAGTTAAAAGAAATACTGAATTTTCCCATTCTCCACCTCTTGTCGCCTATTATATTTCACAATATATTCATATAGGAATAATAAGAATAAAGGCTAATACATCTTTCACAGTATACAGACAGTATGATATTATTCTTATCAGATAGAGAGATTATCCATAACGGGTTTGTTTGTTTATCTTAATAATTATATTATTTATTTTTTTAAGATAACTTATTATCTACATTAGGTAATAACGTGATTCGTTGTGGCATAAATAATTGGTAGATATAGAACACACAGAAAAGAAAATTGTTTACAAGAGTAGTAAGGGAGATAAACCAGCCTCCACAAAGGTAAGATGACACACTTATAATAGATTATATTTGAAAGTCACCAGTCATATTCGAAGTAAAATACTTTAATAACAACAACATGGCAGTATTAACTGAGGTACTTATAAAAAAAATTTGTCTTCTTTAGGAAAAAGTTGTTTATATTTTTAGCAGTCAGAGAGTGAGTTAAATTAAAATAAGCGTAAAAATAATGGCTTATACTAATTTGTCACCTACTCTTCAGAGGTAATTTATAAATTATATTACCGGCGTGAAATACTAATTTATTTTTTAAGAAAAGAGATAACAGCTATATCGGGTCTATCAGGGTGTTTTGCAATAGTCTCAATTCAGAATCCAAAAGGAAAAGGAAAAGCCACTCAATTTAATGTGTGTAACCTCTCTCCTTGTAATAAGGTCCAGCCCTTTTCTTTATTTTCTCTAAAGGTAGCAATATTCTAGTGCATTAGTATAATAATATCTTAATAATAATAGTAAAATTGCAACTAAAAATAGACAATAGAACTGAACTAAATAATGTTAATTGTTATGATTGGAATGAATGCACAAGCAAGCTATTTTAGCTGAAACTGTCACTTTTTGGTTGTTGTTGTTGTTGTTGTGTAATTGCTGCTGCTACTGCTCCCCTTGTGACAGTGAAAGAGTTCACTGTCTTTTTTCAAGTTGTGCGTGTGTGTGTTACCCAATAGAAAAAAGGAGCGAAAAATGAAAATGAAATGAAATGAAATGAAAATATCTCAAAGAGAAAGAGCGAAATATTGTTGCGCTCGAACTGTTTTATTAATAGAAATTGGAACGTTACTGGCTTAATTGCTGTTAAATCCATTGTATTACGTAGGGAGAAAAACGCGTATATTCATATTGGACCTTCAATTAAGGATTTTATATTGGTAATTAGCGTGTATTTCTTTCGCTTCATGATTACTATTAAGTCTCTAAGGAAAGAATAAAGGGGGAAGACAGCATCTGATTGATTGTACGTTGTATAGGAAAGACCTACTAATATTAATGTGCTAGTTGTATGTTTGTTTAAAAATTAAAAGTCAAATATTGGTAATAATAATAATATGCAGGAAGTAGCGCGTGTGTGTGTGTGTGTCAGGGTATTATCTACGTCTAAGTCTTGAAAACTCAGCAGGTGGGACAGTACATTGTTAAAGAAGAACAATAAGAATATCATTCAAAGAGGTATTTTTCAAATAAATCAAAATAATACGTACCAATGTTGTAATGTGTGTTCTTTTCTTTTCTTTACTTTTCTTTTTTACTTATTTCGAATTTTGAATCATCATTAAACATATATAAATGGTAATGTAATCAATTAACTTCCCAAAAAATAATAATTATTAATTATATTTCTCTTTCTTGTTTTTCCTTTTTCTCTCTAATCAATATTTACCTTTTAACAAATACTACATCCCTAAATTCACATAAACTAATAATTATAACAATGGCTTCTTCTTCTTCTTCCGCTGTCTCTTCTCACTCCAGCTCTTCCTCTCACGCTAGTTCTTCTTCCGTTCACACTAACAGTGCTCTAGTATCTGCTTCTGTCGTTGCTCCATCTTCCGTCTCTGCTTCTGCTTCTTCTACTGCTAAGAACTCTACTAAGAAACATAAGAATGCTGCTCCAGGTATGGTTGCTAACCCAATCTCTTGGAAATACGGTTTGGGTCTAGGTGCTGCCATTGTCGGTTCCTTCGTTCTAGGTTCCAACATTTAAATGTAGTTTTAATCTTTTCAAATTTTTAAAATACATTTATTTTGGAAGTCACTACTACACTACTAATTAGAATAAAATAGACAATGATAATATTAATAAGATAAAGAGACGTTAACTAGGCGGGAAAATAAGGGCATTAATTGTTTGGTAAAAGTTATCAGAATTTACCACAATTGTAACCCTTATTTTCCTATCTCTATAAACAAACATTTTTGGTTATAATATAACAATTTATATATATACTGTTTTCATTTTGGTATAATATTCAAATTATTTAAAAGAGAAAATGAAAAAATAAGAAAAAAAACATCCTAGCATCCACATTCCTATGTATTATATATATATATATATATATTACAAATAAATACAATAATAACAACAATTTTTTATAAAAAAGAAGAAATGGCAGAGGAATTTACTATACTTAACTTGCAACTGATTAAGTGACACTTAAAGTCCCTCATCTTCTATATTTACACCTATATTCATAACAAAATGAAAAGAAAGCCCTACTTTTATACATAGGTCTCTTGTTCTCTCGGCTAAAAATTTATCTTTTCGCTTTTTGCACTGACAATTTCAATATATCTTTAATTAAGCAGCCATAACAAACCTAGAGATATATATATATATACATATATCTGTATATAATAAAGCACAATTCTTCTTATAAGTTGGTACACTATCTGACCAAAATACAAAAGAATATATAGGCATCATGGCATCATTCATAACGGGACTATGGGAAAGTGTCTTTCAACCAGGTACCTCTCCACAATTGATACTAGCCACGCATCTCTCTTTTGTAGCTTTATTAATCACGTTAGCATGGCTGATCTTTGTTACGCATGGTAATATTCATTTTATTATGCTGTTTATTATTGCTGCATTGTTATGGATTACAGTCATTTGGTTTATCCAAGAATTGAAATCTGCTGAATTGTTATCTAATCAAGAATTAGAGAAAGAAGAAGATAAAACAAAAGAGACTGAAATTGAACCAAGTAAAGATAGTAAAGCATCTACTACAGCTACAGAGAAGAAGAGCAACTCTACCAAGTCAAGAAAGGCATGAATAATTAACTTATTCAATCAAGTTCTCACGCATATACTTAAACATAGTTCTCATATATATATATAGGGATGACTATTCCGTATCCTCATTAAAAAAAAGCATAAATGAACCCATTTGCATTATTACATTACATTGTTATGTGACTCTCATCGAATCTATAAATATAAAGATATAAATACATCTGTAGCAGTAGGTTGATTAAAAATCACAGCCTCCTATATATATATATAGTGACAGACTCAATGTCATTTTTACCCACATACCTTTCCATCTTTCGCTCCGAAGAGATCAAATTTGAAGGAAGCAAGAAAAAATAAAATAAGGAAATAAGAGAGACAAAAACCTCATTACTTACTTATAGAGCTCAAGTTCTGTTGTTTTTATTTTTGCCTTTAATATCAAATATTATACCGGATTTCTACTTCTTGACAAGTAAAGTTTGATATCCTTGTTATTCAATATATATATTACTATATATACAACAAGCAAGAAAGACATCAGGAAGTGAATGGCAACAGTCAGTGGATTTATCTTTTGAACAAACTTTTATTATTTATCAAGTTTACGGCTGTGTTCACTTGCATATTCCCTAGTGTTTGTGTTTTTAATTCAAATCTTACCCATATACTTATATTTACTATCTGCTTAGAAATTGGTCAACACTTAGCACCAGTACAGTTTCCTCAACAATGATGCAAAATCAGAATAATTTTATGGGGCGCCCAAGTCCTGTTCCTCATCCCACAGCTAGAGCCCAATTGAGAAACAATCTGCTACATAGTGATATCGGTGATATTGATGTTACTCAGGAAAACCCCATCAATTTCAACGAATCGTCATCTTCTCAAGAAGAATTACAAATGAATGATTATAATCAACAGCAACAGTGCCATCAACAGCAGCAATACCATCAGCAACAACAGTATCATCAGCAACAACAATATTATCAGCAAACGCAAGGATATAATCCACAACAACAACAGCAGCAGCAGCAGAATTATACCTCTCCACAACAACAACAACAACAACAACAACAACAACAACAACAACAGAACCAGCACCAGCAAAATCAGCAAAATCAGCAAAATCAGCAAAATCAGCAGTACTATACCTCGCCTCAGCAACAGTACCCGCAACAGCAGCAGAACCAACAATACCCGCAACAAGGGTTTGTTTCTCCTCAACAACAAATGAGTCCATCTCCTCAACAACAGAAACCTTATCAAAGAATGCAAAACTATCGTAATAATCAAAATGCACATAACAATACAAAACAGCAACAACAGCAACAACATCAAGAGAAGAAAGCATACTCCTTAAATCAAAAATCTATCTCGAATTTTTTTAAAGGAAAGAGCCATCAAATAGGTTTCAATATGGGGAAACGTGCTCAAAGAGGCAACGCTGGTCATCGTTCGAATGGAATTGGAGGCGGTGGTGATGACGATGATGATGGAGGTGATACTTTGTTAGATGAACCTGAAAGTTCCCTAATGACCTTCGGTGATATAACAACAATCACTTACAAGAAAGGTGACAAGCTTGGTATGGGTGACACTACAGCCCCAATTATTCCTACTTTGGTTACAAAAGAAGGTAAAAATATGAACAATACTGAATACCGAAAATATATGACAAATCAAAAGAAAACAGCTTATACAGCCATGGCTAAACAGAATCAAATGATGCAGAGTCCCAATAATAATACACAAGGTATGAACTCAAACCCAAGAGCCATGTCATTACAAACTAATCAGAATCCATACCTTCAGCAGCAACAGCTGCAACAGCTGCAACAACAGAGACCAAACCTCCCATATCAAAATATGAATTATAATACTAATGGTAGTACAACTAATATTAGAGCTAATTCATTAGTTACAGGTCCACCGTCGGGTTTCAATCAAATGCAGGCTCAGCAGGGAACCCAACAATTCACTATGAATCATGGTCCAAATGGACAATTTCAAAGGCAACAACCATTACCAACACAACAATCAGGAGAGTTTTCTCAACAAAACAATGAGCCACCTCGGACGATGTCCTTAGCCAATAGCTCTAATCAAAACTTGCAAAGATTGAAAGCTCAAAAATTCAATAATAATTCAAATGAAACTCAATTTAGAGGACCAACACAAGAACATCTGAACCAAAACCACTCGCAGAATCAACAGGGCCCACAAGATCAATATCGTACAATGTCCTTGCAGGCAAACCCTATATCAAGGGCGCAGCCTCCAAATGGAGCAAATGGATTCAACTTTCATAATCCATCTTCCTTAGCTACTCCGACATCAGTAGGATCTGAGATAAATTATGTTGGAAATGGTACGTCAGTGGCAACAACGCATAGTCAAGAGCAAGTAAAGGCACCTCTTCCTAACCTAAATAAACAAGAGGAGAGCATATTATTTGATAATCAGCCAAAAGCAAAATTAAATGTCTTAAAACTTTCAGATCCTCAGAAAAAAGAATTGTATGAGAAAAATATGTCTGTCGATACTTCTGAGCAAGTTGTATCAGATAAGGAAAATATGGTTCTATCAAATCGAATTGTAAATAGACCTCAATCAGACGATCTAGGATTAAGACCGACATCTCTGCTGGAGTCTGGTTTAAAATCATTAGATCTCAATGGAAACAATACAACCGGTGAAAATAGAGAATCAACACAGACATACTCGTCTACTTTTAGTGGCTCGCCCAATAAAAGGATACCTGCAGCACCTGTTCAAACAGGATTATACGAACTTGAAAATGGATCAGATGCTCATGAATTTGTGACAGCTCAGGATTTAAGGAACCCTGAGACCTCTGCTGAGAATGCAAAACTTGATGAATCATCTTTATCTTTACAAAAAAATGTTTCTGCTGGTACTGTTACAGATACAGTCAATAGTACTTTAAGGGTTATGCCATCGAACGACTCGTCACCGAATAACAAGAGAGTTTCCAGTATGTCAACATCAACAGGTGTCAAGCTAAATCTAGATAATGAAGCAGATGATGTCGACGACACGTTTGACTACAGACAGCAAAGTAATCACGGTATCACGTCGTCAGTCACAGCTGAAAAGGAGAAGGAACCGAAAGAATTATCTGAAAAAAAGAACACGTCTACTACAAATATTGATGATTTCTTGTTTGATAACACATTGAATGAAAGTTATGTGGATTCCACAGATAGAAAAATTGAGTCTATACATATCACAGGTGAGCAATTGTCCCTTCTAACCCAAAATAAATCATTGATGAGAGAAATGACACTATTATCATCTGAATTAGGAGAGTCGATAAAGAGGGAAACCATGTTAAGCGAAAAACTCAACCAAATAAAAACATCTAATCCGTTTAGTGGATCGAGAGAAGATACATCGATATCTTTATCCGATTTTGAAAGTGAGTTAAGAAAGAAATCCTCCAAGATTTTAGAATTAATACAGTCTTTAAATGATGAGAGGTTGAAGAGATTCATCGCAGAAGAACAGATTTTGCTGAGCGAAGTGAATGCAAGACCGACCACAATTGAACTTATTAATGAAATAACTGAGTTAAAGAATAAGTTACAGGAGAAAGATAACGAGATTGAGACTTTGAAACAAGAGGTAGAAGCTTAATTTTCAAGTTATAACCATCTATCCCAAAAAAAAAAATAGTATACGTCGTAATGTTTACGTTTATTATTAAAAACTTTTATTGACGTATGTATGAATATGTATATACCACTAATTACCTAATGAACTAATTCGTATGATTTAATATCCTTATCCTAAGGGCAAACCATTTTTATCTTTAAATGGCAAGGGATCGACTTCCTTCGTACAAAGTGCTTCCTTTTTCTTATAAATTTCGATTTGAGAGAGGAAAAAAATATTGCGGGAGCTTCAAGGTTTTACTTGTCCGTGGTAAAGACAACTGAAAATGTTTAAGTTTCATTTTTAAAAAAGAAAACACTGTTAAAGGATAAAACAACTACTTGAATGTGGTTTCGATTAATTCATCAATATTTGAAGTTGTGTTATAATAGAGTAAAACTTTATTAGGGCTAATTGATATAATTGTTATAGTAACTACTATGGTGGACAGAAAGAGAAAGAGAACGTACGAAGACGATGACGAATCCTTCCAGGACTACAGACCAAGGGTTCCAAAGAGACAAAGAATCCCACCTGTGGTGCAATTATGTAAGGAAATGATGCCTGATATTTGCACCATTGGTGAATCTCCTAAGGCTTTTGCTGATGATATCAAATTTTTAAGTGAAGCTATCGTTAGTGAATATGGTCATGAAGACTATTTCAATAACGCCTTCCTTAGTACTTTACGTGCTGTTACTTTAGAGCAACCACACAAACAACCAGCTATAGCTCTTTTAATTTTAGCTATTAATGCAGGTAGCCAAATTGCAGGTAAAAGTATCCTAAATTTCTTTTTCGATGAATTACAGAAGTGTTGTGACGCTAGTGCTGAGGATACCGGCCCATGTGAGTCGAACGATACGGGACCATGGAATAAAGTTAAACTATATCTTAGAATGTTATCTCTTCTATCCCCAATGATCATTAATGATGATATAATCGGAATTTACCAAAAGCTTTTAGATTTCGCTGTCGAATTGAATAACATTGATGAAAGCAAGAGAAATGCCCTTTCAGAAGCTATTTTCACCAATACCATTCTGAATATTCCATACCTTTTCTATTTTAAGAAGGGGGATGATGAAGCTTTAAAAAATCACGTCGAGGAACTGATTACCACTGTTGAAGGTGCTTACAAGATGAAGATCAGCAACATTAAACTTCTAAGTGAGTATGATTCTAATAGTCCGTATAATATCACAGAACTAATCCAAGTAGCATTACCAAATGTCAAGAAAGTGTTGGCAAATAATATGGACCAATTGTTCCAATTATTTTGTGATTGGAAGGACTTACTACCAGAGCAACCTGATAACCATGGTTTCAACGATGCTCTAAGGTTACCTGAAATAGAACAATTATCTAACTACAATTCCTTATTGAATGGTGTTGGTTCTGTTGATAACATGTGGAAGGGCCCAAGATATTGTTTCCATGTTTACTTACCTCATTCTTCTGGTGAATTCGACACAGTCCTTCCAATTTCCTCCTATGCAGGTCAATTGTTCAACGATGTTGTTATTGATGTTGTTCAGAGTTTGGAATTTAACAGAAAGGAGGTTTGCAAACAATTAAATGTCTTGCCATTATTCTTTAAGGAGGGTATTTTTGCAAACATGGGTGATTCAATTGCTCAAATTGCTGCCATTTACGAAGATAATCCTTTAGCCTCTACATTCAAATTGGAGGATTTGGAAATTGAGGCTATCTTGAGTTTAATATTTAAACTTCCAGATGTTTCTCAACCGTTTGCCTATTTTTATACATTATTGGTCGATATATGTCAAAACAATCCAAAAGCTATAGCCCCTGTATTCGGTAGAGCTTTCAGATTCTTCTACAACAACATTGAAAGTTTAGACTTTGAATTAAGACAAAGATTTTTAGACTGGTTTTCTGTTCAAATGAGTAACTTTAACTTTTCTTGGAAATGGAACGAATGGGAAAAAGATTCTAACAAGTTCCGTGATTCCTTTTACAATCCAAAGATAATATTTATGAAAAATCTAGTAAGAAAAGAATTGAGATTGACTTCTAATGTTAGTGAAGTGGATGACAGTTTACCACAAGAATTCAAGAGATTTATGGAGACATCTTACTTACCAGTAGAAGAAGTACAAGAATTTTACCAATCGCTATTTACCAATTATCAGGTTAGATTAGAAGATGCGAAGAAAAATGACCTATTATTTACTCAGAGTGATATTCCGTTTGAACCAATAGTCCGTGAATTAGCTGATTATGTTCATAAGCAAAATGATGTTAGAGAAATCAGCGAACTAGAGGCCATAATTGAAAAATTAAGAGAACATTCATCAGAAATTACAGACTTCAACAGATTCATTGTTGTACTGTTAACTCAAGTTGTTATACATTGTGGTAGCAGATCATTATCTCATGCTAACAAGTACATTACCGATTTAAAGAGTGAATTAACAACTATCTTCGATAAACTAGAAATAGAAACAGAGACTAAAGAACAAGCTATAATTGATGCAGTATTGGCATATTGGAATGTTAATTCACAAACTGGTTACTTAATCGTGGATGCTTTGAAATTTTCTGAATTAATAAGTGCTAAATCTGTTCTAAATTACTGTTTAAGTGAAAAGAATGGTAAGGTATTTGCGCTGACTGATATAACAGCTATTGACACAATTTTCAGAACTTTATCTCAACAATTAATCACTAACGCTGGTGATAATGAAGCCTTTGAATTTGTATTTGAAAAGTTATGCCTTGCTTTAAATAGCTCTATTGAAACTATTGGTGTTTCTCAGACTGAAAATATCGTTTTACCAGACTTGAGTGAACAATCCGAGATAGATCCAATAAATGAACTACCAAAATTGGAGGTTGCTTGGAAATATTTTGCTATCCTTGGTTTTGTTAAGAGTATTTTGAGAAAATATTCGTCCCAATATCTTCCGTTAGTTGAAAAATTCACAACTGGTATGACTAATGTAATTTCTCATGAACCAACTCAAAAACAATTGTTAGAATGGATTAACGAGGTACCACAAATCTAATACTGCATTGTAGGAGTAATAATTGTATAATAATTTAAATGTCTCTATGTATTATTTAATGTATAAAAGTCGGTTGAGCTAGTTATGCCATATATAATCATATTAATATAATAAACATATATGTGGGTTAATGGTTACCATATTACTAATATATTGTTTCAAAAGTTGAAAACTTTGAACATGCGGTGTTGTTGGGAATAATGTTGTTTAAGTATGCAGATAATTGGAATATTGTATTGAGATTGAAAAAATAAGACGGGTTCTTCAAAGAGAGGAACACATGTCATTCAGTGTGTGTTACGTGGCTTCGTATTTTAGTTTTTATCCGAAGTATTATTATTTTAATGCATTTACCTGTTAATCAAGTAACTATGATTTCATTTTTTGGGTTCAGTAACAGAATATTCACTGATGTTATCTTGATTCTTAGTTTGGACCCTTCTATGGGTAGAGGTAATTGATGGGACACCCTCAAGTGTTTGTAGGTTTAAATTATTCGATTCTGGGAAATAGGGCACATAATTACCATCATTATCATTATTCATCTTTCCTGACATCTCGTAAACACTATCTGGCTCATCCATCACATCATATCTGATATTTTGATTACTGTTATTATAAATATCATAATTTTCAAGGAACCTTTCATTGTTGTGGTTAGCGATACGTGTAGGGCCGTCGTCGAGAGCTTTTGCATGGACAACAGATTCCGAATCCTTCAACTGTAGACTTTCATTTGAATTACATATGTTTCCATTAGAACGTATTGGACTCGTAGTGTCCGCAAAGTATATATATAGTTCAACAAATTCCAAAAACTGTTCTCTTGTAACGTCTTCCCCGGAAAATGTACAATATTCATATAGTTGAATAAACCTTTTTGTCTTTACTGTTTCATCATTATTGGGGCAACCATTCTTGATATAATTGGAACTCATCAAGTCTGAAATAGTTTCATTAATATCTGCCCTAGTTTCTGATACAGGTAGAAATACACCCGTATACTTAAATTTACTTCTAATGGATTTCATTGCAGCTTTATAATCCAGGTATTCTGGAAATATTTTATCATAGTTTGGAATATCGCATCGTCTAGGTGGTTCTAACCCTGCGTGTATTACGGGTTCTTGCGGAGTATTAAATAAAACACTTAATTCCTTGGATCTTTCCATTGAGTTCATAATGAATTGTCGACTCTCTTCATGAGGTAAATCAGCTGGTGTTATCGGTAAATACCTTCTCGGTATATCTATTAAACAACTTCTATAATATAATAATCTGCCTACAAGTAATGTAACGCACACTACAACAAACACGACTAGTGCTCCGACTACAATAAATGTATTGAATGCATTATTTTCAGATTCAGCAGCTTGGGCAATCGTGTCAATTGGTAAAACAGCCGAAAATAAGATCAATAATAATGTAAAGAGAGCAAATGTACTTCGATACAAAAAGTCTCTTACCTTTCCAGATGGTTTCCACATTGAAAAATATATGTACGTGTATCTATGTCGTTATAAATGGGTAGAAAATGTCGTAAAAATGTCCTTTAAAGTTATTGATTCTGCAGTCTATGTTTATGTATTTAAAACTAAAATATAATAAAAGGTACTATTAACGTCAAATGATAAGTGAACAGTGAATAAATGAAATTTAGATGCCTTGGTTTGTTTAGTAGTGTGTTAATGTTCTCATATGGATAGTGAGATATGTACTGCTCTATCAATTAGTATATAGGTGTATAACATTAAGCAACAACGCAGAGTTATATGGATACCCTATTGAATAGTGTTACGTTACCACCTGTTATCACAACTATTGTCATGTTATTATGATTATTATTATTGAGGACGATGCCCTATTATTGTTCTTATTATTACTATTATTATCATTCTGTAGCGACAAAGCGAAGACGTTCATAGAGAGTAAATTTGAGCTGTAAGCAATGGCTACGACGTGAAAAGTGATAATTTGAGGTGATAGTTCAAGAATGGAACAAAAGGAAATCGTAATGTATCTCAATCATCAATTAGGAGATACTCATCTTCGATCATGATATTACCCGCATTGTCTATGGTTTGTTTCTTAGAGGCCTTTTGTTTCTTGAACCATTCACGGATCATTTGGATATTTATTCTATTTTTTGTATCTAAACAATCTAAATGTTTGAGGGTCATCACTACGTCTGAAGTTCGTATCCCCGTTGTAAGGGAGAGTTCATTTAGTGAAATCGTCGATCTGTTTGATAATTGACCATCGATGACTTCATATGCAATAAGGTTTGACCAATAATACATATAACCGATTAGTCCAAATGGTGATAAAGGCAATTCTGGGCCTGTAATTAAACTTTGCAATCTGGACAATTTGTAAGAAAATTCAATCAGTAAAGTACCTAATTGTCTTCTTTGATACGGTGGAAATATAAGGATGCATGCCAGGTTGTTCTGTTGATATGATAAAAGATCCTTTGAAAAAAAACCCATTGGCTTATTGTCACCCGTTTCATAGAGCATGTAGAATTCATAGTTCTCCACTTTAAAATACATCGATTTATTATCCAAGAATAATTTTGTAAATAAGCACAGACATTGGCAAAACAAGCTATGCTTGGAACCCTTTATTCTCCGTATGGTATATTTAGGAGATTTATATTTTATCTTCCCAGGTGGACAATTATTCTTTAATTTACAAATTTTGGTGTGTTCGATTAAGTGCTGTTCAATATCGGTATACTTAAAACAATATTCGCACACAAACAAAGTATCTAGCCACATTTTTGACTTTTCAGATGTTCCTTTTTTCTTCATCGGTTCTTTCTTTGTTGGGCTTTCACGATTTAGATTATTTTCTATGACAATACCAAGGTCTCGACTACCATTTTCAAAATATACATTAGTGCCATACCAAGTATGGAATCTTTTATCTACACCAAATTGCACGTAGTTGATATTTGGTTCATCTAATATACCATATAGTTCATTCTCATCCTTTGGTAATTTTTTTTGAACTGTTTTCTTCGCAACTTTTGACTTCTTGGCTTTCTTGCTTCTTTTTATTGCAAGTACCCTTGTCGTTACTTTATCTTTAGTTGCTACAATATTTGTAACAACGGGATCGTTTTTTTCATTATCCATCTTTTACTTTCTTCCTTCTTTGTAGACAAAGCCTTTAACTAATGACCAATGTAACAGAACCTGGTGCCTGGAACCAAACACGACACAAGCTATAAAGCTGAACTGAGACCGACCAAATAGTGACTCTAAACCTTCCTCACATACGTTACAAACGGATGACCTGTCTAGGTTCTCTTCGACCGTTTGAAATACTAAAATGGTTCCCATAATTGATTAAAAACCATCATCGAGACAGTTTAGCGTGTTTCGTTGTCCCGGATATCACTATACACGACGCAGAAATCCCAAGAAAGAAAGAAAAATTTGTGTGCGAGAAACAGAGAAACAGAGCTGATCGTCTACTTACAGAATGAATAGAATAATAAACAATATTGAAGTAGTTAAACTCGATGAGATAAGGTTTTATAAGAAGCTGGAGAAACAAAGAAACAAGTTCAATATATATACTAGTCATTATCCGCTTATATAAAAACAATTGATTAAAGTCGTTCGATACTCTTTCATTAATTACAATTGTTGAGAAGGCAGTTTGTTTGTTAGTCTTTATTTATTCATTCATTTACAAATTACAAGCACAGCAATAAAAAAGAATCAGGAACAACAATATTGATCTTACATACTGAAGAATAAGACGATAAGATACTAGTTAGCTCAGTTTAAAAAGATAATCTTCCAACGGGATTCAAAAAAGTTGACATAATGACACACAGATTCAATGCATTCAATGATACCCCTCGAGGGAACCATTGGATGGGAGCATCTCCCTCTCGTCATAATATTAATGCACCTTCATTTGACAGAGGTAACATACTGGAAAGCGACCAAACGCGACAGTCACACGGCGTAGAAAGAAATCCATCTGCTTCAAACAATACCAAGGATAGTACTGGTAGTATGAATAGTGCCAATCCTTTGAATGATAAAAAGTTTAATGTTAATGATCCAAATGTACAATTATATGTGGAATCTTTGCCCTTACTATCGACAGAGATTTTAGATGTTTCAAAACAAAGAAGTTTAGCATTAGTTACCTTTTTAATAATACAAGCATACAAGATATATGATCTTATATTGTTAAAGAGTGGATTAACGGTTTCTGGCTTAAGTTCCCATAATTCTTATTTCAATTTCTTATCGAAATATTTTATTATAGACTCTTTGTTTTTATATTTCTTACCCAGTTTTAAGATACCAAGATTAACTTTTAAAAAATATGTGACATATTTACAAATACTAGTAATGGCAGTGTTGACTATTTTCCTCTCTAGGGAACAAGATTTCTTCATTGTTATTATGATATTATCAAGATGGAAAAAATTATATTTTCAAAAAGAATTAACAGTAACAGGAGCATCCATCAATAGACATCAAAAATTAATTGATTATTCATCTCATTTCAAAGGTGCTTTGACTATTAAAATTTTACCTGAAAATACTGCAATGTTAAATCCATTACATGAATCATATTGTTTGCCGTTAGACTCCTCGTTTACCTCATTAATTGATAATGAAAATAGAGGCACTCAAGTTAATATCCCTGTTAGGATCAATTCCACCGAAGATATTAAATTGATTGAATTAGAGTATAGAGATTTTTATACAAATGAAATTCAATTGAAAAATTTAACAACAAAAGATTTCCAGAAGATTTTAAATCCTTCTTCCCTTCTATCTAAAGATAGGAGTCTATATGAAAGCGATATTGTAAATGGTCAGGATTCAACAGTATCTTCAGGAGATAAAAAATCTACTATGCGTTACATTAATATCCCACTTAAGCAAATTGGGTTCTATCAAATCAAGAAAATAATTGATACTAAAAATTTAAACTTGAAAGTATATCAATCTCATGTGATTGTACCACATTGTCCAACCGCAACAATGGTGGCCTCCGGGGATTCAAACAGATGCCTAGGTGATAAAGATGAAATAAGTATCGAATTACATGGTGTTCCACCTTTAAAGTTGAGTTATTCTAAAGTAATTGATGATAAGGTATATTCATTTGTAGATACTAATTTAGAACCTGAATTCTTTAAATCACCATTAAAACAATCAAATATTCTCAACGCTAAGAAAACTTTTTCTGCTACTGATTTGGAAGATTTAACTTGGGCTCGTAATCATAAAGTGATGATTTCATTAAATTCAACCACTCTCTCTGATGGTCATTACACATATAAGATCGATAAATTAATAGATCGATTAGGTAACACGATGGATTTCACTATGTTATCTGATCAATTGAACAAAAAGTATGATCTTATGAACGAATTTGATGTTTATAATCCACCAAGAGCATCTATGGATGAAACATTCAATTCTGATTCTCCAACTAAGAGGGATATCACTATTAATTTTGAACATCTTAAAAATTGGGATAAAGATTTACCACTTTCTGCTAAGGTGTCATATATTGGATCTAATGGTCGAGAAGGTGACAATAACGAAGTTGAAACTTTTGACGTCGAATTGACCCAATTGTCAAAATCATTCCATGCTGAAAAACCTGGTAGGTACATCCTGCAATCCATCAGTTCAAAATATTGTTCAGGTATTATTATTGGGAAGTCTAGTATTACAATTTCTAAGCCAATTCCACCTCATTTGAATGTCTCATCTACTCCAATCATTGACCAGTGTATAGGACAAGTAGGTCTAAACTTTGATTTGATGTTTACAGGTATTCCACCATTCCATTACGGTGTTAAGATTTTCAAAATAGATGGGGAAAGAAGGAAGCTTTTTGAAACTAAAAGATTAATCTCAAAGGGTTCAAGAAATCAATTTGCTTATAATCCATCCACAGAAGGTCATTACGAAATTACATTTGATCAGATATCTAATGATCTATATAGGGATCCGATTGCTTTGATACCATCTGAATTGTATACATTTGAGACATCTATGAGAGTTAAGCCATCTGCTAGTATATCACTAAGGAACTATAAGGATTCATTAAAATTATGTTTAAATCAAAGAGCCAAGATTCCAATTGCTCTTCGTGGTGAACCTCCATTTGCTTTCAAGTACGATATCCTTGAGACAACTACAAATAACAAAATGTCTTACTCGATCGAAGATGTTAATTCTAATGGTTATGAATTAAACACACCTGAATTCAATCTAGGTGGTGATTACATTGTTACTCTAGTATCAGTTAAGGATAACACGGGATGTGTTGTATCCTTAAGTGAGCCTGATGTTAGAATTAAGGTAAGAGGAGATATCCCTTCTGCCTCCTTTAACAGACTAAATAGAGATGGCTCCGATAATAGTATTAGTATCAAACAAAACACAGTAGTAGATATTCCATTAAAATTATCAGGTGAGGGTCCCTTTAAGGTCAAATATCAACATGTGGCTTTAGATGGACGTGTCCTCGGTTCATTTGAGAACAGGTTTGAGACCAGTTACAAGGCAGGCCTAAGGGTCAGCAAAGAAGGTTTGTATAAGTTGTTAGAAGTAAGAGACTCTAGTTGTAGTGGTGAGATTATTCAGGGTGAAGAATTGTTTAAAGTCAATTATTTGAAAAAACCTACATTTACAATTCAAGACAAATTTTCAAAACTCAAGAAGATTACGGATTCTGTATTTATTAACCCTCCTGTTTGTCAAGATACAGGTGAGACGATTGATCTTCTGTTAACGGGTTCGCCACCATTCATTTTAAATTACGACCTTATGATACCTAATGGCAATGTGCTGAGCGAAAAGATTCAGGTTGCTACAAAGTATACATCATTGAAGATACCTAATAATGAAGCTGGTGAGTTCGTTGTTACTATAAAAAGTATTTATGATTCTAACTATGAAGAACAAGAATCAAAATCAGGTGCTACTATAAATAGTGACCCTAATGAAAAGATTATCAAGCAAGTCGTAAATCCATTACCATATGTGGAATTTGCTAATCAAGAAAAGACATTTAGAACATGCTCTGCAAATATTGATCAAGAGGCACTATTAGATCCAATCAATATCAAACAGTACTCTGGTAAAGGCCCATTCACCATTGTATTTAATGTTTATCATGAAAGTACAAGCCGGACTGAAGAACTAACCCTTAAAAATGTATCAACAGACTCTTTCCCATTCCAAAAGTTGTATGATGGTCTGAAATTAGGAAATCATGTTATATCCATTGTAAAGATTACAGATACAAATGGTTGTGCTAACGATTTGAGAAATGTGCAGGATACTCAATTGAAGCGCTACGTTCGTAATGGTATTGAAAATTTTATTGGTGGTGAAGATAACAAGATAAATAAGAACTACATCTCTATTTCAATCACCGATGTACCCAAAATTCATTTACTGGATTCTCAAGTTGAATATTGCGTTGGAGATTATGTAACATACCAATTAAACGGTATAGCTCCGTTCACGATACAGTATACATTTAATGAAGTTTCCTTAAGAACACAAGAACATTCTTCGCAATTTGTTAGATTAGCATCTGAGCCTGGTCTCATCACTATTGACTCCATTGAGGACTCAACAGCACAATGTTTAGTTAACTTTACTAAACCAGGAATGGAAAAGGATTTGAAGAGGTTGTCTTTGAATGTCCATCCAATTCCATCTGTCACAGTTTCGCAAGGTAATTATGTTGTTGAGGATATCCACGAAGGTGGACAAGCTGAAGTGTTATTCTCTTTCGAGGGAACGCCACCGTTCTCACTGACATATGTTAGGACGGAAGACATTGAGTCTGATAATAATGGTATTATGATGAGAAGGCCTCAAGTCGTTGAAACTCATAAAGTAACAGATATATTTGCATATCAGTATAGAGTGGTAACTAGCTTACAAGGGACTTACGAAGCAATTGAAATTTCGGATGCTTTCTGCTTTGCCAAAAATGATGCCTTTTTCGATAACTAATTTTAATAAAAAATTTATTCCATATACTTAATGCATACTAGATTTTTTATATTAATACGTATTATATATAAGATATATTACTTTTTAATGAAATTTCTTGAAATCTTTTATTACCATTTGTTTTTGTTATTTAAATCGAAAGTAGTGAAATTTCAACTTGACATTAAAATTCATAAATTTTTATGTAAATAAGTACTGAGAAAAGTGAGCCAAACTTAAACAAAGGTACGTTGGAGTAAACAAAAATTAAAAGTGATAATATCATACTATTTAGAGGTTGGTTAAACATGACATTCCCCAAGAAGATTTCACCTGCACATTGGTTGAAGCACTTAAAACTTGCACAACCTAAGATAATAACGTTTGATGCATATAATACCTTATATTGCACTACGTTACCTGTTATGGAGCAGTATAGTGATGAGGCTAAGAAATGTGGAATTAACGTCACTGCTCAAGTTCTCACCGAAAGTTTCCCAACGATTTTCAGTAACATAAAAGAAAAGTATCCAAATTATGGTAAGTCCGAAGGGTTAAATGCAGATGAGTGGTGGGGGATCTTAATAAGGGACATTTTTGAACCTCACAAAGTTCCAAAGGAAATGATTCAAAATATCCTAAAGAGGTTTGAAGGTAAACAGGCATATGCGGTGTATCCAGACGTTTTAGAGCTATTACAATTTCTTAAAGAACAGCATCCTGAAGTAGTTATTGGGATTATTAGCAATACCGACCCTAAAGTCTATAGATTACTGGAGAATCTAGATATTTTAAAATACTTTGAGAATTTCACTTACTTTTCCTATGATCTTGAACTTTCAAAACCAGATATAAAAATTTTCGAATATGTTCTTGATGATATAATTAAAAAAAGACCAAACCTTTTAGATGATAAAGAATCTTTATCCTCATTTAAGAAAAAGTGTTGGCATGTCGGTGATGAATTAAAGAATGATTTACAATGTGCCCATAAAGCAGGCTGGAGCAATGTTTTAATTGATAGGACTAACAATCATGGCTACTTTGAAAAAGATAAATTCATCAGTTCTGACGTTTCTGAACATGATCTCTCAATACAAAAGGTTGATCAAACGATGTGTAAAATATGGGAGTTGTGCGAACATCAAGATAGTGGTTTACAATTGGACTTCACCAGTTTTATTCTACCAAACTTGTACACTTTTAGGCAACTTTTTTTTAGATAGAATTTAAGATATCAATTTTATACTGATTATTAAAATCTCTAAAAAGACTATACAATTATCTTTTTACTTGCACTCAACCACAAAAATTGAATTTCACTGCTTTTTCTAAAGTTAAGTTTCAGTAACTTTCCAAATTTAACGTACACATAATCAATAAATATATTTTCTTATATTTCTATTCATTTATATAAAGATAATGGAGATAATTATACAATAAGTAATTTGATTATATTCGTTGCTGTTTATACACTGATAGTCTTCCATATGTTAAGACCATCAGTACCTGTACTAACCAAACAACCCGGAATTTGTTTATGCCATTTAACATCTTTAACTTCCTTTTGCCAATGTACGAAAAGTAATTGCGGTGGGATTTGTTCCAATTCTTTAGTCTCTGCTTTTTGTTGTTTAATTTCTTCGTCATCTGCCTCCACAGACAAATCCCATAGTGTCACTGTGTTATCTTCAGAAGCAACTGCTATAACAGATTCATCCAATGGGTTAAAACTGATGGAAGTAATAGCACCTTTATGGAAATCATATTGTGCAACTGGCTGGACATTGTTAATATTGTCTGGGGAGAATTGTCTCAAATCCCAAACACCCCAAGAACCGTTGTCATCCCCACTTGCTAATAAGTAACCTACCTTAGAACTCCAACTAATAACATTTACATCTGTGTTAGAAGCCTTGACGGACAGAGCTGGAATATGTTTCTTTGATCTAGTGTCCCAGATTCTTATAAACCCATCAACACCACATGATGCAAATACCGTATTTTCAGTTGAAGACCATTGCAAATCTTCAATTGATTTATTGTTACCGACACTGAATGGTTGTTTATCAGTACTCCATTTTGAGGTACCTCTTTGAGTCAAATAAATTTGACCAGAACAATCACCAGTCACTAATGCACCACCTCTAATCATTGGAGACCAATCTAAAGCATAACCTTCAACATTACCGTGATTCTTAATTGTGTGTAATGGTCTCTTTGCTGTTTTTGGGATTTGGTATCCTGGTGTAGAGAATGCTCTTGATTGTGGACCAATATCGAAAATGTGAACTTCACCATTTTCACTCATTGTAGCAGTAAGAACTTCTTGATTGGATTGTGCAAATGGAGAAACTTTTAATCTATTTGTTGTATCTCTTAGTGGTATATTTTCATTTTCAATAATTGGATCATCATCATTATCCTCATTATCCTCATCGTCATTATCGTCTGCACCATCCTCTTTCACTAAAGTCTTGTTCAATTGAGTTAATGACAAAACAATCATTTCATTATCCTTCTTTTTAGAGGCTTGAGTTGCTGTTGTCATCAATATAGATTGTGGATAACTTCTACGTTCCGAACCAAGTGTATCTGGAATAATGTCTAAAGTCATACAAGGCCAAGGAAGATTAACATTATGTAACATCTCATACACGGTTGGATCGGCCTCTAGAACTTCATCGGGTCCTAATGGACGAGATATGTTTGGTAAGTATAACTCTTTACCCCCATTGTTGGTGTTACTAGCTTCCTGATCCTTTCTTAACAATTCTGCTGCTTTTTCTTCTGTAACTTCCAACAATTCACCCTCATCATCAACATCTATATCTTCTTCATCATCAAGTTCCACGATTTCTTCGTCACTTTCAAATGCATCACTAAATTGACCGTCATCAATCATATCTAAGTCTCCATCACCAGAACCTTTAACGGCAGGTCCATCATTATTACCTGTTCTGGCAGATACTACTCTATCTTCTTCTTCTCTATCTAACGATCTTTTAGACATTGTGTAATATAGTAAATATTATTGGGTAACAAAATTATACTTAGCTTTTGCCTCCTTTCTTTTGGGTTGGAAGATGTTTTGAAACTCACTCAGTTACTTAAATGTAGGATCGATATATTTAAAAATAAAATAAAAACTAAATTTCAATATCAACTATTATAATTTACAAAATACACAGATCAAGAAATTACAATTTAACCCCATAATAACATCTAAAGTGAAAAATTGCAACTCATCGCATCTCATGCTCTAACTGAAAAATTTTCCTTTTTCCAATTTGAAGCGTAAAAATATATAAATTCTGCACGTGACTTTGAAAATTTAAAGATAAAAAAAAGAAACAAGAACAAGGCGAACAACACCAAATATATCAATTGCCTAATTAGAACATTGAGATGCGTCAAAAAGAAATAAAAAAGGTTTTTTTCATTTTCGGATTTTGTTTATTTTATTTAAACTTTTAACTCAACTTAGAAATGGTCGTGATGACGATGATGATAACGTCTGGGAAAAGTTATTTTACTCGAGATTCAAGATCTCAGATCCAAAGAACATACAAGAGAACACACACCACTGCATGTATTTTTTGTGTCTTTTATTTTATTTTATGTTATTTAATTTTATTTTTTGATTCCATTGCGCAAGTATCAGTGTAATCATCAAAATTCTCTGTGCATCTGTGGATATTTCAATGGAATATTAAACCTGTCAGAGTATCGCTTTTCTTTCTTTTTAAGTGATGACGTGGACGCAGTTCATATTTTCGTCACAGTTTCCACATCTTTTTCAAGTTCGACATCAACATCCCCCTGTTTTTGGGGATTCTTCTTTTTTTGCTGTTTCTTTTTTTCTTTTTTTAATCTTTGTCTTTGTATTTCTTCTTCAATTAATCTTTGGTTATTCGCAGCAAGATATTTGTTGAAATAAAATCCATCTTTACTCTTTTTGGCGTCGTGTAAGGTCTCTTCTACATTCTCTGCCATTTCAACCCTTGTCTTTGTCAGTCTATTAATAATCTTATTATCTCTACTAAAACATTTCCGTCTTTTGCAATTTTTAAGTGTTTTGAAAGATACTTCCCCGGGATTCATATACTTATTCTTTCTCAAGTTTGTCCATGGAGTGATTAAGATAGTACATTCTGGTAACTTATTACCAGCAATAGATGATGCTTTACAAAGTTGTAGACAATCGTTAATTACACCATCGGGGACATCATCTAAAGACTTTTCGCCATTGGTTAATTGCAAATAAATATGGCCACTAGAATAGCTATCTGCATGAAACCAGATGTATTCCAATTCTTTGAAACCATATTTTATTAAGAAATCATTTTCAAACTTATCCTTTCCAGTTACTATCATATGAGGTGCACTATATTCATCGTGTTTAGATTCAAAAAAATACACCATTTTATACGTTTTCTTGAAATATTTTACTAAACTATAAGAATATTTCCCCTAACAGTTGAACAAACACAAATAGTAGCGAATGATTGATAAGTTCTTCAAGTACTGCATAAGAATGCCTTAGCAAACAACCAACTATTGCTGTTTATATAGTACCATATCATATTCTTTTCATTAATATTTTTTTTTCACTTGATTACCGAAGTATTGAACCACGTAAAACACATACATTCGAACGCAGCACTTTCGATGGATGGATGAGTGGCGGTAAATAAAAAAAGATAGAAGAATTCCACGGAAATAAATTTGTTTTGAAGAGCGAAACAACAAGTATAAGTTCAAACACCTTTTAAACAGTTATCGATCAAGTCGCATTCGAGAGTTATAAAAATGTAATGTGACTTGGGTCAACAAAGAGGACTGTTCTGTAGTATGCTATAAATCAACGAAGTAGTTTTCTATCTAAATCTCCTTTTGATTACGGACAAGTTCTTGGATGAAGGCGATAGAGATAGATAGAACCCATATATATATGTACTCGTTCTAGCTCTTTGGTAGTTGAATTTTTCAACGGGAAGTTCTTACCTCGTAAACTTTGCTGTGAATACAGCTATACAATATAAAATTTTGCTGTCTCTGTAATTTTATTCTTGTCAGAATACATTTTATGCAATATACTTGTAACAAAAGTTTGTCACGCTCGGCGGCTACTTCATTGCTCGGAATTATATTTACAATAAATATAAGAAATATCATTTACTCAAGATCAAAAGTTCATATAAAAGGTAGTTTCACTATCTTAACTTCCGCTCGAGACTTCATCTTTTATCAACATATAATCTCACAACTAATACAATATTAACTCTATCATTTTTTTTCCTTTTACAACGTTTTGGTAATAATAAAAACATGACTTTCAACTTTTCTATTCCCATTAAGACATACTCAAAGTATGAAGGTACAATAGTTGTTCCGTTTGGATTTAACACCCCATCAATACAATTAGATAACCAGAAGTGGCGTCATTTTAATCGTAATTATCAAATAACTTTCAATCTTCAAATCATTCAAAAGAATATAATATCAATTAAAACAATGATGGGGGAAACTACTGTATTAGATGACATTACGATTACCATTGGTGATCAGAATGACCATATTAGATGCTCTTCCAGATGTCCTTCTTTGTCTTGTAAATACTTAAAACAAGAAAACGGAATTCAAGTATTGAAAAGGTTTCAATTGGAATTTAACAATAGTATAGAATTTACATCTGTAAAAAAATCATTACAAGCAATAACAATTAATATTAAAGAATATCATCCAACTGGCACACAACCAATCTTCAATAATAATAATAATAATAATAATAATAATAATAGCTTTAGTCAATATCATGTCGACAACCCATCGACCACTCAACTAAGTGGAACGCGCAATACTATTTGTAATAATGATTATGCCAGGAACGATTCTCTCATGGATCCGGATCCTTCATTAATTAATAGTCAGATTGAAGCCCCTATATTTTACAAAAACAATGCTGATGGAATTAGAAATAAGGGTCTCACGAATGTCTCCAGTCTTGTCCAAAATAAACTTCCATCCATAGATTTCCTTATTCAACATACTACAGAACCAATAATGGATTTAATGACACCATTAAATAATAATTTATCACTGAAAGAGAATGATGTGTCCGAAAAGAAATTGTGTTATTCCCAAATTGGAACTAGGACAGATTGTAGGACCACTTCAAATTCTCAACACTTCAACAGTATATTGCATCATGACAAGAATGTACCTCAAATTTCAAAATCCCAGCTACCTACAAATCATAATCTATCCATACCGGATAAAAATTCTAGTGATGTAATAATTTCACCTATTAAAGGTATGTCGCATGCTTCTCTTGAGAATGTTGACTCACATACCGTGCTACCCTCAAATTCCCAAAAATTGGAAATATTACAGGATGTTCAAACAATCAAAGTTACAAGTCCACTTGAAATATCAGAAGATACCAAAACAACGACTATACAAGAGACTGAAAATTCGGAATGTAACTATACAATACCGAAACCAAATTCAGAAATGAAGAATGTTTTACATTCCTCAAAGAAGTCCAGGAAGAAAAGGATCAAGATATCTAAAAAAGTCATAAAAGAAAAACTAAATGACAAAAAGTTTATGAAATGGGTATGTTTTCCTTCAGTATCTAAATTTTAGATTCAATATTTACACTTTTTATTAGGCTATGAATATTTTCTCAGGCCAATTTTTCGTAACATTTACTAACAAGTCATTTAATGTTTCTTTTGATACCTTTAAAATTTATATTTACATTTAGGTGGATACGGTTGAAGGTATTTTGACCAGGATGTACAAAGAAACAGAGTAAACGGAGCCATATTATAATCGAATAAATCATTTGCCTTTAACGTAAGGTGTTATAGTTATCGTACAATATCTTTTCTTTAGCGGACCGGTACATGCGGAAAAGTGACACCGAAAAAATAAATAAATGAAGGTGCTCGTTTAAGAAATGGCGTTACTATAAACATTTTCTATATCTGTATTTAAAATGAAGACATTGGCTTTGGAATCACGAAAAATAAAAGCGAGCTGGGCGTTATACATCAGACGACCCTCTACAATATTAAAACTCTGATCTGAGGATTGAAGTACATAATAGAACGAAAGAAAAGTATACTCAAAACTATCGAAAAGAAAATATGGGGAATTTTACGGATGAAATTATCACACAATATTTTGAGATTGAAAATCACCTAATAAATGTGTTAAAGACTGCACCTTATATTCATCAATTTATCCATGGAGATCCAATAAGTGGTAGAATCACCCTATATTTGATAATTTTGGGAGGATTTGCTTTGATTCAGGAGATATGGGTTAGTATTGAAATGACGTTATTGCAAAAAGAAACATATGACGAACTGAATGTAGGGAGAATAGACGAGGGGATTAAGTTACACCGTATGATACTTAGTGATGAGTACCATAGTAAGGAATACAAGGATGAGCAATCCGGGATCATTATAGAAGAGTTCGAGGATATGGATAAGTTCTTTGCCAAACCAGTACATGTTTCCGATATTTTTGTTCATGGGTACATCATTGTCAATGGTCAGCAAATCCTTGACACACCATTGAAATATCATGTTGAATTCTCTCCCGAAGATTTTGAAAGTGAAAAGAGACAGGATTTTGGGTGTTCACTCCATGTTCTAAGATTAAAGTTATATCACCTTTTCAAGGATTCTACTTTTTACAAGGAATACAACAAAAATTCCAATCCATTTACCATTTCTGGTAATGTGAAAATTTACAATAAATTCGGTGAGAAATTGGAGGTAAACTTAGATGAGGTCCAATTATGTTTCTTGAAGATCGAAACAGGTGATACAATCAAATGTGATTTTATTATAGAATAATATTTCTTTTTTCGTTAACGTTGCAAACCAATAGTATAACGTATATGCGCATATATATGTATATAACTTATTAAGCTTTATTTTGTATCCTTGGTACACCGATATTATTAGTATGTAATTCGTTTTCACACCAAGCCCATAATTTAATAATTTGGGATAATTTAGAGTCAAATTGCAGGTCAGGTATAACTATTGTGTCTCGATTATTTAATGGGTCTTCATTATTAGATAGCATATTCTTCATTAGGTTATTATCCTTTGATGTTGTTAAAGAATTTTGCAAAGATCTATCAGAACTAGCATGTGTTCGTAACGAACCATCATTACTTCCAGATATTGGAATCGATGTCAGTGTAGAAGTTGGATTATCTAATGAGGTACCAGAAAAAGCCGTCGATGTTGGATTGGTTGACGAAGAAGATGAATTTGAAGCTGTTGCGCTCTTCTGTAAATCTTGCGATTTAACATTCGTCCTTAAAATTGATTTAAAATTGGATAATTTAAAATCAAGAATATCTAAGGTTTCAGGAGATTGTAATACATTGGGGAATTTTGTTTGGTTTGTGATATCAGGGTATATTGATTTCAGTAATTTTTGATTAATCAAAGTGGCAACTTTTGATCTCAATGAAAGAGAATATAATTTATTTAAATTGCAAGGAAGTTCTATATCTAAATCTGGAGGTATTAAAAGTAAAGTCATTATAAGTTCTAGTTGTTTCATATGCGATTTATTTTTTAAAGCCTTTGGAGCTAACTTATCCTTTGAATAATTTATCAAATTTATAATGAACTCTTTATCAACTTCATTTCCTTGTTTTTTTTTGTTATTCCTTATCATCTCTATAAGATTTAACAACAATAATTTATAATGTAAATCATCGTCCTCTTCAAAATCCACCCTTTCACCTAATGGATTATGAGTAAAAATATTATTATCTCCTTGAGTAGTGTTATCATAATCATCATTACCTGCTGATCCAGGAGGACTATACTGTGGATTTTCATTTTGTAAAATTTCTAAACCAAAATTAGAATTAATTATCTCCATAGCTTTAGAAATTTGCCCTAATTTAACCAAATGTACAATTGTAGCACGTTCAGTTATCTTAAACAATGAATTAAATTGTAATAAATCTTTGTTATTCGAAATATAGCCCAATCCTTTGGCCATCCTACAACTGGCGTCCTCATAAGCATTAATGATGAAATAGTTCAATAGTAACCTTGGAACAGCAACCTCCGTGTCTTGAACTGCTCCTGGAACCAACTGTTTATCTCTAGTTACTTTTTCTTTCCAACTATCAGGAGTGTATGTTTTTCCTGTATAGTATTTTGGACTCATTGTAATCTAGAAAACGGTGAGGGGGTGGGGGAGTGTATAATTGTTGGTGGTGTTATCCTGGTTCTAAATGAGATTATTACAATTAAAAGTTAATATACTTTTTCATCTAAGTGTTTCTTTTAATGTTGATAGACAAAGAAATGGTAGAAAATCAATCTATGTAATGAATATAAGTTACCTTTTATTTAGTTTAAAATTTCATTAAGGTCGTCAGATTGCTACATCTCCCTCACAAATATAATAATCAATGTTATCCGAGCGACGCTTTTATTTCTCTATAACTCCGCACTACTTTAACCAATCAATTTTCAAGGGAAACGAGGGTAACGTAACACTCATTTTCCCAATTTTAAGGCAATAAGACACAAATCATTAACAATAAACGTATAGCCATAGCTATCATATTCCTGAGAGGAGAGGAGGAGGAGGTGAGGGAAGAGGGTCATTACAATAACAATATTATTTTGACATACTGATAACAGGAACCTGCACTTGGCTAGTATCTCTTGTATATAAACAATATTATAATAGTAGGGAGGAAATTTTACAAAACAACAACAACAACAACAACAACAATAATAATAATAATAATACAAGTGAAACAAAGACAAAGATAAGTAGTTTGATATACTTTCTTCGAAGGTTCTCAAATTATAGAGGTTTATAAACAAAATATGTTATTGTTAAAACATAACATATTTTCTTTGTTTTCTCTGAGGGAGTAATAATAATAAAACAAAGCAGCGAACAATATATATTAATATAATTGAGAGCAATTAAAACACATATCATAATTCTTGTCAGTTGAAGATTAATTAGTCAAATCAGGGAACTATACATAAACACACTTATTTATAATTCTTGTCAAAAATAGGACATAATAATACAAATGAAACAAAAACAAAAAACATTTAACTCAAAACGTTATTACCAAGAAGGTTCTCGGTGTCAGAGTTTCCCAAATTTAGTTTAATTATCTATTGTATCCATATCAGAACAAAAGAACAATAACAAAATAATCCGGAGAGGAGGCAAAAAGTACTCAAAACAAAAGGTACTCAAAACAAAAGAAATACGATATATACAAGCATATACAATTAAATATCAAATATTGGTGAATACAGTACATACCAACATACCACAACTATTCCCATATAAAGTCTTGCTGCCTTGTTCTTTTTTCCCCAAAAAGAATTGAGAGGTATAGCAATTATATAATTACAATATATTATGGTCCATTGTGAGTATTAGCGTATATGACAGAGTTTTATTTTTGCTCCTCTTCTAAAATGGATTTGTGACATCTGCCTCCCGCTTCTCCACTCCACTGAATAACTGATAATAATTGTTGTTGAAAGTTACTATATTCATGAGAATATTTACATAATACTCTATAATTTCCTAATACATTTCATTTAATCGGACCAATTTAATATAACTGTTCATATTTATCTTATATATTGTTTAAGTCACAAAATTCAAACGAGATAGTCTTTTTCGTTCTAGACCGAAATATTACGCTAACAAATAACCAAGTAAGATAACAAAAAACAGGTGGATCTACTGAGTATTAAAATATTTTAATTATGTAAATCGACACTACCTTGTAAATATAAATCATTGATATATATGACTATTGTCTTAAAGAAACCTGCAATAGTACAAGATAAGAATTTCATTTCATTTCAATTCATTTTATTTTTTTGACTCTTCCACAAGATGTACTTTGATCTTCTTCCGATTCTTTCTGCGACCCCCCCACATACGACAAATGACAGAGGAACATGAAGGCAAATATTACTGTGTTACAACAACAATAACAAGTTTGACAAAAAAAAATAATATAAATCGTTATAAATAATACACATGGCATTGTGTAACCTGCTATCCTTAGTACTTGCTGCACATTTCCAAAAATAATTTTGAAAATATTTCCGAAAATGTGCATTTTCCACGGAAGAGAATGTGACTGCTGGGTGTACGATTATATAATATCTCTATATATGTTAAATAAGATATTATTTTCCTACAGAATTAACATGAACACCTATTGTTTTTAAAGTTAATAATAGTGAAAGATATGTCTAAATTGGTACTAAATTTTCACTTAATGAAAACATTTTGAAATCCCTATTTCCGCCTAATTACATATTATTTATTATTATAATCATGAATAACAATATTACTATTGTTATTTCTCGTTATTTGTCTATCGAAAGGATGTAAAACAATAAATGAATGGTAGGCACTAGTTCTTCTTTCTACTACCAACCAACCACCCACTCTGTCCTTCCTTAAAATATAAAAGTAGTGGTTAATAAACTCCGTACATACAAATCTTTACCGGCCGAAAGAATATATATATAATAAGAAATACAGAGTGATTGGGTGGTTGGTACACACATTTCATACGGATCTCATTTCTCACTTTCCTGTCTCCTTGATTTCTCTCTTGCCCCCTTAAAAAGTATTAGTATTATAATACAGACCACCCTTACGGAGAAAAGACTCAGTAAGACTAAGAGAACGCAGTACTGGAGACCTCCATTGGTATCCAGTTCTCCGTGGATACCCACATTCATTCTTTTCCACCCTCCCCAGGCTTCTCTAAGTAAAGTGTTAGTAAAAGGACAATTTATGATTATTTTGTAAAATATGTAAAGAGCCCCTTTTCAAACTGCGCCTGAATCTCTAAAAACATTTCCAAATTAGGCAATCTTCAAAAATACAAAAAACACATGAAAAACAACAAAAAACACGCAAGTTGTACTACGAAGAGAAAGTACCATCTGCTACGTGTATAGATAGAGAGATTTACTTGGAGGAGGAGTACGTTTCTTGACCGTTGTCTTGTCTGTCTCTTTGAATACTCTATTCCTTGAAAAAGAAACACGGCAGAGGGGAACAAATCCATTGTCTGGGTCTTGTGCGTTACTCATTTCGACGATCCTACAACTGTATGTGTGTGTATATATTTGATTCCCGGGAAGAGTAATCAAAAAACGTACAAACTAAAAGAAAAGAAAAGAAAAGAAAAAAAAAGGGAAGAAAACCTACCCAGTTGAAATGGGTTGGCAAAGCGGGTTTATAAAAATATGTATGCGCTGTAGTCTTCGTTAAATGTAAAAAACAACAACAAAAACAACAAATAATAATATAATAGAAAGATGCAAATTTGACGTAAACTATAATAGCGTGCCAATTGCCAATTTTAAAATTTTCCTTTCTCTACTACATCTTCTTACAATTACAGTTAAATAAAATTATATTTTTATGTTTAATTGAGCTTTATTTCAAGATTGAATTAAATATTTAAGAATATTTCTTTTTAAACAAAAAGCTTAAACTCGAATGAGGTAAATAACGAATGGACGAACGAAAGTAATTTTATGAGTTGAACGAACTGTGTAGGTGGTTCTGTCTGTGTGCCTCTACGAAATACGTTACCTACTATTGTACAATAAAGAGCCAAAAAAAGAAAAAAAAACACTTTAATTCTTTTCCGGTTTTATCCCTCTCTTACAGCATTTCTTTGTGTTGCATCATTGTGAGACGTTCCCTGCCTCTGTTATTTTTATTTGTTTGCCGAGTACAGAAAATGTTTCGTAGAACATGCAGGGAGCTCATTCACCCAGGTTGTCTCATACTCATACTCATACACCCATACACACAAACACTCATTCCTCTCTCCACTACTACTACTAGTATTTTGGCTTGTACACACATTTGTTAACAAGTTGTCTGAGATATACATATGCCTCGTGGAGACATTCGCGCACTCACCTAAGTCAATCAAACCATAACAAAAGAAAAGCACGTACAGACTGTATATGTATGTGTATTGAGCTCTCCATTTTACATAATATCCACAAGTAATTAATTTGGTATCATATTTATTACTGCTATTACTATTACTATTATCGTAATTGAATTTGAAAGAAATTAACAAGAAACAATCACTTCAATTGTTTTTTTTTGCTTCTTCTTCTTCTTATTTATTACTTGATATTAAACTTGAAATGTTTGTTGAATAACAACAATTGAAAAAGTGAAAAAAGAGACCACTTTCAATATTTGTTTAAAACATTATTGTTACACATTCAGGAGATCCTCTATCTAACTATCCTAGTTATCTATTAATCTATCTCTATATTGTCAATAACTTATGACCTTATAACACATATTATTCTCTTAAACAATACACCTCAGGTCTCTTGTAGTATTATATCTCCTCTAACAGATGAAGTAAAGATATAAAATATCTACTATATTATATTATTCAATATACACAAACTTTCCCTCTCATATCTCTATGAATAATACGCTAACTAAACTTGACTTAAAGATAATAGTAACAATACAAGTCATTTTTTAATCAGGAAATCTTTTTTCTTTTCTTTCTTCTTCTAATTATATTTTGATGTTTATTACATGTAGAAGAACGTTGTTGGTTGAGTCCTCTGTTGTTCTTTCATCGTCATTTTTTTTTTTTAATAAAGCCCCGTGCTTATCTTCTTTTCTCTTCATGTATGAACTGACTTCCATCCAATATTCATTGAACTCACATGAGAAAAACTCACGCATTCAATTAATTATCTTGTCGTTCTCTATTAAATTTTCTGTGAATCTTTTAATTTTATCTTGGGCCTGTGACTACAACTTAACGAACTTTACTCATCATTATCATCATATTCTTATTTTTCCCACTCTTTATCGTGTCTCTCTGTGCATATATTTATTAGCTCTATTTTGTCGACGTACAAGATATAATAAAAAAAAGATGCTTTTAAACTTTTTCTTTCTGCTCTTCCTACTCTGTTTTCACTTCATCTTGAACAAGAATTATCTACTTTTGCTCTATAACGTTTTCTTGTAATTAATTCATGGCATACTCCTAGATGTATTGTTGTATATATTTTCTTTAATTCATCATACATATCACTTTTCTCTTTCAATTCTTCCTGTTTTTAATTAAATTTTATTATATTACGATTTTCGCTATTCAACAATGGGGGTCTTACTTTATTTAAAATATTGTAATTGTTAATACTAAACAAAATAAAATAAATAAACCAAAAAAAAAAATCTCTCCATTCCAATCTAAAAATGTAATTCTTCATCAACATAATGGTCTTTTCTTTCTTTTACTCTTTTATTTAGTAGATTCTTCTTCTCTTCCTACATTTCTCAACAATGAAGAGGATAAAGAAGGTTCATTTATTTATATTTCTGGTATTTTTAAATATATATATATATATATAAACTCTTGATTCTAAACTTGAATTGATAATCATCAACCTCTTTTGACTTCTCATTTTTACACATTTAAAAATCTCTTAGATTTAATTAGTATCTGATTTTTTGTTTTTGCTTTTTTCGTAGATTATATTAATAGATTAATATAATATTGCAAGAAATAACTGTATCTATAAAAGAAAAAATATATTTATTTCTATATTATTATATTAAATTACAGTATATCAATTTCAAATTCCTTTATTCCTTTTAAAATAATTATTTTTAAATTTATTTTTTGGTTTCCTTTAAAGACACAGATACATATAGGTACAGATTCTTTTTAGAGACAAGATTCCTAACATTTTTCCTTTTAGATACTAAAGATAATAGGTATAGACACATCCACACAAGTAATTTAAAGGGTGGTTTTATTACGTTATAATTATAGTTAAAATTAACAAACAACAACAAAAAAGTAACTTCACTGAACCCTTTTTTTATTCATTCCCCTTTTAAGATCTTCTTACCTTTACCTTATTTTTTTCAATATTGATTATTTTAAAAATAAAAAAGGAAGAAGTTTATAAGAACACATTTATTTCATTATTAATATTTATTTGGATAATTACTACAATTTTTTACAATATATCATAATAACAAAATTATAATGATGATGAATTTAAGTAATAGAACAGGTCCAGTTAAAGACGAACTAATGGTGATACAACCACAAGGTGTCACACATATGATCCCTCAACAATATCAGATGGCTAATGTACAACTATTACAACCTCAGCTATATCAGTCACTGCCACAACAGTTTCAACCTCAGCTATATCAACCGGCTCCCGTCTTCCAACAACAGCAACAACAACAACAGCCTAATATTTCTTACGCTACTAGTATGCCTCAGACACAAAGACCTGTGACTGTACTTCCGCCTATTAAGGATCTTTTGTATAACACATACACTCCAGTTCAACCACAAGTACAACCACAACAGTCTAGTGCTAATGGTAGTGCTCAGGGTTCTAACAATACCGGTTCTCCTTTAGGTAATGCAATTCCTCCAACTCCAGGAAGCATTAATAATAATTATACTACCATTTCTGGCGATGTAGATGGAGGTATCGTTTCTCAAGGTAATAATACCGTTCAATGTAATACTACAAACACTAATTCTATGGCTAATACGAATAACATTACTGGTGTTTCAAACGTTGCTGGTTCAACAACAGTACCAACTTTACAAGATCCACAATTTTTAAATAAATTACTTGTTGAATATAACAAGTTATCTTCGGAATTAAAGTCTTTAAGAGGTGAAAATAAATTGGATAATAATAATAAACAATTACCATCCTTACAAGTTTTAACCCAACAAATTCCAAATAGTGTTGATCACAATAATTCCACAAATACTAATAATACTAATTCCAATAATAATATGATTCAAAATAGGCAAAGTCCTATTATTAACCCAATGGTGAATGGCAACACTACCGAATCAAATAACTCTGGAAGTTATTACATCCAAAAGGCTAACAGTTACCCACATTCTCCTTTAACCCCACCAATGTCTTTATATTCTGCTCAACAACAACAACCAATGCTTCATACAAGTAACAGCACTAGCACTCTATTCACCGCTCAAGCATTATGTTCTATCACGAAGGATCAAAAAAAGAAAATCCTGAAGAAAAGAATGTGCAACAAAAAGAAGAAGAACGTTAGACTAATAAAATGTTTCCATTGTGGCGAAGTTCAAACTCCTGAATGGAGACGTGGTCCTTACGGTAATAGAACTTTATGTAATGCATGTGGTCTGTATTATAGAAAACTTATCAAACGGTTTGATACCAAGAATGCTAACTTGATAATGAGATTCAACAAACTAATTAATCCTATGGATAGAAGAATTCCACTGAATGTCAATGTTCCAAACAACATTATAGAAAAATTTAACAATGATGCCACATTAGATTCCGATTACTACTCCATCAGAGAGTCCATTTAATATTCAAATTTAAGTTGGAACTGGTTAACTAACGAAATATTCTCAATTTATACCTTTTCCTTTTCTGTTCAAGTTCACAACTAACAGCAACGTAAATTTTATTTGATCATTTTAATTCAAATACCAATTGTTTTTGAGTATTGCTTCCTCGCATATACGAAAAATCAAAGATAATAATATTCTTTTCAATACAGTTATTTTAACTCTGAAATCATAGGGAAAAGAGGGAGAAATTTTTTTCGTTAATAGTTCACAACACTCGTGACTATTTATTTATTTCCACAAAAAAACTATTCCATAAACCTTTATACTTTCTAGTATATATATTAATACATATATTCATTACTATATCCTTTTTCTATTGGAGTTCATGTTCTACTATTTTAATATAGAATTTTATTGATATATATATGCCATTAAGGGATGTCACAATACCATTATTGCATTTCATCTTCAAATTTCTTGTTATTAATAGCATTCCAAACGTCAAACCACTCTATCATATCCCTAGCACGGTCTAGGTTTTCTAAATTTACAGTAGCGAGAATTTCCTTCCATTTAAACTTACCACTAGTCGCAAACCTTATTAATTCAGAAAAACTTGAATGTTCTGAATAAGGTACTTTGAATATTTGAAATTTCTTATTTGCATTCACTTGTTTTACAAACCAATTTTCAGGAAGTAAATCTTTATTCTTATTTTCCCAAGCTGCTTTCGAAACTGAAATTTTTTCCATTTTAGATAAGGTTAAATTCCGACTCTCCCACATATTACCATAAGTCCAACCAGTTGGTACCACCCCCACAACCATTACATCAAGCCATTTAACTTTGACAACTTCTTTAAGATACTTTGAAATCGTTTCTTCACTTTTTAACATACCAAGTGGCACCAAATGTACATTTATACTAGAATCAATGGTTTGATCACCACAGTCCATGTAATGGGATCTTAATTCTTTGTTATACACAAAGCACTTACAACCCAGTTGGGTTGCTATATTTATTGCCAATTTCTCTTTCCCTATAGCATATGCTCCAACTAGCACTAATTTTTTTGTTGGAATAGGTACTACGCTAAAATTTCGATGTTTTGCACAATTTTCATCCTTTTTTTTAAAATATACCTTAACATAGTTACTAGTCTTTTTAACTATTTCATTTTGTAATGAAAAATCATTGGTATGTGAGAGGTATGTTGTATCCAAGTAAATAGAATCAATTGGATATTCGTTAGAAAACCCTTCAATTATGCTGTCAGTACTTCTAAAATCTCCCGTATGAATGATCTGCTTTATAGGTATCTTCAGATCTGTCTTACTTTCATATTCTTGAAATAAATATATCTGTGCGCCTGGACAATGATTCGCATCAAATGCAATAACAGATATCGTATCAGTAATCCATGTTCGCTCATTATTAATTAAAATATTTATCTTTTCCTCAGGAAATTTAAATTTGTATTGTAATAACCTACTGGTTATTTCTGAGCAATAAACTTCACCTTGTTCCCACGATTTCTTTAAACCTATATAATGATCCGAGTGGAAATGTGACAGGAAATATTTCGATATATCTTCATCAGGAGCAAAATTAAAACCATCAACTACAATCTTATAACCATCGTTAAATTTTAATATCTTTATTCTTGGCAATTGTTTTTTTGGCTTTGGTGGACTCTTTTTCTTGGAAGTTCCAGACTGTTTAGGTTTAGATGTACTTTTCATATGAATCGCCTGTGTAGAGCTGATGGTCGATGTTGCTTGATCAATCTGTCCTCCAGACTCGATTATCGTCGAGGAACATTTTATTTTACTTCTTTCAAGGGGAACCTCATTTTCATTTAATCTTTCTAGGCATGACTCACAATGGGCTTCTTTTTCGTATAGTTCAAAGTTTGATAAGTCATGATTACAAATGGGACATGTAATGATATCTTCGTCATTGGAAACATCATCTTTATTCTCTATTGAATTAATTGTTTCTTCGTTCCTATTATCTACCGTTGTTAAAGGTATGCAGTCATCTAATATTTCAATTCGTTCATCTTCAGTTTCAGCTGGAAATGTATCGATCTCCAGGACTTCCAAATCATCATCTACATCATCTTTCTCTTTGCTTTCCATATCGCTATTTTCTTCATCGATTGTTATAGGGTCATCTTTTAGGTTAATTACTGTACCATTTTGATTCCTCTTGCGAATCGGCGGACTTGAAGTAGTTGGGATATTGTACTCGAATAATCGCTTCTGTCTTTTTCTATTCCTGGTTTGCATCAAACTAGTTCTCTGGGAACCAATAAATTTACGACCGGTGCTATCTCTTACTCCATATTGTGAACTTCGTGTTTTTAATCTAACATCAGAATTTCTGATTTCTACAATAGACTTTCTTGCCATCTAGGATCATGGACTCATTTGGGATGAGAAAAGGTTATTATTCTACAAATTAAAGGAGTTTGAAATATGGTCTGGAGCAATTTCTAATGGGAAAGCACTAGAATACCAAATGAAATCTATTGACTGGATCAAGATTATATTGAAAGTTCTAGTTCTGTCATAATATCTAGGATAAACAATATTGAGGAATATAGGTTTTTAAGATGTTACAAATCGATGCTCTTAATTTTTTCAGTACATTGTTTTTCTCTTCTTGCAAGACGGAGCTAGGTCAGTCGGTATAGCATTAATAAAAGATCTTTCAAAAAAATATATATAAATATACGAATAATCGAAAATAGAATTGAACCAACTTCGAACATATAAGCTTACAGTTATTGGCCATATCTTTAGTTATAAGTTCAGTTAATATTGTACCTTTTGTATACCCCCTTTAATTAAATCAATCCTTTAGTATCATTGTTGTCAAGAGCGAATAAGTTTTATTAACAGGTACGTTCTTCTACAAAATTATGAAGTAATAGATTGCTATATATTTTAATACCTTAAACTAATGGGGTTACTCACTATAATAAAGAAACAAAAACAGAAGGATAAAGAGATTAGATGTCTTGTTATTGGTTTGGATAATTCTGGTAAGTCTACAGTAGTAAATAGATTACTTCCGGAGGATGAGCGTGAGGAAAAAATCACACCTACCATTGGCTTCCAAATAAAAACTTTCACTATTGATAATAATTTCAATATTAATCTTTGGGATGTTGGTGGTCAGAACACTTTAAGACCATTCTGGGAAAATTATTTTAACAAGACAGATGTATTAATCTGGTGTATAGATATTAGTTTACCTATCCGATTCAATGAATCATTTACTGAATTAAAGAATCTAGTTGTGAAAAATGGCGATAGAATCGGTTATGATTGCCACGTTGTTGTTATTTTGAATAAGATCGACTTATTAGAGGATGAAGATGAAACAACAAATAATTTAATTTCGAATATTGAGAAGCAAATACAAGATAGTTTTAATAGTGAAAATGGAGGTAATGTGCAAAACTCCGTCGATATAATTAATAAAAGAAGAGAAGTTGATTTCGTTCGGTGTAGTGCAATTAGTGGTGAAGGCATTGATACTATCAAGGAAGTGATTGTCTCTCGCATTTCAAGATAATATGTCTTTTGGTTTTTTATTTCTAGTGACCTATAACAGTAAATATCGTTTTTGTTGGCTATATTTACAAAAATGTGAACTCTTCGCCTTTTCATTGTCATGTGAAACTTATATGAGAATAGTTGAACAAGGTCAAAAAATGTAATATAAAAAGATAGCCTAAGATAAGAAATACTGGTCTTATTTTTATTTTTGCTGTACCTGTCATGCTGGCTAATATTTCAAATGCACCGAAATATGTAAGAGATAACCTTATTTTTTTCTTAAACAATATGGATGTTATTGTATTAAAAACTTCCGAAGTAGGTATTATTATATATTTTCTGTGCTTTGGAATCGTTGGATTTACAAGCCTGAGAAATCAGCTGTTGCAAAGTTTGATAATTAAAAAAAAATTAAGGAAGAGAAGGAAACCACTTCTCTCCCATATACGCCAAGAATAGACATTCAAAAAGAGACTTATACGAGATGAAGTGACATAGAGAGAGATTCATATCTAATGATATTTAGGTACTAACTTTGATTAGAATAAGTAACATTATGAGCAGATATAAATTCTTATGCATCATACGCCTACTTTTGTTAATGACTGGTTTAAATTCCTCTTAATTTTAATTCTGGCCAGACATATTTCGAATCCCATGTCACCCACTTTAGAGTGCGTCACTTGATGATAGTAGTTGTTAATTTGGGAAATAAAAATTCTTTGTGCATATTATTTAGTGAAGCTATCTATTGTTTTAATTATAACTCCGATTTACTGATAAAATATTAAAAGCTCTCATTTGTTGAGTGTTTTTGTTTAGAAGGGTCACCTCTAAATGAATGCGAGAAAACGATTGGGTCCTTCACACAATTAAGACATCTTGATATATTATTTTATTTTATAAACCATAACTATGAAAATTGGGTATAACAGGTTATTGCGAAAGTTAAAAGTTCAAACAATGGAAAATAATATCGTTTGAGTTAAATATCGCAGCAATTATGGTATGAACAATTTGTGATAAAGTTTTTGAAAGAAGAGCTTGCTGTTAATGAGGATAACATATACTCAGGTAATGCCAATCGACATACTTTTTTTTAAGATTATATTGTCACCTATGATTAACAATTTTCCTATTTTTAAACTTTAGCCAACCTAAATTAGATGAATAAAGATAAAAATTATTCTACTTTGAAAATTGTAATACTTGGGAGACATTCATTGCTCAATTTTTGAGAAGTTAGCCGCATGACTCTTTCTTAAGCATGAATATTACTGTGACTTCTTAGAAATGAAATACATATACATTTTAAATAATCATTCGATTTACTGAGAAATTGTGTTGTCTTAAAAGAGACTACCGTACCATATATTATTATATCTCAAACAGAACAAATTTGATAACAAATTACCCACAGGGATGATCAGTAACAATTTTCTAGAAACAGAATATGGTATTTATATTCCATGAGATTTGTTTCTCTTGACATACACTTTTTCACCGTATATGAAGCCATCTGATATTTACATGAAATGGTGGTACCGGTGCTAAAACTATGTAACTCTCAATAAAAGTGATGTTTCTATAGATTCCAAAAATACTTGAATTTGCAACCTGAGAAAATCTTATTCACATTCAAAGAAACAGATTATATGAGTACAATTTTTTAGAAAACAACTTCCAAACATTATAATTAGAGAAACTCTTATAATTAATATTACTACGCTTTACAATGCATTTCTTGCTTCAAGAAAACTTACGGACAAAACAATTTTGTTTGGTAACTATATGTCAGAAGAAAACATGAATTTGACAGTGTCACTAATTAAAATCTTGCTAACCAGATTAAGTGAAAGAGTAGTTAACATAGACAATAGCATAATAAAATTGGTAATTCTCGAATGTGACTACCATGCTGTCTAATTCTATTTGACTTCAGTCAGGAGATACTTCACAACACTACCCATATATCTTTATATAATCCAATATACAAGATAGCTATAGTCATATTAGATGTCAACGTATTTATCTATTTCTACCCAATTCTTTTAACTGTTTATTTTATTATTTAATGTCTATCTCTGTCTGTCTGTCTGTCTATCGCTCTCCCTTCGTAATTTTTTGTTTCACGTAGTCAGAGAAAGGAAAAAAACAGGTATTGAGATCAGCGCCTACCAATTTATTATTTTCTTCTACAACAACATAAGCCAGAAAAAAAAAGGGGGAGGTGGTGAGGGGACTTTAACAGAATTGATAACAAAAGGAATTGGAATTAGCCAGTTCTATCATATCATACCCTGAACAAAACTGTTTAGTCGATAAACAGTGCACATTATAAGACAAGCAAATAACAAGTTATCTAAGTATAACTGACTATTGCACATCATATGAATTAAACCCTCGATATAGTTCGCCAACCGTTACTTTCCTTTTACTTCTGTAGCATTAAACATTAGTTAACCCATTAATTTTTTTAGAAAAAGGAATCCAAACATCAAAAGTTAAGACCAGAAGATACACGTTATTTATAAATTGTTTTTTTTGTTATTGCAAACTACATACATCCAGAGTTCACCATTTCTAGTTTTAAAATATTATTTGTACTATGGGTAACGTTCCAACAAAGTTAGATCAAGATGGAAATCCCATCGAAACAGTTTCTAGGCCTGGTTATCCATCAGGCACTACCGGTTCATCTAGTACAGGAACCACAATAAGTACACAGTCAGGTACTGATGGAAGAACGAGGAATAAAAGAGCAACTTCTTTAGTGAGTACATTTTTAAACTCAAGTAATCGATACCGTAGTGAATCTCTTCAAGATGGTACTTACCATTCTCCTCATAAGAGACGTAGTACAAAGGAAAAAGAACAAATGAAGGAGCAACATGCAAGGAATATACTTGTAAAATATGATGAATCTGTAGATGGTGGGTTTATGGCTCCATTTGGATCATATAGTTATGACAAATTAGATTATGATACAACAGTAGTGAAATCATTAATCATTCAAAGAAGATTAGCACCATTTTATACACCTTTACAAGATTTTGACTCATCGTGGTCTAGAGAAGAATTATTGAAAATTGTTGATGGATTACCGTTACATGAATCCTTTGATGAAAATCCAGAAGAATTTGAAGATATACCAATTGGAGATTTAAATAAATCCAATTTTGATTATTTAATCGATAAAAATGCAAGTAAGAAAGAATATCGTAATTTACATTCTAAGATCTTTAGAGCAAGATTATATAGAAAGAGAATTATTTGGCAAGAGACAGAAAATGAATCCTTTTTAGAGACAAAATTAGAAGTTAGAGAGGGTAAAGCACAAAATAGTTATTTACCATGTGATGATTTAAAATATGATTTATATTCAAATGGATCCGAATGTCCTATTTGTTTTCTTTATTTCCCCGAACCTTTAAATTATTCTAAATGTTGTCAACAACCGATTTGTACAGAATGTTTTGTACAAATAAAGAGAGCAGAGCCTCATTTTCCACACGAAGAAGTAGATCCGACTAAACCAATAAAGGATGATAGCGAAAAGGATCCAAACTTATTAACCACAGAACCATCTAATTGTCCATATTGTGCAACTTCTAATTTTGCAATAGTTTATACTCCACCATTGAATCGTAAAGTTGGTATTCAAGGTATACCACCTGCTACTTATACTAGTCAATCGAAAGATTCAGAAACAAAAGAACCAGTACAGAAGGATGAAAAGGAAGTTCCAACAATATCAACACCATCATCTAATAACGTAGTCAGTTCAGATGATATACGTCCTGATTGGGAAACAAAATTAAATAAAGAGAGAATGAGACTAGCTCGAAGATCAGCTAATGCTACAGCTATTCATGTTAGTAATCAATTAATTGACCCTGACTATACAAGTACTAGTAATGATACAACAGTGTCATCTTCAAAAAGATCTACAAATACAACTTCAAGACAGGGAAGTAATACTGCATCAAGAGGTGGTAGACAGAGGTCCAGACAAAGTATGAACGATCTAGAGAATCAAATGATTCAAGAGGCCATAAGGTTAAGCCTTGAAGATGAACAACAGAATAAGTCCTCTAAAACGAAAAAGTGACTAGAAAAAATGAAAACTCCTAAATAAATACAAATGGCCAGTGTGGTCTAATATAAGATCAGTTTTGTTATATATATATATATTCATATATAAAACATTAATAATATTGTCTAGCATAACGCATATATTATTTATTTCAATCTTAATTCTAGATTCTTCGTCACAACCATGGATCATATAGCTGTTTTGTGACAGATTAGAATTGGTTTGAGAAACGAAATCACTATGAATGGTCAGAACCGCTCAACGCGTCAGACATTTTTATTTCCATTTTTGGCGCTTTTTATAATATATATTTTACTTGAACATGTTGCCGTATACAATGACCACGCAAAAAAGTTTACTTTTTTTAACTTTCAAAAATATTTTCAATCTCAGTTGGAAAATTTCATCAAACACAATTTAGAAACAATGTTTCGATACTCACACTTTAAAAATCATGAAATTTTTAGCTTAACATGATATACAGCATTTTAATACACGTTTTTATTTCATATTTTATCATTAAATAATAAAAGGAAACCAAGGAAATAGTCTGCTGTAATATTTTATATTCAATAGCTTAAAGTGATTATCTCTAGAAATAACCAAAGAAGAAGTTAAAGGAAAAAAAAAATGTCTGACAACGTCGAAACTGCTCTATCTTACGCTGCTCTAGTTCTTGCTGACGCTGAAGTTGAAATCTCTTCTGAAAAGCTAGTTACTCTAGTTGAAGCTGCCAACATCCCAATTGAAGGTATCTGGGCTGACATCTTTGCCAAGGCTTTAGAAGGTCAAAACTTAAAGAACCTTTTGGTTAACTTCTCTGCTTCTGCTGCTCCAGCTACTGCTGGCGCTTCTGGCGCTGCTGCTGGTGGTGCCGCTGGTGAAGCTGCTGAAGAAGCTGAAGAAGAAGCTAAGGAAGAATCCGATGATGACATGGGTTTCGGTTTATTCGATTAAAGAAATTAATAATGGAAACATTTACTAAGATTTTTCCATTTAATCTTTCATATCGAGGACCATATTCTAATCATTTCTTATGCATTTAATTAGTATATATACATTATTTACACCATAGCTGACTTAATAATTATTCTAATTTATACATATACAATTTCATTATGGTTGATTCCATTTTGCGGTGCTTCATTGTTTACCATCTCCCTAATATATAACTATATATCCGTATACATATTTCCAATCAAAGATAACTAAACTAGTTAAAAAATGTACGATATTAATATCTTTTCTTATTAAGGATGATTGGGTAGTACTACTACCCTATACACGAGATATGTATATATGATTAAAAACATTAAGTCCAACCGGATAGTAATAACAACCAGTTGAATAAATGTTTATAATTGAAGTGATTTATAAAAGGATATAAAATCTGGGAGTATGATAAAAGTAGAAGAATCTAAAGAGACAGAAAAATTAACATTAGTTAGTTGATCTATTTCTTCTTTTCAGCTTCAGCTTCAGCCTTTTCTCTGGCTCTCTTTTCTCTGATACCCTTGTATCTCTTTTCAGATCTAGCCATTCTTAGAGTTCTGTAAGCAGATTCACCATTGTCTTGGACAGCTCTGGTTTCAGTTTCAACAGTTGGTTGAGCAATTGGGAAAGCGGCAGAAGCAGACAAAACTTGTTCGGTTTCTGGGACCTTACCGTTTCTTGGGAAAACGATGATCTTGGATTGGTATTCCTTTAATCTTTGGACGTTTAGTTCGAACATTTCTTGGTTTCTGTTTTGACGTCTGTGGTCAACAGCAATACCGATAGTTCTGGCATAAGCTGGGGTTAGACCGGCAGCCTTGACTTCACCGAAGGTGAAACCTCTACCAGCTCTGACCTTTCTATTGTACTTGATAGTTGGGGCTCTGACAACTGGTCTTAGTAGGTCCAATGGTCTTGGGGCAATCTTGGCAGCCTTAGCGACTCTGGCGTCTCTTCTAGAAGCCTTCTTACCAGCTTGGTTGAAGTGGACCTTGACACGTTCTTGCCAGTGCTTTCTGAAATGGTTCTTTAGTAATGGTAGGTTCTTGGAGATAGCTGTTCAAAAGTTTGTAAAATTCCTCACGAAAAAAATATAAGGAAACATTTACTTTTATTGTTAGTATATCGTTATTGATTATGTATTTAATACCATACGGCATATATTAGAGTGTTATAGTTTGCTTTGTTTTAAGGATAGTTCTATCCAGTTGATCATTGTATCTACTAATCATAAATCATACTTTCATTCATAAATATTTCTTAAATTACATTAAAAATCTTAATCATTCTTTACATTTATTTTTTTTTGCATATATTTTCTAACATTATTCATCCTCTTTCAGTAAGATAGATTTCCTCTCAAATATGACATATAACAGTGTTTGGTTTGATTCGAATAATATTTTAAACTATGGCCATATTTCATTGGTTTTTCATTTCTTATCCAGCTTTACTTGTTTAATTATATATACCACATTCATCTATAACAACCTTTGAGCTAAATAGCATGTTGTACATACCCATTGTTACTTAATTCTTGAGGTGCTTAATTTTGACAAGTAAATTTAAGTAATAACTTTTTAACAAGCGTTTTATTTAACTATAAGCTTTATCAAGACATCTACTGTTACTATGCTACTATCCATACACTACCACTTGCAAGGAGGTTTAGCAAGAGTCCACAATATTGAACTTGTCTATGTTCACACATACACTACTTACCAAACATACTGCGAAAGCATCGAATATTGAGAAGATCACTTTGACTTGCCATGTCGCAGTAACTATACCCTTTGTGATAATATCTTGTGAGATATCACGAAATGATAAATTTCAATTATTTTTCACTCCGCTTTGCGAGTATTCACTGGCAATCTCGGAAAAACAAAAAAAAACACTAAAATTAAATTTAACAAATTTTTGAATTTAATTTTAAAACTGGATTGAAATGTCTGGGTGCCACATGTCTGGGTGCTAGTCAATAAAATAATAAAGAAAAGTATTTGGACTTCATAAACATCTGTACATCCACAACACCCACACATATTAAATAGCAAAACGATACTATATTTAATATTTTCAGATGAAAAAAGACAGAACTGAAACTACGAATTTGTTTTAGGCTGGCCAGTAGGATTTCCATCAGTAGGCTGGAGACTAACTGGAGTGGGATAGCAAAATGGAGAGAGATGGAAGGATAGCCTCTCTACCTTTCATTAGACCGTCGGTTGGGGAGAAGTTTTCTTATTATCTGTTTCTCCTTTGGCGTGCCATGAAGACTGGTTTCTTCAGTCGAATTCCTCATTAGAACCGTTATGCTCTGATGGGGAGAACCTTTGCTTAGGTAAGATGGAGTGAGTGGAAATTTCATCCTTGTCAGTAACATCGCAACATAGGTGGACCCAAGTAACTGTGTATCGGAGAGATAGTATTATGATCTCATGGTAGGTTCTGAGGTCTACAGTGAGACCAGCGTTAATTATACCAAAATATTATTCGTGAAGCTAGACTGTTAGAGCATAGAAAAGAGCCTTAGTATTAAAAACACTTTTAAATATATATACATATTTCATTTTACTAATTTTTAATTAAACCGATCAACGAATAAAGAAAAGTACAATATGTCTACTGTCCCAAGTGTCCAAGTATGTTGAGATATGAACTCTATTCCGATGTGAAAGTGAATGATAAGATAAACTGTCTGAAATAATATTTGAAGACGTAATGCCATAGTTAGATGATGGTGATGATGATAATAATAATAAAAGGAGTAATGGTCGAGATTCTGAGTGATTGATAATATATCATTAGAAGTTAAGGGATAAGGTGAATACTTAAATAAGTGGAATATCTCTCTTGGAAGATACGAAATGTATCATTCATATGAAATCAAGAACAATAATAGGTACAAACAGTTTGATAAATATAAAATCTGATGCGTTCTTTTGTTAATATCATCAAAGAGAACTAATGGATGACTAATATACAGTACTATACAACTCGTAAAAGAGAATACATGGAATGAAATCTTTATATTTGTAAAAATGTCATAGAGAAAACAGGCTATTATCATATCACTTTATCACAAATATTTAAAATATTCAATGTTCAAATTTACTAACAATTTTATTGTAATCAATCTCCTGTCTTAAACACTATGATGCGAGTACTCATTATGATTACACATATTTTATTATATAGACCTTCGGTAAGAAGAAGTCTGCTACTGCTGTTGCCCACGTTAAGGCCGGTAAGGGTCTAATCAAGGTTAACGGTGCTCCAATCACCCTAGTCCAACCAGAAATCCTAAGATTCAAGGTTTACGAACCATTATTGTTGGTCGGTCTAGACAAGTTCGCCAATGTTGACATCAGAGTTAGAGTCACTGGTGGTGGTCACGTCTCTCAAGTTTACGCTATCAGACAAGCCATTGCTAAGGGTCTAATCGCTTACCACCAAAAGTATGTCGATGAACAATCCAAGAACGAACTAAAGAGAGCTTTCACACTATACGACAGAACTCTATTGATTGCTGACTCCAGAATGCCAGAACCAAAGAAATTCGGTGGTAAAGGTGCTCGTTCCAGATTCCAAAAGTCTTACCGTTAATCTATTTGGAGAGAAACAAAGAAAGTATTCATTTTTTCTTTTTCATTCATTTTTAATTGGTATTTAAATTGTAAATCTTCCTTAGTTTCAATTGAAACAAAGAAAATTCAAAAATTAAGAAATCACAACAACAAACAAAATAAAATTTATAATAATTGTTATGTTTATTTCAAGTATTATTATTACTATGAGATGATTGTAACGATATCACATCATATTTCAAACTATATATAACTTCATATAGATTATATACAGTATATTAAGCTAATATATTATATTACACTATCCGTCAAAGATTCGAAGGTTAATAAAATTATCAATACAATATATAATTATTTTGTTGTTTATGAGAAAAATAATATATTTTGAATAATATTAATATACACACATAAGGAAAAATATAAATTTATTATAATAAAGTCTTTTCTTTGGAAAAGGCAATATAAAATTGTTCGAATATTAAATGCAAACATGGATTAAGATATAAATGAATCTTATTAAAAGATATTCGTAATACCGTTTAACTCTTTAAATGGATGAATCTCTACCGATAAAGTAAACTTTAAACCAATCCATTGCGACTAATAATCTGTTTCTTAAACTGACACACATACCTAAATAAGCTGATTTCCAAAATAAGAAAGTAACAGCACCGGCACCTTTGAATTGGTAACCATTAACAGTAACATCAGCAATGGCTTGTTCATTACCGATATAAGCCAATGTACCATAATGATGATAATGGAACTTATCAATCTTCTTGTACAGCTTGTCGATCTTAGTGTTATTGTTCTTAATCTTATTAGCATCCTTCAAAGATTCATTAGCGAATTTCAATTGATCAATCTTATGTAACTTTTCGAAAACAGTAGCCAAATAATCACCTTCTTGATGAGCTACTTGGGCAGTTGGGAATAGACCTGGATAGAAGGCACAATCACCGATAGCATAAATAGAGCCTTCTGCACCTACTAATTCCATTCTGTCGTTAATCACTAGACCACGTCTTGAGTTTTGTTTTTCAGGACCCAATTGTTGCATCAAATTCTTAGAGACATCTCTTGGAGCATTACCAGTAGCCCAAACTAGGACACCATAAGGGATTTCTTCAATTTGTTGTGTATCTCTATTTTCTGCATAAATAGTAGTAGCATCTACTTTTTTAACTGCAGTTTTTAATTTCAAATCAATACCACCTTTAGTGAAAAGAGCTTGAGAATATTCAATCAAATTTTGAGGGAACATGCTTAAGATATGGGGAGTAGCCTCAACAATAGCAATTTTAATTTCTTTACTTAAAGCAGGCATCCATTTAGATAAATCTTGATCCACATAATCTCTCAATTCAGCGGCAAATTCAGCACCAGTTGGACCACCACCTACAACGACAAAGCTTAACAATCTAGCTCTTTCTGGATCATTTTGTTCCAATAGAGCTGCTTGTTCTATACTATTCATAATTTTCAATCTAATATCTTGAGCATCGGAAATTTCTTTTAAGAAAGAAGAGAATTTATCGACACCCGGAATATTGAAAGTAGTTGGCTGAGCACCAACACCAACGACTAAATAATCGTAAGATAAATCTGTCTCATAATCATTTTCATTGACAGATTTAACATGAACAGTTTTTGCTACATGATCAACCGTTAAAGCATCTGCTTCATAATAAGTGACTTCTGAATTTGATCTTCTAGCAATTGATCTAACAGGTTCAATAATAGATTTCAATTCAACTGTACCCACAGGTGTGGAAGGTAACAAAGGTGTGAAAAGGAAATAGTTTCTTGGAGAAACAACAATAACGTTATATAAAGAAGTATCTAAACTCTTCAAAAGAGAGATAGAACCCCAACCGGAACCTAAAATGACAACAGTCTTTCTCTTTGAACCATTTTCAAAAGTGTCTGACTGTGGAATTTGTTTACTTGGATTATTTTCTTTGTACAGCGCGTATGAGACATACGATATACCTAAGAAAGAACCGATCAAACCATATTTTAAGATTGCACTACCTGCTCTCTTATAAAAAGGTTTTTTAATTAAAACTTTATTTGGATTTGAAGTTTCTAAACGTTTAAAAGATGTTGAAAATAATTTTTTTTGATTTTTCAATAACAAATTTTGTCTAGTAGAAATAAATTTCCCATTATTCAATAAACTTTTCTTAACAATTGAATTCAACATTGTTTATTATGAAGAATAAAGGAATAAATTATAAAAAAAGGGTTAATAGAGTATTAATAAAATAGAAAAATAATTTTTAGCTGTTTTTAAAGGACAAAAAAATAAAGGGGAAGAATATATGATTTAAATCAAAAATTAGTGAATGTTATTAATATATATATATCTATAATCAAATAAAATAAAATAAAGTAAAACAAAATTGTTGTAAAACTATAGAGTATTACTAACAATGTGTAATTAAGTTATACTATATTTTTTAATTAGTTTCTTGATATAGATTCTTGAGTAGTAAAAAAATCGATGACACGAATAAATTATTAATTTAATCTTACAGGTATGTATATATATATAAATATACATACATACATATAAATAAATAAATACAGAATTTAATAATCGAGAGAAAGATAACGGTAAAAGAATCTATATCAAGGAACAATCACCTCCCCCCGCGACCCCGTAAAAAGCAATATATGCATATGTGCTTATATACATTTAAGAAAAACTAAAAAAAAGCAATGCACTGAGGGGTTGAGGATCCAATATAAACTATTACTATTATATAAGATGAAATTTTCTTGGAAACGAATATGTGTAAGTAGGTACAATAGCCTTAACAAATCATTTTAGAAGCCAAACAAAAAGGAGTGAAAGTATTACGAAGTATAAGATAAAATTAATCTACGTTTGTCTTGTTACCATAATAATTCTAATATTTCCCTCTGTTTTTTGCGAAAAATACAGGTGCAGACCAACATATAATCGAAGCGATCGAATTTAAATTAATGAAGAAAACTCAAATACAATTCTGAAGGGGACAATCAAATCCGTTATAATTAAATCTTGCGACATATAACGGAATGAATAGTTTATCCAAAAAATATATATATACATAGACATTTCTTATTTATCTACATACTGTATTGTACTGATTCACAATGCAGTAACAGTTAAACCTGTGAGAAAACTGAGAGACAAAAAAAAAATCACTCGAGAAATCAACTTTTCCACAAATTATATTACGATTTATTAACGTTTCTTGGATTTGTTCAACTCAGCTCAGTTCGTTCGTTTGTTAAACGGATCCATTTCAAGAATGCATATACAGTTGTTATAGTTATTATTATGACAATTAAGCATACTTCACCGTAACATCATCATCATCGTCATCACCATCATCATTATCATTATTATTATTACTTGGATACTCTTGTTACTAAGAAGAACTCCTACAAATGCACGTCAAATAAATGCCCGATATCTTAATCTTCGCTCTAACTTAAGAAAGGAGAGTGTTTGTATAGTATGTCTTGTCTCTAACTTTCTCCGTTTCTCTATCTACTTCCGCTCGCCCTGTGCTGCCCCTTGTTTAAGCTTCTCTCGATCCCTCTCACTTCCACTTAAACTACTTTTACATATCCATTAATACAAAACATAAAGCCCTTACATAATTACTGTCATTCGAAAGAGAGATGCTGGACTCACTACATGTTACTTCTCAAGATGATAGAATTCCATATATTATTGATAATTATTAGTTTATTGTTATAACCAATATATTATTATATTTTCTCTTTCCTTGTACCCCTCCACACCATCCTGCACATTAATATTGTTAAAAAAGGGAATAATTTGCATAATAGGCAAAAAGCCCAAATGAGAATGAATCTCACGAGGTGCAAAAACAAAATTGGAAATTGTTATGAAAGTAGAATCAGATTATTATTGTCATCATTATAACCATCTTAGTATTGTTGGTTTGGGGTGCAATAACTATTGTCGTGCTCTTTCTCCGCAAATTTCTTTCTTTTAATGAAGCCTTTACCTCCGTTCTCTCTGTAGTTCCGACTTTTTCTATTTTCTATCGGAAATAAAAAGAGATTATTGAGAATAAAGGGAGGATGAATGGGCCGATTACACAGAAAGACACGAAGCAGTATGTAATACATAAAATACTTTTCTTTTTGGGGCTAAGAAAATGGAGAACCACCCCGAAATAATATTAAATGGATTTTTAGGACAATTTTAACATATCGTGTACTTGTCATTTCTCTTGACGTTGATTGGTCCACTACCTAATACAATATTATTAGACTTAACCTTGATCTCTTTATTTGTACTCCATTCTCTCATGGTGGATCTTCCATTTCAAAATTAACAACACACTTTAGAACAATGAAGATCGGTTAGTTAACACTAATAGATGAAATTGGTGTGGCGGGGACTAGACTTATTATACTAATGAGATTAGTTGCTATTTGTGTGTATGAATTAGAACGGATTTATTAGATTAAACTGAATGACTGGAAAAATACAATCTCAGTACAACATGTTATACAGACTTCTTGTTTTCTTGATTATATCTCTTACTATCTCTTTGTATAGGAGACAATCTATGAATTACCACTTTATACTACCTTCTTTTTATTTTGGCAGCGACTATATATGATATAAAATAAGATATCTCATCTTAATTGCTTACACCTTGGTTTTTGTTATTTGTTAACGGAATATCGATTGCATATAAGATATCACTGGGAGGGTCTTAGTTACCAAGCCGTATACAGTGACTCTTTTTCTTTTCTAGTGCCCATGGCAACCGATTCACCGACCTCGAACGTTTTTCTTTTTTTGTTTCCTTCTTGACGCACACTCTTTCATTTACACGGCGAAATGAAATGAATTTGAAGTAAATTAGATTCTGTCAAATTAGTAGGTATACTTACATGATTAGTTTATGATGGTGTCTTAAGTTTAAAAAATAGTCAATATAATAACAAATTGTATACATTATCAAAAAAAAAAATAGAGTAAAAAAAAAAAAATGGCCAGAGGTAATCAAAGAGATTTAGCTAGAGCTAAGAACTTAAAGAAGCAACAAGATACTGCTAAAGGTAGTAAGAAGCAAGGTGATCCAAAGAAAAGAATGGAATCTGACGCTGATATCTTAAGACAAAAACAAGCTGCTGCTAATGAAAGAAAAGCTGCAGAAGAATTGGAAAGATTAAAACAAGCTAAAGCTAAACGATAATTAAATAAATTATAAGATTTAAATCTTTTTATAAATATATACTTTCTAACGAATATTAAGAAATGAATATGCAGACTTTTTTTTTCAAAAAATTTACCGTCAATTTATTGATGTACACATACTTTTATGTATATCTTATATTTTAACAATCTTATATACTTTATCTAATGAATTAAGGGCCAATACTAAAAAATACGAAGTTCATTATTTCGTATACAATAGTATTATAGTTATTATTATTATTAATGTTTTTTCTTTTATTTTATTTAATTGCTTATTATATGTTCAATGATTATTTTATATTAAAAAAATATTTATCCTTTGTTTTAATTAGCTATTTCCATATGTTCTTTAGCTTCAGCTGCTAATTCAACATCATATTTGAAGTCAAAGTAAGATTTTTCAAAATGATGTAGACGCACAAGACCATCTTCACCACCAGATGTATAAGAAGTACCAGTTGGTGCTACAGCAACACAATTTAATGGACCGAAATGACCTTTAACTCTACCGATTTCATCTTCAAATACTTTATGATAGAATCTAGCTTCAAACTTACCTTCACTAGCACCAGTAGTAGTAACATCCTTAGCAGCTTGACCACCACCTAATATGACAAACTCTTTCAATGGGGTAATAGTAGAACAATTCAATGGACAATCAGATTCGTAAGTCTTTAAAACCTTTAAAGTGGCACAATCCACTAAATGAGCCTTAGAGTCTCTTGATGCAGTAATGAAATAAGTTTTATCTGGAGAAAATTGCATATCGGAAATGTTAGATTCATGTAACTCGATGGCATCAACAAATTTGAAAACATTCTTTGGAATATCAATTTCATATTTACTAACTTTACCATCTTTATGACCTGCAAAAATATTCTTGCCACCGATGGACCAACCAGCAACACTGACGGCATCTAGTCCCTCTACGGTTTCCAATGTAAATAATGGTTCCTCTACGAACTCAACAGGTTCATGTGTAGTTTCATCTCTTTTAATTTGGTAAATGTTAATAGAACCTGCATATTTCATTACGTTATCTAGAACAGCCAATACATAGTTCCCGCATGGAGAAAATTGTACATTCTTAACTGGCACCAAAGATTTCCAAGTATAAATATCTTTACCAGTAGCAATATCCCAAACTTTAATACTATAATCAGCAGAACCTGTAACACAGTTTTTAGAGAAAGAGTCGACGTCGATGGACCAAATTGTACCCATGTGACCGTCTAGAGTTCCTAGTCTCTCACCATTGGCAGAGAACCAGACACTAGCGGAGTTATCCTTGGAACATGTAAAGATTAAATCACCATCATTATTATATTTAACTTGGGTTAATGGACGTTCGTGTCCTCTTAAAACAATAGGTCTCATAATGGATAATATATATATATATTGTATGCAAAATATAGAGTTGTTCTTCTATCTCTGATAATATGTATATTAAAATGGAGGAATAAAACAAACAGTTAATATGTATAATACATATATCTATATCTATTATATCTACTACACCTTTAACTAAATGTGGATGAATTGTTCATCACCACTTACAAAGGTAATACGAAACATTACGGGAAATCATTGAAAATTTTTCGTTCACTTTAATTTTTCGATATTGTTTTTTTTTTCGCCTCTCAAATATTTATTTAGTGACATAAATAGAACGTCGTGTTGAATGATGTTACACGTGACTCATTATTATTAACTACAACACCACTCTTATTCCTTTATAGCAAAATGAAATGAGAATGGTAATCTATGTGATAACGCCACTAAACAATCTATAATTGTGAGGATGATTATAAGTTTTCCTATTACACTCTAGCTAATTCAGTCCCTCACGTTTTTAAATCAAATACAGGATGTTACGAATGGTTCATATATATACTAGATCAAACAAAAATAACATGCTAATACTCACATATATACATAATCAATAAGTAATAATGTTATGGGTCGACCTTGTTTTCTGGTAAATATATATACTGAGTTGTCACTATGGACGTGTGCAAATAGAAAACGAGAGCCGTATCTCCCGAAACAAATTCCGCCAAAATGTGAACGATGGGGGAACTGCGCGGCTAATTCCAGAAGCTGCGGGTGCACGTACTAATACAACCAGGTGTATTATATGAATAGAATATATAACACAATTTTCCCATTTCTTCTTCACTGTCTATTGCTCTTTGCTTGGTTACAGCGGAGATATTAATATGTGGTGGGGGTGACAGTCAGGGAATTATTTAGACACTATATGTTTCTATATATAACTAGGTATATACAAAAAAGTGGGGTAAATATGTATGGCCATGAATATTTATGTGCATATAACATACATACATAGGTATATATATATATATATAGCCATACAATAACTAGTTACAAAAATGTGTGGCTTATTAGTTGAAAATGACGATGATGAAGGAATAATTAATTAAATTATTTAGTTATTAAGGGAGATGATAAAGAGGGGAAATATACGCGCACAATAAATAAATTTATAAGTCATTTGAAATTTATTAATTTATTTTCTCTTTTCATATTGAATGATAAAAAGGTCTAATTTCTCACCCCTTTCTTTAATCTTATTTTCTTTAGTATAATTAACAATTGTAATAATTTTAACCAATATATATATACAGACATACATACTAGTATTATATAAAATAGGGAAAGGGAAAGGGAACCAAGAAAATCTGTAATAATTTGCCCTTTTTATTCTGTTTGTTTGGGGGAGATATTCTACTAGTGAACGAAACTAAAAACATATTACATATACGTATATATATTTATATGAAAGAAGAAAATATCAGTTAAATGAATATGACGGCGTTATTAAATGAACCAAATGTTCATGAAAGAAGATCCAAGACATTTTCAGATTTAAAGAAAAATTCAAAGGATAAAGATATTTCAAATGTAAAATTTTATTCTTTTATCCCTTTTAAAGATAATATTAATATTAATAATAATAATAATAAGATGATTTCAAATATAAATTCAAAAGAATCTCTGGATATTACTTTTACTTCAAAGAAAAAAAATTATGAAAATCATTTTAATAGTATAGATAAAACTAATTCGAATTTAATTTCAATGAAAGAACATGACAATGAAAAGGAAAATTTTAATGATTTTAAAAAAACAATTATTGAAAATGCTAAAACTTTAGATACAATCGATGAATCATCAGATGATAAAATAAGTGTATTAATGGATTCATGTAGAACTATTGATTTAACTAAAGATGAAGCTGATACAATAATGTTAAATCTTGTACTTAATAATGAAAATACATTATATAAAAAAAAGAATAAACTTCAAAATAATAATAACGATGATGTTGATGATTTAATTACAATTGGTGACAAGTCAGTTACAACTGGGAATAAAATATTTCCATTCAATTCAACTTTACAAAAATATTGGTTTACAATATTTGTTAAAACAGGGTTTATATTAGACAAAATGGAATTAATTATTTATGAAAACTTTTGGTTTACATTATTATATTTAAATTTTTGGTTTCCAAAATTTACTGGATTCTTAAGGTATGTTTATAGTCTTTTTTTTTTCAAAACACACACACATTTTAGTTTATCCTTTTCTCTTACTAACTTATTGAATTTTTAATTTTTATTATTTTGTTTTGAATTATATGTTTGTTTTGTAAAATATACAAAAGGTTCCAGTTTTTAATGTGATTTTAGTTTCTTTCAACCCTTTTTTTATTTATCTCGAACATGTCTAATGTATTATAGTTAGTGTTAAAAGGTGTTACTTCTCCATATACGTTTTAGTTACTGTTTTATTGGAAGTGCCTTTTTTCCACCTCGTTTTTGTTTTGTTTTTTGGGTTACAATGGCGGCTAATCGAAAAAACAAAAAACAAGACAAACTACTGTAATATTATTATTTTCATGCCACCTGATAATTACACAAGTAGAAAAGGATTTTAATTTAAACCGTTGAACGTTATCACAAATTGAACAAAAACTAGAACTGATTCTATATTATCAAAATTTATTGTAATTGAAACATCTAATCCTCGAATTCTTATTCTTTCTTTCAATATAGTGCTGAAATTATTGGCAGAGAAGATTTTGATTTTAATAATCCAATTCCACCAAAAACTTTTTCTTTAAGTTATCTTATTAAACAACAGTTACAACAATTAAGAAAATTATTAAAGTTAAATTTTTTAAGAGTTCAAATTAGATATAGAAGAAGTCCATATAGTACATTATTTTATTCAAGTCTAACTGTTGCTACAATACTTCCTGTAAGTCTATTTTTTATGACATTATTTGCAATGGGGACTAGTTATTTTTTCATTTATATGTCCTTTTTCATTACTTTTGGATTTATTTCTTCTTTCCTAATAATTCCATTATTATCAACTTCATTTATTTTTGCCATCGGTGTGGTAATATTTGGATTTATTAGTAATATTACCTTCAAGAGTGGTCAATTTATATATTATAAAGCTGATAAAAAATTAAAGAATTACTTAGAACTGATGGCATATAATTTACAGAAAAAACCATCAACTGTAGTGACACCAAATGAAATTCCTATTGATAATACACATAATATTTTGATAAATAATAGTAATTCAGGTGATAATAGTAGTATTGATGAACCAATCATTTCAATAATAGAAGAAGAGTAATAACGAATGATCACTTTTTCTATCATTGAGGATCACATATATACTGACATATATTATAGAGATCAAATTATGAAAGGAGTCCCGCAAAATTATTTTTTTTAAGAAGAAGAAACAAAATGAATGGGTGAATATTTAGATAATATATATTACCTGTTGACGTTATTTCCCTTTTTATCCTTTATTTCTCCCTCTTCTTCGTTTTGCTAAATATGTTTTATTTCAGATTACATTGCATTATTTCAATTTAACGCACACAAAATAAAGAGTGCTCTGCTTTCCCTTTCGGACATTACTATTACCGCGAAATACAAATAAATCTATAAATTTGAACTCAGAAAAAACACAACACAATTTCAAAAAAATTCCACGATGATGAAGGGCAAAGCAGACAGAGTACACCAAAATATTCTAATTGTTAACGTGTCACTTTTATCTTTTTTTTCACTTTTTGGGTTTTTGCTTCAAATATTCTCTGCCCTGTGTAAGAAAGTACACGTTAGTAATAAATGATGAAATAAATGTTGACTATGTATATATATATGTTCTTTAATTATATATATATATTTGTATATTCGTATTTTCCGTGTATATTGCTTATAAGAATTGATTTTAACAGTTTAAGAGATAATCATACAAAGTATCATAAATATTTCACCTAGTGCACTATTAAAAACACCTATTCGTCTACGTTTAAGTATTTATTTCATTAGTACCCTTTTCTAAGATCTATATTTGTTCATTTGAAATATTCAACTGCCCTGACTCTCATAATACATTAACTAAGAGACAAATTAAAAAAATGAAGTTATTAAAAGCTATCACTGTATTAACTACAGCCATCGGTTGTGCATCTGCATTCATAATTAAGGATGCCAAGATTTCCTTCAAGGATGAAACAAGAGAGGCCATTGAACTTGGTCAATTGGATGAAACTTTCATGAAAGCTGAATCTGCTCCATTATTAATTAAAGATCTTGATGAAGTGGTTAGTTTCAAATTCAAATTAGATTTATCCAAATCTAAATCTAAGGAAATCCCACAACAATTGTCTTTATTAGTCGGTATTGCTGATAAAGCTTTAGAGGTCCCAATTGTCGCTAAAGTAAAGGATTCTTCAAAGAACAACAAAGTGAAACTTGTCAGTTTCAAAGTAGATCTACAAGCATTACCAAAATCCGTACTACATTATGCTTTTGTTAATGATAATGAACAAATTACCGCTTCTTTGATTGTCGCTAACGATAAGAAACAATTAGCTAGAAAGGAAACTAATTTATATTTCCCAGTCTTCCATTTACAATTCACTGACTCTGCTAAAGAAACTATTGTCGATACTTTTGAAGAACCTTTAAGATACGGTAAACAAGTAGAATTAGCTCACACTTTCCCAAATCCACCAAAGACTGCCGACCCAACTCTATCTTTACTATTTGCTGGTGCCGTTACCATGGTTAACATGTTCTTATATATGTACTGGATTAATTTCAATGCTATTTCTTTTGAAAACTTCCCATCCGGTAAAGATTTCATCCCATTCATTGGCTTTTTCGGTTCCATAATTGGTTGTGAAATTGTCTTCGCTCTATATTACTTAGGTACAGGAATCTTTGAAACTGTCAATTGTTTAGCCATTGTTGCACCAGTAGGGTTAATATTAGGTTCTAAGTTCTTAAGAAGTTACAATCAAAAGATTTAAACAACGATAACACGTATTTATATATACACACATAAAAACAAAATAAACATAAGAAAAGAATAATAGTAATTTTTTATACATTAATATAATTATTTATAATACGTCTATAGCCAAAAAAATTACCATTATCATACAACGGCTTATTGAAATCATTAGCTGCAACTACTTTCCCCACAACGAGTCCCAAGGGAACTACGCTATAACTTCTTGAATCTAAAGAATATGATAAATTATCACCGGTGACCCAAACATGACCACGCGGTACTCTAATGAAACAGTTTTCAAAATCATTATCATAACTTGGATCTACTTGTATTAGATCACCTGGTAGACCCGTTATCCTTTTACAGACTCTCTGTGATGAATCATGGGGTTTCATTAATACCACACAATCCCCAATCTGTAAACCCCGAGGGAGACCCACTGTATGTACTAATTTACGATGTTTCAAAACATGAACAAAATCATTCTGTGGTGCTAGTGTCGGCAGCATTGATTCTCCACGAGTCTGTGTGAATTCATATAGATGGACATGAACTTGATGTAATAAACAAAAACATTTTAAAAGTGTACTTGTATGTTGTATGATTTTCCCTCCAGTTATCATTGCAATGGTTAGCTGACAATTACAGAATATTCTTCAATATATGTACACGTATAATAGAAAACTTACAACAACAATTATCAACAAACCTCTAGATGATGCAAGTGAATAATTTCAACACTTGAAGGTAGTCATAATATTTAACATTGTATTAGATATACCAACCTAATCCGTACCCAGTGATGTTGTAGTCCATTTTTTTTTAGAATAAAATAAGATAATAATAAGGACAAATGATTCAGTTAAGTAAATAAAAATTTGAAATATGCTGTACTTGACCTTATTCAATTATTTCAAAATCTGATATTCCATTACAAATGTTGCAACATTCTTGAAACTGGCAATAGCCATTTGGGAATGGGCTCCCGTCCAGTCTCATTCTCATATATAAATCAATATCTCCCTCATCCTGTAAATATTAAATGTCCTTCTTAATATGACCACCACTACATTTATATAACTATTCCAGTTGAAATATAATTAATACACTTTTAGGATATAACTTACAATAATTACATTTTTTGTTAGGTTAGAGTTTTCTATATCTGTAAGGTATATTTTCACTGCATAAACTCTGAAGTTTAATATCGACATACAAATGTTTAGTGAGTGCAATGGGAAACCAATTAGTGGACGGAATTTTTATTGAGTTCTTTTATCATAAAATTTGCTAGTATCAATATATAGTCCTTGCTGGTTTCTTATAATAAGTGGGAGGATGTGTTTTCTATAACATTACATACTGGAAGAGAGGTAACTACTCATATTTTTCAACATTTCCCCTCATATATTACCTTTCTTTATAATCTGGGGTTGGGTGTAGTTTGACTCATCATTTCCAATCATTTGTTTGATTTAATTACATAGTTCATACGCTCCTTCCTTAAGACCTTACTTTAAGTATTAATACTTTAATGAGATGATATATGAAATATTGAAAGTTCTTTAAATGTTTCGTCTTATTATCTTGTATTTGGCATAATTATTATCTATCTACTCATATCTTGATAATTATTTTGTTTATAAAATTACGTCATTACCGGACTGTTGACGGTTCACATATCGCCAAGTCATAATTTGCATCAATTTACTTCAAGGCTGGAAAAAACAACTGTCCCTTATTTCTTAAAAGTATATACCTATGACTGATAAAGATAAAAAAATTAACATTCCTGTTTTTTTAACATATTTAGGGTGATTTAATGAGATATGAATCAACCATATATACAGAAAGTACAAAAGGGTCTTGCATTTCATTTTATTCTAATTAGTATTTTCCTTCCTTTTTTACGTTTCATAAATTTCTTAGATAAATACTTCTTAAACTAATAATCTATCCTTCTCTCTGTATAATTTTGTTAATAAAATAGATTAGCAATGAATAATTTTCAAAAGAATGACAGTAGAATGCTTAGAGGAACAAATTTCTAATCAAAACTTTTTGTTAGTTTCAAGTAGAAGTGAAATATATCTAAAAATAATTGAAGATCTAATGACGAAGTACAAAAATATTATTTGAAAAGATAAATGAGAGAGTGTAAGTCTGATTACGAATGTTGTTCGAACTATAAACTTATCCTTCAACATACTCCACAAAAGAATTGTTCTCACTCCGATGATGTTAATGACAGATCAAGATATCTGGAAGAAACACCACCGCAAGACAGGGTTCCTCAAAGATGTGATTGTGAAATTGAAAACGCTTGTAAAGAAGACACAATTGAAAACACTCCCATCCAGATCGCAACCATTGACGATGACAATCATATCTTTATATCTTTGTTTAGAAGCCCAAGGAACCTAAAAGAAGCAAAAAATGTATTATTATATAATATCAGTTATCGCTCCGAGGAAGCGAGAAAATACGATAAATATTTCAGAAGAAAATACAGTAAAACACACGTAGTAATCATAACACAACTAGCGACAAAACAAAAAAAGGGTTGCTCAAATTATTATGTAATCATAATAGTAATAAGAGTAATAGAGAGAAAGATTTACTATTGCATTACTATTGTATCTCTTTGTGTATGCGATGGATGGATGGATAGAGTGAAAATTTTCATTTGCAGAACTAATAGAATAAGGGATATATATTATATATATAAATATAAAGGGAGGAACATATAGCATTTAAAAAGTGGAATAATAATTAATAGTGTGTATTTATCAATTTACTTATTATAATATATAGAAGGGTATCACTCATATAACGATTTATTTATTTTGAAGAACTATTATGTCTACTGTTACACAAAAATCAATCACTTACGTTAATAATACTACGGCTCCAACCATTACCACCAAGGAAATCGATTTGGATACTTGTTATAATGACAATGAAATTGTCATTAAAGTTCATGCTGCTTCAATTAACCCAGTAGATGGGTTGACTTATTCTGCTTGCAATTATTTTGTAGGTGGTAGTTCTTTAAAGACATTTGGTAGAGATTTTGCCGGTGTAATTGTTAGACGTGGTAAAGATGTTAATATTAAATGGCAATTAAATAAGAAAGTTAATGGACAATTTAAACATGTATGGGGTGAAAAGGGTTCTTTCACCAACTATTTCGTTTGTAACCCTGAAGAAGTTAGATCAATTAATACTTTTGAAACAAGGGATGACGACAAATCTTCAAAGAAATATAATGATTTTATTATAAATGGTGCGTGGCCTTTAGTTTTCGGTACAGGTTATTCTGCTTTACATGAAAAGGGACAAGTTTGGACTCCAGAATCAAAAATCCTGGTCATTGGTGCTTCGACTTCTGTTGCTTTAGCTTGTGTTAACATTGCTAAAAAGATCTTAAATATTGGTACTGTCGTGGGTATTTGCAATTCAAAGGCAATTGAACATAATAAAGAAAGAGGATTCGATCATTTGATTGCTTATAATGATCCTGAACATTCTACTGTTGAATCTATTCAATCTTTAATTAAAAACGAATTGGGAGGTGAAAAATTCGATTTAATCTTTGATGCTGTTGGTAGTAGTGAATTCTTCCCTGTAATGGATACTGTATTAAAACCAAAATCTACCAATTCTCAATATATTACTATTGCTGGTGATGCTGTAATGGATTTTACTAATAAATCAATGCTCGGTAACTTCCAATTGGGTCCAATTAAAAGAAAATTAAATCCATTTAAAAAATTCAATTATGATTTTACAATGCTAGATAATTTATTTACTTATATGGAATTAGGTGCTACTATGATTGCTGATGGAACTTATTCACCTGAAATTGATTCTGTTTACAAATTTGATGATTTCAAAATTGCCTTTGATAGAGTGGATACTCATTTGGCTAAAGGTAAAGTTGTCCTAGACATGTCTGACATTTAAACCACAATATAAGGATAATTAATTCTAAACCTTATAATGTATTATAATATTAATCTATCAATCTTACTTGTATTTTTATATATATAACTCTAACTATCTACTCAGTTAATATAAAATTACCACGACGATGTTTACGAATGTTACCCTGAGATCGTAGCATTTTTTTTTTTCATTTCTATTTGTTTTCGCATTAGGAAAGAAGCTGGAAAAAAAGAGAGAGAAAGATAGAGAAAGATAGAAAAAAAAATTGACCCAAATCAATGAATAAATTAAATAAACACATCGTTACTTTTTAGCATTTTGTTATTCATACTAAACAAAACAAAAAGGACTATATATCGATTGCGTTCCAACTCACACTTACTTACTCTTTCTACCACTTGATTGCTTACATTAAAATATACTACACCAACCATGAACAACAATCGTTTTGCTAATGTTGCTGTGCTCTCACAACAGCAGAATGGACAAAACTTGACACAGACAATGCAACAGCACACTTCAACACCAATGAGCAACGGTTCAACCACGACAAACTCTACAACAACACATAACCAAGCGGTGTCCGGAACTTTACAGCCTCAATCTGTCGGTACATTGGGCCAATTCAGTTCTGGATTACAAAATTCACAACAGTTTCAAGGGTTACAATCAGTATCAAATACAGGAACTAATTCTCAAAAGGATCCATCTTGGTTCAATAACCCAACAAAGAGGGCTATTCCACAAAATATTGTGAAACGTACAATGAGACCACAGTCTGATTCTGGTGAAATTACACATTCTCAATCATCTACTGCATTATCTAGTAGGTCAGGATTTGACACAATGTCATTTGGATCAAGAAAGAATAAAACTATTTTTAGTAGTTCAAATCTACAATCATTAAATACTGATAATATTCTTGGTGATTCTAATGACGCACCTCCATCTGTTTCTATTCATGATTGGCAAAGTGAGGATCAGTTCAGTGGCTCAATGAATCTTGGTGTCAATGGACCAACTCAATTTGAAAATCAAAGTATGTTGATGAGTCAGATGGCAACTCCTCGTAATGACAATTCTAAACAAATACCGAATTTGTTTAAAAGCTCAAATGCTTTTGATAAAACACCACAATCCAATATATTTAATAAAAATAAAATAACAGTTACAAATGGTAATGAAAGATCTAATGAAATCACTGCATCATCGTCCATATTAAATGGAAATAAATCAAACGGTTCCAAACTATTCGATTTTTTTGGCACGTCAAATAATAAAGGTAAAAGTAATACACCAGAATCTTTGTCGATTACGGCTACTGCATCCAGTCAACAACAGCATTCACAGCCACAACAAGAAACTGCTATAATTGTGTTTGGTTATCCTGAATCTATCTCCAACTTAATTATAACACATTTTTCTCATTTTGGTTCTATTTTGGAGGATTTCCAAGTTCTAAGGAGCGCATCAGGTATTAATGTATCTACTTTAAAAAATAAGAATCAAAACATTACAAATAACAATGAAGATAGAAAATATCCAATATTTACTGGAGAAGGGTGGGTCAAAATTACTTATGATTCACGTCAATCAGCTGTTCGTGCTCTGCAAGAAAATGGGTCTGTATTTACAGGAACTCTAATTGGTTGCGTACCATATAGTAAAAATGCAGTAGAGAAACTTGCATCTTGCAAAATTGATAAGCATGATAATATTGGTGAGAATGACATAGCTGTAAGTGGAACTGTCTCACCTTTACAAGTCTTAGACACTGATGATAATACATACGGAGTTGAAAATAAAAAATTTACTTCATTATCTTCTAATGAAAACCAATCTACAAACAAGAATCTATCCCAAAATAATGAGAGCAATCAAATAATGCCCCAAAATGTCTTCCTTCCAAATCATAAACTAACAATCAATGATGGTAAATCTCTTTTTGTTCATAACACAGATACAAATAACCGTAATTTCTTACAAGATTTAGAAAACAAAATGCGTAAACAGGAAACTCCTATAAACACAGGTAGCAACACGCAAACTAACGGTGTTTTACACTCTGTCAATAATTGGTTGTTTGGTTGGAATAACCTGTAGAAAATAAGTATAACAGTGAAAAATGAATAATCAATATAATAAATGCATTCCATCTCTCTACTGCCATTACCACGATCGTATAAACTATATAATATTAACTTAAAAAGAAACCTATTAGGTCTGTAATTTCTAAATATTATAAGTTTTTTTTATCTTCTTCGACTATGGATATTTTCCATTTAGAGCCTATAAAAACTTCATATGCTAATTTTCTGTTAGTTGCCTCTTCTAATTCTATCAGTATAACAACAGAATCACAATCTGACTTGATTCCGACATTTGGAATGACAAAGGTTCCCTTATAAAAGTTCGCGTTATTATAAAGACATTCATGGGATTCTCCATCGAAAATGTTACATCTCAAGGCTTTTCCGTTTTCTTCTATAGGTTTCATTCTAATAAATAATTCATTGGTACGATTTGTATTCGTCATAAATATTTTATAACGTTTCTTAAGGGGTTCGAAGGATATGTCAGCCTTGTTATGATAAGCTAGCCCACCATACTCAGTATAAATTCTTTGAATATCGATATGCAGTGGATCATTACTTTGTTCACGGTTTCCTTTGATATGCATCAATATGGTATAGTTGGAATTTAATATGAGTTGCTTGTATCTTGAAAATATTAATTTGTACTTGTTATTTGTTATTAGGGGAATATCCAGTTTTGTGCATGTATTATTAGAATATTCAGACATTGGTAATAGAGGATTTAATAAATTTTCATCATTTATATTGAATATTTGAACATTCAAAAGATCATCCAAATATAGAGAGTGTAATTGAACGTCACATATAATTTCTTCATTATTATCAGATTTAACCTCCAAAGAGAATGTTGGGTTTAAGTAGAAATTTTTACCACCAATTAAGTAATCGGTAGGTTGGGTAACTTCTCTATGTAAATCATCTGATCTGTCCCAAGTAAATTCAGAATTCTGTAAGAAAGATTGGATTTTTGGTTTAGTAAGTTGAAGATCAGAAGATATACAATATGAATGGAGAGTAAAAGGTGTGGTATTTTTGGAATACACAAAAAAATTCCTAAATGACCTATTGGGCACATCAATCTTCAGTAGCTGTAGTCCTATATCGACTACAGATCCACTGGGTGGAAATGGTTTCGATAATATACTAGAGGAAGGAATTCTTTGAATATAAGCTATGTTATTCTTATTATTCTTATCAATATGAGTTTCGAGAAATAACCACACAATTTGGGGGCTGGAGGAATTATTAATCAATTTAAAAATTGGCTTACCATATATGCTATCTAATCTGTTTGATTCAACACTGTCGTATCTGAACGTAATCCGTTCCTCACATTTGAATAATTTTGAATGATCCCAATTTATATATAATTGATAAAATGAATTTTTAAAAGATTCATTAAATTCGAATTTCAAATTCAATGTGGAATCCAACGGGTCCTGGAGTATAACTTGTTTTGTATTTTTTTGAGTTTCAGTAATTACATAATCGTGAAATGGTAATAGGTAGTTATTTAAAGGATCAGCTTTATTAATATCAGATGTACCAATCGCCATTAAACATATATCACTCTCAAAATATTTTGAGAACTGTTCAAAAGAAATATTTTTTAACTGGATTATGTCAGGGATAAACCCGGTCATTAGGTATGTGTCAATAACTACATTAGAGCCTTGTGTATCATATGATCCAGATTGAATATCTAGGCATGCAATTTCCATAATTTTATCATTAATTAGGTTACTTTTCAGTGATAGTTGTTCTCCATCAGTATCCGTTGGTATCCGTGAACTATCTACAAAGGCCAATCTTTTATTTGATCCATTAAAATTCAATTGAATTTGATATAAATTGTTGGATATTTTTTTAATCCTAGGTATTTGGAGTGATGCCTTTCTTATATTAATAATTGACGCTACAAGTGAGCAATCACCAATATCTGGACTTTGCTCTATCAAAATTTTGTGATTTATCGTAGAAAGTTCCTTATTTGCAAAGGATATTATGTCTTTTAGAGGAGTCCCAGTTGGATATTTCTCTTCCAAATCTTTGCACCCTCCAAGTTTTAAAATGTTTGAATCGGTATTATTCCATGGAGTACTCGTGGCATTATCTATGCATAAGGGAGGATAAAATTTATCATGAACAGAAGACATTAGCCATTCGATCCTTTCAGTATCCGTAACATTCTTGATTTGATCATTTAACCATATGATATGTTTAAGTAAAATAGGATCATTAGATTGTTTTGTTTCTCGAAGCAGAGTAAGTAATTGTTGATTCATTTTAGAGCGCCTTCCAATATAAGCTTCTTTCAGAATATTGTTAATTTCATGTTCATATTCCATGATTTTTTTATACGTGATTCTATTTCGATATATCAATTATCTAACTCGAAGTCATAATACTTATACTTATGAAGTGTGTATTTTATATTATGACTATTTGTGGTAAGATAACTTGCTCGTAGTCATCTTAAGTTTTAACCATTATTCTTTTTCCCATTTATTTTTTACAATTAGTTAGATGGATGAAATATTGCTGGCTTCCTATTTTTAACATGAAAATAACGCGACTTAAAAACCCTTTAAAGTTAGAGCTTTGTCTCTGATAAATATTGCATTGATAACCTTATCAAGAATGAGCATTAATAATATATAAACAGTTTTCTAGTACCTTTTAATTATACAATAAACAATCTGCATCAAAATCTTTCTGTCATCTATAATAATCAATTCTATATTCGAACTTCAGTAGAAGGATTTATTATGCCTAATATGAATGAGACCAAAAAGGCCCTATTGAAGTCATTTATTGGAAGCAATATAGTTGCATTAGGTGCCGGCACACCATATATATATTCATATTATGCCCCAAGACTATTAGAGAGATGTAATATTCCAATATCGAAAAGTAGTTCCATATCGTTTTCACTTAATATTGGTAGTTCGTTGTTAGCAATATTCGCCGGCATGGTCATTGACTACAACCCTGCAATATCATGCCTAATTGGCGGAATCATGACGTTTATAGCATATGGTATTTTACATATATGCCATGAGAAGGCTTTGTCTAACCCATATATAATCTGTTTTGCTCTAGTTTTGGTAGGGTTTGGATCAATATCTGGGTTCTTTGCAGGTGTAAAAGTATGCACCGCAAATTTCCCTAGGAACAGAGGTACAGCTACTGCATGTCCAATTTCATTATATGCCTTATCTGGTATGATATTTTCCACAATTTGTGCAAAACGGTTTGGTGATGATATGCTTGGTGTCTTTAGATTTCTCCAAATCACATGTACGGTCATGATATTAGTTGGCACTTTTACTTTAAAGATTGTAGCGGTTTCACTTGAAGATGAAGAGCCAAAGGATAACTTAAATGAAGACGTTGAACGTGATAATTATAACTTCAACAATATATATGCTGGAGGAGTACCTTTGGAGAGTAGCATTTCTGTAGATCAAATCACAGAAGGGGAAAGAATTAAAACAAATTATACAAATGAGCACTCACGCTCGAAAAGTGATATGATTTATAACAACAAACACTCATTGGTTGAAATGTCAAATGATATGTTTGAGGATTCAAGAATTAATGTCACAACTTTTATTTCCAATCATGAAGAAGATTCTAATAACAATATCATTTCACAGCGTAATTCACTCACTGTAGAACACAGAGGAACCGATTTGCAAAGTGAAACAAGCAATACCACTCCATTCAGGGGTAATACCCCACTTGAGGAACATGAAGAGGAGGAACCAACTTCAGTAAGAAATATCTCGACCAATTTACTATTAAATTTACAGAATAACAAAGTTGTTCAGACAATAATAGATCCAAAGTATTTAGTCTATTATGCAATTTTAGCCATTCAAATGGGTATTGGACAAATGTATATCTATTCTGTCGGGTTTCTGGTACAAGTTCAGGTCAATACTCCACCAATCTCGGACTATAATTTGGATACAGCCAAGTTACAGGCCTTCCAAATATCTATGTTTGCGATCTTCTCATTCTGTGGAAGATTAACTTCTGGTCCAGTCTCAGATATTTTAGTTCGAAAATTTAAATGTCAGAGATTATGGAATATTTTCCTTGCAAGTTTTTTAGTATTGTTAGCATCACACTTTATTACATACAGCTATAAAGTTGATGAATATGAATCACGAAAAAATGACAGTATCCCATCGATTAAAAATATTTCTATTTGTACTACTGCATTCGGATATGCATTCGGAATAATTTTTGGGACATTCCCATCAATTATAGCCGATACATTTGGTACTGATAGTTTCAGTACTATTTGGAGTATCTGTACTACAGGTGGTGTATTTACAGTTAAATTTTTCACTAGTATCTTAGCTCACGATCTTTCATCAAACTCTAACAGAGATGAAACTGTGTGTAAATTAGGCACTACATGTTATCAACACACTTTCAACACGATCTTCGACATATGTCTAGTAGGCATTACGTTAACTGGAATGATGATATTTGGGTCATACTGGGAAAATCAGAAGAAAATCTCAAATCAAAGCCCAGATGGCACTGAAACTATACAGTTACAATTGGAACAATGTCATGCAGATGCTATACTATAATTATATATTCCTATATACAATATGATAGAACAAAAAGTTTTTCAAAAATACGTATAAATCATGAGATAAATACTTCCTCGGGAGTTTTGAAATCGATGCCCATATTCTTGGCGAACATTTTATCTGCATCACTGAAGTCAGATGATCTCCCTGCTGCATCACCACAGTAATATACCCAATTCATATTTTGTTTTGTTATAGTGTCATTTCTTTTATGTAGATCTTTAATGAATTGTTCTCCCATTCCTACTTCTGGTTTTCTCATTGAATTGAATAATTCTTCCAAAGATTTATGTGAACTATCTATTTCTTTCATACTCTCGTTAGGCTTTTTGAGAAATGGTAGAGTTGACTGTTTAGTTATGGATTTCTTTGAAGCCTGTTTCTTCTGTTTAGGAAATAATGCGGCAGGTTTCATTGTTGAAGAATATAACCAGAGTCTGGAAAGAAGCAAATACCCATCTTCCTGTTTCGAAATATATTTGAATATATTTCCTATCTTTGAAGTGAATGTACTACAACTTTTAGAAGTAGGCGGCATTGTAATAACACCACCTTGATTTGTAAATATTACGATATGAGCCTTAGAGTCATATTTACAAATATTAATGAGAGTTTTTAAAGACTGTTCTCCTTCTCTAAATTCCATAAATTTCCAATCGTCAGGGCCTCTTGAAAATATAGCCTTGGGAGTTTTTGGTTGAATAAGTGTATGATCTAAATCAAATGCATAAACTTTGGCGTTATCTGCTGGAATCTCATCATTCCTCGGGGTATATTTAATCAATTCTGGTGCAATATAACGATAGTGTGACATGTTTCGTCCAATTGAATCTTCATGAATTGGCAATGGCTGTTTTATTATTGTTTCTCGTATTTTATACTTTTTATCCAGAAGAGCTTTACAAGTCAAAAAAATATTTATTGTTGTCTTAATTTTTTTAATATTATTACTATTGAATTAAATACATATAGATAAAGACATATTTACAAAAAAAAGGGATCAATACTTATGTTATCATATCATCTCCTCACATATTACTCTTAAAATAGACGCAATTTGGAATCTAGTACGAATATATCAAAATCATATCAAGGTTACTTTATCTACAGTTTCAAAATATTTACAAATATCCGTTTCTGATTGATCCTTTGGAATAAGTACTTTTGACACCACAGTTATCTCACTCTCGAAATTAGATGCATCCTTTATAGTCTTTGGGAAATCCACAATCACCACTTTTTCATGAGGTTTCACATTTTCTTTAACATATTGCAACATCAACGCTATTAATAGACCCTCAGGTAAATTATGGTAATAATCCTCACCGTATACCGTATATACATTTTCAAGAAGAGCTCTATATCTATCTTCCGAATTATTTTTATGTGAATCCACTATATCCTTTGGATCTATGAAATTTATGGTAGAGATATCATCATCTTTCTTGGATAACCAATCTTTGGCTGATTTTACATCAGGCAACGTAGTCAATTGCATATCTATTTCACCTGGTTGGAAGACAGCAACCTTTCTTTTCAACCCATTCATTACTTGTTGATATTCTTCTTCCGAGTATGATATCTTCGGTTTATTTTGGTCTAGTGAACGTACAGCAAAGACAAAAACAGCTGTCCCAGCCAAACCAATCATAATAAGTTTCTTAAAACTAGGCAATTCATCAGCAGCAGGTGTTTTTTTGCTATTGATCTTGGTAGAATTATATCTCCTGGAACTAAAATTAGTCTTATAACTTTCTGTGTATCTTCCAAATGGTAATGTAGTCACTGATGGAATTATCGCATTTGCATTTCTCATAGGGGTGACATTATTGGACAAACTTTTCACTGTCTGTTTTCCTAAAATCCTTATCATTATTCTTCCTTGTAAGTTAAGTAACTGTATGTAAACTGGTTAAATGCAACACCCTCTCTCTATAAACGACACCCTCTTTCTCTATTCTTTGCAGTTAAAAGGTACCAAACCTTTCGAGATATATCAATGTTATGGACTTCTTCAATCTTCTTCCGATCTTTACTGTTCGCAAGGGGAGACAGAGAGGCCAAACGCTCTGAGAAACTTCCGGCGAACCAAAACAACGAAAACGAAAAATCGAATATTTAAAACAATTTGACAAAGAAGAACTTGATAAAACAAGTATATTATTATTATTAGCTGGGTATTGTTCGTTAACATCCGTTTATTTTAGTCTCAAGGGATCTGCAGAAGTTGACACAACATACCATCATGTCTTTAGTTAAGCTGGCCCACACCTGTGCGCACTTACAGAATTGCACTAGAGTGAGACTGTCATTAACTTCTATCCCATATACGAAGTTACAACTACAGTTCGCTTACAATCTTTACAAGCAAGGGTTTATATCTTCTTTACAGAAGGGTTCGACGAAGGGCCCAGACGAAGATTATGTAGAGGTCACCCCCGACAATATCTCCACCAGAAGATTATGGCTAGGATTGAAATACAGAGAGAACAAACCTATCCTTAATAAATTACAACTCATATCTAAACCTAGTGTGAGAATTGTTCTAGGGAATGAGGATCTTAAGAAAATATGTTCGGGTACTATTGTAAGAAATATTAAACCGTTGCAACCAGGTGAATTGATCCTGGTACGTCATAATGATGAAATTATGGATATAAATGATGCTGTATTTAAGAAATTAGATGGTGAAGTCCTATGCAGAATAAATTAAGATGACAGCTTCCAACAATATCTAGTTAAACTAGATATATTTATATTCTTATAATGAAAGAAACAATAAAGTAAAAAACCGAAAAGAATGGAAATTATGTCAATAGACGATTAATAAGGTCTATTTATAAACAATAACTTTAGGTTTTACAGGACATCACCCTAAAAAGTACATCCTGTGACATGACTTTCCAAACTTTTAAAAAAAAATAACCTCATACACTCTTTCAAAATCATGTACTTGTAAATATTTATACAATTAACAACGAATATATATATATAAATTAATTTAATCTGTTTTCATCCATGTACATCACATAACTGAATTAACTTTGTGATAGATTAATAGTTCCAAATTATTGTGATAGTTATATTGTAAGTAAGAAACCACAAAAAGGAAGAAATTATATATCTTACATTCTACATTGGAGATAATTTTTTCAAAAGAGAATGATAGATGCTCACTTGATATAAAATAAATCTATCATTACTAGACTGCAATTGAAAAACGTTAGATTTAAAGACCACATAACTATGAAGTTTATGTCAAGCACGTTTAATTCAATCATTTTTGAAAGGTAAAATGGAAATAATGATGGCCTCAAAAATTATAAAAAATGCTCTTGGGGAGGTTCGAACTCTCGACCTTCAGATTATGAGACTGACGCTCTTCCGACTGAGCTACAAAAGCAATTCAAAAATTTATTTTTTCTGAAACTGTCCAAATCTATTCTTGGAATTTAATAATAGATTCCAAGGATATGTTAAACAGAGTTGCTGTTGTTAAACTGCTCATCTGTTGTGCATAGTAACGTTGGACAATGTAGCTCCAATAAATATGTAAAAGTAAGTTTTGTTGAATATGTAGCGGCAGCACTAAAAAGGCTAACATTAGCTTAACCTAACTGAAGGTGAAGGTAGCTAATATAAGTAGAATTTAGAGTGTGCTGCACTGTCGTATATATAATAACACATGATATATACTGCATAATGTAGTATTCGTTCCCTCTACATTGGGTTTATTGGAGCTACATAGTCCAACGTTACTATGCACAACAGATGAGCAGTTTAACAACAGCAACTCTGTTTAACAAGTTTGAACTCGAGAAGATACGATTGGTATTCGAGTTGAAATTATCGGACATAGTTATAGATATTAAAATGTATAATCTTGTAGTTTATTTTATGTTATTGTCAGATATTAGGAGTAATGTCATTAGAAATTATGGGTAATAGGTTGTCAAAAAATAGGGATGATATAACTCCCTTAATTTTAATATAGGTAAAGAAAATCCTTTATTCACATTCACTCATTGATATAAAAAGTAGCTCTTAATATAATATATATAAAATATTAAATGTTCTTTAATATGTAACTTATATATATTATATATTAAAAAGAGACCGATCAATTATCATATTATAAAATGTCCGAATTAAACAAATTAAAGCTTGCAGAGACTACTAGAGGCAAACCCTCTATCTCAGATTCTCTACATAAATGTTCTTTAAAATGTAACTTATGTATAATATAAAGAGACCGACCGATTATCGTAATAAAAAATGTCCTAATCGAAACACAGAAAACTTGAAGAGACAAATAGAGGTCAAAATTCTATTTCAGATTCTTTACAAAAGATTATACATCAGAAAATCTATAACGAAGTCCTCTATTACAAACTCGAATATTAATCTTAGTGTCTCGATTTTAAACTTATGTGTACATAAAGGAACACATGAGTTTGACATTGTTTGAGGCACAAAATACCTTAAACATATTTTGTCAGAAGCTAAATATCAATTCTGAAAATACTTCGAATATGAATAGTTAACGAAACTGAAACCGTTTGATAAACCTAGAACCCAAACTTATTAACAATCAGAAATATTTATTATTCAATAATCAGTAGACTTATTTAAAAAACTTATTTCCTCATATATTAACCTCAAATCAAGTTTAATATTATTTGTAAATATCTCGGTCAGAATTCTATGGAAGTTGAAAATAAATTGTATAGAAACACTGAGGTGTATTACTAAATTTCCTTAATATCTTCATTTCTGAAATCAACACTAGCTACTATGTTTTATTTGCTTATTCTATGTATTGGATATGTTAACTTTCCATTCAATAACATAATTATATTTGCAAATATTATCACATTAAGAGAAACATAAATGTTAAACAACGGAATAATGAATACATCAGAGGAAAGATATTCATTATCTTGATATTCTCAATCTAATATTTTAGGGAATGCGAAGAGATTCTCTGACCTATCTAAAACAACCCCCCCAACATATGTGCTAACAGTAACAGTGCCCCTGCCTAGTTTTATTATTTTACAAAAAATGGGGAACTTAATCTCAATGCATTGACTAACGGAATAAACAAAAGAGCAGCCGATACATATAGTATATTTCAAATAATATACCAGATTTTACCTAATTATTAAAAAGTTAGCATATGTACTTCATAATTTCATTAAATTTCATTTTGAACTATTTATATTTTCAACATTTGCATTCATAACATCTGCCTCTTTTTGGACCTTTTGAAGCCAACGTTGCACTAGCTTATTATATTCATCATTCAATGATTCAAATTTATCCTGTAAGATATTATTTTCAATATTCGTACTTATTAATTCATCATTTAACCTTTCAATATTTTTGTTCATAATTTCTATCCGTTCTTGCAAATCCTCAATACTTTGATCCTTCAAAGTATTTTCCTTCTTCAAGGCACCTAATATCTGATGTGTAGTAGATGAACTACTAGTACCATCATCCCTTGCATTAGGGGAAATTTCGTTAAATAATTCGTTGTAGTGGTCTTGAATTTGATCACGATCTCTCAGTTTTTTAATAAGCACTGGGACAACAGTATCACGATCCATCTATTCCGTTTTTGGTTGCAACTGTACACAACTGATCTTTACACCGAATAACGACCGTTAGCTTGAACTGATATACCACGTTGCACTGAATGCCAGCCCGTGCAATTTGAGTTCAACTAGCTTTCATTATCCTTTATTTAGAAATTTTGAAAGTTGGTCGATGGACAGTAAGTTGCCTGCGCCAACATGTCCGCGCTGTTTGTCAAACCGAAATTTCTGTTGAAGATTTGATTACTTGAACAAGTCATCATATAACAATGCAACCCATTTATATACCAGAGGGTTGCATTGGAGTTGAACTAAATATAAACTATCCATTGAATAAGTGAGAAGATTATCGCCTTCTATTTTGTTTGTTTTCTAGTTTATTAATATTTTTATTTGGTATAACGATAACTAAATGGCTGCGTGTGATTCACAACTTTTATAAGGGATTCAAGTAAAAATAAGTAAAAGAACTTAGCTGGGAGTTAAAAATCTCTAATCAAATTAGTGAAGTACTACGTCAACGATAATTGCATAGAAAAAGTAATATGGAAGAGGAAACAGTTAACGAGGAAACTCAACCACTGCCATCACAACCTCAACAGACATCATGGTTTAGTTGGTGGGGGAATAATGATAAAATTAATGATTCAAATAATAACAACGGCATTGAAAACCAGTCTAATAATATACAGAATACAGAAATAACGAACGAGAATAATGGATGGTATACAGGGTTAATGTCTACTGTAAATGCACTTCCTATTCCAACATTTAGAAGCCATGTACAATCCGTGAATGTTGATGACTCCACACGATACTCTCAGTTAGATGTTGAACAAATAGAGTTTTTAGAGAGTGAAGCCAAAAATGTCATTTTACAACATTCACATTCTTGGTGTTGGTTTGAAGATCTTACCAAACTGGATAAAGATTTACAAAGTTGGACAGAAAGACCAGGTGTGGCAAGTGTATACGATACAGGGTCAGGCCGATGTCCATTACCACTTCCTAAATATCCTATGGATACGCATCCTGGATACCATGTATATATAAAAAATTCGCTACTACTACCTCAAGAATCGCCATCAGAAATATACCATACCGAACCTCTTCGAACTAAGATAGCAACTGGGTTTAAGGACTATTATAATTTTCCTAATGGAAAGCATTTATATTTAAAAGACTCTAGAGATGATTTAATAAAAAAGAAAAAGACAATAATAATTAGTGTTGTTGGATGGTTACCTGAAAAATATGAGAAATTAACTTTAGGTGAACAAAGGACTGCTCAATATTTTTCTAAGAAATTAGCGCAATCTTTAAAACATGAATCCCCTTCTGAAATTTTATCCTTATCCTTTGAATGTCCATTAGATAGCAAGGAATTAAATGAAGTTTTCGATGAATGTACTTTATTATTAAGACATTGGGAACATATATTTAAGGATGCAACAGCAATTTATTTTGTTGGTGTTTATCATAGTGTTCCATTATTAATTTCTTTAGCCAAATATATTTTGAGTCAAAACGAAAAACTTAAATTCGACAAGAAAGCTTATGTGGGAATGCTGGCCATCGAATCATGTTTTCAAGGTTATAGATTCTGGGATCATAGTATAGATAGTAGTTTGACTACTGACACCGATAATGTTACTGCAGAGAATGATTATAGTAGAATGCAAAAATATAAAGAGCGTAGTTTATTCCAAGGACTTCATAAAAATGAACAGGACGTTCTTTCCAAGATCAAAAATTATAGAGATATAGATTCAGAAGAGTCAAAGTTATTACAAGGAAATTTAGATTGGTTACTTTATAATTGGGATTCCTTTCGATTATCTATGGTAGGGAAACTCTATGACAACTTTATGACAGTTACACAGAAATTAGCCATTGATTATTTCCATCCAAAGATCATTAGAAATGTATGGGTCGATGGTCAATACTTTGATTTAGACTCGAGACAACCAGAAGAATTGCATTTACCAGACTATATTATGAAAACTCCAAGGTTCGAATACGATTTAACGATCCCAGATCGAAGGAAGTTTGAAATTTCTTTAATTGACAATTTCCTATTAACACAAAATATCGGTAGACAAGAGTTTGTTTCAATTCTAAAATTAATCAGCCCCTTTTTCATTTCAAGATCATATAACCCAAATACTATTACACCATCGCTTAAAAAACAACGAGCTGCAACGACTAAACAATGGTTCCAACAAATGGAGACTAAATGGAATACCATTGAACCCACATTTGGAGGTAACTTTTCCTTCGATGAATTACCTGAAAGCATATCTACAATCCACAATTTCTTAGAATATACACAATATTTAACTATGAAATCCCCAGAGTTATTTCAAACATACAGTGAAATATATGATGATGATCTCATATTTAAAAATTTTATTGAAAACACGTTATTGACAAGAAAACCATTAACAAACAAACATCTAGTGATTTTGAGAGACAATCTGAATCCTACAAGCATCTTAAACACAGTTAATCAATATGATTTAGTTTGGAAGTTTCATGAATCTCTTTGTAATTTCATTAAGATAAAAAATGTCCCAATTCAAGATTACCCTAAATGTCTTCATTTTACCATTTCATTAGATAGTATTCTATGGAGAACAATATACAACGATCCTAAGAGATTTGAAAGAAATAACAAAGAGGCTATTCATAGGTTAAAACAATTACTCGATTCATATCAGACGTGGGATCCACCAACGAAGGGACTAGTTCATCTGAAGAATGTTCTTAGTGTGCTATCTTCTTACGATAGCGTCCACCTGCTCATAGAAGATATACAGACGTGAACATGAGATACATACATACATACTTGCATGCATACATAAATTTATCGATATACATATATATGTGCACAAATACCAATGCCATAGAGATCAATAAGCTGATCTTGACGATGGTTAATTGTTCTAAGTGAAGTTCTTTTCCTGAGAGTGATTGATTAAATTCCATTGTCTTGTCTTTGATACGGGACTTTCTGAGTAAAACAACCCAAAAACCGAGCCTCACTTTTCCGTCTTTTCTTCTTTTTTGTTGAGAAATCGTTTAAGGTAAGAGAGAGAAGCTACATGAACAAGTCGTTTCTCACCACTTCAATTTTTAATGTGATGGTCACAGGCTGTATCGGTCTTGACAGGTAACGTCAAAGGTGCATTGAAGATCAATAAGAACCAGTCATTTAGATAGATATTCAGGGACTTAGATGAATATTATTTTTATTTAATCACATTAACTTGATCTTCTTATTTTTTGATTGATTGATAGAAATATAATTATTACCACTCGTTTGGATAGCTAACATTCTTCTACATACAAGCAAAAACAGAATCCATTCACATATACAGAGATAGAAAATGTCGACGGCTACATCATTTTCAGAAGAACAGAAACAAATCACACTTACAGTCCTTTCTAAGGATAAAAGCGAATTCTATGAAATATTACAAGTGGAGAAGACAGCGTCTGACAATGAAATAAAGAAAGCATATAGAAAACTAGCTATTAAATTACATCCAGATAAAAACTCTCATCCCAGAGCCAGTGAGGCATTTAAGGTGATAAATAGGGCCTTCGAAGTCCTTGGAGATGAACAGAAAAGAAGTATATTTGATAGTACAGGAAGAGACCCAGATGATAGATCTATGGGGATGAATTCTTCTTCTGCTTCTGGGTTTGGTCAACCTGGAGCTGGTGGCCAATTCCCTCCAGGATTTCAAAATATGTTCTTTAGAGGTGGTCCTCCTGGTGCTACAGGTGGTGCACCAGAGGACATATTTGATTTCTTATTTAATATGGGTGGTAACCCTGGAGGATTTGGTGGTAACCATCCTTTTATGAATAGTGGTGGTGCAACTTCTTTCACATTTGGTCCAGGTGGCTTCAGAGCATATAACCCTCCAAGAACAAGAGACCAAAGGAATAGACAAAGAGAAGCACAACGCCAGCATGATGAAGAACAAAAATACAACGATATACTTAGAGTACTTGCTCCAATCTTATTATTTTTCATTATTGGTGTATTTGAAAGATTTTTGAGTTAAGATAAAATGACCTTGAAATTCAAAATAATAATGAACAAAAAAGGAAATTAGACACAAATCAATAAAAATAGGCACCTCATCCTACAATTGGTTCATAACAACAAGTAACTTCATAACATAATAGTCTCTTCTTAGTGAAACCATACAGTTTGAAATGTGTCGTAATAATATTAAACGAAATAGATAAGTTCATTAATTTATAAACGAGTCTACATTTTCAATCAAATTCTTTCACCTAATCATATCCAACGGCATATTTTAAATCGTAGACAATTAAAATTTTCATATTACTCGTAAATAATTTGTAGTTCAACAGTTACGTACATTCATACATAGATAAATATTATAAAGTATAATTTATAAGAGTTATAATACATAAAGATAAGTACACAAATGATATTGATAATTAAGTAAGGTTAATAATAATAATAATAATAATAATAATAATAATAATAATAATAATCGTTCATTAAATTATATAATAACAAATACTGTAAAATTAATTATGCACATATTGATTATAATCAGAGGACAGCATTTAACTAATTTATGACAAAAATCATCACATGTATAATGTACCTACTAATTTCCCCTTATACTGAAAAACCCCAAAACCTATGATTCTAAATCCTTCATTCTTTCTTGGACTATATGTTCAATTTCTTCATCAGTTTCTTTACTTATTTTAAAACCTAGTTTTTTTGAAATTTTATCTTTTATTTTATCACCATACACACCGCCATGATTATCTGGAATAAATTCAGTATCCATATTCAAATGCCTTTTAATCATTTTTCCACTGGGCAAAATTTCATACTCCTCCTGTGAGTATGTAGTTGAAAGTTTATCATTAGTTTCCAATGACCCAGATGTTGATGGGTTGGTATCATCAAACACCGCAAAGTCAACATCAAATATATTATCTCGAGAAGCCGATATACCGACATCATCACCCGTATTACCTACCTCCAAGCTCTCCTTATGGGTTATTTTATCCTTATACCTTTGAAGAGCATTTGGATCATGGGGCCATGTCCAACCTTGTCTCATTTCATTAAAAGCACCTAATTCTAACTTTTTCCGGACTTCATCCTTCTTTTCAAGTTCTGCAAAGATATCAACATCACTTGGCCAAAATGTTCTTTTAAACGTTTGATAAACAATGTCTAAAGTAATGGGTAAAAGAGCTAATATAAAACAGGTACACCAAAACGTAACATCCCTACCAAAATGATGAATAAAACCGTAAGGAACATCATATATACCATCTGATTTATTGATAACTGGAAGTGCAATCACCCAGAGTAACCATCCGCCACATGACAATGTAACTGATACAAAGGCTACCCAATTTCTATTTCTCATCTCAATAAATTGTGCCTTCATATTTATCATGGCAACAATGGCCGTAAAATTAACCACACCTAGTGGGTACATACTATTATCTGTTAATGATGTAAATCCCCATGTAATTATGTTAAGAAAGGTGATTATAACAGATATTAGCGTACCTTCTATAATCCATTCCATAAAAATCTTCATGTTAAATCCTTGAGACAGCCTTCCATATGAATATAACTCTGGAATTGTCAATAATGTTGCAGGCTTTAGGTCCTTTTCAAACATACCAATACACAGGACAGGTAAAGATGTAAATAATGTGTTAAACATTGATAAGGACCATGGCTCATATAAAGATGAGCCAGAAAAGAGGGTATATCTTTGGAATATTAATTGGGTTAGGTAAAATGTAAGTTCTTTGTAGAATGTACACAAAATAAACTTTCCCGTTCGAATGTAGTTATAACGTCCATGGACAAAGAGTAATTTCACTAAAAATCTAAACTGAGCGATAGAATAATCAGAAGATCTAGATGCCTGCAAACCTTCCTTACCAGCAATACCAATACCAATATCAGCACTTTGGATCATTGCAATGTCATTTGCACCGTCACCAATTGCCAACGTCACAGCAGATTTGTCAGTATTTCGAATATTACTAACCATTAAAGCCTTCTGAGATGGTGATGCACGACAACAAATAACTGAATCAACCTTTGTACACAACTCAATAAACACAGCCATATATGTCGGGTTCTGTTCAAACATTGCCAACGTTCCACCATCAATTACCAAAACGCAATGTGCCATATTCCCTGAATCGGCCTCCTGTGATATTACATTCATTTTGGAAATAATATTTTCATCACTAGTTGTCAAAATAACTACTGTAGAATAATCGTGTATTAATTTACAAGAATAACCTATATTGATTGCTGTTTCACGTTTATCACCAGTTAACATCCACATTTTGATGCCAGCACGTCTAATTTTTTCGATTGACTCTGCTACCCCAGCCTGCAATTTATCTTCAATTGCTGTAACTCCGAGTAATGTCATGTTATTCTCAATACGGCTCCCAACTTCATCGATAATTGTTTTTCTATCAACTAACGTAGTTTTTGCGTTTTGATACTCATCACTCCATATTTCGTAGGTAGCGTTGTCAATCCATTTATATGAATATAATAAAGTCCGCAAACCCTCGGTTGAAAATTCATCGATAGCCTGCATCGATCTTTCCAAAACATATTCGTCATTCAGTATTAAATCGTTGCTTCCGATATACTCAAGTATGTTACTACGTTTATATTTATCCGAATGTTCTGCTTCCTGAACATAATTAATTTCAGACGGCAACCTGTGAGGATCATGTTTACCAGGGTCTATTGTTATTCTTGGACCATATTTTTCGAGTTGCTGCTTATGCATCGATTTTCGACTCTGCGTAACAATATTACCTAATTCTTGGTTGGTCCTATTAACTTTACTTAAGAACTGGTCAATGGATCCCATTGGCATTTCAGGGTCTGTCACTTGATTGACTGCATTCCTTGATAAACTCTTCCGCATAGCTTGCAATGACAAACTATCTCTACCAGCAGATATATTATTTTTTAATCTCAATGATTGTCGTGGTGCCTCATCTTCATATACAGTATATTCTAATGATTTACGTTGTTGAAGAACTAATTCGGCTTCATTTTCTTTACGCTCTCCAGTAGCATTATTCATTTCCTCCATCTTACGTTGAACCAATTCACTATTATGCAATCGCTCCAATATCACATTATCTGCACCTTTAGAGATTAATAAAACTTTATCGGGCTGATCAGGTGTACGGACAGCTACAGACATTCTCTTCCTTTTTGAGTTGAATTCAATGTAATTCAAAATCTCATAATCTTCCAGGACAGGTTCCTCAGAGAAACCATTTGGATATGTTTTTATTGTCAGTACGTCTGCGTTCCTATTAAAAACAACAAAACCTAGATCTCTTGCAGCTTTCACCAAGGCTAGTTCATCAGGGGACGCAGCCTCATAGTCAATGGTATCATTACTATGATTGGTGTGCGTGCGTTCATCAATCGGTTTTGGCAGACATGTATGGCATAATGCTAAAGATAAAATAAAGAATCTGGCCTTTTTAGAAAACAGAGAGTTAGGGTGTAGTTGAACAAAACGTAGCAAATCGAAAGAACTCTTAATTTCATCGACAGACTCTAAATTAGTACCTTCTTTAAGAGCATTTTCTTCCTTTTTAACCTGATTGTTTCTTTTACCTACATACAAAGAACTCATAGATGGTCGACCAGCGTATCTTATGGATGAATTCCCCTTATAATCAACAGAAGTTCTTGGCTGATCGATGGAATTAAAATATCCCAGTGTTGGATTATGAATATACTCTATTGTCTTCTTATCTAATGATAAATCGTCTAAAATCTTAGACTCATCATACGAAATAACATCAATCTCAGTACCTTGATGTGACGGAACTTTGCGAACATCTTCCATTGGAGATTCTTGAGATTCTTCAGCTATGCTGTGTTCCCAAGAAGAACCACAAATAGAGAATTTTTTGAATAACATTTTATTGTCAGTTAATGTACCTGTCTTATCGCTAAATATGTAAGAAACTTGTCCCAGTTCCTCCAAAATAGTAGCTGTTCTTGGTTCACAAGGCGTGTTAGTGTCAGCAAAATACATGTCAATATCCCAAGCCATTAGTTTACTTTGCATCACTTTAATAATTTCCATGGTAACATAAAGTGACAAAGGAATCATTGTATTGTACATAATGATAAATGACATAATTGTTGGTGCAACACCAGCATCTTGTTGATACAAGTACCACGCCTGATTCTTGTCAGTGGATTTTTTATTGGCTAATCTATGACCCAGATAGGAAAACAACGATATAAATATCACGATGATTACCATAAATGCAATAATTAAATTAATATCTTTTTGTAACTTCGGAGATTTAATTCTAGGATTACGTAATGAATTCTTTCTTATTTTTGTTTCTTCACCGGTGAAGATTACCATCCCAATGATATTCTTAGTATTACGTATTATACTACCACGATATATGACATTGTCCGAACCAACTGGATATTTCTTTACAGTGTTATTTTTACTATCAAGCAGTTCTAAATTACCTTCAAAATTGTATAAATCATCATTAGGATCTTCTACTGTGACTTGTGCATTAATATGTGCCAGTCCTGAGGTACTACTTGTTAACTTATGCAGTTCTGGATGTGGATGTTTATTTTTTAGGTTTGTTTCCCCATCGAGGGCCATTGTTTCAATGTAACATTCCCCATTTTGGCCATCTGTTGTTAGAAGAAGCACATCTGCAGGAACCCAGTCATCTTGTTTAAGTAAAATAAAATCACCTACTTTAAGATTGTTCCATTTTTCGGGTTTTATGTCAACACCATGTCTATTCCTTAATAATTCAAAATTCGTAAAATATGTGTTGAGAGAGCCAATACTATCCCCTGAACTACTATTACTATCATCTCTATTCATACTCTTTGTTGACGGATCAGTCATAGAAGATAAATATTCATCATTCTTGCAAGTAGTATCCTTCCTTATCAAGTTACACATTTTTTTATTTTCTTCTTTATCTAATACATGTCGGCAAAAATCGTCCCAGGCTTCTCTTGCCATTGAGATAGCCATAAATGCTAATAAAGGAATAATTGTAGTATATGTACCAGTGGTTGACCAACCTGGAATCATCTGAAGGATTGATACTAACAAAAAATACGAGTTAGCTAGTTTTGAGAACTGGGCATACAGCTGTCTCGGGAGAAAAGAATATATTGTATATCTTGATGACGTAATTGAATTATTGATGTAAGGTCTATCAGTACATTCGTCTATCAGAAGACCTCCATATTTTTTTGAACAATATTGGACGAATTGTGGTGAAAGATGATCTAAGCATATAGGGATATGTCTACCATCTTTCGTATGCATTTCACGAGTTCTATTTAAGATTATATCCCAAAACTGGGCCATTAAACGTGGGGATATGTTATTATCTTCGGGATCGTGTTCCTCATCTTCCTCATCTTCAAATAATGCATCTACTTCAAGGTTAGCGTTTGGAGGTACTGTTACATTTTCTTCTATATCATTAAGTTCATATCCTTGATTGTTTTCTTCTTGAATATTATTAGTGCTATTAGTAAATTTATTATAAAGATGCTTATTGAACATTTGAGTTCTCAATGATGCAGCTCTTTTTCGTTTAATTTCATCCTGAGACATTATGATTAGGATTATTATTTTCTATATTCAACTAAACGAATGACACGTAAAAGAGATATCTTAAAATAGTTCACCTTTTCTGAGGTTGTTTCTGTTTTTCTTTCTCTCTTCAATTGCAGAATTCCTTTGTAGGAAGCCCTCCATATATTAGATCGTATTGACTTTGTCCTCACGTCTTTACAATAATGATAATACGCTACTAAAGTAGGAAATATGTAATACGTTTTTAAATTATATCCCCTTTGTGATGTAAAAAGGTATTTATCAATGTAAAGCAAACAATCAATATTAATAGAATTACGCGTGTTTAGCCGCAATATATTAAATTACTAAATACCTTTTAACTTCCTTCGTTTCCATTGTGGTCAACCCCGCCTTGAATATTGAAAGGCGAATCGGCAATAAGTTTCTAATATTAAAGGAACGTATAAGCTCATCGAATATAAATATATATATAAATATTTGGGAGTTATTATGCAAGAATTCTGTGATATTATTATATATTATGCATATATATTTAAGTAGTAATGTGTTCTTGATGGGAAGAAGAGTAAGAAGAATAATCTGTCCTTAAGAGTATTCCCTTATGTTGTATAGAATTGGGATTCCCTCCTCAGAAACGCAGATATGATGTTCTTTATCTAATTTCCCATTTAGTTCCGTCATATCTACGTCGAACTGACCATGAATTGCATTTTTAGTCTTGTCGAAATTTAGTTGTTCATTATGGTGATTCCTACATCTCTTTAACAATTCAAATGATTTCTCAGCTCTCAGATTCTCTCTGCTCTTTTTATTTTCAGCTGAAAATTTTGTTATTTTATCCTGTAGTTGTCTTTGTAATTGTTCGTCAGATAATTGTCGCATACTTTGATAATGAACAGACATTCCACGATTTGTATGGGTCTCAACATTAGGTTGAACTTCACATTGTATAATTGTTTCGTCTTCGTTAAAGTATTCGTCATCACTCGAAACCAATCCCCCGTCTTCTGCATCACTATTACCGACTTTAATAAATTCAACTTTTCTATTAAGATTAATAGAGGCATCAAGAGGACTTGGCGCACGCAGAACATCCAAGGAAAATCCTTTACTATAATTGGAAGTTCGTTTCTCTGATATTATCCGTGATGTATGACGACCTTTAGAGACCATGTGGCTTTGCTGTTCTTTATGAGAATAGTTTATAGAGTCCATTAAATTTTGTAGACGATTCTCAATTGAACTGAAATTATGGTTCAATTTATTTTTATTATGAAATTTTCGTAACATTCCGATTTGGTCCTCCAAAGATTCTAACGTTTCGAATATTAAATTCAATTGTCTAATTCTCATTGTTTGATCATGACTACCATCAATTGAATATATAGTGCAATCCGATCTAGTTTCTTCGAATGCATCTTTATTTTCCTTAAGCGAAGAAATTAATATTTTCATTGTTTCGATCAATGACATCAAAGATAAATTAACTTGATTTAAAATAGAACCCTCATCATTTCTTATTAGATTTTCGTTAGTCGTACATTTAAATAATCTTAAAATCTTTTTTTTGAAGTTCGCATCATGAATCTTAGGTTGAATTATACTATCATTAGGAATCGATAATAAACAACAAAATAAAAATTTCTGAAGAATGTGAATATTTGAAATATTTTGAGATAAGGAAGTACAATGCTGAGTCAAACAAACACACAAATCTAATACAGTTATATCAAATATTTCACAGTAACTATGCAAATTGTCAAAATTACAGTGTATTAACCATTGTCGAATAGTAGAACTCATTTTAAAGAAAATGTGATTTGTAGTGAAGTTTAAGATATCGTGTATTATTGAGATATTTGTACGTTCTAATGATGATTTATTTTCTATATGTTTGTTCTCCTTAATTTGTTCCTTTTCTTGTAGTTGTATTGAATTCTTCTTTATGTTCAATTCTTTATATTGTAAATGATATTGACTAATCAAAGCATCGAAGTTTTCAAAGGTCGGAGTTATCTGTTTAATTATTTTAATAAAATTAGTTTTAATATTACGTATTCTAAAATGGGTTTGTTGAAATGAAAGGTAAAGTAAAACTAATATTACAATTATGATTCTCTTGGTATTATGTTGTAATGACTTATCCAATTTTCTCAATGAATATATAACTTTCAAGCATGAAAAGATAATGTTCCTGTAATCTAACGATTCGATTAACATAAACTTATAATTAGTTACTTTTATTAATCGACCATATCTAGTTTTTCTGGTCATCTTAACATTTTTATTCATTTTTTGATTCTCTTGATTGTTGAGGTCTAGAATGGAACTTTTAGGTTTTAGTGGATGGATATAACTGTTCAAGTCATGCAAAAATGATGAACTGATTATGTTATACTTAAATTCCTCTTTAAACTGATCATCGTCACTATATGGTAAATCTTTAAATACTAACGATATTATATTATTCCAAAATGGGGATATTGAATTTCCATAAGTAGAGTTCGAGACATAGGGACTCTCTGGAACTATTGTTGGAGAAGAATCACTAAAGTGCACGGATTTAGAGAGCGATATGTCCCTCTGTTTGATGGATAATAATATATCTTGGTCAACTATGCAGTCGACCTCCGGACCATTATCCATATTTTTGGTTTGGGATAATTTCTGAACATTTCCATTTTTATAGAGTATATCCTCATCTTTATCTGCATCCGTGAATAATTGAAGACCTGGATTATAAAGCTGTCTCATGAATGTATTACTCATTCAAATGTAGAAGGGTTGATTAGGATATACGATTGAATTCCTTTGTTACTAATTACGCCCTTTTGTAGCTTCTTTATTGTAGTGATCAAAATAGATCAATAACTTGTCTATGACTACTTCCAAGTACGTAACCTCAATGCAGGGCTATTTGTTCACTGACAGAAAATTGATTAATATAACAAATTTACAACAATCCTCTCTATGTATTCCTATCTATGTAAGAAACCGAATTCACCACTATTAATTTTCACTCTTCAGCTTTGTTTATATCGAGATCATCACCGCTTTGATTGTTTTCATTTTACTTCTTTTTGACGGTCAACTTAATGTTTGACTGTTCTCTCTATTCTCGCCTGTTCTCTTTGCATCGTCCTCTGCGTGATTTGTCCGTAACAACTCATGTAGCATGTTGTCATAGCAAGACAGCCAGACAAAAATCTTAGAAGAATGATTTAATTGAAAAGGTTTTCACTCCAAAATTATCAACAAAGAGAATGGCACCCCCCACCACTGATTAGATTCGATTGACGGTCATAACTATAGTCTAGGTAAATACTCTTTTGTTATCTCGGAAACTTTGACAAGTTACCACAAATTGCGTAAGGCTGGTGAGAATGGCTGCCATTAATTTAGATAATAAATTTATAAAACTAGCATTGTTTGCAGGGCCTAGTCTCCTAGCAAGATACCCTCACTATGATTACATACATTTTACACTAATTGTTTTATACTTTTTAATGAATCCAGAAGGAACAATACTTAATAATCCTGTCTTTTGGACATCATATTTGAGTGCCATCGGTGCCACATTCGATGAATTTTATAAATCCAAAATGACATGTAGTATGAGTTCTAACCTTAATCAGGAAAGCCTACAGTGTGTCTTAACATCTTCAAATTTTCTCATATCAGCTGTTCTAAATATTATAACAATATGTATAGGTTATATTAGAGGAAGAGGCAAGCCAGTCAGTAACGAAGAAAAGAATACGAATTGAAATATTCAAAACATCATATAGACCGTAATGATCATATATACTAATTATGTATCACACATTCGAAACTATAAAAGATAAAAAAGAAATTTTTTTTTTCTATGTATGTTAATTTTAATAAATACACTATACATTTATTTCTTACCTTCATTATTTAATCAACATACTCATCCTCGTCAAATTCATCTTCGTCAAACTCATCATCTTCATCGAATTCATCGTCAGAATTTTTATTATCATCATCTGAATTCATTTTACTATGCATCGAATGTTGGTCATCTAACACGCTAATCTTCGATACCCCAGTTGATGGTGCAGGTGGTTTAGCGATAGAAAATTGAGCCAAAGGACTTTCAATATCTGCAACATCTATGGATTCCATATGAGGTGATGCCAATGGAGATCCAAATTTTAAATACATTTGTTTACCGATATCTTCATTCGACTTCTTATTCTTGATTTTTTTACTATCGGAATTTAGATCATCATTGGTTGAGTTTCTATGTAGATTTAAGTTGTCTTTCTGAGAATATCGAGCTGCAGTAGGCGACGCAGCTCTACTAGATTCATCTTTGATATTTGGGTTGGTGGCATTATCATCACCACTGATATCTGAGAGGTCATCAATATTTAAAATAGGTTCCCTCCAAAAATTGACATCAGTATATTTTTCTTCTTGATTAGGTCTAAAGAAGGATTTCGTTTCGTTCATACTAAAATCTCCATCATTCAGGTTTGAGTTATCGTATCGATCAATGGTAGTATTTACAGGTGATCCTGGCATTGTAGAATGTAAACTTCTAATGTCGTCGTCAACCACATTCACTGGTGGGAAAAAATGATCAACTAATTCATTGATATGCAAATATGAACTTTTATAACCTGCAAGTTCAAGCAGTTCCATATGGACTTCACCTTCTGTATTGATAGTAAAAATACGAGAGCTAGGTATACCGACTGTTCTATATGAAAGAGCATCCGTTATACGATTACCAAATCCTGCGAAAAAAGGAGTCGGTTTATCATCAGTATCAAACTCATTATAATGATATGTAATGGGTGACTTAACTTTTACTTTATCTTCAATAATAATATTGGTTTGAGGGGGAGATTCCATTGAGTTTTCATTAGGTTTTTCATCAGTATTATGATCTGTTTCTATGTTACTATTTTGAGTATCATGTTTAATTCCAATATCAACATGATTATCAGATAATTCATTCTCAAAATACAACGATCTCACATCATTTAGACATGCAATTTTGAATACTTCTGGTTTTTTCAAGATAACTTCTCTTTTTAGAGCAGCCATTGTTCTATCCGGTGATAAAATAACAGGTCCTACGGGTAATCTATAATTTTCTTGCAATATCGATCTCAGATAACTTCTTGTAGAATCAGCCTGTCCCGCACCTCTTGCTGTTAAATATAGAATATTATACCCATTTCTTGTAATTTCATTAAAAAGACGTGCCACACCTGGATGAGTCCAATCTTTACCAATCATCGCTAAAACATGACCCAATGCATCAGACTTGGTGATTGTACCGTCAATATCACTAATTACAATTGGTACGTCCCACCTCCATACAAATAATTTTGCACTGACTACAGCTTTGCCATGATCGATGGAAAATTGCAAATCATTTTCACCATATATTAATCCTAATGCCTTCAATTGCTCATTGGTTAATCTAATGGTTTTTATATATCTTTTATTGTCCGTGGTCGCTTTGGATAATCCTTCTGTGTGTTCAATTTTAATGTGATGGTCTTCATTCTCAGATAAAGGTTTTTCTGATGGAACTTCTGTTGATGAAGAAGAAGGAACATAATATTCTGAATCGCTTTTAAAACCATTATTTCCAGCTAATGATAGAACTGGCTCACTTGCATTTATAGAAGGTGATCCAACAGGTGACATCAACTGTGTATCTCCAGAATGTTCATACGGATTAATTATTCTTATCGATCCATTTGGATCTTCCTTTATGAATTGTGTAATATCCATATCACTTCCCAATTCGTCTTTTAACAGTTGTTTCAATTGCATATCAGTATCATGCATCATATCTTGGGTTGGTTTATAACCTTCCATATCTAATATAAGATCTCCATTATTATCAGATTTACTTGGAACATGTATCTGTGTTAACTTTTTGTTTAATTTTTCTTGAAACTTTTTTGTAAGTTCATGATTCTCTTCTTCATCTTCTTTTCCATATCGTTGATTCTGTCTCGAACTTTCGTTATTTATATTCAAATATTCAGGCTCATCAAGTCTCTTTTGACTTTTGAGTTCAGGACTACTTGCAGCACTAGCTACGGGTGACGCCAGCAAATCATCTGGAATACCTTCTAAATCCTTACTGGTCTCAAAGACAAAATATGCTTCGCCATTATCGGCTAATTTCATGGGTAAGTCACTTTTTTTACCATTAATAATAATATCTACTCTTTTCTGTGAGGGTTTAAGTATTTGAAACTTCCCAAACCTAACATGAAATGGCGAACACGATAGGTCACCATTTGGTTGCTCTACTACAATAACATCAATCGCCCCTGATAAAGTTGCAGGATTAATTTGAGACCACGTTTTTGATACCGAGCCTATAGCTCTTCCAACGTATTGCATATCTTACGGTCTTGTTCTCGTTTATTTCTTGACAAAAGAGTAAATACGACGCTTCTATAGACTAAAGAAAACTTGATATATATATATATATATATACCTTGAGATGCCAGCAGATTTGTCGTTCCCTTATGAAATTTCTGTTTTAATTCATTATCCCCAGACTTTAATTATTTATATTTATATAATATAGAATGTGAATTGCCCCAAGCAAATCTTTACGGTAATTCCATATTGCCGAAAGAAAGCAGCGAGCGTTTTCTATAAAATGACGCGCACTCAACATAATATACCTAATATCCGAAGGGCGATCGATCAGTGGGCCTCGAGGAACGATGACATATTTTATAGCAGAAGGCAGAGCAAACGGTGTTGATAGATTATGCTGTTCTTATATGATAAGCTCGTTGATTTGGAAGTGGTGGAGTCGATTTTCCAAACTTGTTCAACTACTCTATTCTATAGTACGGTTATCTTGGAGTGGCGCTGCAATTCTTTTTCCCTATTTGTACTAGATCTGTTGAACAAGAAGCTCATCGTTCAACAAAAAATGGCACATCATAAATGTATGTACAATATATATGCGTGAACAATTTCTCTTTTAAATCAGATATAATGCCTGCATTCGGGAAAGATATATATATTTGTGTATGGATGTACGAATGTATGTATGTATATTGGATATCATGCACATTTACTCATATGTTATTTACAAAAAGAGAAGGAGTATATCAATTAATGTATACTTAATGCAAAGAAGAGGAAAATCGAATAATAAGGGAATGGAATAGGATTATATGAAGTTCCTATTAGTTTATAATATTGATGAAGTACGCAGCTGCGTTAATGTCATTTGGTATAATAAGAGCATAATACTACTTTGTATACTTGTCCATACAAATCTTGGTCCAACACCACTAAATAGACCTACGAGGCCTTCTGTTCGGTACACCATTTTGAAACTTTTGAATATCGAGTCGGTAAGGACGACTGGCTGTCTTTTATTATTATTGCTATAGTTATTAGTTACAGGGATATGTGTAGTGGTAGTCGAACCGTTTGGTATGTTACTCGGAGTTCGCTGAGTTTGTAATCTTGTCTTTACCACATCACAAGGTGTCGTAATGATTCCTGCCAAACCACCTGCGGCTGCCCCTGTAAGAATTTCAAAAGGTAATGCCAGATTTTTAGAATTTTTATTTTTTTCATCTAAAGAAAAGGCAGCTTCTCTAAATTTTTCATAAAATGCAAATTGTAAAGCACTAAAAGGTAGATCTCTTGCAAGGGTGGCTTTATAACCATAAAACAATGCACGAACACCTTCATTCTTAGTTATCGTTTTTGCAGCATCTCTAAGATTTCTATAATTATAACCTGAAAAGAAATGTTCATTGTTAAATTTACCTTGTAATTGTAATCTTGTCTTTAATACTTCCGATGGGACATATACAAAACTTGACACAAAATCCCCTAGAAACCCAGAGACTAAATGAGATGTAGTATCATTGATCCCCCAATCTGTAATCATTTTCCTTTTGGTGAATTCATACGTTCCAAAAAAGATAGCTGCACTTGGGAATGAACCTAACATAGCTGCCGAGTAACCACTATACAGGCCTCTTCGTATTCCTTCCTCGATGAATATTGTGTTATACGATTGTATCATATTCCGATACTTTAGGATATTTGGTGCACCTTGTTGTCTAGTCTTTACCGTGTCTAGTGAATGCATTACAGTATCACCGATAACACCACCAACACCACCTGAGACCATACAATGAATGATTGATGAATCAGCATTTGAAACACCTTTCTTGGGTTCCGTTGGTAGATCTTCTGGCATATCCATAGGGGAAACTTTATCCTTCAAATGATGAGGAGTATTTACAATGGGAATTGATGAAGTAAAGTTCCACATAATATGTGAGTAGAATGACGGTGATAACAAAAAAGGGTTTAGTACGATTGTTGTAAACGGTATAGTTTTTTTTTTTTGATAAACAGAATATTGAGAAACAATATATTGTGTTGCAATTTAATGATAATTTAGAGGTATATGTGTGCTATATTATCTGTAATATATTTTATCATTTAGCAATTAATATGCAACCAGGGAAATCGTTTGTTGGAATTGGTTTCTATTGAATGTCCTTCTGAAAAAACTGTCTTAGAATGGAATCGCTCTTCTGTCAAACACACAGTATTTAAAGTTCGCAGTAATTGTACTAGTAAATACACCTCTAAAACTCCTTCAAATGTGCACAATCGTTTAGATAACCTTACTTCATTATCAATCAATAATATAAGCATGAATGGATGAAAAGTTGTCACTCTTTCTGTTTCACTTCTCGACTGCCTCGGACTCGCTCAGTCGATTTTTTAACTTTTTGGCTCTCTCTATTTGTTTGACCCAAATTTTGAATGGGCGGGCACCTTTTTTATTTAGCGGTTTTCAATTTCGATCACGTGCCGATGACATAATTTGGGGCTATAAGACAATTAAGAAGCACTTTTCGTGTAACGTGTCTCACTTCAGTAATCTGATGATCTAGCGAAACTTTTTAGGAAAGGCTAGGGAATAGTCAGTGATATATACCATTATTAAGCTTACAAGTCTTTGCCTTACAATATGACGTCTTCTATTCGAGCTTTGGATCCATCTGTGGTCAATAAAATAGCAGCTGGTGAAATTATTATATCTCCTGTTAATGCCTTGAAAGAGATGATGGAAAATTCCATCGATGCAAAGAGTACGACTATCGATATTTTGGTAAAGGAGGGTGGTATTAAATTGTTACAAATATCTGATAATGGATCTGGTATTAGTAAAGATGATTTACCTTTATTATGTGAACGGTTTACTACTTCAAAATTGTCCACTTTTGAAGATTTAAATGAAATTAGCACATATGGGTTTAGAGGTGAGGCCTTGGCTAGTATATCACATATTGCTAAGATAACAGTGACTACAAAAATTAATAACGATAAATGTGCATGGAGAGTCTCGTTTGCACAAGGTAAAATGATCGATACACCACTACCCATTGCTGGAACTAATGGGACTACTATTCTAGTGGAAGATTTGTTTTATAACATGCCTTCAAGACTGAGATCATTAAGATCTCCTAATGAAGAGTACAATAAGATCCTGGATGTTGTAGGGAGGTATGCGATACATTCTTCAAAGATAGGATTTTCATGTAAAAAATTTGGTGATTCACAATTTTCGTTATCTATAAGAGCCACGCTAGATACAAAAGATAGAATACGAGCTGTCTATAATGGGAGTGTTGCTTCAAATTTGATTAATTTTGTGGTAGATGAAAATGAAGGACTACCTTTGGATAAATTAACCGGTTATATCAGTAATATGAATTATATTTCTAAGAAGGCTATATCACCAATTTTTTTCATTAATAATAGATTAGTTACATGCGATCCATTGAGGAGAATATTAAATCAGACATATATGAATTTTTTACCAAAGGGGAATAAACCATTTATATATCTCAGTCTAATGATTGAACCAACATCTGTAGATGTGAATGTGCATCCTACAAAGAGAGAAGTTAGATTCTTAAAACAAGATGAAATTATTGAACAGATATCTTTAAAAGTAAATGAAGAGTTATCAAAAGTGGATACAACTAGAACCTTCAAGGCATCATCGATACTTACAGGCTCTCAATCCATTGGACAAACATCTGCAGTAATTAGATCTAAATCTTTATATCGTCAAAGTAACTCACAAGTAAATGCTGATTCGAGTAACCTTTCACAAACCACCCCTAACAAGGTTAGAAAATATGAAAATAAGATGGTTAGAACAGATGCTTCACAGGCAAAAATTACGTCGTTCCTAAAATCAAGTCAATATGTAGAGGGTAATTCATTAAATAAGGATAATAATAATGAAGTCCTTAATCTAGAAGAAGACACCGAAGAGGAACAAAACAATAATATATCATCACCGTCACCAACTGTAGATGATACTAGTAACAAGTTAATAGAGCTACCAAATGAAGAAACTAATATTCTAGATAAATCATCTCAAGTTAAGCAAACAGGGCACAATTTCAATTATGTTGTCATTAAGAATAAAAGAAGCATGGTTAATTTATCCAGCATAAAAGAGCTACGAGAAGCTGAGGATAATAGAGCTCATAAAGAGTTAACAAATATATTTGCGAACTTGAACTACGTGGGTATCGTAGATACTGAAAGAAGACTTATATCCATTCAACATGATTTGAAACTGTTTTTGGTTGATTATGGTTCAATTTGTAATGAATTATTCTATCAAATAGGGTTAACAGATTTTTCCAATTTTGGAAGGATCAGTCTCCTGACTGAAAATAATGAAAATTTGAAATTGGTAAATTTATTATCTGTCTTCGAAGATCTCCCTAAACAGAAAGTTCGTGATATTGTAAGCTCTTTATGGCAAATGAAGGAAATGTTGGATGAATATTTTTCAATTACATTGAAAACCGATGACGACAGTGAAAACTTAAACCAAGTCCAGCTACAATCAATACCACTGTTGTTAAAAGGTTACAACCCTTCATTGGATAAGTTGCCACTCTTTATCCGTCGTCTTGGAACTAAAGTGAATTGGGAGAATGAAATTGATTGTTTAAATGCTATTCTTAAGGAAATCGCTTTACTATACGTACCACCGATCATTAAAACAATCGATCAAAATGATGGTAATCTATGTGATGAACAGAAGATTGCTTTTGTTAATAAATCTGAGTTACTTGAAACTACATTAGAAAATATTGTATTTCCTACCATTAAGAGGAGATTTCTTGCCACTAATAACCTTGTGAAGGATGTGGTTGAAATTGCCAACCTTCCTGGTCTTTATAAGGTTTTTGAAAGGTGTTAGTGGGGAGTAAGTTTAAAAAATCAATATATATATATGTATCAGTATTTTTTATTGTTTATAAAATATATTCACTATTTGAATTAGGTATTTATTCCTGGGGTAATATATATAATTAACTAAATAAGCTAATAATGCTGTGTTGTTTTTCAAATTCGTTTACAATAAATTTGAATTCAGAACTTTCTTTGTTTCTTGCAAAATATTCCTTGTCGTTTTCTTCAGTTTCATCATTAATAGTATCTGTGGCATCACCAAAGGAAGGAACACCCTTAACTAGTATTAATGTTCTATTACAGTACCTGGAAATTATTTTAATATCATCCTGAATAATTTTCAGCACAGGATGGTTCCAATTTGACGATGTGCCCTCTACTCTAACTTTTTCCCATATAATTTTCATGCTATTCAGTCGTTGCACTAAGTACGATAATTTTACACATTTTTCTCCTAATAATATAGGAAGAGCAAGAATTAGGTTACCTAAATCATTATTTAACTCTTCGATCTGAGGGTTGGATTCAAAAATATTATAAAACGCGTAGAACGGTACCATTCTCGAAAGAGACCTAATAATCAATGGATGTTTATTGAAAAATGTTAAACCATGATTCATATTTGTTTCAATGAGATGTACCATCAGTTGTAAATAATGAACAGATAATTGTAAAGAATCAGCCGTATCAAAATAAATAAAATACATTTTATGCAATTTCCAATAAATAGTAGAGAGGAGAAATGTACTTATGAATTTTTCAAACTGTGAATTAATCGATTTCTTTTCAAAATTTACGTTGCCTATTTTCTTTTCAAAAATCGAAAGCTCTCTCTTTATTGCATCAAAGGTTTTTATCTGTGGTTTAAATGAAGTGAGAAGGTATCTATCTAAATCCCTTTCTAACGAAGTGATTTTCCAACAGAGTGATTCAAAACTGTCTTCCTGTTTATAGATATCAAAATTTGGCATGTCTTGATAGAATGCAGCATGTTGCAACAAAGAAGGTATTTCCTTATGAAAACTATTATTTTTAGTAGGACTCTCTTGCTGGTAATCCTGTATGCACATACTCATCCATATCTTAGAGAAGACTTCTTTCGATAAATCAGTAGATTCATCATCGGTTGCAAGTTGCTTATATGAGTCGATGTTGAAAAACCTTGCAATATGGGCACATTGTGCTAGTAGTGTATCACGGAGGAAACAATCCGACAGCTGGAAATTAGTGGTGGATAATATCAGAAATGATTGTATAAATCTCACATCTGGATTTCGACCGTAATCTGCTTGTTGTAAAAAGTGTAAAGAACATTTAGTAAAACCTTGTACAAGAGTTAGTTGTAATGATTCAGACCATTGTTGATTTTCTTCTATACCTAATTGTTCACAGATGGGTTGTACTTCAAAACTTTCTGATATGTCATCGAGAGGCATGTAGTATACACACATAGAAAATATGGCCCAAAGTAATGAATTCCAATAATAGTCATCGATTGAAAACAATAATGCATCAGGCGTCTCTTTAAATTGTTGCCTTCTACTCCAATAAGTTTCCAATTGAACAAATAATTCACTGATATCACCAAGACTTCCAAAATATAAAGGACCTAAGTTTTCTACTGCAAAATTTAACAGTTTAAAAGAATCTTCGAGCTTTATATAATCCGTCCAAAAGGAACATTCTGCCAATTGAGCTTCCATACTAGGAAGTCTTTCGGTTATATCGATATTTTTTGTCTTGAATAGTCCAATATCGCTAATCCAATACTCATAACTCTGCCATAATCTTAAAATATTCAATGAAGAATCTTTTCCACTGCCTAGTTCTGGATTTTGGATAAAGTCGTTTGTTACAGCTTTGATACATTCGCTTTCTTGTCCTCTTCTGATACAATTACTACATGGTATTTGTCTATCACATTTAACCTTCCGTTTTGTGCAAACAGCACAGGCTTTCTTGCTGGTACGTGAGCCGGCCGAACTGCTCATGTGGTTCTGAAAATGTTCGAAGTTCTGTTGAGTCTTTGGTGAAATACAGCTCAAACCTCCAAATCATATCGATGAGTTCTAACGTTCTTCACAATTAATATTTTTAATGTTTATAGATGAGTTCATTGAAACTAATTACTTTTCGCGTATAGATCTCCTACATTAACTTCTTAGGAAGAGGCCGGACGAAATTTGATCGACGACTAGATATATATGATCGGTTTAATAACAACAGAATATTGATTTAAATAATATTGAAAACTATATAGAAAAAAAACGTTAATTAAGAATTGGCCTATATATATCTACCAGAAAACTCAATGATGTGGTACCATACTCATATGAACAGTCTTTGTCTGCAAGTAACTTTCAACACCATACCTACCCAATTCACGCCCAACACCACTCATTTTGAATCCTCCAAAAGGTACTGTCACTTCTTCATCGTTTGAGGAATTAATCCAAACTGTACCAGCTTGTACATCCCTTGCAAATCTATGACCACGACGAACACCTTCTGTGAATACAGCGGCAGCAAGTCCATAACGTGAATTGTTTGCCATCTTTATAACTTCACTATAGTGACAGAACTTATTAATGACAACAACTGGGCCAAATATTTCTTCTTGTAATAAAGCGGACGTTTCAGGAACATCTGTGAAGATTACCGGAGGAACAAAAAACCCTGAAGTTTCTGTTTTCAATGGTATTGGAAATAAGATATCTCTCTTACCCTCTGTGTGTTCAATATATTCCATAATTCGATCGTATTGAATTTGTGAAATAACAGGCCCTAGAGTACAATCTGGATTGAAAACATCGAAATCTGCAAAGGAGTAATGTCTTCTAGCATATTCTTTGAACTTGATCAAAAACTCATCATATAAATTCTCATGTACGTAAATGCGTGAATTGGCAGTACAATTTTGACCTGAATTGTAGAAAATACCATTTGCAGTCCAAGCAACAGCATTATCAACCTGTGCATCCTTGAATACAACTGCAGGGGATTTACCACCACATTCTAAACATACTTCTTTCATATTGGACATACCAGCACATTGTAAAATTCTACAACCAACAGCAGTACTACCAGTAAACGATATTTTGTTAACGTCCATATGGTTAGACAATGCCTCCCCGACAACTTTACCATAACCAGGTATGACATTGACTACGCCCTTTGGGAATCCTGCTTCCATAATTAATTGGGCGAAATATAATAATGACAGGGACGTATTTTCTGCTGGTTTAATCACTACGGTATTACCAGCTGCAAGAGCACCTTGTAATTTCCAACAAGCCATTGCTAATGGATAGTTCCATGGCACGATAAGAGCTACTACACCAAAAGGCTCCTTCAAAGTGTAACAAAACTTGTCATTACTTACTGGAATGACTTCACCATTTGTGTATTTACCTACTGCCCCGGCATAATAATTTGTTAATGTGATAACTTGTTCTAAATCAGACAACGCATTACTGTTGTAAGGTTTACCAGCATCGAGTGAATCTAATGCTGCTAGAATCTCCTTGTCACGTTCCAATAATCTTGCCAGTTTAAGCAATAAATCGCGACGTTCCTTCATGGGTCTCATTGACCATGTATATGTATAGACATCCTTTGCTATTTCAACAGCAGCATTGACATCCTTCTGTGTCCCCGCATAGAAAGAACCTATCTTCTTACCCGTCGCTGGATTATATGAATCGATCATACCCCCATCCGACGATGGAACAAATGTACCACTGACAAATATACCAATTGGTACTTTGATAGTCTTATTGAGTTGTGGGATGTTTATAGTCTGAAACAACATTAGGTAAATATAGATATATTGTAAACTTGAATTTCTATCTTATGGCCGATTTTAATATTTGTATTAATTGCACAGATTTTAGTTAATTTTCCCTATTCTAAACAATTCTGCGTTTCTTAAACAGTATCCTAACATCTATCTTGTCAAGTACTTGTAATATATTTCCTTTTTATAAATGACAGTTCCCTTTTGTTTCCCTTAAAAGATATTTTTCATCGGTCATATCTTACTAAACTTTCGAAGTCCGCCTTATCCCCCTTAATAATATCAAATCGTTTTATCATGAACACACTAATATAAAAATGATACCCACTTTTAGTACGTATCGAGATAAGTAAAAACTCTGACTCTTCTTAAATATATATATATATATATATATATTTCTATGCACTATTATGGATGTTTAAACAATGGAGAATAGTGATGAGTAGATACACATGTCTCATCACTGTTGAGAAATCATATGTTGCATTTCATCAGTAATTTCTTCCTCGTCTTCATCTGTTTCAATTTCTTCATCTCCTACATCCTCTTCATTGTTTTCATCCTCTGGTATTTCGTATTCGTCATAATCGTAATCATCATCATCAAAATCGTAGTCGTCTTTATCATCTGGAGAATTTCTTAAGCGGTTATTAGCGCTACTCCCAATAAGAGTCTTCGCACTGAGTCTTTTACTACTTCCAACAATCGGAATATTTCGACTACTTGTAGTAGAGTTCCTTGGATGGAATTTGAAAGCGTATGAACTTTCATTATCTGAATATGTAGGCGGTTCCATAGGTAATGAATTCATATTAATTTCTTCTTGTATTAATTTTGATTCTGGTGACGTACTAAACTCAAATCCCGGAGGAGGAGGTAATAATTTTCCATTCATATCTCTTAATCCTTCATCTGTAGCTACAATACCACTAGTACTATTTCTAATACTATCAGAATTTTCTTCACCATCGTCCTCATCATCGTTATCTTCTTCTCCGCTCTCTAGTAATGTATCTTGGCCGTAATTTTCATAAGAAGGTGGTGGTAATTTCATACCATTAATCTTAGCATATCCCCATTTCTTAACGTTTGCTTCAATGTAAACAAATCCGTAAGTACCAAAATTGACATGAACTCTACAAGGGACATTTGCACCAATTACAGGGTATAAATATTTGAATTTCCAACCACGAACATGTCCACCAACGGATTTTTCACTTAATTTTTTACCATTTCTAGTGAAAAATACGGTACCACTTCTAGTTCTATAACCAATACCAATGACATCTCCCTTTTGGAATGCAGGGAATAAATTTTGTAAGTGACTCTCTAACATGAAGGAATCATTTAAACGGCGACCCCCCGTGGAGTCGTATGCAATAGAATGATGATGTCTACCAGGTAATCTGAAATATGGGTAAGGTGATGTACTTAGACCGAATGAAATCAGTTCATTATTCTGAGCCTTTACATTACCCACATTAAACTCATCTAATGATTCTAAGGATGAAGCAAGGGAATGTACGTTTGATGTTCTATCATTTTCATCAATATTATCCATTAATGGTTGATTAGCTGAATTGTTATCCGCATGATTCGTTGCCAACGTTGTTGACGGTCCTGGATTCGTAATATTGTTAAGATTATTATTAATCTTACCATCTGGTGTATTAACCTCGAATATTTTAAATTCACAATAATATACTCTATTGATACAAGGAATTGGTAAATTTGTTGTGACAGACGCATCATAATTATAATTTAAGAATGATACTTCAGTTTTATTTTCTATTAAGATAGTATCATTCGGTAAGTTTGAATCAGGTTCAAATTCCCAAGCATTAGCACCTTCTTCTTCAATAAATTGTTTCGTCTGTTCATTTATTATCGGATCAATAATTTCATTTGATTCAGTAGGTTGATAATCTATCAAAATTGGTGGATTGTTTCTAATATATTCTTCACCTTGTCTATAATAAAACTGTTCCTCTGGAGATAATCTATCGATTTTCCCTCTAACTTCTTCTGGGTCATCGAGGACAGTCGGCCATCTCAAATTCATATTTTCTATAATTCTAGTGTTTCTATCTAAATCATGTTCACCACGGGTCAATGAGATTCGTTGATTTCTTGAACCATTTAATCTATCTGAGCCATTCACTACTCTGGAGAGAATAAATTTCACAATCAAATATATCACACATACCAAGAGATACATTAGGAACATTGTCCCCAACGAGAACAACATCACATTCAGATCAAAATCTTCTTCATCTGTATAATCTGTTTGATGATCTCTGGTCTTTATAGACACCCTGGCAAAAAGCGGAATAACCCCAGCATGCACCTGCCGACTCTCTAATATTATCAAAGTCAATATACTTGATATTTGTGGTAACATAATGTATTTGTGTGTAAATGTTTATAAACGCTTTTTGGGTGTGCTTGACTAAAAATAGGAGTTAAAAAACGAGAAACTGAAAAACTGACCTGTGGAATGGGATATATTTAGATGTTACGATGGAACTAACAAAACTCAAAATGAAATAATATGATTATTGTTTATTTTATTGTAATAAATAAGCAGGTATATTCAGTTTAAAAAGCAAATCAAACAATCTCTGTTCACTCTATCCTCTGTTGTAATAATAACCAAACGTTAAGAGAAAGATAAAATAAATAAATAAAAAATATTTTATTAAATGTGTTATAACTGTATCGAATAAATAAAACACAAACCTAACCCTCTTTAACCTTGAAAAGCGTCTTGGTCTTATAATATTTACACTCCTCTTAACTTCTAATAAATTAAACCGAAATATGTTTAATTCTTATATATATTACTAACATTTTCTATATGCCAATTATTACGTATCACACAGCAGTCTAGTATAATTTAATATAATTTGACTATATTGACCCCATCAAGCCCCTCTCTTTTTCCCATTCACTCTCACCGCGTGGATAGCAGGCGCAGACACACCACACCCACACCGCCAAAACACTCCGCTCCGCGAGATATAAATTTCTCGTTGCTGAATTCGAGTTGCAATATTCGCTGTGCCCTCTGCAAACAGAAACCGTAAACACCATATGCCGTATGCAGAGAGCTCCGAGGTGGTTGGACCTTCGCTTGTCGTTCAGTAAGAATACATATGCTACTATGTGACTAGAACGTCCCGCACCGTAGTGAGGTATCATATCAACATTTTGGAGGTTGTTAACTTAATCCGAACGAGGAACAATGAAATAATCACACTAGTTCATCCTTTTCTTTTGGCGTGTTTGGTGTGATGTTTACACAATAACCGTTTATACTTCCTTATCTAGTAACTAGAGGGGAGGGGACCTGTTAAGAGAATGTGTGTAAGTGTAAATACTTTAATATTTTTATTACGCATTGTATTTAGTTTTATCATGGTTGTCTTGTTTGTCATCTTTTGGGAGGGAGGGGGGAAATGTTATATACAACAATATATGTATGTATGTATGTATGTATGTATTAATCTACCTCGAGGTGTTCATGATAAATCAAAGCGAGCACCTGAATTTATAGAATATAATAATTTGGCACGCATTGTCTCTTTATCAGCATAATCTGGAAGTTTTAAAAGATTTACACATGTAGATGCAGTTGGTAATCTTGTCAAGTCTTCCCCTGCATTACGTATCCCGAATTTTGGATCTAGGGATTCAAATCCTTGTAATGGAGCCTGTGGAACAGATGTAACAAATTTTAAAAACTTACATCGTTCCTCAGATGTCATCTCATTAATAATATCCCAAAAGTTTGTAATAGTAATATCATCTTCAGTATATCCACCATACTCTGTGTTCTTTTGCAAATCAATAATATCAAAATCTTTTTTACCCCCAGAGATTAACATTTCTAATTCCTCAGGGTTAAACATTTCTAACCATATCGGTGGAATCATGACACTGAGACCTCTATGAAATGCAGTGACACCTTCAAGAAGTGATATATCTAATTTATATTCTGCAATCCTTAACACATATTTTAATATATTATGTTTATTGACTTTTGTCGTACTACCATTTGGAATCAGTTCAATGATATTCCCCTTGGAATCATTTATTTCAAAATATAAATCTAAGGATTCAATCTCTTGGGAATCTTCAATGACTAATAATCTTGTTAGTGTCTGGTACAATGTACTATCCAAACTATTTAAATCATCAAAAGTAGACCTGAACATATTCGAATAATTTAATAATTTCTTCAAGAAAAATCTAGAAAAATCAACATCAATTAGAACATGATCATATAGGCATTTCCCAACAATCTTACCCATGAATGATAATTGATCTAAAGTTACTGAATCTCCGGTAGGATTTGGATATAATTCATATTGTTCATTAGTGGCGAATAATCCATATTTGGGATCCTTAAACCCTTCATCTGCCACACTTGTTAAGAATTCCTTTGTGACACCACCTCCATCTATCCCTTCTTCGGGACCAAATTCATTAACAAATTTAACTGACAACGAAGATTTGAAAAGATCACCTTTATTATTGTATGCATCCATTGCATCTTCTAATATATGATCTCTTGAGATTGTTGAGGTCCATTTGCCTAACCGGCCAGGCATTAAAGCATTCATGAAAGATTGTGGTGAGTTATCATCTATACCTAATTCACGTTTATCAAGACCAATTAAAGTATAAAACATTTCAACACGTTTATCAAAATGAATGAAAAAGGGAATTCTAATAAGGATTTCTAATTTGTTTATATGACGGACTGGGGTATTTCCTAACCACGCTTCAATCATATGATTCAATGATTCAAGTTTTAAATTTCTTTGCGATAAAATTATCTCAGATGAAGAGTGTGGTTCAATAAAATCACTAACACTTTTATAGTAAGAATTAAATTGATCAATTAATTTGAAAATGGTAGTCTTTACAAATATTGGATCATTGATGGTCCAAAAATCAGAATCTGACTTATCGGAACAAAAATGGGTTCTAGAGTCACGAATATATATTTTAGTCAATAAATTTATTGCGACATCCGAGATCTTACCTCTCAGTTCTCTTGGTTTATTCCATAATTCATCAAAAACAACATCCTTTAACATGACAGAAAACTTCTTGATAGATGATATCGGTATCGAACTTTGATCACTAAACATTTCAGAATCCGTAGCTAATGCTAAATAAAAATTCAATAATTCAATCGCAATCTCTAGACTATTAATACTAGAGTCCCTGATATCCTCGATTGAAGAATATTTGAAAAGATCATTAAATATTTTTTCACACAACCGTTTATTCGTTAACAATACCACTAGTAAGTTATTTTTGTATCCAATATGAGTCAGCTTAGAAATATTGATATAAGATACTAGTGTTGATAATGGTACCATATCAGTGGATACCAAGCTTACCAATCGTTTGGAAAATGATGATTCAAACAAAGCTATATTGAATGTATTATAAAATGGCATATTATCCATTGTGTTAATGCCAGTATAGTACGTTAGAACCTCTATCAATTTATTCTCTATGTAATCTTTGTCTTGTACTATTGTATGAAGAAAAGAGAGATTGTTGAATACAATTCGTAATGATTCCTGATCCAACGGTGTCATCGTTGGTATCAATTCATTTTCCACAATTATTGGCAGAAGGGTTTGAATCGATAATGAATTGATGTTGTCCTTTATCACTAAAGTCATCAGAGGGAGTATTATACTTCGTATGGTATCAACGTTGAGTTTTAACTTTAACAATGAGAAAAAAATTGGTAATGTATTTGTTAAATTAAAGTCAAAATTGTAATTGTTGGTAATGAATGGTAAAAACCCAATCTCTATAAATTCATTCCCATTTATTAATTTAAAATTAATTATATTAATGCATTCTGGTAATATATCTCCAGTTGGCAATTTGCTCAGTAATAAAAATATTTTTTGATTGATTAAACTGTTGGGATATTCCTTATAATAAGTTTGGTATTTTACCAGTAGCCTTTTCAAATGATTTATAGGTATATAATAAAGTAATTTATAGCCAAACACCGGAAATAGGCTTACATCATTTCCCAATGTGTCATTCATGAGATTAATTGTACTGTCCATGTACTGGGTTTTGAAATATTTTCCAACGTCTAGATATTTTCGAATATTTTTTTGCAATTTAGTCACAGCATTGTTTTCTTTACGTTCTTGTGCTCTTTTTGCCCTATCTCTTTCTGCTTTTAGCAATATATCTCTTTTGGATGACTTGGATCTAGAACCTAAATTAACATTCCTTCTCCTTGTCTCACCTGTAAAATTTAGCATTCTTTTTGGTTTTATATTTTTTCTATAGGGTTCCTCTAAGAAAAAAGAATAATTTGTATATAGATATTACACCTTATATAATATATATATAAATATATATATATATATATTAATAATTGTGATGAATTAACGTTAAATGTACTATTACGGGGTTTATCCTTTAGTATGACCTATTTCCCACCTTAATTATCTCAATATAATATTAATATATGTGATGGTTACATAATTTTCCAAGGGAAAAGCCGACGCCACCAATTTTCCACCCATCGTTAGATGTTGGTTGTGCGAGAATACCGCACGCAACTACATTTAGAGAGATATTAATATATTTTGAAATCGAACCATTACCAATACAGTTGGATAGTCTGTATAATTTCTTGTTTGGTTATTGATATATATGCTAGACTACATGGTTATATAATAGGATATACAGAGTTGATCGGCAGGATTAAGAAGTTCACGGTATGTTTCTGTGTTGATGTGATAGCAACGAATCAAATCGGAAAGAAACATTTCGGTTATCATGTATCATCACAAAAAAGGATTTATACATCCTAGTAGTATATACTTGAATGTTTCGCTTACTTAAATATAAGGGGAGCGCATTGATGTGGATGGAGTAATCGTTTCCCTTGGGTGTAAAACGTTAAATGAAATAGTATCATTGTCTCTCACGTAGACTTCTTCTTCTTCGTGGCCTCTGCAACTAACTCTTCAAATACCTGTGCTTCTTCTTGTTCAGTTTTTGTCCTATATGAATTCTGAAACACTTTACCTAAAATTTTTAGAGATTCAGCTCTCCTTATCCTTGTATTAATTGGGATAGATTCATCATCTATTACTTTGCTGACTACACTTTTCAATGTAGACATAATTTCAAATTTGGAACCATGCCATGCCGCAGATAAAACTTTACCCATAAGTAGCTGTTCTTGTTCTGCCATTTGTTCAGGTGTAGGCTTTAATTGTTCATTCCCATTTTTGTCCACTAAAGGTGTATCATTTTCATTAGCTTCTTTCATCTTCTCTAGCTCCTTCATTGTATTTTGAGCATCTAATGCAGCAGAAACTGTTCTCAGTGTATCCATCACTAAACCACCTTTAGCCTTCACAGAATGATACATGCCACCAAAACCAAAAAAGTTTTGAGAACCTAGGAATATTCTAGCTTGCTCACAATATATGTCACCTATTGTATGTAAAATATCCAAACCAAACGATTCCATCTTTAATAGATTAGCTTCTTCTTCAAATTTTTTTTGGAAAGATTCTTTGCAAGCGGTATCATAAACACTCTCGGTTAAAATAGACAATCTTTCTGTAAGGGTTTTACTTAAGTGTTCTACCATTTTTTCCTTTTCAATGGCTTGTTCTTCTTCATATATCTCCAGTTTAGTTTTCTTCTTTGGTTTTTCTTCTTGTGAGTTGGTTACGTCTGTCCTCGAACTAGTGTTACCAGTAGTATTGCCAGCCGAGTGGCCCACAGATGTTTCAACGACACTTGCTGGAGCACTGGTTTTTAAATCGGTTTTAGTCTCAGAGGTGGAAATTGGTGCAGATGGAGTTGCATTTTCTTGTTGCTCCTTAGCTTCTTGTTCTTCTTTTTCTCTTTGTTTCTCTTTTTCGTCTTCAGCTGATAACTCTTCTGTTTTCTGTAGGTTCTTCAACAATTGCAATTCACCTATATATGAGGCAAACGCATCACCCCCAAAGATAACTGAGAACTGCTCCGCAGCATCCTCAAATCCACCTTGTGGAACAGCTTCTTTCTTACCGAATTTATCATACTTGGCCCTCAGTGCTTCATCACTTAGGACTTGGTAAGCTTCAGAGATGGCTTGAAATCTTTCAGTAGCTGTAGGATCGTTTGGATTCTTATCTGGATGTTCTTGAACGGATTTTTTTCTGTATGCCTTCTTGATCTCTACTGCAGTTGCTGTAGCTGGTACGCCTAATAAATCGTAGTATGCCGAATCTACAACCATCTTTTTATTTGTTTCTTGGTATTCGATTACTTAGGTATTCTAGTGTAGCCAAATAAGTTTCCTAATAATATGTTAGTATATTACTTATGAACCCTAATTTGAGATATCACGATTGTTCTATGTGTCAAAACTTCAATTAATTTCTCTGTTGATTACTATTGAGCAAGTTCCTAACCCCACTAACTAAACAACCTTCTAAAAAATAATAAATTCTACTGATTATTCAATTCCTAAATATTATGGTATGTACTAATACATATATATATATTGTATGACTTTATTGTTAGTATTAATGTTCAAGAAAACTAATCAACTTCTAACTAATTATTTCTCTTATTTGTTGTCGTGTAGTTTTAATTGCTGATATAAATATATATATATTTTTTCTTCCGCTTACAATAGGTTGTCTCGGATACTCATTGCAGATAGAGATTACTATGTAAGTCAAATTTTAAGAAGGCAATATTGCTATACTCAAATAAGGAGAAGAACAGTAAATAAGTTACAGCATCCGTCGATAGATGTATCTACTATAGATTTATTGGTGATGTCAGTACTAGATATATTGCGTAAGCCTAATTTTGTGGTTTTATTAATATGGAGGTTAATTAACGCATTAGCTGTAAATACTTTCTTCCAAGCCGATGAGTTTTGGCAATCTCTCGAACCAGCTCATGTAAAAGCTTTCGGTTATGGCGAATTAACTTGGGAATGGAAATTAGGTATCAGAGGATATGCTTTCCCATTTTTATTTGAACTCTGTTACAGACTTGTCAAAGGCATAACCTGGATATTAAAACTTTGGAATGTTGACCCACAAATCCAAGAAATAATCGAATATAACAGTACCATGTTGTTACCAAAAATTTTAATGGCGATATTGGGTGCTGTTGGTGAGTATCACATGGTTATTCTCGTTCGAAAACTATTTGTTATGTCAATGGAAAATCACAAGGATGAAGATAAAGGGATGGAAGAGAATAATTCTTCCGATTATCATTGTACATTGGGGCAAGCAACTTTGATTGCAAATGTTATATCTATGACAAACTTTTTTAACTGGTTTGTAATGACAAGAACCTTTGTTAATTCCTTCGAAACGATATTAACTAGTATTGCTCTGTGTCATTGGGATTGGACTGGAGGAGCATTCATTCATACTTCGGAATTTTCTTTAGCGTTATTTTGGGGTATAATGGCCTCTTTTGTTCGTGTATCAAATACTTTAATATGGTTGATATTAGGAGGCTTTTTGATGCTTTCTATTATAAAGAAAAGAGAATATTCAAAACTTTTCTATTTATTCAAGAAAATTGTTGTTGTATTTGCAGGTGTACTATTCTTGAATGTCGTAATTGATTTCTATTTCTATGGAAAACTTATATTCCCAATTTTTAGATTCTTAAAATTTAATTTCACAAGTCCATTGTCCAAATTTTATGGAACAGCACCATGGAATTTCTATTTATTTCAAGGTATTCCAATTATGACTGGTGCAGCGTTAATCCCACTCATTTACGGTATGCGTCACTCATTATCATCCAGAAAAGCCAGCCCCATCATGTATGCACCATTTGTTCAAATGAAATTTGTTGTATTATTAAACGTTATCGTTTATTCTACATTGGCTCATAAAGAATTCCGATTTATTTATCCTTTGCAACCATTTATGTTAGTGATAGCTACTTTTGGTTACCAGCGAATTAGAATTGTCCTCGCAAATTATATGAAACTGGTCAATTACATAAGTGGACTAATTGTGATTTTTACAATGTTTGGAGCATTTATTATCAGTAATTATCATGAATCTGGTGTAATCTCTGTTGTAAAATATCTCCATGAAATACCTAATGTTGATAGTGTCGGTTTTATTATGCCATGCCATTCGACACCATGGCAATCTTATTTGCATAGAAACGATATTAAGGACCTATGGGCCATAACATGTAGTCCACCAATACATTTGTTAGATGATCCACAAGCTGATGAAAAATTGAAAAGTTATATGGATGAAAGTGATTATTTATACAAAGATATTCCTAAGTTTATAAAGGATCACATGGTGAGTCAGAAACCTACCAAGGATATGATGCACACAGATGATGTTCATCAATGGCCTGAATATGTGGTCATATTCCAACATTTGGATGAGAATTTCATGCATGAATATTTGAAGAATTCTTCGTACCGAGAGGTCAAACGATATTTCAATTCAATAAGCCATTGGGATAATAGAAGAAATGGTGATGTTATTGTATATCATAAAAAATTTCAATAAGCATATATAAGGTATATATACCGTGTTCTGTAATTCAACACCTTAAGGATGTCACTTGCGATATAATGTCTAATTAATACTGTTTCTGCCGCATCTAATGATTTTTGCAGAACGAAAAAAATATAAACTACGAATAGAATAACAGTTCTTCGAACCATGAAAGAAATACATGTGTAAGATCTAAAATAAATAAACCAACAGAAAGAGAAAGGTGTTCCAAAACGTAGGGATTGTCAACTTCTTGAAATATATTCCAAATAAATAATTACTGGTATGTCGCTTAGTCTTAGTGGTATTAAATGGTTTACGAGGAAACCAGTATTGTTAAGGGTTATCCCTCGACACTCTAGAAGATTTCAATCACAATTAAGCGATGAAACAATCCTTAATGAAACGTTACAAAGAAAGGAACTACCGGCCTCCCTCATAAAAAAGGCTCAGTTATATGGAAAGGAATTTTTAGATCTGGAGCAGAAGCTTTCTAAAGGTGAGAATTTTAACGTAGATGATCAAAAACGATTTGCCAAATGTTCATCGATCGCAGAAACTTTAAAAGTTTATCAAAATTCTCTCTTAGAATTGAATGAGTTAAATGAGATGATAAAGATGGATCCATCTCTGAAGGAGGAAGCAGAAATGGAGATTAATACGAAAATTCCTAAATTTAATGAAACTTCAAACAATCTATTGAGTAAACTTATACCTACCAATCCATTTGCAGATAAACCGTGCATTATGGAATTACGACCCGGCGTGGGTGGAATAGAAGCAATGATCTTTGCACAGGATTTGGCATCTATGTATTTGAATTATGCAAGTACTCATCATTGGAAACATCATATAATTTCACAACAAATGAATGAAAGTGGTTCCGGCATTCTTAGTTCAGTATTGAGTATAGATCAACCGGGATCATATGAACGCTTACGATTAGAGGCTGGGGTACATAGAGTGCAAAGGATTCCTGCCACAGAAACAAAGGGAAGGACGCACACGTCTACTGCTGCAGTTGTAGTCCTTCCTCAATTAGCTGATGATTCGGAAAAATCAACAGATGCTTATGAACGAACTTTTAAGCCAGATGAGATAAGGGTTGATGTAAAGAGAGCTAGTGGTAAAGGTGGTCAACATGTCAATACAACCGATTCTGCTGTAAGACTTACACATTTTCCATCTGGGATTGTTATTTCAATGCAAGATGAAAGATCTCAGCATAAGAATAAAGCTAAAGCTTTTACCCTGTTGAGAGCTAAGTTGGCTGAAAAGGAACAGCGTGAAAAGGAAGCTGCTGGAATTGCAGCAAGAAAGGAACAAGTCACTACAACAGATAGATCTGATAAGATTAGAACATATAATTACCCGCAAAATAGAATTACAGATCATAGATGTGGGTTCGCCATTCATGATATTCCCGGAGTTATGGCAGGTGATAAACTAGATGAAATCATAGATGCCACGAGAATTTATGAAACCGATGAAAAGGCTAAAACCTTGCTTGTTGACTGATCAAATAAAACAAGATTAACAAAATTTGGGAACTTAATTTAAATATTCATTGTTGATATATAATCTTTACGATCATAATCATGATCCGAACATTCTGTGCCTAGTACGAAGTGCTCACAGGAAACGTTGTAGGTAAAATAAGGCAAAATTACTTCACACCAGATCACTTGACTAAAAAATTTGGAACGAAACATAAACGCATATGTAACTGTAAATAAAAATGTGTAACCTTATTCATATATTATGTGTATATATTAAACTTAATGTAATTATTTTAGCCTCTTAAGATAAGGCTGTGCAAATTGTTGAAGGATATGAAATTTCGCGAAGTACTCAACTAAACAAATGTTGAAGCAGATGAGATTAGCGCATCAGTAGTTTGACGTGAATTTAGTATTGTCTGTTGGATCTTAAAAAAGATACAATAGATTTCATTTGGTTATTGACAGAAATAAACAACAATTGATCAGTTCAGATAATTTAACTATCTAAAACATATCATTTTAAAAAACTATTATTCGTGTTAAAAAAAGATTAAAAGCAGATGCTCGATGGATATTAATCATAATGTGTATTCCAAGAATTATAGGGTTTTATTTCATAATAGGTCAGCTCTGAAAATTGGTGAAATAGAGAGATACGTTATTACTTATGACTTATATCAAGGTGAAACTCTTCCAGAAGATTTAACACTGGATTCTCTTTGGGTCAAGGTTAGAAATATCGAAGCTCTTTCGTACAGGGCAGCTTACTTGATGGGTCCATATGCATTATATTGCGATGTTAGAACAGGTGCCTATCATCACTCCCAAATGATTTATGCGTCAGTCGATCGACCACAGTTCACATCTAACCTTCAAGCTCAACAACAAAAGATTGCTGAATTATCATTACATAGAATTCAAAAAAAATATACTTGGACAATTGATATCGTGAGTCAGGTACTTTTCTCTACAAATACTAATGTTACATATGAAATTACCATAAGTAATTCTGAACGATATTTAAGAATGAATGACTCATCTAATTTAATTCCAAGTATGGACTTGTTATGCTCTAGAATGAAGGTATCTAGAATTACTACAGCTGATATTTGGAAATTACCTTCCCAACTTATCCCTGCAAAGAAAAAGAAGCATTTGGTATTATTGACTCATGGATTGCACTCAAACGTGTCAGCAGATATGGAATACATTCAGGAACAAATATACAAAATGCAAACTTCAGAAGATAAGGAGCAATATGTTGTTGATGGGTTCACAAAAAATGTATGTGAGACGGAGAAGGGTATCAAGTACTTAGGTAGGCGTCTTGCGGAGTATATCATCGAAGAATTGTATGACAATTCTGTCTGTAAGATATCATTTATTGGACATTCATTAGGTGGTCTCGTTCAAGCTTTCGCGATTGTTTATCTTGGAACAAAATATCCTTGGTTCTTTCAAAATGTCGAACCTATTAATTTCATTACGTTGGCGTCACCTTTATTGGGTATTGTCACAGATAATCCTGCTTATATAAAAATTTTGTTATCACTTGGTGTGATTGGTAAAACAGGACAAGATCTTGGACTACAATCAAACGATCCACATGAGTTACCACTGTTGTATTTATTATCTGGTGAGCCATTAGCTAGTCTGTTATCTAAGTTCCGGAGACGAACAGTTTATGCGAATGCCGTTAATGATGGTGTAGTACCATTATATTCGGCGTCATTATTATTTCTTGATTATGAGGATACTCTGATGAGTCTAAACGAGATTGAAAGCAAGGTTCAAGAAAATGCCATGATTCCACATAATATTTCCACTCTTCAACAAACAAAATCTTCATCTTTTGATAAATTTTGGAAAATTTTAAACCCGAATAACATGTTTCAAACTTCAGAAGCAATCCCAAAGGTGTCACTTTTTGACACAGCCTCATCAATTTTACTACCTCCAGACCCAGATATGACATATATTACAAAGCCAAATTCTCGATATTCAGTAATTGTGCATGACAAATTATATTCGAGTAGTGATATTCCTCAAGAGGATAGTACTGGTGATATTAATCTGATAAAAAGTAACAACGTATTGCTACAAGCGTTCTCTGTAGGTGATGAAGAACGTAAAAGATATCAAAAATTAGAAGAATTAATTGCCCGTCGCTGGCATAAAGGAATGACTTGGAGAAAGGTTGTCGTAGCTTTAAAGCCAGATGCACATAATAACATAATTGTTCGTAGAAGATTCACAAATGCATATGGTTGGCCAGTTATCGATCACTTAATGGAAAACCATTTCATAACAGAGGATTCGGTTGTGCCAAATCGGGACACATTCGATATCCAGCAAATTCTAGACGAAAATGATTTATCCTGGATTTTCAATATTAATGAAAGTAGTATATTTGATCAGGGGCCAGCTGGTATGATCTCTACTGTAAATGATATGTTTGATACAATATCAAAAAGAACTTTGGCAAACATAAGTACTGCTATCGAAGAGAATGAATTAAACCCTGAAGACGATGTTGTTCGATACGAAGAAAAAAACACCGACTTATATGGGTGACTATTATTTATCGTACTCTTTATATAAAAATATTATTTATATATTGTGTTTACAGTGTTTAACAATTATATTCCGCATATTTAAACTATATTGTTTAAGAGAATCCTGTATAAGGCATCCTGTATATCTGAATCACTCAAAAAATTGATCTTCATATCCTTTTTTAGGTCAGAAAAATCTCCATTTTTGATATAGCCCTTTTGAATGTATATTTCGGCTAAAGTATCATATTTAAGACGTAAGATGGTCAACAATTCCCTAAGAGTATCACTTTGGTAATTATGGATATCCCCTGGTAGGTTTAATGTGTCCTTAACTGCCTTGAAATCAATTTCAAACTGGAGAAGACCCTGTTTATTAAATTTATTTAATTTCAATATGGACTCAATAAAATAATTTACTAATCGGTTTAATAATTCATTTTTGATATTAATACTGATTTCAAATGGAATATTCAAAGAGTCTAAATTTGAAACAACTCTTTTTAGCATAGTGATACAATTGATTAACTCAGCTGTAGGGGTAATATGTTCGTCGATTGTAGATTCAGTACTTATCCAAGTATTGACTTTAAAGTAGTTTTGGAGTGCATCTTTTGATAATTTTTGAATTCTGTGGATAATTGAACCTTCTAAATCGTTCTCCATATTATCCCTGAAGGAATTCAACACGTCTTGGAAGACGGATACATATCGCCTGGATTCGCTTTCATTTACAAGTGATGTTAATTCAATGAAAATAAATTGTTGAGATAATTCGTATATCTTTGTATGGGCAATGTGTAATATCTGTAACTTAGTCATTGTTTGAAATAATTCATCGATTTTATTGTGACTTTCATCAAGAGAATCCGTAGTCATAACATATTCAAGATATTCTGTAGATAATCGTAAAAATATTTGAGAGCAGGTTTTCAATTTAAGTTTATCAAGTTTGGAATTATTCAATCCATAAAATGGTTCTAAATAATCATATACTTTCTTAAGTAATTTGCAAAAGTTTTGAACTGATGGGATTAACTCCTTAGGTGAGTTAGTAATGGTCTCAAATTGTTTCTTTGTAGTTGATATCTCAAACTGCAACCATTTATTCCAACTTTCTTCTGACACAAGAGAAATAAGACCTTTTCCATGGTAAAAATACTGACTGGCTAAATTTTTGTCGGTTGATATAATTTGGGAGATAAGCGTTATGAAAGTCTTAACGTCATTCTGTAGAAGTGATACATTTATTTTTTCCCTGATTGGATCTAAAATATGGTTAATAAACTCTTCGTGGATTAACTGTTTCGTAAGACCGATTGACTTATCTTCGAAAATGCTTATACATTTGTACAAATTATTGTTGAGATAATCATTCAAGAACTTGAAATACAGATTAATGGTAGAAGAATTGTTATGAAAATGATAGGTAAATCTAATTTTAAAATTATTAGAAATGGATATGAAATTCCACATGGCTCGGTTTTCAGCATTGAAGTATAATTGTGTTAGTTTGAAGAGTAAAGAAGAAGTTTTATTTAACCTCTCTACAGTTTCAGAGTCTGATATAACAAAATGCTCAGTATCCCATTTGGAATTAAATAATTGCTGGTTGTAATCTATGGCAATGTATTCAGCATATCTGGATATCATTCTTTTATCGAACGAGTCTAAAGTTAATGTAAGTAACGGACTTTCTATCAAAACATTACTATCAGCGATTTCCTTTAATTTTCCGTGTAAGATTGCAATTTCATAAAAAGAAAGATCTTGAACATTTTTAGAAATTAATTCATCTAATTCGTTCTTTACATGTTCCAATTCTAATATCTTATTTTCAATTAGATTTTGCTCTGTAAATTTCACTTCTAACTCATCGAATGCTTTCAAGTTACCAAATTCGTTCCTTAACCTCTGAACATCTAAAACATTCTCACAGGATTTTATTTGTTCAGCTATACTTTTGTATAAAGAAGTTTTCTCAGAATCAGAAAGGATCTTCTGTTGGGCTGTATTTAATTGAACTGCTAGATTTGATCTTTCCTCATCAATGACACCTATTTCGGTATCTATCTCGAGTAAATCTTTGACATTACTTAGCATTGCGTGATCTGTATTCGACAACTTCAATGTGACCAGTACAACAACGAAAATTTTAATGGGCTTTTTTTGCAATTTTGATGCCAATTAAAATATGCAATTTATTTGTTAAATATTTTTGAATTCACGTATGTTTACCTAATGTTGGCGGGTCGTAGTTTTCGTTCTGCTGCAGTGTTCCTTTTTCTGATGGACCGAAACCCTAAATGGTTATTATTCTGAAACCCCATATAAGCTCTTGTGTCACAATATTTTTATGACATGAAATAAAACATCAGTACATTTCGAATACTTTGATAATAATTAAACAAAGTCATTGATAAAAGGTTAACTGTAGAGAAGTAAAATAATTTTAATTATTCTAGGTTCAAAAATGATTGTTAACACTATTCGATTTGTCATATTTCTTCAACTAACGGCAGCCATATCGTTTACATCCAAGGAAAAAAGTCATAAAGATCATAAAGATATCAATGATAATGTTTTAAAGATGTTTTTACCAGCTATAAAATACACCACTTCACATGAAACTAAGGATACCTACTGTGCAATATTGAACACCACTTTCAACAACAATAATGAAGACCTTGTTTTGACATTTAACGTTCAAGATAAGAAACAAGATGCTTATGATTATGAGAGGTTTGGTCAAAGTAGTGAGATGAGAGGTAAACAGGTAGTTGATTTTTTCGTTTCTGGTATTGAAAGTAAAGATTTATATCGGTCAAGAAGAGGATTAAAGAATGGTGAAACAAACATCGTAATTTCACCTAATCATGAAAATTTATTTAAATTATGTTTCCATAATTTTGTTTTTGATGGTTCTTGGAATTCTATAGATATTGATAAATACGTGACAGTAGTTGTATCAAAAGTTGATCAACGTGAAAATGATGTAGCATCGTATATATATACCGCTTTCCAACCTGACACTCAGGAAAGAATGATGGATATTATCGTTGAATTAGATGAAATTACTGGGAGTCAAGGCAATAAACAAATGCTACAAATAGAGGAGTTCATAAGGAATAAAAATGAGAACACATTTGATAAACTGCTTTATGAAATGGTTTCATATACATTTGTTGTGATAATATCTAGTATAGTACAAGTATGGTATATAAAAAGAAAGGTGTTCAAGTAAAAACCATTAGAGAGCATATAGATTGCTGTATTTGAGGTTAAATTTTAAAAATTATAATAATGTGATTGCAATGTTATATTATGTAGGCCTAATGTAGTACAGCAATTGGAACATTTTTATACCATCGTCATATTGTTTAATTACTAGGGTTAATCAGAAGCCCTGATTAGGAGAAGCGCGCCGCCTTACGATATTACTTACAATTTTTCAAATATAAAAAATTTCAAGATGAGGGCAGTTCTATCTCTAGTTAAAAGGACCAACGTTCATAATATATTAAAATAGTAAATGGAGGTAACAAGCTAAATATTATCACTTGGGTATCTTAGGAATTCTTAACCAATATCACTTAATTAAAGTATTATTTAAGAAGTTCCTTCTATCTATTCACATATTGTTCCATTGATTGATAAACTAAGAATGACTTTATCCGTAGCAGAAAAATCATACCTATACGACTCTTTAGCCTCTATTCCATCTATCAGACCAGATGGCAGACAACAACATCAATTTAGACCTATCGAGATATACACAGATTTTTTACCAAGTTCTAATGGTTCTTCTAGAATAATAGCAAGTGATGGTAGTGAATGTATTGTAAGTGTGAAAGCCAAGGTTGTTGATCACACTATAGATGATGACCTATTACAAATTGAGATAGAAATCTCAGGTGAAAGGGATGATTCTTTAATAACTGAAAGTTGTACATCTTTATTTAACAAGTTATTAAAAAATATTGACATGAAAAAATTACAATTAACAAAAAAATATAGTTTTAAGTTATTCATTGATGTATTAGTTATATCTTCCAACTCAAACCCAGTGTCATTAATATCATTTGGTATATATTCTTCGTTAAACTGTACATTATTACCTAAATTGGTATCAAATTTTGATGATTTGGAAGTTGAAGAATTGCCAATGTTCCATGATTATGATCTAGTCAAATTAGAAGTTGACTCACCGTTGGTATTTGTATTAGGAATTGTCCAAAACAATATATTTATAGATCCTGCAGCAAATGAAAGTGAAGTCGCAAACAATGGTCTTATGATTAGTTGGATAAATGGAAGAACTATTGCTCCAATGAGAACATTCGCATTGAATGATACTAACACAAAAGGGTTTTCCCCAAAACTGATGCAAGAAGGTATAAAATTAGTTGAAAAATATGCCCCTGATATAGCGAACGCATTACAAAATATATAAGAATAATAGTAATCTTATATTAATATAATATCTGTGTATATCTCTATTAATGTATAAACATGAAATATCTTGAAATTATTTTAATATTTGTTTCTGTAAAATTTTAACTTTCCGTGACTGTTTTACAGATGTTTGGGTTTATGTCTGGGTGTTTGAAATAATTATATTTTATTATTTTTTATAAAATTTTGAAATGGGAAAAGTAAAAAGGACAAATTTATTATTCAATTATACGTATTTTCTACTAGTTGAGGCACCGCGAAAAGTGAAAAATTATGAGACATCGCGCAATATAGAAAATAATAAGTATTAGTGCTTTCTAGTATTCTTCCTCATAATGAGGAAGGAAGACATCTCGAATGTTATCCACGTAAGAAACAAAGAGGTAGATTGCAATTCTGTAATATCAATTAATGCGTAGTGAACTTTGTAAACCCTTCTGATAGTAGATGATATGCTATCTTAGTGGTTTCGTAAGTATGACAATACTTACAGTAATCCAAATAGTGTATATCAAAAATAATCAATTTTATGTAAATAGTTGCAATACCTTGTATATAGCAATTGTATATAATTTTTTTTATATTTCTTAAAAAGTAGAGATTTAATATATCAGCCGATTAAAACCAAAGATGAAGTACATTCAAACTGAACAATCCATTGCTATCCCAGAAAAGGTCACTGTTGCCATCAAGGCCAGAATCGTCAAGGTCACTGGTCCAAGAGGTACTCTAACCAAGAACCTAAAGCACATTGATGTTACTTTCAACAAGATTGACAACACTTTGATTAAGGTTGCTGTTCACAACGGTGACAGAAAGCACGTTGCTGCTCTAAGAACCGTCAAGTCTTTGATTGACAACATGATTACTGGTGTCACCAAGGGTTACAAGTACAAGATGAGATACGTCTATGCGCATTTCCCAATCAACGTTAACGTTGTTGAAAACGATGGTAAGAAGTTCATTGAAATCAGAAACTATCTAGGTGACAAGAAGGTTAGATTAGTCCCAGTTAGAGAAGGTGTTACTATTGAATTCTCTACCAACCAAAAGGATGAAATCGTTCTATCTGGTAACTCTGTTGAAGAAGTTTCTCAAAACGCTGCTGACATTCAACAAATCTGTAAGGCTAGAAACAAGGATATCCGTAAGTTCTTGGATGGTATCTACGTTTCCTCCAAGGGTAACGTTGTTGAAGAATTATAAACGGTATAAATATATATAAATTTTTTCTCATTTAATATATTTTATGTATCTAACACTATTTTAATAATAACTCATCACAAATCTAATAACCATATATTTTGTAAGTCTATGTTGCAATGATTTTATGGGCCAAAATAGGTAAAGCGCAACACTAAATTTGATTCTTAATATTATTTATTCATAATTCGATAATAATTACGTAAAGATCTATATACGAGGGTGGATGACGTGGAAAACCTACTTTAAAAGTTCAATCATTTTTATAAACCATATTGTCTGGTCGATTATCTTTCTTTTCTTAATGGGTAATACTTCTAGCATAGTCTCTTGATTTTTGAATCAATAGAGCATCGGCTAAAACTAGAGCAGTCATGGCTTCAACGATCGGAATAGCACGAGGAGTTACTGCAGGGTCATGTCTACCCTTAGCGGCTAAAGTACCGTCATTACCATCGTAGGTACAAGTATGTTGTTCTTGAGAAATAGTAGCGACGGACTTGAATGGAACGGAGAAGTAGATATTTTCACCGTTTGAGATACCACCTTGAATACCACCGGAATTATTTGTCTTGGTCCTTAGTCTTTTAGATTCTTCATCGTAGTAGAACATATCGTTGTGTTTAGAACCTGGAACAGAAACACCGACGAAACCAGAACCGATTTCGAACCCCTTTGAAGCTGGGATGGATAACATAGCATGAGCCAATAGAGCCTCCAATTTATCGAAACAAGGTTCACCTAGACCAGTTGGTAAGTTTCTGACGACACAAGTGACGACACCACCGATAGAATCTTGTTGACCTCTGTAATGCTCTATTTCTTTAACCATATCACCAGCTACAGAAGCATCTGGACATCTAATAAAACCCATAGCATCAACTTTAGCTCTAGTGATTGTGTTTAAAATATGTTGGAAGTTTGGATCGAAAGGATCTCTATTCATTTTAACATTACCAATTTGAGTGACAAAAGCTACAATCTCTACATCAGAGACTTGTTTTAAAAACTTTTCAGCAATACCACCAGCGGCAACTCTACCGATAGTTTCTCTTGCTGAGGCACGACCACCACCAGAAGAAGCCTTAATACCATATTTTTCAGAGTAAGTGAAATCTGCATGACTAGGTCTTGGGTATTTATCCATCTCTGAGTAATCATGAGGTCTATGATCTTCATTTTTCACTATCATAGCAATGGGAGTCCCCAAAGTCTTACCAAACTCAGTACCAGATTGAATTTCAACACGGTCCTTTTCATCTCTTGGAGTGGAAAGTTTTGATTGACCAGGTCTTCTCCTAGTCAGTTGTGGTTGTAGATCTTCTTCAGTCAAGGACATTCCAGGAGGAACACCATCAACGATACAACCGACAGATTTACAATGAGATTCACCATAAGTGGTGACACGGAACAACTTACCGAAAGTAGACATTATTACTATTTTATTTTAACTATTATGAGTCTTCTATTTGTAAGATAAGCTATAAATAAGAGAAGAGATGACACTGTTTCGTTATTCTAAAATTTATATAAATGTATATCTGTCTGTTATATATAACAATTTCATAGGTATGTCAATTCCCATTGATGGATCCTATATTAATTACATAACAAAGGATTCATATTATTTTCACGAAGTTTCTACAACTCTTCTCTTCCCGCGCCTTCGCTTAGTAAATAAGTTTTTTCATATTTCCTCCTCTGGTCCTGCGCACATCTTACTGAACACACCAATACCGAATATACAGTTTTTTTTCTTTGTGCCCGATGATTCATACTTTTTTATATATATGGGGTGTATATGTTCGTGGCAAGTGACATCACAAACTGGGAGTCACGTGCGGGGTTCAATATTATGGCTTGCTATTTTGATGTAGCGAAGTAAGCGACTGGTTTAAAGGGAGGGTGGGGGTATCTCCCTTCCCTCATTCAGATATATACATATATACTAATATGTCAAGAGGGTGAGTGGCAACTTTATATGGTGGTAAAGAGTCTTATTTCCAGCAGTTTTTATCGAAACTGAGTCATTACATGTGTATATATTCGTATCTGGAGAGATATATTGAAGCAATATTTGACAGTGATCGACTCTCTCATCGGGTTAATATCAACATTAACTCTGTACTATATATCTCGCTCTCTCTCCATATATCTTGCTACGCATATCACATATTACATGTCTTCCAGCCACCATCCTACGTGTTTACCATGATATTCTCATTATCTCATTCATTATTGATGTGTGTGCTCAGTGACCCAATCCAACTCACCATAAAAAAGTAGAAAAAATGACATTCCAAATTTAAAGCGTGAAAAATCAAAGAGAGAATCGGCAAAGTCGAAACGAAAAGGGAGAAACAGAGAAAACAACAATTGAAATTTTATTTAGAGCAAGAAATAGAGAAATTAAAGAAATGGGACAAAGCTTGGGAATAATTTTGTGGGAAGGTTGTTGCAATTATCGCATTCCTCAAAGAAAGGGAAGAAAGTGGAAAAATAAAAAATAAAATACAAATATATTTATGTTAATTCTTAAAAGGAGGGAAAGACATTTCGAATCGTAAAAGATAAGTTATATGAACTTTAAGACACGTAATAATTTTTTAAATAATTTTTTTTATATTGTAATCCTTTTTCGTTAAGTAACTTTCTTGATCTAAGGATTGTAAAGGTTTATCATTCACAAATTCTAAAAAAGCATTTGGATAATAGCAATAAATTACGCGATCCATCTCATTCAGGCTTTTGATTTTATCGTTAGCCTTTAGGTAAGAACGTTATTTAAGGTCCAGATTCTATATTAACTTATAATTAAGTTAATACTGACTTTCAATATTAGAAAGTACGTTTGGTAGTTATTATTGGTTAAGATTAAAAATCATAATATTATTAGCCCCATACCAGCAAGAACAACAGAATAATAGAAATAATAATAAACTGTCATAGAGAGAAGATTCATAGTTTTAACGATGTCATTATCTGCATTACTGAATAACGATGATCAGGATATCGTCCCACCCATGATATCCTCTAAAGAAAACAAAATTAAAGATAAAAATGATATTAGTATTATGGCTAAAAATGAAATAACGACTATAATTAATCCAATAGTGAAAATAGATCCAAAACAACAATTTCTTGATGAATTAAATAACCGATTTACTAAGATCCAAGAAAGAGATATGGTAGAATTAGAATATCAAGATTGGAAATTTCTTAATTTTCAAGAATTTGAATTGATTTCAGAATGGAATTATCAATCAAAAGTCGATTGGAATATTCATGATACTTATAATAATTTTTCATTTAAACAATTATATGATTTAATGACTGAAAATAAAATTGAATGGCAAGATTATATGAATTATAAAAATCATCGTGCTCAAATGATTAAAGACGTAGTAGATAAAGTGAAAATTACCAAACAAAATATTAGAAGAACTCAAATTAGTAATAATAAGAGATCAAGATTGGCTAATAATGGTTCATCAACAAATTTATCGAATGGCAAAGCTAAAATAAGAAGATTTGTTCCATCAACTCCTGTAAAAATATTACCTGCAAAGAGCAAGGACGGAAAATCAATTAAAATTGAAACATTCAAAAATGATCTTACTTCAGATCAAATAAATACAGCAGAATCTAGTACGATAATGTCTGGTACAGATGGCGAAGATGAGGGCCAGTATTCTCATATTAATGACAGCAGCATTCTTGGTCATGAAGAAGACGAGGATGAGGAAGATGAAGACGAAGACGAAGATGAAGACGAAGACGACGAGGATGATGATCGCGACAATGAAGGATTACATTCTAGACTTGAAGAACAAACCAATGAAGATAATGGAGAAAATAGTGATAAAGACTTTGATCCTAATACTAATAAGAAACACATTAAATCCGAATTTCGTACACCAAAGGATAAAATTGTCACACTGGATAGCGATAGAGCAAAGATTGTACGTGAATTAACCAGAATGTGTAATAAGAATAAGATTCCTAGAGTCAAGAAAAGAAGATTCACTAATGCCCTTGTTGTGGAATATAAACCTTCCAAGAAATTGCTAGAGGTTAAAATTACATTAAAACAGTATCATTCTAAGAGATTGAAACGTTTACTAAATGAAGCTAAACGTCAAAGAGAAAAAGAAGCAGAGATAAAGAGAAAAGCAGAAGATATGAAGGCGAGAGCCTTGGCCAAACAAACTGATAGTAATAACGGCCAAAATAGAAAGAGACGGAAATTGAATGATTCTGCTGCCAAGGGTGAAAATGATGACGAAGAATCTGGTGTCGAAGGTTCGACAGATAAGCCTGCCGTCATTGATCATGGTCTACCGACATATGGTATGACTATGTCAGCAAAGGAAGCCAGAGCTATTCAACGACACTATGATAATACATACATCACTATATGGAAGGATCTAGCAAGAAAGGATTCTAATAAGATGGTTAGAATGCTACAACAAATGCAATCCATCAAAGCTACAAATTTTAAAAAGACATCGTCTCTATGTGCAAGAGAAGCAAGAAAATGGCAATCCAGGAATTTTAAACAATTGAAGGATTTCCAAACAAGAGCAAGAAGAGGTATAAGAGAAATGTCGAATTTCTGGAAGAAGAATGAACGTGATGAACGTGAAATCAAGAAAAAACAAGAAAAAATTGCTTTGGAACAAGCTAAGAAGGAGGAAGATGCAAGAGAATCAAAGAGACAAACAAAGAAATTGAATTTCTTGCTTACTCAAACAGAATTGTACTCACATTTCATAGGAAGAAAAATCAAAACGGACGAATATGAAGGTAAAGAAAATGGAGGAGAAAATGTTAATGACGTTGACCTTGAACAAACAGACTCTACAAAGAAAAACGATTTTCATGAGATCGATTTTGATAATGAAAATGATGAGGACTTAAGACTTAAAGCTGCTGAGAATGCATCCAATGTCCTGGCAGAAACGAGAGCAAAAGCAAAGCAATTTGATACACAATCTCATGGTGAAGAGGAAGAGGATGATGAACTGAACTTCCAAAATCCAACGTCCCTTGGTGAAATAACTATTGAGCAACCAAACCTGTTATCATGTACATTGAAAGAATATCAATTAAAGGGTTTGAATTGGTTGGCTAATCTATATGATCAAGGTATCAATGGTATATTAGCTGATGAAATGGGTCTCGGTAAAACTGTGCAATCTATTTCAGTTCTAGCTCATCTTGCTGAACGTTACAATATTTGGGGTCCTTTCCTAGTCGTAACACCTGCATCGACATTGCACAATTGGGTTAATGAAATTGCCAAGTTTGTTCCGGATTTTAAAATATTACCATATTGGGGTAATGCTAACGATCGTAAAATCTTGAGAAAGTTCTGGGATAGAAAAAATGTAAGATATGGGAAAGATGCTCCATTCCATGTAATGATCACTTCGTATCAAATGGTTGTGTCAGATGTTTCATATCTACAAAAAATGAAGTGGCAATATATGATTTTGGATGAAGCACAAGCTATCAAATCATCACAGTCCTCACGTTGGAAAAACTTATTGAGTTTCCACTGTCGTAATAGATTGTTATTGACAGGTACTCCTATTCAAAATAATATGCAAGAATTGTGGGCTTTGTTACATTTTATTATGCCCTCTCTATTCGACTCACATGATGAATTTAGTGAATGGTTTGCTAAGGATATCGAATCCCATGCAGAATCCAATACACAATTAAACCAACAACAACTGAGACGTCTACATATGATCTTAAAACCATTTATGTTGAGACGTATCAAGAAAAATGTTCAATCAGAGCTAGGCGATAAGATTGAAATTGATGTCTTATGTGATTTGACGCAAAGACAATCAAAGTTGTACAACGTTTTGAGATCCCAATTTTCCGGTGGTTATGATGCAATTGAGAATGCAGCCGGTAATGATGAATTTAAGGGTGATCAAAACCTTATCAATACTGTTATGCAATTTAGAAAGGTCTGTAACCACCCAGATCTTTTTGAAAGAGCAGATATCGAATCCCCATTTTCATTTGTTACTTTTGGTAAGTCTAGTTCTATGTTAAAATTTGGTGGGAATAATGGTAACAATACCATCACTAATAGTGTGAATAATAGTAGTGCCAATATCGCAGGTATCAATTCAGAAAGTAACACTACTCCGCTCGGCTCAATTAATGCTAATAACTACACTAATTGGGTTGATGTTAATTATTCTTCCCGTAATCCAATAGCATATCATCTACCAAGATTGGTTTATGATGACATAATATTACCAAACTATCAGAATAACGTTGGTTCTATAAAGAAACTTCGGGATTGTACCTTTAGTATTTTTAATGCAAACCAAAACCGATCATTGTCTGAATTTTTGGAAAGACTAACAGGTTGTTCTATGAATGAATTAATTTTGTATTCGAACATGGATATTCTAAAGCAGGCAATCAATTTAAACACTACTAACATAGAACGTACAAAAAACAATTTTATTTCAAGTTTGGTGTTAGACAATAAGACAGAACGTTTGATTACATTATCAAATTGTTCAACAGGAGGCGTTTTGGATTCGTTAATGAATGTCAAACAAAATCTATTTTTTAGAGAATACATGAATACATTTCACAGAGCATACCATCCAGCAGTATTATCTCCACCTGTAAATATAAGAGTTCTTGGTTCAAGCAATTTCTCGGCTAGAATTGAACGTGAGTTGTTTGATCCTATCGTATCTCAGGCATTATCTGACATACCTACTACTACCCAATATAACATGTTAATTCATAAACATATTCCAGTAGACAAATTCCCAAAGACGAATATGTATCCAAAAACATTAAACAGTACGTTTTCTTCAAATATATCTATGCCATCCATGGACAGATTTATTACGGAATCGGCTAAATTGAAAAAACTCGACCAATTGTTAGTTAAACTAAAACAAGAAGGTCACAGAGTATTAGTTTATTTCCAAATGACTAAGATGATGGATTTAATGGAAGAATATTTAACGTACAGACAATATACTTATATTAGACTAGATGGTTCATCCAAATTGGAAGATCGTCGTGATCTGGTACATGATTGGCAAACCAAACCGGAAATATTTGTTTTCTTGTTAAGTACAAGAGCTGGTGGTTTGGGTATTAATTTGACAGCTGCAGATACTGTTATATTCTACGATTCTGATTGGAATCCAACTATTGATTCGCAAGCTATGGATAGAGCCCATAGATTGGGTCAAACAAGACAAGTTACCGTTTATAGATTACTTGTCAAAGACACTATTGAAGAGAGAATGAGGGATAGGGCCAAACAGAAGGAACAAGTCCAACAGGTTGTTATGGAAGGAAAAACTCAAGAACACAATGTTAAGACAATTGAAGCTTCTGATAAAGTTCCTACTTAAAAATAATAATATATATATATATTTGTAATATTATAATATCCGGTATATTTAATGTATATAAATAATTCAGTCATTGATGTTTATGTTGATTTTGGTACTTCAAAACACACATGCTTTCAACATGTGTAGATATTTGTCATGGTATTTATTAACTCTGTCGTACTCTTCCTTTGAAATGTTACCATTTTTATATGAAATGCTATGCAATGTTTTCATGTCATGCAATATAATGCCAAATGAATCTCTTTTCAGTGCTCTTCCTTCGTCGTACTTCTTCGGTTCAAATACATCATCAATTATTCTGACCTCTTCTTCAGCAATATGAGTACTAGTCTCATTTTCACCGAACAGCATATCAATATCATCATCTTGTAAATCTTCAGTTTTTGTTCTGTTCTCTTCTTCCATTTTGACAGGATTTTTTGTTGGAATATTCTCCTCGGTATGGGAAGAAGTTTCTGCTAATCTTTTATAGTAAATGTCATTGTACTCAGTATCATCCTCAAACAACTGTATCATTCTTGCAGCGTCGATTTGTGTTTCACAGTCATATAATACTAAGAAATAGAACAAATAATCGAAAACGTGTTCTGATTCGATAGATGCCATTTTGTTTCTAATAGCGGGCACACCATAGGTAGTTAATTTATAATCTAATGTTTGAATTGCGTCAGTCAAAAACCGAATGGGGGTAACCAGATTAATAACTTCTTTTAGGTAATCTAAATTGTAATAAGTACTACTATGTAAATTCCAAAAAGAATTAATTTGATTAGTCATGATTTTGTTTACTGGATTTTCCTTGAATATCATAAACCTATCATAGCCAAGAGGCTTTTGTTGAGAGTAACCACTATCAGAGCTTAGTAATCTTGGATCCACATAATATATAGGGGAAAAACCCAGTACAGCTACCATTTTTTCTATTAGCGAGTCTAGTACAGAGTGTTCTTGTGAATCGGATGAGTAAACACCGTAATTGGTCTGTGGCTCTTTCTTAAATTGTCTAAATATTTTCAGTAGTCTTACCGCGTTTACTCTTAAAACAGCTTTGTGGAAAGTTTGAGAGTCTTCGTTCAATGTATTAGGGTTAAATATCGTGTCAAGAATTTTAAACACCTTATTTATTAGGTCATCTTGTTTATCGGCATATTTTAAATGTAATAGGTAATCTTCTAACCAGAAACATATTTTGATCAAACCAGAAAGCATAAAGGGTTGAAGAAAATATTCGACACCTCCAATGATACTGTCAAAATCTGCCACTGCATTGATTTCTAATGCATAAAGTACCTGTTTAAAAATGAACGGAACAGTACTAGCTAATTGTTTTGCATCTGTACTTTGCATGAGATTATCTGAAATGGAGCCGTTCACGAACAAGTCCGATAACCAAGCTTGAATCAATTTGTGCGACTTCAATTGAGCTTCAGTGTCTTTTGGATTTCCACCTTCAAGGATAAATTCATCAGGTATATCCGATAATTGGCTGATGAAGGCTGTAGAAAATGAATTTTCTAAGTTGATGTTACCGTCTGTTAATGAAGCATTTACTAAAGAGATATCGTAGATTTGGTGTAGATTAATTAATAGTAGTAATGCCCAGCTAAACGATAACGACATATTGGTTGCCTCATCGGAATCATCAGAGTCCTCCTTTTTTGTTGCAATTGCTGATGACCATTGGTTGTCAACAAATTTCATAATTAATTTTACAAATTCTGAAAGGGTACAAAATGATAGAATTGATGTTAAAGAATGCGAGAAATTAAAACTTAATAGAGCACAGAGTTTTGTTATAATTGGAAAATTTAACGAATCAATAGCCTCAGATAAAGTACTTAATACACTTTCAGAAAATTCTTTTTGTTTCGTTGGAGAAATACTCTCGAAATTTAAAAAAACTTGATGAATTCCATTGTTTGGTTCGTTGCTATGATTCAGAATTGATTGTAGTTCAAGGGAATTCAATGAGTCAGTGATGAAGGTAGGGATATTAGATATAATTTCCTGCGTACCCTGTTGTGTCTGGATGAACAAGTCATCAGTTGTTGGTAAAGACTTAGGATCAAGAATTTGATCATCTCTAAGGAAATCATTAATAAATTGAGGAGGTTGTAACCCTAGCATAATGAGCGACTTTATAAAGTCGTGCCTTATGTCAAAACTTGCTGTTGGGTAATCTTCAAATAAGTCTTCATTTCTATTTTTCATGTCGTCTTTTTCTGAATAGTATGCTTTAATGGCTTTTATAACTTTTGTATCTATCTTCTCCAATGCACTGGTGACTACCTGCGGATTACTAGAGGAATGTTTCAATACCAGTATTGGTAAATGCTTCGAGATAAAGATTATCCATTGTCTTTCCAATAAATTTAAGTTGGCATTTGTTTGATGATATTGCTTATTACTTACAAATTGGGCGAAACAGGTAAACGATGTTTCAATTAAATCAGTTAATAGTCCGTCTGTTATTTGAGGCGATGGTGCATTTTCTTGGAATATTGAATTTGATATTGACGCATATCTAGCCAAAAAATCAGAATTTATAGGCTCCCATTTGATAATTTTATTATTCAACCATATATTTTTGTAATAACGTAACAGTTTTAAGTCTTTGTATTTCGCAGCTGAAGTACCTGAAGTTGACATTGGCGTCTTCATCATTGACAAAGGGCTTGAAATAAACTGTGGAGATGTAATCGATGGTGAGCTAATATATTCGTGTCTCGTATCCTTTATCATATGTTTTGAATCCTTAAATAAAAGCTTCGTATCTAGTGTTTGAGAAGTTTTTCTATACAGAAGTTTATTAACTTTAGATAGTTTTCTTAGAAGGTCTTGGGACCCATCACTATATTGCGCAGATAAGACGATAGTACTTGTTGCCAAATTTAGTGTGGCTTGTAGAAATTTGAATAAGGTAACAATTAATTCCTTATCAGTGGGATCCACTTCTAATGTTAATAAGTTTGGAATTATAGAATCTGAAAGATCTTTGTTCAATTGATCTATAATTAGTTTATCCTTCAAAGTTCTCAAATGAAGAGACGCCCTTGAAAAGAAGTGAACTAACATTCTGTTTTCATGGACGGAAGACAGTTTAGGCATAAAAGATTTAATCAGATCACTATTGTAGTTAACAAACAGGATTTCAGTCAAATATTCTGCGATAATAATGGATTTCTTAGAGTTAAGAAGTCTTACAAAATCATCAGAAAGGTTGTTAGACACCTCGATGGTATTGTTTATGTCATTTTCTGAATTATCGTTTCCAAGTACTGTAGAGAACTTTTCACTGTAAAACTCCTTGTATAGATTCAAAAATTCAGGTACCGGAACCTGTTTATCTATGCATTTGAGAATTAAATTATAGACAGATTTGTCCTGCAATGATACTGTCATATTTTACGGTAATAGCTAGATATGGGGTGTTTTCAGGCTTTTGTTAGTTTGACACAATATGGGAGATACACTTAAATTTTCTAGCGTTTCTAGATTCAATTGCCTTAATTCTAAAACCTGTAACTTTCTTTTAGACAAATATTCGGATCCAGATTAGTTTTATCGACTTTTTGGTCTCTTGAATATACAAATTTAATTGTTTTTAGTATTACAATTTTATTTCAATTACAAATTCTATATGATTTTTTAGGTCTGTTGTGTTTTTTTTTTATGCTTCACTACAAATAGTCCATAAAGTTTATAATATTAACTTCGCCCATGCCGCGGTCTTTCCTTCATTACGTGTCAAACGATGATAATAAAGATACTCATCTGCGAATCGGCACATAAAAGATTAAGTGGAATGCAATTTATGTATATATATGTACGTATAATTATTGTAACTATTGGTCGTCAGTATGTTGTGCAGCCTCCATAGCAGCTTGCCATGCTGGTATATCGGTACTGGAATTATTCGTTTCTGGCTTGTTATCACTATCTTGTAATTGGGAAACAGTTTCAGCTCTAGATTTCTTCCATGCGGGCTCTTCGACTTTAATCTCTTGATTCTCTTCCTCTGATGTGTCAAAGTTCATATTTGCTAGTAACTCAGCTGCAGAAGGGATGGCCTCCACACCAGGAAGTCCATTGATCGGACTCTTGATTGAATGGCTGGGATTGGTTGATGTTCCTATGTCACTTTTGTTATTAGTGCCAATATGAGTGTTGTTGTTTTTTTTGTTTTTCAATGATTTGTCAGTATAACTAGAATTCATTATTAAATGTTTTAAGGATAAGATCTCATTATTCATTTGGTTGAGTTCCGCCTTAGTATCATTACCCGATACAAATTTATCTACTGCGCTTTGTAGATTATTTAATTCCAGCTTCAACATCTTGAAATCATTTTCCATTGCATCCCTTGTTTGTGTGGTCTGTTCTAACGTATTTTGAAGGTCAGCAATTGTCATGTCTAATTCCTCTAGCTTCTTAGTCTCCTTCTCTCTGAATTCCCTTTGTTCGTGATCAATAGTTTCCAACAGTTTATCAACTTTACCAAACTGTCTCTGAATCTCCTCTTTATCCTGTTCTAATTTTGTACTGCTTTCTGGAAGAATATTCGGGGCAATGTACCTCTTGGTCACTTCAAAGAGCCCATAGAACAGACCAGCTGTGGCAGTAGCCATTATGAAATAATCCTTCCAATCTCGCTGTGGAACTACAGGTGGTAAAGCCTGGTATGTGTAATGGTATCCCCCTCTTTCTCCGGTTAAAGTCCCTTCATTCCTCCGTTGAGAAACCTGGGATTGAGAGGCAGCTATATCGCCGTTCCTATCATTCTCGTCGTTGTTATTCGTTGGTATCGACTTATTATATTTTTTCTCAGATACTACCTTCAATGCTTTCTCAATTTCATCTTGATTCAATCCTTTCTTCTCCAGAAATTTTATTTTCATAGCCAAAGGTGCATCACTAACTGAAGCATCATTCAAAAACGAGACTGCTGACTCGAATAATTTTTGTCTTTCGGATGTGTCTGGGAGTTGACTCATTTGTAGGTTATATTATGGTACGGTACACAACTTCCACAATTGATATAACAATTATTATTATCTTTAAGTTTGGCAATATGTTAACAGACCTTGTTACACACATATATATATATAAAGTATGCTCCGCATTTTACCTTTCCCTCTGTGTTTTCCCCCATTCCACATTCGTTTCAAATGCCAAAATATGAATATCGCACAGTAAAATCAAGTTTTTTTCATTAGATCTACGCGATTGGTTATAGAGCATGAGCATGGGATAATAGATCAATAAAGGGACCATTAGAGCAAGACTAGAAGACATCGATGAACCAACGAAGTTTTACCAGGTGTGATCTAAATTACTTTCTGGTTTTGAAATAATTGTCTCTTTGATTAGGCACGTATTTCAACAATTGGATATCCTTCCTAATTTAACAGTACACACTTACGAAGATTTTGAAAGGTCTATATGGAAGATTTCATACAGCGTTCAAAAACTGGAAATGATATAAGAACAATATTGGTCCTTGATATAAATTCAAATGTCTTAAATGATGAATTCGAGTTCGAAACGGCATTAAGAGTTCTTCCGATTGATTGGAGAGCTCGAATCATGAATAAGAAAAATGAGACTGATAGAATGAAAGCACTCTGCAATCGACTACTTCAATTAGTTGGGTGCTCAATCATTAGTAATGTGTCTATTAAATCTTTACAATTTGATTCTATTGAAAATGGTAAACCTATAATAGTATCCCAAGATGATAACAATATTACATTTAGCATGACTAATGGAGAAAATTACATTGCGATGTTCTTAAGACGTACAATGAATCATCCAGCTCCACATGTTGGAATTGATCTCGCATCTGAAAAAGATTTGAAAGACCCAAAGGATTTGGAACTATTCAAGGATATTTTTAATACTGAGGAATATGATGCTTTGGAAAGTACATCGATTGACGAAGTACAATCATTGTTTGCATATTATTGGTCTTTTAAGGAATCATATACGAAATATACAGGGACCGGGCTTTCTTGCGATTTGAAGAAGATAGGAGCTGGAAAATTACAAAATTTTGATTCTTTCAAAGGAATTAATAGATTGGTTGAAAGCAAATCAATGGAATTTTATTCATTATGGCTTAATGGTCCTTTCAAAGAAATCCTAACAATTTGCGAGGAAGATTTATCTGCAAGATATATAACACCTATAGTATATAGATTAACTTTAAATGATATATTGTCATATTTATAACGAAGTATTATAATATTCAAAGTATGATATTAATCATGATAGTTCTTATTTTATTTTGGTAAATATTCAGAATCTATGTTGTTGTTTTTTACTTACAAGTTGAATTTGCAAGCTGCATGTTTTGGGATGCAAAGTAAACCATTACATTCGTCATCAATCAACTTCAGAGCTGTAATACCAAGACATGTATGGTACAGGTCGGCATCTTCCTCATCATTCTTCATAAATCCACCTGTCAAAATATCCTGAGTCCTCTCTAATAGGTATTTCTTAACTAGTTCAGTATCACATAACTTCTTATAATCAGGTTCTAATATACTGAGTGAATTGACACACCAAAATGCATAGCATGTATCGGCATATTTATTTTCCCTACCTTGGAAGCCACCATGGTCTTCTTCGTCATAATATTCATTGGAAACATCCTGCACAGCCATAAAACCTTCATTACTAACTTGTCTGGCCAATAACCAGTCAATTGTTCTTTCTCTGTGACTCGGTGGGATTACATCCAGCCTGTTTAATAACCTTAGTGCTGACAGCGCACATGAGGTATAACCTGCGTGAGGTTCGTCAAAGGCACCGAACCCACCAGATATGCATGATTGGCTCAAAATATATTTTATCAAGCTTTTAGTGTCGATATATTTAGCAAAGTCTCCCTCTTTTCGACAACCAAGTATGTATAAGATTGTAACTGCTATGTAGCTGAATCTAAGATCATGTGAATCGACAGGAGAGGGAGAACCTAACTTGTAATCTAATACTGACACAAATGACCCATTTTCTTTTAGTTGACATCTAGATACAAATCTTGATAAAGATTCCTTATCAAGAATTTTGTCGAAAAATTCCTTATCATTTAATAAGATGAGGGTCAATAATCCAAAAAGCGTGTTCGGTAAGCTTAGCGTAATTGCATTAGGAATATTCAAAGTTTGACCACCTACAAAGCCAGATATTTTTTCTTCACATATCGTTTTGGAAATGTAATTGTTCCGTATCCATTGGATATTGTCATGGTACGATGTTTCAATGTCTTGACCTAGTGCAGAAAGTGATTCTAGTGCATAAAATACAATAGCTATTAAATTTACATCGAAATGCTGATGTGATGCCGGTAACAATGACAAGTGTCTCTTTAAAAATCTGATGTGTTTCTTTAAATTTGTCTCGCTGAATGTTTCCATAGTTATTGTTTTAATGCCAAACAATTGGGTTTGTTAAGTTTTGCTTTATATTATTTGAGTATTTACATATATGAATCTGATATCCCTTTAGAGGTCCAATTCAAATCCCTCCCCTTTATAAAGGACAAAAAAAAATACAAGGTACCTCCGCAGAGCTCCAGATGAAATTTTTACTGAGCCCTAACTACGAAATCCTTATATGCCCAGAGGACTATTACAAAAATCAACGTAGTTAATATGATAAACTTTTTTAATGGTCATAAAAGGTATATACACTAATATAGATATATATGTATGTGTATTCAAGGTTACTATCGGTTTTATTGATCAAAGACATTCAAGCAAAGACTAGCTTATAGGACGCAACTTCAAATGGTCTCAAAACGACAGGAATTTCAGTAACTTTATTTCTACCCTCAGCAGCAACGAAGTCACATTTCTCATGTATCTTTAGTTCCAAATTGTCTACCTTAAAGACACATTTTAAAGGATACGATGAAACCAACGATGTTCTAGATTCACCTCCAAGTGATTCGTAAAGTCTCACAATGATACTTTTTTCTTTCTGTGGATTCAAAGAGTAATTCGATTTCAAAGAGGAGTCTTCTTCACCCCTCTTTATGTTTGACAAAATAACGTTTTCGTCACCTATGATACTTACAACTCCATTGAATGAATTCACTACACTGGAAGGAATATCATATGTATTGTTATAATTAAACTCGTAAGCTAGTTTGACAGTGTCTGTGCCTAGTTGGCCTCTGTGAGGGTAAATTGCATAATTAATTTGGTGGGTACCCATATCAGCATGGGCGTCGGGGGCCTTTGAAGAACGCAATAACGATAATCTCATCAGGTTACCATGGGTGGAAAACCCATACTTGCAATCATTGATAATTGAGACACCCTTACTGAATTCAGAATAATCGGCAAACTTGTGGTGACAAACTTCAAACTTCGCGACATCCCAGGATGTATTATATACTGTTGGCCTTCTGGTAATACCAAATTGTGTTTCATAAGAAGCAAACTCACTTCGAACATTAACTGGAAATTCAACTTTTAAAAATTTGTTTTTAGCATCCCAATCCCTTACTAAAGTGTTGATATCGATCTTACTCTTGTTTTGAGCCTCAAATGTAGTTGCCTTCAACGAAATCGTCGACTTTATCGAACAACCTGACGATACTTTAACAATAACCTCGACAGCAACTTCCAATTTAGAATTACGGATTACTGCGACCTTTTCGATATTTTGTAGATACTGGTATTGCGTGACGGAGTATAATTCAGTATCCCACGCTTGCCAATTCAGAGGTTTATCATCAAACAAAACGAATTGATTTGCACCTAATTTATTTCTACCGTTCTTAATGTCTAAAAATTGAGACGATGATGGTATATCCTTGATACTTGTGATAGCACCAGAAGTTTTACTAATGGTTACCTCTAGTTTTCCATTACATAAAATAAGGTTATGTTCGGTTTCCTCTATTTTAGCAGAAAATTGATCAAGAACTTCTTGTTTAACACTCGAAGGAACCCAATCAAGAGTAGAAATGGAGGTAATATCATTTTTCTTTTCTGTCTTATGCATCAAAAACCTTGCTGCATCTTTAATCAAGTCAGAACATTTCTCAATTACCTCCTCTAACATTGGTACAGCTTCATACTTGTAAACCATCTCAATACATGAACCCGGTAAAACATCATGGAATTGACATAATAAGATATTTTCCCATAGGTCGTTTATCTGTTTGACAGGGTATTGGTACTCGTCAGGGTAAATTATTGAAGTCTTTGTCGCAATCCATTCAAGGTCATGTATGATGATTTCTGATTTTCTCATTAGGTATTTTGTTCTAGCTTGAGTAGTGTAAGTACCTCTATGGAATTCAAAATACAATTCACCGTTCCAGGTAGGTAATTTCTCACCATTATCAGTATGGTCGAGGATATCTTGATAAAATTCATCAATAGACGTACCAACTTGTAACTTTGGAATAACATTACCATTTTTATTACTCATAGATCTAATACGTCTCATTTTTTCCATCATTTCTCTAGTTGGTCCACCACCACCATCACCTTTACCATACAACATTAGTCCCGAACCATAGAATTCATTGGACTTGTTTTGTCTGGCAGAACGTAAGACGTCACCAAAATGTGAATCTGCTGTATAAGTATTACCTGGTGGCATATGTGTTAACAAGACAGAACCATCGATACCAGCCCAATTGAATGTAGAGTGAGGGAAACTATTAATGTTGTTCCAAGAAAGTTTTTGTGTTAAAAATTTATTCAACCCCGATAATTGACATAATTGAGGAACTTGTGAAGAATATCCAAAGGTATCAGGTAGCCAAAATATGTCAGACTTCACACCAAAATATTTTAAGAAGAATCTTTGACCGAAAAAAAATTGTCTGGCCAACGATTCACCATTTGGAACATTTGTATCATTTTCAACCCAGGAACCACCAATAGGGATAAACTGACCATCTTGAACCTTTGGGATTAAAACATCGTTAAAGAATTTTGGGTGATTTTTTAATAACCATTTAAATTGTTGGGCTTGAGATGCTACGAATTGGTACTCTGGATATTCATTCATAATTGTACATTGTGAAGCCCATGATCTAATAATCTTTCTCTTTGTCTCAGCGAATGGCCATAACCAAGCTGTATCAATATGGCAATTACCCATACCGTACACATTTGTCAATTGCTTGTCGTCACCTTGGAAATAGACAGCTCTGTCATCTGTATATTTATCGAAGTATTCATTCTTTAAATAAGCACGACATATTGCAACAGATTTTCTATCATCTGGGTCAAACATGTTCATGATATCGTTACCTAATTGTCTGGCTCTATGTTTTTGCCAAGTCTCATCTGGTAATTCCCTGGCGGCATCAGAAAGCATCCAGAAATCGATACGAAGAGCACGAGCTTCCCAGTCTGGTAGAATAATATCAGCAGAATCTAAATGGAAGAATCTGTTATTATCCGGTGGATTGATCGTTGATCCAGAACCACATCCAAACATACCATTGTTACCAGTTTCGATATAAAAGAAATATTCACCATTTTCTTGTTTTGGCAGTAAATACTCTGCTCTTTCACCTCCTGAAAAGGCGGTTTGAGGTAATAAAGTTGTCGGGTCAATAACTACACCTTCGTTATTACAGTTGAAGTTGAACAATAGTTGTTCATTAGCATCAACCCAATCTTGAGGAACAGATAAATGTACTTTAAACCACGTAGTAGACCAACTTGGTCCAAATGGTTGTCCCTTGTGGGCTTTTTGGAACTTCAATTCGCCCTTCTTGTCGCTTTTAATAATTGACTCCCAGGATGGTCTTTTATCTGGAGAGACGGGGGATGATCCTTTCTTAAATGGAACTTGATACCATTCTACTTTAACGTGATTTTGATCTAGAGATATTCTCTTCTTGTCGTAAAATTTTGTTAAGTTTAAATCATGGTAATCTCCACCTTTATCCATAAACTGTCTCAATCTATCTTCATAGATATTTTTGACTGGTTTAAACTGCGGATCGTAATTAATTCTTCCGTCAGACATCGTAAATGTTTTTTGTCTAATATCTTCCTGGATTGGTTTTAATCTTATCTTATTTTAATAGTTGAAACCTATATACATTGACTTAAGAAGTATAATTAGCTAACTATATATAAGATGGAACCATATTCTGTTCTCAAACGTTCAAAGTATATGTCAGTGTGAAGACATCTCCTTGATTCCCCTATTTCTCGGACCTCGTGTCTCTATCAATTAATTTATGTTTATGTGATAATCATCCCACGCAGTGCCCCACGTAAATACATCTACCGAGCGGCGTGGGCGACAAAGTAATAAAATCATTAATTAATACGATATATAAACAAAGTCATCTCCATTACGGCTACTATTACAAGATGATTCAAATAGTGCAGATGGTTCAAAGTATATAAACCTTTGTGTCGTTTATCACTTAGTTTTCCGATAAGAAATTTATTTAGATATCAACGTCGACTGCAATTGTTGGAACAAGGCAATGTAAAGATTATACAATCATGTTATCCACTCCATTAATATAATATGAATGCTGGGATGAGCATTCGATTACTATATAGTAATAACTCCTTAAATCGGAAATTTATATACTTTTTTCGTCCAATTAATGGTGCCAATATTTGAATTCTTACTAATCGTAAAGTTATGTTTGTGACTATTAATTTTTTGTTTAGTTGGAGTTGAGAAAATTTCCTCCATTAATCAATAGTAAAATAAAAAAAAAAATGAACAAATATTCTAAATAATCAATTTTCAGAAATATTCTTATTACAATAAATACTCTTATTATTTACCATAAAATTAGCTTTCTGAATTTGATTATCCTTTTGAGTACATTAAGTTTTAATAATTTTTCTAATTTTATAGAAGTTTGAGTTATTAATGTCCAATTTATTTTTCCTGATTTCTTGAGAACCCTATTTAAAAAAATATAAAATATTATACTACGATATTTTACATTTTCACAAACCATGCTATTTATATATGATTGGTATAAATTTATTTTTTACATTAAAACTATAATCAATTCATCTTCCATCTTATCGAACATACGTATTCTAATATCATCAAAGACTTCTAATGGTCGCATAGCTCTTATTCTTTTGCTCTTTAGTGAACTCACGCCGTTGCTCTATAAAGAACCAAAATTCTTCAACGTAGTCCACGTTATAATTGGCTTTGATAATATAATTTTGAATTAAAAATAAATAAATTGTTCAATTTTTAATTACCAGCCTGAAATATTGGCGGTAAAACATATGTCAAACGTACTTCTAAAATCAAGTTCCAGAAATACAAATATTTCTAACAACAGATAATATATCAATAATAATATATATATATATATATATATATACATGCAGAAAAACTTATTAGTTGTTATCTAAATCGAGTAATACTCAGAAATGAAATTGATATCGTTCTGTGTTGCATAGTCACAAGCATCGTTGATTAAACTTTTCGGACCACAACATATCATCCAACTCTTATCATTTTTACGTTCTATATAATCACCCAGATCTTCATTCCAATCTATTCTCCGTGTATGCAAGGTCGTTTGCATTTCAAAAGATTCCCCATTTTCATTTGAAGAATTCAATGTATCCGAATTATTACCACTAGTAATATAAACTTCCAAATTTACACCAAGTTTTAAATCTGGAAGTCCAAAGTTTACCTTAATAAATTCAAGATCGCTGAGATCCTTTAGTAGCCAAATAATCTTTAAGTAATCAACATTTGTATTATGTCTGAAATACTCGAATACCGAGAGACCATAGCCAATCCCACTTCCACCACATACAATTAAAATTTGTTGTCCAATATCTTCAATCAACGCTTCAGGTATAATACTTGGATAAGAACCTAAAATAGTGTAAGATTTTTCTGTCATCATCTTAAAATTAGATTCTGAGATAATTAAAGAAACTTCAGCATCTTCAGGCGCACTACATATAGTATATGGGTGAGAAGGGAGTAACCAATACAATGGATTAAAACGACCATACGGACTTATTCTGATATGTGTACCAGGAGGGTAAACAGCTGGAGCTGCAATTCTCGAGAGACGAACGATTGTTAATGAATTTGAATTTTGAGAACTGGTATTTTTTACTATACTGTGTACTTTGACTACTTTCGAGACAACAATCCTATTTACTCCATGGATAACTAGGAAAATAAAATTTAACCAGAAATACGGCTTAGTTACCCCAGGTCTTGCATGCAATGGTGTACCAAAAATAAAAATAAGGTTTATCAATTGATGGCCAACATAGAAAAGAATGTAGTTTCTTCTTCTCATTGGGCCAAATGAAATCAAAATCAATACTAACATCCAAAATACAATGAAAATACCTATAAAATTTTGGATATTCGAGCATTTTTCAATAAAGGAAACCCGGGGATCTGAACTCCATTTGACTAAAAATGCAAATCCATGTACCATAGCAATAATAAATATCGTTCTGGATAACCATTTATGGAGTGGAATGAATTCGTCATATGTATATCCGTGTTTGAAAAGGAAAACAGGTGGTTTCAGACTAATCGCAAGGTTTAAAGTGACCAATACATAACTCATCCTACCAATTCTTTTAGCATATAATCCAAAATTCTGAAAAAATGAATAATGTGTAGGAAGTGTTAAACATACAGGTATAAATATTATCAATAAATGAACCATTGGGTTTAACTGGTAAATTTTGTTTAAAATATGTGCATGAGTAGATGAAACTGAAGGTCTATTAGGTAACTTTCTCACTACATAAAGAAACATTAAATATAAAAATGAAATCATGAGAACCCAGTATCCGTAATAGATGTTTGCAAAATGCTTCTTGTGATGTTCTTCATTGTGTTGGGTATCCCCACCATCCTCATGTCTGCTTAGCAATGTTGCCACATATTTGACTACTTCGGTATATTTATTATTTTCCATAACGAAACTCAAGTGGTAATTGATAGAGTCAGTTATTTGGTCATGCTCCATGGGCCATCGATATACCTCTGTTCTTTCAAGGTGTCTAAGTTTTTCTTTTGTTGTTCATGTATCTAAAGCAAACAACGGGTTTAACAACTTTTAGAACTCCGCGAGTACAAATTGCAAACAAACAAATTGAATTTATTTTGATTATTGAGCTTAAATTCTAGTGATACCAAGCGTCCCTGACTAGCATTATGAGAAATAATCGTCTAAACTGTGGGCTATTTACTTTCTATTACTGCTCCCCATTGGGACTAGCTCCTCTTTTATGTAATCTGAGGGTTTCAATGGAACATGTTAAGGACTATTAGCGCTTAACACATATTGAGCTGTATGTATGTTCTGATGATTGTTAAGCTCCGCTACTAAGCTAAAAGTTACTGTTAAAGTCAGCAAAAATGATATGCAACACTACAAATTTAAGGAAACTATATGTTACAAACCGAATATTGATAGAAATTATGTGGGATCAATATATCTCGAATGTATTATGAAGCGCGTTATAGTATGAAACAAATATTACGTTGTGGTGAAGGAGACATACTGTGGTTAGACTTATATTTGTTCATTATTAAAGGTGTTAGGTATAGAGGTGAATGGTGTAGCTTAAGTTTTAATGTTAGGTAAGCAAAATATAATTGTTAT